AGCATGGTTACTTATCAATTTGTAGTTACAGATTTACTTCTCCTGGCTCTTAATAACCCCTGTCGACCACATGATGATAAACAACCAACATTATCTCGATGGTGAAGACCACTTTAGGTAAGATGGAAGGAAAGATTTTATCCCTTCAGATTATGGCTGCACAATGTTAAATTATAAAGCCTAATAATGGTGGAAAAAATTGTTCCAACTACCTTCAAGTAGTCCATAAAAATGCTAATGATTTTGGAAAATAATGCCAAACACAACAATCAATATAGGATTTTGAAGTAATGGTAATTTTATACAAGACGAAGATAGTTACGACATTTTTTTAAAGAAAATTACACAATTACTGAAATTATAATCATCATATTGTAAGGTGAAATGGGATAAAATGCTGGATCCTAATTTTAACAATAAGATACTGTGTTTTGCTGTAAAAGGGGAGACGGAGCAGACTCTGAGGTCAGCTGAAGACTTTCCATCCAGTTTTTTTAATGACGAGAAATTAAATGTTTTGTCTCCTGTATGCTCTGTGCTCTCCCTGTTTTTGTAGAGTTCTCAAATGCACCATGGTCTGAAATCTTAAAAAACAAACTTCAAAATCCATTAAGTTACAGAGAGAGAGAGAGTGGAAAAAAACAGGATTTCTCTGCTCTCTCTTCCTCCACCACTCAAACCGGGATGCATTTGTGGACTGTGAGTTATTAATATTTCAGCTTTTGTATTTTTCTCTGCCCTTTTATACAACTATATATTTAGATGTGCAGATTTAATTCACATTGCAGCACTCTACTGTAATAGCTTCAATACATTCAAGCCCCAATCAATCATTTCCCCCCTGAGGTCCCTCTAACATGTCCTGATACAAAGATGATGGGCAAAACTAATCTATTTAATTTGCATTGTGTCAAAGACTTTGGGGTTTTCTGCTTCTGAAGCGCAGGGATTAAAGGATAAACGCTGCTGTTCTGTTACGCTAAAGATGCTTTGCTGGTTATCAGCCAAAGCTACTTTTTCCTCCCGCCGCCCAAGTCAACAACTCTGTCATGACTAATAGAAAGATGAAAAAGACGAAATACTCAGCATACTGGAGGATCAGCAAAACAGGGACGGGGTTTGCAGTAAGCCTTGCCTTGCTGCCTGTTTTCACAAAGAAAAGTGCTAGCTTTTGTGAAAGAGGGAAGAGGAGGACAGGAAGAGGAAAGAGAAGTACAGTAACAAGAACAAACAGGGAGATAAAGAGAGTTTGAAATGCTGGGGAGAAATTTCTGCTTCCCTAGTTGAGATATTGTTGAAAACATCTGCCCTGTGTAAAGTGTGAATAACAAAATGCTCAAACAGCTGACAGTATGTGACTAGATTTACAGCTTAAAGGACACATGTACTGTATTAATCGTATATCTTAAACATTTGTTATATGACAGTACTCCTAAAAATGAATTGACAAGCATCAACTCCCTGATTCTACTGTCTTTTTCAGAGTTTTTGTTCGTTGTGATTCAAATATCGTAGCTTTCTTTCCAATCAAGTCTTACAACATGTCATGAAGCTGATATTGAGTAATGTCCAAGCAGCAGCCACTGGTGTTTAAAAATACAGCCAGTACATAAATGCATAAATGCAATTTCTTAAGTGTCCTCTTGGGACTCTGAAAGCCACAGATGAACATGTTTACAGCCTGCTGCAGAAAGAAAACTGCTTTTTGTCATTAATGACCACAGTACAGCAGATGGTGTATTTTTAGACCTCCTTCTTGTTGATTTTACCAAGGTTAAGTGTTTGGCACAGTAATGCATAACCAGTTGCCCTTCAACAAATTTAGTTGGATAACCATGGCCTGGATGAATGAGAACCTACGCAGACATAAACTACAGATGCCACCTGTTGGAGCGATCAGCCACAAGAAAGGGAAGGGAAAATACCAGTTTCAGCCTTGCAACAGTAAAAGCTGGTGGAAAGTGCAGAAACGCTTTCTTTTATGGTACACTTATTACCAGGTAATTAACAGGTAACTACCTAGTAACAACATGAAATTATATAGTAATTACATGATAACTACTAAGTCAATACTGTCTAGTTTTTCTTTTTTTCTGTGCTGCTCCATTTTCAAAAGCTATTTAGGGTTATTATTTCTATGATTGACACTTGATACAGCCTATGGGCGTGCGAAGATTGCGTAGCGATACGCTGTTTTAGCTGCGCATTATCACAGCGACTCACCCGCCAAATGCGTACAATGTTACTGCGCAAGTGGTGGTTCCAGGAAGCGGAGAAAATCCTGGAAATACCAGAGCAATTCGGCTTCAAATTTGTATGATGATGGAAGGTTACCTACGTGGTAGCTAGACAGTATTGACTACATAGTTATCATGTAATTATCAGATAATTTCATGTTGTTACTAAGTAATTACCTGTTAATTACCTGGTAATAAGTGTACCGTAAAAAAGCGTTACCGAAAATGCCCCCAAATTTTGGTCAAAATGCAGTGCTGGGACACATTGGCTAACAGTTTAGAGTTAATTATGTCTATAAATATACAAGTATGGCCAACACTCTGACTAGAGATGTGCATGGAAAACAAAATCTTGACTCACTGGCTACATTGGCCCAGAAAAAATGGTTGTTGCTCCCAAAGGCTCATTAGTTATTGATAGCCATTACCACACAATGGTGCACTGCTGACTGTCACATAAAGGCTTTTGTTTAGCTTGCAAATGGTACACTCTGCCTCTAAAGGAAATATCTTAGATTGAGGTTTATGCTGCGACATGCAATAGGGAAAATTCCACATGTTCATGAATTGGGAGAAAGGATTTTTTAAAGTATTTCGCTCTACCGTGAGGCTCATTTCCACTTTGTGACTCAGTTCTGTAATGGTTCCCTCCATTATTGAGACATGAGAGATTACTGAATTTATCCAGATGGCCATCCATGAAGTGTTATGGTAATCCATCTGGCCTTCAAGCTCATGCACTCACACGTTTAAAGTAAACATTTCGTTAATGATGCACGGAAACTTGTCGCAAATTTTCACACTTTTTTTTCCAGGTACTTTAAGTTTGTGACGGAGCATCTTGTCATGGAGAGGACAGTATTTCAAACTGAAGTTCCCCAGAGGAATATAGGTTGTAGGTTTTTAGTTATATTTAAATTGCGATCAATTTCACAATCAAATGTAAATGGTGTAGAGTACGATGAACTCAAGTTAGACTTTTCCTGAAGTTTTACTTGGCTTGTTTTCTCTTTTATTTTATGTGCACAGATTTTAAACATCATCTAATCAATGTTTTTGTCTAAATTAGTATTAATTCAGTTCTCTGTGACATATATCCTTGAAAGTTGAGCGTCAGTGGCTGCAGACCAAAACCATTGTAAGACAAAGTGATAATATGTGTAGTTTTTATCTGAACACTGAATGTATTAATTACATTTCAAACTCATCTGGCAAATAAGTGACTAAAAGATTCATCATCTGATCAAGCAGTTGAAGACAAATGAATTCAGCATTTTAATCAGGTACCTATGCATGAGTACAGAAATAGAGATTGTGGTGATGTTGTTGACACCTATTCTGGATGTATTGATGGATTTTGCTTTGTCTGCTCTTCCTATAAACTGCAATTTTATTACAATGCATAATGAGAGTTCTTTTACAATTAACATACATGTCAAAACTACTGCCACCTTCAACTACAATAGTCATTTAATTACAAGTTCACATTAGCATACGTATATACAACGCATACTTCCACATGCACTAAATCATACAACAGCATGTAGATCAGCTACAGTAGGGAAACGAAAAACAGAAAACTTCTTAATTCTCAATAACGCATGTTTAAAATGATGTGAAATACCGTTGAAGCAACTTTCTTGGTCTCAACAGTTTTAAGACTTTAAAGACTGTAAAAATCGACCGGTATGAATATTTTTAACAGATGCATCTTTCTCATTTGTGCATCATCAGTCATATTAGATAACAGTCTGCACAGCCTGGAGTCTGACCTCTAACTGAACACCTGAGTACCCACTTAGCATCTGTAATCCTAGACTAAGATTGGTGCTGCAGGAAAGGCAACACTCGTGTTTCAGGGAAATCAGATGAGTTAAAAATAATGCTTTCAGAAACACACTTTTGCTTTGCTGTATGAAAAATGAGTTGTTGAATTGGAATTGACAAGTTTTTCCCAAAAAGCACAAATCATATGTAATCTATCTTCTAATACATCATCTTTGCTATAAAAATTCAAATAACTTAAAAAAAAACTCTTTAAAAGATTGCATGTGTGCGCTTTCAAAAGTGCCCACACCCCCTTATTCTCACATTTCTCACTCCTTTTCACTCACTATTGCGTTGTGTACAGTAACTCCCTTAATTTCAGATGTTTTAAGGTGCCAAAGCAGTGTCTGGGTGTGGACATAACTGGAAAAGTGTCAAAACTGTAAGAGCAAAAGCGATAGTTTTTACGCGACATGCCTGAGGTTTGAATCTGTTAATAAGATCTGACAGCAGCGTGTGTGACTGATCTGAGATCTGTATCACTGTGAGCTATTAATCCTTCTGCCAATCATCACAGAGAGAAAAGAGACAAACATGAAAGTGAAATAAAACCTCTATAATCCTTTAACGCTTTGGCTGATGCACATTTTCATTTTTAACCCTGATAAATGAGGTAACAGAATCGAGGAAAGATGGGGTTAAGATCGACACTTTGAAGACAGCTGGATCACATGTACCTTTATCAGTCCGCCCTCTTTGAATCCAGGAGGGTCTGGTGTCTGTTTAGGAATAGATAGCAAGAATTATTAACGCTTATGAGCTGAAACAAAACATGTGGGAGTGGTATTTTGCAAGCATGACCACCTTAAAGTCTAAACTTACACACTATTATCTCCACTCTTACAGTCTACATGATCCTAAAACACTTTCCACCTGCTCTTTTGGTTGTAAATCTGCATCTTGTTTTATTTTCTATCATTATTTTAAGATCATTGGATGTTAAATGCTTGAGAGTGACATCTAAAAACAGAACGTAAAGGTACTTCTGTGCCTGGAAAGTGTAGTTCTTTCAGATTTTTAAATAAATGTTTACACGTTTAAAAATGATCCCTCCTTTCTCACCTCCGTCACCTCATCTCTGTTACTATTACAGACGCCCTGAACTCTTCAGTGTGCTCCATTTGTTTTGACTGGGTTGAAGGCCAACTGCAATAAAGAGCACTGCTTCGTTTCATCTCATATTCCTCTCCTATCTAATCCCATTAAAGCTCACGCTTCAGGAAATAGGAGTGCCTCCTGGTAATGAAGAAATACATTAACCCAGCACCAAAATGGCCTCGCTGCACAAAGCCTGTTTTCTCCCTCAGCAATCCTTACGACATTTTACTGTAGAACTCACATTTATTCGTATGGATGGTTTAACTTTTTATTTCTATTTATTTATCGCAGATGTTTTCAGAGAATCACAGGCGTTTTTAAGCTGCATTGCAGGGACAGTATGCGGAGCTGCGGCGTATAAACATTAAAAAAGGATATCAAGGTAAGCAGATGCATTATGCTGCTTCATTCCAGCTCCTCAAGGCCTTTGAAACCCAGATTTTAGACACAAGGGTTCTTCACTGGCAACCTCTAAAGCCTGGGTGTGCTATTGTTTATGCATGATGGTGCATAATCCACCAACAGAAGCTGCTGCAACCGGGACTTAAAACAGGGGAAACATCTGCTAGTGAGGAGAAAGTGGGCCCTCCGTGGAGAATCATGAGTGGAAAATGATCTTTGAGTTTAGAAAGTCAGCTGTATTTTTAGGTGACTGTATTCGTTTTAATTCACACCTGCAAACCAAAAACTAAAAGTGGTTGTAAAAGCTCTTTCATATGATCTTCTAGTCAAACCTGAGCAGGATCTTCTTTAAACAGAAGCCTGTCTGTCCGCGTAAGCGACGGCTGCATCTGTAAACGCTCGATTCAAGCCATCTCCAGGGAGCACAACAGACGGGATCCTTCAAGGCCTGAGCTCGAAGTGAGAATGACTGGATGACTGGAGCGTCAGTGGCGAAGGCTTGATGTGGCTGACAGCAGTTGAAAGCTGGAGCACGGCTGATGTTTGAACGAAGGTGTGATATTTGTGTCTTTTGTTGCTTCAGGAAGAGCAAGTAGAGAAAATATTTTATGAGGAGGATTATTTATTCATAGTTTAAATCATTTATTCATAAAACTTTGACATTAAATCATAATTGTTTGGGTTCATCTGTGTGTCAGTAAGGGACAAAGTTTGCTGTGTTGTGTAGTTCAGCTGCGATCAGTTAGAGGTGAATTTAGAGTAAATGCCAAATTATTGCTCGGTTGGGTAGATTAATTGATTAACCATGCATCTCAAAACCCAATCCAAACTCACATAGGCAGAGGAAAACCTAAAACGGGTATGGAGGCATTTGAGGACCCAAGTTTTACCATCTGAAATAACTAATCACTAACCAAAGGTGGTGCAAAAGCAGAAGTTTATCTCCTCGGATTCAGCAAAAGAAAAGGTTCTTAAGTTGGTTTACTGAGTTTTTGTAATTGGACTGCATCCTCTTTATTTTACAAAAAGAAAAATGTATATTGCTAAGAAGCACGAAATCTCAGGGTGGTCTTTGATGCTGATTTTAATTTGAATACTCATGTTAGGGGGGTCACTAAAACAGCCTTTTACCACCTTAAAAACATTGCTAAAGTACGACTGTTTCTCTCTCTGAGGCAGACAGAGAGACTAATGCGCGCTTATATAACCATCAGGCTTGACTACTGTAATGCTCTCCTCCCTGGTCTACCCAAAAGCACAATAAACCAGCTACAACTGATCCAAAACTCTGCTGCTAGAGTTTTGACTAGGACCAGGAGGCGAGCTCATATTACACCCACTGGCTGCCTGTTAGTTTTCACATTAATTTTAAAATTCTTTTACTAGTTTATAAAGCTCTACATGGCCTGGCACCAGAATACCTTTGAAAGATAATTTTAATTCATGAACCAGGGCGGCCTCTCAGATCCTCTCCATCTTCTCTTTTAGTCGTTCCACAGAGCAGAACAAAAAGATTTGGTGATGCTTCTTTTAGCTGCTACGCTCCAAAACTGTGGAACAAACTTCCAGAGGGTCTGAGACAAACTGCAAATATTTACATTTTTAAACGTAACCTAAGCCTGGTTTTGATATAAAGCTTCATTATTTTAATTACTATTATAATTTATTTTTTAGTATTACTTTTTACCGTATTTTATTAATAAATTCAAGTTCATATTTTATTGTCTGTTTTAGTTTATTCTAATAACTTTAAATTTTGATGTAAAGCACTCTGAGCTGCAATTTTATTTGTATGAACATGGGCACACAAAAGCTCCCTTACAATTGTTCATGGAGCCCCAATCTGACCTGTCTTGTAACAGAGGATGCTAAATTTGTGAAATCACTGAGGAGGGAAAAGTGCAGATCCTGAATAAACTATTAAATGTAAAAACACTTTTCATCTTTAAACTTCATATTTACTTGCCTCAGCAAGGGAGAAAGCATATTTATGGATGTTTTTTTAATAGAGCGTCATAAAAAATGTATTTCAACACTGAGGAAAAACAGCTGCTATAAAGTCTCATTGTTAAACCTAGGAGCACAGTATAGAGTAAGATAAACACAAACTTGTTAATCCTGAGGCTGAAAGTTTAAAACAAGAGGCAACAAAGAAGCAAGAGAAGTACTTTTGCTTCTTTGTTGTCAGTCTTTGATGGCAGTTTCCTGGTGTAGTTACATATTCCAAATGAGATTAGATACTGTTAATCATGCCGATGACGCCTCTGGGAACAGCACAGATTATAAAATCAATTATTAAATGAGTTGATATTGTCTGGTGGTTTGAACATCTGTTTGAAATAAACAAGACGTGCCACTGTCTCCATCTTTAGCTCTCTGCTGCCACCTGCTGGACTGTTGATGGGCACGCTCTTAAAAATACACCACAGAGTTTCTTAGCTGTGTAACGTGATAATGAGCTGCCGTCACTCTGTAATGGAGTTCACACAGAACAAAACAGTCTGGGAGGAGAGGAGGGGCTTTTTCTCTTTATTTTATTGAGGCAAACTGGAAAAATCTTAAACTGGTTCAATGCGAGACCACTACGTTACCATACAGAATTGAAAACAGAAATAATGTGTCTCATATCCAAATTTAAGAAAAAGCTATATATTTTTTTAAGAGAATTGGTATTAGATTCACTTCTTTGCAGTTTCCTCCTCCTTGGACAGGTTCTTGATGAGCTCCTCTTTCTTGGCCAAAAGACGCTCTTCTCTGCGTTTGCGAGCCTCCTTTGTCTTTGAGCGACGAGCTTCAGCCTGGTCACTGGGTGAGTAAAGAGGTGGAGACCGAAAACATTTAATCATTTATTTCAAGAGGTAAAATAAAGAAATCATGTATGATAAATATAAAAACAAATGTAGATGAAAGCTCAAACTTGGTCACAAACTTGGTTAATCTCGTAAATAAGTATTGCTCTGTGGTAAGAAAAATAAGAAATGCAAAAATAAACATATTGAAGCTCTGAAACACTTCTTAAAAAAAAAAGGAGAAACTTACGCCAGAAGCTTCTTGCGAGCCTTGTCTGCCTTCAGTTTGTGGATGTGCTCCATCAGGATGCGTTTGTTTTTGAAGACATTACCCTTGGCCCTCAGATAGAGACTGTGATACCTAAAGGTGAAAGAAAACCCTTGAGTGCCTCTTCATTAACTCTGTCACTCATACCAACACTCGACACCAACACTTGCATGTTTGCCATCAACACTGAACTTCATACTTACATGTGCCTGTCAATTTTCTTGGACTCCCTGTAGCGTCTTAGAAGACGGCGCAAAATTCTCATGCGCCGCATCCATGTCAGCTTCTCTGGCATACGAGCGTTGGCTGTACCCTTTCTCTTACCTGGCGCAGGAAAAAAGGTGATTTTATTCAACTTCTTTTGCTGGATTCATTAACAGTTTCACAGAAAAAAAAAAACAATGTTTTTGCGTATGCATGTTCTCTGTCATTCCTGCTAATGATTTACAGTACAATCTGTCTGAATTTAATAACATAAAAATCACTTGTAAACCAATTACCCACCATAGCCCATGTGACGTCCCTTGCGACGCGCCAAGGTGTTCTTCCGGCAGCGAGCACGGGAATGAACGGTCACGGGTTTTCTGATGATCAACCCATCCTTGACCAGTTTTCGGATCTGCTGGCCTGTGGTACAAACACAACGTAATACAGATGTTTGATTATGGAGCCAAGATCATACAAATCCACAGATGGAGAACACTTCAAAGCAAAGCAAGTCACTCACGAGAGTTTGCGTTGGCAATCTCGTTGGTTTCATTTGGATCCAGCCACACCTTCTTCTTGCCACAGCGCAAGACGCTGGATGCCAAGCGCTTCTGGAGCCTGAGCATGCTAGATAAAGAGGAAAGGGGTTTATTTTTGGCAGGGAATGTCACATTTCCAGCATATTGGCGCCTTTAATATTTTCTATGAACTTCACCAATGAATGAATCATCTTATTTATTTAGAAAATTTTACAATTGTTTAGCAGCGATACACCCCCCAAGTAGGACTGGGCAATGATACGATTGTGATAAATTTCAGTTCGATCACGGTGATCAGCTGTGAGCATATTTACTCGATCAAACATAGAGGAAATGTGCGTCACAACAGCCAATCAGAGTCGAGCGTTTCCTGCTCACTTCTGTAAGTTGCTGGAGAAGTAAACCGGAGAAGTAAACAGAATGACCCGACATGAAGCTAAACGTGGAGCTGAGGGCAGCAAAACAGATGTCAGCCTTGACTTTGAGTCATCCTCAGAAGATGCCATTGTTGGGGAAAAAAAAGTTATTCAACGTTGGTTGTGTTGCGGTGGTTCGGGTATCTCCAATTAAGCAGATGTATAAAGTATGTTGGCGGTCGGTGCCCTCAAAAACCGGCAACACAACAGTTCTGTTTAGTCATCTGGAGAGGTACTTCCTGAGTGATTATGCAGAAAGCATGAAAAATGTTGACATTTTGAGGCGTCTTGATTATCCCTGAGGGGGCCATTTGTTTATTAACACCCAGGACTGTGAACTAGTTCACTGTATTATTTGGTGTTTATCTAAATTTTTTGTATTGTTGAGTTAAAATGTTTATATTTTTCTACGTTTCTTATTCCATTTGCTTTGGAGTTTATTTTGGATGTTGATAAAATGTTGAACTAATCTGTAGTTTCTTTAGTAAACTGACAGTTTAAAAAATCGCGATAATAATCGAGATCGGACGATACAACAGAATATATCGTGATCTTTTTTTTTTTTTTGCTTAATCGCCTAGGCCTGACCCCAAGTAGTGATGCTTCTGTTTAGAGTGAACAAAAACTAATTCTTCAACAAAATAAGACTACGGTGTGATGCAGGTTTATCCTTATAGTAAGCCAATATAGAATACATAGAAACAATTCAAGTATAGGCTATAAAAGGAATGGTGTCGTAACTGTGGCATTATGTTTGTTAAGGAGCTGTCACATCAGATGGTTTCACCAACTTTGAGAGACTCTGGCAGACGGATGAGTGAAATGTGCAGCTGTTGAGTGATTTTACTTGAGCTCTGGAGACAACCCTTTGAAGCTGACATTATATTGAACTCGAACTACCACGTGTAAGAGAGAGAAAACAGACTAAAAGTGTGAGACAAATAATATCGGCATGTTCTTCGGCTAACAAGCGTGTGAAGGTTCACTGCGGCTATCATAGCAACGCTAGCCCACATTAATTCATTATCATTTAAGATAACTTATAAGATCGACTTCACAGGCCAGTTGACTGGAATAAAGTCGTATTAAAATATATTATTGCCACGTTATATATTATTGGTTTGTCGTTGAGCAGCAGTTATATGTCTATAACGAAGGCTAGTCCAGACATGTCTCGTTAGCTTAGCCCGGCTAGCTCACCGATACAGGCCCGACTCACATTATCGTCAAAAATACGCGACTTCACTCAAAGTAGAATGGTTCAGATGAGCCCTTTCTCTTAGATAACACTTGACAACCAAACATTAAATAAATATCCACGGTTATAACCTACATTTTTGGTGACAAACATTCAAGCTAACTTACCTCATGGCTGCCGCTCGCTGGATACTAGAATCGAAGGAAATAGAACAGTTGGGGATCTACCAATATAGACATCGACCCGGGTGGGTCAACTTTGGCAGTGCAAGAAACTTTGACAAATTTACCGACAATTAAAGGGTGATAGTCCTTATCTTGAAATATTCCACATGAAATTATATCTTGTGTTTGTATATACGTTTTTATTTGCCTCTGAACTCCCAACTAAATGTATTAAATCCCCCAGCATGAAGAGTGAAAAGTGGTACGTTCCTCAGCGTACCCTACTGTAATGATAATATATGACCACTGGAGGGCGCGCTTGACATATGTTTCGAGTACTGTATTTTATTCACGTTTGTGTGTAAAGTATCATTTGTTGCACTGTCTTGTATACTGTCTTTTTTTGTATATTTTGAATCAAAGCTGAAACGAGGAAAATATATTTCCACAATTAAAACTCGCTTTCTTTCTTCCTTTTTTTTATTAGGTGATGCAGGACAGATCATGACAGGTGGTTGACAACATATATACAGTGCAAACAGACAATGGAGACGAGACAAAGTGACAAATACAGCAGGAACACATAATATTTAGATACATTTAGAAGGCGTTGCAAGGCTTTTTATGTGTGTTGTGAAATGTGTGTGTTTGTGGGTGAGATTGTTCTCTCCTTATTCTTTTTGTGATGCTTGTTGAGGACAGAGTGAAAGAAGAAAGTGTTAGGGTTATGACAACAAAAATAAAAATAATAATTACTGATATAACAATAGAGCAAAGAAAAAATAATAGTACAAAAAGGAGGTGGCATGAGGGAAAAAAGTAATAATAATAATAATAATAATAATAATAATAATGATTATAATAATAATGATAAATAACCAAAATTAAATAATAAGTAGGTAAATAAATAATAGAATAACTATATATATATATATATATATATATATATATATATATATATATATATATAGGAAGCATCATACACAAAGATGCAAGACGTCTTAACAAATTGGGGAATAAGACTGGCTCTGTGGTTGGACTCAAGCTGGGTTCAGTGGAGGATGTTAGATCTACAATGAGGAAGGTGGAGTCTACTCTAAAGAACATGGCTCACCCACTTCACAACACCTTGATGGACCAAAGGGCAAATGATGGTGGACAGCTCCTCTGCAGGACTTCCTTCCAGTTATGACAGCTTTGTGACAAAAATCAAGGTCGTTTCTGACAAAATGAATGCGAAAGAAAGAAAGAAAGAAAGAAAGAAAGAAAGAAAGAAAGAAAGAAAGAAAGAAAGAAAGGATAATCTGTCTGATGAAATAGGCTCGGTGCTGCCCCCTGCTGCCCCCTCGTAGTACCAACAGTTGGTGGCAGTTCCCCGGTGTACCAAAACAACAGCGCTCCTGCCTCCTGTCACACATTTCTCTCTGACAGAGCAGCACCGCCATCTCTACCTCCGTGGAGCGTGGAACCTTGAAGGGAGGGACAAGAGCGGTAGAAGGACCTAACGGACTGACTGTAGTTTTGCCTACAAGGTTTATTTTGAGAAATGAGTCAGCGTATTAACACAAAATTTCAGGTAAGGGGGATTTTTTTTTTGTTCTCGCGAGCCCGGCTAGCAAACTAGCGTTAGCTGCATCGCAAACGCCGGAGCAACCGCTACAAATGCTGCGCGTGTATTGTCATGGAAACAATTGCAGTATTGTAGTATTAGCATAAACGACATTGTTTACATATTCTTGACCGTCTAAGCAAAACCTGAGCACGTTGATAATGGCGGTTTTGGAGGTTTGGCTTCGTTTCAGCCGGTTAACTTTCATTGACATTGAGTTCAAGAGACCATTTGACTGTTTCCACATGTAACCTTGACTTGCTAGGTTTGCAACAGTACTCTGCATGCATCTATCTCTACAGTTTGCTCATTTACGTCTCTAATGTATGGATAGTGTGTTCCACATAAGCGAGCCAGATATCGCGAGTACTTAAAGCTCTAATGTCAGGTTTTCCCCCATGAGGTTCGGCAGCGTGACATGCTCTGATGTGGCAAAAATGGTTGAAGTCATGTTTAAATATAACTTAAGACCAATCTCTAACTGTGGCTATTTAATGAGATATTGTGAGGCCGGGAAAAGGAGCCCCTGCAAAGCGGTGTTACATGCTAACAGAGCCAGACATGAGACTGTCCGGTTTGAGCCATTGTTGTCTGCACTGCCAGTTAACTACACGGCCCATCTGTCACACAGAGACCGCTCCTGTTTGACCTGCTTATTGCAGACAGCCTGCAGCGTGTGAGACGGATTAACCTAGTGGTTTACAGTGTGTGTGAACAGGGTTGTTTTTGTTATTATAACAAATCAGAAAAAGGATTTAGCTGCTAATCATACCAGATTTAAACATAGATATTTGTATTTGCCTTATAATAATATAATACCTGACAGATTGATGTTACTTGCAGATTATTTTCAATATTTAGTTGTAATGTAACCTCTAACCAAAATTCACTGGCCTGCATTTGAACATAATGATTAGTATATAATAGTTAGAATATTTCTACATTATGTAAATACAGAAATACAGTGACTCTACAGACTACCCTGCTCTCACCAGGACTTTTTATCGCATGGAAACTTTCAGGGTTTCATTTTAGCTTCCAGCACCTGTTACCTAATCCCCCCCTACCTCCTCATTCTTAGACATCTTTGTTTTGCTTCCAACAAAGTCACCCCATCAAGGAGAGTACTCGCGTTCATTGACCTCTTTTAGAACCCAGCTCCCCCTCATCAGTGTGCGGGTCACCTACACTACCACAACACATGCATGACAATGGCTAAAAGTGCCTTCATACACTGTTGCTCGCTGGTTACACTGGAGCATTTACATCAAGAGTCCTGTGTCCGCCGATCTGCTTCTTCTTTGACACCTATCTGCCAGTGTTTGGTGTGTAGAGATTCTGAAAATTGATAATGGAGTGGGAAAAACCCACAGATATCTTGCACACAAGAGGTTTAATCACTGTTTATGAACAGGGAAAAAAACAGGGGTTACTAACTATCTTTGCTGGTTGAGGGTGGATGCACTTCATAGTTGTTTAAAAGGTTAACAAGACAGCAGCTGATGCAGTGTAACATCATTTCATGTAATGTTCATTTTGTGAAATAACGTAACAGAGAGAGTTAGAAAAGTAGTTCTCAAGTCCAGTCCTCAAGGCCCACTGTCCTGCATGTTTTGGATGTTTCCCTGCTCCAACACACCTGATTCAAATGATCAGCTCGTTATTAAGCCATTACAGAGCTTGATAACGAGCTGATCATTTGAATCAGGTGTGTTGGAGCAGGGAAACATCTAAAACATGCAGGACAGTGGGCCTCAGAGACTGGACTTGAGAACCACTGAGTTTTTTTTATGATCTGAATACTGTCACAGTCAAAATATTCAACAAAAAAAATCAATGGAATCAAATAATCAACCATAAAAGCTGAGGGAGACTTTAAACCAGCCCTGACAAATAAGTGGACTCTCCAAGGGCCCGTGTCCACTACTTGCTTTTTCAAAATGAGCTGACAGTGCCCTCAGCCTCAGTTTCAGAGTACTATTCAATGGTGCTTTCTGTTGCTAGGTTATGAAAGCTTCCTGGCAGCATTTCCACCTCGAGATAGGAGTATAAAGCTATGTTCACACTGCAGGTTAAATTCCAATTTTTTAAACTATGTGACACATATCTGTTTTTTCCATGCAAGTGTGAACAGTGCAATTCTGATTTTTCCAAATCTGACCCAGGCCTCTTTTGTATGTGGATATAAATCGGATATATATCCGATGTGACTGCAGTGTGGATAATCAGGTTGCATTCATCCAACCTATACATCATCAATATACAGCAAACATCACCATTGTTCGACAACACAAACAGGAAAGAAATTTGTGCTTTGTGCGCACAAAGCACATTTGTCAGATCGAACAAAAAGATCGGATTTCACAAAAAATCCAAATTGTGCATCATAACCTGCAGTGTGAACGTAGCCTTGGATGTGTTTTGAAATTCTTTGCATGCTTCTTTGTAGATTTTACAGGACATAAAAGATGAAATGATTAATGACTATGTTGAAGCATAAGCAGCAGCTGTAGACCCAGAATTCTTCCCTTGAAACAAGTGGTTACATCGTGTTCTTACAGACCTCTGTGGTTGTTTTTTTTTTTTTTACAAAGCTGATAACAGAAGTCTCACCTCTTCTTCGCCATGATTGGATAGTGATAGAAAGGTGGCATTGACGAGTGCCACGGTGTTCCAAGAGCTGAATAATTCTGAACCTAGAGTACTCTGAATGAAGCAACAAAAAACAGCTGATGCCAAAGGAGTTTCTGGACTTTGGATACTGAGTGCTAAAAAATGCCAGATTTCGTTGATTTTGGCAGAAATTAAACCCTACCAGTACAGGGTGTATGGATGGAAGAGGGCAGAATTGGTGGATAAGAACCCTGGGTTTTGAGTCCCCAAGGCTTTCCTGCGTGCTGGGATTTGATGTTATGGAAGCAAGTTACCAGGGATTGAGGGGAATGTGGGTGGATGGTTTTTTTGTAAGTAGAAATCCAGACTGGCATTGGTGGATGATCTGCTCTAGATACTGTGTTTTAAGCATTGAGATAATGAAGAGGTCCAAGCAAAGAGCTTTGAGGCACACCATGGTAGATGGGAGTTGCTGATGGTGAAAGATTGCTTTCTATTTGGAAAAAATGGACCGAAATTATGACAGTCTGAGTTAAAAGTTAGTTCATAAGTAGTAGTAGTAGTATATATAGCTGTATACCAATAATGATACAGGAGTAAAAATAATAATAATAATATGAGCACAATACAAAACCTGAACCGTCACTCTTGCGATCTTTGATACAACACTTTGTGAGGATTATTTGCAGCTATTTGAACCAGTCCAAAATATGTCTTTGGGGTGTTCAGAGGAACACAAAACAATACAACCCTGCCTTACATTATTGAGAAAATCAGGCCTAACTGGAACAAACACGTCAGAAGGACCAAACTCATACTGGTAAGGTGATGCATCATTAGGAATTGGCACACCTGTTTGGTAACTAGTGGATGTATAGGGTGTCTCTGGCTCTCCTGTTGGGTTGAGGCTTGTGATATTTGGATCCTGGCCAGCACTCATAGCATTTCAAAGGCTCTGCAGAAATAGATGGTACATCATATGGAGAGTGACATGTGTTTTCACAGCCCCAATAATAGTGTCTTCACTATCAGTAATATATTACCCCAATGTTTTCTTTGAAGCTAAATAGATATTTTCTATGTTCTGATACGATCCAGCTAATTTATTATTTTCACTCTGCTCCTTTGAAGAAGAAGTAACCGAGTCGTAGTTCCACCCCCCTTTTTTTAAATGGAAAGCTTGAAGCTCGCCAGGACTGTTTGCTTGATCTAAAAGACTTTCCTCTGTTTCCTGACAGCGTGCCAGCTAGTGGTGTGTGATCTGGAGGGAGAGCGATAAAGACAGCAGAGACTATGGAGGTGTCAGATGGATTACTGCTGCAGGTCAACAATGGAGAGCAGTGGTGTAACCGCTGGAAACATCCCAACGAGGACTTGGTAAGCTGCAGACCCAGATCAGCAATTATATTAGTAATTTCATTACTCAGCAAGATCATTGGTAAGAAGATCACTTGTGCTTAATCTCATCTTAGCACACATTTAGCCCTCTGATTAGCGTCACACTGTATGATTCCTTTACCTTTAATGATTTTGTGTGTGTGTGTGAATGTGTGTTTAGGACCGCAGCACCAGCCCCTCAGTCCTGCGCTGTGTTGCCAGCACGTGGAAAGAAGGTCTGCTGAACAGAAAGAGGCCCTTTGTGGGCCGCTGTTGTCACTCCTGCACACCACAGAGCTGGGTAATATTACACTGCAACACAGCTAATTAACTGTAACACGGGTTCATCCATTTGTCTCTTGTTAGGTTCAGGGCGTCATTTCTTCTAATGAAGATTTGTGAGCCACAAAGAAAAGGATAAATACTCATAGTAAGCTGCTGCATTTTTGACGAGCTGTAACTTGTGCAAACTCTGTTTGTTAGGACATGTGTACAAAGAGATACAGTGGTCCAAACGGGAGGAGATAAAAGTAGGAAAGACAATCTCAAGATTCTTTCTGGATAACATCAACCTAACTTTGGAGAATCCTTTCAGCTGAATAAAACAAGAATGAATAACTAGGTTGACATGCTGGTTCAGACTGAGGTTTTTATCAAAAATCACACTGAGATTTTTGCATTTGGCAAAACATGTCACCATTCCTGCTGAGCCTGGACCAATAATCTTTACCTTGAACAAATTAATCCTCAGGAATTTCTGAAACATTCAGCATTTAATGTTAAGTTTTTGATGCATTAAAATGGTTAAACTCATTGCGATTAAGACAGGGGTTTCATCTGCTCAAGAGTAAAAAACGTACATTGTGTTTGCAGATAATATGAGCCCGGGGTAACATATAGAGGGAGAAAAGGAGTGGTCCAAATATTGACCCCTGGGGAACCCTGCAGGTCAACCCCACACCAGATGATTGTGAGCAGCCTGTATCCATGCTAAAAGATCTGCCCTGAAAGTAGGAATGAAACCAGTTTCAAACTGAACCAGACATGCCAACCCAGTGCTGCAGGCGCTCCAGTAAAACCAAATGATCGACAGAATCAAAGGCAGCGCTCGAGTCTAAAAGAAATGAAACAGAAGATATTCCAGCGTCAGCAGCAATCAGCAAATCATTTCACACTTTAATGCAGATCTGTGCCAGTTTCAATGATGTGTGTGTTTTGAAGAGGAGATATGAACTGATTGGCTCATAAACCTCTTTCAGAAATCTCACTGGCAGGACGTCAAGAGCTCAGGAGGAGGGTTTCATTTTCTTAATCACTTTAGTGAAGGTTTCAATCGAAACAGTGTAAAAAAAACTGAAAGACAGCTGTAGTTGTAAAAGAAAAAGGGGTGTAATATGCATAACCATTAAAATTTCTATTATAAACTACTGCAAGTCTCCTCCCTTTTCCAGATAATCTGGGTTGGTTCAAAAAAGAGAAAATAGGGGGTGAGGCTCCTATCAGGCGGCTGAGTCACCAACATTCAGCCAGATTTCAGTTAACATCAGAAAGTCAGTTGAGTTGAAGATAATAAGATCGTGGCAAATAAAAGATTCATTAGACAGAGGCTTTTTGTGGAGGAGACCAAATTTAAAAGTGTGTTTAGTAGCAGAAACTGGATTCAAAGAAATATGCACGAGTTCCTACACTTTGTAGAATTTGCCCTCTTTTTTTAAACCCTGTAAAAAACATTTTTAGTTGCTGTTTGAGAAAAACAAGAAATCCAACAAGTCAGCATCATTGTTGACTGTTTAGATTGGCTTGCTTGAATATGTAAGAGTAGCTTGTTTGAAATCAAGGCGTCTTTGATTGTAGACAATGTGCAAAACAAAAAGCCACATACTTGGTTTGCAAGAGTATTTGTGGAAGTTATGTCGATGTAAGTAATTCTTGTTGTCATTATGAAAACTGACATTTTTGTTTCCTCAGGAGCGACTGTTCAACTCCAGTATTCCTTCTTTGGGACTGCGCAACGTCATCTACATCAATGAAACCCACACCAGGTACACAAAGCTAAATCCTCTCTCACATGGACTCTCCTCTTCCTCGGTAATTTTGTTTATCTGCTTGACAAGAGTGAGATTTTGAACTTATGTAACTCCACACTGAACTTGTCGGCCTTCACATGTTTTCTTGACTTCTGATGACCCTTAAACTTTTGCCTCCAACAAGAACATGAGCTTTAACTTCTCCCACATAGGATAATCAATATGGTGCAGATAGGTGCTGGCCTTTGTAACTACTTGTGTATAATAAATGGCTTTTAAGTGAAGGAGCCGTCTTGAGATCAGTGGAAAGGTAGACAGATGAATAATTAAGGGTGTTTGTCAGTGGACACCAGGTCCTTGCATTGACTTGCAATTGGATGACTTCAGCATTAAGACACCAAAACCTGAAGACCAAACAAAGTAAATATGAGCATAGTTTAAATCTTATAGTGAACAGGAAAGTCTGTGGATCGATTCTCATGATGGAGGCTGAGAGCTTTCAATCAACAAACCAAAAGAGTGAACTGAAAATGTGCATCTTGTTTTTGTTCTGAACTGTATGAGCATATTCAGTGTCAGCTGGAGCTAAGATGGACTAGAGTCAATATGGACACATTGGTATTGATAGATAATCAATGCTGGACAAAAGCTCAGTAAGCAACATGTAACAGATATCTTAGCAAGAGTGCATCTCTGGTTCCTGAAAAAAGTGTCAAGTTTACAGGAAGTCACACATTTGTTTATTTTACGATGCATGAAGCATGTCTTTAAATGTGTTGTGTTGTGTAGATATTTTAAGAACACAAGATTTGTATGTTCGTGTTCATGCAGACAGCGGGGCTGGCTGGCACGCAGGCTGAGTTATGTGCTGTTTGTCATGGAGAGGGACGTCAACAAGGACATGTTCACCAGAAATGTGGTGGACAACGTGCTCAACAACAGCAGGTGAGACTCAATGTAATATGAGACGTCAGTGCTGTCCGAGAGAGCCAAGCAAAATGAGAATAAGAAGTGACCTCTGCTGTATTTAAACTCTAATTCTGGACAGAATACCAACGTTATATTTTGAAGAAAAGAAAAAAGCGTCATTCAGATGATGTCAGTATGATAAAACATGCAATGTTATCTTTTCTTGTTTTTTTCTACCAAAGGGTGGAGAGTGCTATCGTGGCAGTGGCCACAGATTTGGAGGCGGCAGCCAGCAAGCCGAGCCAGGAGCACAAAGCCATCAGCAGAGTGAAGCAGAAAGCCCGAGCCTTTCTCCAAGAGATGGTGGCCAACGTTTCACCAGCCTTCATCAGGTACAAACTGTGTCCCTCACAACACCTCTCATCAGATTCTAGATGTTTGTGTCTTTTTTTTCTTGGTTAAAGTAAGTTGTAAAAAAAAGCTTGGAGAACACTGTTGTTTATCTGCTGCCTGTGTTAACTGTGTAAAAGTACCAATAATGTGGAGTATAATCAGTCACAGCATTTTTACATCTGCACATCATTTTGTTCAGGCTGACAGGGTGGGTCCTCCTGCGGCTCTTTAATGGTTTCTTCTGGAGCATTCAGATCCACAAGGGCCAGCTGGAAATGGTCAAGAAAGCTGCTACAGAGGTCAGCAGCAACTACACACCAAGACCATACATCGAACTAACTGATACGCATATTTGTGACAAATAAAGAGTCTAAAATGTACTACACTACCATAATGTTTTTGCAAACTGAGGCGCACAGGGCACATTGATTAAATACTGACTCGAGATCAAATTCACAATGTTAGTCCAGCATCTGCTTTTTTTTCTAAACACAGTTTAGTTCAAACAATTTCTGTCTTGTCTTTGCAGCAAAATGTGCCCATGGTGTTCCTTCCTGTTCACAAATCCCACATCGACTACCTGCTCATCACCTTGATCCTGTTCTGTCACAACATCAAAGCCCCACACATCGCTGCTGGGAACAACCTGAGCATCCCGATCCTCAGGTAAAAGCCCTCATGTCAAGTTTGATCTTCAAATGAGGTCTATTTCTGCTCTCCCAGCACACTCACGCACTCACTCACTCACTCACACAAAAAAAAAAAAACACAAAATCAGTTTGATATCAGAAGGAAGTGAAATCCTCTGAAGTGAATCAGAGAGGAAGGAAAGCTGAACTAAAGAGTCAGAATCAAAACTGTCTAAATTGACTTTTAGGGGTTTGTATGAGGCAGGCAGCCTGGTCTGACAACAGGTTGTGAACTTGTTTGATAGTATATCATGGCCTGAAAGTATTCTTTGACACCTGAAACATCATTATTAAAGAAAAAAACATCGATTTTGATTCAACACCTCAGGCTTTCTTAAGTTAGAAAAATGGAGAAGAGAGGGAAAATGTTTTGGCAGGATTGGGTGCAGCTCTGCCTGTATTGACTGAATATTCTCAATAATCCCTGCAGAACAATGATACCCTTTAATCAAAGTTGTACCATCATCTAAAGTAGTATTTCTGAACGCTCACAATGATGAGAATGGCATTCATTGACCATGGGAGATTTAATAACAGTGCAGCCAAGTGAAAAAGAGGTCACTGTTGCTGTGGAGTCTGCTCATTTTAACTTTGTTGTTGTTGTTGTGTTTGTTGTTTTCAGCACTCTTATCCGTAAGCTTGGAGGATTCTTCATAAGGAGAAAGATGGAGGAGACTGAAGACGGGAAGAAAGACGTTCTATACAGATCACTGTTACAAGCAGTAAGTCCTCAGTCTGTTTATCATCTGCGACAAAAGCTGTTTTGACATACTGTTCCCAAATTCACTTTGTGTGTGAGTGTGCGCGCTCTCTTGTGGCTTTTTGTCTTTCTTGCAAGATTTATTGCATAACAGTAAGATGTCTCGCTGTATTTCTGCTCCGTGCGATCTTTTCATTCTTGAGCGAGGAAGAACTGTTACATAATATTTGCCCTGCTATTGCTTTACTCTTCTTCTTGTCTTCATTTGTTGGCATGCTGCACAATCAGTTTTTTGCTCAGATTGATGTCTCAGTTCTGCATTTGACCTTCTGTTCATATTTCAGACACTGATACTGATCTCTAGTCATGTCTGATGATCTTCTGTAAACACTTCTGCAGTAAAAGGAAGATGGTGGTTGACTGAGATGTGTATATACTGTATATATACATCTCAGTCAACCATATACACAATGCGTTCCTTTAGACACTCTTTGGTCTGGAACTTCCTTGAAACAGCCTATCATCCTCTTTTAAATATTAAATGGTTACTATGTATCCGGGCTATATCAGATATGAAAATAAATCAAAAGGAGAAATGTTGCTGCTCTCATCTTCTAAGATAAATTTGCTCAAGAGTAAAGATGGGAAGAGATTCAGCATTTTTTGAGAGACCGGGTAAGAAAATAGTCCAGTGATTCCTGGATAATGTTCCTGAGTAGTGGTGCAACGGATCACAACACTCACGGATCGGATCGTTCCTCGGATCAAGAGTCACGGATCGGATCATTTTTCGGATCAGCAAAAAGCAGTTTTGTCTGTATATTAAACACTTAAATGGTTGAATTAAAATATATAAAAGTAGTGCATACGGCATAATATCTTCTTTTCAACATAATTATTAATGAAAAACAACTTAAAGTGCAATATATAGGCATATCTCCTTCCTTTAAAATGTAACAATGAACCAAAAATGAAGTATGTGCGCGGTGGGATATTGTAACGTGGCTCAAGCACTTTCAGCATGTTTTTAAAGCCCTCGTTTGCACAACTGAATATGGCCTCATGTCTGTAGCTATAAACACACCGATAGCGTTTGTGATAGCTTTAACCCGGTCGGATTGCGCAGGAAGAGGCTGCTTAAATGCTGCGGTGATGAGCGGTTGCTGGCCAGCTTTCGTTTTATCTCAGGTGTTGTGACATAGAATGCACCCCCTGACGGGAGCGCGGTTTAAAGTACATAACGAGGCGAAATAATCCAAGTTTTTCTTACAATGGATGGATTCAAAAGCGTTTGCCTGTAATAATTTCATTCAGGCTATTCAAAGAAGCCAAAAACAACAGCCCTTGGAATATTGCTGTCCCGAAAATATAATGCTCTCTACCTGGACAGCTTTCTGTACAGTTTATACCCAAGTACACCTCTATATTTGCATTTTTGAGACACATAAAAAGAAAATGAAAGTTTGCTGCTCCATTTGACATGTTGTCATGATCTAATACTCGTGTTTCTTTAAATATGAGATCATTATCGCCACTTTAAGAAGCTAACGAGTGGAGGGGATGCAGGGGTGCGTTCTACGGCAGGGGTGCAGTCTACGGCACAACACCTGTCATTAAAACACCCGGGTGATGTCGCTTTCAAATGCGTGAACATGCTCGATGTGTTTCCACTGTCATATGGCTTTCTTATGCCACAGTGCCTACACACCTTCGCAGTTTTGTCCACTGACCTCTTTCCTTCCTCATCATAGTTGACAGGGAAGCCAAATTTTTTTTTTCAGAAATCGAACCGCGGGTAACGTGTGTGCCAAACCGATGACGTCGATCCGAACGGATCACGGATCAATGATGATCCGTTGCACCACTATTCCTGAGTGTTAATTGCAATAAACTGGGGTACTTTATTATCTCTTAAAGACATCTCTGTGCAAAAGGGACAAGGCTCAAACCCATCATTGGAGAGCCATGATTGTTGGTTTCCTACACAGCACTGTGAATGGAAAATTACTACATGGACTCAGAATCACATCTAAAAACCATTGTTTGGGAACGCAGATTGTACCTACAAATATAGGGTAAAACTGTACCATGAAAAAGAAGAAACCACATATAAACATAATCCAGAAAAACTGGCAACTTCTCTGGACCCAAGTTTATTTAAGGTGGACTGAGGCAGTGTGACAAATCAGAATCTGACATTCACTTATAATCATGGACACTGCATCCTCTTCTCTGAGAGGATACTCTTGAACATCCATGGTGGTATTATAGGGACGCACAAATGCCACTAGCATGGGTAACACACACATCCAAAATGACACCATCATGCCTATGTCTGTCTACAAGTTTTGGTGCAACATATGCTGCCATCCAGACAATATCATGTTCAGGGAAGATAACACAAGAGGATGGTAAATGACATTTTGTGTATACGACAACAGCATGGCTCTGTAGTAGAAGAGTCTGGTGCTTGACTGAACCAGGAAACCCAAAGTGATGAATGGAACAACATTTTCAACACTACAACTACAGACACTGGCCTGCTGGTCTCCAACCATTGGTAAAGGGTTGTAAAAAGAAGAGTTGATGCAACACAATGGTAAATATCCTGACTGTTTTAAAATGTGTTGCAAATTTCTATTGTTTCATAAAACAGTCAGTTTTAACACTTAGTATGTTGTCTTTGTGCTGAATTGAATCAAATCAAAATATAAGCTTTGAATTATTTTCAAAGTCTCATAATGGTTTTCTGTCAACATCTTCCTCCATGTCCCCAATATTGCAGAATTACTGAAGTAGATGTGACACGGTTAGAAATAAGTTCCCTCCCTGATGAGTGTAATTTGCATCTCAAACAACGTGCTCGTGTTAAAATCGCTGAATGGGAATTAGAGACCGATTAAAACAAATCTGAGACTTGTGTTCAGCTCTTGTATTTGGAAAATGTAGCTTAGCGGGCTTTAGCTAATGAGGAAACGTGATGGAGAATTTATGTTAATGACTACTTATGTTCATATTATTGCTTTGTCATGAGCAACTTGTAATGTGATGTCTCCACAGTAAATTTGCAGTCGACAGAACCGCAAGGCTGCTTAATGGATTTGCCTTATTACGCCTGCCTAACGGAGTCGGAGTAGCAGTTTATTTGGATGTTTGGGGTTTGTATTAAGAGCGTTAAGAATAATGAGAGCAACAAAGGCCGCCTATTGTGCCTCTTCAATTAGCGTGTGGTGGCGTTAAGATAAGAGTAATCAGCTGAAGACAGGAGTAACTGTTGGAAACGATAACTTCAATTCTATGCTGCGGTGTTTTATCGCACATTCTAGCAGGCAGGTTTGCTATTGTAATTGTGGAGAGTTAAACACTTCAGTATGGTTGGAGATATGATTTTGATCCAGCCAGGCAGAGGCAGGAAAGCAAGCGATATACAAAAGGCGCTGCTCTAATTTCAGTTCTCTTCTGAAAGCTGAACCTGAGTTTCCATCCGCTTACTTAAAGTCGAGTGTCCATTTCAGGACAAAGCTGCTCCCCTGAAAAGTGTCTACATAGCAAGAGACAGCTGTGTGCACACGGCACTCAACAGGACTGCTTTGGCAGGTGCCCAGTTCTCTGCAGCGTGTTTGGGGGTCAAATTGTTCGGACTGTTTATAACTTATATCCAGGCTGCATGCACAGCGGCTGTAAAGCATTCACTGAATCACATGGAAGACATTTCTGCAAGCTGCACTGTCTTAGCAGATATTGTGACCTTTACACACAGTGATACTCTTACTTTTGACATCTAGTTTTATGCTTTTTCATTTAACTTCATCCAACAACTCTAACCTCCTACCATTTTTCTTCGTTTCTGTTTAATCTTCCTGCAGTACACGGAGGAGTTGTTGCGTCAGCAGCAGTTTCTGGAGGTCTACCTGGAAGGTACCCGCTCCCGCAGCGGTAAACCGTCCACAGCTCGTGCTGGCATGCTGTCCCTCGTGGTAGACACACTATACACTGGGTCAATCCCAGATGTACTGGTGGTGCCAGTTGGCATTTCCTATGATCGTATTATTGAGGGCAACTACAATAGCGAGCAGCTGGTGAGTGAAAACCATGTTTGGTGTTTTTGTGTACTTTCTTTTGCATTTCTTTAAAAAGATCAGAGTTGATGTTTGAACTGTACAGCATGTCATAAGCAGAGTTTAGCTTATGGAGTACAACATCTCTATATAGTTGTTGTCATTTTGGTCTCAGGTCTTTATCCTTACGTTCTGAACTCTTAAATTCTACCAGGGCAAACCGAAGAAGAACGAGAGTTTGTGGGGAATAGCATGTGGAGTGTTCAGGATGCTGAGGAAAAACTACGGTTGTGTCCGAGTTGACTTCAATCAGCCTTTCTCCCTAAAGGTGACTTCTTGCAGATCTGAATCAGCACGAATACAAATAAAACCTCAGCTTTCTATGCCCACATATGCAGCTAAATAAAGTTTTTGTAATGAACCTTTTTTTGTCAAATGTAGGAATACCTGGACAGCCAGAGGAGCCGCCATATTCCACCACCTTTGTCTCTGGAACACACATTGATGCCCTCCATTATATCTGCACAGTAAGAGTGAACCCACGCATAAAAACCCCACTTGGAAAAACAGTCACATTACCCTTTGACCGTTATACAGACAAAAACACAGCACCCCCACTGCCCCACCTGGAACATCATAAACCCCTCTGCCAAAAACTTGACTTCTCCCTCCTGCGACTTCACCACAGGGTGTGTTAGCTAAGCACAGCACTCGAGTTCACATTAGCGAGGGTCACTCTAGTTCAGTGCTGAGAGTAGGGAGTGTTTTGAGTGAACCTGATAAAATGATACAGTTATACAGAACATCCAAATAGGACAGAGACTCTCTGACTCCTGCTGGTTTGGAGTCACATGTTCACATCTCTTGCAGACTGTAATACTGTTTTGAAAAAAGGGCCTACAGCATGTGCTGGAACAAATAGATGGAAAATATTGGCCTATTTTCACTTGTAGGAAAAGAGTTAAGTGTGGAGACAGCTACAGGTACAGAATGGTGATGGCTAATAAATAATCAGATTTGCTTTAGTTCTGATAAGTGTATATAAATAACTAAGTAAATAAGTGTGTATAAAAAAGGACAGTTGTTAATGTTTAAGTGTCTTTGTTCAATGCCGAAGTTTGGTTTCAGTCAAAATTAGCGCTTCAGCAGCACGTTGAATTTGGTGAGGAACTTATTTTTTAAACATAATGTATTAGGGGTGGGAACACTGGGAATCACCAATGGCCCCACGATGCAATACTATTACGATACTTGGGCCACGATACGATATTATCACGATACTTGAGCCATGATACGATATTATCATGATACGATATTATCACGATACTTGGGCCACGATACGATATTATCACAATACTTTGGCCACGATAAGATATTATCACAATATCACAATACAGTGAGTATTGCAATACAAAATATTGTGATTTATACATTTTTTCCAACTATTTAGCTAATTTAGCATTTGTCTTTCCTTCATGTTTGTCTTATTTACACTGTATTTTACTTCCATGTAGCACATCTTGCAAACCTTATATACATTTGTTGCACTAATTTTCTCTATGATGTCACCTCTACCAACCTCACTGGACAAACAGTTGATTTTGTTTTTCCATTATTGTAGATTTGACTTCATATTAGTAATTAATTAAAAAAACATGATATTTGGTAAATGAGATGATACGATATATCACCAGACAAAATATCGCAATACTAGGCTGTATTGATTTTTTCTCCCACCCCTATTATGCATGGCACACCAAGCTGACATTACAAAACAAACATCAGACTTTAACATATGAAGGTGTGATTCTTTCAGGCCTGATGCTCAGCTCTTTGGGGGACAGGAGGAGGAACAGATGAACCGAGAGCTCCCCGATGACATCTTCAGACGACAAGTTATTAACAACCTGGCCAAGCATGTTCTCTTCAGTAAGAAATGAAAATCACATTCAGTTTTTAGTGTTGTTTATTATTTGGAAATGTGTCTAACAAGAATAAACCTACACTGTGTGCAGCTTATAACTGCATATAGAACAGAGCCCTACCTTGATCATCATACTACCATACCTGTCACAGTCTCACTCAGCTAAATTTCACTTTCTGGTATAAAGCAGCAAAGATGTCTTGAATATTGGAGCACATTTGCTGCCTCGCTAGTCAGCACCCCCCTCTTTAATCTTCCTTTTTCCTGCACACGTGTCTCATTCTCACCCCCTGCTAAAAGCGCACCTGCTCGACAAAGCTTAAGCAGCGTCCCAGAAATGTTATCCATCATTCCACCTTCATTAATGAAAATCTTACACAGCGCAGCATCACTCCTCCCGTTTCACGTCACTGAGGGCCTTTCACCCCAGGGTAGCACTGCAGAAACCGGTTCTCCCCTGCTCATTCAGCTGCATTCTCCTATGCTAGGCCTATTTGGTTCTTAGCCCCAGCCAATCAGGAGGGATCCAGCTGGATGGCATGTTGTTTTCAGCCAATAGGGGGAAGGGGAGGATAGAGAAGCAGAAGAAGGGAGGAATGCAGCACTACATGCTTTCCACCTCCCCTGTGCTAAGCTAAAGATGACCACTAGTAACCTTTTTGCTAAGACATCTGCATGTACGCCCACACAGACGTCCCATTTCTAACACGTGTATTTATTGATATAGTTATAACTTCTGAGCCTAAATATCACACTTAGTTACGAGTCATATAGTACTTTTTTGACCAAAAAATGTAGTAATTTCCAAAATATTCAGAATGTAAAGATAGTATATTTGCTATGTAAAGTCGAGGCAATTCCATGCGAAATCATTGATCCTGTTGTTGGTATCACCTCCACCAATGACAGACACTCTTAGTCAGTGATTTGATTGATTTTTCCATTTTTTTCATATGAGAAAAATAGGTTTTCCAACTGTTTGATGCTGCTTAAAAGATATAGATAAGACAAAGTGGTTATTTTTCTAAGTCTCTGTTTTTAAACTGTCTTCCATACTTTTACTTTTTCCCTTATAGCGGCTAATAAGACTTCTGCTATCATGTCCACTCACATCATCGCCTGTCTACTGCTGTACAGACACAGACAGGTAAGCCTAGCTGTCTCCCGTGTCCCCTCTAAAACCTCCCCTGGCTCCAACCCTCTTTTCAAACCACAGCCTTGTTTCCTTTCTTCCCTCCTTCTTCCCTTGTTTCTCATGTCTTCCTTCTCATTTTGTCCATAATGCTCCCTCCCTCACACCAAGGTGATCCAAATGTCATAGAGCTCTGCATGGTAGTAATGAATGTCTCTCTTTGTTAGAGTTCTCGCTTGTCCTGCATCCTCTCCCACCTCCTCTGTACATTAGTGGTGGCTGTCTGCCCTCTGCAGGCGCTTTGATGTAAGTGTCTAAAAGCAGAGAACAGTTACTGAAACAGTCTTTCTGTCCTGAGGAAATGGGCCATGCTGCAGATAACACACTCAAACCTGTCTTTCTGAATCCTAATGGAGTCAGTGGTTTGTTTGTTTTTTTACATGATCTTTGTCTGAACTTTTGTTTTCCTCACTTTGTTCCTCCAGGGCGTGGCGTTGTCAAAAATGGTAGAAGATTTCTTCAACATGAAGGAGGAGATCCTGTCCCGGGACTTTGATCTGGGCTTTTCGGGGAACTCTGAGGATGTGGTCATGCGTGCGCTCCACCTGCTAGGAAACTGTGTCAACGTGACCAGCAGCTCAAACCGCAACGGAGAGTTCACCATCGCACCCAGCCAAACTGTACCTGCACTCTTTGAGCTCAACTTCTACAGCAACGGCCTTTTCCACGTCTTCATTTCAGATGCAATTATCGGTATGTTGTGCTTAGAGCTTGGTCCTATAATCGATACCCACGCTAGTGAATCGCTTGGTGCTAATGTTTTTTTTTTTTCATTATTCGATGAATTTGTGTCCAGCCTGCAGCATCCTGTCTCTGCAGCGGGAGCTGGTGGTGGACTCAGAGCCTAATAATCAGACTGAGGTTCTCAACAGTCTCCCCATCAGTCAGGAGAGACTCATCCGCAAAGCAGCCGGACTCTCATACTTCCTCACCAATGAGGTGTCAGTGGCACCAGTAAGTTCTTATTACATTGTCATTATCTTTATAAACTCTCCCAAGTATTCAATATTTAAGATTCAAGCTTTTTTCTTTTATGAAAGCGGCTCACTGAGTAGTAAGAGGACAGCTTTGTCACATAACTGCCATGTGCCATGTCTCTCCCACAGCCCTGCCAGACTATCTACCAGGTGTTTCATGATGCAGTGACGCGACTGATCCAGTATGGGGTTCTCTATGTGGCAGAGGTCAGTGTTCCAGTTTGATCTTCTTCGCTGATCGCTAGTTCAATTCACATAACCACCCATTCTTTCAACTGTATCCTGCTGATAACCTGGCCACAAAGTAAATAGACATGACACAAAAAACTGATTCCAGACTTCTTATTCCAGTACTTTCCTAGCATCAGCTTTTTATTGCTTCTTAAAGGGATATTCTGGCGTAAAATTAAGTTAGGGTCAAACACACCGTAATACCTAGTTAGACACCCCTCGAGAGATGAATGTTGCCGACTGCTTGCTTCTCTAGTTACACCAACTTTAGTAACGACCGCACGATAACAATACACAGCGGTCTGAGGAGCCATACAGAGGGTGCAGTTAGTGAAGATGAGTCCATCTGTGTGTTTGTGCGTGTCAGGAGGACCAAGAGGAGCTGAGTCCCAGCCCAACAGATGAACCTTGGCCCAAAAAGTTCCCCGAGCCGCTGTCCTGGAGAAGTGATGAGGAGGATGAAGACAGCGACTTTGGAGAGGAGCAGAGAGATCGCTACCTAAAGGTCAGTTATTCCCACAAAGACTCATTTGATTGTTTTTTTTTTGAAGCCTAGAGAATCACCACTTTGGCGCAGACCACTAAAACTGTCTTTAGTTGGGTTTGATCAGGTTAAGACACATTTGCTGACTTTCTCCATTTCTGCCAATAAGGTGAGTGTCGCCGCAGAGCACCAGGAGTTCTTCATCTTTCTCCAGCGACTGCTCAGCCCTGTGTTAGAGGCCTACAGCGGGGCCGCTATTTTCGTCCACAGTCTGAGCCAGCCCATGGCTGAGTCCGACTACACCCAGAGACTCTTCAGATACCTGCTCACTCGCACAGAGAGAGGAGTGGCTGCTTATGGTAAAACTGCAGAATTGACAAGACTTCCTCCATAGGCTGTATACTTGTGAAGCAGGATTTATCTAATCCTTTGACAATGATTTTGTTTCCAGGTGAAAGTGCGACACATTACTTGGTGAAAAACACGGTGAAGACATTCAAAGAGCTTGGGGTAAGGGTCTCTTTCTTTCTTTATCAAGTCTTTAAACAACTTAAGGCACAGTGAAGTTGGAGTTGGTAATAAATCTGTTATTTTACAATTTTCCTCAGGTTCTGAAGGAGAGAAAAGAAAACCGTGTGACCACTCTGGAGCTGAGCAGCACCTTTCTACCTCAGGCCAATCGTAACAAACTACTGCAGTACATCTTAGGTTTCACCCTGCTGTGACCGAGACCCCTTCAGCCCAGTTCAGACCCCACACTCCTTTCAATCAAGGGCTTCAACTGGTTACTCCTAAATGATCCCAGGTGCTACTCTGCGGAAAGCTTTACCAGGAAGTGCCTTCACGTAACAGCCGCTAACTGTTAGCTGTTAGCCGTAAGAGACTTGACGCCAGTCTTCCCCTTTAGCTGCAGTCTAAGACGCGCTTGTCTTAGAACTGTACAGACGAATCAAAACCCATGTATCGTTCTTTGAAGAGGTACCTCAAGGAATCATCTTTCTTTGGGAAGTTTGCCCGTGAAGTCATGAGGTTTTAATATGATCAAAATTTTAAACAACCACTAATTACACCCGAGCAGGTCAGCAAATAAGAATAACTTTTATACCAGTTACAATAACGCCTTTCGTCTATACAATTAATCTAAATATGCATAGAAAATAACGGTTAATATTACCAGAAAACGTAAAGGTTTCAGCTGGTTTGTAATGCTGCTGTATTCTCTCCAGTGCGCTCCATTATCATACAGTAGAAAACATGTTAAAATGTAGTTCGATGAATGGCTGACAGCTAACAAGTAATGTACATAATCCACAAGATCAGTCCCTGACTGGCTTGAATACGTGTAGTCTCACATCATCAAGATTAACGATAGAGGATCATTAGAGGTAAAAAAAAAAAAAGTGTGCTGCAGCAGTAGACAAACATATCCACGTTTTTATTTGCAGTAATAATCGATGAGGGTCCAGTATTATGTAAAGACAGCTAGGTCAGGTGGACTGCACAGTCTCTAGGCAGCACTTCAGTGAAGCCGAGCAGAGTGTCGACTTTGACAGTTGGCAGCGTAAGCTTGAAGTCACAGCTATCAGTAGTTAAGTGCATTCAGACCACTAACGTTTAAGTGCATTCATTCACTCTTTTCTTCATAGACTTTGACGAAAAGAGACGTTAACCTCCGACTCTGCTTCGAACCTTTTTTTTCATGTTTCAATGAATGTTACATAGCACAGCACTTAAAAAAACCGTCATACCAGCCATCAAATCTACTTGAGTTCAAGCGTTCAAAGCTCAGTCACTCTTTGGTCAGGCCTTTCAGGGAGAGCAGACATTTGGGAGAATCACTTTTTTTTTTTTTTTTACCTGTTTTTGTAAACATACTGTATAAAAGCTGGTGTCACTGCTGAGAGAGCAGATTGGCTCCAAATGTCGTGAAATTGTGGGACAGAGGAGGTGCAGTGTATCCGAAATATATGGTACATATCTTCGATGAACAAAAGGTCACGTCCGTGTAAGTTTTGAGGATAGTAACGTTTTCTGTTGTACTGTTTAGGAAAGAAGAAGTCAGAAGTTTACTTTGAAATGCTGCGGAGGCACTGATGTATAAAAAAAACAAGGTTGGGTTTTCAGTTCGAAGTTTTACTCTCACGTGGATTACTTTCACAAAATCACAGTCCAAGATATTGCAAAATAATTTCAAACAAACAAGAAGACTCGATCCTGATCATTTCAAACAGTTCTCTAAAATGTTTAGTCTTTATCATGAGAATCAGAGAAATTACCAGAACTTTACTCTTATGTGTAAACCTGGTAGTCAAACTGAAGTGCACAGCGCAGTTAGCTGCAGTACCTGTACCAGATTTCCTGTTTTTGAAATATTACTTCATGTGTAATCATAGAAACTGAATGATTATGTGTCAGACGTAAACTTTAATTAAGAACAGCTCAGTTTTGATGTGTTTATAGGAAAGAGGAGAAGTCTGTTTGAAGGAACAGAGAAAGTTTCATGAGCTGGAGGGGAACTGAAATCCTGTGGTTGATAATGTGAAGACAGACAATCTGAATGTTACAAATCAACGTTCTCGATCTGTCAGGGCAATAAGTGAATCTGCTGGTACACATTAAAAGAATATTTATATTGGAAGACTAGTCTGCAGCACTGCTTGTTACTTTAACTGACTTTAAAACCTTTTTCTCGACATTATTTATTTCATATTTAAAATCTGCATATTTTCATGCAGTTTTCAAATGTTTGTATAAAAAAAAATCGATGAATGAAATTGTGGCATGTGGAAAAAGAGAAAAAGAATGGTACTGAAGCAGGAATGAGATGTGAGGAGCATTTCTGAGCCCATAATCTGTCAAACGCCCTCCACGCTGAGGGTAATCCTCCGCCAAGATAAAACCACTCGATGTACTGTACTGCATGTTTCCTCTGGTCGCCTTTAATCATGGACACTCAATGTGAACTCTACTTAACCTGAGAGTTGTATTTTACAGACTAGTGTGTGAATTTTGTTGAGAGAAGGATAGTTGTTTGTGTAAGAGATGAAATTTGTTACCTCTTGAATGTATCCCATCTGTCCCCTCTGAAGGTCAACGTGATATTGTCAAAGACTCGTGGAGTCGGTACAGATACGATACGCTTTTCGGGGATTGTTGTGACCCGTCACCGCTCAAGCTACATTAACAACATCCCTCTACAACTATGTAACTTTGTAGGATAAAAGAAGAAATGCCTGTACCTGGGGAGCAGGTGCCTTTGTAATGCACTGTAGTGTTCTTAGGTTGTGTTACTTTGTTTTTGTGCATGTTAACAGGTTATTTTGTGTGGAAATCCAAAAGAACACTGTAGACTGTAACTTCAAAAAAACAACAACAACACAAGAGCAGTTATCTTGTGGTTTTCGTTAAGAATCACCAGCTACTAAAAAAGTGTCACTTTTTTGCTTTTTCGAAGAAAAGCACAATTGGCATTACAAGATTTTGTTTTTAAATAAATTAATAATAGATTAACAGCTGTCTTTTGTCTGTCTCTTTATTCATGAACTTTGTACATCATCAGAGTGAGAGATTTTTTCAATTTCTGTCATTTGTTTATAATAATTACACTTTAATAGCATAGACTGTATATAGAATGGACGGAGTTTGCCCCCTCGCTGGGTGAAGCCACTCTGAGAACAGCACCCTCTGGTGACAGGCTGCAGTATAGGTCATAAATCCCGCCTCCGCCAGCAAAGCTTATGGAGCTGTGGACAAACTTTGGAAATTAATTAAACAGAATATAAATTTTTCTCCTCCCAGCTTGCGATGTTGACATGAGGTTACTGTAAGACTGTTTTGTGCTCAAGTCCTCTTTTTTTCTGTACAGCTCCATTTTTAAAAGTTATTAGGAGGTTCATGTTTTCTATGATTGAAACCTGATACAGCCTGTGGGGGTACAAAGACTGCGTAGCTCACCCAAGGGATACGCTGTTTTAGCCGAGCATCATCACAGCGACTCTCTGTGACTCTCCCGCCGAATGCGCACAATGCTACTGCGCAATGCTGGTTTCAGGAAATGAAGAAAAATCCCAGAAAATACCGAGAGATTTTTTGCTTCAAATCCGTATACTGGCGGAAGGCAGAACCAAGTTGTCCATAGTACATACAGTTTATGTTTAAGAGCATCATAAATCATTAATAAACATCCATATTATGACAATATAGATAAATGAAGGATTCATTATATCATTTTTCAAGATATGACAACATAATTTACCAGTTTGTTTGAACCTTTTTTAGAGTAATCAATAATGTTTGGAAATGATGAAATGTCATCAAAGATTGTCAAACAGACTAATGCCACTTCAAATCTCTGTAATTAGCATCAGTGAAAAACTATAAACAAGTTCAATTTATACAGTCTGTTCATGCATTTATCGGGTGTCCGGATGCATCCTCTGTATCTCCTTTTTTAGTTTTTATAGCTACAAGTGGTAGGAGTCAATTCATGCAAAGAAGGAGGGCTGACCTGTAGTCTGAGGAGGACATATGAAGCTCTGAGGCGAGCAAAAGCTTTACTAACCATGAGGAGGAGACAGAAACGACAAGTGTGCATCCTTTTACCAAACAAGCAGCACCTGGACTGTACTGTCGGGGTGAGTGATTCATTTATTCTGACCTGCATTATGCATCACAGAGAACCAGAGGAACAAACAGATTCTCAGTAGCTGCAAGTGATATAATCTACGATTGCTTTAATATACCAGTTTAAAGTATAAATTTATTTCAATTGAATAATTAAGGGAACAATTCTTCACTAAAATACATAAGAACTATAATAAAATACAATGAATTTATTGCATGTCTTAAATGTTTTACCCTACAGGACCTTTATTAAATCAGGACAAAACTTCTTTCTGATATTTAATGATTCATGTGTGGTTGTTATATGAATTTAGAGGGTTTTTTATGTGTTTTTCAGGTGGGATCCAGAGGCTGTGAGGTGTTAAAGTGTGTGTTGAAGCAGCTCAGTGTCAGTGAGCTACAGGTGTTTGGTTTGGCTGTTCTCAGAGGTCAGTCGGTGTTCATGTGGGAGTCTGAGAAAATGTTTTCTGTTCAATCACTAAGGGACGCAGTTAATTAGAGCAGGAGGGGGGCGGTGTTGTTAAAAAGCGGTGTGTTAATTAATCAAATACTGTATATGATGGTCCACTTTCTTTTGGTACTACAGTGGATGCATATTTTTTAATCCTCAGATAATGAATACCTGTTTATTGATTTGGAGCAAAAGCTGAGCAAGTATTTTGGCAAAACATGGAGTAGAGGGTCTTCAATGGTGAGCTGTTTCTCTCTCATATTTGAAAATGTTGTCCCATCTTTGTTTTAAGGACAATTTGATATCAAACTTTATTCTCTAATTGTTTTTGCAATTTCAACTGTTGTGTAAAACTCAAAAGTGAAAATGACTGTTCTTTGTCTCGTTTTTTGCCAGGTCCAATTCATTTTATTTCTAAAAGTGCAGTTTTATGTAGAGAATGGGCTGCTATTGTTGTAAGTCTTTCATGGATTATTTAATTCTACACATATATACCATGAATGTTTGCAGACCTCCCTTACATGCTTTCTTTGATGCACAAAAGTGCTCCTTGTCTTCCTGAACCTCTGTGACTTGGCGCTTCATTTGTTTGTTAAAGTAGCAGCAAAGTTCTGCAGCTCTACTACGCTGAGCTGAGACAGAAGGTGCTGCAGTCACAGAGCCACCATCAGGAAGCTCTGTTCTTCCAGCTGGCAGCCTCTGCTCTTCAAGCTGAGGTTGGAGACCTGGAGCAGAGAGATGCCAGTGATGAAGAGGAGGGCGAGGAGAACAGACAGCAGGGAAGACATTACTTTCTGCCTGAAGATTACTTCCCCTCCTGGGTAAAAAAAAAAAAAGGAGAGTCAAGCTGGTAGAATCTCTTGACTTTCACATGTTTTATGTGACTGTGTTCCTGCTCTGTCCTCAGCTGATAAAGCGTCATGGGCGAGATTTCCTGCTCCAGCACGGCCCGGTGTTACACTCGGAGCTGAGAGGTCTGCCACATCGACAGGCCATCCTGCGGTTTATCAAAGAGGCAAAAGATCTGCAGGATGGAGTCGCCACGTTCTACAGGATGAGACAGGTTGGTCTTCATGTTTGATTCAGCCAAAGAGCACGAACAAGAAACTGTAATAAAAGCTTGATTCCACATTTAGACAAACTTAAAGTAGAACTAAAGACTCCTGACATGAAAACTAAAACTTCGGCCTGTTTTTACCTTGCTCTTTTTGTGAAAGTGAAACTCTGCATCTGTTATTGACTGTGCAGGAGAAAAAAGAGCTGAGAAGTTCAGTCCTCCTTGGAGTGGCTTTGAGAGGGATCCAGCTTTATCAGGTGGCTCATTCACATAAACAAAAACAAATATTTAGATTAAAGTACATTCGCTGAATCCTCCATCAGCTCCAGTTAACTGATTATTTTTCTCTGAAGGAGGTGGAAGGGAAACGGTGTCTACTGTATGACTTGTCTTGGACTGACATCGACCTCCTCACTTTCCAGGTCAGTCCTGAAAACCACAAATATACCTTAGCATGAATATATAACCACACAAAATTCAGATTTGCTGATCAAATCCTGTACTTCCACATGAATGTAGACTCACATACTTATGCTGGCATACTGTAACAGCGTATTTTCACAGTGTGTTCGTCATACTTTGAGTTCAGGATATTGATAATGTCCCCAGTTCTTTACATCACTCTCTTTCTGCAGGGCTGCAGGTTTGAGATCTCTGCCGTGGGCTCTCTGTGTCTCCCAAAGCTGCTCTATTACACTCCCTCGACCTTCCACTCCAAACACATCCTGAAGCACCTCAGTGACCGTCACCGTTTCCACATCCACACCAGAGACGCTCTCAGCTACATCCAACAGCTGGAAGACAAGCAGGGTCTGCAAACTTATCGCCTTCCTTTTCTTATGTTAGAGTTGTTTTTATTTATATATTCATCTCATGTATGATTTAGGTTAGATAGATAGATTGATATTTAGACTTTTGAACCTTGAGAACAAACAGGATTACAACTGAAATCACAACACAAGGATGTTTAGGGTTTATTTACTGTTTCATTTTTGTCACTCTGCAGCTTGTGAATTATACAAAGAGGCCTACATCTGCGACATAACACGTCTAACACAGCAGCTAAAATGCAACAACAGCCTCACATCCTCCATGTCTGACTGCAGCTTTGCAGTCACAACTGCCTGGTCCAACGAAGATGAAGAACAAGAAGAGGAAGAAGTTTGTTACTCAGGTGATTTTGCATCCCTGGTGATAGATGATCATCAGCTACTATTGATGTGTTGTTTTAGCGTGAATGGCTATTAGTATAAATAAGTTCTAAGTTCCTATTGTGTTGTTCTTGTCTCAAAATGAAGACAATATCTGTTCAGTTCTTCTGTACCTGGACACTAAAGACACTTTTTTTCCACACCTTTCCACACCCCTGCAGCACATGCTTGTGTGTATTTTTGACTGTAAATATTTATAGTCTCTGTGTTGGTATTTTGGCAGAGTTTGAAATGTGTGTGGATGACCCTGAAGAGTTACTTGTTGATGACCCTGCTGAGGTGTCATGGCTGGCTGAGCTGCTCTCTGGTGTTTCTGTCGATGCACCTTTACTGTTTCCATCTCCTCGCTGGGCAGGTTGGTCCATTAAAAAAAAAAGATAAAGCAGAATCTATAATAACCTTTCTCATGTCAATCAGGTAATTTGTCATGCTTTCATTTTCAGTGGTCACCATGGAAATGAAACAGGTGAGCAGCGCTGTGGTTTTCTCTGATTAAATGTTTTCGGCGCCATCCCGCTTCAAAGGTTTCAGGATTTTGTCTGATCTGTTGCAGGTTCTGAGGAGGAGAGCTGATGAAGGTGTTTCTGTGGACTAATGCTCAGCCAAAGGCAAAAAGAGGGCTTCATTATGTTCTGCTGCTCTGGATAAATGTACCTACTCTGATGATCAAATCACTTTTTAAATTAGGAGTTACAGGCATTATGAATTATGCACCTATGTAATATTAATTATGCAAATAATCACTGTGTGTGGTTCTGGTGCAATCGAAGCTAAAAAAAAAAAAGCTTTGAATGCACCAAAAATAAAAAAGGGACATACAAATATACATTTCAATAAAGTGTCTGCCTGCTTCTGGTTCTATCAGAACAAGGAAAAGGCCTCTTGTGCATGGACGAACTTTCTCATTTATTTTAAGATGGCAATTATAATATCATGAAAGTTTGAGTATTTGGGATTTTTGAGGTATTAATGTGGCTGAATATCAAATTCAAATTCAACTTTATTGTTATGGCACTTTTCAGACAAAAAAAATGCAGTCCAAAGTGCCTCACAGAGGCTAAAAACACCAATTAACAACATTAAAACCCGACCCTCCCACCTCTGGACACACACATACACAAAGACACACACCCTCACTCACTCACACAAGTACGCACAGAATGAGAATTTAAGATATATTGTTAGAGAGACATGGCCTGACACTGTGGCATTACGTGAGGAAAGAGCTACCTTTAGGAAACACTGGAGATAAAAGATAAAAAATAAAATGGTAAAAAGAAAGAGTAAAACCTGATGGACTAAAACAAGAAAATAATATTAAATGAATAAAAAAGTAAGAGCTCTTTACCATGTAAAGGGGGTAAAAGAAGTAAAAACCTCTAAAATGGGAATTAAGAAAAAAGACTAAGAACAGATCATTATCATTATCAGATCAGAGAAAACATTCAGGTTGAATTGCATTTATGAAGGTTTTGTTGTTTTAAACTTTCTTTTTAACAAACTATTTAAAGTTTTAACTCATAAAGACCCCGCTCCTATGGTCAACTTACCCCATGGGGTAAGTTGACCATAGGAGACTCCTTTTTTTGCATGCTATATTATCAAGATAGTTATGTTTACACTCATTCTGTTGGTTTGCAGGTATGAACAACATCTTGAAATATATGCAGATACACTAGTTAGAGACAAAACTATGATTGCTTTGATGTAGTGATCTGAAATATGAAAAATGGCTCATCTTACCCCACTCTCCCCTATTTAATAAGAGAGAAGAGAAGAGGAAACCAACCAAGAGCGAACGTCATCACGTATGAGCCAATCAGCGCGCCCAGCTGTGACCCAAACACGGAAGCGAATCAAACGCCTGCGAAAGCAAAAGTCCTGACTCTTTGTTGTTACATACACACATTTTAGACGTTATTCGTCATGTGAACATTTAAAGTTTTATAACGTAAATCTCACATTGTGTGCTCACGATGGTTTTTTCTTGTTGTCGAGTTACTGTGCCGCTTTTTATCGCGGTTTTATCCATTGCTGTCGCCGTCGTCGCTCAAAACCTGGGTAAGTTGATTTAATATGAAGAAGTTGAGTGTGAGTGTGTTAATAAATGATCGATATGCCCTTGAATTGTAGACCGAGGGAAAATACTGTAAAGGTATTTTCTTTAACTTGTAACGGTGACTGTAGTAAGTTTACTAACAGCGCCCCCACCTGGCCGTTTCCTCCCTCCTGACATTTCTTGTGTAACTCCGGCTGTTCTCCACAGCGATGCCGCCCCCTCTGTCCGCCGTCCTCGGTGTGTGCTCTCTGACCGGGATGGCTCTCTTATGGAGGGATATAAGCTCCAAGATGAAGGGTGAAAACAGGACTTTAAGCAGTCTGCTCAGTCAGTATCTGGCCGTGAAGGGTGTGGGCTGGCTGGGCAGGAGACAGAGACGGAAACTTGAAGCTGATACTCTCAATGTGAAGCGAGTGCAGGAGGAGACTCTGCTGAAGCGCCTGCGTAAAAATGCAGACACATGTTATGGAAGACAGTACGAGTTTAGCTCAATAACAGGTAAGAAATCTCATGGAGACATGTCACAATATCACATGGTGTTTTTAAATTATGCTTGACTGTGTTGCCGGTTTAAAAACTGCAGGTGTTGTAAAACTTACCATGTGTTTGTCCTCTGAGCAGCTGTGATGTAACGTAAGTTAATGTAAAGATACGGTGGCCGAGAACCGCCACTGCTGCAAATTAAAAAAAAAACAAAACAAAAGAAGTCACAACGAAAGTTACTGATGAAAAAAAGAGAACCTGAAGCTTGCTGTGAATAAAGAAACAGTTTTACCAACATGGCCCTAGTTTTACTAACTTTGGTAACGACCACACGATAGCAATACACAGTGGTCTGAGGAGCCATAAACAAACCTCAACCAAAAAGCCACTCTATAGCCACAAATGATGCTCAGAACAGCACCTAACTTCATCAACAGTACATACAGAGTCCAAGCCATAGTAGTAGCCACCAAACATCTTTTTAGCTTTTCCTAATTTCTTTAGCAAAGAGATGAAACACAACTCACCTACTCTCTTCCAGCAGCCGCTTGTTTGTAGCGGGACCTCAGACCAGTCCATTACGGACTGCTGCGGGGTGATGCAGCTCAAGGAATAACATTTATGGGTGTCTAACTCTGTGTTACTGTGTGTTTGACCCTAAATTAATTTTATGCTGGAATATCCCTTTAAAAACAGGCATGATTCTGTAGTGGAAATCACATCATGGGCTCAAAACCACACACAAAAACTATTCTCTGTGGACACAGTTTGTGACTATGTCCACAAATGCTGGGGGAAAATAGTATGAACATGATCTAGAAACACAGAAGACTTTTTTTGGACTGAATCTTATAGTTTGTTATTTTTATTTCAACATTTGGTGTGTCAATTTTGCACTCTTTTCAATCAAATATATTGGTTTACATGATTTTTAAAAAAGTCACATTCTATTTTTCATCAACATTTACTCAGCATCCCGACTTTTTTGGAATTGGATTTGTACATTAGTGATGGTAAGACAAAGGAGTGGATATTGGCAGTCACAAAGCTGTGTTGACTTTCTAAGATAAAAAAAATGTACAAGATGATAGAATCAAAAAAGATAGATGATGGGAGAATATTTAAACAACCTTATTATTAAATTTGTAATATTATGTGATAAAATATAGAATTTTTTTCACCTTCAGCTGCACCTGAATTCACTACAGAAAGTGTAAGATAGATTTGTGTGAGTCCCATATGCAAAAACATTAAAGCTGCCTCATTTGTTTCTTAGACAGTGATGTATTCCGTGCACGCCACCCCATCACCACATACGAGCACTACCGTGATCTCATCAAACGCATCGCAGTGGGAGAGGAGAAAGTGATTCTGGCTGAGAAACCGCTCATCCTCGCCATGACCTCCGGGACATCAGGAGCCAGCACGATGCTGCTAAGCACCAAGGACACGAACACCGAGTTCTTCCTGCAGGTGAAAATGATAATTCTGGTTGTGTATGTATTGTAGCTGCCGCTGTCTTGTTGTTCTGCATATAAAACTGTATTTATAATCCGTCAGGGAGTTGCTGTTTGTTTAGAAGCCATGAGAACAGCATTTCCAGCGACCGACAGCCTCCAGCGTACAACAAAATTCTTCTATACTCCCACCTTTCGACAGTCTGAGGCTGGTATTCCTATTGGACCGAACTCTTCCACGCCAGCCTCCTCCCGCCACATGCTCAATCTTTACACCACCCCAGCTCCTGCCTTTGAGGTAAATATGACTGATAGTGTTTGAAATACAACAGTTTTTATACATTCAAATATCTCCAATCCTTTCTTTCAGGTTCCCAGTGAGAAGGACACCCTTTACCTGCATCTCCTGTTTGCTCTCAAAGACCCCAGCGTGGGAACGCTTGAGTCTAACTTTGCCTCCACAGTCTTCTATGCTTTCAGTGCTTTACAGGTGATTTATTTTTCAGATCATGTTTGCATATCCTGAAAAAAAGTCCTCTGAATTTCTCCACGATTGTTCCATTTTATATTTTTAAAGGTGCGTGTTTGTAGCAAAAAGTAACATCTTGTTTCCCAAATGTTCTGTCTATTATTTAAATTTTCATGAAAGAGAAAAACACGGTGAAACTTCCCATATTGCTGGATTCTTCATGCACGCCAAGTTGATTCCCACGTGAACACTTTGAAGTAAAAAGGGATTGAAATTCATTAGCACGGCCTCAGTCCCGGTCTACTTGAAAAACCGCACATATAATTAGTTTGATGAACTGAAGATTGGAAAAGTAATTTTCTTCTGATCTCCCCTCCATCCCACAGGATCGCTGGCAGGAGCTCGTCGAGGATATTGAACAGGGAAAGATCAGCAGTAGTCTGGCGCTGGAGCCCAAAGTGAGGTCACAACTCGAGACCCTGATGAAGCCGGATCCAAAGAGGGCTGCGCAGCTCAGGGCCCACTTTGAGGAGGGCTTCCGTGGGATCGCGAAACGTCTTTGGCCTGACCTCCACCTGGTGCTGGCTGTTGATTCAGGCTCTAATCAGATCTATGGAGACATGTTGAGAGAGAACTACTGCCAGGGGGTGCCTTTTTATTCGCCATTTTACGCCGCCACAGAAGGTATGAATCCCAAAAGAAGTTAGTCAAAAATCCTGTCATTTTATTCATCATTTAGTTTCCTCTCCATGTATGATGTAAAAGTACATGATTAATACATTCACATCCAATTTATGATCAGCTCTGATTGTGTGTTTGGGCCCCTGCAGGTCTGATAGGGGTGAACCTGTGGCCTCAAGAGCCAAACAGACGCTACCTGCTGTGTCCACGTTCAATGTTTTGTGAGTTCCTGCCGGAGGTTAGCCTGGAGGAGGAGACCCCTCCCACCCTGTTAATGGAGGAGGTGATGGAGGGACAGAACTATGAGCTGGTTGTCACAAATGCTTCAGGACTCTTCAGGTCTGGATTCATTTACTGCTGAATAAAAGTCGAAATAAAAGATTAAAAAATTAACTTGTTGGTTGAATTTAGACAACTTTCAGGAATATAATAAATGAAGTAAGGGCTGGTTAAAGTAAATTTCTCGTAACATAAAATAAGATACCACCTTGGATCTGTTTAGGAGTCCTTTTTCTCATTTTAGTTCCACTTGTCTGCACTCTGTTTTGTCAAACAATCTCAGGTTCTAGTTGTATCCTCCCATGACGTGAATAACCCTGTTATTTTTGCCTGTGTTGTAGATATCGTATTGGAGACATTGTGAAAGTCGTTGGATTCCACAACCAGTGTCCTGTTGTCGAGTTTCAATACAGGTACAGCTGATGTGCTAAACTATATATAGTTTTTGAAAAATATTCAAAGTGTCTAAATGTTTCCTTCTTTCATGTTTGTGTCATCTCTCAGACGGGGTCAGATGTTAAATGTCCGAGGGGAGAAAGTGTCCGAGGCGCTGTTCCTCGATGCCCTGAAGAAAGCAGTTTCTCAGTGGCCGGGAGCTCAGCTAGTGGACTACAGCTGTGCTGAGAGCGGCATCATGGGTAAGAAAAGTTACCCTGATATTCTTCAGTTGTAGATACCTTCCCATCCCTAACAGACATCCTGCTTTTCTCCACTAAGTCCTCTGTGTGCTAGATTTCTTACTGCCTGTTTCAGCCATTCATCACTGTCACTGAAGGCTTTAGATAGGACTTAGTTAAAATGAAAATTCCAACACTAAAGGATCTCTAGTGCATCATTAAGTTCAAGTACTTCACAGCGAGGGAATGAGGGGTATCACTGTTTAATTTAAATGTCTTTCACTGCGTTGTTATAGGAGATTCAATAGGCGGTTCAGATCCTCATTACCAGGTCTTTATAGAGCTGAGAGGCGTGAGGAATCTCACAGAGGAGCAGCGCTACAAAGTAAGACAAACCCCGCATAAAGAAGCAACACTCAGCAGGTTTTATTTCTGCAGCTGGGGTTATATCTCTTTCTTTTTTGTTTTTGTTCCAGCTGGACGTCTGCCTCCAGCAGGACTCAGCCGTCTACAAGTCCTTCCGCATCAAAGGCAGCATCGGGCCAATGAGGGTGCAGCTGGTTGCGGAGGGTGCATTCAAGGAACTTCGCAAACATATGATGGCCTTCTCGAACACCTCGCCCAACACATTCAAAATGCACCGAGTGCTGCGGAGGAAAGAATATGCTGACTTCCTACTGGGAAAAACTGTGTCCTGAAGCCTGACAAGGCAAATTTTGCAGACTCTGACAGTGGTGAGCTGAATGAACAAAATCTCTGCAGTATTCTTATGAAACACTCACGGGTGAGTTGGGAAGTTGTGCCTTAAGGGACTGATGTTCACAAACTCAACACACTCCTTTTCTGTCGATTTAATAACTTACAAGCTGAACTATATTTATTTTGATATTAAACTGAACTGTTAAGCTTTAGCTGTTGTATTTTATGGTGAAAAAAAGCAACATAAATGCATCAAACTTTGGTTTTTAGTTTGTTGCTTTGTCAACAAACCTTGGATGTGGTTCTTCAAGTTTATTGGGTAGCATAAAAATGGGGGAAAAAAAACCTTCCTCAGCGACTGTGCTTCAAAAAATACTCTCTTTTTCAAGGACATGATCCATTCAGTTGATACCACATGGTACCTTTGAATGCTAACCGTCCCAGAAGTGCAGTCACCTTTTGAAGATGAAAGCAACACTTGACAAGGATTTACAATCCAATAACAAACCCTTCTTGTTGGTTTTGATGCGAAAAAGTTGACTTAAATAAGACCAAGAAAAAAAAAACATTTCAAACTTGAGAACTGTTTTAATTTGAGTCTTTTTTAATATAAATTAAGGCAGCTAACAGGAATCTTAGACTTAAAAGGATATTATACTTGCAACACACATAACTTACATGCAGGGCTTAAATATTACCACTAGGGGGAGGTAGTCATGTATGCAAAATAGATGCTGAAGCCTCCTGCTGCTGTACTTCAGTCATCATTTTACAGCTTCTCTGTCCTCTCCAAACTAAACAGATGTATTTATAGTTATACCACAGGGGTGTCTCTCCTTCAGCTGAGTTTCTAGCTCCTTACTGTACACCAACATGGCAATCTGTCAACTGTGTTGTGGTGTGCATGCTTATCTCCTGCAGGTCATAAAGTGGGCTAATATTTTTAGCCATGTCCCATTTCAGCTAAGATCTGACACAGCTCTTGCTGTACTTTGGCTCCTTATCGTGATCAGACCTCCCCGGGAGTCAAACGAAAAAGCTGTAATTCACCACAGTGAAGCCTGAGTAAAAATACCTGAAATATTTATTTTAAAGCAAAGTATTATATGTTAGTTTTACAAAGTTTCCAACAGTTTAATAGTGAAAACACAAGGGTGTGAAAGCCGATTATCTCTCATTCTTGATGAACTCATAAATAAGTGAGTAAGTAACTAAATTGGGGATGATGGAGAGTGAGGCAGGGAATGGGCTAGGAGCATAGACTGTATGTAATATGGACAACTTGGTTCTGCCTGTATGTGGATTTGAAGCCAAAAAGCTCTCGGTATTTCCGTGATTTTTCTTCATTTCCTGAAACCAGCGATGCGCGCATTCAGGCGCGCAGTTGCTGAGAGTCGCTGTGATGACGCTTGGTTTAAACAGCGTATCCCCCGGGAGAGCTACGCAATCCCTGAACGCCCATAGGCTGTATCAGGTGTCAGTCATAGAAAACATGAACCCCCTAATAACTTTCAAAAACGGAGCTTCACAGAAAAAAAAGGACTTGAGCACAAACCAGACTTACAGTAACTACATGTCAACATCACAAGCAGGGGGAGAAAACTTTATATTCTGTTTGATAAATTTCTAAAGGTTGTCCACAGCTCCATGAGCTTTGCTGGCAGAGGCGGGATTTATGACCTATACTGCAGCCCATCACCAGAGGGTGCTGTTCTCGGAGTGGCTTCACCCAGCGAGGGGGCAAACTCCGTCCATTCTATATACAGTCTATGGGTAGGAGGCAGAGTGGTGTGAACCTACCTAAAGGCCCGGGTAATGTGAAGACACTGGCCAGCATTACTCAATATCACTGATAGACCCTTGTGTGATCTGTTAGAATGAAAGAGGCGGGCTTTACAGGACATACTAGAGCCAGTCACTAGGGGGAGCTGTAAAGGATTTGACTATGGGGTTAGGTGCTGTCCTGTCCATTTTTGTTTAACGGTTTTTTGGTCTACCCAAATCTAAAAGGTGGACTTGAAGCTGTCTAAAAGCCTCATGGCAAACAGCTACAGTGTGCCCACCTGTCAGTCAAATCAACTGTACCCTGATCGTACAACTTTGAGAATAACTCCAGCCTTTATGACATTAAATATTAAGTCCAAAATTACACTTCACTCTGAATTTAGTACAATCCCACTTTTTGCAGATGTGTTTAAGAGAAAAACTATTCCTGCCATTAAAACCAGCCCCTAGTGGACACATGAGGAACAGCTTTTTTGCACCTCTTTGTTTGCTTCATATTGAGTGAGAGAGGTTGCTGCTTGGGTTTCAAAAATACTGTTCATAAGGTTTAAAATTCTTTGTTCACTCAAAACAATATTTCATTATTTCACCTCTTGCTACATATTGAAAAAACAAATTATTTCCATGTCAGATCAGGAGTTTCCCAGGATTAAAGCCACAACAGTAATTTGTAAAGCCGTGCACGTGACGGGGATAAATCATTTTCTGTTTTGAAATTTCATCACGATGGTTGTCATGATCCCAAACACCGATCTAAAGATGGCATGCTGGGTCAATAAAGCCTGATTCCACTTTTTAATACATTCGCTGTAGTTGATTCCTCCCAGACTGTGGTGTATGGTGGGATATTGTGTGTCTTCATCCTCACGTGCTTTGAGGATTTACACACACAAACACAAATAAAGACACACACAGAGCTTCCAAGCACATCTGCTCAGTCGCAAGTTAATTCAAAGCAAACAGGAGAGATTTGAGAATGACAGGCGGGATTTCTCAATGGGGTTCGCTGAGGAGAGGGAGGATGTGTATAAGTGAGAGGAGGGATGTTTGCATGCTGACTGAATGAAAGCTCATCTATATTACAGTTTAAATCAGGATTAAGGACTGAGGATTTTCATTGAAGTCTGAAATGGTGAGGAAAAGTCCTCTCAGTATGTTTTCACCGCAGACCATTTGAAATTTCCGTCAGTTTGAACGACAAAAAAAAGCGCCTCCCATCTGAAAAACCTCGGTGAATGCAGAGCTCAGACCTGTGGGAAACGGAAAGGGGTAATGTTTCACCTGGCCGCCTGTGCATCACTCTGTCCTATTAGGCTGCAGAATAGATAGTGAGCATGTTTAATGGATCAGCCTCTTTATTAGGGACGAGCAGAGAAGGATGAGCTCCAAGAAGAAAGCCCGATGAGAAGCCATTAAAAATAGATAGAAGTGAAGGGCTGCCAGGCCCGAACAGGATCCGACAGAGGGAGCGGTACTTTGTTTCATCCTGAGAGCCAGTCTTTAACTTTCACTGCCGCTTTTCTCCCCTATGTCGCCTGCTGGATAAACGAATCGCGCATTCTCAAACTCTGCAACAAAACTTCCTGTACATAACACAATTTTTTTCCCAGTTTCTCAAAGCTGTTTTCATTCACCACTTCTTTGACCTGGTTATCCACCGCTCAGAATCTTATTTTTCACCCAGAACAATTCAAAATTCATCTCTGGCTTCAGGAAACACCCACACAGCTGCTGAATCGGCTCAACTTTTTTTTTTTTTCCAAGATTTCCTACGCCCCCACAAGAAACTCATACATATCTCCGTTTTTTTTTTCTCTCAAACATTTCAGTCTTCTTGACTCCTGATTTGCATGAAGTTACACCAGAAAACAGAAATAGTCTGAGATCCATTTGAAAGTTGTTGTGTATGCATCATTTTCAAACCACTGTCTATGTCCCTTAAACAGCGCTCTGAGCAGCGATCCTTAAACGTCTCTCTCGCAATATAAAGGAGAGTATACGGCGTAAGAAAAAGCTTCAAAATGATGTATTGTTGTTGTAGAGTCTCTTCTGGTTTTTCCTTGTTTCAGGATGGATCTATACAACCCAAGCACCATTGTTGCTCTCATTCTCCAGCTCCTCATAAATCACAGTGACAAAGAAGAAACAATTTTTATCCCCAATTCAGCAGAACTTGGACCCTTCCTCTAGCTGAAAATCCTCTTCGAGTGCACTTTCAAGCTTTCTGCTCGCTTCCTAACACCTCCTGTAGAGTTTTAAAAATTATGTAAACATATTGCTTCCAAACTTCTGCTGGTCGTCTGTTAATAAGCACATGAAGTGTTATCAAGAAAATCAAGTAACTATCTGAGGAATCACCTCTGAATTACCAGGTTCCTTAATGTAATTCCCAGTATTTTAGTAATTCATCTTTCCCTACAGATTTGATCAATCCAAAAGTAGACATGATGGAATCTACACGAGTGTTCCTGTCAGACATATTTAACATATCTAGACATATATCCCCCCTGAGAGCTATAAGCTGTGTTATTTGCTCGGGTCAAAGTGAGTTAAGACGTGACTTTATTTGGTATGTTTAACATCAAGTCCTCATGAAAAACATCTCCAAGCTTATCCTTTTAATCCGCTCTTAGCCGCGTTGATCCCACAGCCTTAATTCTCTCATGAGGATACTGCGAGGGGCCGAGAGGGCAGCAGAGACCAGTTCCACCGAGAGAAGACACGTTTCAGTCGACAACACTCGAGGAATCGAGCCCTTAAAGCTCGCAGAGCTCGTATGACTAGAAAAGTAGAATCTGAATATCTCTTTTCTTTGCTTTCATGATTCCCTATAGATGGACATTCATGACAAAACTGCACAATTGCACCCATTTCAACTGAATACAATAGGCTGCATTGAAAGACATGCAGGTAATCCATCTTTCCCTGATTTACAGACATGCACACAAAAGCCATGTGCTGATAGTGGCACCGTGGGGTGTAATGGTGCTGTCAGCTGCTCCAAAAGCATCCTCCCTCCCTATCTCTCTCCCTCCCTCTTCTCTCCCTTTCTCTCGATCTATACCCCTACAGCAGATGAAAACAGGTCCCCATAGAGGGTGCCGGCTTCTCATTGGCTCAGATATTTCACCGGAGTGGAAAAGAGAGAGAGACAGAGAGAGAGAGGTGGAGAGAAAGCTGAAGAAGATGCAACTACTGTGCCACAGCATTCTGGCAGAGCGTTGAGCTGAGGGATGCAAGAGGTGCCCACACATGAGCTCTCAATTTTGTCTTTTGAATTCTCCTCATCAGTGGAAATGTTTGCAGATTTAAAGGATAACTTCCTTCATGTTGGAGCTGGGATGACTCGCCGAGAGAAGCAACAGCTGGGCGAGCAGATTTGAAGCTTTTGGGTCTCAAAATTCTCTGGTCACTCTCTTTGTCTACCTTTTTAGATCTACAGGCATTGCATTGCTTCAGGGGGGGACATTTCAATCCTCCCTAACTCCCCACTGTCTCCAGGAAAGGCATCACTTGGACAAAAAGGTGGCTGCTTTTACTGTCAATGTGTTTTCCAGCGATCGTCACTGGGCTGTCACCCTCAAAGTATCATCCTGCACCTGCTGAGAGCCCCTGGAAGCCACCTGCTGTGCCTCTGGGATGGTGTGACGTCCAGCCAGCTGTTGGCCGTCCCACATCTGGGTCAAGATGCCGGTGATGAAGGGCCTCCTGGCCCCCCAGAACACCTTTCTGGACACCATCGCTACACGCTTCGATGGCACCCGTAAGTAATCTGAGGACTGAGTAGTTTTGGTGCTTGTAGATTTGTCATAAAAAATATGATAAATCACTTTGCTGTTTTAAGGTGATCCCTGGCTCAGAATCAAGATATGCACATTTCTTGCATGACATCTCAGCAATCAATCAAATAACTGCACTAATCCCCCTGGAGGCAATTGGTTTGGAGCAGCTTTTACACAAGATACAAAGCAAAACTAAACACAGACAAGCAAGAACTCATTCATGAACTGTGGCATTACATGTTAAAAGTAATACTAATATAAAAAGTTACTAAAGAAGAGCGACAAGATGGGAAAATAAAAGGGTCGGGTTACAAAATAAAAAGGAAATGTAGTCTGTAAATGATTATAAAGACGATAACAAATCATAGCTATGAAACAACAACAGATTATTCACAATTCAGAATCCAGAGAGCATATGCACATGTAAATGTAAACAATACTAAATGGAAGAAATGATGATAATGAACAAAAATATTTCAGGTAAAAACTGAAAAAGTTGCAGCTTATACAATATAGTGTGATATGATTTAATATGACATGATTTGTTTGGTTTGATTCAGTATTTTATGGTCCATACCATGCAGAGAGATGAAAAGAGATACAATACGCTACTATATGTTGTCATACAACATGATTTATTACTGTAAAATAGGATTTATACTACCATATATGATGGAAACATCGCCAAATGATTCGCTTGTTACAGTAATATGATATCCTAAAACGAAAACATGATACACTGCAATACAATAGGATGTGATATAATCGCTGGATACACTTAATTCCCACCCCAGGGAAATTCATCTGAGGCTTGAGTGCTGTATACATTTAGCTACCTCCAACGAGGTATTAATAAACAGACCACAATTCTCATGTAAATAGAGGAAAAAATGCCAATGAAAACCACCCGCCCACTCATATATTGCTCATTTCTCATGTAAAATTGGTAAAAATCTGTATGAAATGCAATCTTAATATGTAAATGATCCAAGAACATGCTTACACTATTGCCAGCACAATCTAAACAACCTCAAAAAACATTGTTCAAAATTTCGATAGAGGTAGATACGATCAAAATGTAAAGGAAAACTAAGCAGATAAATTCAATCTTTTGTCGTGGAGGTAGAAATAGAGCTACAGCCATTACCTTATCTCATCCCAAAGCACCAGAACTCTGCCTGACTACAGCTTCATCTGGCTCTGGTTGCAGTGGGATGTAGGGAAAAGTTTGTCGTCAGTTCATCATAATAGACCTGCAGAAATCATTTTGCCTTACTAAATTCATTTACCATTAAACTCACATTTATTTTACCTTTAAACTGCTCTTCACAGCCATAAGGCAGAACTGCAGTTTCTGCTTGCCTTGTGTCTCTTGTTTTGCACCTTGTGCCACCTCAGGGGAGCCTGTGGCTCGTTGTAAACAAATACCAGGGGGACATTTGTGTTTGCTTGCTCGTCGATTCAGCCCTGCTCTCCCTCTGCTAGTCACAGCAGCCTGAATGAACTGGTTCGATCTAAGGATATGAACAGTAAAAATGGGTGGCATTTAAGGGTAATTGATGTGTTAGGAGTGCAATTACAGCTTTGTCTTCTGAGTCAGGGATTCTAATGAGGCATTAGGGGATGTCTCATCACATATCGCGCATGTTTCCCCATAACTTCACGCTTTAAATATAAATGTGAAACTTTGTGAAATGAGAGGATTCGAGCGCTGAGTCTCGAGATGACGTTAGCAGTGCGCAGTTCAGCAAGGGTCATGCCCTCGTGATGCCATTGCCCTGATGAAGAGCTAAACATGGACTCCCTGCCAGCTCCAAAGGGCTGAACTTTCTCTATGACCTCTTAGTGGTCAAGAGCAAAGACAGGGAAAAATCATCCTAATCACGCTCGGTGGGCTTTTCTCACAGAATTACAAATAATTTCATTGATATTAAAGGAAATATTAATGGAAACCGTTTTCCTCTTACTTTGTTCATTAAAGTTGACTTTAAAGAACAAAGTAGTGCCTGTTATTGTTTTGTTAATCCTTTTTGTAGATGAGGAAGAAGTGTTTTCTGACAAAAAAAATCTCATTGCCATTCTCTTGAACAGTCAAACAGCTCTCTGTGAATCTTTTTCTGTGGACACAGCAAACGAAAGCTCGACTGGATTTTTGCAGTATAAATTGCCTCCCTTGATGCAGACCAGCAAAGACAGGAATTTTAATAACTTTGAAAAATCTAATTGATGGTCTTATTTGTTATTTTTTTTAGCCCATAAAGAGGCATCAGTGATACTTTGAGTCTGTTCCATAACCAGCTAGAAACCCAGCAGGAGCTTTTCGTGCTGAAGTCCTCAGCAGAAACAGCTCAGTATGAAATAAATGACTCTAGAGAGGATAGCCACCATATAACAGCTTATCTAAACTGCTCAAACATATCTAGCTTAATCTTAACATTCATGGCAACCACCATCTGTCTGCTTTCCTTCAGCGCTGTAGACTGCTCAGCCAGCCTCCTGCAGTCTTGGGACTAAATATCAAAACAACGGCCTTTTAGAGCAACAGGAGTCCAAGATTAAAGCATGTTGGTAACAGCAGGATGTACGTCTTTGCAACTACTTTCTAGTTTTTCGCCACTTTCAACCTCTTTCGAAGTCGCCCAAGGCTGCGGCTCCTTGAGGAGTGGCAGACTGCCCACAACTCAAAATAGCTTCCTTCCTGTTGCCGGGCGACAAGGTCCCGCCACTTAACATGGATGATACTCGAACACATTGGAAAAGATGGTCCGCTAAAGAGAAAACACTTGAACTTGCTTTCCAATTAAAGGACTTTAAAGAAGGCAGCTGGTCTGTTGTTCCAGAAACAAGTGGCATTGTGGGTTGTGCAGCTGCAACCCCCTCACCACCTCACACTACCCTATAGTTTTTTAACCGTCTGCCCGAGACCAGTCTGTGTTTACACGCAGGCGTTAAACTTTTTAGCATAATTTCTTGTCCGTTTCACAAGTTTGGGCGCAAAAGTGGTTTTGCAATGTTGTTGAAGTTTATTTTTGCTCACTTTAAATCTGAGTTTATCATGACCAATATCAACAAAGTATTTCTACAAGTCGCTAAAAATTTTCTTGGTGCTAGAAAAATATTTGAAGTATTTCTGGTCAAACATACTTTATGAAATCTCGAAAAGTGCACATCTGTTGCTCAAAGCTCCTGGTTGGCCCTTTAGGTACAGTCCAATAATAAACTCCTATTCCTTGTATATTATCCTTGTTTATGTATTTGTCTAGTTTCAACCATAGACTGTATTTAGAATGGACAGCGTCTGCCTCCTTGCTGGGTGAAGCCACCCCGAGAACAGCACCCTCTGGTGACAGGCTGCAGTATAGGTCATAAATCCCGCCTCCTCCAGCAATTCCTATGGAGCTGTAGACAAACTTAAGAATTTTTTTTTACAGAATGAAATTTTTCTCCCCCCTGCTTATGATGTTGACATGTAGTTACTGTAAGACTGGTTTGTACTCAAGTCCTCTTTTTTCTGTACAAATCCATTATTGAAAGTTATTAGGGGTTCATGTTTTCTATGATTGACACCTGATACAGCCCATGCGCGTACGAAGATTGCGTAGCTCACCCGGGGGATACGCTGTTTGAGTCGAGCGTCATCACAGCGACTCTCCCGCCGAATGCGTACAATGCTACTGCGCAATGTTGGTTTCAGGAAGTGGAGAAAAAACGCTGAATTACTGAGAGCTTTCAAGCTTCAAATCCGTATACTGGCGGAAGGTGGAACCAAGTTGTTCATAGTATATACAGCCTATGGTTTCAACACACTCCTAATCAAGAGTCCTGCATATTCTCAGTCATTCCAAACCAGAATGTAGTATCAAAAAAAGCACTTTATGTTAAAAAAGGAAGGGGCTGACTGAGCACCCACAGAGGCAGGTGCTGTCAAAATGTTTTAACTCATGTGTCACTTTAGTCTCTGTCTAGACACTTGTGACAGCAGGTACATTTTATAGAGGGACTTTTCTTTTTTACTCAAACGTCAGCATTTGCATGTTCCTGAGCAAAAGTAACAGCAAAGTTTTTTGTCATTTCTTCAGACAAGCTGGAAAACCAACTTTCTGCAGCCTGAAGATTCTGTATTTATTTTTGATTTTATAACAGTATGCTCATAACTCCCTGACCTTACTGAGAGTTTCTACCTCTTAACTTACATTTCACTTAAGACTGAAGCAGATAATACATTCACGGATATATCATCGCAAACTTCCTGCTTTGCAGCCTTAAAATATGTAAAGCATGATGCCTGTTGCATAATTTCAGTACTTTTGCATAGTCTAATGTCCATAGTTGTTATGCAATATGTCACTCTAACAAAGCCCCCTGCCTATTCAGGCATAAGAACAGTTCCTATCAGAAATTTTCTTAAGAAAATAGCTTTTCTGGAATATTTCTGTGTCTTAGCAGCTCATCTATAACAGCCAGACTGCTTTTGTGTCCACAATGTGTTTTTGTGGAAAGAATTTTTGCATTTATTTATTTATTTAACAAGGTAAGAACCCGTTGAGATCGAGATCTCATTTACAAGAGTGACCTGGCCAAGAGGTTGGCAGCACACATCACAACAATAAATGATAAAGAAGACGAAGAAAATGACCTCCAGAAACATAATTAAAAACACAGGCACTGTTCCATGGTCTCCCAAAGTCTGTCATGTAAGACTAAACGAAATGCTTCCAGCGAAATTAATTCTGACAATTTCAGGTCAGTCTGGAGATGATTCGATGCTGAAGTGGCAGCAAAACTGAAGGCTTTTTTGCCCAGTTCAGTTCTGATTCCCAGAACAATCAAATGGATAGTGTTGTTTGAACGCAGGGAGAAGTGGCTTTCAGTCCTTTGAGGAAGATCACATAAGAAGGAATCTAAGCTACACAGGACAAAAAATAAAATATTTTGTCGTCAAAGGGTTTTCTTTTTCTATATTTTATTTATTTATTTGGTTTGTTTATTTTCACATACAAAAGAGTTTAAAAACATAGGTTACAAGATTCAATGGTTATGTGAAGGAGAGCGCCTAAAAACCCTCCAGGGGCTTGAGAAATTACATGTAGAATATACTTTTTACAATTAAGACAATAATAAACATATCATACAACTGAAAAGGTAAAAAATAACACTGAGTTATAGATAATAGAACAAGGAACTGAAACAACGAAAGCACAACACAAAATAAAAAATCAGAGAGACACAGAATGAAAAACCACTAAAGAAAATAATGAATCGACCCTGGTTTGTTAAGCAAACCATATGGGAAGTATTTAGTAAAAAGAAGTGATTTCAGAGCCTTCTTAAGTTGGTGAGAAGACAACTCCCATAAATGAAATGGAAGAGAGTTCCATATTTTTGACCCTCTGAAGCCTATATTAAATTGAGTTTGAGACGAACGTGTCATTGGGGGTCTAAGGTTAGTCGAGCTACGTGTTGGGTAATAATGGACCTGAGAATTATGCCCAAATAAACTATGGAAATAGAGCCATGAGCCATGAACAAATAAACCAATTTGGAGATGGTTGACTTGAAAAACACTGAGAACTCCTAAATGAATAAACAAAGGCTTGGATGAATGTCTTGGATGTACACAACTTCTCGTTCTTAGAGATATTTTAGCTTCATGATCAACATTTTGAGTTCCAGTGGAATTTCTCCCGTTTGTGCCTCTCAGCAGGAGTTGTTCATGCTCACACATATTGATTGGACAGATCTAAACCCCGGGAATAACCTTTGTATAACAGAAAGCCACTTTTAAGTTGATTTTAATTTAACAGTTCCTTGACTGGGAAAATTGCTTGTCTGTGTCATAAATTTCTTGCTCCACTATTAGCAAAATGTCAGAGGAGGTTAAGTTAGTAACCTTTCGCAGTGCACAGAGCAGCATTTTGCTCGTGGCTGTGTCAGCGTTCCAGCTCTCTGAGGATTTGTCTGCGTGTGTTTGTGTGTGTATTTGTGCTTCTCAATGGGTTCAGGGCTCTAATGTCCGTCACATGTTTGTACGCTGGTTTCATACATGTGTCCATACATCTGTGACGTCTTTCTGCTGATCCCTGAAGGGAAATTCTCTCAGGTCAAAGGTTAGGGCCACGTTACAGAACAGCACCTCTACAGATGTATTCAGCTACGGGGCGTCTCAGGAGGGCAGACATTTGTTGTCACATGTTATGCCCAGGGTCTTTTCTACTTGTGAAATGAATGTGATGTGTTTGTTTGTGTGTTAAAGCATAAACGCCTGTCCTTCCCTCCCACACCCCGTCTCTCCCTGCTCCTTTACACGACCTCCCCGGCGGCGTTTTCACATTGACAGCAGTGCTCGCCCCGTGGGGCGGCGAAACCACGGGGCAGCTGCAGGCCAAGATAAGAACGAGGTTTATTTTCCCCCTTAAACACTTTTCCTGTTAAAAGGCCACAGAGGAACCAAAGAAGAGACAGGGCAGACTGTCAAACTGGACCTTACAGAGCTGAACCAATGAATGGCTCTGAAGAGGCAGCAGCAGACAGGGGCTGGTGGATGGCTGGAGCTATTGTGTTGCTTCATCCATTGCTGATTTTAGAGGTCTAAGGAAAGCTTTTATTTATCACCTTATGGGCCTTGAGCTGATATCAAATTTACAGCTTTGATCCCTCGCTCTTCCAACGCTCGATGTACATTTTTTGGTAACACATAGAAGTCTAAATCTGCTCCTGATGTTAAGCCCTGCACCGTGCGTGGCAGCTACGCCTCCATCGTTGGGTAAATGTAGGTGTGTGTTGGCGTAAAGCTTTGTAGAGCCCTATGCATTTCTTTCAGAATAAAGACACGACATTCATGCTCCTCCTTAGGATCCAGAAATCCACGGCACAGATATTTTTGCTTTAGATAATCCTAAATTTGGTCCAGAAACCAGTTTTATCAAGTAAACAAGACTTGATTGATTTCTCCACAAGCCTTTTAACCAGTCCAATGACCTTTTCCTCTGAAAGTCCACTTCCTCTTGTCGCTCTCAGCCTTCTGCAACAGTAAGTAATTACATGCTGCTGGGTAGTGATTAGCTGGGGAACCAGTGGCCAACCCTCAAAGGCTTCGTTCGTCTTTCATATTGAACAGGGAACTTGTCAGACACGTGCAGGGTGAAGGCGGGCTGCTCGCTGCTAGCTTTTAGCCGTAGCATGTAGCATCATCATGTCAGCTTACAGCAGTCGCAAGTCAGCACAGATGTGTAATTAAGGAAGCTGGCGCAGCAGAGCGACCATTCAAAGCAATATCCCTCAGAGGATTAGCGCCTAAGAATTGAGGCATTGTCACAATCTCACACACACAAACACACACTTGCATTAAGTGTTTATCAAGTGTGGCTCATGTGGGTGCAGGATTGCTTATTTGCAAGTTTAACAAAACAGATAATTATGAAGTTGTAGAAGCTGAAGTGTGAAGCGAAAGCTTTGTTTTTTAATTTTTCTAAAGGTTAAATTCTTTTTTGTTTTCAAAGCCACAATCACTCCTGCTAGAAAATCATAAATCTGCAAAGAAATAGGTCATAGTGAAAAAAACAAACAAACAAAACTTTAACCCTGTTTGCAGTTTCTTGAGCAAGGTTAGGAAGGGAAAATTAGAAACTGACAACAGACAGCCTGCATAAGAGCATAAAATCTTGCAAATTGCATTTTATTCATAGACTGTATATAGAATGGACACCATCTGTCTCCTCACTGGGTGAAGCCACTCTAACAACAGCACCCTCTGGTGACAGGCTGCAGTATAGGTCATAAATCCCGCCTCCTCCAGCAAAGCTTATGGAGCTGTGAAAAAACTAGTTTGTGCGCAAGTCCTTTTTTTTTTGTACAGCTCGATTTTTTTTAAAGTGATTTTGAGGGTTTGTTTTTCCTATGATTGACACTTGATACAGCCTATGAGTGTATGAAGATTGTGTAGCTCACCCGGGGTATATGCTGTCATCGCGGCGACTCTCCCACCGAATGTGCACAATGTTACTGCGCAAGTGGAGATGTGCGTACAACGCTACTGCGCAATGTTGGTTTCAGGAAATGGATAAAACTCACGGAAATATCGAGAGCTTTTCGGCTTCAAATCTGTTTATCTGCAGAAGGTAGAACAAAGTTGTCCATAGTATATACAGTCTATGATTTTATTACATACTGCTAAAGGAAGAAAAGATAGAGCATGTAGATCAGTGATGTTAAGAAGATTTGGTTGACAGTTCCCCTCACGCAGAGCTTGGTTAGCTGTTTCCTTCTTTGTAGTGATCATACTAGCTGAAGCCCATTACTATACAGACATATGCTTTGTGTAACTTTGACAAGAAGGCAGAAAAAGTGCATTTCCCATGACTTTTAATGAATCAAATACATAAAACTACAGTTAAAAACTCTTGAATACTTCATACCAGTGTAACACACCTTATCATGAATGAAACTTTTCTAGTTATGTCATAAACTTCGATGAGGCAGCGTAAAAGTTTTATTCCATAGTTGCATTTTGGTTTTAACACCCCCTAACAAAGTGATTTATGACTGCACCCGCCCTTGACCCATTTGAAGTAAAGACTCAGGTTTGCTGAGTAAAGAAGCTCCTATTCTTGGGTTATATTACATAAACCAAAGATGAATGCAGTTGCTCTCCAACACTTGCTGGCTCTGTGAGTTGTGAAGTAAGAAATTTATAGATCTTGAAAAAGAGGGCACGGCTGTTGGGCTTTTCTTTATCTTCTCCAGCTCAATAGGCTATGACTTTGTGTTCTGCCATTGTTTCTTGGCCCCTTTTTTTAGATTTGAAAAGCAAAAAAAACAGAAATCCAGGGCGGCTCACCTCTCAAGCTGAGACTTTAAAGCAACAGGTAACAATCTTTTCGATGAAAACAGAAAGACCTACAGCAGGATGCAGACCAGAAATATCTCATGTCCTCCGTGTTGAAAGAAGAATAAAGCAATGCATAGCAGTTACATGAGAAGCTCCTCTGCTTCTTGATGGATCAGACTAATGCCTGTCTCTTTGGATAATTCCTCAGTGACAGTTTAGTTGCTGCTCGCTGCACACCCAAGAAAGGTTGTCACCGCTCAGAAAAGACGTCCCCTATGGACCGCTTTCTGCGAAGTCTGGCCAATTAAAGCGCTAGATTGTGGAGAGCGGTGTAGCAGCTGCTTAATACTCCTCATCTAAGACCTGCCCTCTGTCGAACCGGGAGAACTGAGACAAGATAATCTGTCTGCATAGAAGTGCATATGCTGCATCTCTATATGACATTTAGAAAATCTGGTCTGATTGGGTTGAAGAGTCAAAGCAGGAGTAGATTTTATACCTTTGCATGACTTTTGCAAAGAATTAGCCTAAAAATACGTATTTATAATGCATGGAAGATGGAATTATACCGGAGGATAAGGTATGATGTTATGCCTAATTAGGAGATAAGGTTCAGTCAGAGGTGAAGATTAGAGGAATTTCCTGCGAGGATAGAAAGATCACGGAGAAGCTTAGTTAATGAAAAACCAAACAAAGAAACCAAAAATGTAAAATATTCATTAATAAAACTTATTCATGTGTAATGCCTGAGGTAAATGAGAGGTTTTTTTTATCCCCCTTAGCAAAAAGTAGTGGATTTCCTTCTTGTGTCATTAAAAGTTGTAACCGTGTTGACGCAAAAGAAAAGGGAAAGCCTACAGATTGGCAATTTATGGATTAAACGGTGTGACACTGTGATAAAATCTAGGATTGAGAGTGTACGTGTGTGTGTGTGTTTGCACGCGCTGGTTACTGTACATTTATCCAATACTCTGAAACTAATTGGGTGCAAGTCAGTGTTAGTCTTCTAATTTCTTTTTATCTTGTTTGAGCTCCAGCGACTATGCTGTGCTTCTGTGTTTAAACCTTTTAAGAGGAGCACTGAAAGCACTTGAATGTTTTTCAAAGCCCCTTTCACTGGTAGTTCTGGCAGACAGAAACCCAAACAAAGAAACTGCACTGCAGCAAGACAGCCTACTCGAACTTTGCAAGGCCACATCTGTCGAGAAACGGAGGGAGAGTGTCTAATTATACCTGTCTCCCGGATTTATATTGGTATACAGTATGGGAGAAGAGAAGCAGCAGGAAACACAGTACATACTGTATTACAGGACGGCTGCTGGGGAGCTGTCCGTGGTGCTGAAGTAATGCTAAGATGCGAAGCTCGTGTGTGGTGGTGCTGAACAAACAGAACAGCTGGAGTGCAATATCGACATGATATGATCCCGCACACTCGATTAATATTCCACCACTTTAATTTAGTATTTGGATGTGCGGCTCTCATGAGATAGATCTCCACCAGGTCAATGAGTCACAATGCATTTTCTCTTTTAATAACAGCCCCCTTGAGATGAACATGCAATGGGAATGCAAAGGAACATAAGATTAGGGAGATGCCCATTTTATTGGATTTTGAAATGAGGTTTAATGCATATACACATACATTATATAAGAGACAGAGCTTGAGAGATTATATAAGTTTATTGTTTTGAATATAGAAGTGAACTCATGGTCACTCTGGACAAAGTCAAGATGATTGCACTCAAATAACTCTTAAAGTAATGCAGCTAGAGGATTGGTGTTTGTGTCTGGTTTTCTAAAAAGTTAACATTAACTGTTTTTTTTTTCTTTTGACTGCACCCTCAAGTCTTCATTTCATAAATTGCTATGAGATGTTTAAGTGCGTCAGGGAACATCAGGTCATTCTTAATCTTTTACTCCCTTTCATTCATTGAAATTCGAGTCAATATTTACTTTTTTTTAATGCTTTCATGCGTTCTACTATTATGCAACTTCTTATTGAAATTCTGCAGTCTGGACCACGATCGTGATTATGTCATCCAATCCAGCAGCACAAAGTTACGTGGGAATCAATCACTAACCTTTGCGCACCTTTGAAACTACAGTCAGCTGTTTTTTATATCTTCCGTCTGCAGGCCAGCCTCCAATCTCTCAACATCAGTAATCCCATACACCACCAAGAGCAGGAATCAGACGATGATACCCTTGGGAAATTAACCCCAAACTGAGTCTACACCAAAGCCTGATTCATGTTCACGCTGAAATTTATGAGGCAGTTCTGAGTGAAACCTGCAGAGCTTTGACGGGACTTCAACGGTTTTGATTCTGATGGGAATAGCGAATGTACACCAAACTTGAGATTTATGCACCAGCTTTCCTTTTTTGTTATCCACACGAAGATTTAAGAAAAACAACCCCCAAATATGTCTCAATTTAAGTTTCAACTCTGACATCTTTTCATCTCCCTCTCCCATTTCACAGACAGTAACTTCTTGTTGGGTAACGCCCAGGGTCATCGCGGGTACCCCATCGTCTACTGCTCGGATGGCTTCTGCGAGCTGACCGGCTTTACCAGAACTGAGGTGATGCAGAAGAACTGCAGCTGCCGTTTCTTGTACGGGCCCGACACCAGCGAGCACGTGGCCCAGCAGATGGAGAAAGCTCTGGAGGGCCGAGAGGAATACCAGGCTGAGGTGCACTTTTACAAGAAGAATGGTGAGTGTGCGGGGAAAGAAGACAACTTAATGAACGTGGCATTTAGAAATAAAAAGGTTATAGGAAAATTAAAACTCCTCCTTATGTTGTCATCTTTTATTCAGGAGATCAAACTCTTCAGCCTTGAAATATGTATTAACTTTAGAGACGACAAGCCATTTTCTTTGATTATGTTCTGCTTTGAGCTTCTATTCAATTTTTGGAAGAAACTCTGTATTGAGAGCTGTATTTTTTTTTTTGGTCTCCACATTATGAAGAGCACATTTATTTTTAGATGAGAGCTGGGTTGAATTATGAATCTCCAGAGTGACGCAGAATTTTAAACACAGCAGGTCAGCAGTTCAATACATGCTCTTTATAATTAATACAAAACCCTCGGATAGAGAGGCAACTTCAGCCGTGGGGTTTGAAATTGTGCCTAAGTAATGAGCTTTAAGTCGGCCTCTGGTTCATATATTTCAGGGGTAATCATATGTTCTGGATGTAATATACAGAACAAAGTACTGTACATACTGTCTCTCTCTATGTATTTTCAGTCGGCTACAGTAGCAGAAATGCTGAATTGACTAATTCCCTCTGACTTCTAGCTAATCCTTCTGACAAAGTCTCAGGCTCAAACTACCATGTCATGCATTAAAAGGGAGCACACAACACTGTCAAAGCCTCTCTGACTATTAACTGTCACAAAGGATTATTTCCCCCTTCAACAGAGACCCAGACCTGCAGCTACTAGGAGGAAAGCCCCAAATTAAGCTTTTGGATCGCTTCATCAATACGACGGCAGAATAAAATCCTCCTTTTAGTTTTTACAGTGCAGTGAAGAAGTGCAACTACAACTTGACCCTTACATGTTGTTTATATCTAGTGCCTTCAAAGTAAGGTCTAGGTCAAAATTTCCCTATCATACAAAATCACCTCCCATTTCACTGAAGACATGCAGACAAAACAAACATTTTTATATTTTCAAAGCTGCTTCAATGTATTTTGATCATTCTTCATGTTTAACCAATGACTGTATCTCAATATGGACAATGTGCCTCCATTCTTTTCCCATTATAAGATGTGAAGCCTGATACCGCCTCAAAGGGTGCTGACTTATTGTGCTTGGAGCTTCGTAGCAATCTAGCTGATGGAGCCACAAGACTGGCATCTTACACTCACCAAAACTCACATCTAACTTTTGATGAGGCGCCAAAGACCGCTCAGATTGAAACAGTGCACACCAGAACAGACTCTCATGTTGGTTTGAAGCAGACACGAACGGCTTTGGAAAGTACACCATCCCTCCACCCAGAGCTTGTCAACAAAGCTGTCAGTCATCTATTTGATACTGATTAACTAATGAAGAAAAGTGGGTCCTTGACCATATATTAGCATGATGAAAAGTGACAGATATCATGTAAAAAAATAACTTGATTTGACTCAGATGTTAAATATTTTAGTTTGACCAATGTTCAGTCTCCTAATATCAAGGAGGCAGGGTTCATGACCTTTAGTGCAGCCAGTCAGAAGTGGTAGCGCCTAATGTTTTGGCTTACCAGTTCATCCACACAACCATTACAACAATTAAACACTGTCCTCAATGCTTTAAAAATCCCCTATAAGTATTTACTTTGAATTCAACATGAACACTTAACATACATGATATAAATGACGGCTTGTTTTCAAAATAGTCGGTGCATTCAGAGCAGAAACAGGTTCAAATTTAGCCCTAAAAGCCTCATTTTACAAAAATTTGCAGCATCTTAATCAGCATCTAAATTTGAAGATATTTTCATTTTTGTTTCACTTTGGGAGGAGTTGTCAAATATTTGGCCAAAATGTTGACTCTGGGGGTGTTTTTCCTGCTGTCTCAAAAGTAAACAATTAAAATTACACAGTCTGTGAGGGTAAGGGAAAATGTTTTACTTCAGTTTCAGACTTAGAAACATTTTTAAAGCCAAAATCCTGCATGCAGATATTCGTGACTAGTTTAGTATTATTATCTTGATAAATCCGCACACATATGAGGGACACACACACACATACTCAAAATCCTCTCAAGCAAGACCAATCTCTCAAATTCACACCCTAAGCCTTGTGCTAAACATGACAAGCTACGCCGTTCTCTTCTCTCTGTGCCACACAAACACACGTACACACACATGCATGCAAGACTGAAGATACTGAAGCCCACTTGGGATACTATAGGAGATGTGAAACATCTGTTTTGCAGCAGAGCACAGTTTCTGCTAATGAGAGTGCCGGGTTATGGCAGGGTCTTGGATCTATGATGCCACTTTGCCGCCTTGTCATATCCAACATCCAAACCTTCTCAGTTGCTCTTTTTTTTTTCTTTTGCATAATCCTTCAGTGTATGATCCAAATCTTGGTGTATTTATAGAACGTCTGTGCTGCTACTTCACAAGTATCCACTTCTCAGACAAGTTGGGGCTGGTGTCACAAGGGGAAGTCTTGTTTCTTGACTTTTTTTCGTCTTTGTTTAACGGAAGATGTGTGTTTTTGTTCTAGGTATAGCCTTCTGGTGTCTGTTGGACATCGTGCCCATAAAGAATGAGAAAGGGGAAATGGTGCTCTTCCTCTTCTCATTCAAAGACATCACTGACACCCATGGAAAGGGACACCACAACAGCAAAAAGGACGGTAGGTTCAAGCCATGTTTATTGAAAAATAAATGTCCTGTTATTTGCTAAAATGCAGGATGATTTATGAGCAGGCCGTCCTCCGGCCCCCAGCGTATACTTTCTCTACACACTCCTGTTCATCACTGTCACATTCTGCGCAGCAGTTTTGTTTGGGCCTGTGTAAGATCACTGAACTCTGACAATGTTTTTGCAATGAGGAGTTAGATTTGGGCTACGAAGCGTCTTCAAATGGAACCTGGGTACAGTCTGGCACAAAAACCCAGCACCATGCCAGGGGGGAATTAACCGTCAATTTGTTATGATGCAAAGGAATGACAGCCAAAGTAATAAAAGCAGTCAGAAATATAAATGAGCTTAAAAATCTTTTGGCATAAATTACGCATCTGTGCATCAGGTTCAGAGGACAAGAGACGCAGGAGGAAGAGCAGCTCTCACTTCAGCGAGGCGAGGAAGAGAGGACGCACCATGTTGTACCACCTGACCAGACAGTTCTCACGGGGAGGCAAAGGAGAGGTCAACCTGGGCGGTGTGAGTACTCTTACCTCTCTCTTATTTCTCCTGACTGACTGTGAACTTCTCTCTGTGTGACCTGAAATGACCTTTAAGAAAAGAACAGCGGCAGGAGTAACTGAGATATGTAAGGGGCTGAGCTCAGACCTTGATTTAAATATTTTCAAGGCCGTAAACTTAAGACCACGAGTCATTTTTTTAAAATTAATACAGAAAAAAAGATGTTCCCATGTCGATTTCTCATTTAGAAAACAGAGACCACAGTGTTTACGATGCTGAAACTTGTCTTTACAAATAAGCAATTTCCCCAGATAATTATTCTCATGTTTCCATCGTTGGATCCCATCATGCACTGCCCTCATGTTCATGTGTAAGACATGACATTCCCTGTGGGCATTATGAGAGAAGTCTTGCCTCAGATTTCCTAGGTGAAGCTTTCCTCAGTGAGAATTTCATCAAATTGGTTTGCTATTTCCGCTCTCATGAATGTCATCTTGTTGTTGCTTTTCTTTTTATGGACGTTGTTGTTTGGCCATCATAAAATACCAAGGTCATGAAGTGAAGATGGCTTTTACTGCATTGAGGGTGTTATCGTTTTAAAGAAAGCTTTTTTTAGACTTTTCTGACACGACAATACCTTGCAAGCATGTCCCCTTACCTGAACCCTAATCCTTACCCCAACCTTGACGCTCTACCTGTTACCATCGGTAATGCTCCTACAGAGTATCACATTTATATAAGATGTATGATAATACATGAATAAATGCATGAATTTCCCTTTTTTCAGTTAAATGTCATTCATCTACCTTGAGAGGCTATTCCTTTTTGGTTGAATAGACCCTCACTGCGGTCAATTTTATGGCCACTTGTCTTATTTCAACAGAACAGAAACCTTCTTGGCCCTGAATAATAACTTACACTACAAGAAAATGTTATTCATGAGAATCAGCTCATGTTCTGCTCTGTGACACATAAGAGACCAGAGAAGCACCTTCTTCAGACTATCCTACTCACACCTTGCAGAAGCTCAGCCGCATTATCCAGGATCATTTTCAAACCTGTGCTTCACTGTGTGCCGTTTTTTTTTCACAGAGTTACAAGTCATCATTTTGATTTTTAAGGTATGAATCAGAATGTAAAATATATTTATAAAGACCGTGACACGAGAGTGATTCAGAGTGCTATAGTTAGAATCTAAAAATGAAAACTTTGCAAAGCTTATGTATAACTTTTAGAGGAATTCATTTGAATTTAAAGTGTTTTTTTTTTTCTAGCTTTTAAACTTAAAGACATTCGTTTCCACCCACCAAATAGCACTTCTGTCCTTTCTTCCTTCCCATTTTCTTCATGTTTATTTATGTTTTCCATCGTAACTCTAAGAGGAGAAGTTAGTTTGACAATCATGCAAATTTAGGAGAAAATCCCATGGTTATTAATTAATTCATATAAAAAACACCACATAGTCCCATGTTTTCTCTTTGTAAAAATTGAATATCGGGTACACAGTTTTCTGAAAACACTAATAAATCCCATCTCCCTGCTTTGCAAATCCTCCTGCTTCCAATCACACCTTCTTGCAGATGGTGTGCACACTGACACCACACACATACACCTGTTCCAGTTTTTTCTTCACACACACACACACACACACACACACACACACACACACACACACACACACACACACACACACACACACACACTCCCACCCAAAAAACATTCACACGTGTGTAACAGACCGTGATTGCTGTGAATGATGGCTTGCCCTCCCAGAAGAGCGCAGACAAACATATGGCCAAACGTCAACACAGTCAGAATCAGGTGCAAGTATTTATCATTCAAATTTTATTCAAGCGCTCACTGCAAGAGGCTGTGTTGTCCCACCAACACTGTGTCTTTTACACACATGGAAATATATTAAAGAGGGAAAGGAACCCAACACCGGATTTAACCAACCTACAGGACATAAAACTCACTAAAACGGCCGTTCCATGCAGGGGTGGAAATACAAGACAGCTATTTCCTCATTTATTTGTAGCCTTAGGGGCAGTTAGCAGCATAATGTACTCCCATAAAGCACCGGCACTGATTTAGTGCAAACCTGAGATAATGGAGCATTTTAAGTCAACGCAGCTAACTAGCTTTGGGATGCAAAACATATTTCTACTGTGAGAAAATAAATGAGGTGTATTCTGTGAGGTGATGTTTTTGTTTTTGAGGGTCTTTGACAGCTCACCTTACTTCATCTTGTGGTTCCCTCTGTTGTTTGGTAATCCTTATCTTGCACACCTGTCACCTGTGTCAGACAGATATAAGTGCAGGTTGAATGGGAACGACATGACAAGCAGTACACTGAAAACTGAAGGCGAGAGTGTTTGCTTGTGTGTATGTCCTGGCAGACCTATCTACAAGTATAAATATCACTTCACTGTCTTGATTTACATGATATGAATGATATAAATCTGATTACAAATGCAGCTCAGTGTACTGATGCCTCGTTAAAATGCAACGGTCTTCTTTGTTATTTTGAATTAAAAAATAAAATAAAAAATAATGTGAAATGTACATGTTTAAAAACTTAGAGAAAATTAAACCAGGCGTTCAGTCTGACAAATAAGTTAAACATGGCGTAGATAACTGACCGTCGCTATATGTCGCAAAACAGTCATTCACCGAATTACATTTATTTTCAAATTATCTTATAAGGCATCCAAAGACTTAATACAACAAGTAATTACCAAAACAGCACTTTACGGTCGACGTTGTTAACTTTAAACCCATTAATCAGAACAAAAGAAGCACGACCGAGTCATTATATTCACCATTAACTGTTGGATTTCATATTGAACCGTTGGTAACCATAGCAACAGCCGTCCCATTTACAGCAGCCCTGGCTACGCTAGTTTCACTAATTTCAAAAGCGGTCAAATTGAGCAAAAATTTTGTCAAACGCAGAGAAGAACAGAAGTATGGCGAGCCTTATCCATAACTTCATCTTGGTAAGTCGAGTAACTATCGCCGTGGTCTCCTGTCAGTCAGGACATGACTTGCTAGTGTAAACTGGTTTATATAAATTTGGATTAACTTGGAGATAGCATCGCTTCAAACAACAAAATACGCTTTTCAACAGTGTGTTAACTGCCCCTGTTGAAAGGTTTTGCCAATTCATTAGTATTCACAACATTAAATTGTTAATAACTTCGAACCTAACCAAAGTAACCTCCGGTATAAAGCTGTTTCCTAATCTCTCAACCCCACCCTCTTCAGTTTTCAGCCTTTTCTCCCCTCTTTGTTGGTTTTACACGTCTTCTTTTCCCCTCCATCTGTCACTCTAACCTCATCTTTTTTTGGCTTCATCCCTCTGGATCCTGCTGTCTCTCCTCATTCTGCCTGTATTGTCACTCGGTAGTCCCTCTTTACTTTTCTTTTCTTTTCTTTTCTTTAATATGGTCCCCCCCATTGCTAATGTGGCTCTGACTCACAGTCCGGCTCAAATTTTCATATGAACAATTGTAGTTCATCAGGAGACTATTAATTTTACACTTTTATACGAAATTCAGAGTTAATACTGTGTAACCGATCAGGATTTTTCATGTAAATGACAGCAGTTTGAAAAAATGTGATGCAATTCATAATGTCAGATTACCCTGTATGGAGAAGATGTCAAAGTCAAACACATGAATAATATAAGTCATGATATTATAACACCATTAAGGGTCATTCCCTGTGTAATGTTTACGTCTTACTGAAAATGCACCTGATATTTGAAATGTATAACCGCCTTTCTTTCTAATAGAGTAGTTTTACAATCTACTTTTCCTGCCTGACTTATCTCAAACACACTAACTCCACTGCTGCCTTCCTCCCACTCTGGCTATATTTTTCCCCATTTTGGTTCCTTTCCTCTCAGACTGTCTCTCCCTCTATCTCTTTCACACTGTGTCTCTCTCTATCTGTCTCCTAGTAGAAGCTCACTAACAAGGTGTTCATGCTCCTCACACCGAGGCCAGCCACATCTACCCTGACTGGGGATCTTTAAATAGGAGCGCAGCCAAAGAACGTAAAAAAGAAAAGATGTAATTTACAGATAGATATCTGTTAGCTGCTTAAAAAGATTGTGAATTTTCATTGCACTTTGTGTCCCAGAAGTTGCATACTTTCTAAAATGATCTACCAAACGCCACAGATCTCTCAATAACAATGCCTGTTTGAATTTCCCTTCCTGACTAAGTTGTTTTGAGGCTGTCAACCCAGGCATGTATTAGCTGCTGTAACCAATCCAAGGCACACTGACAGGAAGCTTTGACTTGATTTCAAGTAGTTCCCAGGAGAGAGCTGCTATTGCCTCTCTTAACTTTGATGCTCTGTGTCAAAGAGCTATAAAAGAGAAAAACAGTGCAATCTGGAGGTGTTTTTTGAAGTTATGGCTTCAATATTTCTTCACTTGTCTGGTACATATAAATCTAGTAGTCCGTGACCTGAGCTTTTTCTCATTTTACTATTTGAATGTTCTATTTTTATTTATACAATTTAGTTCAGCAAAAAAAAATGTAAGTCAAAGTTGGAAATGGCTGTACAGCTTTGTTATGCAAAAGTTGTTCAAAAAAGTTAAGTGTTGTTTTGGGAGTGAATTCTGATCCAGTGGCATTGGCAGCAGTTTTCATCCTCCTTCCATTAAAGCACACACCTGATTCAAATGATCAGCTCGTTATCACGCTCTGGAATGGCTTAATAACGAGCTGATCATTTGAATCAGGTGTGTTGGAGCAGGGAAACATCCAAAACATGCAGGACTCGGGGGCTCAAGGACTGGACTTGAGAACCACTGCATTAAAGACAGGCTTTTATCCACACTTAGGCCCAAAGCATGGTGGGAGATGTAGTTAGAATGGTAAGCTCTTGGGCGAGAATGTGAGATAATGAATTGAGAACACCAGCTGTAGCTGTGTGGCATGCCATCCCATGTGTCCACGCTGTGACTGAGCTTTTCTTTTCTTTTCTAATCACTGGATGTACCCAGCTGACTGCCGCTGGAGCTAGAGGTCGGGTGGTTGTCCTGACCTCAGTGATGTAAGGCAAATTAAAAAGAAAAAAGAAAAGAAAAAGCAGTCGTAGAAACAGCTTTTGCTGACATTGCTCCAACTATCACATTGAAGTAGCCACAGCTGTTTGTAACAGTCAGCGGGGTCTTTTCTTTCAGATTTGTAAGACTGTTAAAGCCTCAAACACAACAATTGATGTCAAGCCGCCACAATCAATACAGTTTTGAATGATGTTTCACCAAGGTTTGTTTGAACATTTTGCCTTGTGTTTTGTTTCAGTATTTCTCCCATTTTTGAGCAACAAAGGGTAGCCCAAGGTCCTCCAATTATTTCAAACAGACAGACAGTCAAAGAAATCTTAGGCTACATCTTCATTTTCCAGCTGCCTTTGGTTTTACCCACACCTGTTTGTGAAGTGAGCACATTGTTCTTGGATGGATTACCTCTCATTTATCTCCCCTTTCTGCCTCCTTCCCACTCCTCCTCCTGTCTTCACAGTTAAGGCTATTATGTGCCAAGTGCATGGCCTCATTTGGAGAGCTACAGCCTCATTATATTCAAAATGGACTCCCCAAAACCCATCAGAAGAAGGCAATTCATATTCTCTGCGATTGGATTTTTCTGACAAAAAAAATGAAACGAGTGGAATAAATAGATATGATGTTCAAAAATAAAAGCACTGAATGGTTCCAGCTGTCTCCATTCCAGAAAAATGGCTCAGCTGATGTTGCTCCTGAGACTTTCAGCCCTAATGGCATTTAGAGGAATGAGGCAAAGCTAAGGGCAAGTCAGGGAGGAAATGATGAGCAGTCACTTCTGGTAATAAGCGCCTCCCCAACTGACCAACACCCAATCTCTGCTGGTTTATTTTGTTAATGCACGGCCATTTTGAAGGTTTATCACTATCAATAAAAGGCTGTCATAAACAGATAACCAACCGCATTACCATATCTGTTTCACTTGAGTTCCCTTTCATACTGAATTGTGAATGGTCAGAGCACAAGAGAGTGTCCTGACATTTACACTGCAAAATCCTGGCACTGCAGCGTTCATCTGATTACCATTTATTTCCACTGCACTCTACCTTATGACCATCTGCTTATCAAATTATTCATTTATGCAGCTTCCATAATGAGCTGCTGTATATTTATCAGCACAAACTGGAAACTCAATAGGTTGTTAGTGTGCATATTAAGAAATAATATGTGTTTACCTCCTCTCTTACAGGGCATGATTGACAAGCCTTCGATACCAGAATACAAGGTGGCAGCAGTGCAGAAGTCGCGCTTTATCCTGCTGCACTACAGCGTGTCCAAAGCCCTGTGGGACTGGCTCATTCTGCTGGCCACCTTCTATGTGGCTGTCACTGTGCCCTACAATGTCAGCTTCACGCCATATGAAGATACAGTCACAGCTGCTCGCTCCACCATCGTCAGCGACATAGCAGTGGAGATGCTCTTTATTGTAGGTGAGTGTGAATGACAGACCCGATCGATCTACTGAATCAAGTTGGTTCGAAGTCGTGGTTCTGGTGTCATCAACACATTTCTATCAGTTTACTTTGACAGTCTAGTTTAATTCAGTCAACCCAGAAAACTCTCCAAATCTGGCTCATTTAAGATCAGTCATCCACAAACCTTTCATTTTCTTGCTCCCATTGCTGCAAAGGGCAACAGGGCAACAACCCATGGTTCATTTTCCCTGAAAGTTTCCCTACACTCTAAAAACCCCAGCACCAGGGTTGAAAAGGGACCGACTACTGATTGGGTTATTTTTACCCAGAATGTTGGGTTGACTCATTTACCCTTTTTAAGGGTCAAGTTAACCCAATCTTGGAGTTAATTTGACTCATGATCTTGGGTTAAATTGATATATGCATTTGGGGAGCTTTTTTTGGGAGCTTTGCTTTTGCAACCTGTATGGATGCAGCTTTAAATGGTACACACTCATGTTTATGAGGTAGGCCATAGAGCTAAGGGTCTTGCCTAAGGACCCACACTGGTAGATGTAGTTCGCTCCTTACAGATGTGTCTCATGCAGGATTGGAACCCCAACCCACCAAGTACAGTCAATCAGCCCGACATTCTGACCCAATTATTGGGTTATTCTCAGAAAAATAACCCATAATTATTAACCCATTCAAAAAACCCTCAAATTGGTGGGGTTACAATCGAATCCATATGACCCAAGAAATGGGTATGGATCTGAAAAATAACCCAGAAATTTAACTCAACTTGTATATCCCAGGAATTGGGTTGAAGAAATAACCCAAGAGTTTTTAGAGTGTAGTTCCAGGCAACCTGATTTTGTATTCCCATTAGGATCTACTGGATCTCACTCTGGTTACCTTCTTAGATGATGATGCTTTGTTAACCTTCAAAAAGGAGCATCTAAGGGAATAAATTAATGTAGTTAAACCATATATGCAAAACAGTTAAGTATCTACAGGCTTAAGCTCAACTCACTTTGTGTATTTAGGGTTCCACTAGATTGCTTAATACCTTGCCTTCGAAGGAGCAGGGTTTATGTGAAATGTAATCTCTCTTCTAGAGTAATCTGGCTTATTATTAAGTGAAGAAATGCAAAAATGGAATCAACCTCATGAAGTGTTGCTGTGGATGCTCTCTAAAATACCAAACTCTGTCACTTTCTTTCTATTGTTACGAAACTTCTCAAAACAGAGATTGAGACTGAGTGATGAGCCATCATCCCAGCTAATATTGACAGCATGGATGACAGATGAGGCTTTGGTTCGTCAGGGCACACACACACAAACACACACAAACACACAGAGCGAGTTCTGCCTATTCGGGTACTTGTCACATTTTGACACAGAGGTCAGATGACTTCTCTGGTAAATCTGCTGATTCTTGAAAATGATGACATGCACCAGCTGACTCAGTTTTTCACCTCAATTAAGATCAGCCTTACCTTATACTCTTTGTGTGTTGGTATCCCAACACGATCACATCACAGATTTGTGTATTTAATCATTTAATTATATGAGAGGAATATTAAACAGTAACCCTTCAGCACTGCTGTTAACCCCTGTCTCCTATGGAAAAAAAAGTCACTCTTTCACCTGTTAAAGTCACTGAAAATAAAAACATTAATGCTGCCTTTTGACCCTTTTTTTTTTCACAGACATGATCCTTAACTTCCGCACCACCTATGTGAGCCAGTCAGGGCAGGTGGTGTATGAGTCACGCTCTATTTGCATTCACTATGCCACCACCTGGTTCTTTGTGGACCTGGTGGCTGCCCTGCCCTTTGACCTGCTGTATGCCTTCAACATCACAGTGGTGAGTTTAAGTCTGCAGTTACATGTTCCGCTTGCACTGTTTCCCTGACCCCTGTGACTGCTGACATAGGCAATAACATGATAACCTCAAAATAATACAGCCCTTTGAAATATATTTAGCCTTAGGGAGGCATCAAACATCACTTTGCGCATGGCTGCCAATGTCACTGCAGGCCTGTGAATTGAGTACACACTGCCTTTATACCAGATAGGCAAATTTGTTTGAGAAAAATCCCTGCTTGTCCAAGCTGTTATTCTCAGCTGCGTGTTGTTGACAGTCAAAGAGTCTTTCAAGTTATTTGGAGACAGAGTGGTTCACTTTTTATCTTCTTCCCTCTGCCGCTATGCCCCCATGACCGCCTCTCTTCCTCAGACCTCTTTAGTCCACCTCCTGAAGACCGTACGCCTGCTGCGCCTCCTCCGTCTTCTCCAGAAGCTGGATCGCTATTCTCAGTACAGCGCCATGGTGCTGACCTTACTGATGTCTGTGTTTGCCTTACTGGCACATTGGATGGCCTGCATCTGGTACATGATTGGACGCAAGGAGATAGAGACCAATGACTCCTGGGAGATTGGTGAGTCTTACTGAAACCTGGCAGAAGTTTGCAGATTTAACTGCGGTGTTTTCTCAGCCAGGATCAAAATATAAGCTTTTCCCTTTTCTGTAACAAAGAAATGAAGTGATGGTTCCATCTGATGTTATATCAATTTTTTGTCTTCTGACTGGAATACATCCAATGAATAATTAAACTGCTAATTTCATGGCTTTGACTGAGTGCTGACTGCACAGATTTGATTTAGTCACCATATGTTCCTTGTAAGCCCATTGTTTCTTTGTTTAAACAGCAAAAACTTCCAACAAATAAAACCATAAACCAGACTGCCAACACAGTGAGTAGACATTTGTTTTGTCCCCACTCAGCTATAAATAGTCTTGGCTAACCTATAGGGATGTCTAGTTCTGCTCAGTGGAGAGCTGGTGGCAAACACCATACTCTAATGAGGACTGTCTGAAACCAGATCAAAAGCTGATAGAAAAAAATGACTGCAGGAAGCAGCGCACTGATATGTTGTTTCTGTCACTGTGTTTGAAAATGGTTCAACATGGGGACCGGAAAAACAAAATCAGAAGCTGGCTGTTGTTTCTTTTTCTATAAATAAGTCATATCTGAGAGCTTGTCTTATTGTTTACACAAGTGCCTATGACAGATCAAAGTGTATATGTAACCGTATGCAGACTTTTATTAAGGCCAAAATGAATAAAAGCAAATGACGTGTTTAATCCTGTATCACAAACAGCCCTCTACCATTCATAAGAACAATAAACAGCAGCATATTGTGACTTCCTGTCGAATCCAGCATTATTAAATCTCTGCTCCACTTTTTTTGGGTGATATACCTTTTTCAGTATTTGTCTGAGTCCATACAGTATTTGTGTAAAGTTCATTATCAGTATACTCTCTCTTTAGGGAGGTTAGGTCATCACTACTAATTAACACTTGGCCCCTTACATCCTTGGAGGGGCCAACCTAATTCTACTCTGCCCTGCACTGACATGCTGGCCTCCTGACTGTTGAAAATGTTACACTCACACACAAAGACTCTAACATACACTTCTGCTCCTAACAAACCCTGTCACACTGACCCAAGGGGGATTCAAACCATAACCTTTGGATATTATTCTCATTTAAGGATGGCTCCATGAGTTGGGTAAACGTCTAGAGACACCCTACATCAACAGCACAGTTGGTGGCCCGACGGTACGCAGCTCCTACATCGCTGCCCTTTACTTCACCCTCAGCAGCCTGACCAGTGTGGGCTTTGGCAATGTCTGCGCCAACACCGATGCTGAAAAGATCTTCTCCATCTGCACCATGCTCGTTGGCGGTATGTCTTACACCAGGGTACATTCTCCCTCTGGCGTCCTGGCATGACAGCGTCTGTGTTCAGCGCGCAAGGGCAAGATATTCTGCAGGAAGTGGTTTGGCTGGCCTTTAAGAAGCAGCTTGTTGCCTTATTCGTACCAAAAAGCAGACTATTTTAGCTGAGGTGGCAATTTAATGGTGTGACAACCATGAGGATAATTACTCTGTGTTTTTTTTTTTAACTCAAGCTGCTTGTCAGGACGGTGAAACAAACTAAGCTTTATATTACTTTGGGCACTGTTAGGGAACTTAAACAAGGCAAGAAAAAACCAAAAGTCAAGTTTCTGTTTATTTAAGAGCAGAAAAAGTCACCCAAAGAGTAGTTTTTTTCTTTAAGTTGCAATTCAGCCCCTTAAAATAATAATATGCTGAATGATTTTATGATTATTTACTGCTTTTAACACTATTTCTTTCCTGCTCTCACACAGCGCTGATGCACGCCCTGGTTTTCGGCAATGTGACAGCCATCATCCAGCGAATGTACTCGAGGCGTTCTCTCTACCACACTCGCATGAAGGACCTAAAGGACTTCATTCGTGTCCACCGTCTGCCTCAGCAGCTCAAACAACGCATGCTGGAGTACTTCCAGACCACATGGTCAGTCAACAATGGTATAGACGCAAATGAGGTAGGCATCCCTCTCGTTAAATTATCATATTACACTTCAGGCTTAGAGGAAATGCTAGTATCATATGTAAACTCTTAAACATGCCCTACAATCCATTCGAATCCCTGTGCTGCTAGAACTGTTTATGATCTGTCACAGCCCATCCCTGCCTGAATGCCATCAATTGACATTTTATTAAAATTCAAAAGAGACTAACTGGTGGCAACATAGTCCACTCCCTAATTACAAATCACTGTCACAGCTCATTACATCTGTCACGCATCCCCCAGCTCCTGCATGACTTTCCTGATGAGCTGCGGGCCGACATCGCCATGCATCTGAATAAGGACATCCTCCAGCTGCCGGTCTTTAAGGGAGCCAGTCGTGGCTGTCTGCGCTCGCTCTCCCTCCACATAAAAACCTCATTCTGTGTCCCCGGGGAGTATCTCATCCGTCAGGGTGACGCGCTGCATGCCAACTACTTTGTCTGCTCTGGGTCTCTGGAGGTGCTGAAAGACAGCATGGTGCTCGCAATATTGGGTTAGTAATTACTGTCAAGCACCTTCTTTGGCACCATGGTTAGGGATTATTCAGTCAAAGAAATAGGCAGGCAAATAAATATTCTTTGTTTTGCTCGTAGGAAAGGGAGACCTGATCGGCTCTGACCTTCCCGGAACAGAGCAGGTGATCAAAACTAATGCTGATGTGAAGGCCCTGACATACTGCGACCTCCAGTATATCAGCGTGCGAGGCCTCAGAGAAGTGTTGGAACTTTACCCCGAGTATGGCAGTGTGTTCGCGTCCGACATTTTCAACAACCTCACCTACAACCTGCGCGAAGGCAGCCAGGAGGAGGTATGAAACTAACACTTATCAGTTATCTGATTAAACTATTGCTCGTCCCTGGAGGTAGCCCACCATGATTTTATTCACTTGCTTGTATATTGATGCCTACAGTTGGCAGTTTTGACGTCTTTTTTCTCTAGACAGTTGAGGGATGCAAATTGCTGTATCTCATGACAATTTGAGTGGATAGCATCAATCAAAGGTAGCCAAGCATTAAAGCATTGAAGCATATCCAGCTTCATTGTTAGTTTTGCTCTAAAGCAAACCATATTTTACAAAAGGAGCATCATGCTGTATTGGGGAAAACTGGAAACCAAAGATTGGGTTCTTACCTCATTAGAAACATCTTTACAAGGGTATAGATCAACTTAAATGTATGGTTATTTCCACATCTGGTCCTTACAAATAAAATTACCATTACTAACTTATTTATGCAACTATTGGTGTTTCCAGTAACACTTTGCAGTTTCTGGAATTTCTTGTCTGTGTTTTAGTATTTGTGACATTTAGAGCTCCTGTAAGAGGCTTAAATTCACATTGAGACCTTTTTTATGATAAACAAATGTGAATAAGACCATCAGCAGCAGGACTGACTATTTTTATCTTGTCATTTTTAATGGCTATAAAACCTGTGTGAAGGGTTAGGTGTCAGTGGAGCAGCTGAATAAACAAGTTTGACTTTCAAAAGTCAGCAGGATAGGTTTCTTTGTTAGAGGACACTGTTTGAGCATGTAAAGGACTAAAGATAAGTGAAGACTGCCTTTCCAATGGGGGGTACCAAAACTGACACAATCTGAAAGATTTATCAGTAGCCTCATTTTATTTTGTCAGGCTTTGCTCACAGTGCAGAAATTCGTGTTCTGCATTTGTATTTTCTTTATTAAGCATCAACAACCCACACTCCACCCACCCACTAACCCCAGGTCATAATTGTGGCCTCAAATTTAGCAGTAACTGGCTGAAACGGTCGCCTTCTTTAAAATATTCCTCCATCAATCCACATCGAATATTCTCTACATCAGCTCAGTCTTTTGTCTGTGTCTTTTCTTGGGTCACTGCAAATGCTCAAAGTGTTATTGATAGGTTACATTTAGTTTAAAGGGAATTAGCCATTTAGCTGTGATTTTAATCAGTCAATGAAAGTGGTTTTTTTTTTTTTCCCCTCACCACAGGCTGGAGCATAAAGCACAGCAGACAACACATTTGTACCCCCTAGGTGCCTTTGTCACTCTAGTTGACACTTGTTCTACCACAGCATCCAAAGCCCTGTTGGTGACTTGATTGTCACACCAATTACTGCGCATGGGTTCCACTGTCAGCCAGCCATATCACTTCCCTGTTGCCACCCCAAAGCACAGTAGGATGACATTACACCCAGACACTGACCCCCTCTCAGTGCTTCATGGAAGCCCCAACAGTTATTTAAGAAAGCATTACGTAAGGCCAGATAATCTTCCCTGGGTGGAGAAAAAAAATGCCTGTTGATGCTACACATGTAGCCATGTTTTCAGGCAGAGTTACATAATCTCTCTAAAGACGCAGCTCCAAACCTTCAAATCGAATAATTTCATTAATTCAAGCAACAGAGCAGAAAAGGTTGATGACTGTTTTTGCATGGCATTTTTTGAGCCATTGGATCAAAACAAATTAATGCCCAGGGTTACTGATGTGGGACTTACAGAGCTCTAAATGCTCATCCTTATTGTCAGTCAGAAACATTTGCACTCGTCCGAGGCAATTCTCAGCGTTTTCACAGACTTTTCATTTAGTGGTTGTAGTTTTATTTTCATTTGGTTTCAAAAGAATAGGACATCTGTGCTGACTATGCTCATTACAGGATTATTTTTTTTTCCTTTGTATCAGGCATGTGGTGAGAGACCAGCTTTGGCTGTGTTATTTGAGAACTTCAAAAACAGAATGATTATGTCTAAGTATTATAGACATCATTTTGCATTCACCAAACCCATGACGGAAACCTAGGAAGGGTGGCCTCATATCTGAGAATTGTATTGGGTTTACAGATGTCCTATAGAAGTATATGTTATTACATCACAAAGGTATTAATATTATCCTAGTCTGATCATGAGTACTACCTCTCTACTTATTTCACACCATCTGCTCTGAGTTTAAAACACAAAGCCAGGGCACTAGCACCCCTTGGACAGGAAGAAGGTGCTACCAAGTGAGGCTGCCAGGTCTTACAAACCCATGATACTCTCGCACACTTGTATATATTTGCACATATACGCTCACGCTGGTATCATTTAAGTTGGGAGTTGCAGGACAGTGAGTCAGGTTACACTCCAGGGAGGTTTCAGTGGTGTATGATGAATTAGTCAGTTGCAGTGAAATTCTGCCAAATAAACAGATTGTAGAAATGCCCGTTACTGTATGAGAGATATGAAAGGGGTAATTTTATCTGGTCTAAAAGGGGAAATCCCATAAGCCCAGATGGTAATGAAGGTATTTGATTTGTTTTGAACTTTCACTGCAGGAGTGTCGATTAACCTTAACCCAAATGTTACAGTACGGGGGGGTTCGTCATGATGACGAACATTCAGGGAGTTTCACCTTCATCTGTCACTGTTGTAACTGTAGTATTATGGAGCTTTACAGCAAATTGCAGAAAGCTATTAGGCGTGCAGATTTACTGTTTCTTTTCACTCTTACAATCATCCATTTGGTGAAAAAACAACCCCAATAACATACTACATATAGGTGAATATACTGGTGTATTTAACAGGTAAAGAGGCATTTGAACATTTAATCAGTAAAGCCAAAAATCAGAGACCATATTTCCAAGCTGCTCAAACTGCAACTCCACATGAGCGAAGATATGTCTGTTGTGTTGCCAAAAAATCTGTTATTGCAGAGTAAAGATAGCAGGTTTGATTATCTGGTATGGTTTTAGTTGAGTGCATTAGTGAATGGCTGATTTCTTAAGAGTTTAATGGGGAAAATAAGTGAGTGTGCCTCCTAGACAAACTGGGAAGGTCATTCCACCACCAGGGAGCCAGCACTGAGTCAAAATTTGTTGGACTATAATCACCATACGCTGCAGGGAGAGTTAAGTAGTCAGTCCTCATGCAGTGTGAAGAACAAGCTGGTCAGTCAGGAGTTATAGGGACCATTCAGCCCCCCTCGGAGCTTCAAATGACAACAACAGTTTAACAAAGTTGATAAGAACAACAACTGAAAAGCAGAGACGGGAGGGCTGGAGCTTTTATAAAAACTAGAGATGAGCTCAGTGTTTCTTGACACAGTGGACTAGATAACAATTCCTGTCAGGAGTAGGCTGAATCAGTGTGTAGAAGACAAAAACAAATGTCTCATCAACTGTCCCAGGTGGCTTTTGCTACAAATTTCACAATAGGATCAGTTTCAAAAAGAAACAATAGAAACAAACAAAGCCTTGGAATAATAATAATGAATTTCTAACCAAAATTCTTTTTGTATTTTTCTTTTTATCATGTCTTTATTTAATAGTTTGGTCACACTTTATTTGACACCTATCTTTACAACGCATTATAAATATATGTATGATATGTTATAATCACGTTATAGCACTGTATAACTATAGTTATAAACGCTCATAAATGATCATAATGCTTTATAGCAATAATCAGAACACATTATAAAGTATTTTATCACGACTTACAAGGTCAGGTATTATAATGTGTTATAACTGTTCACAAGTCACTGACAATGCCCACATTGATAATGCAATGAAACTGTTGTTAACAGTTATAACACATTACAATACCTAATAAAATGCTTTATAATGTGTTTTGTGTATTGCTATAAAGCATTATGATCATTTATGAGTGTTTATAACTATAGTTATACAGTGCTATAATGTGATTATAACGCGTTTTACATATATTTGTAGATATCTGTAGATATGCATATCTGTAGAGATATGCATCAAATAAAGTGTTACCAATAGTTTCTATAATCTGGTATGGAAATTCTTGTGTTCTTATAAAATGTGAAAACACAGCACACTTGGGAGAGATAAAAGCAAGTCCTTCAACCAGACTTCTGCAAACCCACTTTACAATGTAGGACAGTTGTGGTAATAGTGCTCTATTAATTGATGAAAATGCTCAATTAAAATTGTTTGACCCCAATCTCCTCATCATGGATATCATGACATGTCGCTCCAGGGTTTGTTTTCCCCGTGACAAGAATTTTGAACAGTCTCACACGTTTGTCCCTTCAGCTTCTTACATACCACCAGAGGAAGAGATGCCAAGTTTATATATGGGGTTGTATATCATAAAGTGGTGATTGGTGTTCGTACTCAGTAATTGACTTTCATAGAGTACTAAAATTAAACCTTTTTTTGGTGAAAGAGCAACAGACTGGGGTTTGTGTTGTCATGTTTAGCCATGTTGTCAGTTTTCACACATGACAGAAGAGTTCGCACTTCCACTGTTTCATTTCCCATGCTGCTGTAATTACACCAAATTGCATCCAATTTATATAAACACCAGTAGAAAAAGCAGCCTTCACTAGACTCCATCTGCAGTCGGGTTTTAAAGACAGTTCTGTGATTCAGCTTGGAAAAAGGCAAACAGGTGCAGAGTAAAAATATTCAACACTAATTTTTAAAAATCCAAAGACATCACTGAAATCAGTTTTAGGTCCAACTGAAACTTCTTAACATTTAAATCACAGAGGCTTACAAAGACTCATGAAAAACACAGTCTTACTCGAGTTGTAACAATCTTTAGAAGGTGGCACTCACCAACACTTGCTGCAATGTGTGAAAAAAGACCTGGATCTAAACTATGTTGGATTCGCTGAACTTAATTTCACACAAATAGTTGTACTGTTGATGTCAAGAGCGTAAATGAAGAGGAAAATGCACTCAGCATTTCAGTTAGAGCTCCAGATGGAGATACAATAGTGTAGTTTGATAGATGACAGTGAACATAACATGAACTTTATAGATTTTTTCACAGAGGTACCTTTGAAGATAAGCAAAAAGAGTATATATTTGAGTAGGTGAAGTACATCTAGCATAAGCTGATGTCATTTGTGATCCCTGTGGCTCTGTGCTTTTACTCCTGCAGGGTCTCAGCAGGTTTTCAAGGTCCCCCAGGCTTTCTCACGTGAGTTCAGATAAATACTGTCATCATCTCCTCCTTGAGGTGTCTTAAATCTTTATTTTTCGAAAATGCATGTTTTTTTTTTATTTCTAATAAAACTCAGATGCAAAATAAACTCACAAAGCCTGTTTTTAAATCTTATTTTTGAGTTCAAGGTGCATGAGCGTCCTGCATGTCAGTCTCTGTTTTAAAGCATGCTTGTGTCTGGATTTGTGAAACCCCTGTATGTTTCTGGGACACACTGTGTTGCTCAGGTTTGGTTTAGGTGAGGACTTCCCCTACAGGTTGAAACTCATTTGGATCACAGATATTTTGGTCCCTGGAGTTAGCTTGCTAACTGGGTCAGTCGCTCTCATTATAGGAAACCTTATGAGCTACTTTTCTCATTACAGTACTTACAGTTTGCTTATCTCCTTGCCTTATTTCTCTGTTATTTAAATGCTGTTAACAGTACTCTCTTGGTCTGTTAAAGTTCTACTTCATCTAATATTTATTGTTTTTTCCCCCCACAAGCCACAAAGGCAGGCACAGTTAGAGCGTAATAGATTTTTAACAGGATTAAACTAATGGGATGAAAAGATCATCAGCTGTACCTCATTAAAATCATGGTGACACAATAATTGCTCTTTAAATGCAAAATAAAACCAGATGTTGTCACATGCAGGGTATTTGAGTTGGCATTTTAAATTTCTGATTATTAAGCTAACAGTTACTTAAGTTGCAAGTTGTGGTTTTTTTTGCTTTGCAGGAGCCCAGACTCCCCTCCATCATTGAAACAAAGGGAGATGTCGCTGACGACTCCTTCCACCTCTCTCCAGCCACCCGCTCTCGTCGTAACCTCCACCTGCCAAGTTTCAGCAGCCCCGTCCGCCGCACCTCCCTGGGAAACCTCCTCGGGGATGAGCTGAGGCAGTTCAACGCCCTGCGACGCTGCCGTTCGCCCAACCTCAACCGGGGCTCTCACGGGCAGAACTCCTCCCCTCAACCGTCATCCAAGAAAGAGCACAGCACGCCTGCAGCAGCCTCAGCTCCAGCATCAACCTCAAGTTCAAGTCAAGGAGAGTTCGGGGCTGAGCAGAAACCTTCTCAGCTGCTTATCCCCACTGTTACCTGCTTTGCACCCCCAGATCTGAGTCCCAGGTATTGTGCAATTTTCATTAATCTAATCAAAATTTGTTTAATCAACTATGACACTATTAGGGACTGACCAATTTATTGGTGAGCCAATTAAATCGGCCAAAACTCGCCGATTTTCGCCAATATTTTCAGAAATAAAATGCGAAGAATAAGATTTGATTTCACTTCAAAAACGTTCCGCCTAGTTGAAAACGCTTTTCTAGTCCAAGTTTGATCAGTCGGTCTTCCTCTCAGCGTGAAGAGCAGTAGCCTACAGGATACCTACAGTAGCAATATAGTTTACTGTAGATATCTACAGTATATATATATATATTTTATAACTTCATACAAAAATTTAAAAATCGGCCGATTAATCGGTAATCGGACCCCCCCCCCCCAGCCCTAATAACCGGCATCCCCCCCCCCCCCAAAAAAAAAACATATTGGTTAATTTAATGACCAATGACCATATTTATAAATGTCGAACAAGTACGACTTCTTCAATGCTGCACATTTGAGCTGCATGGTTGTTATAGAGAACCATCAGACTGTAAACTTTATATACTGAGTCTCAAAATGAGCCAAGTGTTCAGAATAGTGTCTCTTTTGGAATAGTCAAAAATAGTCAGCCCTTTATTTAGCCTAGCTGTATTCTTAAATACACGTACATGTAGATTGAAACACTGAAAAAGTGGTGGACCATAAACACGTAATACCCGGCTGACAAAACCCTGAAAACCCCTGGAAAACTAGATCCTCTCACATGTTAAACATGACAGAGACCAGCTGATAAGTGGAGGTTGAGCTAATGTGTTAAAAAGACACAAGGAAAGAATGGATGGAGCTTATTTTCAAACAAGCAAATCTGATTTAAATGCTAAAATTCTGATGAGAATAGCGCCAAGGTGACCCAGTTCTGATACCGTTAAAGCAGCTAAGATTTTCAAAGTAATGTGTCGCAGTAATGGACACCTAAAGTCATGCTTAAAAAAGCTGCATCATCCACTTAATGTAAATGGAGTTTATTAGAATTGCATATTCCAGCAGATGTCACTGCATTTCATTAATAGAGCACCCTATCCTCCTGCCCCGACCATCTGTATTCATAATGTATCTCTAAGTCATCCAGTAAGTCCCGGAGATAGGTACATGCTGGTTCAGAGAGCTCAGGTATCCTCCCCCTCCAGACAGGGCGCTTCTCCTCATGTTCAAACCCTCATGTTCCTCTGCCAGCAGCAGCTCTCATGGCACATATCTGGGTAGCTGCTGGCTCTGGTGACAATTGAAAAAGCCTCTACTGTTACATTAACTCCAGCTTCCCTCTTCTTCACCCCTCCTCACTGCCAGGGTGGTAGATGGCATCGAAGACAATGGGCACACGTTCCATTTCAACGTGGAGCACAGCAGGCCCAAAGCCAGCACAGGAGGCAGCGCCCAAGGTAAGCAGAACGGCCTCCAGCTGCGAGGGTCACACAGGTGCCAGATGGCTTGAGAGTTCAAACAGTTGATAGGACAACTCTGCGCTGCCTCCTTCTGGGGAAACATGAGAGCACAGAGAAGTGAAATGACAGCAGGGTGTCGGAAGAGTCAGAGAACATGCTAAAGGACAACTGAGGTCAAAGCAGGGCACAGATCATGTGACCTGAGCTTTCACTGAAGATCACTCTGGCATGAATATTGCATTAAGTTCAGCCTGAGTCCAGCTAATTAACTTGAGTAAAACAAAAGCTCAGTTAGAGAGATTTATTCAAGTGCACACTGTAATTCATACAGTCGGGGGCTTCAGAGCTTGCCCTCCTATCGCATCTTGTTTTCCCTTTCTTTAGCTTGTGCCTCATTGATTTTACAAAACCGCCATCTGCTTTCATAAGAGTGTTGTTGAAAGTCTTGCTGAGCTTCTTTATTTTATATCCTGTAACACACTGGAGAAACATCGCTTACCCAAGACACTTTTTACATCACTTGTGAAAGCTATCAATAACAGTTAACATAACTCCACACCTTCAACAGGATGGAAATTGATTTCTGAGTTTTTTTATTTTATTGGAATAGTGATTCAATATTTGAAGTTGAACTTGTTGCTGCTGTGGGAAAACTTATCAGGGGATCTGCTGTAGCTGTAGCTGCCAGGCTCAATAAATGCAGAAAGAAAGAAAGAAAGAAAGAAAGAAAGGAAGGGGGTGCAGAGTGTTAGATGTTTTGGGGTAGCTTTGAATTTACATTTATATAACATTGCTTTCACTTCACACATCACATCACTTAAAATTCAGCTTTAATAACATTGTTGAAACCTCTGTAGCATTTCTAAATGATGAGCTCCTTAAGGTTTTTTCTCCCGATTTTTTTCAGATTCTTCTCAGGCTAACGCCACTCTGCTGCAGGAGACGGAGGAGGTCAAACAGAGCATCAGTCAACTCAACCACAAGGTCAGATACAGCCTGTTAACACACATTAAAACTGACTGGACCAACATAGTTTGGAATAGATCTGTCTGAAAAGTATTTTTGTGTGAGACAGAAAATGAAACACAGCAAGAATTAATGATGGTCTGATAGAAGTTGTTTTTAATATGGGGACCAGCTGAACTTCATTCATTAATTCATCCTGTCCAAAATCGTCCATTGGCTTCATTCTATGAGATCAGTTTCTGCTTAATTTGGTTATAGAAGAAGTTCAAGCAGGTGCATTGTGAGGATCCAGATGGGCCCAGGTAGCTTCTGTCTGAAGTCGATATTAATTAACCAGCAGGGCACTATCTGCATTGCAGCGGGTAGCAGGGAGTGCTGACTCAACGATCTAAAAAAAAAAAATCTTGACAGCAGTGTACTCTACTCGTGGCCCTGCTCTGGCCCTCTCTCCCCTCCTGTTCCACTTCCTTGTTCCTGGTCTTCTGTCTTCTCTCGCCCCTATTTGCGTCACTTACCTCAGCCTGGGTCCCTCTGGACTTTTGGGCCGTGGATGAAGAGGATTATGAATAATGTGGTCCTTTTTTGGAAGGTCATCAGAAAATTATGTCTGGACATGAGGCTGAGATTAAAACTCAAAATAGAAGCAGATTCGTTTGAGAGTGCGGGGGATTTAAATGGGCAGAGCTGTGAATGTGTAATTCACCAATTTTTCTGTGTTGTTTAATTAAAAATGTGTTCATTCTCTCTCAGATGGGCACATTAAACCAGGAAGTATCAGAGCTTGCCAAAGGCCTGCACCACATGCTGCACCTCCTCCAGGCCCATGTGACTCTGCAGCGCTACAACACTTCCCACCCCTCATACTCATGCAGCGTAGCCTCCAACACCGGCATACCCTTTAACCCTGCTCCAAACTATCACTTCCACAGTGATCCTGGGAGCCGTGACAGCCACCAAAGTGTCCCAGCTGCAGGCCGCTGGAGTTTCAGTGGAGCTTCTGAAACCCAAACACAGACCCAACACAGACCTCAGTCCTCTAGCCCACCTGCTCCCTGCTGTCCAGCCCTTTCTGTAAACCCTGATCCCAGGTTAGGCCCATGTCATGTCTCTGAGAACACTAATCTGTGGACCGGCCCATCTCTTCTTGGCCTAAGCTCAGGCTTCCAGAGTGGAGGTCCAGGCATGGCGCTTTGTAAAGACTCTGAAAACAGACCTCTCAGCGCGAGCCCAAGCAGCATCAGCCGGTCCCAGCCCAGTCTGTGCCTGCAGCCTCCCAGTGACAAGAATGAACTTTCTTGCCTTTTCTCCAGCGCTCTCACAGGCGCGTCAACACAGAGCCTGCTGGACTCATCACCCAGTTCTTACCCCAACCTCTGCTTGCCCTCAAAGTCCCATCTGGACTTATCACTAGCCCCACATGAGGACATTTGCGATCTCATGTCCGCTCCAGTATCAAGTAACCTGACCCAGGACATCTCAATCTTTCAAATTGAGGACTCGAACCCCTCAATCCACCCTGTGTCTGTCTCACCACCAACATCACCCGGTCAACCTCTTAGATCCTCCCTGGATACAGGATCACCCCTGGGCGACCCGTCCGCCATAGAACACACCAGTCTGGAGTGCCTACTGGGGAATGGGGGCTCAACAGAGAGCAGAGACAGTGAAAGTGTGTCATCGCGGAGGTCCAGCATCGGCGTGCAGACTCAGAGCACAGAGCAGTCGTGGTGTCTGGACCTTACAGATTGAAGATGCTACAGGAACAGTCGCTCTGACTTCACCGCAGCTAAAAAAAGACACTCAAGTCTTTAAACTGCAAATTTTGACAGTGTTTTCAAGATTTCTGCGTGCTGTATTTCCTTCTGTCTTTCTGAGCTCTAATGTTCATCAAACTACACAAAATCAACACTGTTTCTATGCAAAAGCATGTCATTGTGCGTTGTTGCGGCTTTACTGAAGTGTGTCTTTAAGAAAAAACTCCCACAGCTGTGGGTTCCAGTATATACTGTATATTTTTTCCAACATCCTTGAAGCATTTTGCAGTTGATACTACCTGTTACCTCCTTGCATGGTAAAGTTGTTTATTCTTTTTCCTAAGGAAAAGGTTTCAAAATCAATGTGTAAGCATTCTACATGACACCTTGTTGATTGTGTACACAGATGCTGTATTGAGACAGGTGAGTTGTTGGATGTTTTAAGATTCCAAGGGGCAGAAATGACACATTTATGTGCATCTCTCAGCATAGATTGGCTGTTGTTTTATATTGATTTTTTTTCTGTTCCAGTTTTTTATTTGTGAGCTCTAAGACGACATACTTTCATCTGAATTAGATGATTAAATTCAGTTATAATTCCATTGAACATCTCCAGGTTTACACCCTACTACAGATCCTGCTGGGCATTCAAATTAGTCTTAATTTTTTACCTTTTGTCAATTTATTAGAGGAGGTGCTTAGAAATAGGTGAATTATTTTTCCTCAAAAAAGAAAAACTTCTGTTTCATGGATTTACAATTCTGTAAACACAAAGTACGCAATGATTAGATAAAAATGACTAAATATACATATTAGATGAATAAATCAGTCCCATGCTATAATTGTGGTATATATGGTCTTTGAATTACAAAGTTTGAACGCCTTTCTGGGAAAACATACTAACTCTTTAAATTCACAAGATATTCAGAGTATTCAGGAACTTTGTTCTTTTTGAATGATTTCTCCTTGGCTGACAAATAAAGTATGCAGAAATGTATGAATGTGTCTTTTACTGCGATGCTACACATATCATAGTTTATGTAAAAAAAGTCTGTAAACTTGAATCTTTGACACGTTACTTTCAAACCTCAAGGTACAAATGCATTCAGTTTTATGTTCTACCGGAGAAACAAAAGACAGGCACAGTGGTCAGTGTAGATGTGGGTTCAAAATAGTGTTTGATATGAGTATTTAGACCAAAATGTTCATCATAACTTTCATCAAATTAACATAACAGGGTGTATTACTCTGAGTTTGACCATAGACTGTTAAACATTAGATTTCTCATCTATAAAAGTTCCATACGAGGCATTGAGTTTGAAAAGTGTCACATAATTTCTCCTTTCTCAGAAACTTTAAACCTAATAAATAATATACAGAGTTCGTTACAAATTATAATTGCAGATTATTAGTGTAAGCGTGGTACATACACAGTTTACAATCTGATTCATGTCAGGGTAAATATTTATAAAACAACTGTAAGGACAATGTGCTGGTAGAACTGGTCTGTATCTATCTGGGTGCTACACACTAACAGACTGCAGGTCATTCATTCTTATGCCATTGTTTGTGACACAAACAACACAGACAAAAAAAACTGTCATGGGTATTCATTTGTTATTACAGAGCACATCTGTGCAGGCAGAAACAGTTACATAGACTGACAGCTGATCCAGTGATGATCAGATGACATTCTAACAGACTTCACTCCATGTGACGCTCCAGAGGACAGGATTTCTCTTTGGCTTTAAAAGTATTTCCTCATTCCCTTTCTTCATTTCCTTAACTCTCTCCATTTGGAAAAAGTCACAAGTGGGTGACTTTACATGAATGCAACTTAAGAGGCATGTAATGTAGCCCATGGTGGAGATGGCATGGCACTCTTACAGCATGTAATAAGAGTACGTTGGGATAAGGTTCTCTGAAATAGCCAATCATCATTAGGGATTTTGGAGTCACTGCTGGCATTTCCCAATCAAAAAACAAAGAGGGTATGGCCCCCCATGACCATCCTCTGGATCTGCCCCTGCTGAGAAAGGCAGATAAAGTTGAATAACACTCAGTTCTTTAGTACAAACATTCATGTTAGAGCCAATTATTACGTTAACCTGTTTTTTTCTGGTTGACTGGTGTGCAAGATTCAGTGTCGTGTAAATCCCTGCTTGTGATTAAAAACCTTTGTTTCATGTTATCAGGATTTAACAGTAAAACTACTACAGATTACAACCTTAAAACTCAATTTTCATTGGGGTTGCAATATAAGATGATAATATTCCATAATGATTTTTCAATGATACCAAAAGTAACACTTAGTGACACTTTTTAAGAAGAAGAAGAAGAAGAAGAAGAACTTTATTAATCCCAGAAGGGAAATTCAATTGTCTGTTGTCTTACATAATATGTCTCTAAAAGTTATCTACGATTTACACAAGAGTTATAAAGTACGATGGCTGTTGGTACAAAAGATCTTCTGAATCTTTCTGTCCTGCAGCGAAGAGAGAGGAACTTTATGAACTCACTTCACATTATGCATTTTAAGTACATTTATAAAGCCCCATAAATGCATCTATAGAGCTTTAAAACAACCCTTAGGGGTGATAATAAACATCCATAATAACAGTTTAACACAATGTTTATGAAGTGTTACCAGCAGTGATCATATTGCCCCAAAAAGCTGTAGTTTATAATGCATTACACTGGAATGCAAAAGAAAAAATTCAACCAAAGTGTTATGAAGGATGAACTCAGTTTTTAAAGGCTGATAAAGTACAACCTTTGATTTTGTATAACAGTGAAACAAGAATAAATTGTCCCACTAATATGAGGGTTTAAGGTTACTACTTTACCCTTAATTTGACTAAATCCTGATCAAAATCTGTTAATGTTTCATCTATCGGTGAGTCCAGAAAAAAGTCCGGTGAAAAACAAACAAAAGAGAGGAACATCATGTTGCATCATGTGTACAAATTACACCCTGTTTCTGCCGTGTCATTTCTCTTCATAGTTAAGGCTGCTTTACTATAACAGGTGAGTCACTCTCTTATTGGAAACATTAAGAACATATAAGTGGCAATGAGAAGTGAAGCACACATAGATACACTGATAAACTGACCACATCGTTTACTAGCAAGCTGAAGCACTATGTATGAACCTTGTGGAGAGGGGTTGCATTTGAAATAATATCTGCAGAGGTGTTATCATTTATTCTAGAGCTGGTAAGTGTTTAGCAAGGCCCGGAACAATAAAACACATTAGTCATGGGAGTCGAAATACACATTCTTCTCCACCTTTTCACGACTCTTCGCTCTCAATCGCTTTAAGGGTTGCATGAAATTAAAAAAGTGCATCATGATGAATCGTCCAGGGGTTTCATTGGCAACTTGCTGCAGGACTGATGAGTGTAACTGAGCAACAAAAGTCATCATCATGACCAGCAGTTTATATATAGATGCCACTTTTGTTTGCTTTGACATCCACAAATGTTTTCATTTTCATTAGTTTTCCTTTCATTTTCTTCATTTCACTTCAAATCCTTGAAGTTTGCACAATGGTTTTCTAGTTTTGTTGGATTGGATATTTTTTTGTTCTATGTCCATGACTGTAGAGTGCTGCTTCCTTTCCTGACAAGGACACCTTGAGAGAGAGATTTTTTTCAAACAGACTCGGCTCTTTGTTCAGTAGATGTTGAATTAAAAAAAGAACTTGCAATGAGTGATTTTTCTTTACTAAAACGGTCAAAAGACTTCACTGCGAATCTCATACCAACTTATTCTTTGAAAATGCAAACCAATTCCTCATTTTCAATGATGCACTTTTTCAACTTTCTTATTTTATTCTGCACTCACGGACAAAGATGTCAATCAAATCATGAAAGTTTAGGAGTGAAGGATCCATCTAGAACCAGTGCACTGAAGTGCAAGGTCCCAGTTATATGGGAGCCAGTGGGCTCAGCCAACAAAGAGGAAGTCTGAGCTTTGTCAGCAGGAGGACGGTATTTATTTTTAGACTTTTGCAGCTTTGGCAAACATATGTTATCGCATATCCGCTCTTTAATGGTATGGACAGCACAATGAGTGCTTTACTTTCTGTTTGGGTACAAAATTGCATAATGTTAATAAGATTTGTTTTCTTTTACATGTAATTTTTTTTTTAAAGATCCCAATATGGAACAGATTATAACTGGTACCCTGCTCAAGCATATATCACAAACTGTATCATTATTCACTGTTTTTTTTCCATGGTATAACAATGATTAACAGTCTGTGTATGTATAGCACTCTTTCCACTCATGGTGAGGGAGGGGAACAGTCTTACTTTGACATGGTACAAGGCAACTGGGACTGGTGTGAATGCAGCCTGTGTGTCTTTCCGAGGGCAATTCAGCATATGGACAGCAGGGCCTGGGATTGAACCCCAATTCCTCCAGTGAGCCACAATAGAAAGTTCTAGTGGGAGGTATAACATCCCACTCTGATTCTACACAGTAAATATTGGAAGATATGACTTAAGGCTTCTTTACTGTAGTGTCAAGTTTGTAAACAATGTTATACATCTTATCCACCACTTGCTTTGTGTACAGATGTAAGATTTATCTTCTGTACAATCATGCCATCCTACCTTTAACAGTCAAATGTATCATGAACATTTGCTGTGAGAAGTGATAGAAAGGTGTCTCCTGCCCCCTTGCAGTATTTGCAGGCATCAGGCATTACACTGTAAAAAAGATCAATGTTTTCCTGTTTGTTTGACTTAGTGGGTCATGAAGAGGCCTCACTGGAACTATTATTGGATGATTGCAAAAAGCTAAATTAGATTTGTATAAAATCAGATGCAGGTAGAGAGACAGTGTAGTGAGTCCTTTCAAAAGGTGCAATCACAAAATCCCTCAATTACATTGTTGTCCGTGTGGGGAGAGGATGCTGTCAAAATCATACAGTCTTCAAATGTAGGTAGAAACTCAAAAGTTCATCAGAAAAAGACCATAGTGTTGATTTTACGGGTAGGAACATGGCGCTGCTACATTTGACATTTGGATCTTCATGCATCACTGTCTCAGCCTGGCCTGTTTAATTATGAACCTCCTCCGGTATTTTCAGAGATCCTTCCCTCAGCCTTATTTCTACTCAGTTGCATCACTTCCAAATTTCATAGTTTTTTCCCGTCTATGTTTGCTTGTTTTGATTCTCTCTCTCTTTTTTTTTTTTCAACCTGTAGCCACTCTGGTTTTGGCAGAAGTCTCCCAAGTTCAAGGTTAACTTTTCAGGAGAATAATCATGAAAAGATTTTTAAAAGCACTCAAAGAACTTGTCAAACAGAGTTACAACTAATTTGGTGGTTTTCAGTTGCAAGTTTCACTTGTTGGGAAATATGTGTAAGTACGACTGAGTTTTGTGGTGCGATGTCTCAATTTGATTATCTTTGATCAATTTTATGCAACATTGGCTTCATGTAAGCTGTGTTTTAACTATCAGCTGGGTCATGGCTGGTTTTCCTAGCATTCATGTTAGTTGTTTGTCACTGTGTGTGTCAGTTGAACTTGGTAAACAAGTGTGTAAATGTAGTGTTGATAATAGTGTTGCATCCCAGAGGCCTGAACGTAACACAGGATTTTCACTGATTGCACAACAAAGTGCTGATAAAAAGGACTCAGCCTAGCAGCACAGCACACTGTCAACTCCTGCAGCCCATTTGACCAGGTAAGGTATGTTTTGACTGCGCTTCTGACCGTGCTTCCATCAACATCTGACTCTATATGTGGCTTTTCTTTTTCATAGAGAGATTGAATAAGAAACACTGAAACAACATGAAGACTGTGATCATTGCTTTTCTGGTGGCTCTGGTTATCAGCCATGGTGAGTTCAAGTACCAAAAATCCTGCAAACTCTTTAACAAACATAAAATGAAATCCTTCTCTGAACCAAAAGAGTAGATTATAATTTTTATATTGATCATTTTCTTTGTATTTTGACAATTCTGAGTGCATTTTATGGCTATTGAGTGATAGACTGCATGTTTGAATACATGTTTGATTTTTTTTCTTATTTTCTCAGGCGAGTCCCTGAGGTGTAAGTGTGGAGGTACAGCACGAGACTGTCCTGATGTCATCGAGACTTGCCAACCTTCACATGTTTTCTGTGGCAATATAGTCCTTGCTGGTGTCCGTAAGTAAAGTGTGTTACTTCAATGTACTGGATGGCTGTAAAATAGAAGTTCAAAATTCAGTCAGTCATTTCTCTGATTAAAAAACTCACACAAGTCGGCTGATAATCCATCTTTTTTTGTTTTGTTTTTTGCAGCGGGCCTCTACTTCCAGGGCTGCATGGAACCAGTGGAGTGCAGAGGGCTGAATAATCCTTTCATAAAGGCCACTTGCTGCACCCGTGATTTGTGCAATGCATACTATGATTCATTTCTTAGTGAAGTCTGAATGATTTTCTCCCTTGTTTTGTGTACTGTAGCATTGTCTAAATAAAGTTCAGTCGCTTGCAACTTTTCTCTTCTCTGTGTACATATTTGTTATTTCTTTCCAGAACAAAATAAATCATAAAGTAATTGGTTTTTCAGGTATAAAAACATCGGGTAAAAGTCAAGTTTTATTGAGAAACATACAGATCAAATATTAAGCATGGTTACAATGCCATTTTTCAGGCCATTTCTCCAACACTTACAGATGTTCCATGTGTGCTCTCAGCCTCTTGAACTAAATTTTAAATGATAGGTTTCTTTCAGTTTCACACACAGAAAAAATACTACTTGTATGGCCTTTTCTTTGAATTTTCTATTTCTTTATGTTACTGCGCCATCTTGTGGCACTGAGAAAAGCTGTAAAATTGCACTCGGCTTGTATTTCATTGTTACTTTTTTAATGTTGCTGTTTGGTTGCTGAAGTTTTAACACAGGAATATCAGTTTGATACAAGATGTGAGTGGTTCAGGTGTCTGTGATTAGGCTTATATGACTTTTTCCAGCGAAATTACCTTTTTTTTTGTTATGTCAAGAAAACTTTAGACCATCATATTAATAAATAGTTGTAATGTTAACTATAATATCACAACTGTTACAATTCAGACTCCTTTTCTTAGTTTCTGATCTTACATATTTAGTCTTATATTTCTTTTATTCCTATAAAATTACATCTTTGTTTTCTAACATATGGCTGCATTCTCTTCATATAACATCATTATTCTTGTGAGACTTGAACTGTTTTTCTCCTGTATCTGTAACTCTTTATTTCTAATATAATCAGAAAAACAAGTTCACTCTGTGTTCCTGAATGAACAAGTTAATACTCTTATAAAGGGGTAACTTTCTGTCAATATAAACCTCTGTCCTGTTTTTCTAAGTTAATGTGATAATTATCTTCTTGATTTAGAAAATAAGAAACATTTTAATTAATAATTTATTCCTTTCAGTTCCTAAATTATGATCTCATTATGTTAGAAAAAACTGCAGTTTTTTTTTTAATTTACAAAAATGTAACCTTGCAGTTTTAAGATAGCTTAATTATATTGTTAGAGTAGATATTTTACCTATGATTCATGATATATTTATTTCGTCAATTTAGGGAAACAGAGCTTTTTCCTGTGAATGAAATACACTTTTGTAATTAGCACTTTCAAATAAAGATACTAAATATACAGACCCTTTCCAAAGAAATAGGATATCAAGTAAAAGTTATTTATCTATTTCCATCTTTTTTCTTTCTCTTTTTTTCCTCCAAAACTGACGTAAATGGGGATTTCTTCACAGTATTCCAATTTTTTGAATTTCTGTTTTTGTGGGTTTTATGAGCTGGAAGCCCAAATTACGTCAAAATAGACAAATAAATACTTGAAATCGTTAAATTGTGGGCCCTGAATCTATAATCTATGAAAGCTTAACTTTTTGAATGGAATTTGGAAACAGAAAAACTTTTCCATGATATTCTAATGTTTTGGAAAGGGTCTGTATCTTTCTTATTGTGGCGGTGAGCTGCTCTGAAGTCAACTGACTCTGCTCCTGACGACCCTTCTATCCGGCTCTGTGATTGGTTGTGACACGGCATCACATGACAGACGACACCAGGAAGTGTTTTGGTTACACAAGGCGGAAGCGTACAATTTCCAAAACCTAAAAGTGTTTTTCGGAGGAAAACATCGTTGACGAGAAGCATTACGTTTTCGGGTGTCGACTCCCCGAACGTCGTGGACTTTAGTTCTCGCTGCTGGTAAGAACAACAACGTGCTGTGGTTTAGATTTTGGTGTTTATACTCGTTAGCTGAGGCTAGCAGCGTTGGCCCGTCTCGTCCTTATTGCAGATAGCTTTGAAGCTAACACGCAGCTGATCTGTTTTTGTCCTGCTGGCCGATCAAAGTTAACGTCGGCAGGTTTAGCAGGCTGGTCAAGAAATCAGATGGCCAGCACCTTGTCACTGTTGTGTCTTAAGTTAAGATGGCTAAGCTGTAAGTTTTGGTTTGTTAGCTGATGATTTGCCCTCAGATAAATAATAACAAACAAAGCAGGGTGATCCAAGTCAATCTACAGGGAACTTTACAACCATGCTAAGTCTCTGACATCCATCATGCTTTTATGTTTACAAGTTTGAACTTCTTACACATGGTTGAGTCTAAGATGTAACGTTTGAAATGATAGTTTTTGTCGATTACTAGTTTAGGCGCTGATGTAACACTACATAGTCTGGAGTAGTGGCATCATATTAAATTTAACAGAGATTATTTTCTTTCTTTTTTTTCTCCCAAAATGTTTTTATTGAAAAATACAATGAGATATTTCCAAGTGCTGGGATACAGTTAACTTTTTCTTATATTTGATACATATATCAATCAATCAATCAATCAATCAATCAATCAGTCTTAATTTATATAGCACTTTCATATTCAACATGTAGCACAAAGTGCTTCACACAGAAAAAGGAACAAAAGAAACAAAGAATACCCAAAATTACCCCAACCCAAGATTAAAAGGATACCCAAATCAACCTCAGCCCAGCCCTTCATTCCCACCCCACGATCTAAATGCAACAGAAACATTATTAAAATACATAAACTTAAAAAGGGCTGAGGAAACGTCATTTAAAACTCAAGATAAGGAAACACTGGAGGTTTAGGTTAAAATCTAAAATCAAATTAACAAAGATCGAAATTTAAGAAATGATAAATAAAATGAAATGAAAACAACAGTAAAAGATACTAAAATAAGAGCACCAAAATAGCTCAATAAAAGACGATCCTGTGATGAAAACTAGAATAGATAAATGCTAAAACACTTAAACAGAGTTAATGATATAAAATTTAGTTAAAAGCAAGACGAAAAAGGTACGTTTTCAGTTTGCTTTAAAATCTTTAAGATTAGGTGCAGTCCTCAGGTCTTCAAGTAAGCTGTTCCATAGATGGGGCCATAGTAATAAAAAGATGCCTCACCATATGTAAACAGTCACATATACACATACAAAAAAAACAACAACCGAAAAAATAAACTAGTGTACAGCCCCCCACTCATGCCCCAACTCGGCTCACCACAACCAACACGAACACACATTCGATTGGTCATTCATGCAATATAAAGTATACCACAGTAATAGGCAGAAATTCAATCAGGTAGTACCTCTAAATTAGTGAAACAGGAAATGAAAGGTTGCCATTTGTGAAAGAATATGACTCTACATCCTCTTAATGTACATTTAATTTTCTCAAAACACATTACGTATTTGAGCCACCGGTAAATAGAGGATATTTAGCAGACTTCCAATGTAACATTAATAAACGTCTTGCAACTAAGGATGTGAAAGCTAAAATATCCTTTTGTGTAGAGTTGAGTACAAGTGAGGGGTCAGGAATCCCAAATATAGCAATCTGAGGGCAAGGTCGGAGATTTACGCCAAGAACAGAGATTATTTTTAATACATGAATTTTTTTCCCCCAAACCTTTATTTCAATTCTTCAGCAATGACAAATACATATTATTGAACATAGGGTAGCTACATTCATTTGAAAGGAATCAAGACTTTGCAGAAAAAAAAGGTTGCAGTCCTAGTCCACTACAACTGCTGCTTAGTACATTGAATAAATTGTTCTAATGTAGTAGAAGTAAATAACATTCAAAATGTAAAAAAAAAACACTTTACTTTAATTACATTTGTTTCCTTTGTTTCCTTTTTTTAGGATAGACCTGGTCACCTCTCCACTACCATTTTAAGATCAACTTCATCTGGCAGGAGTTTGCTTTCTGACTTTGCTCACCACCAGTGCCTGCCTGACACAGCTCCCGTCTCTAACCCTGTGCCCCGAACCAGCAGTTTCAGTTCATCTCAAGCCTCTTTGTCTGGAACAAGTCTCTGTCTCTGTAAATGGCTGGACGTGGTGGAGGATCAACAAGGCCTAATGGGGCCGCAGCAGCAAATAAAATCTGCCAGTTTAAACTGGTGCTGCTGGGGGAGTCGGCAGTGGGAAAGTCCAGCTTGGTGCTGCGATTTGTCAAAGGCCAGTTTCATGAATTTCAGGAGAGCACAATTGGAGGTAAGGGACGGAAGTGGTTCTGGACTGTGAAGGGATGAATTTTCTGAAATGTTGTTTGCATCCACAAGAAAAGAGATGCCAATGTTGATGATTTTCTTATACTAGTCTTGCTCTTACATTCATCTAAATACCTAAAAGAAATGATGTTTAATTAAAACTTAGCATCAGGACAAGAACAGTTTACATTTGTGGTTTAATGTGGTTATTGCACCAACAATAAAAAATAGTCTAGTCCAATACGTCAACATATTCAACCAATCTTGATTTTTATTCTATTTTAAAAGTGTGTTTCTTTTATTATATTTTATTTTTCTGACTTTACTCTGGTATCTCCACTCAGCAGGTCAAACAGCTCTGCACAGGCTTAATATACAGCTATAAAGGAAGCTGCTACTGCATATATGAAATGACTCTATCAATGTGATTGGCACTAATATCTTACTTCTGTTTTCAGCTGCCTTCCTCACTCAGACTGTCTGCCTTGACGACACCACTGTGAAGTTTGAGATCTGGGACACTGCAGGTCAAGAGCGCTACCACAGTCTGGCACCAATGTACTACAGAGGCGCTCAGGCTGCCATCGTGGTCTACGACATCACCAACACAGTAGGTCCTACCCATGGAGGAAGGAGCAGGAATAGAGTCGTATCAGTCAGAGGCAACACACTGATTGAGAAAAAGAGGGTTCTATTTTCGTGCCTCACCGGCGGCGTGGCGCAGGCGTGGTGTAAGTCAGGTCCGCTGCGCTGACGAGGCATGCCCAATCACATTTTGGTATTTTGGTGAGCGCTGCAGCCTGGCGTAAGTATCCCCCCTCCTTAACTCAGCTCCTCCCGGCGGCGTAAGTCATAGAGAGGGAAGGCATAAGGCGTGGAGTGGGTTTAACACAGCCGAGACCTGTTTTCGCCATTCACATCAGCTCCTCTCCTCACCTTTAACCTGATTCAAACCTGACCAGGTTTTAATCGGCAAGCTTTTAGCATTCATTCCACGCCGCCGGCGAGAACAGAAATGTCATTGCACCAGCTGATTCTGTTGACACCTCCTCCCTACCGCGCCACCACGCCCAGCTAGGCGGACCTCGGTGCGCCTCAGTCTACGAAAATACCAAACTAGCTGTGAGCGGGCTCTGCCAGATGAAAATACCACTGCGCAGGGTGCGCCACTGTGCGCCGTGCCGCCAGCGGGCATGAAAATAGAGCCCTCTGTCTTTGTAGCTTTGTTGCTGTTGACAGTAAAGGTGCATTTAGTGCAGGACTATGATGATTATCACAGTAAGTTTTGAGTTTTAGAATGTCTCGTGAAGGTGTTGGTTGTAATTGAAACCTGAGAATGCAAGGGTCTTGATTCAAAAATGAAATCCTACCCAAATTCAACATGTGGCTGTTCAAAGTGACAGGTGCTATGGCTAAGACCTTCATTTACATTTCATTTCTGCCAAGCCTGTTCTGCTAAATGGTGCAAAATACTGCACACTTTACCTTTTAAACTACATAAAAGTGTCCCACCAGTGTTGTTTACAGTTGTCATTGGAAAGTATGAGTGTGAGCAGTATTGATAATGCTTATTGTTTGATCAGGATACTTTTGCACGGGCTAAGAACTGGGTGAAGGAGCTGCAGAGACAAGCCAGTCCCAACATAGTGATTGCACTGGCTGGAAACAAGGCAGACATTGCAAACAAAAGAGCTGTGGAGCTTCAGGTATGTAGATAAAAACTCATAAATTCACATTGCACTGACAGCTAAATGATTTCACATATTAAATTTCTTATCTCAGATGTACTGCATGACAAAATTGTATGATATTGGTCAGTGCAGTAAATGTTTTTATAACCCTCGACTTATGTCTAAATTTTGTGTTTAGGAGGCACAAACATACGCTGATGACAACAGTCTACTCTTCATGGAGACTTCCGCCAAGACTGCCATGAATGTCAATGAAATTTTCATGGCAATAGGTAAGTTCACTTTCTTTATATAGCATCTGAGTAAGAACTATGTGATATTTTCATGTTTATTTTAGTTGAATGAAAAGTATTATGAGTAAACTTCAAGTGTGAAAGAAATAAAAAGATATTAGTACAAAACAAAAAAGTATTTGAACATAACATTTGGCCAGTCACTTAAAATCTGCCATCCCTTATTTTCTTTCACTCTTACCCTCTAAAGTCCAAAGTGATGTTTTAATAGTGGGAAGCTCATATCATGGATTGTATTCCTATAATTAAGTAGGCATGTTGACAAAGCATGAATGTTGCAGTTTCATTCAAACTGGTAATCTTGCCCCTGTAGCGAAAAAGCTGCCGAAGAACGATGCTCAGGGTGGGGCTGGACCAGGCGGACGGACCAGGACCGGGGTGGATCTACAGGAAGCAGCTCCCCAGGGCCGCAGCTCGTGCTGCAGCTCAGGCAATTAGCAAGTACAACACAGAGAACTTAGTGAGCGAGCCCTGAACATTGATTTAAGGACACACGTAGCTTAAAAAAAAAAAACACACAGAGAGGCAGGAGAAGGCAGAGCCACTCGCCACCCCTGCACTTAAAACTGAGATTACAGATGAGATTATCTGGATCCTCTTTGATTAAAGGAACATTTTTTAAAAAAGAATCATAAGCTAGAGGGAATCCCCAAGGTCCCTCACTACTTCTCTTCTGTCTTTCCCCCCTGTGTATCTATCTACCTCCCTGTTCATCTTCAGCCTCTGTCTCAGTTGATTAAATAGTCTTAAGTGATTTATTCTGGAGGATGATGCTGAGGTTGTTTGCTGAGTGTGTGTCGGTGTTGTGTATGTAGTACATATGCATACATGTCAACTGGCAGTTTCCTTTTCTACTCTTGTCATTTCCCTCTACATTGATCAACAGTATGAAAGATACCCAACTTCTAACGTGGAAATTGCAAATGACAGAATCATCTTCATGGTTTCCTGTCTGACTGCAGTTTTAGATCGGAACATTTTGTTCTGTAATGGGACCTAAACATGACACAGTTATTAGGAAAGCCCCAGACTTTGCTCACTTAAAGCAGGTCGTGATTCCATAGGCTACACATCTGGAGATGTCTCTGAGCTGTGCAACAAATGCAGTTGTTTGCATTCACTGTGTTTCCATACCTGTAACACCAGAGAGTTGTTAGCCTTTTTAAAAAAAAAATATATATAAATGTGAAAATAACTTGTAAATCTAAAAAAGAATAAATAACATGCAAGATTTATTTTGTTTGACTTGCTTTGGAGTGGTTTGGTTCGGTTTGGGTCAATCGTTTTGATGATGTACACCTCATTTTTGAACCTACATTTTTGGCTATATATCCTGTAATGCGCAACGAATTTCAACCACTAGATGGCAGCATCACATCTCAATCTGGATTCATTCTGGTCAAGGGAAATAAACAATGTATGGTATTTTTGATGGTTAAGATTGGGAAAGGGGGTGTCACCAGATGGCACAAATGTGGGTTAAAGGTAAGTTGATATTGATTAAGTCTTATGTTATTTTGCTAATGTTTTAAGTCTTTGTTATTTTCAAGCTTAAGTTACTAATACTGTTTGTGCATTAGTGGCTGGATTGATCTGTCAGCATGGCAAAGTCAAGGTAATAATTTAATGGCTTGAAATGTTCATCACACACTCTGTCTTTTCATTTTCTCACATGCCGAACAGTGTATGTGTGAAAGCAAACAGTATGCAGATTGTCTCTGCAAAAAGCCATTACTGCTGTCTTGAAGAGGAATGGCACAGTATGAGTATGCTTCATTAGTGCTCACCTGATTATTCTACCGCTCTCTTAAAGCAGGGTTTCTCCGGGTTAATGCAGTAGTTCACTTTGTTGTGTTGAACATTGACCTTTGAATAGAGCTACCTGGAGCTCTTCGAGGTTTTAAGATAAATATATCCATTATCAATTAAGTGGAATATATGCAAAAGAGGTTTTCGAGCTGGTCGAGCAGCAGCATTTTATATTTGGACTACTGCATAAAATAGTTACTGTACTTTGAAAATACAGACACTAATGTCACTCTGTCACTTAATATGATTTAAAGCTGGTGCAAATATGCAAAAAGCTACCCCCCACCCCCTATCCCACTCACTAAAAGGTTATTTTAAAGGCTTATGTTGAGTTTACAGCAGCATTATTAAGAAGATAAGATAAGAACTTTATTTATCCCCAAAGGAAAATTCAATGTTTTCAATTCAAATGTAAATGTTTTTGTTATAATATTGCAAGTGTGGCTTACATACTGCACTTAGATCTTTTTTTTTATACCTTCTTCGAGTCTATAGTTGGATTGTAATTCCTGCATCGCTGACTGCTGGTTCCACCCATTCCACATATCTATACACTGATAGTGGAGGATGCTGTGTGCCTGAAGCCTGGCTAAAGCCTTATCTTATTGGACCCAAACAAACCGATTATCCGTATTTTTTGTATCACATAAACTAATTATTGAAGCCCAGAGACATTCGCCTTTTTTTTAAATTGCTTGATAATGGTATTTTTAAGCTGCTTACAACAAGAGCTGGTTGTCTGCAGCAAGTTTTTTAACAACACAAATTCAATTTCTGCTGTCTCTCAGTTTCTAACCTCATCATCCAGCAAACTATTTGGTAGTAGTTTTGGGCAGGAGCTAAGTCCAGGAAAAATGGCTTCAACATCTTTATAAAGTTTGTCGGCACATATAAGTGCTTTAAACTCTCCTGGTAGACTTTCCCACCAAACATCAGACGTCAAAGAGACGTGCAGATCAAGTCAGTATTGGGTCCGTCTATCAAAGACCACATCTAGATGTCAGTGCGACGTCGCTCTGATGTTTAGAATTTGGACGTCATCTGAAGACCAAATCTAGACATCGGCACAACGTGCTAAATGGATCCAAGATTTAGACGTCATTATTGGACATTTTTTTAGACGCTGAGATGACGTCCACATTTGTACCTCATCGTTGAAAAAATACGTTCAATAGATGTCATTTCGACGTCGCATTGCACAGTGGGTTAGGCTGCATTTATTTTGGACTTGGAAAAAAAAAACACAGTGGACCAAAACCAGCCGATGACATGGCAACGCAAATCATCAAAGGCTGCAGAAACTCCACACAAATGTCCAAAACTTTGCATTAAAAAACTGAAATATTACCATCCACGGCACACAGATTGAACACCAACCTTTCTCACTAACTGGTGGAACTGAAGCTGCACTGCGCATTTCAAGATGCCTGAAATTTCCAGAATCAAGTGACAGATTGCAACCACCATAGCTGCTTCCCAAGTCCTCGTTGAAGGTCTAGTATGAAGATAGTGTTTGGTTCGTCGATTTTGTGTTACCATCAAGTTACCTGCACCCTGCGGACGAGACTCCCTCCAACATGAGATGCAAATTTTGTCTGTTTTTCTCAACAGCCCACCATTTCTAAGGACACAACTGGTGCATATAACTTACCCTGAAATTTTCCAAAGTTGCCTATCCACATGAACTTCTGTCAGATGTGTGTGGGTGTCTCGGGTGGGGTGGGGATGGGTAAGGAGGGGAGGCAAAGCTTGGTGTAAAAGTGATGCTGCAGTAGTCACCCTGTCCTGACTACATGATTTCCCAGGTGGCAGGTGAAGCAGAGTCTGCCGGTATGTTGATGGAAGGATGAGGCAACATCATTACAAGCACAAAGATTGCAACCAGTCACATGATGTTAATGTTACCTCTCCCACCTACTGGTTGAGTTTTACTGACACTTACCTGCTGCACTCTCACGTCAACCCACCTCAACTTTTTGCATAAATTACACCCAGGAGCTAGCAGGAAAAAAAACTCCAGGTAGAGTCAAGGTGAACATTTTGTCTGTTTGTATACACTGTGTAAATTTCCAGAAAATTTCAGGAGCTAAGTGCATGTGTGAAAACAGCTTATGTTTACAGTTAGAAAAACAAGAAAGAGGTGGTTACAGACACGAAGCTAGACTCTGGCAGAGACACTCTGAGAATTGAGGATGGCAAAGCTGAGGTAAGGATCAGTGTGTGGGATAAGGTATGTGGTCTGAAAGGCTGATAAATGGGAGAGAAAATATGACAGTCTCTGGATGAGAGTGCAGTTTAAGGGAGACTATCTTCAACAGAGGAAAGAGAAACATTTTAAATCAAAATCACTGGTGTAAACTGATTTCTATTGTTGAAAAAAATCTGATTTTAAAGGTTTTTCATGTGTTCACACAGACGCACCCTTACCTTAGAGATAGCAGCTTCCCTGCCAAAAAGCAGGCGGCCGCTTAGTTCCCAGTAAATGATTTCTCATTTGTTGAGCTGTCAGTCAAGACATGCTCTGTCAGAAAAAAGGGAGCTAATTTCATACTTGGCCTCTATGAATCATATTGGTGAAAGCCAGGCAGAAATTATGTTGAGAGGAAGAAATTTCAGAATAAAAGAAATCTTCCCTTAAAAGAAACACAGTCACAGCCTTCAATGCTTTTATGTTAATTTATTCTCTCTCTTAATCATAACAAATCAGAAACAGGTAAAAAGGGAAAAAAGCTCTGGCATGGATTGGTTGCTATAACAACAGGGTTTTTTGCATTAGCTTTAGCGCTGTAAATGTGTTTTTCTTGAAAAGCAACATACTTTATTTACTGCATGGTTTGAATAAGACAGAGAACAGCCAAAATATTACCAAATGCTTGCTCCGATGGATTCCTTCTATCTTCTTGGACAGACAGAAATGTCATTAAATACCAAGGGCACAGGGACACGGTATCTGGACTGCATTCTGTGCTTCGAGATTGCTGCTGATAGCGATAGCATGGCTGACGCGGTACATTAATTGTCTCTTATCTAAAATGAAACATCAAACTGTGTGTTGCAGGCAGATAGCATGGCAGCTAGGCGGGAACTAGAAGCACAATAAACAATTCTTGAAAGGGTAATTATTTTTCAAATATCTTGCATTATGCTGTGCTGTAGGCTATATGGCTTTGCTGGGTTTATTCACTTTGTCTTGTTCATTTTAAGAGGATGTTAGCTGTATCTGACAGTGAAAGCTGAAATGTGACAGGACAGGCAGATGTAAAGTCTCTGCTTTCATGATAGGGCTTCACCAGGCAAGCAAACAGGGGAACCCCACCCTCTCCTTTTCGTCCAATTAAACGAGATGGACTCTCATGTCTGAATGATAAAAAGAGAACTAAAGTACATATAACTAGCTAGCTAGTAGGCCTTGCTCATGACTAAGAGGGAGACTACTTCCCTAAAGGACTCGTAGAGTGCTACATAGCTCTGCTTTTTATATTAGGAAGCTCGTGAGCAACGTCTTGTAGGAAGGCCTACAGTTTAACTTAAAGCTCCTGAGAGGAACTTTCTATTTTTGTTGACTCTGGTGCCCCCAGAGGACAAAGTGAAAACTCTCACATCCCTGATGATTTTGTATCATCCTTTAGAAAGTAGTATTACCTGACGAAAAACTCTACCCCGTGCCTCCCCCTCACAGCAGTTACAGGCATTAAAAATTACAATATCCCCTGTCGGTGTTGTTGTCGATGATTCCATTTGCTTTTGAACCTCTTGGAGATGTATCTCCGCTCATTTCATCACCTATTAAAAATTTCCTACAGGAGCTCTAAACATTAGCAGATAGCTGTTAACAGGATAATATTCAAACTAAATGTATTTAAACCCAAAGCTGACAGCGACATACAAGATTATTATTCTTTTCAGTCAACATTCAGGATGATAATGCACCTTAATCATCAGTCAGTACGTTTACATGGCACTCCAGAAAACTGAATTATTGCTTTACTCCCATTAAGACCGGACAACTGAAGTGCATGTAAACACCTTAGTCCGACTATAATCAGAGTTTGAGAACTCCCCTTAAGACACCCAGATAATGCGATTGGAACTCGCTTTTCTCTACCATGTAACCAGCGTAGTCGAAGTATGATCGGACAATGCATGTACGCGTGCGCCACGCCCCTGCAACTCCATAACAAAAACACCACAGAAGAGGAGTAGCATGCACCTCATCTGCAGAAAAAGTAGCATGTACATCATGTACGACAAACTATACGATTCTCCATCTTCTTGCTCGAAAATGCCCAGCAGCAGTTGTAGCCACTTCTGACCTCTGGCACAGACCTGCTGTTGTTGTTGACGGTTGTATGGGGTCAGAAACAGCGCCGCTGAAAAGACCCATTTGGCCCCCTAGTTTTGGGGAGGAGGCCGTTCACGTCAATAATTCAATTTTCTTAGCTGCATGTATACGTGGACAAAGAGAGATGTCCGACTGAGCGGAAAAAAAAAAAAGAATTATGAGCTCAGTCCGATTAAGCCGCGCATGTAAACGCACTGCCTGATGCTTTATTTTTATTGACCTGGCAAGTGAACTGGAAAGGTCATAAATCGCCAAGAAGTCAATAATTAAGATCAATCGAACCCAAAAACTAAATTACTTTCTGGTAATTATTCAAATTGCATTTTGGAAAAGGTGCACTAACACTCATACCTACTGTATGTCAGATAAAGTCTCTTTGAGAACTTCTTTCACTCTCAAAGCCTCTTTGTTGGGTTATAATCTTTCAGTTTGTGATTTGCAGTCATGATTCGTACCAGCTCTCACAGTACTGCTGTTCTTGTCTTCCACATTTTCAAGACTTTTTAAATGACCCACTTCAGTGTCCTCTTAAGTGCCATCTCAATCAAACTTTTGCTGTCAAAAGACTGGGTGAGTGCGTTAGATAAAAGGTTGCCATGGTGACCAGGTTAAACTGACATTGTCTGAGAGGCAGCCGTAGGTTATTGGTAGCTCTAAGACCAAGGGAATAAAAATGGCCTTTAATGAAAGCACTTAGGATGATGATTGAGCTGAGCAGCATGCTAGGAACATGTTAGAAGACTAGAGCTGGACACTTCGAAATAGAGCAACCAATGTGTGTGTGTGTGTGTGTGTGTGTGTGTGTGTGTGTGTGTGTGTGTGTGTGTGTGTGTGTGTGTGTGTGTGTGTGTGAGAGAGGGCTTTATATATATAGACTTTATATATATATATATATATAAAGTCTATTGTTGGGGCATCCCGTTTGACCTAGCATTTTGTTCATGTGTATCTGCACTTGTGTGTTCCCTTTAGTATCCACACAAACAAGCAGAGACATCCCTTGATGATCTTTGATATCTTACACCCTTGTCTCCTCTTGTATTTGCATGTGCACATGTGCACCTTTATTTTTAGGGCGGCTGCCTTGTGGCGAGGTCAAGCAGGGTGCCAGAGGACTTCAATGAGAAGGACATAGCTTAAAGTCCAAGTATGTTTCCACCACTCATCCATCACCAGTTGGCTGACAACTGTCAAAAATGAGCACCGCCCAAGTTGGCTGCAGTACAAACAGGCATGTGCCCGTGTCACTGTACTCCCAAATTCATGTGCAGGCATCTGCTTTTGAACATAGCCCAACAATGTTAATGAGGGGGACTAAAGGGGGAGGGATTAGAGAATGATGCCTGGTGATAGGCCCCCCAGCAAACAAACAGGACCTAAAGGTTGAAAGGATTTGACATGTCAATGTGATACAACATTTTCCTTCGACCCCTTGACCAGTTTGCCTTATTTCAAGTGGCTGCAATGTGGCAGAAGGTCTTTACTAGAAGAATTTAAGGATGTTTATTTGCATTGTTTCAAAGTTTTACAAAAGCCAGGAGGTGTTTTACAAAGACTTTAAGTAAGGTCATACTAAAATGTACTCTCACTGGACTAATAGGCAAATAATAGAAGGCTAAATCTTTTCTCTAGGCCGAGGACTTAACACTGCAGCTTATATGACAACAGGAGTAGGCCTGTTTTTAAGAGGTGCTTTATCAGTTTCACACTCAAAGACTAGTTTACTAGTCGTGTTATAAATTGTCTGCTATGGCTCTAAAAGGAGCCTGAAGTCTTGAAAAATAATGTCCATGGGTTATTTTGGATCACTTCTTCATGATCTTCTTCTTCTTCAACAGAGAGTATTTGTTACAAACTGGAGGTATAAACTTTGAGATTAGCTTTGGGAAAAAAAAGTCAATACACAGTATCCTAGCATCACTGAACACGGTGGTTTCAGGAAAAAAAAAATAGAATATAAAAAAAATTCAAATTAAATATGCAGGATTAAAGAACGTTTTGATTGATCATAAGATTTCAAATGCAGTAAATGTCGAATTCCCCAAAATGTTAATGAATATAAGTTTGTTGTTGTAAACTCCATTGCTGGCTTTTAATTTAGCATAGCGTAAAAAAAATCTATATGCTTTTGACTTTTGGGGAATCTTAGAAATGGCAGCTTTTGTAATCACTATCTGTTTATATGATGTGTAGATATTCTTTGACTATGATAATCACAATAAGTATACAATGTCACTCTTGAGTTTTCACTTTTTTTCCAGCTTGATCATGAGCATCAGCTGTAAAACACTATTTATTTAATCTATGTTCAACAAAAATAACTGTTCGGTTGTGATGGGGGAAAATAACTTTTACGCCTCTTGAAATTTTTGCTCTGTTCCCTTTTCAGTCTTTTTAATTCAAACACGTTTCATCATTTTATTGTGTCTATTTTCTGTTTAATTTCTCTAAATCTATTTCCCAACAGCAGGGGTTTTCTGTCCATTTACCTCTGCATGCAGTGATTTGGTTTCTCAGTTATATGGAAGGCATTTAGTGCCACAATTTACCGATTTCCGATGTTGCAGAAAATGTTGGTTTACATGTTAGTGTGGTAAATAAAACCTACATTAAAGTACAGTCTCACATTAATAATGACACTGGTACCAGATCCAACTCACAACAAACCAAGAATCTACGCCATTAGCTTATAATCGAATGGCTAATTTCCCCAAGAGGCATATCGGTTGTATTTTACCAGCACCAAGACTTCTCTAGTCAATGCTAAAGAAGGAGCTAATTAAAGCATAGGTTTTCAGTTAGTTGAAATCAACACCGATTTCTCTGTATGACCCACAAAAGCAGGAAAAAAAAAATTGTGCCATGAATAAAAGTCCTATATATTTTTTTGTCTCTAACCATTGTAACCAAGTAGGTGTCACTGTATATTTTTTCTTTTCTCTTTCTTTCTTTTTTAACATTTTGAACGGCAAACATTCACAATAGGTAAACGCTTGACTAAGAAAGAACGGTAATACTTTTTGTCGGAATGTTCTGTCTTGACTTTTACAGGACCAGATCAGAAGGGAGACAAGATGTCTTCGTCCAAAGGGAGTGCCAAAGTCAACTCAAACCTGAAGTTCTTCGCAGTAGCTTCGAACACAAACTCTGTTATAATATTACATTATAACTAATAAAACTTTGGAAGTACATTCAGGATATTTAACCATGACCACCAGATGCTTTACGGAATATTTTAACATCATAAATATACAAATTATAACATTTTTTAAATGTAGTCAATATGTAACCCCCAATACTAGGCCCCCAGAACACATACAGTTGTTGAGTATAAAAAACAAGCAATTAACAGATACAGGACTTACTTATTAATTTGTTTTTTGTACTACAGTGCAAACATTTTTAATTCTGCTGTTATAAAAATTTAAAAAAGGCTATATGGGTTCACTTTGCAACTAGAGACAGTTTATCTGTTTTAAGCATAGACTGTATATAGAATGGACAGCGTTTGCCTCCTCGCTGGGTGAAGCCACTCCAAGAACAGCACCCTCTGGTGACAGGCTGCAGTATAGGTCATAAATCCCACCTCCGCCAGCAAAGTGTATGGGGCTGTGGACAAACTTTGGAAATTTATTACACAGAACATAATTTTTTCTCCCCCCTGCTTGTGATGTTGACATGTAGTTACTGTAAAGGTCCTTACACACCGGGAGCGTTTTTATCGTGAGATTATTTCAGATGTCAAATTTTTTTTAGATGTTGTTTTTTTTTTACAATGTTGGTTTCAGGAAATGGAGAAAAAATTCAGATAACCGAGAGCTTTTTGGCTTCAAATCCATATACAAGCGGAAGGTGGAACCAAGTTGTCCATAGTTTAAACAGTCTATGGCAGAAATATAAGGCAGAATGATGAAGGCATTTTGCTTTAAGACGTGGGACGTGACGGGTAAATATTGGCACGGTTTGCTTTCCATACAGCACAGTGCGCGCACATTACCCGCGTGGTTTATCTTTTCTGGACTCGCTCACGGGAGTGAAAAAAAAGACTTGCAGCTGAGCTCGAGCGGTAATCTGTGACAGCTGGAAATGGACAGCAACAACGGAGTAGCCGTCAAGTCGTCTCTCACAGGTAGGAAAATCTATACTGTTGTGTTTTTTTTCACCTGTCGAAGACGCTCTTTGATCTCGTGTCACGTCGTGCTCTGAGGTTAATTGTTGAAACATTAGTTCGACAAATAGGGAGCAGTTTTATGCTCGTCTTGAGGTTGAAATTCAGGTTGTTTGGTTGTAAAGCTGCTCCAATATGTTTTGTTTGTAGCTCACAGTAACTGCGGGTCACTTGGCTGAGCTCGGTTCATCCTGAATAAAAGTCAGTGAGTCTGCAGTTTTCTGGGGTCGTGTCGTTGATAAGGTTGACAGGACTACTTTTCCTGTGTGTGATTTAGTTTGTCATGCGGTCGTTTTACCTTTGAGGCAACTCATTCACAGTACAACAGACCTTCCCACGAGGATGCTGACAATTTAAAGGCCTCTGAAGGCATGTCTTCAATTTCAATTAGTTTTCGGTGTAAATATTGGGATTTAAATTACATTTTAACTCACAAATACATACAATACATGTGCTTTGCTTCATTTAAAATCACAATATAATGTTTAGTAATGAAGGTTAATTGTTAAAAAACTGCCCAGCCCACAAAAGTCTCAGTTAGTGTGTGTCTACCTTTTAGTGTTTCATGAATGTTTTCACACTGCAGAACTGTGTAACTGTGTGTGTGTGTGTTTTATAGTGGTAGAAAATCAGATATTTGAGACTGATAAGGGCATAAAAAGACTGTGGGATTTTTCATGGAGGATGACAAATATGCCGTTTGTCATGTAATTCATCATGAGGGTGTCTTTTTCTTTTGAGGCAGGGTCACTGAAGTAATTCACTGCCTTGAAATATATATATATATTTTAAAGGATAGCCTGTTTGTTGCAGCAGAGGAAAAAAGTATGAACCCCAAGTAATTGTTTTTATTCTATATGTAGCTTATATCAGACGAATACACTTTGGCTTAGTCTCCTCCTGTTTATAGAGCAATAATGGTGTCACCCGGCTATTATCGGGCTCTCCCCTTTGCTTCTCTGCGGCATAAACGCATACCAGTCTTTGTGTAGGTTCCTCCAGTAAAGGATACACATGGATTTTTAATCTTTTAAAATTCTGCTGCTTTAATTTTACTCTTAAGTTTTTTGTAATTTTGTTTGTGTTTTTATGTTCTGTTTGCCACACGCATTGCCGGTTTGACCTCTGCTGTATCCGTGGTGAAGGATGTAAATAGCGTTGGATGATACTATCTGACAAATTGATGTACAGTATAGCAAACCTACTATTAAGGAGAAAGGAGTTTTCTTGGTTACAGTTTTGATTATTTGATCAGTGAAATATAAGATGTAAAGAAAAATTCCATCGAATTTTCCTAGATTCAATTTTTTGTTTGGACCACCACACCCTAACCAAAACTACACTGAGATTTGACTCAAGAAATCAGCACACAGACCCGATTACTAAAACTGTTTTTGCCTTTTGGAGCATTTCACCTTTATTTTGCTGAAACCTCTTAGCTCTTAAAAGACTAAATGAAGCAAACTACATGAGAACCTTTCACAAAGAAAAATGTCAACATTTTACAGCCTGGTTTAACTGAATATTTATCTTGATACAAAATGAAATGACTACATGTTATTGATTATTGCTGCTCAATATTCTGATGAACAAAATGATGGTCTTCAGCCGCAGCTCGACACATTTAGACCTCCCTTGTAGTGTATCATTTTGGTCAGCGTGTGTCTCGGCAGATTTGTGTCTTTCACACTGTCATTACTGTGAGTGTTGCATTGGCATACTCAGCCTCTACTCCAATCAAAGTAGCCCCACTTAGACACCCAGCACTGTCCACCTCATCATCATCATCATCCTCTTTAATGACCTTCCTTGCCTCTGTCCCCCTCTGCGTCAGCGTCATACCTAAATGGCTCCAAATAACGCTTGCTCGCCTTCCTGCCAAGCAGCGCCGCACTGCCCGAGAGATGTAGAGATGTTCTTTCCAACTGCATGCAAGCAGTCATTTTCACTGTGAACAAAAGGTCCTTGATTCATCAAATCCCGCGCCTCCTACAGCTCACTCTCCTGGGTGATGCTGTAATTTTCACCAGCACTCCCCCCCTTGTGTGAACCTCGGAGAGTTGGCCATTTTTTGCGCACCTAGTGTGATTCTTTTCGGGCATTTTGGTGGCTACCAAAACAGGGTCAGACTCGCTCTACATGCCGTATGAAGACATAGAATAACAGAAGGAGCTTTTCAAAGACAGGCAAAGCTGGCTATTTATACAGAATTAAGCCCACCGTGCCTTATTTTAACAGCCCTCTAATTTTGTAACAAGAAAACTGCTTACGTAATGAAAGAAAAAGGATTACTGCTTTTAAAGATGAATTTGAAGAAATTGGGATTATCTTAAGGCACAAAGAAACAATTTCAGGGTGAAAATATCAGTGCAGAATGACACGAGAGGTCCCAGCACATACAACATATTGTGGTGCAAGGCCGCCTGATGCTTTGTGGACAAAAAAAGGAAATTATAGGGAGCACTGGACGACAAGAGCTGCATAGTAATAAGGGGACCTTACCTGTCTTACCTGTCTCCTGCTCTGAGTTTAATATTTATTTATCTGTGGAGGCTCAGAGGCTTGTTCTGCAAACAGCGAAAAATACTCTGAATCCAGTTTCCATTCAACTAATTATTAAAGCTCTATAAGTGGGTGATCTTAAATATTCACCCACAAATATTCACATACTGAAATTATTTAAACAGATTTGTGATGCGAGTCAATGTGTAGTAGGAAAAGTCAAATTTCTTGCATTTCATTTTGAGCGAAAATAGTATACAAATGTGTTTTCTAGGTGTTTTCTAGATGTTTTCTAGGCCCTTTGTGTTCCCTCATGTCTCATGAATTTAAATATAGAGTAAGACATCTGTGTAGGACTACAATACATGCAGATATTTTACCTGATAAAAAAAATTGTTTCAGCTCCAGCTTTTTTTTAATTTTTACATTGTTTTAATTAGTTGTTTATACTTTTCATTAACTCAAATATAAAGAATTAATTCAATGATTTATAAAAATCTCAGCTCTCTCCTTCCGGCACGAGGCCAGGCTCACATATCATTTCTATCCCTAACACTGATGATGAAGCTGAGTGACCACCCCATTTTATCTCCCTCCTCTCCCTCCCCCCTGTCTCCCCTACCTCTGAGCGTTTTTCTTCTTTTTGCCATTTGGCCGCCGCCGTCTGTCTCAGTAAAAACCATCAGCTGTGAAATTGAGAATAATCATGTGGAACGAGATTGGGATGGGAGCAGCTTGAGCTCCCGCCCTTCAATGTCAATGAACTCATGGCTCCTGCTGATAAAGTTCACCAAGAAATGAACAACCAACTACAAAAATGCTTTTGAGGTGTGCAGAGAATATATTTATTTTTTCTGTCATCAGTATGACTATCGGTTCAAAATGGGTTTTTGATTTATTGTTGTCACTAACGTGTCTTTAGAGTCCCTGCTCAGATTATTTTGTGAGGCTTGATATTACCTTTATTGACTTTGTAATCAGACACCTAATCAGCAAACCTTCAATTTATAAAAAAAAATAAAAAAATTATTTTCTTTGAATGACCTTTTCCTCACACTCTAAATTAAAAGAAGAAAAACAAAGCTAGAGTACATAAAGGTCTCAAGTCAGTAGCTTGGAATAAAACCAGCAGAGCAGCACACAAAGAAGGTGGAGCAACACATTTAGCAACCACATTTAAAGTAACACTGTAGAGATAGGTTTGGTTAAATAAGCCAGACTGAATTTGTAAAATTAATCAAGTGATCAGTCTATTTTGACTTCAATATCCTGACATTTATAACTCAGTGAAATAGCATGGCTTTAAAAATGTGTGGTACAATAGCAATCTGTGTGGCTGATAATCATACTTCAAACTTTAGTATAGATGGTGTATAAAGACAAACAAGATACCTTAGTTTCAACACAAACTTCTGCCACTGACAGAAAATAATAGGTTTACACATGGGAAATTTATTCCTATTAATATGAACACAACCATTATATCTTACATTTAAAGTAGCTCCTGAATATGCCAGTTCATGCATAACCCTTAGCCTTAATAACCCAGCAGAATTTCACAAGAATTTTGATTAATATTGATTAAAAAATTGATAAAATTTTTCCTGTTGGCATCAAATTAAAAATGGGAACACATTTTTTATTAAACAAATTTTACAAAATTAACAATAAATGTGTTGGCTTTACGTTATTTTCAATTAGATATAGGTTTTCAGTGATATGCAGATAATCAAAATATGTCTTTATGAAATTTTACTACTGTCCCAATTCTTATAGAATTAGAGTTGTAGTTGTGGTTAACTTTGAGTTTGAATGGCGTTTTCTTGGCTTTTGTAGTCAGTCTCAAGTGGAAGCTCAATAAATAACATCTTTTGGCTTCAATATTGCACTCAAGGTTCCTGTTTGATTAAGAGGTAACCTCAATAAAAAATGACATTGTTTGATAGACTTGAAAACTTATCAAAGCCAGTCACCAGTTCAACTAAATATCTACTTTAAAACTTGTTGTTTCAAGTTTTAACTTCCTTTTGATTAACCTGCTAGTATTGTATTTGAGGAATACCTCCTTTTATTATTGTGGTTCTAATTTAAAAATTAACATACTCCTTCTAGAAAACAGACAATTTTAGTGATTTTTTCCCCCAGTCATTTGGTCTGTTTCCATAAAAATAATCCATTATCCACATTTTATTAAATCACTCTTTTAATGTCTGACCTATTGTCTGAAAACCGTAAATACATTTACTTTTGTATTAATGGCAATATGAAGAAAACGGTCATTTATATCTGAAAGATCTAATAAATCTAAAAAAGAGCCTTAAAATCGTATTAAAATTAATAACCAAAGTAGTTTGCATTTAATTTTGTCAGCGTTAAGGGGAATCGAATTCACAAGTAATCATTTCAGCTTCATTGAACAGACCTTGGTGTCATAGTAAAGGTGGATAAGAGAAAATATTACTAATAGTAAATGTGATCAATACCTCCCACATTCAGGGCACTGTGGTTTCATGCACCAGAGAGCTCCTGGCGGCCATTTTCTGCCCAGGAGTGTATTGTTGTACCCCTCGACTGTGATGTCGCCACACTTCCTCTGCAGATGTCTGATAGTCGCATGGAAACAGCGAAAACATTTTTTTTTTTTTTTTGCCAGACACTTTGTCTTGTTTCTGTTCAGCTGCAAATGCAAAACAAAAGAAAAAGCAACACATAATCTGGCATCAATAATGATTTGAAATGGGCTGTCGGTAATATAACAAACCACAGTCACCCTCAGAGAACGCCCCCAGCGATAAATGTGCAGTGAACACCTTATCAAAACAGACCCACATCAGGTTTTTCCTCCCTGAACCCCCCCTCCCCACTCTGCCTCACCTCCGACACTCTGAAATGGATTTCTGCTTAAGTCTCCATCAAAGCTGTAATGGCTGTGGGGCTGTGTCATTACCAGTCAGACGACTCTCTCCTTCACATAGCGGAGGCTTAAACCTGCATCTGTACTGATAACTGTCATCTTGATTTGGCTGCTTAGAAGCGAAGACCGGGCAGACCCACCTCCCCGACACTTCGCTTACCCCCCCTGCTCAAAGGAAGGTCTGTCAGCTGGAGACGACGGTGCAAAAACACACCCTTAAGGTGCTAAAAAAATGTCCCACTCAAGATTGATAAAGACATGTAATGACAACACAAGACAGGTCAATACTGGGCTGTGATATGCTCCAAAGAAAAACAAGAGACTCTGTCAACAATTGGAGCGTTCAATTCCCTCTAGTGACTCTGCCCATACCTGTAGGTTAAGTGCTAATACTCAAGACTCTGGAAATATTTTAGACAATTTCAGGACATTTAGGCTCTGGTATTTTTAAGAAACTATGGAGATTGTTGCCATGCTTTCTTACTTCAAAAAATATGGTTTGTGTACTTTTTCACTCAGGGGGGGCTGCCAGAAGAAAAACTCTTCAGGTCCTTACACACCGGAAACGACACAAATACATGATGCAAAATTACAAAATATTCGGGGAAAATATTGACACGCCTGACTATACACATCAAGCGCAGTGCAGTTTTGCGACTTTCGGTACATTATGGTATGTTGTATCTGAACAGGTTAGCTTACGAGCTAAAGTTACTTAGCACAGATAAAAGTTAAAACAAAGATGTTTAGCAAACTGTTAAAGCACACAAACTATCGTCATATGAGAAATCTAACGCTATGACTCTCCACAAGTTGTCCTTCAGGTCGTTATCTTTGTAATATTTGTGTTTTTAATCAAAAAGCACTTTGTTCTCTGACACGTAAACAATCAGCCGGTCGGCCATGTTGGATATATCGGTGAATCTGATGTTGCAACAACACGAAATCTGATTGGTCAGAAGTGGACACACCGTATGTGAAACTTCTAGAAAAATCAACCATGATCCGAAAAAATAAATGCCGCAATATCGCAGGTGGTGTTGCTGGTGTGAATGCTTGTATTGACAGGATATGGGTTCAAAAAAAAATATTAACATCTGAAATAATTGCACGAAAAAAACGCTCCTGGTGTGTAAGGACCTTAAGTGCGAATAGATAAGACTCTGGAAATATTTTGAGACAATTTCAGGACATTTAGGCTCTGGTATTTTTAAGAAACTAGGGAGATGGTTGCCGTGCTCTCTTACTTGAAAAAATATGGTTTGTGTACTTTTCACTCAGGGACTGCCAGAAGAAAAACTCTTAAAGTTGGTCAGAACAAATTTAGCCAATCGCATTCAGCGAACCTGAACAAGTCATGAAATTTTCAGGAGTGTAGTGCTTTTGTGACAGAGGCTGGATGGACCAGCAGTTACAAGACATGGAAATATGGAAAAATACACAAAAAGATTTTAGTTAATCTGACAAGATAAAAATTTGACACACAGATCAAACTCACCAAACTCCTCTGTGTGAAAACATTGGCTCGTCTGACATCTTGTTTTGACATATCCACCAAGAAAGCACTAAAATATGTAGGAGAAATCTTTGTCACCCTTTAGCCAAATTCTGCTGTTGGAGTATTTTTGCAAGAAATTTTCAGTATGGCAAACAATCATCTATTTTATTTTGATATCATGCATTTTCATTTCAGTTTCAGTCAAACAATTGCTTTACATTTCAATTATTTTTCTGTCTTTCTAATGAAAACACTATGTCTCTTGTGATGTTTGCAAAAAGTCGGTATCCTAGCGGCACTGATGATAGTACGCTCCGTTCATATGAATGGGGGGGTGAACACACACCTTGAGGGCTGTGTGGGAAGCAGGATTTTTGTACGGTCCATTCCCTCTCCAATCTCCTGCGGCTGTATTTCAGGTAGAGATTCAACTCAGCAGGCAGCAGAGTGACAGTGTGTCTGTATTTGTATTTGTCTGTATGTGTGGTGTTGGAAAGCCCACATATCTGAACATAAGTCAAATTTATAGAAATATATACCTGCATTTGTGGTAGAGATAGACTGATAAATTAAAAATAATGATGGCATGAAATAATCATCTTCACATCAGCATTGGCACTCATGAGGTCGATGTCACCATCATATTTTTTGACATGTTTTAACACCCTAAATGGCAGCATATCGCATTTAAATACAGTTACTGTAAATTTTGTGATGATATGCAGAATAAAGCAGTTTAATATGGGAGATGTATCCCTTTGACATGACTGCAGAGAAAATATCCTCTGTAATGGTTATGGACAGAAAACATTGATTTCTTTTTCAGTCAAGTTTGCTAGATTTTATTTTAAAGCATGACTTTGTTTGCAAGGCAGGTTGTTTTTGAGTCAATCAGATTTGGATTTGAAACCTTACATTTAATAGAAAGTAAAAGTTAATTTTATTTCTCTTCTTTTAAAGATAATATATGTTACGATATAATTCTGGTTCTGGGTTTATTCTTGTCTCATAAACACTTACAGAAGCATTATTTTCAGATTTTTCACTGAAATACAGACTAAAACAGCTGGCAGCTAGCTAGACATTTAAACTTAAAGTGCTGTTGAGATGCAGTTAAACGACTTGTGGAGTAATTTTTTCATCACCTGGCTTGAGTATCCAGAGCTTTCTTTGTTTTTATTTTAAGCGATCAGTGGGTATATGTTAATCCTTCAGCTGGAAGTCTTGGTTTCAAGTGTTTCAGTCCACTGGGAGCTGATAATTAAGCGATGTCTGACACAGCTAATCATTTAGTCTTTGTTAAAACTGAACTATAACTGGTACATAAATATAATACGGTATAATCTGTTGGAGGTGGGCTTAAACCATTTCTGTCTGTTGCGATAAATTAGTAACCAACATGGAGAAATAGACATCCAACATTTATGAACCCGTCCCAAACTGAAAGAGGGAAAAAAAAACAATCCTCATTCAGATATGTTTATAAATCCCTTTCAGTAGCTGTAGCATGTTTGTGCCCAGAACAGTTTATCATCATAAATCAATTGCACAGAAATGAACCTGTTATAGAAACATATTTTTGGGGGATAATTTTTCTGTGAAAACGCGTAAAATGACAAAATAAAAGTCTTATATTTTCCTGCAGGCATAGAGAGATAACAGCTGAAGTGAAAACCCAGCAAAAACACAGTCATTCTGCAAATACTAGCGGACAAAGCTCAGTTTTGGTCATTCCTGCCCTCTTTTGTTGTCCTTCAAACATACAGTTATGCTTCACACCTGAATCCTCATGCAGCTTCTTATTCTGGAATAATTTTGCTCTTTGTTCCCTCATTAAATGGAGCGTTATATTCCCTCTAATGGCTATTACTGCTGAACACAAAGGGGCAGTGAAGCGGGCTAAATTAAACGGTCGTTAATTGAAGGAGTCATTACAGCGTGGCTCTGCTGCTCGTGTGCTGCCGTCTGTTTCTGTTGTGACTGAATCACAGCGAGCTGATGGTGAAGCCTCTGGTCTGTTTTGACCTCTGAAAAGTCAGGATCATCAGTCGTTTAGATAAAAGGAGTCCAAGATGCTGTTTCAAAAAAGTAAACCATAAGTTGGTGAGGCCCGATTTACTGGTTTACTGTTTTGTTTCTACCTGTTCAGTCATGGAAATGCTCATATCCTTCTATCTCCAGCATCCACCTCATGGGGACAGATGAACACTTTTTATGTCACCACACTGACTCAAAAATTTCACAATTGTTTTTCCATAAAGCTGATAGATTTTTTTTTTTCTTCAGTGTTTTGTAGGAACTGTCACTTTACATGACAACATTTGCTCCCAGTATTTGGAAAGCACTTTTAAAGCCATTTTACTGTCAAAGCCAAACGTTATGAATCATCTTCTGCCACCAAGTAAAAAAAAAAAAAGCCAAACAGTTTGGGTGATTTTAAAAGTTACGTGTATTTTATCAAGTTATTGTGACATCTGAAAATCTCAACCTAAAATTGAATCTTATACTGAGTGGAGTGAGAAGTTTACCTTTGATTTAGTGACACACAAGCATCTAGATGGTAAAGCAGATGTCTTTTAAATGTAGTGATTTTGAGTAAAAGTAATGGTTCATTTAAAGCCCCTTGATGGTGTTTGCTCATGACAGTGTTAGCAGTATAATCTCTACTTTGTTAGAAAGTCAAAGTTAGGCGTGTGTCAGATTAAACCAAGACCAGGCCAGTGCTAGTCTCACAATACACGACACACTTTTATTCCCCAGATGTATTTCAAGATTAAAAGGAAAAAAAAAACTGTCAGTGTGATATTTTGAATCCATTTGGTGCTGTTTATTCTAGAGATTCACTGATTATTTTTTTTCCGATCCGATCCGATCCGATACCTGGGCTGAGTGTATTGGCCGAAATCCGATACCGATCCAATTCTACTGTTGAATGAATGAACTGTATACCTTGCCCTGTGAGTGAGAGCATTAGGCTTGACATTAACCTTGTTTAAAAAAAAAAGGTAACAAATTAACACAGATATAAATTTACTTAATATTAATTATTAACAATGAACAAATTGCACATTAGCACACAGAAAAAGAAGTAATACTTCCATGTAAACAGTTACTGCAAAAGGATAGACAGACATAGAATATAGAACAAACAGAATTGTTGTGTTGCTGTGTATGATATTAATTAAAAGAAAAAAAAGGACTGGATCGGAACGCTGGATTGGCATCATTCATCAGATACCCAATCCACTTAATTTGTCAATATCAGAGCCGATATCCGATCCAAATATGGGATCCGTGCATCCCTAGTTTATACATTACAAATGCACAGGAATGGTATCTCTGCAGATGTAGTCTTCACCGGTCATATTTGAGTTCATAACAAGTCTTTTTTTTACCGAGGAATAAAGAGTGGACAGTTAATTCAGATTGACACCTTCAAGTATGATCTTGATCAATCTGTAGACTGACTTCTGTTGACCACACTGTTTTTTTATTGCTGTAAATATGACAACATGGACATATTGAGAGTGAACCAAAAGAGTATAGTGGAGGTAAAAGAGGACATAAAAATGAGGTGAAACTGGCCTGATGACTCAAACTGTGAAATCAGAGCTCTCGGTCACATAAAGTCATTGGGCTGTTTAGAAATGAGACAAAGCGAAACAGACATTATTACTTGAGTGTTCGAATTTGAGTAAAAATTAAATGAAAGAATAAAAACAAAATTAGTATGCAGGCTATAATTAAAGCACCATAAAGCCTGATTTAATCATCCATACTGCTGTGGGGATTCTATATGGGTTTAATTATCAGTTTAATGGTAAGAGTTTGGTTCAGACCACCACCACTGGCTGTCACACTGGTTTGTTTGTATAAAAAGGTACCCAGATGCTTCTCTCTGCCCCACCACCTTAATGAACCAGTGAGGTAACACAGGCAATTAAACCCTTTTTACCCCGGGAGTACGACTAATTAAAAGTCGATTCAATTTAGCGTGTCAGGTTTCCAATAGGAGTCAGCACAGATAAGAACTCTGAGGATGGATGATGGGGGGGAGTGTGAGCGAGGATGCGCAGTGATTTTATCTGCAGTCATCATCAGTTAGAGTTAGGAGGATTGTTCCAGGAATAAAACACCTTAGAGTTTCTCACAATGTGATTTTACACATCAGTAATTCTCATCAAGGTAAAAGGTAGTTTAATCGAAAGACTGGATGAAAGTAACTACAGCAGGTAGCTAATAATTAACCTAACAATACGTAAGATTCTGTTTTACAAACCTTCTGAAATATCTAAATGTTTACCAACTCATGAAAATTGTCATTATAAGAAAGAAATCTGCTCAACTGTGTGTTGCACAAGTCCATCAGCGGTATGCAGCGGGATACGTCAGGAATAATTGATCCCGTCTTCATTCAAAACAGATATTTTAAAAGCAGTCATCACCTTGGGGGCAGACTTCCAAAAAATGAGCATTTTTACTATGAACAAATCATGATGTTGTTGTTTTGACAAATTTAAAGGGATATTCCGGTGTAAAAATAATTTCGGGTCAAACACACTGTAACACCAAGTTAGCCCCCCCTCTCGAGAGATGAATGTTGCCGACCAATTGCTTCTCTAGTTATACCAACTCTAGTAACGACCGCACAATAGCAATACACAGCGGTCTGAGAAGCCATAAACAAACCTCAACCAAAACTCCACTCTATACCCCAAAATAATAATCAGAACATCTTTTTAACTTTGCCTGATTTCTTTAGCATAGAGACTAAACACAACTCACCTACTCTGTTCCAGCTGCCGCTTGTTTGTAGCGAGACCTCAGGCCAGTCCATTACGGACAACAGCGGGGTGACGCAGCTCAAGGAAGAAAATTTATGATCATTACTTTTTCATTTCCTCCAAGTAATAATCACCATGATTATCATTTTGCACTGCAGACAGGATAGACGCCCTGTCTTAGCGTCTCAGTCTGATTGCATTTCCTTAAAGAAATGATCATAAGTGTTCTTCCTTGAGCTGCGTCACACCGCAGCAGTCTGTAATGGACCGGCCCGCGGTCTCGCTACAAACAAGCTGGAAGAGGGTGGGTGAGTTGTGTTTAGTGTCTTTGCAAAAGAAATTAGGCAAAGTTAAAAAGATGTTTGGTGGCTAGTGATGTGACTGGGACCCTATATGTACTGTTGATGAAGTTAGGTGCTGTTCTGAGCATTATTTGTGGCTATAGAGTGGCGTTTTGGTTGAGGTTTATTTATGGCTACTCAGACCACTATGTATTGCTAACGTTTGGTCGTTACTCAAGTTGGTATAACTTGAGAAGCAAGCAGTTGGAATATCCCTTTAAGATCAGTAAATTGCGAAAGAATCTCACTAGCTTCCTTTATTGGGTTCATATTACTAAATTAGGCCAGAGTGCGAGGAGTATTGTGGGGGATGCAGTTGATGACAGTGTTGCAGATGTAAACACAGCACAGAGGAGGAAGTCTTGGCTGGAAGTCATTGACAAATAAATTGAAAGTTGGCATCTGTTTCCAGAGACATGTATCACCTCTCCTCATCAGACAATGATAGACAATGGTTGACAGTAGGTCTTGGATTAGTTCGTTTTGATAGGTTGAGGTCAATGTGAGTTTAATTTCTGAATAATTTCACATGAAGGATCCTTTTAAGACTGCGCCGTAAATTTCATGACGGTGCTTTTGCACCTGTGTTCATCCGTAAGTGATGAGAAACATGCGGATAATCAACTGGAGAGAAGCCAAAGCCTTCTTGGCTGTTTCTCTTTCCCTTTACATTCAAACACTAGTTTTCAATTACTTACTGATGCAGCAGTGCTGAGCTGGACTTTCATTTGGAAGAGAGTGAATTAAAATTGGCAGGGTGAGTTTGACATAACAGCAGAGTAAAATAAAGACAGGATCAGCGTTTGTTAGTTTTTATTTGAGCTCATTTCTTCCTTCAAGATTCTCCAGGATCAGCTCTGATAAAGATCTTCAGTATCTCTTCGGGATACTTCAAGTTAATAAGGTGGCTGCTTCATCTGATAAACTGTTCAACCCAATATTAAACATTTGATGTAATGGCTTTGTATATACTGTACAACAATCCATTTCATCCATAAAAAGAAAAAAAAAACTTGCACCTGTTATGAAAGGCCAGACACTTTGCAAGCTTCTCCTACTACATACAGTCAGTTCTGCCTGTTTCTAGATATACTGGGCTTCCTTTATACGACGTATATTCATCATCTGAGCAGCTAGACATGGGCTAGACAAATGACACGGAAACCCACCCTGAACACATCTCTTAGTCATCCTCATTAGTCATCCTCACCTCTATATCCCTCCTCCCACATTCTGCTATCACTCCACATGGAAAGCATACGTTTGCCCTCCACATTGAAAGACTTTGTACTTGGCACGCCATCAGCTGGCATCAAAACATTTGCATTTTGCTGAAGTTTGACAAATGGCAAGAATGCACCTATGTGGGAAGACGGACTTTGATATGGTACATGTCACTGTGATGTTACTGAGATGTCACGAGTGCTGCAGCCATTTTTTATCAGCGTGAACAGTCTCAGATCTGAGAACTTTATGGAGCGTGAAAAGCAAAGGAAGAACAAACAGGCAGTGGTATAACCCTGCTCTGCTCTTCTCCTTTAAGTGTAAATATGTGATCAGGACTATGCATTGGTGCTGAATATGTAAAAAAAAAAAAGGGCTGATTCGTACAACCCTTAAACATCATAGTCACTTCCCAGGAAATGTTAAAGGGATATTCCAGCGTAAAATTAAGTTAGGGTCAAACACACTGTAACACCGAGTTAGACACCCCCTCGAGAGATGAATGTTGCCGACCGCTTGCTTCTCTAGTTAAACCAACTTTAGTAACGACCGCACAATAGCAACACAGCGGTATAAGGAGCCATAAACAAACCTCAACCAAAACGCCACTCTATAGCCACAAATAATGCTCAGAACAGCACCTAACTTCATCAACAGTACATATAGGGTCCTAGCCATAGTACTAGCCACCAAACATCTTTTAGCTTCGCCTAATTTCTTTAGCAAAGAGACCAAACAGAACTCACCTTGTGGCGAGACCTCAGCTGAGTCCATTATGGACTACTGCGGGGTGACGAAGCTCAAGGAAGAAAATTTATGATAATTACTTATCATTTATTATCATTTCCTTAAAGTAATAATCACCATATCATTTTGCACTGCAGACACTGTAGTTCTTCTGCCTTCGTGTCTCAGTCTGATTACATTTCCATGAAGAAATGATCATAAATGTTCTTCCTTGAGCTGTGTCACCTCACTGCAGTCCGCAATGGTCTGGCCCGAGGTCTCGCTACAAACAAGCAGCTGCTGGAAGAGAGTAGGTGAGTTGTGTTTAGTCTCTTTGCTGAAGAAATTTGGCAGGGTTAAAAAGATGTTTGGTGGCTAGTGCTATGGCTGGGACCCTATATGTACTGTTGATGAAGTTAGGTGCTGTTCTGGGCATTATTTGTGGCTATAGAGTGGTGTTTTGATTGAGTGTGTGGCTCTCTGTATTGCTATCTGCGGTCGTTATTAAAGTTGGTTTAACTAGAGAAGCAAGCGGTCAGCAACATTCAGCTCTCGAGGGGTTGTCTAACTCAGTGTTACAGTGTGTTTGACCCTAACTGAATTTTACACAGAAATATCCCTTTTATATCTTGTGGTCTGATGCTTACCTCCTCACACCAATTTCAGGCAGTAAAACATGCATTGTAGAAATTTCCACTCTTGTTGCTGGTGTTGTTTTGCATTGGTAGGAAAGCATTTTTAAAAAGGTATCTATATCATTTTAAATCTGTTTCACAGGCGGTTAAAAAGTCCTTAAAGTGACCTCTGTGACATCTCATAGAGCCTCTGCTGAATTCTCCGAACAGCTATTTCGCTTCTTTCTTGCCTTCAGTAAGGGAAGCATACTCTTTTTCAGCGTACTGTACCATTTTTACACATCATTTTTGTCGTCACTTGCAATGCTAACACTTACAATAAATCCCCCTTTGTTGAGGGAATGTGGGTTAAGTCCTATTTTGAGCGTAGAAGAAGAGGAAGAATGAGGATTACCGCCGACAGCTTCCCTTCAACAGCCCACGGAGCAGCACAGTTGTACCTCATCCATCTCATCATAATCAGCACTTCTCCATATTTTCAAGCTTTTCACTGACAGTGGAAAATTTCCGGAAATTAGGTGCTTTTAAGCAGTCAAAGCAATTGCTGATGTGTCTGTAATTTGAAAATAGGAGCTCACAGAGGTGATTTGTCCAGTTTGGTTATCAAAAGGTCATTCATGCAGCAACAAATGACTTACAGACTGCACCCAGACATTTCCTGTAATTTTGGGCTGTAACCTTTGTCACACATTATTACTTCCCTCTCTTCTTGTCTTGTCTGTCACAGATTCTTCATCCTCTTTAACGTAACGGGCTAAATGTGCTATGACAGGTACACATGGTGGCTGACAAGAGCAGCTGATCTGCGATGGCCCGAACGAGGCTGCGATGCTCAAATAACATATTTTATTCTGCTGTTAGACTATGTATCAGTTAACAGCACTGGGGCAGAGTGTGTTAAACAACTATATCCTTATGTATACTGTACCTTTCCCTTTATTGCTTAAGCGAATGAAACTATTGCACAGCAGGATCTCCTCTAAGGTTATAATTGATTTGAATTTTTTGAGTTAATTTTTATCTGTATTTTCTTGATGAGAGGTAAGATCAAAAAGCACCAGAAAAGGTATTGAATTGTACTCAAAAGTTAAAGATGATCATCTGTAGTTCTGCAGCCCTTCCAGTTTTTCAGTACTCTACTTTCACTCATGCATAGGTCACATTTGCTTTGGTCCCCACTGCGGCCTCAGGCCTCTCCCAGATGGCCGATGACAGATGCCCACAATTGCTGTTGCCCTTGGTTGGAGTTCATTCCCTCCCTCCAGATAAGAAATATATAAACGGTCCTTACTAAGTTTCCCCCAAGTGTCCCACTTCCCCTGCTTGTCAGGCTGATTTCTTTCCTGCCCAATAGTCATTACCACTATTTATTATTTCTTTGTTTTCATCCTGAGTTACTCGTCTTTTCTATTTGTTGAAAAAGCAGGTCTTTTCTAGTTCCCATCTTCCCTTCCTTCTCTCTCCCCTCCTCTCCTACTGCACCAGTCGTTGTCCTTGGCTTGATCTGATGTCCTTTGCTCTATTCTATCACGAACCTGGATGCTTACCAAGGGTTTTAGCCACAATGAGTGTCCTCCCTCTCACAGTACTTATTATGTCTTGTCACTGGATAAAAAAAAAAAATGAGTCATGTTTTTCAACCTTGCTCTGAAATAATACATGAATGCATGCATAATATGTGCATTTGCGGCATTTGCATTTTTGGCATTCAGTGTTTGCATTGCATTATCTTTATGGGTATTGTCAGTGAGTTGTTAACAGTTATAACACATTATAGTACCTGACCTTGTAAGTCACAATAAAATGCTTTATAATATGTTATAATTATTGCTATAAAGCATTATGATAATTTATGAGTGTTTATAACTATAGTTATACAGTGCTATACTGTGATTATAATGCATTATACATATAAAGCGTTGTAGAGAGAACTTAAAATCAGTAACTTCTTTTAATGTGGTCCAACAAACAATAACATTTTGGTTTGCTTAGAAAAGTTGAAAATCTATTGTGTTTATAAAAAAAGCCAAAACAAGCAATAACGTAAAATAAAGTATAAAAACATCATAATTAAATTCTTCTGCGTGTCAGTAATTTTATTCTGTTTCCAGTCTGTCGGCCCGGCCATATGCTACAGACACTTCAGTGTGAAAGACTCCATCTGGAGGACGGAGATAACGTTTTGTCCTTCCTGACAGTGGAAAAAAAAAACATCAGCTTGTTTGAAGTGTTGTGATTTATGTTGGAGGTAGAGTAGGTGCAAGGACAGGGATTTACTATAAACAGACACCAGTGTTTCTGTGGTTTTTGCAAAGATCAGGCCAAAGGAGTGCGTACATGCCTACAAAAGCTGTGACAATTTCAACATTGTCTTCATTACGATGAGAATAAATACTTAAACTTTAAAGTGATTGGTTTTACACAGCTGATATTAATGAATGGCCATGTGTACATAGGAGTTTGTTTGGTACCAGCCCCATCATGACAAACAGAAACAGTTTCGCTCTAATTTAAATGCTCAGTAACCCTGTTGGATTATTTTTGTAGCCTGTGTGGGCAAACACACTGCATTACAAAGGGGTGGCATGTAGAGGCCGCTTGGTCGTGTTGAGTCTCCCTGACCACCAGGAGACGTGACAGGTGATTGGCTGCTTCACCCCTGATCTGGTTTTCACACCACTGCAAACAACACCATTGCGACAAACACAAGACAGGCAGACTTTGTGAATCACACACACTTTACTCAGGTTTATGTTTGAGTGGATGGTGTTTCCATGTGACATATTCTGTGATTTTATTCATTCTGTAGCTCATCTGAATACTATGCGTTTAAATGTGGGTGTGAAGGTGTGTGTGTGTGTGTGGCGGTCTTTAGATAGCAGTGGTCTAATTAAAGAGCTGGCATGTCAGCCTGCTCTCCCTCTTTGTTAAACATTGGGTCTAATCTCTTAGTACAGAGTATCGTCGGTGTGTGTGTTATCTGCTGATAGCCATGAGGTGTATACAAGATGGATGACAAACCAGTACAGACATTAGTTGGGAACCCATCCAAGTCATCCCAGAGGATTGTGTATGTATGTGTGTATATGTGTGCATGGTACTGCGTGTCTACTGGCCCACGTGTTTTGTGTATATTCATATGTTTGCTGAAAATCTGACTCAATAAAAGATTGCGCAGCTTTTGCGCCGACTAAACCTGTGCAAATAATCCCAAAAGATATTGTCGAATTAACATAGCATGAGGAAAGGTTTAAACCTTAAGGTCCTTTCACACCGGGACCGTTTTTGTCGTGCAATTATTTCGGACGTCAATAATTCGAACCCTTATCCTGTCAATACAAGCGTTCACATCAGCGACGGTTTCCCGTCCTGCGATATTGTGGCATTCATTTTTTCGGATCATGGTCGATTTTTCTAAAGTTTCGCATACTGTGTGTCCACTTCTGACAAATCGGATTGCGTGTTGTTGCGATGTCAGATTCACCGGTATATCCAACATGGCCGACTTGATTCTTTACATGTCTGAGAACAGAGTGCTAAATGATGAAAGACACAAACATTACAAAGATAATGACCTGAAGGATAACATAGCGTCGGATTTCTCATATGACGATGATTTGTGTGCTTTAACAGTTTGCTAAACGTCTTTGTTTTAACTTTCATCTGTGCTAACATAAGCTAACGGTTGTTACCATGGTGTCATGCACTTATCTTATCGCCTCTGATTGGCTATATGTGCCGACCGTTTGGCTTGAGCGTGTGATGAGGTTTCCAGCTTTTCTAGCCAATCAGAGGCTAAGGAGGCGGGACTTCCCCCAGGAAAAGTCTTCCCCAGGATGTGTCTTGTGTGTATTTGTTTTGTGCTCACTTTCTTGATTTGTGTGAATTTCTCGCTATTTTCCTGTTTCATAGCAGAGGCTGACATGTTTCTGTCAATCAGTCTGTTCTTGACTTGAAAACTGGGACAAGGACAGAAGTCCAGTTAAATCGCCTGATAAAGCTGTCTCTGTAGCTGTGCGTGTTATCCTCCTGAATGTTTAAATTAGGTCCACAACACCTCAGGGAAGCTCTTGTGTCCCCCAGAGCCGTCCCCCTCCATGCCTGCTCCCACTGTCCTTCACATCCACAATCAGAATCATTTTACATTGCACTACATTGCCACGTTCAACAGACTTCAGGAAGTGACAGCACACCAAGCTTCTTAAACCAAAAACACATTATAGAGAGGTGTCTGTAGCTAGATTATATAAAGTAGCCTTTTTTGGCGAGAATCTATCCCCGCCGGACCGGGCTGCACGCCCTACCTCTTGAGAGAAGAGAGGAGAGAGAAAACAGAAGCTGGATGTTAAAACAATGCAGGAAAAGCAGAGTAAGGATGAGACACCTGTTACTCCCCAATTTCCATAATTGCAAGAAGATAAATAAATTATTGAATAAAGTAAAAGGAGATAAACATATCCTTAATTTGCCTCCTAATTGACATTATTCCTCCTCGTTCACATCCACTGACTTGTCACAACTGCTTTGTCTGATAGTCTCTCTACTGTCCTTGGCAAACCCTCTGCCTGTGGACTTAAACAGCCCCTGTGGACACATTTGGTCCAATCCTGTCCTCTAGCTCCTGGATTAAAGCAGGACATTGTCTCTCCTCCTCCTGGGTACTGCATAATGGTTGAATATTTACTCAAGGGAGGAGTTTCCCCATCCTTGCGAGGTGATTCACAAACATACAAAGCCATTTTGAAGAGAAATTGAATGCATGGAAGCTTATTTTGACCAAACCCCAAATACTGCAATCATAAAGCTTGTAGCAAACCTAAATTTGTTGGCCTAAATTTTGAGACATAATCTTGTTATGATGCTCACCTGCATGACTGTAACTTGATCTCTTTAATGGGATTGTACATCAAGCCATGGATCTACTGAATCTGCCTTTAGCTGCTTTTGGGGTTTTGTACCTTTGTCAATATTTCTCAGCATTATTTACCACATAGACACGTTCATTTTAGTTTTTTGCATCTGCACAGCCGTGATCTTCTTAGCATCTGTCACAGTTTTGTAAATGCGATTACCCGGAAACACCTTAAAGGGGAACCACCATTCTTAGCACTTTTGTCCACTTTCACCCAAGGACGAACTCTTAAGCTTTGGGACGCCAAAGATAAATTCACTATGACTCCACATCAGTCTTATTCTTTTAAGAGTAATACCTCAGTCCTCCAAGGAAAGATGGCCTGCCTCTTAATTCAGATTTATTACCAAATTCAGACACTTCTGAATTCAGCCAATTATTCCCTCCAAGTTCACTTTGAGTCTAAACTTAATACTTGAAAAAGATGTACGAGATGGAAACCAAAACTTGATTGATCGGTGAAAGCATGCAAGCGCCTACATGTTCTCAGAAAGTGTGTGTCACTGTCTTCATATTGCATAAAATCATACACTAATACAGAGTGGCATTTCCCCAATGTTCCCAGTCGCGGTTCAGTCCAAGGAAAATGTGGAGGCTAAAAATATTCCCCTCTTCACAGCTCCCACTCACTTACCTAACACAGTGAATCACTGTATGAGAGGAGCATTTGCAAATGACCTTGTCATACAGATCTGACACACAAAATAGCACTCCCGCTGTGGGTTTGTGTATGCCAACACAGTTGTGTCTGTCTTGTGTACAAACAGCATACAGTAAAGTGTGAGTATGCACTTGAGTGTTGTCCTGAAGGTCATGTGAATGTTAATGTCTGAATTGTGTGTGTGTGTTCCTGCGTGTGTTTCTTAGTAATGTGTATTTATACTTCACTGAGTGGTCCAGGTGAGTCATGTTTCTCCTTGGCCTCCTTTCAAAATAAAGAGCTCTTTGTAATATTTGTTTTACTTGACCAGCAATGGAAACATCTTAACACATTCAAGAGAAGTTTTATATCCGTTCTTACTTATTTATTACCAACTTTTAACCCACAATGTATGCTTATGTTGTTGCACTTTTGTGATACTTTTAATTCCAAGCTCCAAGTATCTTAAGTTCCTGATGTTGGTACTTTGAGGGGGTCAAATTTATTGCTTCAGTTCTTGTAGAAATGACTGAAAAGCAGCATTTTCTGGACCAAGATAAGGAAATATTTTTACCTGTATCTCCACAATGAAGCAGAGTCGGCAAGGACGGCAAGTTAGGACTGTAGATGCTCAAGGAGTTGTGCGCCTGAAAGTCCTGATTGTACTGCTTGTAAACAAATGTTATTTTTCCAATAAAAAAAAACAAGAGCAATTGCACCACCCCTCTATTATGTATTTTCCATCGCAACATAAGCACTAAACTGTTTGTTCTGCGAAGCCACAGACTGTGCTGTATCAAGGCACATGAACTGGTTAGCACAAAATACCAACATGAGGAGCAGGCTCATAAAAATAATCTCAGTGGGCTTACAGCCATTGGGGGAGGCTCAAACCACTAAGTGTGGAATCGCTGCGACTAGATAACTGAACAGAACCCACAGTGTCCAGTCCAGTGGTCTTATTGAGAAAAATAAGCGTGTCCACAATGGCCAGGTGTCGTTTGGGAGTGCCACTGTGTCATAGTCAGTTCAGCGGTAGAAAGTATGCTTGGAAGGCATCAGAGTTTCTGGTGGTCAGACATACTGGCATGTCAGCTTTGCCAGTCTGGTAAATCGCTCTGCATTGACTTTCGGACCAGTCTGCTGGCTTTGTATCCATTGGTGGAGTAATGTCCTGAAAAAAGTCCTCAACCATTCGTGTCTGTATCGCTGTGGGCTGTTGTGTATTGCTCCCATAAAAAAGACCATGATGTGGTCCTGGCTGAGCTCCTCGACTGTGTGAAACTGTTCAAGAAATCACATTTGACATTACATGTTTCATCTATTTCATTGTTCAGATATTGATCTTCACGTACGTTCTCTCCATTCCTGCTCTATATGCTTCACTCTGGTTGTTCTCAGCTGTATAGTTCATGCCTTTTTTTCTTGAAGTTGCTGGTCTTAATACTGTTTGCCAAGGTTTCAGGTCAGGATGTTGTTTTTTTCTGCTTTTCAGTCCACATGAGTGAACAGAAACAGATAACAGCATCTACCACCGCCGACCAATATCACCATTTAGTTCTCAAATCCTACTTTATCCAGGAAAGCAGAATTAAAACATGACCTTATAGACATGAATACATATTAAAGACTTGGCTGATAACACATCATCGAAATATAAACAGTTTTTACTCATAGGTTTTCTCATAATAGTTAATTCTGCAGAGGAATTAAAACATAAATCATTGACTAAATTTGGCTTTCTCTTACAGAACCACTCAGCTTCAGCTCTCTGCAGATTTTATTCTGTGTTGCCCACATTTCCACTTCCACCATCCAGCAAGATGTGCCTTTTTGTCCATTTTCTTTGCCTTCTCTGCAGAAAATTGCAGCATAATTGAGCTGCAATTTGTGTTGAAATGGTTCAAATTCACGATTTCACAGCCAGTGTGGGGTTGCCTAGCAACGCAACTGTAATTGTAGTCCACCTGTCAGTCAGTTGTTAAGTCGTCATTTTGACCGTCAAGACTATAAAGAACAGTGGGTGTCGGTGTTTTTGTGAGGGGTCTCTATCCTTTGAAAGTTAATCTCGTCTGGGTTTTTTTCGCATTGTGACTCACTCATCACTCCGTTATAATAACAGGGCTGGTGATTCTTAGAAAGTCAAATTATATATTACTCATATTCCTCCGCTGGCAATTTTTTCCATGTCAGGCTGTAGGCTTTATCAGCTGTCCACGTAATGGAACAGAGATGACAGGTGTTGCAGAGGGGAACTCGTCTTGACCTCAGTGTCTGGAACAACGCCATCTTTTAGGGAGCATATGCTGAAACATCCCAATAACAGCTGCCTGCATGTGAATGCTGAAGGCCTTTGTCCAGCTATTAACACATCTGGATTAGACCCGCTCCTTCCAGGAAGTTTCCTAAATCACAGACATGAAAGAGTCATAAAAATACACCGCTTTAAGTGGATTAAAATCTTGTTTATGTTGGGTTGGTAGTCTAAACAGACAACCTGGCTGCCTGGAATACACTCCTAAGACTTCTTGCAGCTGATGATCTTGTACTTAACAAGCTTTGGCTTCAAGAGAAACTGCTCAGATTGTCCGGCAATGACGCTAATAGAAAGAAAAAACATTACAGAGTCAAGCAGCCTTTAAAGTGATGCAGATATACAATTGCAGGGGGGAATTAAATGTAGCTATATATAGAGATGCCGTGCTCAACTCTGGTCACTTGGGAAATTGGGGGAACAATGATTTGCATGCAATTGAACCTCACCCAAACTCTTTAGATCATCGTTTAATTTGCAACAGGTTTATAAAGAAATCTGTGCCACTAGGAAACATAAGTCATGTCCCGAAGACAAGGATGGCTTAATACTCCAAACATCTTTGTCACTCCTCACTGCTAAAGGTTTTCTTACAGCAGCCCCTCATACCTCAAAGCTTGGCCTTGACTAAGTGTTCCCTGTGTGTAACTAGAGCGCATAAGGCAGTACATCATACAGACGGGGACAGCAGGTTGCTGGGAGTTGTCTAATCAGGTCCTGGTTTTTATAGCCACCTGTCACCTCAGGACCCCCCTGGTTGGACAGTTAGTCTCCATCAAAACAATTTGTCTAGACAGTTAATCATTTGTACCCCAGTTATGATAATGCCCTTAACTGTTATTAAAACAAGGGATACAAAAGTGTTATTATTACACCGCATAGCCATACTATGACCTAACTTGAATGGATGGATTAATGGATCTGTTGGACCAAAATTTGACCTGCTGATGGCACTAAAGGAAACATAAATTATCGCCAAAGGGGGTTAAAATTCGAAACCATCCAGCATGGACCTGAATGGTAGACAGACTGACTGAACACATGTAAGGTGTAAAACAGATGTGTCATTTTATATATTTGGGTGACAAGAGCTTGTCGCAGTACGCAGTTGTCTGCAATACATGTGAGATTGACATTTCTGTCACTCTGATGGCTTGATGAGGACAAACTTCACCTTTGTCACTCGTTCTTCTGTCGCATAGAGATTGGCGCTCATTAGGAAAAAATATCTTCTACTGAAGTCTAATCAGGACAGGTGAAAACACCTGTTTTGGGTGGGGGATCTTTTAAAAGCAACCTTGAGATAAAGTTATATTCTCCCTCTTTGCATAATGGTGCCTTAATGATTAAAAAGTCATCTCGTTTTAGATTGTTGTACTTTTTAAGTTGGTTTTAATGTGGAGAACATGAGTGCAAAGTAGGTGCATGATGAGACATTTGAATGAGTTAATCAGAGCAAGAAAAGATAAAATTTTGATGACAATTTTAAGATAGCCTTAATACGACGGAATACAAAATATATTCCGTAAGATTTCAATCTTAAAAGTAAGATTTCAACATTAAAGTCATTAACTCATCAGAATTAATTCATTACTAACAAGAATAAAGTCGTAGCAAGAATAAAGTGAGAATAAAGTCCTTATATTCTAACCTGTTGTTCTAACCTGAGCCGTGGAGCATTTCGTGAAAATGTACTTTAATAAAGGTTTCTCAAACGAGGAGATACTTAATCTTTCTGCACATCAGCACCACATTATCGAAAGTGTCATATTGATTTCATCACGACTTTATTCTTGTAAGTATTTACTTTATTACGACTTTATTCTCATCAGTAATGATTTTATTACGACTTTAGTTTGGTTAGTAATGATTTATTCTTGTAAATTAACGACTTTAATCTTAAAGTCTTACTTTTTTTTTCCTTAATGTGGCCTTAATACTCCGTCGTACCATATTGATGAAATGTATAATTAAAAATATGATTTAATTCAAATGAAAGTCACTAGATACAAAACAATCCAGGACCATTTGAAGTGTGCTCATTCATAATTATCTTATGATGAATGTCTCTTCAGCTCGACTTTATGACCCAATGCAGTGAAAGACATGCACAGGGTGTAAGCGCTGTAAAAGTGTCATCATCCATTTTGATCTGAAGATGCAGTGAGAAGTTCACTTGCACAGCATTAATTGTTTGTATTGGTTTTTGAGTCTTTATATTTATCTGTATCGGTATTAGTTTTGGCATCAGCACCAATGAGAATGCCAGACAGTGCACAGATTTCATATCATGACAAAATAGCAACCCCCTTCCTCAGAGGTGACCAGTTTCATGCGAATTGTTGTGAGACAATAACCGATGTGAGGCACGAGAGAAAGTGAGAAAAGTCACACCGAGCAAATGTCATCAAATCAGATTTTCTGAACAACAACAATCCATTTATTTTTGGTTGCAAAAGTATCAGAGGGATACCTGATAAAGGTCAAATGCAAGTCTGAGTACTGATGGTGTCATCGGCACAAGCCAAATTGATAGATGGTACCTTGTCCAAGTCCAAGCACTGAATGTCAGCTCTTTAAGTCACGTTACAACGTGTTGACAGAGATTCCAAGTTGAGGCAAGAGGGAACTGTCACGTAGGGGTGTGTGTCTTTTCTGTTGGTTTAGCGATATGTGAGATGACAGGGTTAATATGTTCATTTTGCAAAAGCCAATCAAAACATACCATAAGAGTCCACACACACACACACACGAACACACACACACACACACACACACACACACACACACACACACACACACACACACACACACACACACACACACTCACTCCCTGTAATCAAGCCTTGAAGGCTCTCACCTCTGCCAAAGACGTCAGGTTGGATTAAAGAAAGAGGTTTAATTACAAAGTGGTAGCAGGAGTTCTCAGTTTACACATGCATCATTTGACCTTTTTCTTTATCAATATAGTTTCATGACATCTAAGAAATTATGAAATGGAGTTAAACAGTAAGACAAACTACTGTTACAAACACTTTATTTACAGATTTTTTGAGGACATATTGTGAATATTCTGACACACGATAAATTCAGAGTTTTTTTTGTCACCAGATGTGTGAGTAAGATAACTCTGGCCTTTCTTATACAGCCCCCAAAACTATATATGTTGATTTATATTCATATTGAGAACCACCATTTGGAGAATGGTCACAAATTCCTCTTCGCTATAGGTGCCCGTGTGGAGATCATAACACTGTAGCAACAAGTGAGTCTCTTGATGGAGTTGTTTATGGGGTTGACGGGTCATTTCCCTGCAGCTGTTTCAGGCCATAAAGCAAAGATGTCGGGCATGCAGTTGGCAGGGAAAGTTAGAGGAGTATTCGACTGGGAGACGGGACTTACAGGCAGGTGAATTAGTATTTATATCTGCTCTGTTGTTCGACCACCGACATGAATCATTACCCAGAATCCTTTAACGAGATGTAAAGTCTTAGTGCTGAAGAATACTGGACATTTTGCATGACTGTGACTGTGGCACTAAATATCATTGAGTGGGTATAATTATATACGCTTCTTTTTTCCTCCAAGACTCGAAAGTTATCTCAGAGTTTACACCGTTCACCAAAACAGCACATGTGAAACTTAGTTTACAGTGTTTTAATTTATCTACAGGGCAATTCTGGCCGTGAAAATTTGCAGGGTTATGTGTGAAATTCTTAAGTGTATTTACATAAGAGTATGCAGCAGGAAGCACCTCGGTTATTTTTACATGTTATTACGTTTAAGAAGTCTGTTACATATTACATCTGCTCAGTTGAAAAAAGAGAAACAACCAACTTTGAGCGCCTCGTGTCACGCTGATTCATTTTAAATTTAACTTTAAAAGGAGCAGTAGGTCAGGAACAGCGATATAACACTGCATTTATGACTTGCGTTTCTTTACTTGGCTTTCTCTCCTCATCTGACAGGCTGATGAGTGTTGGTATTTTAAGAGCTGCCAAGACCAGATAGCTTCACCGCTAAGAGGACAGCACAAGAGATACTGTGTTCACAGATAAAGCTACTGAGTCTCCCTTCTTAGAGCTTTCTCCATCCTGAAGCTGTTCAAGATAAAAAAAGAAAAGCTCCATGATGAGGAGAGATTGGACTGCGTACTCACTTGGATTTATCTCCAACCACAGAGTCCGTCAGTTTAGCCAATGACTCCTGCGTGGATAAAACTACCTGAAAGGATCCAACGTCCCCTGACTGTATTTAGAGAAAAGCACAGTGCTCTGACTCTGACGTGACGTGAAAGTTTTCTACATCTTTTACGGCTCGTACTTAGATTTTTATGTGACACCCACCTGCTCATTTGCTCGGTGTCATGCTGTATCAGGTCTTATTATCTTTATGAGCACCGCCAAGTAATTCGTCTTTTGAGGCCTCTATTCAGGAGATTTTTTGATGTTTAATTCCTTCATACAGTCCAGATGTCGTGTTAAATTCTCTGCTTTTGTTTTCTTTCAGTCTTGCTGCACATGATGTGTTTTGTCAGATGATTTTAAATGCATGTCAAATCCACAAAAACGTTTTCATCATCTACTCTCGTCTTTTTGCGAGCCCTAACCTGTTGAGGCAAACCTGATAAAGGACACTGAGGATATGTTAGATGAATAATTTGCCATGAATCAATTAGGGGTCAGCTGCAACTTAGATGAATTTTGAGGTTGATTTATTATAATTGATTTGGCAGCAGTAAGTTTTCTGAAGGACAGGATGTTTTTCAACTTGCAGGCTTCAAGGTGGAGCAGCTTGTTCTGCAGAGTACCCGCAACTTAGCCTTGTAGCAAAAAGACTCAGGTGCTTTTTAGCTGCAAACTCCGGTGCCAGACAGACAGAGAAGCCCTGGCTGTGGTACAGTGATCCAGCAGAAAGCAGCTGCTGTTGGCTGGACATGTAACCTGTTTAAAGTTGGGTTTTAATGGTGCTGTCAGATGCCAGCTGACTTCATAATGTAGAGTGAGAGTTGCAGTTAAGAGGCCTCCAGTTTATTAGAGGATTTAAACTGATGGGCAGTTTTAGACAGTTGCCAACATGAGTGTCAGGAGTGTCACAGAGTAGGGCTGGGCGATATGGCCTCAAATCAATATCACAATATATTGAGCAGTTCACCTGGAAAATGGACGATAACTACTCCACAAGCTGCTCAGCCCCTCCTACATTAACTTTGTCTACTTCAGCCGCTACAACTTTTGAACCGTCCTCCATCTCCTCACCTGTTTTTCCCCTCTTTAATATGGACTGGAAGGGGTGGAGTCACGTCTCTGACATAGGACAGCATCTTAAAGGGACATTAGACATTAGCTTACCTACACACATCCAAAACCAACTTTTATTTATCTATTTTTTTGACACTGAATATATTGACATGGGTTATTGTCGTAATTTTCGGTATCTGTAAATTTTCGGTTTATCGCCCAGCCCTATCACAGAGTTTAAACCAAGCATCTAAAGAATAATATATAATCAACATTAAAATGAATTACTCCTCTAAGGGGAGTGTAATGGTCAAGTTTGCAAGTAGTCCTGAAAAGAAATCAAACAAAACTGTCATTTTTTCTGTAAGAGGACAAACGAATACAAGCTCTGATGAAATTACCTTTTGATACGAGTTGTGTTGTTGTACGATGAACAGATTTACCTTAAAAATATTATTGGAAGTCTGCTTGGTGGGCTGTGGTCTCCTCATTAGGTGACTGAAATTCAACTTTGATACCAAAAAAGGAGCACATCATTGGTAAAATATTTGTCTTATTCATTTATATCTGAACTGACTAGCTCTGGTTATTAAAACTTTCTGTTTTGTCTCCATAAAAAGACTTTGTTGACTCAAACTGTCTCAGAATGACTAAAACAGCACTTCCACACTCCTCCTGTCTGACTTAAACTGTCTACTTTCTCATCAATGCTGAGGTAAAATGGTTACAAACAGAACACTACTTTTGAGACAAGAGATGCAGTCCTGAGCTGTTCTCCTGCTGCTGACTAACAGGAGTGAGACACACACAGCAGTCTGGCTGCAAAACAATCAATGTGTCCGGATGCAAAAAGGACGTGTGTGTGTACTTCTTTGAAAACGCAAAAAGTTTTGGGTAAGGGCATAGACACAGATGAGTAAAAATAAAAAGTTCTGTCTAAGTTAGGGGTGTCCAGATACAATATTGATATCAAATATTGGTCCGATATCAGCCATAAAACAAATAGGGGCGGCAGCAGCTCAGGAGGTTGAGCGGTCGTCCAATAACTGGAAGGTTGGCGGTTGTCCCCTATCTCTAGTCTGTCTGTTGTGTCCTTGGGCAAGACACTTCACCCACATTGCTCTCAGTGTGTGTCCTCCACTGGTGTATGAATATGAGTGTTGTGTGGTGGTGGTCGGGCGAATTGGCAGCCACGTTTCCGTCTGTCTGCCCCAGGGCAGCTGTGACTACTAAGGTATTTTACCACCACCAAGGTGTGACTGTGTGAGCGAATGAATGATGTATCCAATGTGAAGCGCTTTGAGGGTCTCTGATAAAGCGCTATATGAAATCTGATGCCTTGTTATTAGTTTTATTATTATTACATATTAGATTATATCGGCCTGCATCTAAAATCTGCGGTATCAGCACTCCGATACAAGCAGTCCATTCCAGACTCCGCTCCAGCACCTCTATTCAGCAGCGCCAGGATCCAGCATGCAGAACCCATGTAATCACAACAACAGTGTGTACTAAGGTACAAACAAGGTAGCAAGGAGAAGGAGTGATGTTGGTCATGTGGCAGTATTTTTTGTTCAAGTCTGAAAAAGTCGTTGCAGTTGAGTGCAAAACTTGCCATGTACAAGTTTGTGCCAATATTGGATCAATATCGGTATCGGTTGATACTGAAGGTTACAATATCGGTATCGTATTGCAAGTAAAAAAAATTGTATCAGGACACCTCTAGTCTGAGTAGATGAAGTGCTGAAACTAATCATAATGCAGTAAGTTAGAATATTTGGTTTTGCGTTTTTATAAATAAATGTATTTTTGTATTTTTTATTTTGTAGACAGAAATTTCCAGACTGATGAAAAAGTTCTGTTTTATTTGGATTTCATATTTTGATTCAAGGATGTTCTGAAAGGTCTGATCAAACAGTCCAAACTGAGCAGAGGTCATTAACGTGTCTAAACCCAAGATCACAGAGCCTGTGGGTAAACTATGTCAAATTGATTTGATGCATGTGGCTATCATTATTTTTCACTTTGTATTCTCTTGATTGAATATAATCTTCCCAAAGCACCCGAGCCAGACACTGTATTTTCCTTTTATGTTTTTATATTTGATAGTATTGGGCCTCTCAGAATCAAACAGCAGGGATCCTCCCTCATCCCGCTCTTTTTCTCCTCCTGTTTTGTGTCACTTTGTATGATTAAGCATGTGTTTGTCGTGTCCAAGAGTATAGTACATACTTGATTTTGTCTAAACACTCCTTGTTTCATCACCACCGTCACCAGCTGTAGCCCACATCTCCTCTGCTGCCAAACCCGCAGTAAAACATCATTCAAATCATCATGGAGGCTGGCTGCAGCTTTGATGTTTCTGGTCTGAGGCTGATGAATTCCAGCGAACACATTTCCATTCCTCTTTCATCTCCCCACCAGTCAAATTGAATTTTCAGAACAGCAAAGATTTTCCAAATGATGGTTTCTGTTTGGCGTGTTCAGTGAGGCGGGAGATAAAGCGTCCATCACCACGAGGGCTTAATTGACTCCATTATCATATAAACAGCACCGAAACAAAGAACTCAGTCAGTCTTTTGGTGACATTTGCACATGCTCACGTTGAGCAGCGGCTTGATTTATGCTGTTGGAATCACTCGGCCATTACAGGTATTAAAGCCCTCACAAAGAAACACATGGCTTTTGTGTTCCCTGAGGAATTGGCTTTTATTATCTGATCAACAAAGAGATGCAGGAACAAGATACTTATCTACAGACTGTACACGTCTCTGTGATGTTTGTGGAAGGGGGAGGCCATTGTTATTTTCGTTAATGGATGTCTAAGGTTCAGGTTATATTCGAGAAGACTCCGTTTGTATAAAATTACAGCGGTAATACCTTCTGACAGTCTTGACCATTTAATTTGAGTCTATAATAAGATGTGAAAGATTTTTGACACATGAATTTGGACTTATTAAATGCTGACAGTGAGCAGTCAAGGGATGTAGATGAATTCAAATTGTAAGCCGCCTTTCTTTGCCTTTAATTCCCTCTTTGTTAGTTACACTAGAAATGTCAAATATGCTACTCTGTCGCCCTCTTGTGGGCGCACCAAAAACAAACAAATCACACATTTTGAATCCCATGTGTTGTGTTTCTTATTCCAGATATGAAGCGTCCGAAAAGCCCCGACTGGCCGAACAGCAGCCCCCCTCCCAAGAGTCAGCAGGGAAAAGGAGGGGACGAAGAGGCAGAAGAAGATGAAGAGGAGAGGAAGGTGTCGACGGGACACAGGGCCAAACGAGAGCGCCGTCAAGGCAGCGGTGGGAGCACTGCCACGATGTGTCAGGTGTGCAACATTCAGCTGAACTCCAGCGCCCAGGCCCAGATCCACTACAGGGGGAAGACTCACCAGAGGAGGCTGCGTAGATTAGCCAAGGCTGTCAGCTCAGGTAGGACACTCAATTTGTTGTTTTCATTAGCTCATTTTTTTACAGTTAGAAGCGTGGGGTTACTTCCCAGTTTGCTTCTGTGTTATTTTGAGGTATTTTTATTACATCTTTTCTATCACTGAAAACTACATCAGAAAAGGTTTCTACTTCTCAAAAACAACAAATAAGAAGGTTTTCCTTGCTCATACTGTGTAAGCTGTATACTGCGTGACAAAGAGCTTAGTGTTGTCCACTTAGTTTGTTGAGTGTTGTGAGATTCCTTTTTCAGCTCAAGAGACACAGGAAGTTTTGAGAGTTGAGAGTGAGGGATGACATGCAGCAGAGGATCGAGGCTGGACTTGAACTAGCAACTTCAGCCTGATGAGATAACTAGGAGGAAAGTACTGTTTAAATGATATAGAAAAGTAAAAACAATGCAAACAAGAGTCCATTCGCACTAATCAAGTTCGCCAAAAACTAAACCAACCTGTCACCTATGTTATAAATTACACCTGTGCTTTCTATCAAATGTTAAAGTGCGATAAAAAATGTCTTTTGTGACTCTTTGGTCTCATCGCAGCATTATGTAATAAAGAAGTCGCACACTGACTGAAAGACTCATAAACTTGTTTGCTTTACGACACTGAGAATGACCGGAGTTTAATCAACAACTCTGAACAAAAACAGAACATTATGAGCCTCTCAAAATTGATGTTTACTGTAGAGCTCGTGTAACATCCGTTGCTCCTTATCAATTTTACCTCCACAGTGAGCGTGTTTACAAGTGGTCAATATATATGGTTCTGTGTTTTCAGCATTTTGCTTCTTTTTGCTGCAGTTTGATATACGAAGAGGACAAAGATTTGCCTGAAACTTTTTTTTTTTAAACAAGGGAGGTGTTTACAGTCGTCTCATAGTATTAGGTCTTGAATTTATATGTTAGGAAAGCCTTGTTTCTCTTTTTGCACAGACCGTGATGGTCAAATATTAGGTTGACCATATTCTGAATCCCCAAAAGGGGGACACCACTACGTGGGGCAGAGTCATTGAGTCGTGCGTAGTTAATTTTGAGAGTTTTTTGGGTCAGGTCGAGTGTTTTTTACATGCTTCTAACTCAGTAACTCCAGTAACTCAAAACTTTCATACAAACTCTGGACATTTGAAAGATTTTATAAACTCCCTGGGACAAGCCCAGACAAGCCAGACAACCCCGTAAAAAGTAGTGATGGGCAAAGCAGTTCTTTTAGGTGTACTGAATCACCGGAATCAGTTCACTAAAAAGATTCGTTCAAAAGATTTGTTCACCAAATCACCGAATCATGTAGCGTTTGACGGGAGAAGTCTGCGACTCCGACCTCCTGAACTGATATACAGCTGAACGGTTCAGGATTCAGTTCAATTCAGAGCTTCTGGGACTGGGAGACAAGAGTGTTGTGGCTGTGTTGCTTTGGCAAACGGGTTTGTAAAAATGAACTTGTTTATAAGTCATGATGTTTTAAGTGTACTGTCCTATGTTCAGTGTTCAATGTTCAATGCGTGATTCGTTCCTCAAGTGATTTGGGCGTTGGTGCATGCGTTCCCTCATTCCCTGGCTGCTCGCCTGGCAATGCTGCGTGCTGTAACATCTGCCCTGCTGACAGCTCAACTGAAGTGCGTTCACTTAAAAGATTCGGTTCTTTTGAACGAATCGTTCGCGAACAACACAACACTACAAAAAAGAGGACATGACCAGGTAAAAGAGGACGTATGGTCACCCTAGTTTACAGTAGTCTCTGAGTATTAGGTCTTGATTTTATATCAAAAACACAGAGATATAGATCTTAGGGACTCTATGAAATGTCAGGAAAACCTTCTCTCTCTTTTTGCACAGACCATAAAGATTGAAAATGTTAGATATTCAGCAGAATGTGAGAAGTTTTCACATTTTCAGCTTCAGGAATTCAGTTAGACTCTTTATCCTGAGACTAACCACACCTCTAAACCATCTAATCATTTATCAATTAATTGTGACTTATATTGTTGTCTCCCTGCAAATATTCACATCTGCACACCATAAGGAGGTTTAATGCAGTCAGTATATGTTTACTATTCCAGCAGAACCCCCCTCACCATTTCCGAGCATTTTCTGCACACCTGCTTTGACGAGGGGCCATTAATCACCTGCCTACAGCACCTGTGTCATTCTGCCACACTGACCAGCTTGATCAATCAAAACTCAGGGAAAAAACGGGTTCCAATGAACAACTGGCCAATAAGGTGGCACATTTTAATGATGATTTATGAGGCTGTCTGTCTCGACAGGCTCGCTGAACATTTTTGGCTGTCCCCAATTCAACCCAGCACACGAAATTAAATTACAACAGTGGCCATTGTTTAATTTCTTCTCATTTTGTTATCATCAGACCGTTATTGACTTTTTCGTTGTCTGATAATAGCATTTTCAGACCATCTTTCATGCTTTTAAGTGTGAGAGTGATCTGGAGCAGAGGACAGATTTAGTCCACAACTTCCAACTTCTTGTATTTTTGACTTTGACAAAATCCAGCATCAAATTATATCTCCTTATTCACTGATCAGGAGCTCTTATAGAAGTTGTAGTACCTTTTATTAACTCAAGGGTAACTAGATAATGTCAATGCAGGAACATTAATAAATGTACAAGACTGTTAAGCAGTCAGAGAGTCTTGCAGGTGATAGTTTGAGAGAAAAAAGATGAGAAAATTTATTTCAAAGTTACTTCCTCATTATATCAGTGGTCTATCTATCAGTGAAGTAACCTATAACTGTGATGATAATTAGTGGTAGTTCTGGCCATATCCAAATCCAATAAAAGCTGGCCTTTTTATGTCTTAAGGGTACCAGCATGCAGACTTGGTGCTCTTGAGCTGGAGGTTTTTTATTATTTTCCTACTTAAAAACATCCATTAGCTCTTGAAGCTGGCATTAGATATGTTGCAGCTGTGTCTTATGGATAAGGTCAGTGGTCTCTTATGTGGAAGGTTGGTGGTTTGATCCTAGGTTCCACAGCACATGTGCTGAAATGTCTTTGGGCAAGACATTTCCCCTAGAGGCTGTGCGAGTGGTTTGTAAATGGCAGTAGTTAATTTTAGGAGCTTCTGAAGTTCGTGTATGAACATGGCGTGAATGAGTGAATGAGACATGAAGTGTTGTGAGTGGTCAACTGGACTAGAGAAAACATGATATAAAAACATGTCAAGATATTTCCACATCTAATAAAGGTGTGAGATACTTTAAGACTCTGAAATTTCAGGATTAAAGAAATGTGATTTTGAGTAAAAGGGTTTTTTTTTTGTTAGAAGAAAGAGCAAAGTAAGATGACTTTTCAAGTCCTTGAGCAGATTTTTTCCTCTAGGATGGGTCACACGCTACTTTTGGTCAAGATCTGTAAAAACTGTGTGCCTGACTGACTTTCTTTTATATGCTCATGATAATGGTAGATTCTACTGTTAGTTTACCTCTAAATTTGCATTTATATATGTGATATGTATTCATATATCTTTCTGGCAGTGACAGGAAATTCAGATCATGTCTTTTTAGTTTCTGTCGTGTTTTTATTTACCACCATCCATGATTTGTCCATACGTCCCAGCTCTGGGACAAATATTTTAATCACCAGCTGTTGTTTGAAAAAATATATATTTTTTTTGAATTTGCACACTATATTACTCTACATTTGATCATTTCTCATTTTAACAGCATCCTCTTTGTCCGGATTTAGTTTGAGGATTGGAGTTCAGTCACAGCCGATGTCTGATGGTGGAACACTATAGCCCATAATTCAGTTTGTGCAGGCATTTTTCATGTGACCAGAGCGATTTATCATCCAGAGAATGAAATGCATGTCCCACAGTGTACTGAACTGAGAAAATTGTGTATGGTCTTTTGAATGTGACCTCCATTCTGCTCCAGTTTGCCAAAGAGACAGCAGAGAGGGATTTGTCCTCTCAGATGGAAATGCTTCCCTTGCTGCCTCATTTCTCTAAAACAAGAGGGGGAAATTGTGCAAATTGTGCTTAAGATGCTCATTTGCATTTTGATGCGGGGCATTGCACAAAGTCTTTGTTAAATGATCCTGATCGCCAACTTTTCACACTTGATGTTTTTATTAGACATGCACATCAACAGCATCATTACTGACAGAGTTCAGACATCCAACCTGCTGCAGGCCTCAATGTCAGAGTCTCCTCATCCTCTAATTGAGAGTTAAAATGAGATTTCCTCATGGGCAGCTTGTGTCACCTCCTCAGAGTCAGGAACCTTTTGTTTCTCTCCACAGGGCACACGATGATTTCACACCTGCCATGTCTGAGCCGGTCTAATAAACCCAACTGCACTTCTCCCTTTGTGTGTGGCATCATGTTGTGAAATGAAAACAGGCATAAAATGGTTAAAGTTGAAAAAAAATATGGAGTTAAAATTTTTGCATAACAGTCGAATGGAAAACAAATCCAAAAACCGCACTAAGGATGATACGCAGATCTGGAAATGCATATGTGAGTCCACAAATACAGATACACAAAGTCATATTCAAATTCACAATTGAGATTTATAACCAGCAAAGGCTCAAATACTCTGATCCACAGGTGTGCACTCATATTTATAATTGCATATGCATAGCCACAAACGCTTCACAATGTGTCTTTACTTGATCGAATATCAGTCTCTGTGAAAAGCTGGTGAGTAGATGAGCTGCTACCCTGTGATACTGTTTCATAGAGGTGTCACGATACAACTTTTTTTTACCTCCGATACAATACCAACATTGTAGCCTTAAATATTGGCCGATACCGATTTTGATCCAATATGAGCACAAAATTGTGCATGACAAGTTTTGCACTCAGCTGCAACATCTTTCCCAGACTGAAATGAAAAATACTGCCACAGGGCCGACATCACTCCTACTCCTTGCTACTTTGTTAGTCCCTTAGTCCACACTGTTGTTGTGATCACGTGAGCTCTGCAGGCTGGATCCGGGTGCTGCTAGATAGAGGTGCTGGAGCGGAGTCTGGAATGGACAACTTGTATCGAAGTGCTGATATCTGAGATTTTAGACGCAGGCTAATATAAAACGATATTTGATTTTTTTGTTGATATTGTTATCAGATATCAATATCATATCGGGACACCCCTAACCCGGGGTTTCCACTGCATCCGGCACTGATCTGCAACGGCTGTGATTACTGCTGTTTGCCAATTCCTACCGGGTCCGGTTGTGAGGCGAATTTGTGGCAGGTATGGACAGCAGGAATCGTGAGAACTCAAATGAACCCGCAGATTCACATGCGATCACGCGATTACTAGTTGTCTTTAACGACATAGGCTAACCATATAAGCCGTAGTTTGTGTCCTTCCAGAGGAGGAAATCTTCTTCTAGACTTATAAAATCAGCATCTCCTCACCCATGGTGTCATCAGGGTGACATGCTGTCTATAAACCGTTCACTTGTTCGTCCCCGCTTGTTTGCATGGTGTCAACTATGATCCGCCTGAAACACGGAGTGTTTTATTTTGAAAAGAAGCTGGATGTTTTATTTTGTGTCTGTGCCCAACTTCCTTTCCAGCACAGGTTAATCTTTGCTGAATTTATCTGGCATGAAAAAAATAGAACTCTTGCGATCAGCTGTGGATTCCGGCAATTCTCAGCAGAACGGAAAGAAGCAGGTGGAAATCGACACATTAACTTGAATGGTTACAATCAGCTACGATCAGCGGATCAGCCGTTCCAGATGCGGTGGAAATTGGGGGTAACTGTTTTAGATAGTCCAGAAAGATGTGCACCGTGAATCATGTCATCCTGTGGGTCTGTTTTGAGGGATATTAGCTCCCTATACTCTCATAGAAAGGACTACAGCCCATAAGTTGTCCTTGTTCTTTCTTGAATAACATTTGAAAGGTTAAGATGGATTAAAAGCAAGAGAGTAAAGACAGGTGTGGAGATGTTTCTTAAAAGCCTCAACAGAGTTCGTTTAACTCATGACCTCTGGCAGATTATTCCAGAGCGGAGGAGCTGCTACAGAGAAAGGTAGATTTGAGCTCTTTCTCATCTTCACAGTGTTCTCCTACTCAAACATTCAGAGACGTTTATCTCTTTATGCTTAGGCACAATAACGAATCCATTAAGGTTTTTGTCTTATCAGTGGTTGTGCAGGAAACGAGCAGTTTTCCCCAAAGTGGAGCCCTGAGCGTTTCTTCATGTTGAAGCTGATAAACAAGATAATTTTGTCAAAACAGCATGACTCATTAGTGGACTTAACAACAGCTTTCTGTCCAAAAATATGGCAGCCAAGCAGATCTTGTGTTAAACCTTGTAAACAAATAGGAAGGATGATTCCTACACGCAAGATCCTGCCAGGTTTTATATAACGTCTTTCTGTTTCCCGTTCAGCTGTAGGGATAAGAGAGGAAGAGGAGCTGAGTCAATTAAGGTGACTGTTGATATAATCCCGTCTGTGCTGCCTAATAATACTCACTGCCTTCTTGCAGCTGAACTAGCGTTCCCTTTATTTAGCCTCATGATGTGATTGCTCAAATGAATAAGGATTTTAATAGGCTGGTTCTCACTGGGCGCCTTATAAACAGAGGAGCAGGCCAAAACAGTTTCCTCCTCCTGCACACAACACTGAGATACAGAAAATTAATGTAGCTTCATGTCAGGGGGTTTGAGACTCTGTTTGTGTCATACATGCCACATGCAGTATCATACTATCAGTAAGTAAACACTGTGAATGCATAAATACACAGAGCTGTACAGTTCAGCATCAGAGGAACATTTTTCAGACACCAGTCACATTTGGCCCCAGATTTGTTTTTCCTCTGTGGTAAATTTAGCACATTGTTACGTACATAGATGTAATCAGACATGCTCTATTTTATGTTCAACTGGCAGAAACACTGCAAAGAATATAAACAAAAGGACTGTGGGGGATATAAAACAACAGTTTGTGTAAGATTTTTGACTTCTATCTCCTTCCTCTCTTTTTAATATGTCTTACAGCTACTGTTTCCTCAGCCTGACTGTTTTAATACTAAGCATTAACCAAAAATGTATTTCATTTTGTAATACTGTGCCTTCCTGTCCCCTGAGATACCACAGCTGTAAAGTCCTGAAACTGTATTTTCACGTCATCCTCTCCTTCCTAAGAAGCTCCTTTCTTTGATCCCCTCACTGTTATCAATGGCCTCTTTTTAGACACTTTTATACAGTATAATATTTGTTTCACATTTAAAGGAAATATGTATGTATTTATGGAAATCTGTAAGGGAAAAGACATTTAATCATGGTGTTTCTGTGCTCCCTACCAGCCTTAGTGCTGCTTTCTATAAAGGTATGTTAATGGTTTTTGGTAATTTGTCTTTGGAGATAAACAAAAGCCTCCGTAGGAGAGTTACCACCACATTTAACATGAAAGATAAGTACTGATATCTGCCCCCGGCTGTTTTTAGGAAGGTTTACAGTACAGTTTACTTCTGTATATTCACGATTACACACCTGGAAAAAACACAGTCTTTGTTTAACCAATTTGATCAACTCTAATTTCAGTGAATGAAAATGCCTTTTTAAATTAAATCTTATTTAGCAACATGACAATTTGGGAAAAAGGAAGGATTAAGTCTCTCCCTCCTTCATGAAAAATCTCTACATTCCTTCCTACCACACATGACCTGTTTTGTACCTTTCGTTCCAGCTGAATCCTTTCTTCCTCTGTGTACCAACCTAAAGCACAGTACTGTAGATACAGGGCACGACAAAATCAGCCATGAGAGAGTGGTATGGTAGGACTGCGGGCAAAAGGAAACATGCACATGCATGTTGAAACCCAGTGTTAGGTGTGAAATGGGACATTTATCAGATGGTGTTTGAAGCTGCATGGCCTCATTTCACGAAGGAGAAGCTGCGCAGAGAAAGCAGCCATTTTCGAGATGTCTCTCGATTCGTCATTGACAGCTATTCTGCACAATCTGAAGGTCTGCAAGATGGAGCATGATTCGGGGCAGGAGATACAGAGCAAAAACACAAGGACTGATCCTGAATATTTGTTATTTTTCTTTTTAAGTCTGTGGTTGGAAAATTATTGTGTCAAACCCCTCAGGGACTGATAGTGTTAAAGCAGACACTTGGCTTTCAGTGCACCATGAAGCTGTGTCATCCACTGTACAGTTCTGGCATGTCTTAGACTAACACAAGGAACTGTACCTAAATTTTAGGGGAAACAGCTTTCTGGTATTCCAGATGGCAGTGCTTTAGAGTTTTATGTGTGAGAACATGAGTCACTATGCTGCATATAAAGCAACATCGTGTGGCCTGAAGTGTCAGCGAATATATTCAGATTCTTAGAAACAAACACGAGAAACTCAGGATTTCTCTTGGGAGCACAAGAGTCACTTTTTAACAATGTTGTGGATGTTTGGCAACAGAAGTAAAGCAAATGGTAGATATCTTGAATGTTTAAGGAAGTGCTGTACAAAAAAAAAAAAACATGTAACGAATTCAGTGCAACGTCATTTAGGTGCCGGTGTGTCGGTTAAGGTGTAAATTATGATGAGTCAGTCACTCACCTGTACAGACTCCATATGTGGACTCAGCTATGGTTTAATTGGTCTAAAAGCTTCATGAAAGCATACTGTGTACGGCCCTCTGCTCGAGGCCGTCTCCTCACACTTCCTTTTGAATGCTGCAGCCTGAAATCAAGTGTAAAACTGTCAGGATGTGTCAGTGTTTTGCCTCCGTGCGGCTCTCATTCAAGTGGACAAGAAGCCAGCATGGAGCACAAAGAGCAGACAGAGCCAGTGAGTGTCAGTGTGTGTGTGTGTCTGTGTGTAGACAACACTCCTGCGTGATATTTGAGGTCAGGGTTTCAGGGTGGAGACTGAGAATGATTGTGTTTATTTGAAGTGATTATAGTGACTGTGGAGTGAATAATGATGCACCTGTATTCTTAAAGGGATATTCCGGTGTAAAATTAAGTTTGTAGGTCTCGCTACAAACAAGTGGCTGCTGGAAGAGAGTCAGTGAGTTGTGTTTAGTCTCTTTGCCAAAGAAATTAGGCAAAGTTAAAAAGATGTTTGATGGCTAGTACTATGGCTGGGACCCTATTTGTACTGTTGATGAAGTTAGGTGCTGTTCTGAGCATTATTTGTGGCTATAGAGTGGTGTTTTGGTTGAGGTTTGTTTATGTCTCCTCAGACTGCTGTGTATTGCTATCCTGCGGTCGTTACTAAAGTTGATGTAACTAGAGAAGCAAGCGGTCGGGAATATTCATCTCTTGAGGGGGTGTCTAACTCTGTGTTATGGTGTGTTTGACCCTTAATTAATTTTACACCAGAATATCCCTTTAAGAGCCGTCAAATGATCACATTATTTAAAATGCAATTGAAACAAAATTGTGACAGTAAATCACATTTTTAAATATCATCATTTTCCATTTTCAAGTCAAATTAATGTAAAGCAATTCTTACCACTGTCTTAATTTGTGAATCAAATGGATGCAATAAAATATATTTAATGTTCTCTACTTAGACAATTATTGTGCAAATAAATGCTGCACTGCTACACTGGTGTAGTCTGAAACCATGACCTAGAGGTAGGAGACAGCCTTAAAGTTCTGTGTCTGTGAAATAGTGTTCATTTTTTTGAGAATTTTGGTCGCACATAAAGAAATATAAAGTTTATGTACGGATATTCTGAGATAACTTTGATTGTTTGGTGAGCTCCAACTGATATGACACCATTTGCACTTGAGGAGGTCCAGGTTGGCTGCTTTCTGTTTTATTCTTCGTTCTTGTTTATGTGAAACTCTTGAACCCACAACAGGTACATCTGCATGCTTAACTCATAAGTAGGGGCTCAAACTTGAAGTATTTTGGGGATTTAAGTATTTGATTCCCTGTGACACAGCGTTGTTGAAACTTTTGACTTATAACCTGAGCCGTCTGGTTGTGAATTGTACTATTTAAAAGTGCAGCAGTGTTGTTATTTTCTATCTCAGCATCAGCCGGGAGACTCTTCAGCAGCTTCACATTATTGTGCAAACAGCGTGTGATTAAAAAACCTGTTAATTTCGGATCTTAATCTAATCGTGACTAATGAAGAGAAGGTAACAGACTCAAACTCTGTCTCTGATATAATTCAGAAAAATTGGAGACCGGTTGGGAAAACGAGAGTCTCAGTTGTGTGTTCATACAAAGAACACTGTTAGCCAGGGATGCAACAATATAATAAGCCCAGTGTCCATTTTTGGGTCATCCATTCTTGGCATTTTTGAAAGTCTGTATCTCCTTTTTTCTCGCACTGGAATCTACATGGTTTTTCTCTCTTATTGCTTTAGTGTAGCAATTATAACTCTGTATGGGATTCATTAGCCATTTACCAGTGGAAATTATAATGCAAAGGAGTGAAAATGTTTGTAAATTAGAGAGTATGGGTATCAAGGGGATTAGAAAGGCAGAAGAGGGATGACATTTTCAGAGCAAAACAGAAGAAAACAGTAAAACCAAATGATTATCAGTCAGACTCCTGCAGGCTGATATGAAATGACTATTGTTTAATCATGATAGAGATTGTGTCAGTCACTGTGAAGATGTGGTGTGGCGAGTAATGGCTTTGTGCTGCATGACTGACTGGAGTATTTTGATTGAAACCCCTGCACAGTCAACCTATTGGAAATGTAAACACGAGTGTTAAAATAATAGATTCAAATTAAACTGGACTTTTAGCAGTCAATCATTTGAAACACCCACCTGCAGAATAAATTACAAGAATGAACCGGATTGTATTGTGGGAAGTTAAGAGGCAGTTACTTTCTATACCACTGAGCAACAGGCTCTAACTTGTGATAATTTAGGCTATAAATCAACTTACTGATAAAGAAAAAACATATCATGGAAATCTGGATTACAAAATGGAAAATCAATAAACAGTGAAAACAACATACCTGATTAGCCATCAGCTGAATTAGTCGACATCTAAAAACCACACACTGCATGATAGCAAGAGAAAGGTCTAAATTCCCTGTGATGAAATGTAAACAAGAGACTGAATGTTGAACCTCAGCTGTTGTCTAAAGGAAGACAGCAGGTTACAAAATATGTTGTTTATGCTTTAATATTGCCATCAGAATATTTTGTATTTTTGAGGATCTTTTCAGTTCTGGTCAACTTGGAAATAGAAATAATCATGACTAAGATACTCAATATTCTGTAGGGCTGATAAACTGCAAGACAGCATTTAACAATCTCGACCAGAGCTTCTTATCAAAGAAAAATGATGAGAACCATGAAACCGTAGACTATATAAAACATGGTTATGGTCTTACTGACATCATTCATAGGTTTCAGAAGAGGCGTGATGAAGCCTGACCGTGGTGGCAGCCATATTGGATTGGCTGACCTCAACTGGATTTTGGCCATCTTGCATCAATTGAGCTGAGTTGACTTTGCTTTTGACTATTTTTCAACTAGTAAGAAAGATGGATTTGATATCTTCATTTAAACGTTTTATATATCCATTATTCATACACTGTATTATATTCAATGTACCAGTTTTTAGTGGATTGGAAGCTTCTCAGTTTTGTCCTTTGCATATAAATGCTGCATTCCATTTACCTCGGAAATCAGATGTCGGAGCTGGAAATGAAGCGGTTGTCAGTTTTTGTTAGCCGTTGCCAGCTGTTGTTAGCTGTTGTTAGTTGTTGTTAGCTATACCAGTTGTAAACAACACATAACACAGTATGTTACTCGTACAAACATCATAGCACAGTGTTCACAGGTAGAAGTTAGGCAGTACAACATATACCACTTATTTAATTTTACCAAAACAAAACAGAAGTGCTAATAAACAATCCATTATGAGAGTTTTTACTGTTACTCTTCACTGTTGATGCACTGCACTGCCATCTTGGATTATGACATTGTCATCAAGTCGGGGTTGGTGAGGATCAAAAATCAAAAATCAAAAATTCGACTTCAGGGGTGCATTTCAGATGAATTTGCGACTCAAGCTTAGAAATTCTGACTTCTGAGTACAACTTGAATCAAGCATAACAGCTCATAGGCAGCATTTTAAAACTCTTATAAGGAACTTGTGCTATGTGTTAATTTTGGCGCCCCCTGTGGACAGAGAAGTACGCTCTGTCTCTTTGCAGATCTTTTGAACATATTCCAGATGTGTTTCAATCAAAAATTCTCATATTGCGTGTCTTTAACAGTCATCTGTATCACTCACTATGAATATGTCAATGTTCACAAAGGCCGTTTCTGATATCTACCCGCACTATAAATAATCAGTCTTTTCAGCGATCATCGTCTTTGCTTCTGAAGCTCACAAAGAGGCATCAATATTAATTTCAGGCTGCTTCATAACCAGCTAAGAGCAGAATAGATGTAGATTAATAAATGATTTGTATTGTGCCTAATTTAAAGGCAGGAAGGGGGGAATGTGTTTGAGTGTACTCTAAAGGAGCGTGCAGGTGTGAACCCTGAATAGAAAATGGTGTTGAGAAGCAGAGGCAGAAGTGGGGAGGTGGGATGTTCAAATCCAGTCCTGTGCCAGCTCTCTCTCCTCCACTCACTCGTTTGCTCACTCATACACACTAATGCTCTCTTGCTCTTCAGCCTCTCAGCCTCTCTCCTCGTCTCTCACCCCCACTCTTTCAGTCCGCCTCGCCCCCTTTTCTCTCGCTCGTCTCATAAAAGGGCAGCGTGATCAGCCGAGCATGGAGCTTTTAATTTGAGGCGCACATGTGCCGTTCTTGAGCCGTGGCAGTTTGGATCACGGCCACAAATATGTGTCATTGAGCGAGAAGGGAGGGAAGATAGAAGGGTTATCTACCAGGAAGCACTTTGATGGTTTTTGCACAACTTCTCTGATGGGAGCTAAACTGGCAGGAGAAATCTAAACCAAACAGAGACAAGAGCAGCAAGAGGAAGGACCATAAACACGAGGAGATGCTGTTTGGTAAGCTTGTTGTTTACTCTCTTTCTGTTGAAAAAGTTTAAAAGGTTTTATATGTTTTAAAGTGCTGTTTTGTGAATCAAACTGCACATATATGCATTTTTTTCCTCTCTTTCCAAAGTGCACTCTACACCAATGACTTAACATCCTTGCTCAAGGGCAGCTTCGCTCCCCTGCCCACCATCTGTCCTCCTTCCTTCCCTCTGCATCCAGAATGAGTCCCCAGCCTGTTTGTTTTCCTAATTGACCCCTTTTGATGAAGCCAAGTGCGGAGTGAGTTCAGACCGATACGACCGTGTCGCTCCCAGATGTGTCAAGTCATTTTAAAGCCACACAAGAACAGCGCTGATATCACTGTGCAGATTGCTGGCAATTATGTCTGTGCCTCCCCGGGGAAATATGCCCAGATTAGCTCGTATAATTGGAGCCTGTTAAAGATAAAGGCAGCGTGGGGGATTCAAGTCTTTTGTGTTTTTTTTTCACCTAAGGCTGGAAAATGCTGATTGCATTTAGATCTTTTTGGAAATTTAGAATTACTGTTGATGTGTCTGGTTAACTTAGCACACTTTTGCGGTACATGAAGGTGATTAGCAACTTAGTGTGATGGAAAACTTACGAGCTCACGGCACTAAAATAGGTGTTTGTACAAAGCTGGTTTATTATGTCAAATAATCAGTTTGTCAATCATCGTTGTTTTAATGGTTTCAGTCACTTTGCAAGCAAAACCGCTGAGGTTCCAGCTTCTAAATGTGAGAATTGTCTGATTTTCTCTTATTTTTATGACCTTCGATTGATCATGTGTAGATTTGTGAGTGATTATTAGCCAAACTTGGTCTTCAAAAGTAGCTTTTTTCCGTACATCTGTGAAGTTTTAATGATATTTTTAACACTATGTAGACAGAATATTTGGTACATACTTAATACCTTGTTTTAAATAATGTTTATGTGTTTTATGGTGTGGTTCAGTAGCTTATGGATACATCCCCACTGTGCCGTGTGTGTGTGTGTGCCTTGTTAGAAACCCTGAGAAGTGTGTGTAGCGGCTCTGGATGCTTTCTTCTTTAAATGGCAGATTAGAGAGATCAAAGAGAAAACAGTTGGAGAGAGATAACTGTTGAGTTTTGCCCTCTGGCTGTGCTGCAGCTGTACCCACCCCCAGAACCCCTCCACCCCCCCATGGAGAGCTCCGTTTGGAGGCTACAGTGACAGCATGTATACAGTATGTAAATCTAACTCTACACAGTGATGTGCGAGTGATAAACGAATGAGCACAATTTATTTTTTTGTCCTTTTGTCTTTGAAATTTTTTCTTTCTCCACATCTTTAGACAGATTTTCTTTTGTGTCGGTTTTTTTCTGCCAGTTCTTTGCTCAAAACATTGGATTACCTTAGTTAAATAAACAACAAGCATGTAGTGTGCTGCTTGCATGTCGTATTTTACCTCATGGCTCACTGAGGCAAATCTGCAGTCATTGCAAAGGGGTGACTGGTTTGTAATTGCGTTGTCAAAGGTGCAGCACAACTGCAAATTCATTTGAAATGAACTGTGTTCGGGGGTGTACAACCAAGTCTTGGTCTAAATCTCTGTAAAAATACTTTTGGACCTGTTTTCCTAAAATGTCAATCACTGCATGTGGTTTCTAAAGACCTGCAGTGTATTCTCATAAAAATAAACCTCTTTATAATAATTTGTCAGGGATTAAAAAAAACTTCACTGTAGGATTTTAAGGTGCTACAAATGTTAGCATCTAGCTAGTTCCACGTCACTGAAATTTCACATAAGCAGTCAGAAATTCCTCTTTTTAATAAATTTAAAACTGACCATGTTGTATTTTTTCTTTATTTTATCCAAAGCGGTTCAAAATTCGTGTTACAAACAACCCTCTTTTGCGTTAGTGATCTGTTTTGTCACTTTGTTCATGTTTTTGCCAACAGGAAACATTTTTTTTGCCAAACTGATCTTCAGCCAAGAGATCCATGGCTAAGGTGGCTAAATCATGACCATTTACTGAAGACAAACACTTAAAGCAGCAACATTTTTTTTTTTACAGTTGGAAGAGCTCATCATGATTGGATTACTTGATTTTGCACCCATATAAACAGTGGATTCAGATTATCCAATCCCTCAAATTTTTAATCAGATCAAGAAATTTTGCACATGTAAACATGGCTACTCAGATTTAAACAACCTCCTGTTCTCGCGTGTCATACAAGCTACTTTATGTTAATTTGGGTTTCATCAGGATTGGAAGAAAGAGAAAAGAAGCAGTTGTTGTTGTTTTTTTTCTGATGTTCTGTAAAAGTTTTTAAAACTGTTTAAGAAGATGCAAGTTCATGAGTGGGTTTAGATGGGACCATTAATTTGCCTGTTGGGCTCATTTCCTTATCCAACAGTGTTAATGACTCATTATTCTAATTGAAGGGTAATGAGTACAGAGCAGTATGGTTTTATTTGCAACACTGACAGCGCAGATTATCTCGGAGTACAAATTTAATTAGCTACTGTACTTTGACTCAATGCTTCCTTGTGTCATTGGGTGCACTTTAATGTATTTATGCCTCGACGGGGTCTGAAACTCTAGTCATCAGTGTGTGGGCAACTTTCAGGGTTCAGTGCAGTAAGTTTCTGAAATCAAAATCAGGAAACCAAACTTTCTGATGATGACAAAACCAACTTGTAATTTGTACAATTGAGGTTACAGTCCTGGTTGCACTTACCACAGACTTGACACCCAATCCTGTTACTCATTAGTACATGCCATACCCCCACTCTCTCTCCAGTTCCCCTCTTCCTGTTCAGGTATCCTGTAAAAAAGGCAGTCTTTAAAACTCACCTGATAGAATTTCCAGCAACCTTTTTTCCCAAGACCTAAGAGTTACATGTCAACTGGACTCTTTAAGTTATTTCTCTTAAACACACTGTGCAGTCTGAATGGCATATGCAGTCACCTCTGTAGTTTTTCTATTTGTCATTCAAAAACTTGAGCTTCTGCTGAATCATAACAAGCCTTCCTTTATCTCAGCCCTGCTAACAGAGACTGACAGCTCCAATCAGTCATTGCAGAGTGTTGACAGTGTGAGTTTGATTAGCCTGACTGGTAATGACTTAAGGAGTTCACACACAAACACACACACACATACACACACACACACACACACACACACACACACACACACACACACACACACACACAATTCTTTCCATCTTGAGAGGGCGTTGAGTTGCTAAATGCTAAAAAGCCCAAATGCTTTCCTTTATCCAGAGCCGTATACTTTATGCTGAACCCTAACCTCAATCTAAATCTTTAAAATAGGTAAAAATAAAATGGGAGAGTCCTCCTGTTGATGTGTTGACTGACTTTTCTCCTCATAATATCTTATAAATAAAAATACACATAAACACTTCTTCTTGTCTTTAGAGGACCTTGTGTTGTCTTCAGTCCCTCAGTGTTTAACCTTTTAACTATATTTTAAAATAAGTGTGCTGAAGGTACATGTTCTCACTCCCTTTATGCATCTTTCTCATTGTCACAGTTTATTTTTTTACTAAGCGACAAAAACACAAATGGGTGATGACAGTTTGATAAAAGACGACCCGTTTTTGCTGATATTATCTTTAATAGATTTGTGTCAAAGTAATGCTGTCAGTTTTTTGTTGACTAAGGCCATACTGAAACATATAGAATGAAAAAGACTAAAATCAGATTAATAATACTAATAGGCATCTCTATTTTAAGACTAAGAATAAAAATTAAGTATCCACCAAATTTAATACCAAGCGGTACCAATTATCTCTTTGAAAAAATAGCCTTAAGCTGTAACTCACTTCCTCTGATGCCAAGCAGTGGTTACAAACATTTGAAATTACATCATAGAAATTCACTGTCTTCTTGCTGATGGTCTTATTGCTTTTGAGGGTTAAATGGAGGCATCAGTATTATTACAGTCTGCTACAACAAGTTTGACTGATCATGTATCTGATCATGGGAATCTGTTACAAACATTATAAAAGGGAAATAATTGAGTCTTAATATATTAAAATGAATTAAAAGATGAGGATTCATGCTATGATATCCTGTAAAAAAGCGTTTCAAACTTATAGCTGTCCATGTAAGAACTCATATGAATGACTCATATCTTGCATCAAAATGAGGACACATTTTTCCAAATCATTGAGCCGCTTGCCAAGACCAACTACACTGAGAGTCTTTTTAATGGTTTTCACACATGCCAAGGATTTCTATTACACTCTGGATTTTCCAAACGCTCATGTGGTTTTATAGTATTAAGTAACTAAAGATCTGCTGCACATCAAAACCGTACTAATGTCACCAGACAGTGGGAGACCTATTTCATAAAATAACCTGATTTGTGTCCTCTATAACTCAAGTGAAGGGATCACTTTTCAGATAAATAAACTGCTAATCAGAGGGTTTAGTGGGAGCAAGTTCTTATTAGAAACTGTGAGTTGTTGGTCGTTACATAAGGAAAGAATCAGGACAGGGTGCAGCAGTTTAACTTTGGCCCTTTGACTCTTGGCTCCCAAGGCTACGCACCCTATCACCCTGATTCCCTGCACCGTCCCGTTTTATTCACTCCCCTACTGCTGACAATCTGTCCACTACTCAAGAAGTCACTTTGATGCTCTTCGAAGGACCCGAAACATAGCAGAAATGATTAATCTATCAAAAAGGAACTTAAATCAGGCAAAAAACACTTGAGAGATTCTCATGCAAATCAAACCTCTTCTGTATTTCAGCATGGAAGTAATATAATACACGTTACTGTTTTTTGCATAAACTGAGAGACTTTTTTCATCTTTGTCAAGTTGTTAGTTTGGTTCTCAAGTTGTAAAACTTTAGAGACGTGCACGTCTTTTTGTGTGAAATAACACTGTGAATAAAATTCCATTTGCATTCTGTCTGGGTACACAGTCAAGGCCTTCAGTGCATATATCAGACTGCATTGACTTTGGGCATGACCAGTGCTCCTAATAGCTAGAGAGCTTGTAAAGGTGTTTGAATAAATTAACTGGTAGCAGCATTTGCAGCTCAGAGTGAGAAACAGAAGGGAAGATAAACTGAAGCAAAAGCAATCATCCCTGACTTTCCGGTTTCTATTGTTTTAAGTACATTACAATACTACAGACAAAGATATAGGAAAACAGTGTATCACAGTGTACCATTTCAAATTTTGCCTTATCCTTTTTTATATCATATTTCATCATATTGGATTGTATCGTAATGTTTTTTATCAAGTCTCGTTGTAGTGTGTCCTCTCATATCTTCTCATGTTGTATCAAAAAGTGCAAGATAGCTTGTCTGAGGTGCCCCTGAGGTCACGTTCATCATTATATTGTGATAAACCGTGTTGTATTGTTCCATATCGCAAAGTGCAATGTAGTTTATCTTTGGTGCTCTGTCAGTCTGCGTCTAAATCTAAAAGTGTAAATTTTCATGATTTCTGTCCCGTATTTGTTTCTTGAAATTCTGTGCATTTAAGTACCACAATTTTGAGTGCGGGAACTTCAAGACCACTGTGCTGTACTGTTTATTATACAGGAGTTGTTTGCCCTTTCCTCTGCTTGTATACTTGCTTTTGAAAAAGTCAGTAAACAGTTTACCCAAAAAGTCAGAAAGAAGTAAGTTAATCTTGTTTTACTACCTCCTGTCTGCTGACTGAGGAAGTTTTGTTCTTGAGAGTCAACCTGCATTTAAATTGACAGCTAATGATTGAAGTCGACCGTTACAGAAACTTTGAGAAGACTCAGCCTTTTGCACAGGCTTCAGCTTGATATATGCAGACGAACACATTTGCACCCAAGCAGGTACATGCACCCCAACCACACACTCTTGTCAGCGAAACGCATTCACGTTCTGGTATCTTCTGAAACGCTGACTGGAATGAAAATATTGTGCCTCAAAATCTGGTGACGTGCTTTGTAGATTAAGCAGGAAATGCAAACCTGCTGAAATATGCAGCTGCCAGGAGATATGACACCACCAGAAAACTGTTGACACCAAATAAAAGTGCTCACGATTAGGATTCATGCCACACTCTGTCAAGACCTAAACTACACAGTCAGGCAGGGTGAGATATGGTATACCTACTGTATGTGGAGCAGCTTTTTAAAATTGACTTATCAGTCCCTTGGCTATTAACGAGTGTGCTAATTGATATCAGTGCGATAAATTTTCCCTGGAAACATTGATTAATTAGAAGATCAGTGAGTTTCAGCCATTGAAGTTTAGTTCATAAAAGTCTCTTTGGAGATTTAACCTTTTTCTCCATAAATACGCACATTTCGGTTAGAAGTCGGGATTTCCAAGCTTTGAATCAGAAATTTATCTGGAACGCCCCCCTGAAGTCGGATTTTCGGCTTGGAAAGTTGGACGATCCGCGCCAACCCCGACTTGATGACAGCGTCATAATTCAAGATGGCAGTGCAGTGCATCAACAGTAAAGAGTAACAGTAAAAGCTCTCATAATGTATTACAGGGCTGCCAAGTTTCAGAAAATGACAAGAGTGAGACTTAAGCACTATGATGTGTTTGGCCGGCGGCGGAAAAAAATTGGCCTTTTTTAACGTCGATTTATACCTTAAGACTGATGTCTCTCCCTGCACTGTGGCCAACTAATGCTATTCTCAATTAACCAGAAATTAGAAAGTGGTCAACGCCGTCAACTCGGGTGTAACCTCATTCTCAGCTCCGACTTCCGAGGTAACTGGAACGCACTTTACACTAGTCAATTTTAGGGATGGGAATTGAGAACCGGTTCTTGTTGAGAACTGGTTCCAAATGGTTCAATCCAACAACATCGTTTACATTTCATTTTAATGTTTCCCTTAACGATTCCTTTCTTCTGGGTGCTGTGGAAAACAGTCTTGTGGGAGGCGGTCTACGCGAATGAGAACTCAGACTTTGAGGAAAAAAAACATGGCGGCTTGTATGAAAAGTAGGCAGAAATGATCTAAAGCGATACTTCATTTTACTAAGAAAGACGACAATGAGTTTTGTATGGAAGTTTGAGTTTGTGTAACGTGGACTAACTGAGTTAGAAGTGCGTAAAAAACACTTGACCCAACCAGAAAAGCCCTATAAATTTTGCGCGCGACTCCACCCCGTGTAGCCGTGTCCTCTTTTTGGAGATCCAGAGTATGGTCACCCTAATTTGACTTCACACCGACCAAGTAAATGCTGTACAAATAGTTTGTTGTTTGATTATTTTCAGACTCTCACCAAGCGTGGCTTACAAATTTTTCTGTTATCAACGACTCATTAAAACTTTGAGTTAACATTGAAAACCTATAGTCTACTTTTTTCAAAATCAAAGAAAGGCATTGATAAGGGAATCGTAAAAGAATTGAATTGATAAGCAGAATCTTTAATGGCAACGATGTCGATGAAATCGTATCAATTCCCATCCTTAGTCAGTTTATGATTAGTTGGAGGTAAATAAGTGAGCTCCAAAACAAGGTCACCCATCAAAGTAGTTAACTAAATTAAATATGCAAACACTTTTATCTCACCATTTTGCTTTTTGGAGGACAAACAAAAGACACACTTGTTTTTTTAACTTTCTCATCACTACCTATTGTGCTGAAATCCCATGAAAACAAGAGTTTTAGCAAAATTGATGCTGCATTGTTTCCCAGAACTATATGTTGAACTAACTTTGCCTCAACTTGAGAGAGCTGGAGAACATGCTCTATCTGACCTCTGTAACAAAATTGCTGACACTACTTGGTCCTCTATATGTACCCTTGATAAAAATCTTTCAAGATGAACCACTCAGCAGCCTGTCAGTGATTCTCATCTCTGAAGCCGCTAATGTACGATCCTTCAAACTCTCTTCAGCAGGCAGACAGCCAGAGAGGAGCATCCAGACAGAAAGCTGCTAATTACCGAGTTCATGGTGTGGATAAAGCTGCGACAGACTTTAAATATCAATAAGTATGTGCTGCACATCTGCTGACTGCCTTTCGGCTGCTCTGATTGGACTGAGGCTTATCTCAATTGAAGCAGATGGTGGCAGTTTATTTTGAGTGTGCTTGATACAGAACTGCAATGCTTTAAGAGGGCAGGTCGGTTAAGGAAACAATTCACAACACAGAAAAGTGCATTTTCTGAGCCGCACTGATAGCACAGTTATGCACATTTGCCAGCAGATCAGCCTTATCTCAGAGTATTTTCTATCCTTTATTGCCACGGTACAGGAACTTATCAGTATTAGATATGTTGACTGTTGAATCAATCATGCGAGTGCAGCATATAACTAACATGAAGCCTTGTGGAAACTGAAGAAATAGTGTTTATATAAAGTGAGAGAAATCCAGCGGCCTGGAAATGCATTATACTGATCTGATCTGGTGTTTTTATGACATTATTGTGGATTAAAGGAGATGAGTATGGAGAGAATTAGAATAAACTGTGCCTGATTTTTTTAGATTTAAGAGTTAAATTCCCCTGTGAGGATTTAAAGTACTTCTGTAGACTCTGCTCACTGAGTCTTGTGACTTTTCCTTTGACCAGAGGACATAAGTCCTGGGTTTCACCTTGAACAAATTCGATCATAGTTAGTGCACCCTAGGTTGAAAACAGGCCCTCAGCGCCCCAGCTGAAAGTAGGACAGATTACTGCAGGGAGCCTGATTCAGGCAGCATGTCGCCCCGCAGGTAGAGATTCTCATGACGCTGTGGGCTCTGCCAGCTGTGACTTTGTGAGTTTAAATAGGCAGTGACAGCCAGAAGGAGAATTTTGTCTGTTGGCCGCCAGTCGTGGCCTAAATGTTCTTTGTCACAATAAAGATGATTTATTATAAAACCCCACAGAGTAAGACAGGGTTAGCATTTTAAGCCATCATGGAAATTAGGCTTTCACTCCACTGTTTAGTTTCCAGCGGAGGGAGCTAAGCGGAGCTGTCAATAGCAGTTTTAATGGATGCTAATTCATCCTCCAGAGCTCATCATAACTGCCTGCTTCTCTGCCTGTTGTGTAAGCAATGAATAGCATCATTACTGCAAAAGCACAGTGCACTAACCAATTCTGTTTTATGACTCAGAAATCTGTGTGTGTGTGTGTCATGCATTAATAGAGGAAAAGGCGTGCTGTTCAATTTTTATCATTCGACAATGTGTTTTGAGGGCTGGGGCAGAGTGTTTTTTTTTAACAGTTCAGCTCCACATTCAGCGGTTAATCCTGCCTGTTTGATGAAACTCTGTGTAATGACCTGCTGCTTTTCTGCAAATAGAAAGATTAGGGTCTCTCAAAGATTAAGTATGTTCTTTTTGTTTTTGTTTTTCACCAACGGCAGAAAAAACAGCTGATTTTTTTCACGCAGATTGCACTCCATAATGAAGTCAGAATAAGGACAAGCTAGTGGAGCTGATTCTTTAGTCTTCTGCAACAACACTGATACAGAGTTTTACCATCATGTCATATTTGAACTTACACATTGCACCCTGAGAAGGCATAATATTGGTTCCACCTCTGTTAAAACCTCTGAGGGAGGATTATGTATAGTGAGCAGGTTGTTGATCCAGGAAAAGGAACATCAGGATGATACCTGATCATCATTCCATGTTGTATCAGTGTTCTCCTCACCCTGTCAGGGTTCTTATTCCAATCACTCACATCTAACACTTTTTATTTTTTTGGTCCATCAAGGTGTCATGAATCGGATGATATTATGTAGAAAAAATAATGAAGGAAATTAATCTTGACTTGTTTAGATCAAGGGAAAACTACATCAGGATGTTTGTTGTCAGAAATAACGAAATGCCTCCACATCCACAAATCTAGATCAGAGGACTCTTGGAATTATATACATCATCAGAGGAGCCGGTATAGCTTTTCCTGTGTAATTCTGTCCCTATGCCATTTCTTTCCTGCTATGGTTGCTGTGATGTTGAATCAGCCAGAGACTAATCCAGTAAATAATAGAGATTAAGCCCCCCCAATTTTTCAGGGGGCCAAATTTTCTGAAGCTGATAATCTTTTATCCGTTCTCAATACTGGAAGGTTTTCTGCGGTGACCTCAGCTCCCAGCCTCCATCAGGAAGCTATCCTCCAGCCTGAAAATGGATGGAGAGGATTATTTGGCAGGAAATTGCTCTTCTTATGGTTGCAGCAGAGATTTGAAAAGCCAAAAATGGCATAAATTAACTCTCCATTTAGACTGACTTTTTGTGCTGAATCACTGCAGAAAGAAAGCTCTAAACTTGAAACGTCCTTTTTGGTACTTTGTTTGTCTTGCTAATTGGCTAGCTGAAGAAAGTTAAGACAAACATTTATCATACATATTTGTCATAACTTCTCATCTATATGACTTTTTGAACATTTAAACAAGCCCCACTTTGCCATTTAAGAATGCTTCTCCTTGTAGATCTGTATACGTCTTCTGTTAAATATTAGTATTTGGTTACAACGACATAGTGAGCAATACAAATATTAAAGCTCCTATAAGGAATCTTAGTAACACTTAATTTGACACCTATCTCTATAACACATTATGACTATATGTATAATGCATTATAATCACATTATAGCACTGTATAACTATAGTTATAAACACTCATAAATGATCGTAATCTTTTATAGCAATAATAATAACACATTATAAAGCATTTTATCATGACTTACAATGTCAGGTATTATAATGTGTTATAACTGTTAATAACTCAACGGACAATGCCCACATAGATAATGCAATACAACTGTTGTTAACAGTTATAACACATTATAATACCTGACCTTGTAAGTCATGATAAAATGCCCTATAATGTGTTAGGATTATTGCTATAAAGCATTATGATCATTTATGAGTGTTTATAACTACAGTTATACAGTGCTATAATGTGATTATAATGCATTTCAAATTTATGTATTTATGTCATAAATATATTTATAATGCGTTATAGAGACAGGCGTCAAATAAAGTGTTACCATATTGTTCATATTGATGTCTTTTCATGATATTCAAAAACAAATAAGACTATTAGGGACAAGTCTGATTAGCAGCAATTTTAATGAATGAAACTGCTACAAGGGGTTAGGTGTCAGCTGAGCAGCTGAAGAAACAGCCCTGTTTTTTTTTATTTTCACATAAAACACACAATAAATGATACATTTGACTGTTTAAAGTCAGCAAGGTAAGATTTTTTTGTCAAAAGCATGTCGAGGACAAGATAAGGAAAGACTGCTGTGTCCACAGGGGGCGCCAAAATCGACAGAACCTGAAGTTACTCACAGGAGCTTTGAGAAAGACTAACACCAAACCCTAATCCCTATATTGGAGGGCAGCTTGTGTTTCACAGATTCACTCATAAAACTTGTCAGCTCAAAAGATAAGTTGCATACCTTAGAAGTTAATTAAAATAAACCAGCCACATTTTCACTAATACCTTCTATAGTATTAGAGTCAGTATCAGAGGAATAATATTGAAACAAACATACAATCATGAGAGTACAGGAAAAGGAAATTTTGTTGACGCCAAGATTTAAGTTTTTACTAAAACATTACTGAGTTGACTCTGAGTTTATCCAGCGATAGTTTTTTTGCTGCTTTTGTATGAGAGGTCGTTTTTGGACAATCATGTCTATCCTTATCCGTTTTTATTTTTAGCCATGGGTTTGGTAATTGACTCGAGGCTCATGAAGCTCTGAAGTGATGAAGGACTATTTAAAGCCTGCTAGTTGACACATTCCCAGCCTGATTGGATAAAACTCATATAACCACGGTATTTGTCCTCCTTGAAGCTTTTGTTTCACTTTCCACATGCAAACCAAATCTGTAACTTGAGAGTGAGGTCCTTTTAACGCATTTCCCTCTCTTTTTTTTATATGTTGAAGAAATTCTCACTTGTGGTGGCGCTCCCCTGTTTGCCGAGCCCATAGATAAGTTAATTAAATGTCTCGCCCTGCTGTGTTTTGTGGGTACGTGCATATGGGATTACTGAGATCAATTTCAGATTTGTGTTGGAGGGAAAATCAATGTCCCCAAAAGTCAGACTGACATGCAGATTAAGCACAACAGCCTGGCAGAGGAAGGAAAACAGTCTTTAATCAGTCTGTGGTTGTCTGTCTTTTACTTCTATTCATTTATAACTTCTCTGTCATTTACTCTGGATTCAGTGGAAAGTGGTTTCAGTGGGAAAAATCATACCATCATAGGGGGGCATTTTAACCAAACTGAAACTCATCAAAAACAAAAAACAGTAAATGTGTGATTCTTCTTTGTGCTTTCGTGTGTGTGTGTTCTTCAAGAAACCTGTGGTGCAGAAATTACTCATGTCTTATCCTGACCCAACCCTAATCCTAACCGTAACCCAAATCTAATGAGATGTAACTGCTGATGTCTTTTCACAACTTTCAATCTTGTTTTGTGTGTGTTTGTGAGTGTCGCCTCATTTGGGCAGCTCCAGTTTGTTTAGTTTGTTGTCTCTCTGGGCCTTGAAGCAGTGCTAGACCGAGGTTCAATCCCTCATGAAGTGCTCAGTGTCATCGAGCTGGTCAATGTTGAGAGAATTCGGGGATTGAGTTGTTTTTCTATTCAATTTTCAGATCTGAAGATTTTATTTTGACAGTTTGACAGACGAGTTTTTCTCCATCTCTTATGATGAGCTGGAATGATGATGGTGCGGTATGCTCACTTTGTGAATTATGAATAAACATACAGTATTTCATATAGGTAGGAAGATAGCATCTCAGAGTATGCAGCATGATGAAGCCTTGTTCAATGTTCAACGAAGCATTTGTAGCTGTATGAAGTAATCAAAGTAATTCATCGATTGCTGCTGCTCTTGTTGTGGTAAACCCCTGGGAACTTCCATATGCAACCCCTTTAACCTGAAATCATGTGCCTGTATGAAATATTTCCCCCTAAAATACTGAACAGTAAATTATTTTGAGAACAATTCAATCTTAAATGGCAGTTTTTTCTTTTCCCCCTCCACTTCTTCTCCTTCAGCAAAGGCTTTGAGAGACATTTTGAGTATACGACCAGATTAGCAAAGACATGCTAATAATAGAGATCTTTTAAACCTTGTCTCATCTCATAAGATAAAACCTGAAATACAGAGGTGGAAGAGGTAGAAAAACTGGTGAAATAGTCTCTCCTCTTTGTTTTTTCTGTTTGAAGTACTCTTTATTGTACGTCTAGAATATTAAGACTGTTTTCTCAATGCAGTATCGACAGAATTGTTTAGCTTCTCATCGACAAAACACTATCTATATTTTGGTTTTAATGGGCTCTTAGCATGTCTTATCTAATTCCTCATCCTCCCTTTGTTGTTTGGTGTATTTTTTTTTTTTATTTGGCTCCATCAGTCAAGTTCATTCTATACAAAATGTTCCTCCTACCAGCTAGTGCTTCTTTCTGCATTCTCCTTCATATTAAGGCCAAATTTCTTTCACTGAATAAACAAACAAACCATTTAAATACGTATCAGGTCAAATTCTGCTTTTTGAACAGAACAGAAGCATTCATAATGCATTATTAGAATAACCTGATATAAAGAACATATTACTCTAACTAGTCAACATGGCTGTCTGGGAGTTATTCAAAGTGAAATGCACCGTTTAATAGCACAGAGATGTTATTTTCCACCACAACAGCAGCAGGAAGCAAAGAGACGCTGCACTTCAAGACTTCATTGATCGCATTGCAATTTACACATCTAATCTGGCAGCTTTTGTATAATGTTAAAAATGTCAACAAAGTATGATCTCTCCTCTGGTGTCAGTTCATTTAACCAAAATCTTAAGCGCGTACATACACAATTTTTGTCGTAATTTTACAATAACTGTTGCAGGGTGTCTGGCAAAAGAAACCACAACTGTTGAAGTCAACCATCTCCTTTTACATCTGATGACAAACAAACAAAAACGCAACACAAAGTTCAAGTAAAAACTTAACCAAGAATAATTGCGGTCTTATTTTTACTCTGGCTTGTGTTCCGATATCTACATTTGACCTTTTTTACCCATCAAACCCCAGGACTTTGAGCATAGACGCATTAAAAACAGTGGTTAATCATTTAGCTTATGTAAGACACTGAGTGCACTGATGTTACTGTGGGTCTAGACAAAAGGTCATTGTGCCATGCTGCTCTTTAAAGCATGAGCAGTCTGAAGGAATTAAGGCCAACCAAATTTAAGCATCATGAAACAGGGTCGCGTAAGAAAGAAATACAGAAAAAATGGAAATATTTGTACGAACTTTCACTGTAGACTTCTCTGACATCCTTTTTACTGACACGTTTGCAGGATGAGGACAAACAAAACCACACAATTACACACTAGTATTTCATTTAAAGGCCAGAGACATTTGTCAAGATAAGCCATAGACTTGTAAAGCTGGAAAAGGCCACACAAAGCCTCTCATCATTTATCCGCCGCTATAATTGAAGTGATTGAAGCTTTACTGAGTACATTATTCACTGTGGGAAACAGCTATTGATGCTAAATTTGGTCATCATCCTTGTTTGTGTCTGAGGGTGTGTGGCTGCGGTCGTCTTGAATTAAAAAGGGGAGTTACACGGAGTTTCTTTAAAGGACGAAGGAGGAGAGGAGGAAAAGTCTGATGTGCTTTGGTTGTCATCCTCTCTGCTGTAGGTGCCCTCTCCCAGAGCCAGGTCCACCCTCTCCTGGGCTCCCTGCCTTTACCGGGTCGACCCCTACAGCCGCAGACTCATGCCCAGCTGGAGCACTTCTTGCCGCTCAGGGTCAACAGCTCCTCGCCGCTCAGCCTCTTCCCTAACTTCAACACGGTAAGATGCTGTATAACTTTTCTCTACACAGTGAAAAAGATCCGGGGATTTCTTGTTTTTTTTATCTTCTCCATATTAACAGTGTATGTAAAACAAACATGGACACAAAATTATAACTATTTTGATGCTATACTCAACTCTTAACTTCAGTTTTGTGCACTAAAAAGTCAATTTAATCCTTAAAATTTAAACCTGGGTTTTATGTAGAGATATTTAACTGTCAACTTGATCAACAACATCTACGTTTTACTTTAAAGGTGCTGCACTAATCCTTGGCTCATAGAAAAATGAGAATTTGTATTAAGACTACATCCCAGGCTCCCATTAATAGCTTGAGAGGAATCTTTTATTTATCATATCTCTGTCTGACTCTGGACAGTGAAGCAGCAGAGTGTCAGAGTCCACATTTAGCTTTAACCCTTAATGAGACAAGTCAAAGGAACATGTTAAATGTGTCAGGCATGTCGGAGCCTGGGAGGGAATCCTGTCTGACACCAAGCACTAAAAATAAGAGTCAACAAACACAGCAGCACCGTGGGGATTAAAATATGAACAATGATGTATTCTGAAAAATATCATGTTATCTCGCATTCACTGTTTTAATCTTAATTCCTAGTTTGCATGTTTCTGTGATGCTAAAAATGATGTTTTATTTGATTCTAATCCTGATCTTGTTTTAATTTCTTCATTTGTGCGGTAGATGGACCCGGTGCAGAAGGCAGTGATCAACCACACGTTTGGTGTGGGTCCACCCAAGAAGAAACCCATCATTTCCTGTAACATCTGTCACCTGCGCTTCAACTCCACCGTATGTCTCCCACCTATTCACTCCTTTTTTTCTGATACCAATGACCGATTAGTTAAACTTGAGTTTTAACCTTGTAAACTAAGTATAAAAAAGTATAACAGATGATTGCAGGAAAATGGGAAAAACCTTTGACTGAAGAGCACAGCAGAATATAATCACATCAGTGTAAAATAGACATTGGGACAAAGTCTTAAAGGGATATTCCGGCGTAAAACTAAGTTACTTAATTTTATGCCAGAATATCCCTGTAAGAATGCTAGATGTATGCTGACCACATCCGTTTTTCAACAATTTTCAATATAAAACACAAACATGACTCATTGTGTCATGTTCTCATTATTTGTGCAGTCAGTTGTCCACATACTTGTAACAACAAATACACATTTTTACATCTCATAGCTTAAAAAATTATCATGAAGAGAGTTTTTTTTTCTTCCAAGTCCGGTCGATATATTTCCCCAGGTTCCATTTTTTTTAATCAGCTATTGTGTTCTTTAAAGGAGACCAGTCAGCTGCTCATACTCCTTATCACACGTCCCTTTTCATATGCAATTGGCTTCCACTATAGAGTTCGTTTAAACATATTTGCATTTAAATTGTTCGGGGGAACCTGGCTGAATGACAATGACTCTTCGTTCCATGAGCAGTGAAACCTGAAGGAAGCAGGAGACACATGAAGGCCAATATAATTCCCTTACTGTCTCATCTTCCTCTTCCAGGTTCTTTTCGCTCTTTTCCTCTATCTCTGCTCTGCACTTTTGGACACTCAGTGATGTTGTTGTCAGGAGTTTGTTTTCTAGCTAACAGGCTTTCTCCTCCTCCTCTTTGTGTTATCGCGGCCAGGCTGAGAGTGCAGGTTGACACAGGAGTTGGATGCCAGGTTGCAGGCAGGTACCGGGTCCCAACAGCTACTGAGTAGCTGGCATTTGCATTGATTAAAAAAAAAGATTGAATGAAGGAATAGTTAAGATCATTTCAAGTCTTTTAATATTTTATACACTCTGGCTTTGTAAATGTTTAATTTTTCCAGTCACTCTGTCTTCTGCTTGCTGTCCAAAGTTTGAAGCATATATGAAGCAATACAAAAAATTTAAATGCATCCAGAGCCAAAACAAGTTATGATTTGGTTTGATAGTGGGCTGTTACAGTGAATACAAGTGGTTATATCAGGCACTTACATGATTTATTGGTCAAATAGATTGTATGTATAAAACCTGATGCTACTGATTAGCCTCAGAACAATTTACAAGATTTTCAAACAACTCTTAAGACGACTGTATTTTATTTTCTTGTTTATTTATAGATCTGTAAAGTGACATTGATAATCACCAACGTTTTTATTTCTCTAGGGACAATGTCTTTCCAAAATCATGTAACAATTTAAAACTCTAGAGATGTTACAGTGTGATCAAGATGAAAACTTAACCAAACTGGATAATCTCAAGTGCACAAGCTCCAATAACTGCAGTTCAATGAGTGGCCACTAGAGGCTGGCTCATAAGTGAGTTGATCTCAATTGACATCATATAAAATAAGCTCAATTTTACAGCAGAAAATGAACACTTTGTAAGCCTTGTAAGAAGCAAATTAATGAACTCATAGAGGAATATTAGTCTTATTGTCAAACCACATGTATCAATGTTTTAAAATTTTGTTCATGTATGTGTCTAATTCTGTTTTTAAAATTGTATTTTTTTTTTTTTTTTAGCATGAAAACAAAGGTTTACTGCTGTGAAAATTAAACCTGTGTTTGACGTTGCTGGGGTGTATAAAAAGGAAAAAGACTTGAAAACTATTCCTTCATTGTTGCTAAAGTCACTGAAAAAGCATGGGAGATTTGAGTCCAAAAGATCACACATAATGATGTTGATTTCTAATTTTTGCTGCCTGTCTGTAGATTAGGTTGATGCCCTCTTTTGTGACACTTAAGGGCATCACTGATGACAGAGAATGCTTTAAGCTGTGGTCATGGCGGACTCCCTCAGATGTCTTTTACTGACGATCTTTGTTTGGCCACCATTGGACACCTATTATTGTGTTATTCTCTCTTTAAGTCACTATGGTGGAGCATAGTGACCTCATACTGTACTGGTGGTTTGTAAACAGATTCATCCCTCTGACTCAGTTGAAAGTCACACTGAATGGTTAGTGTGCACTGACATTCAACAATGCCAAAGGGCACAGTCACCCTTTGCTCAGCCACGGATTCCCCCACACACGCACTTTGACCCTCTTTGGTACCCTTTCTGTTTGTGTGGCAGCCTGAGCTTTGTTGAGGTAGGACATGCAGCCCTCCGCTCTGTGCACTCAGTGTGTAAAGATCAAGCATTCACAATGAGGCTGTGCTGTAACACTGTGTGTGTATGGAAAATAATACAGATAATTTGAACACTAACAAATTATCAAACAGCCTCATGTGGAGACTGGTTTTTGGAGTCTTGTTTCACTGTTTCAAACTAAGATGCTCGGTTGATTTATGGACAAAGCCGCTTTTCTACAGAAAGACACAAGTGTTGCAAAAAGATGTGCTGGTTATATCATATTTTTCGTGTCAACAAATCTCTAAATCTCAAATCTCTAAATCTCTCACCAATAGCCCTGTCTGTCAAATTTAACAATATTTATCAATCCGGTCCTTTATTTTTCACAATGTGTTGCTAATAAATTTGAAATATTCTTTGGCAGATTAATCCATATTTCGATCTCCTTAGTGATCGTAGCTCCACTGCAGGACAAGATTGGCTGTAATTAAAATTGGCCTTTCTCGAGAAGGAGCAAATTAAACAACAGCGGTGATTGAATGTTTTTTTTATTCACGTGATTACAGTTTTCTCTTCGTGGATAACAAGTAGGGTAGATTGGTTTTCAGCCTCTGCCAATTATCAGGACACATTTACATGATTTTGACTGTATTCATATTTCTTGTATCGATAACAGACTGAAAATGTGATCAAATACCAGAGATAACAGCTATAAATACAGATTACATTGTAAAAAAGATATTAGACTTTGTTGCTTGTGTTTATTTCCTATTAATTACCTGTTAGATGCACTGAAGTATGTGTTAGCATGACCACATGCGTACATTTGGTTTCAGCTGTTTCACTGATGATGCACTTCCTAGTTAAAGCCGATCTTTCTCTGTACAGTACAATTCGCTTTATCTATTATCTATCCAGAACCACTCTGGGATCTTAAATCTGCATGTATCTGTTGTCACACTGCCACAGATGTGTTTCCTTCCACAATGAAAGACCCAGTGGTCATTTTTTCTACTGCAGAAAAACAATCAGGGGCTATTTGGAGTCAGAACAAATCAGTGCAAAGATTAGCTGGTGAGCTCGGAGGGTGTTCATGCAATGCCAGGAGTCTTTCTGATGCTCATTTGTACATGATAATGATGATCAGAACGGTGGTGCGACTCTTCCTCTGAGTCAAATGCTAAATAGTGTGATAACTTGATAGCAGCATGTGAAGCCAGAGGGATGAAACAGATGGGAAGGTTACAGTTTACTGGTTTCATGCTGCTAATTTAATCATGTCAGTGATTCTATACTGTACACTGACTTTCTCCTGTGTTTGATCTGTTCATGTGGGCATAACCCTACATGTGTTTGTTTGTCTGTGTATGTGTATGTGTGTGTGTGTGTGTGTGTGTGTGTGTCATGATCAGACCCAGGCAGAAGCACACTACAAAGGTCACAAGCATGCCCGCAAGTTGAAGGCTTTGGAGACACAGAGGAACCGGCAGAAGAACGGATACAGTCCGTCTGCAGCAGGAAAAGACAGAGAGAAGGGGGCACTGCAAATAGACCTGCATTCAAAAGACAAAACATGTATGAATCTTTTTTTAAACGCACCCTTCTTTTCACGCACTAAGAAATTAGCCGTAATTGCAGTGATGTGAGCATTAAGGCTTGTTAGCTGACACTCGGCTGGTTAATTACCTGTTATTACCTGTCCTGCCATCATTGGCTCCACCAGATGGATAATTAACGTCCATCAAGCGAAGACATTCTGCAAGATAAGAAGCACTTAAAGAACATCTGAAGATGCATGTACAGATTTTTAGCACCTTTGATTTAGATACAGGTAATAAGCAGGGGCTTGACTCAGCTCCCACTCCTAGTTTCTTCAACTAAGAAACTAAAAACGGGTTGCCACTTTGCTGAAGGAAGTGTCTAATTGGGAAGCTTATTACCACAGCAGTGTGCACAGGAATACACCGGAATAAACTGAGGAGTTTGTAGCAGAGGGGACCTAAACACTCAAGTAGAGTCATAGAGGAGTTATTTAGTTATGACCACAAGTTAGAAAAGAAATACTCGAAAATGAAGGGTTCTTATCAAAAGATAAGAGGATTTATAAGTAGCATTTTAAGGAGCGTTTTTTTTTTTTTATTAAATGTGTGAAATATATGATCAAAAACAAAAAATAAAAAGGTTTTAGAAGTTGCGATGTCCTGAAATGTCTTATTAGGTTTGAAGTCCAAAATTCAAATGTGCATCAAGATGCTGTAATTTAACATTTTAGAGGCTGGAACCAACAAACTCAAAGTCCTTTTGATGTTCTTAAACACCCAACTCATGTTTAGATTGATTAGATTTTTCTGTTTAATATTTGGCTTCAACTTTGAAGTGAAATCATGTTTTTGAAAAAAAAAGTTCAGGGGTTATTTTAATACTTTGAAGCCCAGAGCAGGACTTTAAAGAAGATGAGAAACAGGTGAAAGTGTTTATTTCACACACAGTAGATATCATAGGACTGGACGTAGGTGTTTTGGTGAAGCCGTCTTTGAAGTTGGATCAAATATCTCATGACCAGGCTATCATCGGGTCTGAGCATAAACTAAGTCTGTTTATTATTTGACTATAAAAATTTATGGACAATATTTAAGATTTTCTGTTTGCCTTTGATATTCTTGTGCAGTGACTTTTAAGTCTTTTTCTGAAACTGTGTAATTATCACAAAAACATCTTAAAATGTTCAATTCAATTCAAGACTTTTTTATTATATTATATACAGGTATATAGAGAGGAGGTAATTGAGCTCACTGTAAGCCATAAACAGGTTTCTATTTATATGTTTTTACAACAGTGTTCTCAAAAGAGGAACAAGAGGATGACGTTTGTATGTATTTTCTCATTTAGTAATTTCTCATCTTTTCTTTCTGCCCAACTTCAAATTTCACCATCTCCTTTTCTGTACTCTGTGTAGCTTTTCTTCTTCTTATTGATCCTCCCCCAGTCATTTTCTCCAAGCACCTATCAATTTCCCTCTAACCACACAGTGATAAGCCTGTTACATTCAACGGTTACCATGGTGGTTGATTGATGTGACGGAGGGAGCTTCGGTATAAAAAGAGAGTAAATTACAGAGAGACGGGGAAAAAATACTTGAGAAGGCAGGAAAAAAAGGGAGAGATGCTTTATTGAAACGAGCATGTTTGCAATGAGAACGCTTTGCTCAAACAGAGAAGGACAACACAAACTTTTGAACCTGGAGATAATTTCAAAGCAAGAGAGCCTGATTTTTTCTCTGGAGATCTGAAATAATTATCAACAAATGTCAACCTTATAGTATGTCAGATACATAAAATATAGACACATAATATGTTTACAGCTTGTTTAACTGCCCCTAAGTGGCCAAAATCAGGTTTAACATTACAAGTCTCTTCTTTCAATACATTTGCTTATGAGACAAGGGACTATATAGTCATATATATGTATAAAACTGTATAAAAGTGTATTCATAGTGCATCGTCTGTGTTATTTTATCGATCGACAGGCCCAGATTCTTCCCAGCCTTCTAAGCAGCAACAAGAAATGGACCTGGGAAGCCCGCCAGCGTCCACTACCCCCTCGCAGCCATCATCCACAGACTCCTCCTCCTCGCTCCACTCTCCTCCGCTATCCCCGAAGTTCTCCCCTGGTCCTCAGCTCCCTGATACACCTCCCGAACCTCCAGCCATGGAAGACTGCAATCCAGCCACAGGATCGGACCTACACTCTGACTCCAGGGTCCTCACAGGAGGGGAGGAGGAGGAGGATGTCAAGTCAGAGGAGAGTAAGGAGGCCAAGAGCAACAAAAAGCAACATCTCCACTGTCCCACGTGTAAAGTGACGGTTAATTCCAGCTCCCAGCTTGAGGCTCACTGCAGTGGTAAATACTGCAATACTACTGTTAACACAGCATAATTGTCAATACTCATATTTTGATGTCTTTTGGCATAAGATTGACATGAAAATGTTAATTAAATATAATGTTTTATTGGTTTACAAAAGACATCTCTAACATCTGGTCTCTCTTGACTCAGGTTCCAAGCACAAACAGATGCTTGATGGTCATAACAGTAACCAATCACAACGTAGGGTCAAGATGACATTATCCCCAAGACCCAACTACCGAATCAAGCAGCGAATTGGCAGTAAGACCAGAGCGATTGTTGGTGGATCCAGCCAACCTTTTTACTGTGAAATGTGCCAGGTTTCTGTCAACTCTGAGTCACAGCTGAAGCAGGTATGTTGATTTATCTAATGTCATATCTACAGCTCATTGTACTGCTGGATAAGGAACTGACCTCTGTCCAAAAGAAATACTTTTAAAAGGGCCTAAAAGTTCAACTATCCCAGTCGTCATCTCTTTTGTTTGTTTGTTTATCTGTCAGACTGAATCACAGCTCTGTATGTGTGTGTTTTTTTTTTTTAGCACATGAACAGCAGGAGACACAAAGAGCGTTTGGCAGGGAAGCCTGTCAAAGTCAAGTTCACCCCCTATAATAAACTACAGCCCAGCACTATCTTAGCGGTAAGAGTTTGTCAAACATGTGAAAAAACACATTGATTTTGTTGCTTTTACTTCCGCTCATATCACACATGGTCTTTGAAGAACATATTCAGTAAAACGCTTACATAAATACACTCCATGGATACAAATAGCAAACTCTGCCTGGCACCTGCCGCCATATTTTCATGTCCAGCGATTGCCAAGTTGTTGATACATTTAATAACTAAATGTCTCTATTTGTTAGGTGATAAGTCTGTGCTATTTTTAAACTGGTGTCCCATTTTCAGAGCCAAGGAGGCCTTAAAATGAAGCTTATTGAATCCCTACACTCTAAATTTACAGTGGAAATAAGCTGGTAGAGCTCTAGGTTACTGCTTGAAGATTGAAGGCTTCAAATTTTTAAATTTAATAGATTTTCAATGTATTTGTTCAGCCAGAAAGGATTATAATATCAGACTTTGGCTTCACCACTTTGGTTTTAGTTGATAGGTACACTCTGTCAGATCTGCCAGCAGACTCTCAGCTCTTTTTAACAGTCTACTGTCTTTGGTTTTAGACTAAACTGGCCCTGCAGAAGCAGCTATCCAAGGCCCTGCCGGCAGGGTTCCTGACCAGCCCCCTTAATCAAGCTGCCTTGTGCACCATGGCCTCTGGTCCATTGGCGCTACGGTTGCCACCTTGTCCTACAGCCATCATTCAGGGTCCTCTGATCAGCCCCACCCTCTTTAGGCCTGCTCCTGGACCCCTGCGGGCCACACACACACCTATCATCTTCTCTCCTTATTAGCAGTGGGCCAAACCAGACTGAAGAACCTCATGAAAAAGACCTACCCTTGACAAGGCGGGTATAGCAGAAAAGTTTAACTTGGCTGATGAAGACAAAGCACCCTGCCGAAGACCGGGACACAATGCTGTGACTGCAGGGGCAGAATATCAGCTTGTCAAATCACGGGAACAGTATGCACAAATCCCCGGGTGTGGATTGAGATTTCAGCAGTGACTGACCAGTGCCCTTGTCCTTAAAAAAGGAAGAACCATCGCTCAGCTGTTTTCCCTGGACAGCAAACTGTTGAGTGCATGATCCGAAGGGTCTGGACCCCTCTGGAAGCCATAATGACAAGCATCTCTTCGATTTATTTATATGACAATAACAGGCTAATACACTAGGGTATTTAAACGTCAAGTGTTTGTTGCTTCAGTTTTTTTACTTTAAAAACTTTTAGAGTTTCTCTCTGAGAGAACAAGTACTATTCTTTGAGTCCATAACCAAATCTGAATCAAGTAAAGCCAGAAAAAAGCTGGTTCTCCATCAAGCCATCGACTTTTACCAAGGCAAACAAAGGAGATCCCTGCCTTTGGATTACTGGGAACAATGAAAACGATCCGTCATTGTCTGGTCTGGACCCCTGTCTTTTGTTATTTAGAATAATGACATGAATTTATTGTACTTTTGTGTCTTTCTCTCTGTGTAAAGAGATGACAATCAACCACCAACCAAGTACACTGACTGAATGGAGAAAAGTTTAATTTAGCACATATAGTTATAGTAGTTATAAAAGATAAGAGGAAAAGTTAGCAGGTTTTCAACAGCTTGATGCTGTCTGTGCAATATGAAGAGACAAGTTATTGTGTGCTATTCCCAAATCTAAATGAAAAAAAAATCCTATTATATGTAAAGAATTGTATGATAAACAACATTATTTCACCTCCCCTTTCATCTGATTGTTCATCTCAAGCAATATGTATTTTTGAGTATCAATTAAATTAATGACTATTGTAACTGTGCATCAACTGCAATAATGTAAATAACTATGTGCTGAACATGTAAATATTGTAACTTATATGAACTTATAAAAATACTCTTTTTTTATAACTTGTGGTTTCTGTTTTTCCATGATTTCTAATATCAGTTATTAGTTGATAAGTCCTTCATGATTGATTTGATTAAGGATATGATTAGGAATATCAGCTCCAATAACTCACATTTGCACTGCTCTTATTTCAGGTCAGTCAAATTAATTGACATCCATGTAGATTCTCATTCATCCAGGTCATGGTTTTTTCTTGAAATCTCCAAATCTGGCAGCTCCACAGAGTCCAGTTGCTGGATTTTGAAGATTTCGACAAATTGAGTGACTAAGTAGAAAATTAAAAAGACCTTTTCGTGAAACAAAAATTGTAAGTCTGCTTATGTAAGTGTTGAATTAGTAAACTAAGGATTCAAACCCCCAACTTATAAAAATACTCTTAATTATATCTTGTGGTTGCTGTTTTTTTCCCCCATAATTTCTGTTATCAGTTATTAGTTGATAAGTCCCTCATGATTGCTTTGATTAGGGAATATTGGCTCCAATAACTCGCATTTTTACTGCTCTTATTTCAGGTCAGTTAAATTAAGTGTCTAAGTAGAAAATTAAAAAGACCTTTTCGTGAAATAAAAATTGTAGGTCTGCTTGTATGAGTGTTGAACTAAAGATTCAAAACCCAACTTATAAAAATACTCTTTTTTTATATATTGTGGTTTTCTGTTTTTTTCATGATTTCTCTTATTTCACGTCACTCAGGTTCTTTCAGACATCTTGCGATGCATACTTGGACACATCACCAGTGATGTAACCCAGGGTCCTCGGGTGTTTCGGGTCTTTCAACATCATACACCCTCACCTGGGCGACCCAGCCGGGGTTGATCAAGCCCTGACTTGTGTCTAAGTAGCTTTCATGGTCCACGGTTCACCCCGCTTGATCCACAGCCATCTTGATGCACTCTATGTGGCATCTGAGATGGCCTTGATGGCTCTCCTGCTGTGCAGCCCTCTCACTCCCAGCCTCTTCAGTTCCCTACAGAGAGACTGACCCGCGAAGCCCCTACACCCCACCTCAATGGGGTCACACCAGGTCTTCCATCCATTCTGTCGGTACTCGCTTGCCAGCTCCTCATATTTGGCCCTCTTCTTTTCAAAGGCTTCCTCCATCCGGTCTTCCCAAGCAACAGTCAACTCCAACATTACCACCTGTCTGGATGTTTCAGACACCAGCAATATGTCTGGCCTGAGTGAGGTCTCGGCGATGGAAGTTGGAAATTTGAGCTGTTTCCCCAGGTCCACCTTCAGCTGCCAGTCAAATTGAGTAACTAAGTAGAAAATTAAAAAGACCTTTTCTTGAAACAAAAAATTGTAGGCCTGCTTGAATAAGTGAACTGAAGATTCAAAAACCCAACTTATAAAAATACTCTTTTTTTTTTTTTACATATCTTGTGGTTGCTGTTTTTTTTCATGATTTCTGTTATAAGTTATTAGTCGATAAGTCCTTCATGATTGCTTTGATTAAGGAATATTAGCTCCTTTAACCCACTGCTCTTATTTCAGGTCAGTCAAATTAAGCAACTAAGTAGAAAATTAAAAAGACCTTTTCATGAAACAAAAATTGTAGGTCTGCTTGTATGAGTGTTGAATTAGTGAACTGAAGATTCAAAAACCCTGAGGGATTTATTTAGAAGATAAAAACAAGTGAAGAGACATCTTTAGTGAATCATTTACTTGATATTTAAAATTAATGATAATGATTACTGGATCATCTCTCCCTTGTAATGTGGCAACCAGTACATTGAACACCTCCTTATACTCTAGGGCCCTCTAGTGGTAATTTTCAAACAAGGGGGGGTCAGGATGCTATTGTAGGTCAGAGATGTCGACGTCTGAGGAATTTCTCTTAGATAAAGCTCACAGACCAAACATTTTGATTTTGTTGTGTTTTTTCATCACAACGGTCATAAAATAAATAAATAAAAATGAGTTTTAAATCTCTTTCTGAGTGGTGGATTAGAGGAAGAGATTAACTGTAAATAAGACAGACATATTTTTTTTCTTTTTTTCTCTTTTTTTTTTTCATCTGTAAGGGGGGTAGGGGTTTTCAGCTCTTGGTTTGGACACTGTTTGAATGAAAAGTCGGTCACTCACAGCATGTCCAACTGTTTATTCTTGAATGCTTTTTTATGTAAAAGTATGGAGGCAGCAGTGATCCGACCAACGAGGAGGCACACGAGCAGGTGGAGCTGCAGCCTGTCAGGTGAGACGATGATGACTGTATGTGTGCGAGTTATTATTGTAACTAAACTACATAGTATATGCAGACGGTTCTGAGCAGTACTGCTAATTTTCCTTGCTTGTTGAATAGCTGTTTTGAGAAGGTACAAGCATGCAAATACTCAAACGTCAGTGTATGATGCAGACTCAAGGTCCATGATCATAATAAGAATAACTTTATTGATATTCCACCTTTGGGACGGATGTCAAGGGTCGACAAACACAGCAAAGGTAAGGATTCTTGGAAATAAATAATAGAAAAACATAAATTAAGTCAAGCTAAACAGAAAAAAATCACCTAAATGCAAAATACAAGGTCGACAAAATGAATGCCAGTCATTTGATAAAGCATTCAGATAGCGAAATTAAGTTATTGCAATACAGCATGATGTAAAATCGATCAATGTGAGCAAAATTTGACAATATCAAAATCATATTAAACAAAAAGAGGCTTAAGAGATTTGTGAACAGTAATTTAAAGATTAACAAGGACATAATAACAACTAGACGAAACAAAGGACGCTAAGAGTAGGACATCTGAAAAAGGCTGGGAACGGATGAATAGACAATGAGCAGTTAAAGGGGATATAATAACAACAGATACATTTAATATAAAGGTAACGACATAAAATTAAGCTTTTAACAACGAGTTGAAGGTAGTGTTTGTAGATTAATTCTGAAAAATATATCTCCTCAGGCATAAATGACTGAAAAGTGTTGGTGTACGTTTTTACCCACAGGTATACATCTATAAAATTGTGTCTAAGTAACCTCAACTCAGGACAAAATCATGTGAATGTCTATTTTTGAGTCCAGCGTTGTCCCACTTTTTCATGACCTGTAAAAAAATAAGCTTTTGGTTCCCCGGAAATGACGTCAGTTCGTGTTCGTCCTTTCCAGAAAAAATGGCAGCTGTTGACATCGACGTGCCGGTGGACACTGAAGCCCAAATCCGTACTCCGGAGGACCTTGAACGGTAAATAGACAGCTGCCCGTAGTGTTTCGTTTTTCGGTGTATTTTAATCTGAATGGACCGTTTTTTTTCTTCCTAAAATTGACTGATGTTAGCTGACAAGGCCCCGGCACAATGAGGCTGCCGACACGGGGACAAGCTAACCAGGATAGCCTGACATGAGGGTCGGTGAAGAAAAGTGAAGCTTTTTGGAGGAAATATTACATTTTATGAGTTATTTTATAAACAGCAGGCGTTTTTCTGTTACACTGACTATATATATTTAGTTTCGCTTTACCCTCAGTACATTTACAGTTCTCGTAAAACGAAACCTCTTAGTATCCACTGGTTAATATTGAGCTACAGATAGAGAAACTTGTTCTTCTTTGAAATAACAAAGCCATACATTTTTAGATAGACACTTCAAATATAACGTAGGAAATAGGCCTCTTGCATTATAGTAGTTCTTCAGCAGCTGGTGTTTTTATTTTTCTGGAAGATTCCGTGTGAGGCTGCCAGAGAAACATACTGCTCACCAGATAAAGTTTCACAGATAAGATAACTCTTCCAACTTACGGACACTTTAGTAAAAAGCTGAGGGGACACACGAGCAAAAAGTGATTCCTAAGTAACAAATTTACTATCATGAATCAGTGATTATAGCTTAATGTTCCTTCCGGGATGAAACATCCTCATTGACAGAGCACTTTGCATGTACCGTCACATCTGTGACCCCTGTTACATAAGCCTGCAACACTTTGCTACCAGTCTTTGATTGTTTTGTTTTTTTCTTTTTACTTATACTATTTTTCCAAGTTAAGATATTAAAGGGTTTGAAAAAACACATATAATATCCAGTCATCATACCATTAAAAAAAAAATGTACTTAAGTAAAAACTTATATCTATTTGTTTTTATCATTATGTCTTATTACATTAGATTAGAAGTAGACTGTTTTGATCCTTTTGGGTTTCTTTGGATGAAATTAAAATTCCCAAAGTGTCAGCATCAGAAAAAAAAACAGAAAGCTCCAGTAAGTAAGAAATAAAAATGAGAAGCAGGAGAAGATAACAGTTTCTGATAGCATATGGTGTATATTATTATAATTATTCTTATTATTATGATTATTGTTATTATAGATCAAGCTTCATACTTTTTACCTCCTGAACTGTTTTTTATGCAGATGTCAGGCCATGTCTCTCTAACCATATATCTTAAATTCTCACACTGTGTGCGCATCTGTGTGTGTATGTGAGGGTGGGTGTCTGTCTTTGTTTGTGTGTGTAAGGGTCCATGGTTGGCTGTGTAAGTGGAAGGGTGGGTTTTATTGTTGTTAATTGCAATTTGAACTGCATTTTTTTGTCTTAAAAGTGCCATAAAAATAAATTTGAATTTGATAAAAAGTAAGATATAAAGCCATAAACATTTGCACATTATTATTACTAAAACTACTTCTTCAATTATTCCAGTCCTCTGTCCTCCTGCTACCCCTCTTCCTCCCCAGAGAGGAGTTGTACAGTCTAATAGCATGAGGGACAAAGGGTTTTCAGTCTGTTGGTTCTGCACTTGGAAAGTAGGAGCAGTCTGTCACTGAGCAGGCTCCTTCAGAGGGTGACTGGCATCGTCCATAATATCCAGTAGTTTGTCCGTAGTCCTCTTATCTGCCACTGTCACCAGAGAGTCCAGCTTCATGCATACCACAGAGCCTGTCTGATCAGTTTTTTCCAGCCTGGATGTGTCCTTCTTGACTGTGCTGCAGACCAGTTTCAGTTTGTTGTTTCTTAGTAAAGCCTTATTTTTAAAATTGAAGGTAATGTTAATTTGTTCATAAAAAATCGCATTTATTCTTGGTTAAATGAGAAGAAATGTTATTGTTAATATATTTGTCGTCTATCATTTTGTGTAGAGTTTGTGGCCTTTGTATCACCATGTCACATTTGAGTCACAGAATAGTTAAATTTACTGTTTTTTAAAAACTGTTTGCACCGGGTAGTTCTGAGGGTTAAAAACTGTGCAGGCTGTGCTGTGCCGGGTAGAGCTAAGCAGGGTAATAATTTTGGTAAATGTGCTCTATAACTCTGGGTAAAAAAAACTAAGTAGTAGTTAAGGCTCAAAGTTTTTGAACATCACTGTTGCATGACTCTGAAATGATATTTAGGGGATCCTGTAAGTGAAAGTTTTCCTGTCTGTCAAAAATCAAGAACAAGTTTACAAATTCAGGAATAAGAACTGCCCCAACTTAGTGCCAGGTTATGGTCTTCACCCTTAAAACGTAAATATTTGTCAGGATTGTAAGAAAAATTTGCACTCTTTTTATTCTGATGGAAGCATCCTGTTCTGATAAGGACTGATACGTTTGTTCTTTTTTTTGTTTGTATGTAAAGGCGACATTATTTCAGTGTTCATGTGAAGTTCAGCAAATAAGGGGTGAATGTGCTCGATAATAGCCATGACATGATGAAAAAAGTTATCAGGGGGAGATGTTAGAGCTGCGCCCTGACTGAACTTTTAACTCACTCTTCAGCTTTTTAATATGAAATCACACTGACGAATGTCTGCCCAGGAAGGCCCTTCAACGCAAGGGTGAATGATTGATTTTAGGTGCAATATTTGTCATAGCTAATGTTAACATTCATACAACAATTAACAAATCAAATAGCCTGAAAAAATGCAGTTTCTTTTGCTGCCATAAGCCTGTGAATGTTGTGTAAGAAAAGAAAAAAAGTCACAGATGGAGACAGAGGCGGTTATGAATGATATTTAATGTTGACCTAGACTTTTGTTCGTGATGTCTGAGTTGGTGTTTCACACTGGTATTACAACATGAATTCAGAATGCTTCAGCACAGAGACAACTCTGCAGCACCAGTATTCATTTACACCGTACCGCTCAGAGCTTTTTACAGGGTTGCAGCAGGTGAATTTTACTGCTAAGTTTAGTTCTGGACTGAGTGTACTCTGCTCTCATGTCCCACTTCCAGGTAGGACAGGCAGAGCGTGTGAAGTCTTGTCCATGGGGGCAAGAACTCACCAACTCTGTCTCATTTATAGGATATTCTCTGACATGAGTTATGAAAAACAGCTGTTCAGTTATGCAGTTTTAAAAACATACAATGCATCATAAAAATACTTGTTACATTTGCTCCTTTTTGAGTTATCTTGACAAGCCAACCTTAACAAGTTGATGAACTCTGAATCGTTTTCTCGACACTAAACTTGACCAGATGATGTTTTAAAATACCCAAACCTTCTTCTCATTCCTAAAGTACCTCATCCAGCTTGATGTTAATGTCTTTTTCCTCTTTTTATTACAGGCAAGCTGAAGGCTACAAAGAGCAAGGAAATGTGTTCTACAGCCAAAAAGATTACTCAGAGGCTTTCAACTACTACACTAAAGCCATTGGTGAGCTATCTGTGACCACCGAATACACTTTATAGCTGGGAGTTAATGGATGGGTAGATGTACACAGGGAATGATTGCACATAATCTCCTGTTTAAAAACACTGTTATTCCTTTTGTGACATCAAGTCAACAGAAGAAATACTTACACTATTTACAGTAAACCTAAAATCAGCTGCATCCATTTCTACTATTCAAAAACACTCTTTAGGCATGAGAAAGATCAATCTGAGTATCTGTTGGAAGATCTGGATGTTGTATCTGGATATTAATATTTATTGTTGAGTTATTGTAGACACCTGATTCAATGTCTACTTGAACACTGGAGAACAGAAAATTGTCACTGTCTGCTGGCGTTACAGACTGACTGAGTAACAGATTATTCTTAAGAATTATCTACGAGAAGTCAACAAGATGTTAGTCTCTAGTTTTATTACTCTTATTTCTTTCCATGTCCTGGTTTGCCTTTATGACACATTCATTTGTCTTTGTCTCCAGATGCGAGCCCCAAAAATGCCAGCTATTACGGCAACAGGGCAGCCACCCTCATGATGCTCTGCCGCTTCAGAGAGGCCCTTGAAGATTCCCAGCAGGCTGTGCGTCTTGACGACTGTTTCATGAAGGTCAGTTCGATCTGTTTCGACATAAAAAAAAGAAAAAACTGCACCTCCATTCTAACAGTTTGTGTCAAAGAGCTGTAAAACTTGCAGAACAAAAGAGTGATGTGTAAGAGTGTGTTCTCATTTCTTGCAGGGTCACCTACGTGAAGGAAAGTGTCACCTGTCTTTAGGAAATGCCATGGCGGCCAGTCGCTGCTTTCAGAAGGTTTTGGAGCTGGAGCCCAGCAACAGAGAGGCCCAGCAGGAGGTGAGGATCACCTGAGAATTGCATCTAATTGAATTCCATGCGAACCACAGTGTTGGAGTCAAAGGCTGGGTCAAATATCCATCAACTTAAACTGAAAGAAGTTCTGATCGCAGATTTTTGTGTTTCAGAATAAGAATGCGGTTGCTTTACTGGAGTTCGAACGTATGGCGGATTTTGGCTTTGAAAAGCGCGATTTTAGAAAGGTACCTACTTCACCTTTTTTTCCTTCTTTAACTGATAGTCATAGTCATTATAAAAATGTAGTCAAATTTCTGTCTCGTTTGGCTCTTCTCCTGATCTAGGTGGTGTTCTGTATGGATCGGGCCTTGGGTGTTGCCTCTGCCTGCCACCGCTTCAAAATCCTCAAGGCTGAGTGTCTAGCTCTGCTGGGACGATACCCAGAGGCCCAGTCTGTAGCAAGGTAAGAACAACGAGTTTTTATTTAATTATTTTGACTCCCTGAAGCAACTTATCTACTTTGTCTTCATTTTGTTGTACAAGACTTTGAATAAAACTAGCAGGCTGTATTTGCAGATTTACTAAGTAGATAACTCATAAACACTTTCTCTTCCAGTGATATCTTGCGAATGGACTCCACAAATGCAGATGCGCTGTACGTTCGAGGCTTGTGTCTCTACTACGAGGACTGCATTGATAAAGCTGTGCAGTTCTTTGTCCAGGCTCTACGCATGGCACCTGACCACGAAAAGGCCCGGCTAGCCTGCAGGGTAACTCTCATTATCTCTTCCTAAACCAACAACTGTTTTTACATCTGCGTTGGACGGATGAAAAACAGAACAAACAGACACCTAAATAAAAAACTAATTATTCCTGAGCTTGTAATCAGCTGTAGTGGTCGACTCATGTCACTGTTTCAACAGCCAATGCCGATATAATGCAGACTGTCAAAATGCCATTAATCAGCTGGGATGTCGTGTCTGTCTTTTAATTGAATTGTAGGAATGACAGAATGCACATTTACCAATGTCCAATATGTTCAGAGCTCAAACAACCTATGTCTAAAGACAGCAGATGGAGTTTTTAACACTATGAAACAGCAAACGTTGTTAAGTAAGGGCGCATGCACACATAGACAAACAATGCAAATCCGCTTCTCGTCTCTTAGAAAACAGGAACAGCTTGTGTTAACAGAAGTTGTACAGAAGACTGCTAGCAAGCAAAAAAAAAACATTGTCAATAATACTAATTTAGAATTCAGACAGAAATTGTTTGTGAAACTTCTCTGGTAAGAAACTCTTGATTTCAACAAAACCTTCATTCATTTACGAGATTAGTCAGATTTTGAACCATGGACTGAAAAACAGAAATTCAGAGATGACAAGAGCGCTTAATACAGTTTTTAAGACATACAGAAATATTCAGTTATTCAGATTCCACCATGTTATTGTACATATTTTAACCATGAGGATTTTCTCTCGTTTGATTCAGAATGCAAAAGCCTTGAAAGCCAAGAAAGACGAGGGCAACCAAGCATTCAAGAACAACAACTACGAAGCGGCATACCAGCTGTACACAGAGGCCCTGACGATAGACCCCAACAACATCAAGACCAACGCTAAACTCTACTGCAACAGAGCCACAGCAGGAGCGAAGGTGAAAAAAAAAGCAACCAAGGCCTTGTGCTTTTTTTTTGTTAAAAATGTGCTCTTCTTCACAACTTCTGGCTGAGTTGTAGAGACTAACTGTCTTCAATCCTGCCTCATTTACAGCTGAATAAAGTGAATCAAGCTATAGAAGACTGCACAAGTGCGATCAAACTGGACGATACTTACATCAAGGCCTACTTAAGAAGAGCTCAATGGTACGCCGTACAATCAGTATGACTACTCTTACCCTGTTAATGAGCATTGTGCAGTTTTTAATGTTTTTGATTTATCCACAGTTACATGAACACAGAGCAGTACGAAGAGGCAGTGCGGGATTATGAAAAAGTGTACCAGACAGAAAAAACTTCAGGTAAACTGCGTGTTTGTTTATTTGCATTTATACCAGATATGAATGCTCTTCTGTTTTTTTTTAAATTCATTTTTCCCCCTAGATCACAAACACCTGCTGAAGACGGCACAGCTGGAGCTAAAGAAGAGCAAAAGGAAAGATTACTATAAGGTGCTCGGGGTCGGTAAGAACGCCACCGACGACGAGATCAAAAAAGCGTATCGCAAACGGGCCCTCATGCACCACCCAGGTGGGTATCGCCCCAGGTCCTAAAACAGACATGCAGTATACTACTTTGATAGTTCCTTAAGTAATTTCCTGGTATACCTGTGGTCTGCAGATCGTCACAGTGCAGCAACTCCTGAAGTGCAGAAGGAGGAGGAAAAGAAGTTTAAGGAGGTGGGGGAGGCTTTTACTGTGCTCTCTGACCCAAAGAAGAAGGTCCGCTATGACAACGGACACGACCTGGATGATGACGGCTGCTTTGATGGTCGAGGTAAGAACATCTGGGCTCAGCTAACATACAGGCCTTATTCATGGTTTATTAACCATTCTTACAGCTTAAAAGGGTATTCCGGCGTAAAATTAATTTAGGGTCAAACACACCGTAACACCAAGTTAGACACCCCATCGTGAGATGAATGTTGCTGACCACTTGATTCTTTAGTTTTACCAACTTTAGTAACGATAGCAATACACAGCGGTCTGAGAAGCCATAAACAAACCTCAACCAAAACGCTTCTCTATAGCCACAAATAATGCTCAGAACAGCACCTAACTTCATCAACAGTACATATAGGGTCCCAGCCACAGCACTAGCCTCCAAACATCTTTTTAGCTTTGCCCAATTTCTTTAGCAAAGAGACTAAACACAACTCACCTACTCTCTTCCAGCATCCGCTTGTTTGTAGCGAGACCTCAGGTCAGTCCGTTACGGACTGCTGCGGGGTGACACAGCTCAAGGAGGAACATTTTTGATCATTAAACTAAAGTTGGTATAACTAGAGAAGCAAACAGTCGGCAACATTCATCTTTAGACGAGGTTGTCTAACTTGGTGTTACGGTGTGTTTGATCCTTAACTAATTTTACACCAGAATATCCCTTTAAGTCTGGAGGAAAAGTTGTCAATGGTGAAATTAGTGATGGATCTTAAGATACAGCAAAAACTTTTGGACCAAAGAAATAAATAACACAGCACTGTCATTTGACACACCTGAACTAGACACAAAAAACTATTTAAAAAAAAAAGTAAGCATGTGGTAAATGCAGCATGTCTGCATGCTAGCTGTGAGGTTTCCTGCCACAAGGGGGCGCCAGAGGTCCTCAAGTTTTCCTCAAGCACTCAATGTAGAGTCTTCCAAGAGTAATGCCCACGTACCTAGGCTATACTGAAGTCAGCATGTAAGATTGGTTGTCATCGATGAAGCTGAGGAGGTGTGTTTGTCTCAAATCTTTCACTCTGAAGATTCTAAAACAGTGTCCATCAGTAGTTTAGTATGATTAAATATGAGTCTGCTCATAGCGTCAATGATTTATTACATGAGAAGTTGCTCTTTTCTGTGCTTGAATTTGCTGAATTCTCCAAACTTATTTAGATGATTATTTACAAACTAGATTAATTGAGGTTACAAGCTGCACTCAGGAAACCATCATTTGCATCATGACTTCATGACCTACAAAACCAGTGTGGGTCTAAACTTCCTGTTTTATTAATCATCCCACACACAGTCGATCTATATTTCAGCCTGTGTAAACAGTCAAAACAAAACTGAGCTTTTCCCCATGCTTATTGTAACCTACAGTTTCTTTTCAAGTCAAGCACTACACTGAAACCAGAAAAACCCAGTTTCCCTTTGAACACTTCCTGTGTCTCTGTTAAAAGCACCAATACTCTCTGTATGGCGAGTGTGTTGAACACCTTGATCTGCCTCCTTACTCTGTTTGGTTTAAAGATTTTGGTTTAAGTTTCTTTTTTGCATTTCCCCCCTCTCTAGATTTCGATGCAAACAACATCTTCAGGGCTTTCTTCGGCGGTGGAGGAGGAGGAGGATTTAGTTTTGATTCCAGTCCAGGTATGTTTTCATTTTACTAGTGTGGACTTTCTTCAGATCGTAGAAAACTAGAAGATTCAACCTTTGAAAGTGAATCTTATTTACTGTCTTGTGTTTTTCTTTCCAAGATAATGGACCTGGGAATTTCTTTTTCCAATTCGGCTAAAGGAGAGCATGCAGAAAACTGAAGCCCTGCAGCTGACTCAACCAAGCTGGACCCAGTCACCTCCAGATGCTCCAACTCCTGAGTATCACACAAAAATATCCCTACCTGTCTTTTTATAAGAGGTTTTTTGAGTACTGCATTCACTCCCAAATTTACTCCGTTTATTTTGTTGCTAAAAACACTGGGAAAATGTTCAAAGGTTTCAGTAATGAGCTAAAGTTATTCGTAACATGTTGATACAGAATCTTTTTGAAGATCAGCTGATAAGAATGTGCCCCCTTTGCCAAAATCAAAATGCAGTTAAATGAAGTCTTGTACAACTGGTTCAACATTCATTGAAGTGATCAGTGGTTCTAACTGTAAGCCTCATCTAGGCAGATAAAGAGCCAGAGTCTCGAATTAAATGTCAAAAACTGACCTCAGGACAGTCTGTTTAGGACAACTCTAGCCACTTACAATTGTGTCCAGGTTTTATTGGCTCACTTGCCAAATTGACTTTGCAGGGTTTTGTTGTTCCTTCACCATTTGTCTGTGCTGCATTGTATATTTGACATGAATGTAAATCATTTTGTGTCTATAAATTTTTTTCCAGTCCTCTCTTTGTCTATTTATATTTATTGTACTGTATATGGTGTATTATATACAGAAGAATGCCAGTGTCCATTGTCTTCCTCTCTCTTTTTTTGCAAGCTTCATTTGTTCATGTTTTCACATCTCCCCCTTTACTCTCAGATTGTTGAAGTCTTCTTTATCAGAGAAAGGCCAAAACCAGTTTTTACACACCTGCAGATGATGTTTCTTTTCTTACAAACGCGGACCACTCATCTGTCCTACTGACCCATTCAAATTCAAGTGGTGCCTTATCAGAGTAAGCAGATCAAACTTGACCCTCTTGAAAAGCTGCAGAGCGAGCAGCGTCCTGTTTGCAAAAGGCAACAGTGAACCTGTATAACAAGTTTTTGTGTTCTCTTTTATAGAATAACCTTTGTGAGATCTGGCTAGTATGCAAAATTTGATTTAAATCCTTCATACCCTGAATATCAAAGACTTAATTTCATGCTATTGATCACACCAAGTCATCCTCCACCTATACCTGTCATGCATGTTCTGTCAGTACAACCCTTCCCCTACCTGTTCCACCTGTTTTAAAGGGGCGCTGAAAGTAGGTTGGAAGCTTCTGTTAATTGTTCTCTCACTGATCTGTGTATTATTTTTTAAAACGTGTCACAGTATTAACAAGACATGCTTTTCTTAATGCAACAATAAAGGCTCCTCTTTTAATGTAATGCCAGACTTTTGTCTTTTAATTCATCTGTGGCTTGACTAAAGTCTGTTTAAATCTTTTACCAAACTATGAAGTCAAGTTTACCAAGATGAAGTGCTGCTTAAACTCGGCTTTGACTATTTTTTACACATCCATGACATCCACACAAATTACAGTACACCTAGTTCATTAGATATTTAAGCCTGTTTAACATAAAAATAGGTTCACTAAACAGTGGTTCTTAACTGGTGGGTCACGGACACAGTCTGAATGGGTCATGAACAGCTGGTCAAAAAAGTATATATTTAATGCGCATCTGATGTTTGACATGTATTTTATTTTGACAGGCACGCGTTATGTCGTGGTCCTTCTTCGGTTTCTTATTAATGTGGCCTGAATGCAGTAAAATACGTGTTTTTTTATGGTCTTTATTTTGTGCAATTTGATATTTATTCACTTTTCTCCGTGCTGTTGCATGGTTTTCCCCAGGTTATGTGAATATGCTCTGAATGCAGAAATGCAAATAAGTTTTAAAAAAAAATCATTTTGCAGGTCTCCATTTTGTTCAATTTGATATTTTCTGTACATGCAACTTCAGTAGTTGTCGTCCTCAGTTCATGTGCTCTGAAACGCACTTCACTCAATAAAATGGGTGTATTAATGTTAAAGATCTGAGTCTTTAAAGGTTTTTTATATAAAAAAAATAAATTTTCTCATTTTGAATTTCATAAAAGCGGGTTACGACTTGGGACCATGGGAAAATGTGGATCCCAGAGGGAGACCGGTTGAGAACCACAGCACTAAACAACACAGTGCTTTTTATTTGATTGTGTCATTTGGTTAAGCCATGTTGTGCCTGAGTCTATATGAATTTGAACTGGAGGATGCTGGTGTAGTGTTAGCTTCAGTTCAATTTCGTATTGACTCAGGTGTTACACGGCCTAACCAAACGACACATTGTAAAACACACAAAGCGAAATTAAACAATAACCTTTCCACTAACTTCTTTGCTCGTCTTCTCGCTGTGGTCTTCTGTGCCTGGATCGTAAAACACTGGTGCATCATCATTATTGGTCCCTAGCAGCTCACTACCATTGTGGCTTTTTTTATTTGCATCTTTTTATTTTCGCTGTAAGTAACTTTTTTCTTTCTTTTTTTTTTTTTTTGCATTGCCACTTTTTTGCATCATTAACTTCCATTGTGGCTTTTTTTTCTTTTGTTTTTTAAATCTGCACTGTTTCTCTTTTTATTTGTAGCAAGCTTCGTTTTTTTTTTTTCACTCTTTTTTTATTTGCATCCTTTTAATTTTCTCAGTAAGTAACTTTTTTTTTTTTTGCAGTGCCACTTTTTTATGTCATTAATTTCAGTTGCGGCTTATTATTATTATTTATTTTATTTTTATTTTTTATCTGCACCGTTTCTTTTTTTTATTTGCAGCAGGCTTCGTTTTTTTTTTTTTTTTTTTTGTCTTTTTTTTGCATCAGTTACCTTTTTTTTTTGCAGTCTTTTTTTATTTGCAGCAGTGGCGGTCCTTGGCCACCGTAAGTAAGAACATTTATCTCATTCAATCCACCGATAATAACTTCAAAATCAAACACTCAAAATGTCTTTTAAATACGAATATCAATCCTTTTTTATTACAGCTGGCTTCTCCTTATAATACACTGTAGGCGTGGCGGAAACCACATGACTCCGTTTGGACCAATCACACGCTCTAGGTGAGGACTCACCAGATTATGGTGCCACAGTGCTGTAGTGAGCTGTTGGTAGAAGCGGACTCTGGTACGAGGAGAGGTGACTCTTTTTCCGCTGTGTAATTTATCGTCCAGCAGCGGTCCCGGTACTCAGAGGAGGTGTCTCTTCTTTTAAAAAAGGTACGAAGTTTGTCTCAATTCTTTATTTTGACACTAACGTTAACTAGCACAGTTAGCTAGCCGCTGCTGCTGTTAGTGTGGGGCTACAGTCAGCAGCTAGCCTGTCAGGGCTTCAGTTTAGCGGATGTGTGATGATGCTGCTGCAGTCCTGTCATCATGTCAGAGGAACAAATCATTTACTTAACTCCTTCATAACTTGTTACAGACACGGACATTTTATGACTCGTTAAATGGGCTTTATATGTTGAATAGTTGACTCAGTATTAGTCACCCACTCAGGATAAGTCAACCTTACATCATCCTTAAACAGACTGGTATCCTCCTAAAAAAGAAGGTGGTCATTATTCATCACCACCAATAAGCAAAGTGACCAAGCGAGTTCAGGCCACAGACTGTGGAGTGGGTGTGGTGGGTGATACAGGGGCTTCATTCATGGGGCTTTTAGTATGAGGGGAAAAGGATTCTCGCTGTGTCTGAAGGAGTCCCCCCCCCCTTTACTGGCCCCTGTGATGCTGCTGCTACTGCCTCAAAATCCACCCTCCTTTAACTTCTGAGCCTGTTACCAGAGACACATTTCACGCTTTGTTTGCTTCAAACAATGGAAGAGCATCTATGGATTATGAGAAGCTAAATACATGGACATCTGTTTTTAAAAGCATGTGAAGATAGTCCTCTAAAAGCTAAAACTCCCCCAGGTTGGATGTAAGTCACCCTGCAGAGTGGCTTTATGTCTGGAGTTCATGCAGCTTACACAGAAGCTGTAATAAAAGCTCCATAAAAACTTATCAGAGTGGATAGAATGACTGCTTATCTTTGTTTGGTTTGTGGCTATTCAGGTAAAGTCACTTTATAGGCTAGTTTGAGCTCCAGAAGGGTCAGAGAAATCATAACCTGTAAGATCTACATGGATGCATGTGTGTTTCACTTCAACAACTATTTCAGTCGTGGGTTGGCGGAGCAGGTCTGACAACAAGTGGTGAAGTTTGAAACAGGAATGTCAACATCATCAGATCGACCTGTTGTCTTTCTTGAAGATCATCAGTTTCCTGAGATACGCCTGTTGTTGTGAAACGTGTGAGATGGCAGGGCTCGATTGCTTAAGTATTTCATTGGAGATTATCTCCACCACAAGGGTTTTTGCCAGTCTTTGTGGAACTTATCTTGTATTTGTAACTGAAGAAACTTATCGATTCATGTGAGGTGTTTTCTAAATGGTGTGCCTCAGTTCACTCCTCCTTTGATTCATCATCTAATCTAGTGATGTATCGACGATATCATGCTGTTTGGATTATCAGACCCAAATGCATGCAGTATTATTCTATGCAAATCTGTAATAGCAACAATAAAGCAGATTAAGCATATTTTGATGAACTAATCATTTGAACTGAGGCTGAAACGTTGATTTGAATACTAACAGGTACAGATGTAGCAACACATTAATATGATCAATAAATCCATTCACTGATTAACTTTCAATATCTGTTTCTATAAAGTACAAATAAAGATCCAATGTGTCATCTCTGAAAATCACAAACCAAGATAGAGATCTGTGATATTCTTTATTTTTTACATAATACCTTTTATTAAGAATGTCTGGAAAAAGTGAGTGGTGGATTTTGTCAAATCATAATCTTGCTGTCTTTATAGAAAATTAAGTCTATTAAATAAACCCATTTGAAGAATACATCATTTCACATTACACTAATGTCCATTGAACAAGTTTTCATTCATGTTTGTATCCTGGTGGATGTTGGGTTTTTTTCCCTACATTTAACTTCTACATAAACATCAGAGCGAGGCTGGTGTGTTGATTAAAGGCAGGAGGTAAGGGAACACTGTGTACACAGGCACCTGTGACTGGCTGATATTGACAAAGAAGAACAAACCCCATCTTAAAATGACTTCAACCTTTCAATGAAAATATTGATTTTGTCTTATAGTTAGACAACATTCTGCTAAATATGACCGAGATGATCATAATGAGGAACAAACTAAGTATCTGCATTTTTCTGTAAGGGTAGAAACAAAGAGTAACTCAGTCACATACAAGAACCCCAGAAGTATAACAGCTTAATCTGTACCTTTTCCATTTGAGCAGTTTTGGTGTGTAAAATTGCTTGCTGCTCTTGTACCACAACATTAAGTTGCTTTGGATAATGATAATGATTAATAAGAGAAGAATGTGTCCATGAGGCAAGAAGTCAAACAAGTTTTCAGGTTAACATTCAGAGTGCAGCTTGCATAGATGAGTCGCTGAGGAGATCCTCAACACATTGAGAAAAAGAATAGTTTCTGACGATCAGAGAGCTTATTGAGAGAACTTTGTCGGAATTTCATGAAACATGTTACCTTTTAGAAAAGGACTTGTGGCTGTAAACCTCTTTTCTTCAGTACATTTAATCAATACTTCCACCGAAGGCCATTTAGCATGAACGCAAATACTGTATATCAATCACATAATACCAAATTTATCGTTATTGATTTGTATTCAAATCAAAATATATATTAAGGGTTTTCTTTCTCTTTCTTTCCCAAAGGTCCTGTGCATTCCAGTGCTGCTGCCATGTCGGCAAAAGCCATCTCAGAGAAGACAGGAAAAGAGTTCTTGTACAAATACATCTGCACTTCAGCCGCGGTGCAGAACCGTTTCCGTTATTGCAATGTCTCCGCCGAGACTGACTGGGACCGCCTCACACAGGAGCATCCCTGGCTGCTAACAGAGGTAAAAAAAAAAGCAGAGATAGACTTGCTGCAAGAACCTCAAGAGATTTCCACTTGCACGAGTGTCCTGAGATGGCAGGAGATTATTGGAACCATGAGACTAATAACAAACTGCACGTCACTGGAATTGTGTGTGCACATGATTGGCAGGGCATGATGCAGTTACCATCAAAGAGTCATGTGACAAGATTTACTGAGTGAGTGAAAGAAACTATGTCCATGGGTGTCGAGAGGAAAACATAGATCATTAATTGTTGGCAAACAGTTTTGTGTTTGCCAGAGTTATCTCTGTTATGTTACAAGATGGTTATGGTTGGATATTAGATACGCTGTGCGTCCAATTTAGATCAGTGTTTGTTAGGGTTAGCACTGAAAAATACCACACACGTCATGTTTTCAGTTTATTTTTAACCCGACATGTAAATGGCAGGACAAGAGGTGCTCTGGTATTTACAGTATGGCAAAAACAAGAATGAGCCCGCCCTGTCCGAGTAATTATTGAGTGAGTAAGTTGACTAAGATGTGATATCTGCAAATGGGAAGTCTGTCATGGTATTCTACTCTAATTTGGGGACTTCTTTTAGCTGGTTAGTCATGACTTTTAAACACATAAATTGGCGTCATTTCTAAGTACACTTTCATATTGGTTTGACGTAATTCTTTTATAACTGGTTTGTCTTCTGCAGCGACTGGTGGTAAAGCCAGATCAACTAATCAAGAGGCGCGGGAAGCTCGGGCTGGTGGGAATAAACCTGGACCTGCAGGGTGTCCAAGAGTGGCTAAAATCCCGCCTTATGAAGGAGACCACTGTGAGTTGACTGCAATGCTTTTTGTCTACTTTAGTAATAATGATAACTTTATTTTTACAGCACTTTTAAAAACAGAAGTGTACAAAGTGCTTTGATAAATAGTCGTAAAGCACAGAACATCAGCTTGTGGAAATAAAAACAAATAAAAAACAAAAGCTCAGTTAAAAACAAGGCCTCTAAATTGGAGGCCATTTTTATTTGTCATAAGGAACCCAGACAGTACAAGAACCCTACAACATAAAATGAGACCATGAGGACCAAAATAAAAACATAAAATAGGTAAGAAAAAGAAATGTAATAAAGAAGGGGGTAGAAAGCAGGAAACAGGATAGTAAATATAAAAAGACGATATTAATAATGATAATAAAATCATAACAAGTGAGTAATAGTGAGTATTACAACCAAAAAAATGGTCCTATTGCCTGTGTGCAATATTATAAAGACATTAACTTAAAAAAAACAATTCTTCATGGTCTATCTGAAATGTAGACTTATCATGCATAAACATAGATAACAAATCAGCCCAGCTGTCTAATCCAACTTTAAAATCTCACGACTATCATGTTTTGTTATTTAGACATCTGAAGAGGTTATGAATTCTTGCGTAGAAGCTCCAGCTAATGGAGTTTAAATGTGTAGAAGGTCGTTGTGACCAGGCCTGCAGCCACGGACATATGTTTAGACCCTTCAGGTTAGAGGTTATGTAATGCAAGTGGGGGGCAGTCGGTCTATTCTGGTGCAGCATTTAAATATGCTGCACTTCAAACAGGCTGTTGCCATACTTAAAGCGGGCTGTGAGTTGGTATTTCCTCAACGGATTATGATATGTTTGGTGTTTAAAAAAAGAACATGCAAATTTAAAACTCGTAAAAACGAAACAGCAGGAAACCTGAGACTCCACTCTTACCTGGGCTCAACTCAACCAGTACCAACATGTTCTTCATCATGTCTTATTTTTTCTTCTTGCTTTTTGCAAAATGAGTCTATTTCCATAGTTCTGTTCACTTCTGAATATAAAAAACTTAGATGAACACGTGTCATTACATGTATTTGTTTTTTAATAGGTGGGGAAGGCAAAGGGCGTGCTGAAGAACTTCCTTGTTGAGCCTTTTGTTCCTCATACTCAGGTGACGTTTGCACATTTTGATGTGTTTCATTGTGCCAAACCCTGTTAAAACTTTGCGAAGTCATGTCATTGAAGTTGTGTAGCCTTTAATTAGACTGTAAAGGCAGACTGAAAGTCCTGTGCTAACAAAGAAAACAGAGGTTCAGCCCATTCAGCGAGGCAATGAATCATCCAGGCAAGCACATCAAAGTGAACATGTGTGTTTTGTCTTCTTGCCAGTGCTTACATGGCTTAGTTCATCTCAGTATTGGTAGTGTTGCAGTGTCTATGTTAAGTTGAAATAGGAAACCGTCGCTGACACTGCAGTCCAGGCGTTTGAAAAGTTAGTCTGCACTTTCTGCTGTTAGCAAACTAAATCTGTGATAACATGCCTGTGCGTAATACTCTTTCTCATATCCCTCCACTGGCTAACCCAGGAGGAGGAGTTTTATGTGTGTATTTATGCAACCCGTGAAGGCGACCATGTGCTCTTCCACCATGAGGGAGGGGTGGAGGTGGGGGATGTGGATGCCAAGGCGCAGAAGCTGATGGTCGCAGTGGATGACAAGCTGAGCGAGGACCAGGTCACAGAGCAGCTTCTCACAAATGTTTCTGATGATAGGAAAGAGTACGGACACAACCTTTTTTTCATTCTTTTATTCCATTTTATTCATGAAAAAATTACTTTACAAGTCTTTAGTTGTGCTGTTTTTGTTAAATGTTCTTGAAAGGAGTCAGTGTGGTCATCCTTCTTTGGCTGACCTTGCGTAGTGTGTTTGAGTTAGCTCCAAATTATTCAAATGCCATTCCCCATGAGCAAAGAACATGCTGGTCTCATTTATACTGTGTAACTTAGATTCAGAGACGAGTTTCCCACAACCTCCTCCCATGGAATCTAAGTTTTATCAACTGTGGTTCATGACGTTGTTGTCCTGTGGTTTCAGCAAACACCACTTTGCCTCATCTTCTGGCAACAATGATCTTAAGATTTAGGCTCTTTTTCTTTTCTTGCATAAATGATTTTGGTTCCTCCCAACCCATAGCAGTGAAAAAACAAGAAGAAGAAAAAGAAAAAACTTTAAAAATTCAATAATATTAGACTTGTGATGACATTTTTGATATGTCGATCTCATTCTACTTTCTGGTTGTTGCGTTTTTCTCTTCTTGCAGAGTCCTGGCCAGTTTTATAGTCGGCCTCTTCAATTTATATGAGGACCTCTACTTCACCTACCTCGAGATCAACCCTCTTGGTATTTTTCTTTCTTTTCTTGACATGCACCATATATATATGCATATGCTTATTGTGATGCTCACTGTATGCAAATTAATGATTATCTTTAACTCTAAGTAAAGGAAAATCAAAGCTTTCTTATCGCTCTTTGCATCTTAATAAGTGCGTAATCAATTCAAGATCATCAATCAAGTTCTCAGCCAGGAATTGTTATTATCAGGGGAAACAAGTCGCACATTTTTAGAGATTAATAAATTATTGTGTTAACCTGTGATAAATGCTGAAGAGGAAAACGTCTAAATTATAGATTAAAATACACTTTGTCTCACTTTGCCAGTTGTCACACAAGATGGAGTGTACGTCATCGACATGGCAGCTAAAATTGATGCCACAGCAGATTATATCTGCAAGGCCAAATGGGGGGATGTGGAGTTCCCACCACCCTTTGGCAGAGAAGCATATCCAGAGGTGAGTCCTCATGAAATATGTAACAGGATTAAAGATTTAACAGGATAAGTTCATCATGATTCACGTCATCCAGTTTTGTAGATTGTTGAACTGAAGAGATCTCACATCGTTTGACGTTTACACCCTCAGCCCATCTCACGCCTTCAGTAACCAGATTGTTCTTTGTCTTTTGCAGGAGGCATACATTGCTGATCTGGATGCAAAGAGCGGCGCCAGTCTTAAACTGACTTTACTGAACCCTCGAGGACGGATCTGGACCATGGTGGCCGGAGGAGGGGCTTCAGTGGTCTACAGGTACCCCATTGACTTTAAATCTGAACACTGTCTGAATACTAAACCTTCTCAGCCAACAGAAGCTACTCAAAGTAGAGCAGTGGTTCTCCAACACACCTGATTCAAATGATCAGCTCGTTATGAGGCCATTCCAGAGCTTGATAACGAGCTGATCATTTGAATCAGGTGTGTTGGAGCAGGGAAACATCCAAAACATGCAGGACTGGGGGGCTCGAGGACTGGACTTGAGAACCACTGAAGTAGAGGAAATCTACAGTATAGTAATAAAGTCCAGATAGAGAACTTAACCATGGATCTGCCCTCTTCCTCAGTGACACTATTTGTGACCTGGGTGGTGTGGATGAATTGGCTAACTATGGCGAGTACTCTGGAGCGCCCAGTGAACAGCAGACATACGACTACGCTAAAACCATCCTCTCACTCATGACACGGGAGAAACATCCACAAGGTAGGTAAAGTCAACAACTGCATTAGTAAGTCAGTGAGTTCCTCCGCTGGGTAGTAAAAGTAGGTCAAAGGGAAAAGTGAGAAGAGTAACCTGACGAGCGTCTGATCGACAATCCTGTTCCTGTTATGTAAATGAGACAACTTTATCTTGCTAAGTCTGCTCAATTATTTAATTCCACATCAGCTCTGTCTTTAGTCAGGAGGTCTCTGTTAGTTTGATCCACAGTCCAACTGCTCGCTGCTTGAATGTCGCCAGTTATAGTTTGTAGTTGTCACCAGATTGTGTTCCTGGAGTGTCAAGTTTCAGTCTTTCTTAAATCACCTCCTCTGTCTCCTACAGGGAAGGTACTGATCATCGGAGGAAGCATTGCCAACTTCACCAATGTAGCAGCCACATTTAAGGTGAACAGATTCATTTATTCACCAGAAACAGTCCAATACATCAATTTAGGAATTCATAGTGTTGTTAAAATGCATATTATCCATATTATCTATAGATTAAGAACCCTTTTGCTTTCATTGTAATGTTTTGGGTTATGTAGTTAACAGTTCAAAGCTTTATTATAGCAGAAACATTTTTGGCATTTTAATATCTTTAGTTAAATATAAGATAACTTTGGTTTCTAGCCAAGTGTCTGCAGCAAACCTTGGTACCTACCGGAGCAATTTTCTGTGTTTCTTTGGTTTAATAAGCAGTTTTATTTAAAGCAACACCAGTGTTTCCTGCGTCTCTCGACCGCTCTTACTGCCAGACACACCTGTGGAGAAGACTCCACAGTCTCTGAATTAAATAGCCGACTCGTGTCTGTCTCTTCTCAGGGCATTGTAAGGGCTATCAAAGACTACCAAGGCCCCCTGAAGGAGCACGAAGTCACCATCTTTGTTCGACGTGGAGGGCCCAACTACCAGGAAGGGCTGAGGGTGATGGGAGAAGTTGGTGAGTGAGTCCATAGGGAAAGACTCAATCATAGAAATGGGGAATAATATAATTTGAAAACAGGGATGACGTTTTCTAATGTGTTTATATGAGAGCACGGAACCAGTCAAGCTGGTGGAAAGTTGAATAATGCTGCTTTTGAAATCTGTTCCTGTGTCTGCAGGGAAGACCACAGGTATCCCCATCCACGTTTTTGGTACTGAGACTCATATGACAGCTATTGTCGGGATGGCACTGGGCCACCGACCGATACCGAACCAGCCCCCGATGGATGCTCATACAGCCAACTTCCTCCTCAATGCCGGCAACAGTGCAGCGGTACTTCCATTTACTAAAACATTCATGAAAGGATTTGTGTACTGTACAGGCACCCTGACACTCTTTTAAACACAGAACAGATTCTGGATAGTCTGTGAAGGGCACCTTTTTCTCCAGTGTTTGAACCTAAGACTGTTCCGTAGTCGAGTCCTTCTAGCTTGCTAAAGCATTAGGGTTGACGTGCTCAAATGCACCTTTTATTCTCAGTTAAGTAAGGGTGTTGAGTACACTTGAGTCAAGCTTGTTCAAACACTCTTTGGACTTTGTAACTTCCTTGAGTATCTCCTATTATAAAGCTGTAAATAAAGTTTCTGTTTATGTAGCTCATGTGCTCTAACTTATGGTCTCCATCTTTTGATATGGAGGACATCAGACGGCATGGAATGATTTCCTTTAATTGCCCTCTAAAGTAAAACCAAAACTTGGTGCACAACTTCCTTATGGTAGCTTATCTCTGTTTGATGAATCATTGAAAAAACTTGCTATAAACTAACTAAATTTTTTATTTCCTGACCAGACTCCAGCTGCAACAAGGACTGCTTCCTTCTCTGAGCCCAGGACATTTAATGATGCCACTCCAGCCAAAAAGTGTAAAGGAGGTCTTCCAGCAGGTAACTAACTCTCTAGCACTTCTCTCTGCTCTGCTTCTTGTAAGCAAGACTCCATTTGTGCTCATACACTTCTGCTTTTTTCATTCCTCCTCTCCCTGCGTACTTTACTCCTCTCACCCTCCCTGCAAATGCAACTGCTGTTTTGCATTTTAATTTATGATCTGTCTCTCCTGTTCCTCCTCCTCCTCTTGTCGTTTGTTGCACAAACTGTCCACTCACCCTCGTCTTTTTCCACGCTTGTCTCTCTAAGACTCTCTCCATTCTATACTGTGGCCTCTGAAGAATGTGGTCACAGCCGATTGGAAGGGTAAGTTACAGGTGTGCCATGCCCACTTCTGCGGTCAGCTTCCCCACACACTTCACAAACTGTTTGCCCCTTTTCTCTTCTGTCCTCTCATCCTCCTCCTGATGTTGGTGGAAATGTGTCTGTGTTTGACAACTGACACCTCAGTGCCTAAGTAGTCCAGTGGGTACAGTTAATTCTTCAGCAGTTAGATTTATAGTCATTGGAATTACAATGTTGAATTAATTGTAAAAGAATTAATATAATACTTTGACTTATAAATGAAGGGATTTAGATGAGATCTGTTTGTTAGTGGTGTGTTTTTGTAGGTTTAGTTTTGATTGTAGAGGTCATGTTAAATAGCTTTCAACTATTCTAAGTCTGAACTTTAAAACTGCTCTTCACAGCAGCTCCGTAAAGGCATGATCTGTAGCAGCTGAGCTTTGCATGGGCTTTCTTCTGGTGTGCGTTTTAAAGAGTGGTTTATGAAATCATTGCATTGAAATCTGTGTATATGAACGAGATAAAGATGCACTCATTCTTTTCTCCTTTTCTTTTTGGTGCTCATTTTGTCGTATTTTGTGTTCCCGTCTCCATGGGTCACAGAAGCACAAGCCTCTTCAGGCTGCAGCGGAGGTATGGAAGGGTGTGAAAATCCTGTCTTCCTGCCCTCTCCGCCCTCTGTCCATGCCCACCTGCTTCTCCATTTTTGTCTGTTTGTTGACGCTTTTTCTAATGCTTGTTCCACTTTTACTTTTCTGAGGTGGAGTACTCACCTAAATATAGATGTTTTAGATCTCCACGTGGATTTATTAAGCGATCAGCATTAGTGTATTTTTGTCAGGTACAATTTCTAATCTTCTTAGAGTCCCTTTCTGCAAGTCTTAACAAACGGAGGAACCAATCAAATCATTTGGGTTATCAGTATATTAGGGGTGGGAGAAAAAAATCGATTCACGAAAAGTATCGCGATATTTTTGTTTTCTAATTTTTAAATCGATTTTTATGTTCAAAAATCTTTTTTTTTTTTTTGTTTTTTTTTTTTTTTTTTTTAAATTTAAGAGTAAATCTAAAAAACTGACTTACATGTGATGTGTATATTTTGGGGAAGTGTGGTTCCTGGAATTAAAAATGCAGATTAAAGGTCCTTTCACACTGGGACCGTTTTTTTTATTGTGCGATTATTTCGGACGTCAGTATTTTTTTTCGAACTCATATTCTGTCAATACAAGCGTTCTTATCAGCGACGTTTTCCCGTCCTGCGATATTGCGGCATTTATTTTTTGGATCATGGTCAATTTTTCTAAAGTTTCGCATTCCGTGTGTCCACTTCTGACCAATCAGATTGCGTGTTGTTGCAACGTCTGATTCACCGGTATATCCAACATGGCCGACCGGCTGATTGTTTACGTGTCGGAGAACAGAGTGCTTTTTGATAAAAGACACAAAGATAACAACCTGAAGTACAACTTATGGAGAGTCATAGCGTCGGATTTCTCATATGACGATGTTTTGTGTGCTTTAACAGTTTGCTAAACGTCTTTGTTTGAACTTTTATCTGTGCTAACGTAAGCTAACGGTTGATACCATAGTTTCATGTGCTTATCTTATTGCCTCTGATTGGCTAGAAGTGCTGACCGTTTGGCTTAAGCGTGTGATGACGTTTCCAGCTTTTCTAGCCAATCAGAGGCGAAGGAGGCGGGACTTTCCCCGGGAAAAGTCTTCCCCGGGATGCGTCTTTTTCCCCCTGGAAAGTGGCAAAATCGCATTGGGCATGATGTGTATAGTCAGGCGCGTGAAAATTCTCCGAATATTTTATAACTTCGCGTTCTATATTTGCGTCGGCCCCGGTGTGTAAGGACCTTTTAAAGATCGAGAAAATTGACAATATCGTAGAATTACAATTTAAATTGAATCGGCATCCAAAAAATCGTAGAAGAATCGAATCGGGAGAAAAGCATATTGTCCCAGCCCTACAGTCTATAGTGTTGGTAATCATAACAACACAGATCAAAAGATTGACCTTCATTTCACATGTTTGTACTTGCATTCTTAATCTGTTTTCGATGATTTTACCTGTTGAAACCTGCAGAAACCCTTTAAAATATCACCTGTAACGATCAGCCATCTGTTCAAGAGGCACACTGATGTTGAGCTCACTTTTCCTTACATCAGATCAGAGAATAAAGAAGGCAGTGATTCTGGACAGAGAGGAGAATTTTGGAAAGACTGGAACAAATGTGTGGCGAGATTGTGGTTTATTAAACAAACAAACAATGCAGTAACTCACACAAACTTACATGACAGACCAGATTTCTAACAGAAAACTCTTATAATCAGGCGCTCAGAATGTTTTTTTTTTTTTCTCCCCCTCGGTAGGATTTGGGTGCTGCTTTGTGTTAATCAAATTACTGGGAGACAGCTGTGTAATCAGCACTCAGTGGTTGTGTGTTTTGAGTTAAGCTTGTGTGGCATTTCTACTTTGTGATGGGCAAAAAAAACTATTACAAAAAGGTTGAAGAAAAGCTTCTCAGAATCCCCTTTGAACTCCTTTAAATGTGTCTTAAAGGGTTAATTATGTGATCCCACATGAATATGAAGGTGGTTTGGAAGAGCTGTACTGACAGATGACCTTCTAACACAACTTAAAGTTCTTTGTCACATGAGAAAGAAAAAGCCTTTATAATCTAGCTTCAGAAAGTGTAACTCTTTTCCTGCACTGTCCGCTAATAATGCCATCAGGACACCCCAAATTAACCATTTTTAACAGTGTGGCTTGGAGGTGGAAAATTTAACAGAGTTTGAATGAAATAACATCATTAATAAGCTGTGAAACAAGCGTGTCGAGGCCTGATTATTAAAAACAACAAACAAAACGAGTAAAAATGTCAAGAGGGAAGTATGTGATTTTTCTGATTTGAGCAAACTTCAGAGGCATATGAAAACCTCCCTCTTGTTTCAGCGTTTGCAGCTCGGTTTTGTGTTAATTCTGAGGAGTTATTGACTCCCCCCTCCAGTGCTTGTGTCCTCACAGTGAGGTCTCTATGCTCTCTTTGTTATCATCCTCATTCCTGCTCTTTTCCTGAACCTGACCTCCCTCACTGGCCTGTGATTATTTTTGTTCCAGCGTTCAGCCCTGACTCCTCTCTCTGTTCCCCTCTTGTTATTGCAGCCAAAGCCACCATGCTCTTCAGAAAACACACCAAGGCCATGGTGTGGGGCATGCAGACACGCGCCGTGCAGGGCATGCTGGACTTTGACTACGTTTGCTCTCGAGAGGAACCCTCAGTGGCAGCCATGGTCTACCCCTTCACGTAGGTCCCACAGCATCCATAGTTTGACTGGAAAATCTTTAGACTCTAGTGTTTAAAGACATCTTTTGAGTCCAAGAACAGAGTTTTGATGCAGATTATGTTCATTAAGATGAAATGAACACTATTAGATTAACACTAGTACAGTTGTAGTGTTTTTCATGACCATTGGCAGTGATTTTTTCTTCATTGGTTGTGTTCACCTTAAATTTCCAGCTTCTTAATTAAAAAAGGAAACTTTACAATGTGCTTTAATCTGATTCAAAACACAAGATCTTAAAACTAGACTTGTAGTTGACATTATTTCATTATCCTGCTCTTTTATAAATCAAAGAATTTTACTCATGAAATGTATCATCAGTCATGTCAGATTCACAAATTTTCAAACCTGATTGTGAAAAGGTAAAAAAAAAAAAAACACATACGATCTATGAATAAACATTTTACTCTTCTATCTATTTATCTCTGTGCTGCTCAGTGGGGATCATAAGCAGAAGTTCTACTGGGGCCACAAGGAGATCCTGGTGCCGGTCTATAAGAACATGGCTGACGCTACAAAGAAGCACCCAGAGGTGGACGTCCTGATCAGCTTTGCGTCACTGCGGTCAGCCTTCGACAGCACAATGGAGGCCATGCAGTATGCACAGGTACAAAGACAGAATCTAGAGTTTAGTTTCCATGTGTATCGCTGCAGTCTTCAAGTTCAGCTTCAAACTCTGTCGTAACTTTCAGATCCACACCATCGCCATCATAGCTGAGGGCATCCCTGAAGCTCAGACAAGGAAGATGATCAAGATGGCTGATGAGAGAGGCGTTACTATCATCGGCCCTGCTACGGTATGCAGCCATGTTTTATAGACTTGTAATTAAAGGCAGTCTTTTATACTTGGACGTTTGTGTGAAACCTGTTCTCTTCTGGCCTCCAGGTCGGTGGCATTAAGCCAGGCTGTTTTAAGATCGGTAACACAGGTGGCATGCTCGACAACATCTTGGCTTCTAAACTTTATCGTCCTGGTAGTGTGGCATATGTCTCACGCTCCGGAGGCATGTCTAATGAGCTGAACAACATCATCTCCCGCACCACAGATGGTGTGTATGAAGGGGTGGCTATCGGAGGAGACAGGTGTGTGCATCAGTTTATCTGCAAATTATTTCTATTGGTTCACCATACAGTTGTTGCACTAAAGCATTTAGTTAGCTGTGTATTTATCACTCTTTTTACAAAATATGCTGTGTGTGTTTGTGTTTTGTCCTCTTTGTCCAGATATCCTGGCTCCACCTTCATGGACCACGTCCTCCGGTATCAGGACACTCCAGGGATCCAGATGATTGTGGTGCTAGGAGAGGTGGGAGTTGAACAAACTTAATCTTTTTTTAACATGGTGTATTTTGGTTATGTTTTAGGTATTTTGTGTATGTAGTAAATTCATCATCTCACTACTGTATATTTCTTCTACTCTGATGCTACAGATTGGAGGCACAGAAGAATACAAGATCTGCCAAGGTATCAGAGAGGGTAGGATAACCAAGCCTGTGGTGTGCTGGTGTATTGGAACCTGTGCCACCATGTTCGCTTCAGAGGTTGGTCAGCTCTCACTTGGAATTTTATTTTGTTTTCACCCACTTTTCGTTCACTTTTAACTCAATCTTAAATTCTGCCATCTTCAGGTTCAGTTTGGTCATGCAGGGGCCTGTGCAAACCAGGCCTCAGAGACAGCAGTGGCCAAGAACCAGGCCCTGAGAGACGCCGGAGCTTATGTACCAAAGAGCTTCGACGAGCTTGGAGACGTCATCAAGTGAGGCATTCACCACAAGAACATATCACATTATTACCAGATTGGACTGTTTATAAGTTTTGTCTTTAAATGCTGTGTATATATGTTGAAACAGGACAGTTTATGATGAACTGGTGGCCAACGGGACCATCACTCCTGCCCAGGAGGTGCCTCCACCTACAGTACCTATGGATTACTCTTGGGCCAGGGTAAGAACCCACATCCTTCATCCTTAGTGAACCCAAAAGCTACCTAATGTTATTGTTGTCTTAACCTTTTAGAAAAGTGATATTTGTTCAGTCTTGCATAGCAGTAACATTTGTAGGAGTTTGTATTTTAAGTGTTTTCTTCATTAAAAAAATTTAACAAGCAGTAAGTCAAGGGATGCTGGATTTTGAAGAACTAGCCAGTACAGAAAATCATTTTTTTATTTTATTTATTTACATAATTTTTTTCGAACATGTGCATGCAACACAAGAAAGTAAACTGACAACAAACAATCAGAACCAATGAGAATATTCAAAATAACAATAGTCAAAGCAAAAAAATTATAAGACGAAAAAAATACTAATAATTTAGATCACTGATCAAGATTTTTAGGGTTTACATATTGTACAAACATTAATAAAGACGCCTCAACTTGCTTGTTTAATAACTTTGGTATGAAATGTGTAGGACAGATTCAGGAAACAAAGAGTGTCGGCGCCCTCTGCTGGACAAAGTTTGTAATGGCACCCTTGAGTCCTTTAGTGGATTTGTATTTTCATGTATTTTCTCTTTGACTGTTTTTCCTGCAGGAGTTGGGCCTGATTCGTAAACCAGCTTCATTCATGACCAGCATCTGTGACGAGCGAGGGCAGGAGCTCATCTATGCCGGCATGCCCATCACTGAGGTGTTCAAAGAGGAGATGGGTTTAGGAGGAGTGCTGGGCTTGCTTTGGTTCCAGCGCAGGTTAGTGTCACAACTGAACAAGTATCGTTTGATTCCCTTCACGACCAGTCTATTAAAAGTGAAATATGTTGTGTTTCTGTCAGGCTGCCACGCTATGCTTGTCAGTTCATTGAGATGTGTCTGATGGTGACAGCTGACCACGGCCCTGCAGTGTCCGGTGCTCACAACACTATTGTCTGCGCTCGAGCTGGAAAGGACCTCATTTCCAGCCTCACCTCTGGCCTGCTTACAATTGTTAGTACCGCTCACACACAAACACTCACATGCAGCAAAAGTAAACACCAGCCTGATCTAGAAAAATTGACCTCTGGTTGTAGTTTAAAGCCAAAATCTGCAGTTAGTTGAAACTGACTTTTTTAATGACTTGTTTTATATTTGAAGGGGGATCGTTTCGGAGGTGCCCTGGATGCTGCTGCTAAACAATTCAGTAAAGCCTTTGACAGCGGCATGCTGCCCATGGAGTTCGTCAACAAGATGAAGAAGGACGGCAAGCTTATCATGGGCATTGGACACAGAGTCAAATCTGTAGGTGGCACTTTCTTTCACACTGATATTTACCTACAGTTTATCCCTATACCTATCTAGAAGTGCCATGCAAATAACCCTTTACTATATTTCTTACTTGGTTCAAAACGAAAATAAACAAAAGATGAGATTATGAGATTGTTACACATTTTAAGATTCAAAGTCAGAACATTTGACATAGTTTGTCTCTATTTTCAGGTCAATAACCCAGACATGAGGGTGCAGATTCTGAAGGACTTTGTGAAACAGCACTTCTCCGCCACACAGCTCCTTGACTACGCTCTAGATGTAGAAAAGATCACCACCTCTAAGGTAACTATCCCCTGAATCTGCAAGAGAACAAAATACACCAAAACCAGGATCAAATCAACCCACTGTTTCACTGATAAAATCCAACCATTTCAGTGTGATATCTCTGCACACCATGCCGACCTTTTTCTAGTGACTGATGTTTGAGAGTTTAATGTTTTTGTCTCATTTTTAGAAACCCAATCTGATTCTAAATGTTGACGGTTTTATCGGTGTTGCCTTTGTGGACCTGCTCAGGACGTGTGGAGGCTTCACACGGTAAGGATACCAAAATGCTGCGTAAAACAGTTCCTAACTCCAGCAAGAGTTTTATTTTATACTTTTCCTGATTGTTTATGTCCATTTAATTCAGTTTGATTCTGCTGTTACAAGATTTTCCTTCAGAAAATAAACATTGTAAGGTTAAGGTTTTCTAAAGGGACACAACCATTGTTAATACAGAAGAATAGTCACACCAGTGTTTGATAATTATGAGACAGGCAAACCCAGTTCCACTTTTTAATTTAATAACACTTGCGCCACTCCCTTCCACTGGTCACATGTCTTAACTAGTCTTTAATTACTGGTTAATAATCTATTTTCAGCTCACTGCAGTGTTTCAGTGGATTATAAATCCTCTATGAAAGTATGAACAAACTATCATTCATAGATGAGATGCCAGATGAGACTGTGCTGCTCCTTTCTGTGTTGATGGCACACTGCTCAGTATTGTTTTTCACATCAATGTTAAACTGTTTCCAGAGACGAGGCGGACGAGTTTGTGGAGATCGGAGCGTTAAATGGGATCTTTGTGCTCGGTCGTAGCATGGGCTTCATTGGTGAGTTGCAGTCACATGACACCGCCATGACACTTGCTCTTAGACTAGTCAGAGCTTTAACTTGTATCTGTCCCTCATCAGGACATTACCTGGACCAGAAGAGGCTGAAACAGGGTTTGTACCGCCACCCATGGGATGACATCTCCTACGTGCTCCCTGAACACATGTCCATGTAATCTCCACGTCAAAGAATGATACACACTTCATAATGTGACTTCCCACTTGGGTCGGGCAGCATTTACACATCTCACCAAGCTTAAATCCAGTTGACACTTTAGAGGTAAAACAACAGCTGCCTTGATTAGTTTAAGATGATTATGGAAAGTGAAGGTACTGTCTGACTGAGGGATCTCGGTAGAAGTTTTCGATCTAGTTCTTACGGATTAAAAAGGGGAAGTTTATTTCAGATATTGTTATGTCAAATTATTTAAAGTCCAAGGTGTTACTTAAATGAAGAACCAAACCAATGCAAAAGCTACAGCAGCTATGGAAGCACAACATCGAACTCTACTTAAGAAAAACTGCACTAAAGTCTGTTTCTCATTGCTGGTTACGAGTTCAGGATTGAAGTCACTCCTGCAATAGAACCCAATTATTTATACCCCCACTGAAGGGAAATGTGTCCGAGCTTAGCAATAGAGTAACGTCTTTTTTATACTACTTAAAACCGTTAACAAAAGTTGAGTGATTTATTTTCATCTGCCTGTTTCACACCCCAAGAAATGACTTTTATGACTTTGAGTATTGCACCTTAGGTAAACACTAGATATATCTGTTAAATTGTCTATGTTCTCACTCCCACTCAAGAAAAAACTGTCTTTGTCAGCACATAATAAACCAAAGTAATTTTTAGGTGTACGTTGTCTTAGTTTAAAAATAAAAAAGGGTCCAGTGGTTGTTTTACAGAGCTTATCTAGATCTTAATGTTTTGAAAAGGAAGAACAAAAATGGGCAGGAGGAATTCAGCGAACACGTGATAATGAGAGTGTTATTCCACCATTGCCTTTCTTTGAACTAGTTGCTGGAAGTCTTCAGTTACTGTATATCAATGCAGTTAGTGCGTGTTCAAGTCTCTTCACACACTAATAATGATGGGAATTACTTCTGTTGGTTTTCTGAATAACTGTTAAATTTGATGCATCAAAAAGAGAGGGGGAAAAATGCTTCATGAATAAACCCAGTGAGTCTTTGAAAGCATCATTTGGTGAGGGGCCATGAAAGCAGCTTGCTTTTCCGAGGGGAATGATTATCTTATATGACGGTATGATAGATGTCTACTCTGTAGGACAAATAAGACTTGATGCCACAACTCGAAAAACACTTCGTAACGGCTTACTGTACGGCCTGCTATTGTTGTTTTCCATCTTTTTTGCTGTTTTTATTTAAATGTGAAAAAATGCTTTTGTCTTTTGTAATATGCTGTCATAATGTAGTATATTAATAAATAACATAGTTTTACTTCTCATACGGCTGAGGTGTATTTTGTCGAAGTCTGTTTCTGGTAAAAGGAGTTGTTTCAGATATGTAATATTTTGTTTCATTGTTCAACACAAATGCAGGAGAAACCCATAGTCAACTCTCATCAACTACACACACAGAATGAACTACATTAAAATTCATTTTCTCCCAGTTTTAAATAAACAATTTACCACCTGCATTTAAAGAAACTTTAAATATGACTTGTAAATGTTAGACAATATGAGGGTTCTTCCTTGAGCTGCATCCCCCCGCTGCAGTCGATGGACTCACCCGGGGGTCTCCATACAAACAAGTGGCTGCTGGAAGAGAGATGGTGAGCTGTGTTTAGTCTCTTTGCAAAGAAAGTTAAAAAATTGTTTGGTGGCTAGCACTATGGCTAGGACCCTATATGTACTGTTGATGAAGCTAGGTGCTGTTCTGAGCATTATTTGTGGCTATAGAGTTGCTTTTGGTTGAGTGCGTGACTGTGTATTGCTATCGTGCGGTCATTACTAAAGTTAGTATAACTAGAGAAGCAAGCGGTCGGCAACATTCATCTCTCGACGGGGTGTCTAACGCGCTGTAACGGTGTGTTTCACCCTGACTTTATTTTACGGCGGAATATCCCTTTAAGTTACAAAAAAAAATCCTAAATAATCTCTGTAATGGATAATAACCAAGAGTCCACTGTTGTTGGTTGAAATGTTATAGTAGTAGTAATATATATGTATTCATTAGAATACACTCTAAAACGTAAATATAATTTGTGCTTTTCATGTCAGTGCATAATAAAACTGTGGACCATAGACTGTATACTATACTTCTATTTACAGTCTATCACAGATTTGACGCACGCCACATACAGTCTCTCAACACGCATGCGCATGGACGAACGCTCCCTTTAAAAAAGTTGAATTTCACCTAAATATGGATGCGTAGGTGCGCCGTAATATTTAAAAAAATCAAAAATCCTATTGTTTCGTTCGTATTTCCGTCAGAGGCGTTAGTCAGTGCTGGGGGCACAAATATTCGCTTAAATCTGAGAGCATCCCACTGACACAGCTTGAAAACTCGAGTACAATATTCTCCAACACGGAAGTGATCACTCCTGTATACAGATCACGGCTGATCAAGGCGGCGCATGCATGTCCGTTTTTGATTGTTTGTTTACGTGTGTGATATATGCCTATGAGTTTTTCCCAAAGATAGTCAAGCGCTTTCATTTGCCTCCGAGTCTTTCCCGCTGCGGTATGGCGGCGGCGGCAGCAGCAGCAGGAGGACAGGAGGACCGGAGCTGCGTTTCCCCGGGTGCGCGGACAGGTGACGGGGAACCTGAGGAGGCCGAGGAGTTTACCTGCTCGGCCTACTGCTCGGAGCTCTCCCGGCGGCAGAACGAGCAGAGGAAGGCGGGGCTGTTCTGCGACGTGACGCTGGTTTTCAGCTCTGGTGGGGTGTCCCAGGAGAGGGTCCACGTCTTCACCGCCCACCGCTCGGTGTTATCCGCAGCGTCGCAGTACTTCATGCTTCTGCTGGGCGGACAGTTTTCCGAGTCCGTGTCCGGGAGAGTGGAGCTGAGAGAGTGGAGCTCCACCACAGGACCGGACCCAGACACAGTGGAGAGGGTCATACAGTTTATGTACACAGGAGAAATCAGGGTATCTACTGCTAATGTGGATGAAGTTTTGGAACTTGCTGACAGGTACATTAAATAAAAAACATTGTCTTTGTAACTACTGGGTACAGGCTTGAACTGCTGGTGTTCAAGGAGCCACACCTCGACTGTATCAACAGGTGTGACTCGTTTAAAATAAATGTACGTGTTGAACTTGGCACTGCATGCCATTTTACTGTATACACAGATTACAGATCTTTGTTTTCTTGGTATTAAATTTTGTCAGTAAATTTGGCCTAATTCTCAGCTAAGCCTAAACTGCTCTTTTAGGACAGCTGAAAGAAACAATAATTTGCTATTTTTGTAAATTAGAGGATTCACTATTCATAAAACTCCACAAAGAGATGCAGTAAGTTGGCTTTTTGCCCTAACCCCAAAGACCCTTAGTTATACTTATAAGATAGAAATAAAGCCAGTTTGCTTAGTTATTATCAAAGTTCAATAAATATTTACTCCTTAACCAAACTCTTAATCATCTAAATGTTTATAATATTACCCCTTTAATGCCTGACACCACAAATTATGGCCAGAAAATTCAAAATTTTTGGACCTGAAATGTTTTTTTCACTTACTACTGAAGTGAAATACTACTACTTACTACTGTTAAAATTTAACATATATTTATTTATCTGGTTTGACACATTAGATGTTTTTGGAAACTGACAAATTTCAAGAGGACATTTTTATCATTCATCATACTGTATTCAGTTGTTTTTTTAGTAATTTGATGATCATATTGATTTGATAGAAGTATCATAAAAGTATGTAACAAATATGATACAAAAGGCAATAAGGGATGATTATATTTTTTAATAACATGGTGTCCTGGGAATAGACCTGATGTTTGCAAGCCGTGCATATTGTTTGTTTACTGTGAATACAACCACGGTACACCCATACAGGTGTTTTCACCTTAGCCTGATTGGTCTTATTATCACGATTGTACAAAGGAGTAACTTGACAGACAACTCTACTTTAAACTTCTTTTGTTGCATCTGTTACACCTTAACTATTCTTGAATCTCATTAGACCCATATAATGGCTTTAAAAACAAAATAATTTAAATCTGTTTTGAGTCATATTTTATGTGAAAATGAAAAACAAGAGTGTTGCTGCCATATGGGAAATCACCTTGTGCCAAGATTATTAAGTTTTTGTGGAATATCTACTAATGTGTTTACAGAATACCAGTGCAAAGTAACGAGAAAGCTATTTTTTTAACCTCTTAGTTTTGTTCAGAAAACCCTTCTTATGTGGATCACCACCTACTGAGCTGTGAGCTGTGCCTCATCTCCTCTTTCATCCATTAACTGTTGTTTGATTTTTGTCCAGGTTCCTTTTGGCCCAGCTGAAGAGCTTCTGTGGAGAGTTTCTGATGAAGAAGTTGAGCCTGTTAAACTGTGTCGCAGTACACAGCCTCGCACACATGTACACCCTGGACCAGCTTGCCAAGGGGGCCGCCAGGACAATCCGGAGAAACTTCCACAAAGTTATCCACAATGAAGAATTCTTCACGTTGCCATTTCACCTGGTGCGAGACTGGCTCTCCGACTCTGAAATCACTGTAGACTCAGAAGAGGAGCTGTTTGAGGCGATCATCAACTGGGTGCACCAAAACACAAAAGAGCGAGAGAGGTATTTTGAAGAGCTGTTCAGACTTTTACGGTTGCCTCAGATCTCTCCTACCTACCTGACACGGACAGTGCGGAAGGAGACTCTGGTAGCAAACAGTCCAGCTTGTTGTCAGCTGGTGTGTGATGCTCTCGAGGTTCTTGCTATGCGCTCCATGAGCCACAAGACAGCGGATTTACCGCCTTATTCTTCCTTTACGGCAGAAATACAGCCACGTTTTGGGCAGAACATGGATGTAATCATGGTTGTTGGTGGTGTTTCAGAAGGCGGGGAATATCTGAGCGAGTGTGTGGGATACCTCGTTGCTGAGGACCGGTGGGTTAACCTGCCACACATTCACAACCACCTTGATGGACATGCGATCACTGTCACTGACAGTCATGTTTACGTGGCAGGGTCTATGGAACCAGGCTTTGCCAAGACGGTAGAGCGCTACAACCCTAGCCAGAACACCTGGGAGCAATTCAGCAGTCTGACCACACGCAAGCACTCGTTTGGCCTCACATGTGTCAAAGATGTTCTCTACTGCATTGGAGGTCATGGCAACTTCAGCCCAGGATTCAAGGATGTTACAGTCTACTCCTCAGAGCTGGAGGAGTGGCACAACCTCGACCCAGCACCAAAAATACTCAGAGATGTTAAAACAGTGAGCGTGGAAGACCGCTACGTGTATGTGACGGCCAGGACGCCTGTTGATGTGGACAATGAAGATGGGCTGAGCACTGTGGCCGCCTGTTATGATACAGAGACTCAGAAGTGGCAGGAAGTAGACTCCCTACCACTCATTGATAATTACTGCACTTTTCAAATGGCTGTTTCAGCAACCAACTTCTACCACACGGCGTCCTGCTGCGCCAAGAACTACGAAGTAACAGCAGAGGTCGCCAAGGAGAAAATGAGCGGAAACTTCACAGACGACATCCTCGACAGCCTCCCTCCAGAGGTCCTGAGCATTGAGGGCGCAGCTGTCTGCTACCTAGACGAGGACATCTTTATCATCGGTGGGTGGAGGAACAGTAACCACATGGACAAGCAGTATCGCAAAGAGGCCTACCGTTACTGCTCCAAGAGGAAGCGCTGGATGCTGCTGCCGCCTTTACCTGAGCCACGTTGCCGCGCTGCAGCCTGCCATGTTCGAATCCCATACCGGTATTTGTACGGCTATCAGCACTACCCCATGCCCCAGAACTTGGCACGCCAGAGAGAACGAATGCAGCAGATGCAGCAGCTCCACCGTCGCACTCTTACACTACGCAGACAGCTACAGTCTCAAATTGAATGTTGAATGTTGACTGGTCAGCACTTAATCGGCAAATTGCTTTTTTGTTGTGATAAATATGCCTTGAGACAAGATTTCATTGAGATGAAATATCTGTGCGGGTAATTTGTGGCTGTTTCATATAAGCTGAAGTGTTTGACCTTCTGACAAGCAAAAAAATTTAAAACAGGTTTCTGGAAAACTGGCTGTCCATAATCTTTTTGGCCTTACATTAGCTGTTGCCTTATGCCCATTATTCTACTTCATTTTACTGTAATGCAGCAAATGTTTTTCAAGACACGTGTTCTTTTTGCAAATGAAACTGTATTGCTCATTAAGATTTGGTTGTTCGGAAATATTGTCAGCTTACAGTTATAATCAAACCGGTATTAGTGGCACTGCTGAGATTGTTGGTGTTGTGACTCTTGATGTCTACATTTATAATGATGTCACTTAGAGGAAATACCTAATCAAAACAGGAAAAAAAATGGGTTGTTTAAGTTGTGCACACGAGGTATTCCTCTTAAGTAAGACAATCAGTTATTAGAATTTTGGTTACAGAATTGCGCCTTGAGCAGGAGACAAGCTGGTTAACTTTCACCCTCACTCAAGTGAAAGACTTGGTAAAATGTTACACTTAAAATGTGCAGTAAAGTAGATTACATAGATTATTCAGGAGTACTTTTACTGTTCCAGAGATGGGAATTATTTCTCAAGTAAATATTTCTGCTTGTCTTAAATGGCATTGATTCCCCTGGTTTAAAGGATCTCATTTCAACCACTGAAAAGATTGTCAGCTCTCTTTTTCAGAAGTCTCACTTCTGATTTGATTGAGTTTTTGAGCTTTTAGTTGAGTGATTTTGGTTGAGTATTTTCTTAACCTCTGAAGTATGTGAAACATTTTGGACCAGAAGGCTTTTTGTGCATAGTTCTCTCAATATTCTCAAATGTGCCATAAAATTCCTCATGCCTCTTATTGATACAGTTAATAACTAGTATTTCTTGCACATAAGGATCTTGAATGTTGACTTGTATTGTGTTGCTTTTCTGAGTGAAAGGCTGTTGCTGAGCTTGTTGCACTTCTCTGCTGCTTTTGAAATTGGTAAGACCTGTGGTATTCCTTGCCAAGCTGTTCAAGGTATTTTTAAGTTTGGCTTTGTGAGACTTATATTTTTCTGTTGAGAGATATAATACAAAATGTGGGGAATTTTATTTTTATTTTCTATCTATTCTTGTTGTTTTTTCTTGTTTTGCAAATTTTATAATATGAGGACCATAAATTACCACAGGATTATAGCACAATGGTGCAAAAGTGATTTACAAGTGGATATAAGTGATTAACGGCAGTAAATAACTTCCACATCAGAGGTTGGGTCTTGGGATCAGATTGTTGTTCATATTTGATTGTGGAGAAGATCATGCTGGTTGAGTTTATATATTTTGGGTATTTCCATTTACGCTGCCACTGTTTTCATTGTATTGCCAGTCTGTGCACATGAAAGGCTGTTGTACAAATAAACACAATAAATAACCAAGAGAGGTTTTGTTTTCATTGTCGTAATTTTAAACCAACTAATCAAAAAATGAGTGAGTCAATAAATCTATCAATCCTTCTGTTTGTCTGAATGTAAAGTTTTTAGTTTCAGGCTATTCATTTATTTTTTTAAAAAGTCTATCAATAACTAATTTATGAAATATCTGCAATTGTTGCATGTTGCTGTGAACAATACATATTCTCAGGACACTAAAGCAAAATTACGGTGGCCGAGAACCGCCACTGCTGCAAATAAAAAAAGAATGCAAAAAAAAGAAGTCACAAAGGAAGTTACCGATGCAAAAAGAGGAAACCTAAGCCTTCTGCAACTAAAAAAAGAAACAGTACACACAATGGAACAATGGAAATTAATGAATCAAAATAAAAGTGGCGATGCAAAAAAATGATAATGATGATGCACTGGTGCTTTTTGATCAATGCACAGAAGATGACGGCGAGAAGACGAGCAAAGAGGTAAGTGGAAAGGTTATTGTTTAATTTCGCTTTGTGTACTTTTCAATGTGTCACTTGGGGTTTTTTTGCATCCTTTTTTTTTTTTTGCTGTAAGTAATTTTTTTTTTTTTTTTTGCATAGCCACATTTTTGTGTCGTTAACTTCTGTTGTGGCTTTTTTTTTTTTTAATCTGCACCGTTCCTTTTTTTATTTGCAGCGGGCTTCGGTTTCTTTCTTTTTTCTTTTTCTTTTTTTTTTTTTTTTGTGGCAGAGATACAAGTTGTCACAACATAGGAACTAAAGTATAGCGGAACCTTATGTGTAATACGTAGAGATGGGGAATGATTTCAGTGTGACCAATGACGCGGATGTAAACAAATAGCTGAAACCAATAGCCGACTGTTCATTTTTGTAAACACTGTATCACAAATATTAAGATATAAACAGTTTTCACACCGACATGTTCTTTTGACGGCTGCAGCGAACAGCCGTGAACGCCTCGCTGACATGCCGGTGAACCGTCTGAAAATGGTAGGTAACAGAGGCCGATCGTTACATAATCATGGCAGTCAAATGAAGCAGAGAGCCAAAGAAGCAAATACATTCAGATTATTTGCACATTTGGTCTGCAAAAATGATCATGAGTCATCTGAAAGTTAGGTTGCAATCGCTTATTTACATGATCTGAACTGTCACTTGATCAGAGTCTGTGCTGCGCTGCTGCAGAGATGCTCTGTAGTGTTTGAGCTCTGGTGTTTTCAGCCTTGAATTCAGCTGAATTTAAGGCATTATGTGTGCAGAAATTTCATAATTCACTAAACTGCACCGATTGCACATTTCCCTACTGTCTCCATTACCTAAAGGGCTTGATTTCAAATTGTTTCTTGGTTTACTTTTAGGAAATGCTGGACTTTTATAATGTAATTCATCACTTGAATGGGTAATCTTTTCCACTTTTTATGCAGATATACCAAATTCCCTGGATCTACACGCCGGCGAGGACTGTTCTAGCAATCTGGAACCAGTTAACTAAATCCCAGGTAACAAAACTCTCTCCTTTCTCTCCAACCTGTCATGTCTGTCAGGTTCACTTTATTTTTTGCACATTCATGTTTGGTTTGTCTTTTCTGTTTTATTTTGAAATCACTAACCCTTGTCTCTGTGTTGTTGCTTTGCTTCCTGTCTGCCCTGCCCCTGTCTTGTCACACCTGCTCCCTGATTGTTTCTCCACACCTGTGCCTCATCAGCCCTCATTACCTCCTGTATTTAACCCCATGTATCTCACTGTCTTGTTGCCAGTCCATTGCACTTTATAGTCCTTGTTCCACTCTTTTTCTTCACAGCCACAGTCATAGCCTCTTGTGTTTTGAACCTTGCTTGTTTTTGGATCTTGCCTTTTTTTGTCTGCCAATTTTGATACCACTGCCTGTCTGGATTGATCTCTCATGTGCTGACCTCTGCTTGTTTCTGATTAAACCCTTTTTGCCTCTGACCTCTGCTTCAGTGTCTGCCTTTGTGTCCTCCTGCTCTGAGCCATTCTCGACACAACCCCTCTCTTCCCCTAACCTTGCATCTGGATGAACATGCAATGTAACCCATATCTCTGTTTTTTGTTTGTTTGTTTGTTTGTTTGTTTGTTTGTTTGTTTTTTTTCAGGTCCCAGAGCTCTCTAAGTGCTCAGTGCTGATGAGGGATCGCAGCAGTGTGGAGGAGACCATCCATGCCATGCAGCGAGCAGGTGCAGGCAGCCTGCAGGTAAGTAACCCAGGAGTAAGATTTATCTTAAAGAACTAATATATAATGTTTGAGTAGGTGGATGTTGATACTAAGTTTACATTTGTAAAATCATTAAAATGTAAACTGTCGTTATGAGGTCCTCATCTTTTGTATCTCAGCATTGTTGTATGGCTGGTAACTATAAATCTAACTTCTGAGTTGAATATGTTTCCTCAGGTGATCTCCGACTTTGATATGACACTGACCAAGTTTGCCCATGAGGGCAAGAGAGTCCCTACAACACACAGTAAGACAGCAAGGCACACACAATTAATCATTTAAAAAAGAATATATGCATCTTGGCCAAACTTACTTTGTCATTATTGTTGCCTTGTCCTTTACTTGTAACAGTTATTTAGTTTTACTGAATCAGTCCTAAGCTCATTTTCCTGTCCTCCTCTAGACATCCTGGATAACCGGTTGTTGATCAGTGAAGATGGCACTAAAAAGGTAAGTTTAATGGACTCATAATGTCCTTAGTCCCCAGGGGATTTTAAGCCTTCTGCAGCTGCTGAATAAACTTATGTTTGTGGTTCTTAAAATCTGGTGGGGGGATTGTGCCTTTTTAATAGTAGCCCTGAAATTATGGAACTCTCTACCCCCTGAACTACTTTTTATCAATGACCTGACTCTTTTTAAAACTCACCTATTTACACAGGCTTTTAATATCTAGTGTCATTTGCCATTTGCTTTTTGATTGTTTCTTTGTTCTCTCGCATTTTTATTGTTATGATATCCTGTGACATTTGTCACTTGCCATGTATTTTCTTTTCCTGTGTTTGTGTATTTGACTGTGTAAAGCACTTTTTTCATCTTTCCGGATGTTGTGAGGTGCTATATAAATGTTGTTATTCAGATCTAAACACTGTATGCAGCCTAAAGTATGTTTGTTTTTTATTGGTCCATTGGTAGATGCGGGAGCTGTTGAACACCTACTACCCTATTGAGATTGATCCCAGCAGGAGTATTGAAGAAAAGCTGCCCCTTATGGTAGAGTGGTAAGAAACTAAGAACGCATGTCCATTCCATTCTGAGTTCATGTACAGTCATTTATTTGACGCTCAAAAGTTGCTACAAAATAAAGTAGAAATTTAGGAATCAAATTCAAAACATCATTTTTCTGATGCTGCTCTCTGCAGGTGGACTAAGGTCCATCAGATGCTGATACAAGAGAGGATCAGAAAAGACCTGCTGGCCCAGGCTGTCAAGGAATCCAAGGCTATGCTCAGGTACACACTGTGCTCAATTATTATACACCTTCAGACTGTGGCACCACAGGAAAATAAGAAAGTAATATAAGGTCCACTGAAATACACAAAGAAGACCATAAAATGTATTGTGGAAAATAAATAACAGCATTTGCTGAAAGTTAAAAATACAGTGCATTAGTATTAATTAGTTGGAAGTAATATCGGACACTTGATATTGATCAATCAGATTGTATAGAAGTTAGATTTGATCATTTCTTTCACTTTTATGGTTTAAAAACAGGATGAAAACTCAACACAAATCCTCTGAGAATATGAAGTTCCAGCATACTTGATATTTTTGATTTAATGGGCAGTATTTGTGGTACTCCCTCAGGGATGGCTATAAAGCCTTTTTTGACCATCTTGAGGAGCAGCAGATCCCACTGTTGATCTTCTCAGCTGGTGTTGGAGACATCCTAGAGGAGGTGATTCAGCAGAACCAAGTCTTCCATCCCAATGTTCATATCATCTCTAACTACATGGACTTTGACCAAACAGTGAGTTTGACACACCTTGTTCTCTGGGACTGCTTTTAATGTATGACATGCAGTTTATATTGTTTCAATATTGATCTTCCATTATCCCTAAAGGTTTGTCTGTAAGGTCTGCAGATGGCTGTTTGAGTCTGGTTCTGCTTGAGGTTTCTGTGACAGAAAGTTTCTTTTAAAATCAATTAGGATTGGATCTCTAGATATCATTTTTTAAAATTTATTTCCCCTTTTTAAATAAAAATTATTTGACATTCACTCATATTCAGTTGATTTATCCATCAAAAGAATTGACTCCAAACCAAATTTTTGCAGAGTCGTACTGTCTACCTCTAAAGATCTAAATTCTTCCCCCATCTCTCAGAGTCATAGTCAAAATGAGCTCTGTCTTGTCCTTCAGGGGGCCCTGCAGGCCTTTCAAGGTCAACTGATCCACACCTTTAATAAGAGAGAAGGTGCTCTATCACGTGCGGCCACCCTCAGAGAGCTGCAGGGGAGACCCAACGTACTCCTGCTGGGAGACTCTCTGGGGGACCTGACCATGGCAGATGGAGTTCCTGAGCAAGAGCACATCCTTACCATTGGGTTCCTCAATGACCAGGTCAGACTAATACATTAGTGTTAACCTGGGGTTTCATTTGTAGCCCCTTTTCCGACAGTTTTGTGAAAAAGTTCTGTTTTCTGTCTCTCAGGTTGAGGAAAGGAAAGAGTCATACATCAACTCCTTTGACATTGTTCTGGTGAAAGATGAAACTCTGGATGTCCCGAACGCCATCCTCAGGTACATTACCTCTTTGAGGGACAACAAATAAGATGCAAATAGAGGATCTGGACCCTCTGTGATGACTTAAACAAGGACAGATTTGTTCACTGCATTTTGGCATGTTACACACCGGACAGTTACATTTCATCACTTACCTCAAACCAGATCTCAGACCTGTTTGTTTAGTTTTTGTCAATGATGACCACTCCTGTTATTTAACACACACTCAGTATTTTGAATTGTGTGTGTTTCAGAGCAGACCTATTGAAGTCAAACTGTTTAAAATACCAAACTTATGCATTTTCAACTTCATGTAGAAGAATCTGGAATGAACTCCAGTGTTACAGATTTTTAGACTTTAAGCGCACATTCCATGTACTGTAGTCCGCATCAGCATTTCTGTCTCTTCTTAGCTGTCTTGTCCATCTAAGGCCAAAATACCCTACAAGGTTACTCAAAAAACTACACTTCTGTGAAACCTGCTTCAGGATACCTAAGTAGACATAGTGCTACCATAACGGAACTCAGTGAAGTGACACTTTACAGGATTGTTTTAATAAGCACGCACACTCAGGAGACAAACAATAATCTTAAAATATAGAAACATAAAAATGTATGCAGGGTATTTCTATTTTCTGTCCTCTTTCTGCAAACTCCATTTTTCCTCATGAATGTGTTTTTGCAGTTTGAGGAGGTCCTTTCAAATGAAGCCAAAGTGTGAGCAAACACATTTTTACTGTCTTCATCCTCAAAAGTTTTTCTGGGTTGGGGTTTTTGTGTAATATACAGTATGTTACCTCTGTATGCACTCCAAGTACCTGAGTAATCTTAGGAGGAGTGCTGTCGTTAGACCTCTATGCTAGTCATGGATTTGTTCTGCATCAAACATTATGTTACCTGACCAGTACACTCCAGACCAAAGATCATTGATGGACTTCTATCTTTGTCCAGACTTGGTAAACCAAAAACCCTCCATGTAGTCTGAACTGGGAATATCTGGTTGAAGCTCTGGTCTGCATAGTCTTTATCTCACACCTCCCAAAGAATTTATTGAACTTCTGAGAATTACACCCATGGACTCTGAGGGGACGTCATTCAAAGCCTCTATATGAAGGCTGCTTCCAGAAATGGGTATCAGTACCAACCTAAGGACACTTAACAAAGCTCTGTAACTGTCTCCTGAGAGCAGATAGTTAAAGGGAGGCTCATTAGACTCATAAATGGCATTATATCAATATGTAGTTTTATTTTCTGCAAGAGACAAATCAATACAAAAAATATTGTAGTTTCTTTTTTATAAATGCTAAAATCTAATTGTCTTCCATAAAGTAAAAACTAGACTAAAGTTGATCTAACTTTGAATTTACTCATATATCTTAATGTACTGTACTAAACAAGTTATTCTGGAATAACTTAAGCCGTGCTCTTTTTAAGATTTGTCTGAGCTCAACTATATTTGAAATGTTTGAATATACCTAACTGTGCTAAAATGGAACAACTAAGATGATTTTTTTTGTTGTATTTTGTCTGTGATAACCATAGACTGTATATAAGATGGATAGATTCTGCCTCCTCGCTGGGTGAAGCCACTCCGAGAACAGCACCCTCTGATGGTGGGCTGCAGTACAGGTCATAAATCCCGCCTCCGCCAGCAAGCTTATGGAGCTGTGGACAAACTTTAGAAATTAATTACACAGAACATAAATTTTTCTCCCCCCTGCTTGTGATGTTGACATGTAGTTACTGTAAGACTGGTTTGTGCCCAAGTCCTTTTTTTTCTGTACAGCTCCGTTTTTAAAAGTTATTAGGGGGTTCATGTTTTCTATGATTGACACCTGGTACAGCCTATGGGCGTTCAGGGATTGCGTAGCTCTTCTGGGGGGGATACGCTGTTTGAGCAGAGCGTCATCACAGGGACTCTCGGCGACTGTGCGGCCGAATGCGCACAACGCTACTGCACAGCTCTGGTTTCAAGGAAGTGGAGAAAAACCCAGAATTACCGAGAGCTTTTTGGCTTCAAATCTGAATACAGGCGGAAGGCGGAACCACGTTGTCCATCTTATATACAGTCTATGGTGATAACTCAAATTACATTCAAATATACTTTTATGTCAAAATTTAAGTACTCTTTTAATGTATCTCAAGAACCCTCTGAATGTAAAAGTGTGTTTCCTATAGGCTACTACCCAGTAGGACATCAGTTCATCAGCATCTACTGTAAGAGTCACTATCATTGAAGATTATCACACTTCTAATTAGACTATAAGTATGATTATAATCTGTTTTTAAAGCACCCTAATAATAAAAATCGTTCCATATGAGAGGCAATAAAATGTACATGCATCTTTTCAAAACTCAACATACATATATAAATTGTAGAAAGTGACAGATCATCGACTTAATATTAACATCATAGATTTTTAATGAATCTGAAATTCCCTGACACTGGCTGCATTCACTGTGATAAACCCCTTACTAAATCACAATGTAACAACACAAAGATTGCGTTTAGTGCATGTATAAGTTCAACTCTTGAAGCTTGGACTGCTACCCTCACCAAATCAAACATCCATGTTTTGGGGATAGTCTCTGCAAAAGGCTCTGATCATCTCCTGAATTCTCATGTTTGTCATTTTCTCAGCATCTAATATTGTCTGTAAGCAACACAAATGTCAGAGACCCCAATGTCAGGATGAAAAAAATGTCTTTCACATGGAAAAGTGTATTTTGAAATCTTATCTCTCTATGGCTGTAAGTCTGAATCATGTATTTCAAACTTACTATCATCAAAATGTACTGTAAATTAAATGACAACAAAACACACTTTGACAGCCTCTGTCTCTCTTTGGACTGTACATCAGATGTCTTCTTTTTCTTTAGTCAGGTAGATCTTTGTGTGCACCTGTAAGAGATATCAAGGGGGGAAACAAAGAAAGGTGGACGTGCAAGTTCAACAGAGTTGTCAGTCTTCCTTCAAAACAACCTTCAAAACAAGCAAATCTGAGAGGGGCTTGTAGACCAGCTCTCTTCCTTATGAGGAGACTTGGGCTCAATACCAGAACAGAGGATAACATTTAGAACATTAATAAATGTTACTAATGAGTATTATCACATAAAGAACTTCTTTCACAAATGGAGCTATTTTTTTGTATTTTTTTTTATTTTAATCAGGTAATAAATCTTCTTTCAGTAAACCTATTGTCACTGATTGGGCAAAACAAGTCTTTGGCTATATATCTATGTACTGTACATGTATATACATGTTTATCATTACGGGTTACAAAACTATCTAGTTTGTTGACACATAGCATAAACAAATAAAAGGCAAGTTATACAAGATGCCCGTTTTAATAGTGTTACATTATTAAAACAGGTAAACGGGTAATAACAATAACTATAGTGCAACGTAGAAGTATAGTGCAACAGAAAAACAACTTCAAACATTCAAGGGCTCCATAGCTCCTGTGTATTAGTGCTTAGATCATATAAAATCATTCAAATGATACAACACAAGAATCTTAGATATAAAAATATGAAGAGTGCAAACAGTGCTATAGAAGCCATTTGAGGAGCTGGAGCGCAGTGATGATGGTAAACAATGTGACCCCACCAGCAGCTCTTGATGTCTCAGAGCTTGTATCAACTCGACACGAAAAGTTGTTGTCTGGGTCAGTGCCACTGGAAGTGAATGTCACAAAGCTAATAGTCGCCCCCGCCGCATTATCCGTGATCCATTCCTGGAATTCAGAAACTCGGGCAAAAACCTCTGGGAAACCAGCCAAGGCACAAGGTACTCCAAAACTGCTAATGCCAGCCTGGATCCACTTTGAACTTTGTTTACACTGCAAAGGTCCACCAGAGTCCCCCTAGTGTACAACAAAATTTAAAATTACTGTACAGAATAAAACTTGGGTATCACTTTATTCGACGCCTATCACTAAAACGCATTATAAATATATGTATAATGCATTATAATCATGTTATAGCACTGTATAACTATAGTCATAAACACTCATAAATGATCAAATGTTGTGAACAGTTATAACACATTATAATACCTGACCTTGTAAGTCATGATAAAATGCCTTATCATGTGTTATGATTATTGCTATAAAGCATTATGGTCATTTATGAGTGTTTGTAACTATAGCTATACAGTGTTATAATGTGATTATAACACATTATACATATATTTATAATGCGTTATAGAGATAGGCCTCAAATAAAGTGTTACCAAAACTTGATATGCCACATTTCTTTGTGACGATAAAATTATTGTAGGAAACAACAAAGTTTACATTATAACTAGATATTGGCTAAAAATGAGATTAGAACAGAAATCTTATGCTTGATGAGAATAATTCCAAATTATAGGAGAAATAGAAGTTTAGTAAGTCTGTCCATCTATTATTTGAAAAGCGCAATAAGATGTTGTTTTCCAACCTGACAGACTCCTTTGTTCTCCTGCCCGGCACACATCATTCTGTCTGTGATGTTTGCTGCTGGTTCTGGGATGTAGTTGCAAGTGCACTGATTGTTTCCGATGACAGGAATCTGAACCTCCTGGAGACTATCAAAAGCTTGGTTGGGCTCTGTGGGAGAAACGTAGAAACTTCAAATTTTTAAACATTGAATTGTGTCTTTACTCCGGTGAAATGTCAGAACAAAAGATCATGAGATATTTCCGAACTAGAGTGCTAATTCTACCTCAGCATGGCCTGAAACTCACCGTCCTTTCCAAGTCTGCCCCAGCCGGTGGCCCAGCAGGAAGTGGAGTTGTGGAACTGACTGGAGTTACTCGCCAAGCAGACAGGTCGGATGTAGTCGGTGAAAGTGACAGGACTACTTAGCTTCATGAGGGCGATGTCATTGTTGAACAAGGTGTTGTTGTAGTCAGGGTGAAGAATGATCTGGGACACAGTGCTTCTCACCTCGTTCACGTTGGGGCCGCTCTGAGTCTCTCTCCCCATGTAGAGGACCCATGGAGGAGTTGAGGTTCTGAGTAAAGGATGAAATAAACCCATGTTAAGTCATAGCACTGTGTTTCAGGAGAACCCACCTGTTTGATTCCTGTGCAAACATAGTCCAGTACACTCTAAGCTAACATGGCTATCAGATTACCATTACTTTCTATGTATTTAAAGGGCTCATAAGGTCTCTATTAGAAGCACAATCTCGAAACAAACATCATAAGCATAACAAATTGCCGTTCTGAGCTAACCTATTCTCCTTTATTTATTCACATACAACACTTTCAACCCTCTGAACCAGGAATATCATTCAATCATTTACCCGAGTGTACCGTATAAAGCCTCACTTCAACTCAAGTAAAAGTATTTAATCCTTAAATCCATTTTTCAAGTGGAGGTCGATGAGTTTTCTTTACTTTAAACATGGACTTGTTGACACTAGGGAGTTACTACACTTTCCAAATGTGTGTTAGCAAAGTGTTTTTAGTCATATGGTTTCACACCTTTAACAAAGCTTTCTAACACAGGTGCATGTGCATGTGATGCATATTTTCTAAACTTGGTGTTTATGAAGCATCCTAATTGTATTTTTTTCAAGAAATGAAACAGGATCTGATGAGTTTCTCTTACGTAAAGATGCAGTGAGCTGCTGTGAGGACCCACTGGTCACTGATTAGGGTCCCTCCACAGATGTGCTGTCGACTACCACTTGATCCAAAGTGCATGCTGACCTGCCACGGCCAGGACCCAGCAGTAGCATTCTCCCCACCTACTATCTTTGTGTTCAGGGGAGCCACTCCACAGTCTGTCAGAGCACATAGAAATCTATATCAGGCTGATTTTCTGCATTTATGATAAAACAGGCGCAGCTCAAACAAATTAAAATGTCCCGAAAAAGTTTAATTTAATTCAGCAAGTCAAACTTCCGTATATTCTAGATTCATCTCATATGTTTTTTTGTTGTTTGAATCTTGAGGATTTCGGCTTAAAACTCATTAAAATAAAAAAAAAGCACTTTCTCAAAACAGAGAGCTCTTATCAGCTGATGTACTCTGAACATCTGCAAAGGTTTACTTATTCTCTCAATCGCACCTGGGCGAAGAAGAAAAAGAGCTGGACTGTTGCTCAGTGGTCCAGAGTCCGGTTTCAGAAGAAAGTAAATTTTGCATCGCATTTGGAAATTAAGGTCCCAGGAGGAAGATAGGGAAGGCTCAGAATTCAAGATGCTTCAAGTCCAGCATGAGGTCCCTGCAGTCTGTGATAATTCAGAGTGCCATGTCATCTCCCTCTATTTGTCTACTGGGTTTTATCAAGTACAGAGTCAACACAGCCTGAAGTTTACCAAGAGATTTTAGAGCTCTTCATGCTTGTATCTGCTGGGAAGCTTCATGGAGGTTTAGGTTTTCTTTTCCTGGTACCTGCCAAAACTACCAGAAACTGGTTTACTGACCATGATATTACTTTGGTTGAAGAAGCTGAAGAAGATATTAAAGCAACCTGGACTTCTATAACACCTCAGCAGAGACACAGACTGATCACTCTCATGCTACATCACAATTTTTTTATTTATTGGATAGTTGTTTTCTTTTTTTTGAGAAAGTGGATTTTTGATTTACGTGACTTCATCAAGATTCAAACAAAAAAGTCTCAAAATATTTCACTTTGTGTGTGATGAATGTAGAATATATGAAAATTTTACTCTTTTAATTAAATTATTGAAAAAAAAAACTTTGGGGGGCATTTCAATCTTTCTGAGCTGCTTCTGTATATTCATTGTCGTTGCACTGCAAGTTTTGGTATTTTTCATCACTAAGGGCAACTACATAGCCAAGTGGAGTGAATTGTGACAAACTTACCCTGAGCCTTTGACCCTGTGAAAAAAAAAGGAACACATGTATTACTTCCATCTTTAAACCCTTAATATTTGTGTTTCTTATATGTTTAAGTCAATCATGCTGTGTAGAAAAGTGAAATGAGTGCATATGGACACAAGGTGGTGCTTGAGAGAAGCAGTTTTTTCAAACCCTACTGAATGTACGTACTGTCTGATGGATTGAAATAGATCACTATCACATATTCTACTCATATTCAGGGCATATTCTTGTTTTAGTTTTGCAAAGGTTTTTACAAAGAACAGTGCTGCTAAAATGGTTTCGCTAATGGGTGAACAGAGTTTAACACAAATGAAATGAGTTTGCAATGCTCTACAGTGCAAACCAAGGCACACATGCACTATGCTCAGAGTGCAAAAAGTTATTTTTACTTTATGTTGGTGAAAACTTGAGGTCATAGGCCCGACTTAAGACCTAACTTAACTTGTGTGCTTCAGTTTTTTGACTGGTTAACTTGCATCTTTCTTCTCACTTCATAGTCTTAAGACCACAGTACCATGTTTTCTTTTGACCATGACAACAAACAGATTAACGCAGTTATGTTGTCAGGACCGGTATGTTGTCAGAAACTACTTTACTATTGTGCTAAACTATTAGGGGTTTACTGCTTGGCCTTTCAAGGTAACCCCTAACAAAGAAGAGGGGGAACTGGTGTGAATAAACATAGATATTCCAATTTATAAGGAAGGTATGTGTTTTTTTTATACTTGGATGGTCCAACTCAAATCTCATCTTTTTAACGGCTGTGAATGTACTAGATATCTGAATTCAAAGTCATACAGAACAAAACTTGGGTATATTAAAGGAAAATCTGTGGCTACACTTTGTGCATATGTATACATGCATACATGTATCAATAATAATATATGTAAATATAACATAATACTAATATAATGTATGTAAAAGTGACTTTTGCCCCTCCAAACACTGATGGAAGTCACAAAAGGCATTTTTCAGTCTTTTGTCCTGTAATGTGCACAACTGTTAAATTCCATATATGAAACTCTAGACTCCTTAAATCAGTTAAGTGACCACAGGAAAACACACCTCTAAACAGTTTAGCATTACTTGGATAACAAGTATGATTCATTTTGTCTCTTATATCAGCAAGTGTTATTGATTTTCTCGAGTAGAAAATGTCTTTGTCTCCGGCTATTTTATGAATTAGTAAAATAGCCAAGTGAAACCACAGGAAGGTTGTTGAGAATCTCTTCAATGCTCAATACCAAATTAAGATTAAAACAAGACAAACTGTCAAACACTATTCATAATAAAATGGTAGCTCTGCACGATAGCTCACCTATCCCAGTCAGCACTATGCACATGACGAGGATCCACACAGTCCAGCCTGCCATACTGTCCTGACACCGGCTCTTTGCTTTCTGTAGACACATGCAGTGTTTCAGGAAACTTGCTTTGTCCTCAGTTATGCTTGTCCTGTATTTATATCACCCACTCCCTGCTCAGACCTGTTATACTAGATACCTCAGGTGCATTTGCTGGCTTCATCCAGGAAAGTCCTTCTAGAGTGTCAACGTAATCTAATGTCGTAAAGCTGTCACTTTTTGCAATTTACTATGATTTTTCTTTAATCTGGGGTCTAAAGTAAAGGGGAAGTTTTTTTGTTTTTATCGAACAATTACAAACTTTTTAGCATTAAAAATTAATCAAATGAAAAATGATTAGATTGCATGTGCATTCCTTTTATATAGCCAAACAATGACAAGTAACTCGATATAAAGGTTCCTTCTTCCTGCAACGTCGATCAGGTGGTGTGTTTTGGGCTTCACGTGTACATTCATTTTGATCTCTGCTCTTGATAGTTTCAAGGAAAGGTTTTGTTTTTGTTGGATTTGGTTCCTGCTCTAGTGCTTTGCATGTTCAAGAAAATCAAAACAAATATAACATTTAAAAGACACCTGTGGGTAATGAGTACTGATGGTTTATGAAGTGCTTTTATGTTGCAGTAGGATAATATAGGGCTTACTTAAATAACTTAAAAAACTGCTGGACGACATTTACTACACATTCAATATAAGTCTCCAGAGAAACGTTAAAAGCTTACAAATACTGACAGTAAAGTAACAAAATAAAAAACTTCTTTCCTCTAAATTGTAATTTGGTTCAAGGATAGATGAGCGGATGTGTGAAGTGTGTCTGAGCCTGCTTTTAGCAACACTTCCCAGACTGCAGACCATACCACAGAGATGGCTTGAGTGGTTTAGTACAAATGTCTTCCTCAGTGGGGAAGAGCCGGTTTCTGGGGTCAGTGGTTTAGGGTAGAAGTACAGACGGGGTGAGGTTTGGTCCCCAGGGGATTCATTAAAGTGTATGTGAGGCCCCACATGAGGGTGTTGGTTTGTATTTTGTCTCTGTCATTTCCTGATATACAAATAATATTTTTGGTGCTGTTACATTAAATTCTCATTACTTCGATACTCTAAAGTATTGTAAGAAGAAATAAAAAGACGAAACAGCTTTCTCATTTTATTAAGATGCATAAAAAGACTTCAGTGAGCTTTAGTATTTAAAGAAAACTCGGCTTAAAGAAATCGCTCTCACAACCCCACCCTGTCTTTGATTGGAATCTTTGATTGACAGGAAAATAAGGCGATGGTTGAAAAAGAAATCCTGTTCTGACACTACTCGCAGCTATTTGTTTGGGTGATATCCAAACTCAAATCTCTAGACAACAGAGCTGAACCAACAAACCAAGAGGAGAATTCCTGTTGTCTTACTCCGCCACTACACACAGTTTCACTTAATTGTGTTATTTCAAGGTATTTTCGCATACTAAATCTTCATTTTGAATGTCTTTAAGGAAACAATTTACCAGCATGCAAGAAACTGCTGTCGTGAGAGCTAGTGTAATCCGCCCTCTGTTGAACTGAAACCATGTCCACTTTGTGTGCATATTACAAAATGTACCACACATGCTTATCTAATCTCACAGCATTGAAATCAAACACAGGTTTTGATATATTTCTAGAGAACAAAAATAGAAATACAACCACATTTTTTCACCTCAAGTCTAAGGCACTGAACTTTTAGCATTTTCAGATTCAAATCAACTCTGGTACAGTTCCTTCTATTCTTTCCGTCGGCTGGTGTGCGATCCATCAAAGTATGAACCAGAGCCTCCTGAAGAGTGCTAATCTTTCAACCCGATGAAAGAAAGAAGGGTGTGAGATAAAGAAAGGAGAGAAAACAAGACATTGAATCAGACAGCTCTGTTCAAGCACAAAGTACCTAACACAAACAGTGAAATGTAACACATTAATCACCTGTTTTAAACCCTCTGAGTCACAGCTGTGTGCCTTCAGGTCAAGTAAAGCAGCAAGAGAAAGAAAGGGACATCCTCTCAGCTTGGAGACACAGACACCCTGTGTGATCTCCTAAACGGAAAATGCCATGATCACTGTGACCAGCTGAAGAGTAAAGTCAAACAAGCTAAACAACCAATCGAGTCAATACATATTCAGTAGGGGGGCAAACTTAAACCACCATTTCCGCCAGAGATCAAACACTTGTTCTGGCTAAAAATTAACTCCAATTAGAGGAAGAGATCATAGCAGGAGCAGAGTGGAAAGATATACGGCTTTTACAAAAGAGGGGCAGAACTATTCTCATGTTTTTATCCTCTTTTTCTCCAAATTCCACCCCCCTAACTTTTTACCCGGATAAAAAAAAGAGTTGTAGTCTTGTCTGAGTGTTTGCCCACATAAGCTCAGCAGGATTACCCTCTCCGTTTGTTCATGGCAACACTGCACCAATGTAAAGTAGCCCCCAAACCTTGGCCAGAGGCCCGTCTGAATTTTAAGTGACCTGCTTGCCCACTTGTGTGTCCCGGCACATCTCCCTCCTTCCCTTCTAGCTCTATCAGTCCTCCAGGGCTTGCTTATTTAAGAGGACTAACACATATCAAGGGCCTCCTTTCACTCCTCGGAGGCCCAGGGACAATATTTCTTATTTCCCATGTGGTTGGACGAACCCGCCCCCTTTCACCTCATAGCTCTATATAAGACAGCAAAAGGGCCCGATGATAAGAACTTGGTTTCGAGACAAGCCTGGCCATGCGGTGTAAAGTCCTCGTCTACTCCGTCCTGCTGACTCTCATAAAGCATGGTGAGTATTTTGTCATTACATTCACAGGCTGGTCACAAAAGCTGCATTGTTGATTCTTCACTTCACGCTGACCAGGTTGGTCTGGGAATATTGACTGTCAGGTATCTCAGGTTGACTTTGAAATCTGGGCCGGTAACAGGGGCTTTTTGCAGACCTAATGCAAATCATTACTTTGTTTGCGCATTATTTAGTGTAAACTTAGATAAGTTTAAAAAACGCTGCAGTGCAGTCTGGTCCAGACATTGTAGTGTCGAAATTCACCCAATCTTGTTTTTAGGGGATTAATGACAAACGCATAGAGTGACACAAGAATTAGAGCAGGTGTTGGGCTTTATCTTTACCATGAAACAGATTCAGACAAACTTATTACTCAGCATTTGTGCTCTGTCATGAAACAGATTTACGCACATGTCTAACTCCCTGGATTTTCCAAAATGAATATGTTGTTCGTTGAGTTTGTAATTCAGGAAAACTGGCCAAAATATTTGTTCAATGTGGACATTTTTCCCCAAACTTATCCTTTCAGTAAATATCTGTTAGATGCAAAATTCATCATGCATTTTAAAGCTTAGAAATGTAACATATAAACACATACATACACTGATCATTGTATTAACTGTTTTTTTTTACAGCTTTACCAGTATAGAGGAGATAAGTGTAATGTAGGTCAGCACATTTCATACTGTACCTGACCCTATTTTTCAAATCTGAGAAATATAGAAAATTAGACCGTTTTAAAAATTACACATGTGACTTCAAACATCTGAACTGTAAGTTTGAACTAAGTTTAATTGATCTCAATGTTGATCTAGTGTGATAAGTCTTGTTTTAATGTTGGTTTACTTTGATATGATCTGCCAACAGCTTGAACCCATTTGTACCTTTATCAAAAATAGACACTTACTCACCAAAGCAGACTGTTTATTTGGCCCTTGTTCTTTTCCATCCTTTCACCTCGCAGTGATCGAACCCATTTATCACACTCGAGAAGTGCAACACAAACACTTCACACCAAAGAAACTCTTCAGAGCTTGGCTTTATACCTGCCAACAAGTATTTATTGTACGAGTTACTAATTAAACTGATTGTGTGGCAAGATAAGACTGAAAGGTGATATATTTACACGGTTTAAAGGAAATACACAGAGATTGTTGTTTATAACTGGGGCTGAAAAGGAAGAATTTCAAGTGGAAATTTTCAAGAAATGAACTCTTTCCCTTTTTCTGTTCAGGAAATGTTTTCGCAGTTGGCTTGTAGTTTTTGGTAACACTTCATATGAACAACCCACCATATTTACTGCTCATTAGACTTTATAAACATTGTTATAAGCCATTACTATCACTCAACAAGGTTGTCATGAAGCCTTGGAGATGCATTTATAAGTCTTTAAAATTGTGCTTAAGGTGAATTTTAAGAGATGAATTCCTATAAAGTGTTTTTCTTGTGTTGTAAATTAAGTTGTAACAAAAGATCCTCAGTGTAAGGAAGTTCTTTAGTTACAGTGACAATAAAACTGTGATTTGGTGTATTTTTTTATTTAAAAATATCATAAAAATCTTGAATCATTTTGACCCAAAAAGTTAGTTTTACAGCCACGTTTGATTGATAACAGAAGCTAGCCAATTTGACATAACAGACGAGGTTGTCATGGTTTATTAACACAACACAGAAAGAAGGACAGAAAGAAAACATTTGGCACACAGAAGGCCAAAAAAGCAGGGGAAAACTTACTACTAAAGAGAGTCCATACAAAAAAAAGACAGGAAATCCAAAGCATACCTACTTAGTCAGGCTGAAGGGAAAACCACCGAGAACCTGCAGAGAAAAAGGAGAGCTGAGGCAACAAACTGACACAAAAGGAAGGTACACAGTCACTAAATACACCAGGAGTAATTAAACTCAGGTGTGACAAACAAGACACAGAGAGTTAAAGAATTAGAGGGAATAATGCAAGGCAGGAATTGAAACAGGACATGACACTGGAGGAGCGAGAACTTCCAAAATAAGACAGGAAATGACTGCGAAATACTGCTGAAGGGAGGAAAACTGTATTTGTAAGTAAAGAATTCTTTCACATCTTTCTTCCTGAGACAAAATCTGTTATAGGTGTAGCAATGGCCCCATTAGCATTAGCCACACAAGTTATTAGCCTCAGGGTTATCAATATGTACCAAAGTGCTGAGGGTGGGGTAGTGGAGTATTTCCCAAGTCCAGGGTTCAATATTATGGTCTTTGTCATTTGTTTTTAAGTGGGATGTAGTTGTGGGAAACATGTTAGTTTAGATTATTGTTGCATGATAGGATGTGATTAGAGATGCACAGATCCATTTTTCCCGATCCAATTCGATACCAATACCTGAGCATATCGGCCGATATCCAATACCGATCCAATACTACTGTATACTGAACTGTATACCTCCCCCTGTGAGTAGAGGCATCAGGCTTGACATTAGCCTTGTTTTAAAGTAACAAATTAACACAGATGTAAATTTACTCAATATTATTTATTAACAAATAACAAATTGCACATTAGCAAAAAAAGTAAGACTTACATTTATTAAAAGAAAAATTGATTAAAAGAAAAAAAGACTGGATCGGAACGCTGGATCGGTGTCATTCATCTGATATCCGATCCAGTTATTTTGTCAATATCGGAGCCGATTTCCAAATATCGATCGATACATCCCTAGATGTAATCTTCCTTTAAGACTTTATTTACAAACATAAAGCCTCCCTGTATTTTAAGAGCTTTCCTCTACATCAGAACCACACTGTTACAAACCTTCCTCTGTGTATATGTATGTATGTGTGTGCAGAAAGCAGCATCAGAGCACTGTTTGGTAAAGGCTCTTTTTCTCACTTCATCTAAAACCGCCTCTACTCTCTCCTCTTCAGCCTCTCCATCTGAAATACAGGCCAGCCCAAACACAAATGCCACCCTCCCCTGCAACGTGACGTTCCCCCTTTCTGCGGACAAAATAGACAAGTCTCTCATCAAAGCCGGCTGGACCAGAAACAGCTCTGAAATCGCTTCATTCACTAAATCAGAGGGGCGTATAAAGGAAGGCTTCAGCTGGGAAACTGCTGATTTCATCAATGGGGACTTTTCACTGACTATCCTCAGGGCCAGTCTTGACCTGCAGGGGGTGTATGAATGCACCGTCAGCTACGACTCCACAATGGAACACTCTAGTAACACTACATTTAACATCCTAGGTATGTCCTCCGTCAGAGTTGATGTTCACATTCAAGCTGGACTCTTTTATCTTACCCTCTGTCTCCCTTTTAGCCTCTCCCACTCTGTCTATCCCTCAGCAGTGGGTGGTGCTACACAAAGAGAGCCATCTAAAGTGCCATGCAGATGGTTTCTACCCTCCTCCTGTGTCTTTCTCCTGGATCAGAGACGGCCAAGTGATACAACCTCCCTATGAAGTTGAAGGGGAGCAGACCCCACATGGGTACTACATGGCGGTGGGCAATCTGACCTTCTATCCTTCCCGTGAGGATCAAAACGTGACCTTTGGGTGCGTGGTGTCACACAGCGGCAGCGATCAGGAGCTGGATTTTCAGCTTAATATTACATGTGAGTGACATAAGGCATCTGACATCATGATCATGACCACAATGAGTCATCACATTTCTCTTTCTGGTAAGGACTGGAATAGCTTGTTCCATCGATCATTTCATCTCACAGCTGCCAAGAATGCGTCTTGTTTTAATCTTAATAAGCTTGTAAGCGCAACCGAAGATTCAATGATATGTTTCTCATCATTTCCCAGACCAACCTTCTGTCAGGCTTCACGTGGTGCCGTCCAAATCTGATAACAGTCCCCTCACGCTTTACTGTGACGTGGAGAGTTTCTACCCCGAGGACGTGTCTGTGTCATGGTTTCAAAATGGTACAGTCCTCCCAGAACTCCCCAACACTGACCAGAACCCTGATGGGACCTTCAGGACCAGGCGTTTTTATACCTTGAGTGCAGATCAGAGGGACCTGGGTGGGGAGGTGGCGTGTGCAGTAAACCAGCCTGGAGTAGCTCAGCCTGTTAGTGGCTCTGCATTTCTAGAGAAGCTTGATCCCAGAGGTGAGGTTTTTAGTTATATTCAGAGATGTTATATTTTCATAGTAGAGAACACAAGATCACACCCATATCTTACATTCATTCTCCATTTCTCCAAGGTTTTTGTCTTGTTACAATACTTTTAGTTTGTGCCTTTGTTTCCTTTTAGATGAGGCACCAGTTTTGACCAAAGCCGCCAAAGCATCAGTGGCGATGATGTGCATTTCTATTGTGCTGGTGTTCCTGCTTTGCTTTGGGTTTTCTTGGAGGAGAAGGGATGGTGAGTCAGAAAAGCCACTGCAATAACAGCATTGGTGTATAACTGGGAGAACAACATTTTCTTTAGCTTTTTATCATTGGTGTTTACATGTCTGTTTAAGGCCAAACACCAGGGCTTGAAGCTGCAATAACTCTGCCCCTGATTAGAGTTTCTTTGCCACTAACTTAAAGCTCCTGTGAGGAATGGCTTAAATTGATATTGATGCTTTCTTATGACACATAAAAGCAAAACGAGACCGTTAGTAATGAGACTGATGTCTCTTTAATTGAGGGTCGGGAGATCGACAGGCAGATCGGAGCGGCTAACCGATCTGTCGTGGTGAAGAAAGAGCTGAGCCGTAAGGCGAGACTCTCGATTTACCGGTCGATCTACATGCCGATCCTCGACTATGGTCATGAACTTTGGGTAATGGCTGAAAGAACAAGATTGTGGATACAAGCAGCCGAAATGAGTTTCCTTAGCAGGATGGACTGGCTCAGCCTTAGAGATAGGGTAAGGAGCTCGGACACTCGGGAGGCGCTCAGAGTAGAACCGCTGCTCCTCCACGTCGAGAGGAGTCAGCTGAGGTGGCTCAGGTATCTGGTTAGGACGCCTTCTAGACGCCTCCCATTAGAAATGTTCCAAACATGTCTCACCTGGGGGAGACCTCATGGCCCGCCCAGGACCAAGTGGAGGGATTATGTCTCTCGCCTGGCCTGGGAGCGCCTGGGAATCCCCCCCTGGAGGAGCTGGTGGAAGTGGCTGGGGTGAGGGCCGTCTGGGCTTCCCTCCTGAAGCTGCTGCCCCCGTGATCCGGACCTGGATAAGCGGAAGAAAATGACAACATTTCTTAAATTGTAATTTTTGATGTCTCACACTAGTTTAAGAGGGTATGTCTGCCAGGCAGCTACAGAAAAGACCTGTTTTTACAGTTTCCATGTTGTCAGCAGGATGAGATTTTTTCATTGTCAGAGGTTAGTACTTGAGCCTGTAGGAGACAATTTGAGAAAAGATTACTTTGTCCACAGGAGGCGTGAAAATTGAGATAAACTTAAAGTTCCTCACAGGGGCTTTAATCTACTCTTTGACAATACTATAAACTATTATGCTAATTGTGGAAAAAACACTTAATTAAACAAAATTAATTGACTCTAAAGGGAAAGGTGTGTTACTATCTCAAAACAATGCAAACTGCAAACCCTGTAATCCTTTTCTTACACCTCTACCCCCCTTTTTTCCTCTCACTCACACCTTTATCTTCACAGAGAAACAGAAATCTCTAAATGTGTCTGGGATTATCCTCCCTCCACGCGTGACAGTCGGTCAAAAGGGCAGAGTGACAGTGAGCATTGAGGGCAGACGGGTGGACCGAGTCCAGACTGTGTGGTTCCTGAATGACACCCCTATCTCAGACACTTCAGTCGCAGGTAAGACCACTAAAACACATCCACATAAATGATGTTTACTCAGCGGTAATTTTCACACCCTTTAATCTGGATGAAATGTGCCTCACAGTTAATGAAAAATATCTTTTAAAAATCATTGGATTGTTGGGTTTAGCTGGAAAAAAACATAAAGATACAAAATATTCAAGATGACTGTCAACCTGTAAATCAGTACCACTGAAATATTAGCTCAAAGCAGCTACATTAAATTCACTAGTGTATAATTATACAGTATATAATTACACTATGGTTATAAGTGGCACCTCTGCACCACACTACTAGTATGAAATGTCAGACTCATACATCAGTCTGTAGAGGAGGTAATTATTATCACTGCGTGTGCTGTCAGTCAAACTCAGACAAGAATTCTTTGATGTATCTGATGATCAATTTACAAACCACAAAGTATGCAAACAATGGAAAGAATAGATGACACCATAGACCACCACAGGTGTAATGAGTGAAAAAGTGAGCTCTGGAGGCGTTTTTGGTCACCTTTTGGGGGGTGGCAAGGTTGGCACTTTCCCTCTGTTTCCACACCTCTTGGTAAGTAAAGTTTTGTGAATGTGTTTAAATTGTTATCATAATACTTTATATAGGTATTATGACATATCCATTTTATTTGTATTTCAACTGTTTATGTCTCTCTTTTACCCTTAATTCTGCTAACAATTTACAACCTCGTGCACATAGACGCCTCTAAATCTAACTTTAACTGCCTCTATAACCCCCTAACCACCATCCACCTGCCCTATGGTCTAACTCTCACCTCCCCAGTGTCGGAGAAAGGCCGCCTGCTGCCCTCCAGAGACGAGATGGGTTACTACAAGCTTCACACTCAAGGGCCTCTACACTCATCCGGAAGTGGCATTCAACAGCTGATCTCCTCGCTCACCTTCATTCCCCAGATTTCCATCCACAAGGGGACGGTGTTCAAGTGTCAAGTTTCCTATGTGGGCAAAGATAAGATTGTGGCAGAGAGGGTGTCAGAGAAGTTTACAATTCTGTGTAAGATTTTTTCATTTATAATTTTTATGGTGTTTTAAAATTCTCCTTACGTTTGAATAACTCATGTGATTAAAATGTTGTCTTGTAGCTGCTCCATCAGTATCAGAAATCCAGCTAGCCGAGACACAAAATGACCCAGGTGAGTTTTGTTCTTATTTTCTTGTTGATACGATGTAAAAACCAAAGTGTTAAAGACTATATCTCTACAATTTCTGTCTTCTAGATGTTATCAGCATGACGGTACGGGCGTCACATTTCCATCCAGATGTCATCACCTTCCGCTGGTTCTGTGAGGGGAGCGAGCTGAGTCCTGTTGCCTCTCAGGCCTCGTCCTCTCCTCGACCAAACTCTGAAGGCTTTTTTTCAGCCTCCAGCCAGTGTAAACTGCCCAAGAGTGAACTGGAAAGAGGGAGCACCAAAGTGTGGGTCAGTGTCCATCATGTTGCTCTAAAGCAGCCCGTCACCCGTGAGACACGAGGTAAAAGGAGACAAAAACAGGAGAAATTTAAGATTATAGTCTTAAATATGCAGAAAAATCACAGATTAATGGTCCCTTTTTTACCCACATAGGCTTCATCAAGAGTCCGAGCGTGTCCGACATCATCCGCTCTGTTTCCACACACGAACAGCCTTTGACGCTCGGCTGTGAAATCACAGACTTCTACCCTCCTAACATCTCAGTCACCTGGCTGAAGCTCAGAGAGGGAGAGCGGGATGACAGAGAGGATGAGGTGATAGAGGGAGGAGAGATGTGGGGCCCTCTGCACACTCAGCCTAGACTCTACAAGGCCACGGCTACGCTAAAGAGGAGGGTAACAAATGAAGAGAAGGAGAGAGGAGGGGGCATTATTTGTAGAGTGGAGCACTGTTCCCTTAATGAGCCGATTGAGAGACACTGGAGAAATGTTGACATCGGTAGGGATCATTACAGGCACTAAAAACATACTATTTTACCTGCTTTTAAACATTTTTAATCCACTTACACCTTATTTGTGTTCCCCTAGTTGCTCCCTCCATCCCCCCATCGATCTCTGTGTGTTGGAGCGGTGAAGGGGTCGGTGTGTTCTCCCTGCTGTTGAAGGGCGGTCACCCCAAGGCCAAACTAGCCTGGGCAGCAGGAGGAGCCACTCTTTCGCCACTAGTGTCCAACGAGACAGAGGAGATAGGAGATGATGGACAGAGGGAGCTGAAGAGTTTGTGTGCTCTGGAGAGGTCCACAAGCCTTCCAAGTCCCATCAGCAAACAGCAGGAGAGGCGAAAGAATGGACACGCAATAAGTACCCGGCCTTTTTCTTTCATTATAAAACCTGATTTTTGCCAAAATGAAGACTTTAGATCCTTTTTTTAAACCCTGTGTGTAGAATATGAAGACAAGTTGTCGCCTTGAAGCTCCAGTTTAGTTTTTTTAGGTACAGCTACAGAAATGAAGCATTTATTTTCCTTGCTGAGTGTTGTTGTCTCATTTTATTTGTTTTTTTTTTCTTTTATAGAAACAAGAGCAGCAGTCACAGACCCCCACACTGAAGGGATCGAATACATCGATGAAAAAGACGAAGGAGAGAACAACAACACCGACAGAGAGGAGGAAACTAAGTCAGACCTGGATGAGGACAGCGACAAAGAACTAGAAGAAGAACCAGGAGCTCTGTACATCAACAAAGTCAACTTGAAGAAGGGACCCCGAGAAAGTGAAAAAGCAAACTTGAGAGTGTGTGTGGAAATCACTCACCCTGCACTAAAACTTCCCGCCTATCGAACCTGGACTGGTAAGATATGACAAACAACTCACTCATGTTGTTGTAGAGCGTTTGTGGTGAGTAAAGACAGTACTGAAACTTTACGAGAAAATTCTCATAAAGTATGTTGAGTGAAAGATTGGAAATAGGGCTCCAGACAGTTTGTTGAAAAATAACAACAATGACAAAATAAACTAGAAAACTATAAAATGCGATGCAATAAAGAAATGTTTAATTGTTTCAACAGAATCTAGATTTTAACTGAGAGAAACATTAATACTAATAAAGATGACATCTCTGTGCAGTATTCACAGAAAAATTGACTACCTAGCTCACCCCCAAGCTCTGTACCTTGTTGATGCCAAATCTGTTAGCCTATAATTTTTGTTAAAACACAAAAACAAACAACTTATCAACACCAGGTTTAAATTCCCATTACAAGGAGCTTGTAAGCTTATTTCACAAAAGTCAACCATGAATGCAGAGCTTTTTAACTGCGGTTAAAGCCTCTATGTTCTGCAGTTTGTTCTGAGTACGTTTTCACCTGCTGTTCAGTGTTGCACAGGCCGGATGCAGCATCAACTCTTGGGTGTAATGCGCCCCCTTCTGGGGATTGAATGCAAAGTCTACACTCCTAATAGTAAGCCTGTGTGTCATACAGGCTCCATCTTATTATCTGTCTCTTGTCTTCTCTTTCAGAGCCAAACGATGAAAACTCCTCCTCTGCATGAAAGCCTTGATGTATGCCAGAGCTCCTCCATGTTTTGCGTACTCCATTTATTACATCTGAATACACTGTATGTTTCTTTATTAGATATTAAGTTGTAGTCATGTTTAACATATTCAACTACCTTTAATATGATCAAGAACTTTGGTTTTGCTATACCAACATTTTTTATCTTTATTTATTACCTTTTTTTGATCTGCCATCCATTCATTGTTTCAGTGCTCCATGATTTTTACAAATATCCATATTTTTGTATTAAGAATTTACAAGATGATCCAACTTTGGATTTTTTTCTAAATCTGCATTAAAAAAATAAAATCTAAATCATTTGAGGAGGTGTTCTTTTGGTTACTGAATTTTTACAAAGAACATAAGTCAGTGGAAAAGTTCTCCTCTGCTCAGTGTTTTGGTGTCTGTTGTTGGTCAACCACAGGCACACAAGTTCTCATTTCAAAATTAACTTCTGCATTTTTGGTTTAGCTTTGCTCACTGACCACAGAGATGTCACTTCATGGTGCTGAGAGGAGGTGCTGCGTGGTTTGCTGGGTAATTTAAATGTTTAGTTTAGCACTTCTTCCTCTCAGTTCACACAGCAAAGATTTCTACCATGTATGTAACTATACATTTGGTGTTTACTTGCAGTTTTTACATTTAGATTAATCTATATCATGTTCAGCACCACAGTAACTGTTACACTGCTTAATTTCATATTGCATTAATCTTATTTTTACAATGGTATGCCCAGCTTCCCAGTAGGGGAGAGTGGGGTAAGTTGAGCTAAAGGGTAAGTTGAGTCACCCCCTGTTGCTTGGAAATGGTCAAAGAAATTGATCATGTGACCAAATATTTAGGAGATGGGCATCAATTCATGGAGTCTGTGAAGGTTAGAAGCACATGGGTGAATTTCAAGAGTGAAAATTGTTTTTGTTTTGGAAATAAATGTGTTACCCTTTACCAATAAGCTTCTAACCTTTACAGACTTCATGAATTGATGCCCATTTTATATACATACGATGTCACTATTTGTGTTGTTTATAGTGTAAATACTTGTATATTATCTCTATATTCTTACTTATTTTACATATTTTTTCTATTTATCTATATATTTTTACTTATTTTATCTTTAATTTTATCCATTATTTATCTCCTCTTTTACTGTATTTGCACTGGAGAACTGTGACAAAGCAATTTCCCCCTGGAGATTATTAAAGTATTTCTGATTCTGATTCTAAGAAGGTGAGGGAGGGCTGGAGAGTGGGGGGTAGTAGGGATACGGCTCAACTTACCCTGCTCCTATGGTCAACTTACCCCATACTCAGGGTAAGTTGACCATCAGAGACCACTTTTTTTGGCATACTTTATTATCAAGAAAGTTATTTTTACACTCATTCTGTCATTCTGTTGATTTGCAGGGGTGCACAACATGTTGAAATATATGCAGATACACAAGTTAGAGACAAAACTATGATTGTCTTGATGTAGTGATCTGAAATATGAAAAAATGGTTCATCTTACCCCACTCTCCCCTTTATAGTTTTTACACAAACCTGTAAAGGGGAGATGACCCATAAATGTGGAAATGCCAATCCCCTATGGACTAAATAAATCTACAAATACCAGCCTTTCTCAACACAGTCTAAACATCCAATTTTAGCAACGCAGTGCCTCTGACAGGTCAAAAGCCCAAATACCGTGAGACTTGAGGGTGGTAGGCCTACTGGGCGTGGCAAACTAGATATCAGTGTGGCCTCAGCATATACCTGTGAACAACCGTGTTTTTGATGGTCTCGTTTTCTTCTGACTCACCTGGAGCCATCAATTGGGCTTTAAATGAACAGGCTAATCCTCCACATACAATTTCGAGTCTATCTTACTCTGCGAAAAACGCCACAAGGACCTTTAAGTCAGCCGTGGGTTTATTCTAAAATCGACTTTATTTTCACACCCCTTCTCCGAAACTTTCACACACTTTTGTGGCCGGACTTGTTGTCATGAACTCTGTGCACGTACATCCGTACTCATGTGCAATACATGAGTTAGCCCCCCTGCAGCAGCACTCAGCTGTGTGAATCAGCTTCCTCTTTATTTAATCATAGTAAACCGGACATATGAGTTTGAGGAACTCTACCCTGACTGACTGACTGACTGACAGCTAACGGAGGTGTCCAGACCCGAACCTGGTGCGTCAGGTTGGAGTTTGCTGTCGAGTTTCTGCTTGAATATCGGAATAAAACCAAAAGGCTGGTTTGGACCGTTTGGTTAAATCCTGAGGAGATCATCACAACATAAGTGGACCAGGAGGAAGATTTGAAGATGGACTCCGACAGTCCCATTGTCAGCAGGGTGGAGAGGACTTTCTGGACAGTTTGGGTGAGCATCATCCAAAACTCAGGAAGGCCTGTGTGATGAGGTTGATTGTAATGTCTTTCATCCTCTCTGCTTCTACATCTCTCTCACACATATGACCCCTTTCCCCCCCATTGTTTGTGTTCCTGGCTTACACTCACTGTGCACTTTAAAGTCTGTCTAAAGTCTGACTATAGTGCTGTGAGAACAATAATAATAAACCTAAACATCAATTGTAATGTTAAAAATTTCCAAAAAGTTTAGGGAAATTTGAAGTGGGCTATTTTTGTGATAGGGGAAAGTGGGGTAAATTGAGCCACCCCCTGTTGCTTGGAAATGGTAAAAGAAATTGATCATGTGACCAAATATTTAGGAGATGGGCATCAATTAATGGAGTCTGTGAAGGTTTGAAGCACATGGGTGAAGGGGTTAGACATTTAAATTTGTTTTATACATCAATTGTTGTATCTATGAGCCACAACATGAGGTCAAAATCCTTGCATAAAAGGCCACCATTTTAACTTAGAGGACTAATAAAGTCATCATAGTAGTTCTGGGGTAAGTTGACCATAGGAGACCACTTTTTTTGGCATGCTATATTATCAAGACAGTTATGTTTACACTCATTCTGTTGGTTTGCAGGGATGCGCAACATCTTGAAATATATGCAGATACACTAGTTAGAGACAAAACTATGATTGCATTGATGTAGTGATCTGAAATATGAAAAATGGCTAATCTTACCCAACTCTCTCCTATGGTATTTTATCAGACAGGCTATTAAGTCCTTTAGTATTTTGTTAAAAACACTTGTGGAGTTTCACTATTTTAATATACTGGTTTGTAAACTTTCCTGTGAACGTATAGCACATTTTCCATGTTAATCTGCTGCGCACTGACCTAGTGGAAACTTTTAGATGCAAAAAATTCGACAGATCTTACACATCATTATTACACAACACTGAAAATATGGAGGCTGTGCTCATTCATGTTATCACACTGATAGGAGTTTTATTTGTGTATCTATGCAGTTTTTCACACCAACATGCAACCGCAACTGGTGCACATAGCATTTTAATTCAAGTTGCAGCAGGTAGCATTTTTTTTAAAGAGAGAAAACACTCTGATAAGACTAGTTAACAAGACTATAGCCCAAAGGAACTTCTATTGCTCTTTTTCTTTATTTAGATGTTATGTCACCAAGTTTGAAATCAGGAAACCAGGTAGACAGCGCTCATCTGCCCTCCTACAAACAGCAAATGTGTGGAGCTGGAGAAAAACAAAATGAAATGAGTGAAACACATTTTCATTGGGTTTCAAATATAACTGCAAGCAAATGCTGCTCTTCCGTGGCTTTAATTAGTATGGTCAAGAGGAAACCACTTTTGTGTTCACAGAGATGACAGACCTCAGAGAGCAAAGTAACCAGATAGTGCAGGTTTAGGTTGAAGTAGAACTGATGTTACTGGGTCTGCTGTGAACAAGGCCAGAGACCATTGTTGGAAACTGGGATCAGGACCATAATAAGAATAAGAAGAACTTTATTGATCCCCAAAGGGAAATTCAATTGTCTTTCGTCTCATTTGTCATTTTTCTCAACATCATCTACTATTTACACAAGAGCTATAAAACCTGATGGCTGTTGGTACAAAAGTTCTTCTGAATCTTTCTGTCCTGCAGCGAAGAGAGAGGAGCCGTCCACCACCATTGGCCCTTTGGTCCATTAAGGTGTTATGAAGTGGGTGATCCATGTTCTTTAGAACAGACTCCACCTTACTCAGTGTAGATCTCTCCACCACATCCTCCACTGAGTCCAGCTTGTGTCCAACCAAAGAGCCAGCCTTTTTCACCTGTTTGTTCAGATGTCTTGCATCTTTATGTTTGATGCTTCCTCCCCAGCAGACTGCAGTGTAAAACAGAACACTTGTAAGACAAATAAACCTCAAATCATTGATGGGAATTGCATCATGATACGTGTGAGCATTAGTTTGTTGTAACTGGATAATCATTGCTGCAAAAGCTGGAAGGACGTAATGGTATCGACATCTGTTTGATGTTGAAAAATACCACTTCCCCAGAAACAAATCACCACTTGAGACAAAAAATTTGAGAATAGATGTGAACAGGGGTTTCCACATATTTTTGACCATATAGTTTAAATAGCAGCCTGTGGTATTTTTCTGTACAAAGACAAGATACGTACAAGGTATTTATAATAAGGAGAGAGAGTGACACATCGATCAACACAGATCTGTAAAATCAGCATAAGACACCAAAGAACTGTAAGTTAGTTATTAAGTCTCACCTCTCTTTCTCCATCTCATTCTCAGAACTACATCACCGGAGCTGTGAATAGATTTCTTAGGCCAGACCCAGCACAAACCGTGAGCAACGACCCTGACTCCATCCAGGAATCTGCAGTTGACCATGAGCCTGCAAAGTATAGCCATGCAGAGGATGAAGCAAGTGACAGAGGAGCTGAAGGAGAACAGACTTTTATGCCACCCTCTCTCCACGGCTTATCTCGGTCATCTGTTGCTTGGGATGTTTGCACCACAGAAATAGATCTGGGGCCTGATGAAGAAAACTCATCAGAAGTAAAAGAATCTGAAAGAGATGAAGACATAAGCGTGGAAGATTCAGCCTTAGCAGGTCATGAGCCAGGGTTGCTTGTTGCAGAAGATGAAAACGCAAAGGAAGACGAAGAAGTGAATCAGGAATTGCGCACAAACAGACACACTGAGATGCTCAAAACTGATGAGAATGGTGAAAACGTGATCACCGGGCCTGTTACTGAAGACATGGGTGGTACTGAGGAGGAAACCCTGATGAAAATCCAGGATGAGGAAGAAGTACATGAAATTGAGAGGGACAACACTGAGATCAAGTTGCACACAGTTTCAGATCTGTGCCCTAAAGAGGAAGAGACAAATACCCAGAGGAACAAGGCCGATTCATCAGAAGTACAAAACATTAGTCATGTAATATTTCTGTCCTCTGATGACGAAAACAAGCCAGATGAGGGAACAGTAAAAAATGACTGTGAAGAGCTTTCGAACGAGAGGTTACAAATGGTTTCAAACACAAGTATCCCTGTGTATGAAGAGCTGGTAGTGACAGAACTGGAGCAGGTGACAGCTCTTAGAAATGAGAACGATAAATCTGATGATGAGGAAGAAAAGAAAGATGGGAGTGAAGGAGAAGAGGGAGAACAGGAGGTTGAAATTAAGGAAGAAAAAGTAAACAAGATTGAAGAAAAACGGACATTAGATGACGTACCAGAGCAAAAGGATGAGACTGAAACAGTTAGAGAAGAAGCTAAAGAAGAAGAAGAAGAAGAAAACTCTGATGATGACGAAAGAACGGGATGCAGCAATGAAGTGTTGCTAACTGTTGAAACTGAGCTGCTCACAGAGGGAAGGCAAAAGGATGTGGTCGAGGATACCAGTGTGAAAATTAAAGTAACCGGGACAGATGATGTGGAAATAGAAGGTTATGATGCAGCAATCAGTGACGAGTCTGGTGTACAGTTGTCCAACATTCCAGCAGAGGAGAGATGTCTTGATAAAGATCAGGTCCAAGAAGGTAACAAAGAAACTTACATGGAACATGCCTCCTCATTTACAGTAACACCCGAAGAAGACGCTGGACAGGAAGAAAGCCTGGAGTTTAAAAATATTCCAGAGAGTGTATTTAAAGGCCGGTCTGAAGTGCCGTGGGAGCCCATACCTCCAACATGTGAGGAAACACAAGAGGGAGTTCCTGACAACAACAATGAACCAGAGCCAGATGAGAATACAACACAATGGTTCCTGGAAGTTATGGACTCAGAGGAAGTCCAGACCACCCAATTTCCAGAAGAGGTGGAGACCGAAGAGACCGAGAGCCTTCAAAACAGTGTCCGAAACACTGGAGCTGACTTAGTCGAAGTGAGAGAGCAGAAGGAACAAGAGAGTAGCGGAGATAGTGAGAGTACCTTTGATTTGTTCAGTGGAGACTTTTATCAAGGAACAAGAACACCCCTTTCTGAACCAATCGCAGAAGAAGCAGGACCTTTTTCTGTGGAAGAGGACAAAAAATTATCTGTAGCCCTAATGAAGACAGGAATCCATCACTCAGAAAAGGAGCCAGAGTCAGACTTCAGCTTAATAAGTGAGACAGATCTGCAAGATGAGACGGAGGAACTTTTGGATAAAACAGATGACGGATTATTTGATCTCAAAGAAGCTGATGCTGCTCAGGATTGCTTTATGATGACTGAGACTGCGAAGATAGACGAAACTGTAAAACTCCTGGAAGCTGGCGAGCAGATGACAGAGACATGCCTTCAGGAACCAGTAGATACAGTTATCTCTGAGCAAAACAAGACTTCTACTCTAATAGGGGACTTTACCGATACAGGATTTCTTACACAGCAAGATGCAAGGAAAGATTCGGAAAAGGCAAGTTATGGCGATGTGCAGGAAGCAGCTGAAAGAGAAGTGGAAGTTTCAGATCTGGAGGTCGCTGGAGAGGCAGATGAAGTAATGACAGAAGAAAATGAAATGGAAAATTCTTTGATTGCAGAACGGGTGTTGTCTGGAGCTACTGAATCACCAGAGACAAAAAATGCACAGTCAGACCTTGAATCAGCTCATGATACAGAGACAACCCAGTCCAAACCAAAGGCTGTGACCATGACATCAACAGAAGAGATACTGAGGCATGTGACAGAGTCAGAGGAGAGCTATGATGAAGAAAGACTTTGCTCAGTGAACAGAGGTGAAGATGTAATTGATGAGGAAATCCTTGACATGTGGATGGAAACATTGTCAGAGGACAACGAAAAACAACAAGAAGGGCCTGAAGTAGATTCATCTCGTGAGAAACAAACTGTGGAGCAGCTCGTCGAGTCAAAATCAGGGGAGTCTGAATTTGTGAGTGACACAGAGATGTCCTTATCGACTACAGAATCTGGATTCTCCGACCAGTCTCTCAGTGAATGGGGCACACAAAGCAGTGACCCTCAGCTACAAAGATCAACTGGCACTGGGCCAATCAAAAGCATATTTGACACACTGGTGGATGTGTCAGAATTAGTAAATATCTCAGCTTTCACACCAGAACAACACAACTCTGAATCTCCGGATACATCGACAAGGGGAACATATGAGATAGACCAGTCCTCTCTGAAAGACAAGGAATCAGAGACAGGATTTCGCCCTGATTCAGCAGAAGTTGGGTATCTTCAAGAATCTGAGGAGCCACAAGAACACACAGACGAGAAAAGTGGATCATGGGAAGAGATAAATGATGAGGAAACAGGTCTATTAGGTCAAACTGTGTTGAAAAACACTGAAGAAGCAGATATCAATCCACTGACAGAAGTGGACACTTTGTTTGAAGTTGAGGAGACAAAAATTGAGGCAGAGGCTCTTGATAAAAATTTGCCAGACCCACATGATGAAAACAAACATGCTGATTCAGTCCAAACAGTAAGTTCCTTAGAGGCTTGGTCAGAGGAGGGGATTTTGTTCGATGAATCCGGCTCAGAAGAAGAAGAAGCATCGAGAGGACCTGAAAGAAGCTCATTGAATTTGCCATCACCAGACGAACTACAGACCGAGTGTGCCGAAGACATTCATGACTCAGTTTCTGATCCAAATGAGGATGAAGAACCGGAGGACCAGCTAACAACAACAACCGAGTATCAGACTGAGGTATTGTTACACAAAGCATATTTAACCATAAAGTGATATCTCAGATCAAATCAGATAGTTTGATAACCTATAGAAAGGTTTGAACTTAGAATTTTTGTCCTTCTTAGGTGGATGTCTCTGGGCTGGACTTTACCGCCCAAAGGTCAAGAATTGCCGTTAAAAACCCTCTTGTCAGACCACCCAAAGATCCACGTTCCCTGATACACCTGCCCTCTCTGGATCCAACACCTGCTCCCCGTCAGCCGGCTAAAGTCCCTGCAGTTATGCCTTTGGGAGGCATGGGCATTGGAATCAAACTGCCTGGTAGGTCTTTAGCACATTAGAAGAAGCTTTTCAGAACGTTTTTAATCATCTGCAAATAACACTACACTGTTTTTCATGTAGGGCTTGGAGCTGGTTTTCCTGTTCTAAAAAAGACACGAAGACCGAAGGAAGATGACTCCAGCCCAGAAAATAACCCGCAGGTGCTTTAAATGATCATGCACTTCCATCATTTCTTTTTAAAGCACTTACATGACTGAAGTTTCACAATGTTAACAGGAGCCTGAGAGAAAACCAGAGGAGAAGAGTGACGCTCCCAAACAAGATGAGATACAACACAAGCCTAAATGGATGCCACCGAGACATCCAGGGTAAAGTATCCAAGTTTTGTTTCGCACAGAAGATGCATCTTGCACTCAGAAATGTTCTAATCTTTGGTTTCTTTTATGTCTCAAAGATTTGGAAACCCACTGATGTCTGAGCTGAAGACCAAGCTAAAAAAACCAACTCAAGACTGAGAAGAAAATTATTTTTAATGTCTCTTGTAAATATTTGAGTGTATTATGTAAATGTCCTTGTTTTTTTACACTTCAGATTAAATACAGTGATAAAATATTCTTAATTTGATTAATGTTATGTATGTATATAATTGTAATAAAGCTTGTCTGCAAAAACAAATGTTTTTACCTGGCACTGGTAGATTTTTTTTTTACATGAACCAAAAGAGAAAAAATGGCACATATCTGGCAAGTACCTTACATGTCTGCAGCAGACACACACTTAAAGAAGCTGGATGTATAGCAGGCCCAGGCCCTTCCAATTTGCAGTGGAGCTTTAAAAACATCCCCAGTCTCTGCGATGCAAGTAGAAACTAGAGAAATGCCTCTATGTATCACAAGAATTAAACTAATGTTGGCGTATTGGGTAAATTTGCAAGGCCAGAGCAGGCTGCACCTGACAAAAACAGTGCTGCAAGAATGCTGGGAGCATAACAGAACAAACTTTACAAGCTGTGGATGGGTGGGAAATACTATGACACAGATAGCAGGGTTATCCCAACTGCTTGTTGGCCGAGGGGTACCATCCTCGGCAGTACCCCCCAGGAAATTCCAAGTGCCGTCAGTAGACACCAGTTTGCAACAAAAACTAAGAAACACATCCAAATTAATACTACAGTGGATAATAGTACAGGAACACTTGGAACAGCATCAGCAAAAGGTAGTTTTTTACGCAGATGAATCTAAAGAAGCTGAACTGCTGCTACATGATGTCTTGTGTTTTGTACTACTACACATGTACACATTTTTTACATTGTCTATTCTATTTTATTTCATATTTTGTTCTTTTTTTTACTCCACTTTCTCAGGAAAACACCACTCCGAGCTGTTTTAATTTCGTTGTATGCCTCGTACAATGACAATAAAAGTCTGAATCTGAATCTGAATCTAAATAAATAAAACAACTCCAATCCAGTAGGTGGCGGTAATGCTCCCTAAGTTGTTTGCCAACCGCCAATCAAACGAAGAAGAGGAAGAAGAAGAATAAATCTTGCCCTGTGATTGGTTAGAAACATCCAATGCGTTTGTGTTCCGGTGTAGTTTGAACCAGAGCGGCGCTCCAGTTGTTGGGATTTTGTCAAGTTTTATGTGTTGTTTGACATCTAAGTCAACTTAGTGAAAGAGAATTCTGACTCGAAACGTAAGTGACAAACTATTTTCTATCTACATCTGATAAAAACCTCCTCGCTGAAGTCAGATAGGTTAGTCAACAGACAGACGTTGCTACGCGAACGTTGACTTTACTGTCTTCATGTCACCATGTTAGCGTTTGTGTGAACTAACACCTTTCCGATCATTTTAGCGATAAGAAATGACTAAACTGAAAGAGCCTGGTAAAATCCTCAGTCGGTACATTCACGTTTTGTCTCTGCTGCTACATGGTAAAACGTGGATAAATCTGGTCAGTTTAAAACTAGTCTTACATTTGTGTTAAATGTATCTGTTTATACTGATTACTTTGTTAAAGCTACGAACAAGTGCTGTTTACTTTATGACTATGTTTATGTGTGCTTTAGGCCTCTTTGGTAATACTCACACTAGTGGATGTCATGATTGTCAATTTCTGCAGATCATAAAATTTCTCAGATGTCAAATAATTTAATGAGAAGATCCAAAGTTTACTCAAAGACTCATTAACTGTGAAAAATTATCATTAGAGCTGCAAATCTGAACTTTTATGAGTCTGAAACCAGCGAAGCCATGACATTTTGAATTACACCTGAAATGATTCATTCATGATTCAAGAAAATAGGGACTGATTTTGTTTGATAGTTCTGGTGTTGATACGGTCTGGTTTTTATTATTATCATTATTATTATTATTATTATTATTATTATTATTATTATTATTATTATTTTCCTTGTACTTAGAGCTGGGCGATAATAACCACTGAGAATTCTTTAGTCTAAAAGAGGTCTGATAGACGTCTAAATGTAGCCTAGCTGACTGGTCTAAAATCAGGCTACCACAGGTATAAAAATAAAGGTTTTTTAGATGTCTAAATTTGGACCAGGTTTAGACTAGCCGGCTAACAGAGGTCTAACTGTATATTGCTTAACAGCTATCATAATTATTTTGTTTAAGTACTTGGAGATCAGTTATGCAACTCACATTTGCTTTTTCAAATAGTTATTGAATAATGGGTTAAAGTGTAACGTCTACACTCCGTCTAAAAATATACAGAATCTAGACGGTTGAAATTGGGTCTAAAAAAAAAACTAGACGTCTAATAGCCGTCTATTGCTAAGCGGGTATATATTGAAAATTAGTTTCCCCCAATATCAATACAAAACATGGTCAATTTGCTTTCTGATAGTCTGCATTCTGCCATGTTTAAATAGAGTATACAAATAGCCAATGAAAAGGGGAGTGTCCTGGTCCGCTTCAAGCTGAATCAATGATGTGCTAAATTAGAACCAATTAGCAAACAACTGCATAGTATCAGGCTGCAGCTACACACAACCATAGCACTTTAACACCAAAAACAGCCGACCATTCAGTCCACTTTCTCCAGTGCAATGCCTTACGAAAAAACGTCGAAGAGACACAAAGATCTTGCAGATGCAGGAGCTTATTGTATTGTAAAAGACATGCTACAAATAAGCACTGTTGAATTTCATTTTTTATATCGTGATAATACGTGTCAATATCGACGGATATGAAAAAAATATATTGTGATAAACTTTTTCCTATATTGCCCAACTCTACTTGTACTTTGTTTTTGGCACTAATCCATTGTTATACCCCCTGCCTGCAGGTAAGAGGCATCTGAGACGACACATGGAAGATATGTGCTCAAAGGTCTGAGTGTTGTGCCCTGTCGTTCAATTCGGGAAAGTCTTTGGGTAAAAAAACATAATAAAACTGTCATCCAGCATGGCAAGTGAGACAATAGTGGAGAACTCGTATACTCAGGACAGTCACGAAGCTGATGAAGGTTGGGAAAACATCCCACCTCAAGACTCTGCAGGAGATGAGACATCAGAGCCCAAAGTCCAAGTAGGAGATGTGCTTGAATATTCCTCCACACAGCCATGTGGAGAAAATCAGCCTTCCTCTCGTACCTGCACCTTTTCCACCCCAGCTCCAGCAAGTGCCAAAGGAGGAGTAAGGGTAAAGTCGAGGCTCTCTGGCCTCCCATCTGCTCTAACACCGATTTTAAAATACTTAAAAATTGGCAATAAATGTCAATCTCCTGAGTCTACCAGTAGCCATTCTGGACGACCACTGGGTGAAATAAATGCTCCTGTGCGCTTTCTGGAGGATGAATACTTGCCAGAAATCACTCTCCTTGACGTCACCTGTGATACGACAATGCAAGTGACCAGGAATGATTCAGCTCTGCCTGACAGCGTTCCTGCCACACCTGTAACAACCCGGTCTGTATGCTCCTCATTCCCCTCTGTGCAACCCCCCAAGTTAAATGGTTCTACCACTCCGCAACCCTTCAAGGTAAATGCTTCTAACAGTTCAAACATAACCGCTCAGACACCCACTGTCAAAACAGATGACTACCCTGAGAGTGCTTTTACTCCGTTGCGTTGGCTGGATGACAAATACTTCCCAGAAATTACTCTGCTGGATGTTACACGAGATTCAGAAGTATCACCAGGAGCGGAAAGATCCTCCATGAATGTCACGCTGGACATTCCACCATCAGATGCTCCGAATGAGGCTTCTTCAGAGCTCAGAGGAGAGTCTGTGGCAGAGCCTGGCACACTGGACATCAATAAAACTGAGGACCTGTCAAGTACTCTGGAGGGTAACGCCACACATACCATTGGCTCCTCCAGTGAACAGTCTTCTTTGAACAACACTTCTACTGTTGCCCAGCCTGCCAACCTGACTTCTTCAATCAACTCAAGCAGTACGTCTCAGACACCTCAAAATAAAACCCTGGATCTTCCTGCAATTGATGTAGATGTACCCAAAGAACAGAGTGAGATAAAAGATATGTCTGTTTCACTCTCAGGGAATACATCTGAAAACTCTACTGTGCCGAGTTCCTCAGCTCTTAAACCCGGTGGTTCATGTGACGCCTGGAATGCCACTTTTGACAGGAATTCTCTTCAGAAATCCAGCGGCAACTCGGGACTCGAGGAAGCTGCAGCTGCAACCCTTTGCCTTCAGAACAACACTTTTGATACCAGACCTACTCCTCAGCAGAACGGCACAATAACTCTGTCGGAAACAAGCTCCAGCGACTCCCACCACAACACTGGGAACCAGACACCTGCCGCTAAGATTTGTGATGCAACAAGTGGCCCTAACCACACCCTTCCTGAAGTTCTGCTTTCTGAAGTTTCCAAACATAATGAGTCAACAGCTAGTAAAGATCCAAATGCCAAGATGGCTAACACGTTTGAAGTTGATCCAGTTGTACAGAAAACCTTTGAAACTGGTCAAAGTGAGACAAAAAGTGAGACAAAGGATCCCTCTCAATTAGGTCTACCCATGGCAGACAGTCTTTCTGACATTTCTACCCATCTTAAAGGAGATTTAGAGAGCAACAAAGCAAGCTCATTTGACCTAGATGGCACCCTAGATTTAGCAGCAGACGCTTTGATAACTTCAACACCGATGCCAAACAGTAATATGTTCAACCTCAACAGTGAAAGAGAGACTAGCAAAATCGTTGGAGTAACAAAGAAGCTGTATGGGGATGCTCCCTGTAAACCTGATGATCATGTAACATCAGAGATTCCCTCAAACATAGTTTGTGACAGAAAAACATTCCTGACCAAACCTGCTGCTAAATCCCTCCTGCCCTCGTTGGATCCTGCCTCTAACCTGCTGAAGTACAAGTTCGCCTCCACACTGACGTCAGGCCTTCCCATGACAAGACAAAGAACCCAAGCTGAAGCTCTGAGAAGTACCGCTACTTCTGATGCACCTCAAGTGGTATGGTTTCAATGATAATGGTTTTTTTGTTTTTAATTCTCCAAGCAGCTTTTGCAGTGTCATCTATTCATTCTGCTTTTTTTGAGTGATTAAAGAATAGCACTGACAGTGTGTTGTTGATATCCTTTGTTTCTATTTAAGCCTGCGGAAACAACAAGCTCCTACAACTTACGGGCAACAACAACAGGTGGGGCAGCTTGTTCTGTGCCTTACAATGGAGTAATTCTTGAGTTATTTAAAATATTATATACTGAAAAAAAGAGTAAGGTTTTTTTTTAGCTCTGCAAAGTGATTGTACTTAAATAGGTTTCCATTGGCAGCATACATACAATATGATCATCATAGAAAACACATGAACCACAGTTTGAAATAGCTCACAAAACAATTGTAAAGTGAGTGTGTGTGTGTTTGTGGTGTCCTTCATACAATGTCTTCTCTCTCTGCTGATGACAGGATCCAAGCAGCCCTTCACCGGCTTGCGGAAACCACAGAAGAGTGGTCTACCGTCAGGCATTCAGAGACCTGCAATGGGTCTCAGGCCCCCGTCTGCAAGAAGCAATGCACCGACATCCTCTTCAAGCACTGACAAACTGCGGGCACCATTAGGTACTCATGTTATGATCTAACTATCAATGCTCTGGCTGTTTATTTTGATATTCAGCCACAAATTTGTAAAACAACTTCCCCTCGTTTTGAGAGCCCAAGGCCAGATATGATCACATGTACATGTCTGATATATATATGTGGAAATGTTTATGAGTCATGATCATGAAACAGTGAACAAACAAAAGCAGTACATATCAAATAAAGTGACAATACCTGTAAAGATTAATGTAAATTTAAATGTCAACAAATGGTATACTGTATCCAGCAAAAGTTTGTCTAAGTGACAACATGTATACCAGTAGAAGAAACATGTATAAAGATCACAGCTCATGTTTTTTTAGGCTCTGACACTCCCTTCTCATCTCTCTTTGTTCATTCTGGTTTAAAAGAAAGTAAATGAAGGGTGAAAAGAAGTTTATTTTAAAGCATCAAGTGACTAATAACCCTCGGCAACACCAGATAGGCACAGAAATAAAACCTCGAAAGGATTATTTGACCTTCGTTTCAATTTATTACTATTGACCCAGATTGTGGGTTTCATAACCCCACTGACATTGGAACAGCAGTATGACATAAGTGATTTTGCTAAGTGTTTGATTGGTTTACGATTATCAAATTTCCCCTTAGGGATAAATTAAGTTCTTATCTTATCTTAATGTATCCAGTGCTGTCTTAACACTGATTTGAGTTTTTGATAATTTCTGTTTTCTAAAACAAGGTAAAATCATTTCAATGTAATTCTTTGTTTTGTTTCCTGCTCTACAAACAGCTTCCAACCCAGTGACCAAGATTTCACAGGCAAAGAAGCACCCCTTAAACAAAGCTGAAGCTTTGCCAGGCGCAAAGAAGAGGAAAGTTGGTAAATGTTGAGTTTTTGCAATTCGCCGTTTTCAGACTTTTATTATGACATGTTTAGTATTTGTTTCACACTCTAATCTCACACTTTCAGATGCTTTAGTACCATCTAAAATTGCTGAAGCCTCCACTTCCTCTTGTGATGCTGCAAATAAAGCCAAAAACCTGAAACAGCCTGCAACCAGTCAGAGAGTTTTGCCAGCTAAGACCCACAAAAAAGGTGTGTTGGGATGGTATTATACTGTTCTGTTTAAGCCAAACAGAGATTTCATTATTCACTCGATTGTTACATGTTTTGCTCTTCATGACGTACCTCTAGATGCAGCAGCCAGTCAGCCAGCGGAGAGCTCAACATCTTGTGATGCTGTCAGCAGAGCCAGAGTCCTGAAACAGCCCGCAACCAGTCACAGAGCTCTGATAGTTAAACCTCAAGCGCACAGTAAGTAAGGAATGCACAGCTCGGGTATTCAAAGGGTTATATTTAAACCTTTCATATAAGATTCTACTATCTACTGCATGTGTATCTGGATGTACCTAAAAGAAGAACCCATATGTATGAAAATAGCAATACCAGAAATTGTTTGAGTGCTCAAGATTTGAAGGAAAACCAGAAAGTGTGGGTTATGTCAGGCCATGTCAAGTATTTTGAAATCTGGAAGTTGGTGTCTGTAAGATCTTTTCACAAGTGACAAGCCTTAACTTCAGGTTCAAACATTAATCATTATGTGCTGAGATGTGGTCACGCAGTCCACATACGGAGGTCGTCTGGGAGGCACTTGTCCACCTTGTTCCAATGCTGTGGATACCTGTGTGTGTGATTGGCCACATTAAGGACTGCACTCTTTCCCCAGCTTACATTTACAGACACAGCGCCCTTTAACGGTGTTCATTCGCATTTGAGATGAAATCATGAATCTGATCTTGTTCTTTGTAACTTAATGATTGAAATACGTTACAGGTTGTGCCAACTGTGCTGCACTTGAACAGCAACTCAAAATGAAATCAGAAGAAATACAGAGACTGAAAGAAGGTATGACGTCACTGGTTTTAGTGTAATGAGTCTATTGAAATTATATTTCTGTCTGTTGAGGATATATTGTCATTGCTGTCACGTAGTTCGATACACTTAAGTTTCAGAGATATCAAAATTTGCACTTTGATGCATCTTTGGTGTGGTATAACTGTCAAAATTACAGTTTTATTCATTTCAAAAATGTGTATTAGTGAGTTTAAATAAATCTTTTTTTTTTTTTTTTCAGAGCTGCAGAAGTTCCACAAAGACAAAGAAGACTGTTAGGGGATCACATTTTTGATCAATTTCAGTTTCACTGTTAACTTTATACTAAATACAGATCTATTGATAAATCTGCCAATCTTTACCTCTGCAGTTAAAAAGCTGTGTAGTTTTTCTGAAGCTTTTAAAGCATGTTTGTGAGCTGGTTTTTGTTACCTAGTGTAGGAATTTTACTGCATTTATTAACCTTAAAAGAAACACCACAAGACTGTGCAATAAAACCTTTACGAGAACTGACAAAAGACTGTGTAGTTTGTGATGTATGGAGGACTAAAAGTGACAAAATTAAATAAACAAATACATCGTTAAATGATTGCATAAATGTACCATTTATAATTAAAAGTGTCAATACATAAATAAATGTATTAATAGTTAATTAAAAGTGAAATATTATCATGAAATATTTTTATCTGTCAAACTCACCTGACTGCTGAACATCGGGGCTAATGAGCACATGCTTTAAGATATTATTTAATGATGTATATATTTATTTAATATAGTCCTTGATAGTGATGAGGTGCAACTGCAGAATGTTCTTCACTACCTGTGTGAATGCAGAAGTATATTAATAGGAATGAAACATTAAAGCTATGGCTTGTTTCACCTGCTGTGTAATTTTTAGCTTCTATAATACAAAGTATGGTATCTTATAAATATTTTATGTTATATGAAATAACAAGAATATAAAGTCCAATGTCACTGTTATTTTTTATGTGTGCGTTTGTCTTTTGTAACTGAAATAAATACTTAATGAAATTATGTCTGATTTGGTACAGTGGCCGAGAACCGCCACTGCTGCTGCAAAAAAAGAATGCTTAAAAAAAAAGAAGCCATAACGGAAGTTATTGATGCAAAAAAAAAAAAAAGAAACCAAAGCCCTCTGCAAATACAAAAAAGAAACGGTAAAGATTTTTTTAAAAAGCCACAATAAAAGTTAACGCCACAAAAAAAAGTGGCAATACAAAAATAAAATTTTAAAAATGGTTTCTTACTGCTACTTTTTGCCATTGCCACTCATTTTTGCTTCTTTAACTTCCGCTGTGGCTTTTTTTTTATTTACATTTTTTTATCTGCACTGTTTTTTTTAATCATTTGCAGCGGGCTTGGGTTTCTTTTTTGCACCGTTAACTTATATTATGACTTCTTTTTTTGTTTTTGTTTACTTTTTTTTTTTTTTTAATTTAATTTTTTTTTTTTTTTTTTGCAGCAGTGGCGGTTCTCGGCCACCGTACAATGTGATTAAAATTGAACTCATAACCCTTAGGCTGTTGTTGTCTTTGTCTTTGCAGGATGCACAACTATCCCGTGGCTGTGTCTCATTTCAGAGACCGCATCAGGATAATCGCGCTTAATGGCGCTTAGCTGAGTGCACTGCCGTTTTGTGCTGTTATGTGCCGTTTTGCGCCGTTATGTACCCTTCCTGTGTCCCATTCTAGATACCGCAACCCAGAGCAGTGGATTTAAACAGAGTGGCGACACTCCCATAAGCATACACTGTACAGCCCCGGTCATAAACTGTGTTTAGTTGGATGTGATATTTTCGTCAGCTAGGTGGCAGTATAACCCAGGAGTTTCTCGCTAAAGTAACATGTAGCTCTGCTGAGGTTCATCCCTGTTGTTTGTCGATCTACGGCGGACTTCCTTTTCTGACGCCACTGCCCGGCAAGGCTGTCTCACGCCTTTATTTGTGGCCGTTGTACAGCAAAACTGGATTTTATAACAAGTCATAGTAGACAGACACACCGTAGTACAACTTTCTCAAGGACGTAGGTGAGTCTCCTTCAGAATATATTTAACTTTAGGACTGTATCGACTCAGCGGAGTGTGTATGTCGGCTTCACGTGCGGAGAGGCCTAATGCTAGTTAGCTTAGCATGAACCCCGCGCCACGTTATGTCACCAAAAAGGATCAATGCAGGCTACCAACGTAACGCCACAACATGCACGTTATCCTAAAGATTATATGAAAGGCACTATGTTTGACTCATGTGGTTACAGCAGGAGATTGTTTGATTTATACACACACTGTCCATCCAAGCGGTTTTTAGATGAGCTAAGTGAGCTAAGACCCCCTCTGCTAAGCTTTCACAGACAGATAGGACTATTGACAGCTAGGGCTGGCCGATATGGGAAAAAAATTATAACGATATTTTTTTTCATATCAGTCGATATCGATGTATATCACGATATGAAAAATGAAATTTAACAGTGCTTATTGGTAGCATGTCTTTTGCAATACAATAAGCTACTGCATCAGTGAGGTCTTAGTGTCTCTGACGTTTTGTCATAAGGTGTTGCGCTGGAGAAATCAGACTGAATGGTCGGCTGTTTTGGCTGCACAGGTGTTATTGGCTCCTTGCTCCGGTCGTGGTTGTTAACCTTTTGCATTGTGCATGCTCTGCTGTTTGGCACTGTTTCAGGTGGTGAAATAGCTTTGAGGTATGCCCCCGACTTTGTGAGAACATGTACACAACATAATTTGCAGTGCACATTAGGGATGCACTCATTTCTTTTTTTTTTCTCACAGACAGTGCTGTCTACTTCACGTGTTAAAGTGCTATGTTTGCATGCAGCCTGCTACTACGCAGTTGTTTACTACTTGGCTCTAATTCAGCACATGATTGATTCTGCGTGAAGCGAACTCGGAACAACACTCTTTTCATTGGCTGTTTGTATAGTCTACCAAAACATGGCAGAATGCCCACCATTGAAAAGCATATTGACTATGGTTTGTAATGATATTGAGAATAATAATCTTTCAATATTTATTGTTCTCGTTTTATTGCCCAGCCCTATTGACAACTATCTCGATCTGCACGCCATACCAGCATAAATAAAAATTTCATACAGTACCCGTACCCTGTCCCCTTTTAATGTTTGTTTTCACATCTGTAATTTTGTCTTTCCAGCTTGACAGCTTCCTTCAGCAATGTCTCGTTTCTTTGCCACCGGGTCTGACAGTGAGTCAGAGGAGTCCTCATCCGCCGATGAGATCACCCCCAAAGCACCCGGGACAACCTTCAAGCAGTCAGTGCAGCTCTGTAATCCCCAATTATTCAACTCTCATTGTTGTTTGTTGGTATCTTACACATCTGTTTCCACAGGTCGCTGCTCCTCAGTGATGATGAGGAGGACACTAAGAGAGTGGTGCGCAGCGCCAAAGACAAAAGGTAAGTGTGCATCACATCTTTACACACACATATATATATATATATTTTTTTCCCAGCATTTTTTCTTTTCAGATTTGTTTTTAATATGGAACTTAATCCTGGTCCTTAGGTTTGAGGAGCTGACCAACCTAATCAAGACGATCCGCAATGCAATGAAGATTCGTGACATGGCTAAATGTCTTGAAGAGTTTGAGCAGTTATGTCGAGCCTTCCTCAAAAGCAAGAATATAGTAGACAAAGAGGGTGTTCCCCCTTTCTACATCCGTCTTTTGGCTGATCTGGAGGACTACCTGAACCAGGTCAGAGATTGAGAAATCGAATGCAAATTTGCAGTAATTCTGCCAGCAGTAAATTGAACATGCTGGGCTTAATGTTTTCTTGCAACTCCCAGCTTATGTTTTTATTTTTATTTTTTTGTTTTTGCAAAACAAATGTACCATTATCTATATCTTTGCAGCTATGGGAGGATAAGGAGGGCAAGAAGAAGATGAACAAAAACAATGCAAAAGCTCTCAGTACCCTTCGCCAGAAGATCCGCAAGTACAACAGAGATTATGAAACAGAAATAGCCGCATACAAGGAGGTGAATAAAAATCTTTCTCTCAGCAGTTCTCTGATTTTCTTATCTCAATAAAAAAAGGGGTTTAATGAAAATTTGATAACTTCTGGAGCAGATGTTAGTGGATGTGCTCTTCTGCCAAAACACCTGACTGTGTCTTCGTGTCCTCTTTCTCTTTCTGTATTAGAACCCACAGGAGTCTGCAGATGAAGAGGAGGAGAAGGAGCCAGGGGACTCTGGTAAGTTAGAGTTTTGTGCATATTTTCATTGAATTTATAAGACCTGTATAAAATGTACAAGAGCGGAAGAAAGCAGCACAAATTCACCCCGAAATCAAAGCATATGAGGCATGAGATGTTACACACATGTTTATTAGACTGGATTACTTGCAGGTACCAGATACTTTTGCACATCGTCACATTAGTCAGAACAATGTATGATTCGCTGCATTATGAAGTCTGATGGTTCAAATTGTGTTTGAGAGAATGAGAGCAGAGTCACATCTGATAAAAGTTGTTCGAACTTTGCTGAAGCTTGGATGCATGGGTTCGATTTGCGTTTTTATATGTGCTTGGTAAGAGAAGAAATCTATGATTAAACACATCGAAGCATCATCTCTAAATATTTGGTTTTCTGTCACCAGGTTCATCCTCTGACAGCGATGACGAGGGAGGTGATGAAGGCGTTACAGCCAAATCCTTCTTGAAGAAAAAGCCTGAGCCCACCCCAGAGGCCAGCAAGTTCCTCAAGACTGCTAAAGGATCCGGGGTAAGGGGCCCAAATCATGTTTGCCCAATTTTTCTTCCTACTTTGTGAGAGTGGGTTGTGCCGAAGTGCTGATAGTTTTTCTTTTTTGTAAACTTCTGATAGGATGAGTCCTCCTCTAGTGAAGATGATGATGATGAAGACTGGAGCTCTGACTCCGTCCACAGCGGCAGTGAGAGCTCTGATGAAGGGGATGAGAAGACCTCTTCCTTGGCTGTGGTCTTCCTCAAGAAGTGAGTCTTCTCTTCGACGTCTCTCATGTTTGCTTGAAAGTTATTTCTGAATTTCAAATCTGATGCTCAACAACACGCTCTGTGTTTTTCTGCTCAAGGACCCTAGACACTGAGAAGTCTGAGAAGAGGCTCGGGAAGAAAAGGAAGCCCAAGAAGAAAGAGCGGCTGGAGGAAGAGGCAGAGGAGGAGGGAGGAGAGGAGGTGGAAGGAGGCTGGGAGAAGGTGAAGGGAGGCGCCCCATTGGTTAAGGTAAGGGAGGGATATGATGAAAGCCCTTTCACATTGACAGTCCGCTATCACATGAAGCTGATGAAACAATTCTGTCATTGTTTAGTTTTTTGTATTTTCTGCCCATTAGGAAAAACCCAAGATGTTTGCCAAAGGCACAGAGATCAACATCCCAGTCGTGGTGAAGAAGCTGAATGAGATCCTGCAAGCCAGAGGCAAGAAGGGCACGGACAGGTAAGATCACCACATGAACTAATGTTTAAATTCATACAACAAGACAACACAGATTAGTCTCGGTTACATGTTCAGTTTTTTTAAAAAAAGTCAAATTAAACACATTTTAAAAGAAGTTTTTGTATTTTGTTTATTAGTAAAGTTTATGAAGTATTGTGCTGCTCCCCCTTGTCTTGCCTTTCCTAAATTTTACTGATTCTACTGTTTCCAAAAATATTGCGCTAATATTTGTGATTGAGCCACGATAAGCAGAAGGTGAAAGTCTGATACCATGACTAACTTGTGCATTTCTTCCCTTGCAAGAATTTATAAATCACAATTACAGAAGTATTACAAATTAAAGTCTGAACAAATCATAGAAATTCAGAGAAGGAAAAACTCAGTTGTGACCCACATAACTACACAAATTACATGAGGGTCATTGTTGTTTGAGACATTTTACTTTTTTTTTCTCTGATCTAATTTCTTTGCCTTTTTCCTTCCTCGGACAGAGCTGCTCAGATTGAACTTCTCCACGCTCTGGCAGCCATCGCTAATGAAAACAACTTAGGCCAAGGCATCATGGTCAAGATCAAGTTTAATATCATTGCCTCCTTGTACGACTACAACCCTAACCTGGCAGCCTTCATGAAGGTAAGAGCTTTTTCTCTGAGTTCCAACATTGTTGTATTAATGTTTTTGTATTGGCAAAATTCTACAATGATGGTAATGTGAAGTGAAGAATGCATCATGTTGCTCTCTGCCTGCTAACTGTTTTCTTAACTGTTGAAAGTCCAAAACACAACTCTGTTGTTGTTTAAAAACTCATCTTCTCCTCTTTTCCTTGTAGCCTGATATGTGGAAGAAATGTCTGGACTGTATTGATGAGTTGCTGGACATCCTGTTTGACAACAACAACATCTTCATTGGGGAGAACATCGCAGAGGACAGTGAGAGTCTAGCAATATCAGACCAGGTATCTCATCATCTTATATCAATTAATCAATCAAATCAAATTTTATTGATATCGCTTTATTTATATTTATTTATTTATATGAATTATCAAGACCCAATCTAAGATGGGACAGATTTGGCCCATCTCATCTAATATGAGTGACAGTGGCGAGGAAGCACTTCCTTTAACAGGCAGAAACCTTGGAAAGGACCAGACTCATGTATATCAGACTTATATCTGATTTTTTTTTAATATTCAAAGAATGGAGTGTTTAAACGTCTTGTCTGAGTTTGTCTGCTTGTTAAAAACAACAGATATATTACAGTCTGCATGTCTAACTCTTAAAATAGTTCATATTCTGCACAAACTGCTTATTTGAGGAAGATGGCAATTGACTTAATGTCAATACCTCGACTGCTTTTTTCAGCCCTTCAGGGTTCGTGGATGCATTTTAACTTTGGTGGAGAGGATGGATGAAGAGTTTACCAAGATCATGCAGAACACTGACCCCCACTCCCAAGGTGAGCTGTACCACAAAAAAAATTGAGACATATCTAAAATAATGATATGATTTTGTCGCAAGAATCCCTGAAGTTCTTTGTATCCCTGTTTTAAGGCCTTTAACTAATTTGTTTCTTCCCCTCTTGCTCCCCTCTAGAATATGTGGACAACCTGAAAGATGAGGGGAGAGTTTGCGGCATCATTGACCGGCTTCTCGACTACTTGGAGACCAAAGGCAGCACAGAGGAGATCTGTCGCATCTACCTGCGCAGAATCATGCACACCTACTACAAGTTTGACTACAAGGCCCACCGGCGTAGTCTGGGGCTCCAGGGAGAGACCAAGGTGAGAAGTAAAAAAGAGTATTACTGCTCATATCAGAGGATACTGTGGTTGGAAGTGTTGGTGTGTGTTGAAAAGATATGGTTTGTTTGAGTCACTTAAGTGTGATGTGCTAAGACGTGTCCATCTGCTGTTTTCTAGTCCGAGCAGGACCAGGAGGAAAGTGAGGGAGAGGACAGTGCCGTCATCATGGACCGCCTTTGCAAGTTCATCTACGCCAAGGATCGCACTGACCGTATCCGCACATGCGCCATCCTCTGCCACATCTACCACCACGCTCTGCACTCCCGCTGGTATCAGGCCCGCGATCTGATGCTGATGAGTCACCTTCAGGACAACATCCAGCATGCTGATCCACCTGTTCAGGTGAGCAGACACACACTAAGAATAACATGCTGATATCCAGTGACCCTGAATGAACTCCTGAGTACATATTTCTTCTGTTCGTAGATCCTGTACAACAGAACCATGGTGCAACTTGGCATCTGCGCCTTCAGACAGGGCATGATCAAAGACGCCCACAACGCCCTGCTGGACATCCAGTCCTCTGGTCGAGCCAAGGAGCTCTTGGGTCAGGGTTTGCTCATGAGGAACATGCAGGAGAGGAATGCAGAGCAGGAGAAGATTGAGAAGAGACGACAAGTAAGTCAAACATGAGATCTCATATGCAGAAGAAAGAACCATCACAGCTTGTTGTATACAGATGCTAAGACTTGCAACATGTGTGTGTCATGTATAACCTTCTTGACTCTGAATCATTATAAGACCAGGCTAACTTTGTTTTAAATTTCCCTCACAGGTGCCCTTCCACATGCACATCAACCTGGAGCTGCTGGAGTGTGTATACTTGGTGTCCGCCATGCTGCTGGAAATTCCTTACATGGCTGCCCATGAGTTTGACGCCCGCCGCAGGATGATCAGCAAACAGTTCCACCACCAGCTCAGGGTGGGAGAGAGACAGCCTCTGCTGGGTAAGCAACAACTCGTGGCTTCAGGATATCAAGTTAAGTGAAACAAAGAGGCTAACTTTAGCCTTGTGTCTTTGCTGCAGGACCCCCAGAGAGCATGAGGGAACATGTGGTTGCAGCCAGCAAGGCCATGAAGATGGGCGACTGGCGTACCTGTCACTCATTTATCATCAATGAGAAGATGAACAGTAAAGTGTGGGATTTGTTCCCTGAGACGCAGCGAGTACGCGAGATGCTCGTCAGGTCGGCATCCATGACACTGTTTCGATTTATATTTTTATCATGAGTGATGACTTAATGTAACTATTTTTTTAGTTCTTACAAATATTGTTTTTCCTTTTATACAGGAAGATCCAAGAGGAGTCACTGAGGACCTACCTGTTCACGTACAGCAGTGTTTACGACTCTATCAGGTAGGCAGGCACAACGTGGAACTGTTTGTTCAGTGCAGTTTCCTGTCTCTGCCTGAGCAGTCTTTAAAGTGTGTGTCTGATTCCAAGTTCATGAGACAGTGGTGGTGTTATTTCTCTCTTCCAGCATGGAGACACTCTCTGAGATGTTTGAGTTGGAGATCGCCACAGTTCACAGTATCATCAGCAAGATGATCATCAACGAGGAACTGATGGTAGGTTTGATGTCTTCTTTCCTTTTTAGCGCTTCATCATTTTGTTTATATGCTTGAGTGTCTGAATGTTTCCTCTTCCAAACAGGCATCGCTCGACCAGCCCACACAGACGGTGGTGATGCACCGCACAGAGCCCACCTCCCTGCAGAACATGGCGCTGCAGCTGGCTGAGAAACTGGGCAGCTTAGTAGAGAATAATGAGCGCGTCTTTGACCTCAAACAGGGCGTCTACGGAGGCTACTTCAACAGAGGTGAGTCCAGAAAGCTAGCGTCACATTAAGCCGTTTAATACTTGTAGCATGCGTTGTACTCTTCCCTATCAAAGGTTTATGAGTATCCTATAAGCTTGATGCAAACTTATTATTCTCATTACAGATCAGAAAGGCGGCTACCAACAGAAGCAGTCCTACCAGAGAGGTACGTGAGGTTACACACAAATACTCTGACCACATGGTGACCTTCCCACACCAGCAGGCTTCACCTCTCTTGTTGTTTGTTTGCTGTTTTGACTTAGTTGCTGACTCAGTTCGGATGCATTTAATCATCAGCTAACTTGTAATGTATTCAAAAGTTCAGTTAAGGATAAGGATTGTGTTATTCCTAAGAGAAGTAGGCCATTAGTAGTGTTGAACAACCAAAAGTCCACAATTTTCCTCACAGCCGGACTTGGAGTGAAAATGGAGTTTAATGTTCAGATAACGGCGCTGTAAGATCAAGTCTGATAAACGTGATGTCCACACGATTATACTTGATCTATTCTTATGAAAAGTGAAGGACTCATGAGAAGTTTGTCCAGTATGGATATTGTTTGAACAGCACCCCTATTTTGGTGTTTATTACAGGTTTACATACTGATACACTGTCCTAAAGAAGCTTACCTGAGGATTATCTAAAACCATGACATTTGAAATTGTGTTTCAGCCAGTGAAAAGCATTTACATGTTGTTGTCTGATCAAAACAATCGTGTTTTTTTTCCATGTTTACAGATCAGAAAGGCGGCTACCAGCAAAACAAAGGAGGCTACCAGAGAGGCGGCTACAGAAATCAAAACCAAAGCAACTACTGAGCTTTGAACACGTAGATTTCGCTCCCTAGTCTTCATTCCATAACTTCAACAAAAACAACAATGACTTGTGTGTCTGAGCTCGGCACTTGGCTGTTCTCCTTCATTGTAGCAGTGCAAACCATTCTTGCTGCAACTAGTTAAGTGTTTTAATATTGCTTATTTGATTGACAGTAAAAGGTTTGAAGAGTTAAGAAATTTTGAAAAATGAAGGCATTGTAGTGTGGATGGTTTGTAGCAGTGCTGTCAGTGGACAAACATCTCAAGTTATCTAATAAACAATAAATAACACTGATCTGAGTTTTGTTTCTGAAAGCTTTATTTGTTTTTGTAAAAATTTATCAAGACAGCAAAACAAACAAACAAAAATCAGTCAATAATAATCCAGCCCTGTTCCTACTTAAATACACACCCATGAAAAACATGCAGATCTGCTCTTCCAGTGATTTTACCAACAGCTGTGTAACCGATTCAGAGGTTTTTACTGGATTTTCCTTGAGTTACAGCATATAAAGGTTGAAGTTGATAGTTAACACATACTTGATGGATCTAAGTTACAAAAGTAGATATTAGATGATTTCTCTCAGCCAGTCTTTGGTCTTCATTACAGTTGATTTACAAAATACACAGTTTGCTCAAATGAACCACACACTTAAGCAGAAAACAGGTTATGATTCTGATCCTACTAACTGGAGTGAGTCTTTAAAATAAACCGCAGTACAGAAAAATGGGCTAGAGTGGTCCTGTCCAGACCAGAGGAAAAATCCAGTACAAATGGTAATAGAATAGACAGTGCGTAAAAAGCCTGAAATAGTGTACAGCAGATCATTTCCTTGAAGTAATAATCATCATATTAATCATTTTGCACTGTAGACGCGGTAGTTCTTCTGCCTTAGCGTCTCAGTCTGATTGCATTTCCATAAAGAAATGATCATAAATGTTCTTCCTTGAGCTGTGAAACTCCGCTGCACTTGGTGATTTACTCGTCAGGACTCCCCCACAAACAAGCAGCTGCTGGAGGAGAGTAGGGGAGTTGTGTTTGGTCTCTGCTAAAGAAATCAAGCAAAGCTAAAAAGATGTTTGGTGGCTGGTACTATGGGTGGGACCCACTATGTACTGTTGATGAAGTTAGTTTCGTTTCTGAGTATTATTTGTGGCAATAGAGTGGCTTTTTGGTTGAGGTTTGCGTGTGGAAACGTAGACTGCTGTGTATTGCTATCGTGCGGTCATTACTAAAGTTGGTATAACTAAAGAAGCAAGCGGTCGGCAACATTCATCAGGTGGTGTCTTACTCGGTGTTATGGTGTGTTTGACCCTGACTTAATTTTACGCCTGAATATCCCTTTAACATCAATAGTTGATTATTAAATGTCCTAACCAAAGAATCTATTTTTTCCCCATTTTATCTTGTTTTCCATGACTTTAATGTTCTTTATTGTTCATGATCTCAAAAAAAGTTTTCTCAGGATGACAGTGTTATCACAATAAATTAAAATAAACAATAAATCAGCCCTTTTTTGTTTTATATCTAATAATAGATGAACCAGTTGTTTAGTAAAAACTTGTACATTATGCTTCCTGTGCTTTCGTACACACACAGCTCTTCCTGGCCTCCATACATGGAGGTTGAGTGTGTTTAGTGGTTCAGCAGCAGGGTTTAGACTAACATCCTCCTCCTCAGCCTGTTATCTGTCTCCTCTCCGACTCAGTCTCCTGTAAAACTCTTTCCTCAGCAGGTCTCTCTCTTTGCGGATTCCCTGCAGCACTGTGCGGTTCTCCTGAGCCCGTCGTACTAAGTACGGCAGAGTGTCATCCACTGAGCCGTATGGCACAGACTTGTAGATGGCATAACCCTCTTTTGCTGGAGGAACATGAAACAGAGAAGAAAATACTCAATACTTTTCAGCTAAAAATACACAAATCACTTAAAATGTACAAGTGAAGAACAGCCTGTAAGCACATCTCACCCAGAGTGAGGGAGACGTGATCACACATGCCCAGCAGCTGACCAAAACACACTGAACCTCCATTTTTGTCGATCCCCAACTCTTCCATCCTGACAAGAACCAACAAAATATATTATTGTTTTGTATTATATGTCAGCAGTTCCACAAAGATTAAAACTATAAAAAACTGATTTGTTTTGAAGACTAACCGTTTAGCAGCTATTCTCACTGACTCCTCATTGTGAGTGGCCACTATAATCCTGTAGCGCTCAGGTTTCTGGGAAATTTCCTTCAACATCACGTCCAGAGAGCCATTATAGCTGCATTGATATAAACAGAGAGTGTTTTGAATGATGTGCAACAACCTTAATCCTACATCAAAACTAGTGCAGAGATAGATTTGATCCACATAAAGGGCTTACAGAGAAATCCAGTTTCATTGATAAAACTTGGCTCAGACAAGGTATGAGATTTCATTCATTGTACTCCTTCATTTGTTGATCTCTGGGATTAATGTGTCAGTTTGGGATTAAGCCCACCTGGCGTTGGTGTCCTCCCAGCACTCATGGATGGGCGACTGACGACCTTCTTTCTCTGCCAGCTTCCTCTCTTTGTCCATGTAGGCTCCACGCACCAGCTTCACTCCCAGACAGAAACCCTCCTCCTTGGAGAGACGTAAGGCTTCCAACAGGAGAGACCGTGACTCCTGAATGATACAGAGAGGGGGGAGTTTACATTAATTCCTCAGTAAGACTAATTTTGTTGTATTTATTTTGGTGTTTGGCGCTAAAAAACAGAAAATCAAAATATATTTGCCTTAAGGTAACACTGATATGTGTTCCAAATCCAGACGCCATCTTTGTTAAACTTCTTCATCATCGCCATAGTGACAAGTGACAGGGCGGGGTTCATGTAGGTGTACTCTGCATCCACCAGGACTCTGACTTTGTTCACACTTGCCTAAAAAAAAACTCTTATCTTCATTAAAATGATAATAAACGTTTTCAGATACTTTTACTCAGTTCTATCATCAAACTCCCATGATGCTTCATGCCATTACCTCTGCTATTCTGTTGAACCGTCGTAAGCTACAGAGGAAATGAGCAACTTCACTCTCATCTAAACCGGGAAATTTGATTAGCTGAAAGAGAGAGTTTAAGAAGTCATTTCAAACAGTCATTGAAACAAATGTATAAATGAGCAGGAAAAAAAGACTAAAAATTGTTCTTTTATTTATAATTGTGCTGTTGTACCTCTCCATCCATCGCCCGGACAACCAGATTCAGGTCATATGGTTGTTGTGCGATGAGGGTCGTGAGCTTGACCTTTATGTAAACAACACAGAGTTATCAGTGCTGAGCAAAACAGAGACCCATTTTAAAGAGAGAGAGTCCACACCAGGGACAGCTGTTGTCCAATCCAACAGTGAAGCATGTGTTCTTATCTTTTTTCCCATGTATTATATTTAAACTGCTTTGAGCTAGTCTCAGACGAAAACGTCACAGTCATGATATAACTTCAAAAATGTTAGCTTGAAAAACTGTCCTCTTGAAATTAACATGAGATTTAATTAGCGTTGGCTAATTAAAGGCATAGTTGCGTTGAGCTACGACTGGGTGCTGCTACCTGGGTGCTGCTCTCGCCCAATTTTTTTCACTTTCCGGGCTCAAGACAGACATGATGGTGACAGCCAAAAGACTTTCCAAATACAATTTTTGGTGACCTTACACACAGCTCTGGGCTGAGCAGGGCTGTGATCTTCAGCTGCATCATGGGGTCTTTGCTCCAGGCGTTGCTGTGAGACATCCGTACACATTCCAGCATGGCCTCCATGTTGTCATCATATCTCTTCTCTCTGGACAGAAAACAGGATTAGACTTGGATGTCTTATGGCCTGAGACATACAAAACAAAGTAACTGAAGAACACAGCTTCATGCAACAACAAATCTTGTCTTCTTTGACCTCTGAACCCAGCTCTGTCTTTGTCTCAAAATCTTGAGTAAGGTTTTCTAGATTCAGTCAAACATCCTCATGCATACATGTTATTCTCTTCCCCAGAGATTTTGAGATTTTTCTAGATTTACTGTCTTCTTTTTTAAGTGACTTGTCCTGCAACTTGGGGCCATATTTTTATAAGTTGCATATTTTTAGGTAAAAGTCGAGACGAACTGCTCTCTCTTACCCCGTGCTTTCTCCCAGATCCTCCTCGATAGGTACAGCAAGCATGGGCCTCAGTCCCAGCAGGCTCATCTTCTCCATAGACTGAGAGATCTCACTCTCGTTCTCCCCAGCCACAAACTGAGCATACACAGTGGGCCTCAGCAGTAGAGAGAACCCCCTCTTCCCCAGGATGGTGCGAGCTATCGCCATGAGCTGAATGAGAATAGAGGGGGACGGTTACATTGACAGAAGAGTGATGAAGAAAAAATGATTTCTTTTCCCCCTTTTTGCCCTCTGAATTTATTTTTCCATTCACATCTGTGAAATGATCATGGAAAGACTTAAACTTACCTTGCCACAGTTGTTAACTAGCACTGGGAAGGAGCACAAGCGGAAGACTCCGAGAGCTCTCAGCAGCTCACCTAAACTCTTGACCCTGAAGGCTTTGGGATCTTCAAAAGTTAGAGCATCAGAAAGGCTAGGCTGTTTCACGTCTACAGTCCTGCAGGCTGCAGTGCTGGACATCCTCAGCGGCAGGAGACGAGGGAGTGAGGGACGCAGACGAGAGCACAACATTGTCCCTGGAAAGTGTGTATTCTGAGTGTATTCTGGAGTCTCAGTTTTTAGGAGTGTTTTTGTGAATGAGGACAAGTATGGAGTGACAAATCTCTCATATTACACCCTGATGGAGGAGAAGTAAGGTGTCAGAGATGATAATGTATTAATGTGGGAAAAAATTTCAATCCATCTATCTTATTTATTATGAAAGCTAAAATAAAACGTGCAATTACAACGTAAAGGTGCTGCAAACATTAAAATGATCAAAAAATTTAACCATTTATGCATTTGATTACATTAACTTTCAGCATTTTGAGAATATTCTAATGAATTTCATACTTTAAAGTTTTATTTTGAGCAATGGATTTGATTATTTAGCTTGGACGTGGTGGGACTAAACTTTGTCTCTTTCATCTCACAGCAGAAATCATACAGAGGTTGTTTGCATGGAAAAACTCCCAAAACCTGATTAATGTAGTACCAAATCTGCGCAAGAAAAAATCATCAAAGTGGCAAAGAAATGTAGTCCCACATTCATAATTTAACACATTTTAAAAATTTAGCATGTTACTTTATACATAGGTGTTAAACGTGTCTGAAACTGACAAAGAAAGTAAAGAAAGTCAGCTCTTACCCGCCACCGGTATGGTTTCATTCAGAAAACACTCAGATGATAAAAAGCTGAGCAGGTGCGACTCAAGTTTTTCATGTGAACCAGTTAAATTCACCCTCTCCTGACTTACTGACTTGTTAATGAGTGACTATTCTAGAAATTTGAGTAAACATCAAGTTGACCCTTAGCATCAGTCTACAAGTGTTGTCTCAGTTTGACACCAAGTGAGAATAACTTTGTTGTGTATTAAAGAGTTTGTTGTATTTCTTGACCTTTTTTCTATTTTTTTACCAAAAGAATAAATTTGGCTGCAAATGCAAATTAGAGGTCCATGTTGGGGATTTGAGATAGTGATCACAAGTCGGTCAGAGACAGATAAAGATATCCAACTCTGTTTTTAGTGATGTTTGAACTCGATGCAGTTCAATTGGGCTGTTATAATAACATCGCAAATGAGTTATAACCAGTTCTGACAATTGTGGGAGCTGGTGACAATGAACATATAAATATTCCCTTATTTTTTGTCTAACAATATGTGCTTTTTTGTTGCAGATTTAAAAAAAAAATAAGAATAATATAGTCCCATATACTTTAATTTTGTTTGGTCACAGTTTTGCATGTTCAAAACAATAACTTTATTGATATTTTTTTCTCATCTTTTTAGGTGTTACTGATGGAAAGGTGCCTCCTGCCTTTTTTCCAACATGAGTAATGTTTACATAATGAACTGTCTCTCTGTAAAATGACAAAGTTAATTAAAGAATGCTAAGATGAGACCTGGTGTGACTCAGGTAGAAAAAAAAAGTGTGTCAAACAAACACTTTGGAGAGATCAGTAACTTACAGAGGGAGGTGGGTTTAATCCAAATTTACCCCTCAAAAAGACACAGCAAAGCAAGAAGGGAAAATGATTAACTGCTGCCTGCTGTTATCATGTGCTGCTGTCCTTAAAGACCCTTGACTTCACACAAGCTAGTCTTTCTTTCACTGGTACTCATGACCAGCCAGGCATGGACATAAAAAAGGTTGCATATAGAATTGATTTATACTTTAATTATCTGCAATCAAAGGTTTGGGGACTTTTTAGCTGTTAAATAATCATGCAGAAATATAAAGAAAGCTAGAGTATTCACAAACTCAGTTTCAAATCAGTCAAAGTTCAGACTACACTTAAATGTCTAACAGCTTGGAGAAGATGTATGTACAAGACTTTTTACAGATTACAAAAAGGGAGAAAATAAATTTAAAAAATGGGTCCGTTATTTTATTTTATTTTTTTTGATAAAAAGAAGAGTCAGAACACAATAAGCAGGAGGAAGGACAGCTAGCTTAAGAGGGTATGGCTAAAAACACAATTCCCCTATATATTTTGACTGTGCTAGCTCAAGGGTTTGCAGACAAAAACTAAGTTGGCCTAGCCAGTACCAATAATTTCCAAACTTCTTTGCAAGGTATGGAAATTAGCTAGAATGTTGTGTTTTTTTTTTCTTACAACAAAAATTTGAGAGAAAGTAAAAGATGCTGGGGAACATAAACAGTCCCGCAAATCAAAAAATCAAATCACAAAAACTGAGAAATAAGATTTTTTTATTTTTCACACTGGAATGGACATCTGAAAGACAATTTTCCACAACTATATACAAATTTTTACTGAATTTCATTTTTCAGTCTATTAGCTGAAATGTTGGGAAGACACACACGCACACACATTGGCAGTATTGAGCTACTTGAACTAAATCTACACATTAATAAAGAAAGAAATCCTAAAAGCGCCATTAAACTAAAACATTTTGTCCTCTTTTAAGGTTTTAAAACACCGGTCTTGTACCCATATCCAGGTAGGACCCCTGGGGGAGGGTGTGGCCATGCTGGTGTTGTCTGTACAGATGCCTGAATGGGATGGAGAGGGAGGAGTGAGGGTCCTGACAAAGGCGAAGAGGATATGATGGAAAGGCAGGGTAGAGGGCTTGGGGAGGGGTGGAGGAGGGAAGGCTGGAGGTGTGCGACGGGTCCAGCTGAGGGAGAAGCGATGGGTGGTGAAGTACCATATCAGGGCGGTAGGGGGCAGCAGCATTAAATTGAGGGATGGCACCAATTTCAAGAGAGGGATAGGAGGAGGTGGAGGAGGGAGGAGGATTGTGGAGATTTGGAGGATGGACTGAGGGAGCAGAGGTGGCAGACTGCTGGAAAGAGGAAGAGACGGCCAAGCAGGAAGAGGGTTGAAAAGGAGGGTGAGGAAGGGAAGGTGTTGGGTGAGGGAACGAGGAAGGAGGGAAGGTGGGAGCGAGGGAGGGGGGTTGGTTTGAGAGGTGCAGGGCAGGATGGGCAGAGCTGGGAGGCACATTGGGAAAGGAAATATTTTGCATGTGTGAAGGGACAGAGGGGAGGGCGAAAGATGTGGGAGCACCATGAGAGGGTAAGGAGCATGACAGAGTGGGAGGAGGTGGGTGGTTTTGGTTGAGGAGAGGCGGAGCAGTTACTGGAGCGGGATCAGGATTGGCAGAGAGGATATTTGGATAGATAAATCCAGCTGAACTTTGATCACTGGGTAAATCATGTGGATGAGTTGGTATTTGCTCCTGCAGACCTGACGGAGCAGAAAAAGTGGCGTCTGTGGGTGTGTGCGGGCTGATGGTCTCTGGGATGTTGTGATAGGTGTTGACAGAGGGAGGAGAAGAGGAGGACAGGAGTTGCTGTGGAGAGGAGGAGTTTGAAGGAGGAGGGGTAGGGAAGGTGAAAGAGGTCTGCTGCAGTGATGGAGTAGTAGTGGACGAGGGAGGGGAGAGAGTGGGAGAGGGGGAGGAGGAGAGGATGGTGGGATAGTTGATCGGGGCAATGGGAGGATGAGGATCTGATGTATCTAAAGAGTTGGTCAATGGGAGGGAGGAGAAGGGAGAAGATGAGGGGGGAAGAGGAGCAGAGGAGAAGGATGGGGAGTTATCATCAGCGGCAGGGAAGGTGGAAGTGTATGCTGGTTCACCCAAAGTGTCTGATCTGTGAAGGAAGGAAAGAAAAGTGTTGTTGATCACTGCTAACCTCAGACATATATATCTGCATTAGTAACAGCACATACAGTCATGAACATGCACCCAGTATTGAATATTTTCCTATAATGCACACCCACCTTTCAATCATAGTATTCGCAATCTCCCTCCCCGCCGTGTCCTGCAGCTCATTCGACATAGAGAGGCCGATATCTGACATCTGGGATGCCATAAACGTCTGACCGAGGTCTAGCGGCTGCTGAGGAACCAGCTCATCCTGGTATGTCGCCTCTTCTGGTCTAAACCCACAGGTAGGGTCAGGTAGGGGAGGCAGAGAGGCCAGAGCCAAGGCCTGCAGGTCTGCTCCAGAGGTGGTGGTTGTGGAAGTCATGGGCTGTGGCAGAAGCTCAGTGGAGTCACATGGATCGCAGTTCACTGAGAGACAAAGAGGGGAAAAAAGAGATTTAAGTCAAGGACGTATAAGGAAAAGAAGAAATTGTTATTTCAAAATAAAAGCAGAAAACATTTTGGTATTTAACTCACCGATATCCAAAGTTTCTGATATTTTGCGCTTCTGTCTTGCATCTCTTTGTCTGCAGAGAGAAAAAAAAGTTTATTTTTGACCTTTTAGAAAATTTTTTGAGCTGAATACTTGTACGCATGTGGTGGTATTTGTTGTGCCTTACTTCTTGCTGTTCATGCCATCTTCTCGGAAGCCTTTAGCGAATGGGTTTGAGTTGATTTTCAGCTCTGTGATCTTCAAAAAAACAAAAAACAGATTGTAATTTGATTCTTTAGTTATACCAATTGTGATTTTTGGATTGCACAATTGGCTTGTTTTGTCTAAGTACCTTGTTGTTCTGGTAGGCTGTGACTGTGATGAACTGGGTCTCAGGGAAAACGAAGGAGTGTTGCCCTCCGCCCCATCGCAGCACATCTCTGGCTTCAATGACATGAACCCTCGGCTGGTAGCGATGCAGAGAGTGCAAGATAATCTGGAAATGAAACAAAAGACTCTGAATCAGAATGCACCAAAATAACAAGAAAAACAGTCTGCGTTTTGTTGTCATGTTAGAGGCTGTTAGTCAGTCAATCTGTAGTGCTTACATGTCCCTGTGTATCCAGAGTGTTGTTGGTCAGCTTGGCGTAGTGAAAGGAGATGGTGCGGCCCTGCCAGTGAGCACCTGTGGCAGGCGAGTCAGGGTGGATGAATACCCGGTCTGGAAGCCTCGCCTCGGCTCCACCCACAGCCTGCCAGCCACCTCCTTGGAAGCGATAGCGGGAATTGTCTGCTGGGATGATGTCCAGGAGGAGGATGTAACGGAGAGACGGGTTGAGGCCTGAGACTTTTAACCTCAAACCAGGAAACATTCGTCTGAGGGAGAGATAGAGTTATATTTAGTTCACATTTTTACAGCTTGATCCTGAATGAATTTGCACTTTTCAACACTTTTAACCCTTATAAAGCACAAATAACACAAATTACCTTTAACAAGAAGAACCACATGGTTAAAGACAGAGTAGGGTCAAAGATCACCAACCATATTCTCTTACCTGCCCTTTTTTGTGATGATCATCTCTGTTCCTACTGAGCTGAACTGCTTCCACAAAGACACGTTCTCCAGCTCCATCTTCACCTCATCTTTTGGGGTGTTGGCGGCCTGCTCACTGGGTCCTGCAGGAGGGGCCAGCAGCCGAGGGGGCAGGGGTTTGCTGGTTACGTCACACGGTGAGGGGAACAGCGGCATGTGGGCTGGGGGCTGCCGGTCTGCAGTAGCAAAAAAGGAGCATTAAAAGGAAGGCAAGAAGTTCACCACTGAAATCCAGATGAACATTTATGAAAGTCTAAAAGTGTTGTCTGCTTCTCTCTCACACACTCTGTCTCTTACCTCTGTAGAAGCAGTCTCCCATCCTTTGTGGTCCCAGACTCAAACTGGGGTACATTTCCACACTGAGCATTTTCCTTGTTTGTGTTAGTCTCTTCACTCTTCTTCTTCACCTGCAGCAAAGTAACATCTCTCTCTCCGGTTCTTTCTGTTTCCTCGCACAGATTTCCAGATGTCTTCTGCTGTATCGGAGACCTTTTCCTAACATGTGCTGCTCTCTCTTGTCCCTGATTCTGCCCCTATCCTGGTGCTGGTCTTTGCTTCAAATGCTCACAGCACTGACTGGCTCTGTTATATAGGTGTGTGGAGCTTCACACATGAGGCCAAATGGTTCAGCTGAGCCCCCATCTCCCCTTCTGTCCCTGCACCACAAACACAAACACACAGATTCAAAGTTAATTCAGCAGCTCTAACTTTAGCTTTAGTCTGTCTATAAGGAAACTTAATGAGATGTAAGGAAGGTTATTCGCTGTTAATGGCATTTGCTCTAGCACTAAGTATACTAGTCCTGTGGAGCTTTGACTTTATTTTATTTCAGAAGTTATTTTTCTTTATCTTGATTATTTTGCAGCCTTACTCAAAAGCTACATACAGAAAAAACCTAACCCGACATTTTAAACAGAGTTTGATTTCCTCACTACAAATGCTGCTTACGAAAAGTTAAATTTTTAATACATGATTATTTTGTTGCAGTACTTCTTTATTTGAAAGGACTTTACCTTGAAATTCATAGGATTCTAGGTAGGAAACAGGAAAAAATAAAATAAATAATGTTTAATTGTTGTTATGATGGTTTAGTTTTATTTATTAGTAGTTCATGTGCAGATGCAGTGACTATAGGTGTGTGTGATCTAAGACGGACTACAGTGTTGTTTTTATCTAATATTTCTGTTACCTCTCTTACACACAAATAGAAATGTCGGTAGTTTACTGTCAGCTCCCCTGTGGCTGTCTGACGACTTGATGACATGCTTCTTCCTCTCAGCGGTCTGCCTGTTAGGCCTCTCAGCAGGGAGTCTCTCTTAAATGAAGGTGGGAGAGGAAGACAGTTGGTCCAGAGCTGCAATTTGGCCAAAACACAAACAGGAGCGTCTAGAAGTTGATGAATTCAGATATCAATATCAAAGCAGACTTTTGTGCAGCATAATCAGGAGAATTTAGATGAATTTTTCACATACCTTCATTCAGTCTTGTGAAGAAAGTTTGTTGGGCAGACAGGATTTCTCATCAAAACAGTAAAATCCTAGACCACACAGACAAACCTCTTTTGGTGCATCACCTCTTCTCTCAACAGCAGCTAAGGATCTCACTTGTTTTTGTTTCATTATGCTCCAAATGTTTTCATCCTGGAAAAATTAGGGACTACAGACAAATTTAGCATCAGACTTTTTATTTGTTTTACTACAGAGCCATGCTGATGTAATACAGGCATCTTTGCTGTATTATAAAAGGTCTTTCCTGAAAATAGTATTATCTGAGTGGCAGTGTTTCGCTTTAGAAGCTGAGGAAATCATTCGACATGAGTGGTGCTGTCCCACATGTGTATGATACCAATGCCATGAGCACTTGTGCATTTCTGTACTATGAGGGCTGATAACAAGTCCGGTGGTCCTCCTCTTGAGAGCAGATGACAAGACATTCATGATCTCCAAAAAGAGAAAGTAACTGTTTTACTAAAGCAAAGTCTAGTGATCTGAGAAAATACTTGAGAGACCTTGTATTTATTTATTATCATGCAGTGACCGTACTATTTTTTATGTTTTCTACTCTGTTGATGTTCAACTTAATTCCTCTAAGTGACAACTTAAAAAGAAAATCCTCCTATGAGCATAATCTGATACTTTTTGAGGGCTTGTAAACAGACCAGCTGATGATCAATGTTACATCATGAGTCAAGGCTTTCACAGTTTGAATCAAGACAGGATGAACTATGAGGAAATCTGAATGTGAGGAGAAAAAGAATCAAAAAGCTGTCTTTCCTTATCAACCTGTTCAAATATGTTTCAGCTTCTGACAGCTGGAGGCTCTTTAAAAGCATGTCTGTTGTTCTAGTTGTTGTTTTCCTTCTCCATTTGTGAGTTTGTGTGTGTGTTGTGAGAGGGATAAAAGCGAGCGTGGACTGAGAGGAAGCGGAGGTGTTAACGCCATGCTGAGAAAGAGGTCATTACCTTGATAGGGGCAGTGAGGTGTGTGTGACGTCTCTTAATGTTTTTACGAGCAGACAGGTGTGCTGCACCAGACTCTGTTACAGCCTGTGATGAGGATTGCTACTTGTTGTGTTGTTTTTGTTTGCTGTAACTGGAGCAGGGGGGGAAGGTAATGTGTGCTGTTTACAGAGCATTAACTATTAGCATAGGCTCGCTCTTTGACATGCATGTGCTAAGTGGTTTGATATTCGCTTTTGTTTTCTCGCTGAGGTCTAAAGGTCAGGAAATTTTTAAAGCACTTGATTTAGTTAGAGGAATTTTGTATTTGCCTTTAAATGTTTATTTTTTGGTTGTATTGGAGCTGATGTTTCAACTGTTGAAACTGTCTCAAGAAAAACAAGAGACAGTCGAACTATGAATCTGATAAGGACACATGTTGTCTGCATGTTGAAAACCAACAGGAGCATTTGATGTGAGTCGAAACATCGCTTGTCGTTTGTAAATAGACCCTCTGCTTACAGACCACATTCAGATTACATCCTTAATCTTTGACTCTGAGGAGAGAGTATTTTAGCTGATTCCATTTTTTATATTGACAGGAATAGATGACACATGATCTGTGAAGTACTTTTTTTAATTAATACATGAGGAATAATGTGCTGATTTGTTATAGTGACTGGATAGGCTGAGAAAACAGGGTTTTATATGCAACCATGTCACACTTGTTTCAGAACTCCAAATACAGATGTTATTTTTTGTATTGAAATCAGATTAATTTCCATCTGTTTGAAACTGTGAAGATTTTTTACAAGGCCCCTCACACAAATACTGCACTCCTAGAGATTTTCCAACATTTTCAGGACACAGAGCTGAATGATTCTTTGCCATTATATAGATTTCTCCAGTTTGATTTGCAAAAACATCCTTAAACATTTGTTGTTATCATGAAAGATGACTCCTCCCCCTCACCTGAACACAACAGAGTATTTCGAGCTGTTTATTATCTAGAAAATGTCAGGGGTACATGTGTTAAAGCGGCTAATGTGTGGCTCCAATTTTGGTCAGACCACCTCCAAAGGGTCTCTGTCAGTTTTAGACACCGCCACTGTCACACCTTCGGGAAGACGAACAGCCAGCCTCTCCTTGAACACCGCCAAATATCCCCGCTCACTGTTGCTATGGTCACTGAGGATGACACTCATTCCCTTGGCTACAGCGTCCAACACTTCGTGATGGGACATTTCACCTGACCAAAGGTTAAAATGATTATATATCAAGGCCAAACCAACACAAGAGAAAAAAACAGTGAAACATCAGATGTTTACCTGTGATGTACAGGTCTGCCTTCACTCCGTTTAGCACTGAGGCTCCGGATCCAGCACACACAGCCACTGAGTTCACAGACGACTCTGAAAATAGCAAAATACTGTTTACTCAAGACTGCAACAAACAGTTTTATCATTTTGTTTGTCAGGGAGTAATTTTTCACTTTTTATTAAAAAGTTGTGAAAAGATGTTCACCACAGCCCGCTGAGCCCAAAGTGACAAAACCTAAATACTCTGCATCTGGTTTCGTAGATGATATGTCTTGTAAATGTTATGGTTTGGTTTGTGTCAGGGTTTACAAGACAACAGTGTAACTTAATCCTTGGTTGTGCCAGTTTTCAACTTTTTCTGATCTCAGATATGTTACACATTTTCTTAAAGTAAAAAAGCAAAAGTTGTGCAAAAGTAAAAGTTGCCAGTGATTCACTTTTTTCCTGCACATCATTCACGTAGTACACAATGTGCATACATATAATTATTGCTAGCTCTTCTGCTTGCATGATGTTTTTTTACCAAGTGTCTGCCCCGATCCAAGGGCCAAGCGGAGGTGACTCAGACCCAGGTGGGACTTCATTTTCTGGATAGCCATCTCCATGGTTACTGGCTGGTCCAAAATGCTCAGTCGCCCTTGGCCGTGGCCTGGAAGAGGAGGCTGCGGGGAGTGAAACACAGGAAGTTATGAGTATATCAGACTAAAACTAGATTTGACTCCTGTTTGTGAGACTTAAACAATTACTTTAAATGAACCAAAACAGAGCTATGTTTCCATCTAAACTAACATTTTAACATTTATAGAGAACCTGTCATGATACTCTTCAGCGAACGGAGCGGGTAAGTAAAAGCCATTCCTGTATGGGAGTGTGTGCATTCTTTTGCGGTGTTTATGTTTCACCTTTTCCAACTTGAGGATGCAGAGGGACTGGCTGGGGGCGTTGTGTCGTAGCAGAGTTTGAACACTGGGGGTCAGCGCTGAGTCACTGCAGGTCACACTGACATGGATCCCACTGCTGTCTGATCTGTCATTTAAGGAGACAAACTATTATTCACAATCACACAAGACCAATTCTGTGCACTCCATATTACTACTGTCTGTTCCTTGTAGAGAAATGACTGGTTTCTATTCTCTGTGTTATTTTGTCAAAATCATTTTTTAGACTCTTCTGGTTTTGCCAGACTATATTCATGAGCCTGCCTACATCAATTTTTTGCTTGAAGGATGTGAAATGGTCTGGCAAAGCATTAAATTGTGACTGAGTTTGTCATTTTTAGCCTTCACTTTGTCAAAGCTACAATACCGGCTTGTGGTAGTGAGGCGCTTAAAAGCTTTAATACTTATGGTGTGAAAAGTCAACTCCCAAAATGCATTGCATTCAAGCTTGGAGACTTAAAAAAAGACACACAGAATAAAAAAAAAACACTAAGATTTTCAGTTGAACTGTTGTGTAACAGTTTTCAAAAGTCTGGGGACACTGGTAGATTAATAAAAACCTGTCTGAGTATCTGTAGCTATTTTGGGTGTCTTACAGTTGATTCCCTGCGGCAGTAAAACCAAAGACTGTATCACGATATAGTATACTGTAGAGAGTAGTGTACTGTAGTAGGAGTTTGAGGGAAATTCTAGTTAAAGTGTTTAGATATAATTTGCACACATGTGAAATCATCATCAGATCTTCATTTTGTGTTAATCTTGGAGACCATTAAACACAAGGCACACTGGACACAGTAACTGATCTGGACTTTAAGGGTCTCATGTGTCACACTGAGACTAAAAGGAAAAACACAACCAAGCTTTCTCTAGTCTGCATGCAGCAAATCATGTCAGTAGACACAGACTTGAGATTGTTTAATAATCAGTTCAGAACTCCCTTCATTGCTAAACAATGCAATAGCTAACACCTTAATATGAATCGATTTAATAATAATTATTATTATAGCAAACAGAACCTGCTGATGGCATGTTGAAGTGTCGTTTCACTGTCACAAGCTTTAAGTTCTTCCAAGATACCCTGTACTTCTCCTGCGCTTTTAGCCATGAATTCCAGTTTGTGGCTGTGGGAGGCATCACCTTTGGCCTCACTCAGCACTGACACCTGACCACTACCTGAGACACAAAAAAAAACACACTTTAGGTCAAGAAAGAGGGCCAGTAGGTTAGTGTCATGTGTCGCACCATTTCAGCCAAATCCCTCTTTAAATATGCAGGTACTGTAGACATGTGCAACACACTTTCCACTCAGCGTGACTCCTTACCTAGTCCACCAACCAGCCAGTCATTGACGCCCCCCTTAACGCTGTCCCACGATGTGTGCGGGGAGAAGATGGCTATCCCTGCCTCGACAGCCCTGATGGCTAATCTCTGCTTCCAATCTTTCTGGACCAAACGCTTGAACGGGCGAAACAGTGGAGGGTGATATGAGATGATAAGGTCACAGCTCATGGCCTCCGCTTCCGCCATGACAGCATCTGTGAGATCGTTTGTTAACAGGATGGTTTTTACAGGGCGAGGTTTGCTGGGCTCAACCAACAGGCCGACATTGTCCCACGACTCAGCCAGAGATAGAGGAGCGAGCTGCTCCAGCACCTGCAGGACTTCTTTTAGCTCCATCACACCTGAACTAAAGGTGGAGTGAGACAGGCAGAAGATGTGGGAGTGGATAGATGAGTTTAGGAGGGCTGAGGTTGCCTGGTTTGTCAAGAAGATGTGACTGTGAGGGAGAAATAAAGGGCTGAATGAGGCTGTAGAGAGAGCAGCCTGGTGGGTCCAGCTCCCTCTGGTACAAAGTCTTCTATATGTGAGGGGGAGAAAGGTTCGAGAAAGGTTTCTGCATGCGGTCAGCATCAGAGGAGCCCTGTTTGGGGAAAAAACAGACCAATGAGTTCTTAGCAGTCATACATTTTCTATCCTGGCAGAATACTCCCAGAAGAAAACCCAAATAGAAACACATACTATATGAAAGAAGACAACACCTACTCTGAAATGACACCCGTGCTGATACAAACCTACAAACTAGCCATCCCTGTTCAGACAACAAGGACATTATAAAAAACTAAAATCTCCAACTTGGTTGGTTAATTTCCACCTTAAATGTTCTGCCTTAACATCACTCCTAAACGAATAACATGAAAACCCCTTAATCCAAATACAAGGACAGACGTGACCCAAAAAGCAGCAACTGCAACTATTTTGGAAAGTTTGCCATATATTTAAAACACTGAGGTACAAAGTCAAGACTTTTAAAAATGAACTATTTGATTTTTTTTTGTACGAACAACATGCAATAAAATCAAACTATTATAAACCTTATATGCAGGTGTAACCTGATCTGAATTGTAAGATGAGACAGGCAGGGGAAGCATGCAGCTAAGAACAGAGGCAGCTAGTCAGCTATCTACAGTTAGCTATGACACTATTAACATACACAACAAAGCTATAAACAGGATATCGACACATTCGAATGCGTGTGAGTAAGTTTATCGTACTTTCGCTTGCCTTTCACTTCAGACGGACAGCTAAGGGTGTGTTAACGAACACATTTCACCTGCAGTGACAGATATCGCGCTTCACCCAGCAGAATGTCCCATTCCGGCTTCCGTTCCCGATGCAGTGATGTGATTGGTCGGTTGAAACGTCACTATGAGCGCTGTTTTGTTTATAAAATGTAAGGTATTGACATTAGGTCATAAAAACCGCCATAAGACTACGAGCAGAGTTGTGGGTTTGAACCTTATTGTGGTTAAATTAGTATAAACTACGATTTTTGGGGGGTTGGGAAGCTCAGTTTATTAAAACATAAAGTAGGGGAGACCGGGGCTTGTTGTCACATGGGTAAGTTGTCACATTGCAATTATCTTTGCCACTAGAGGGCGCAACTAAAAAGTGGAACACTAGTTTTCTTCCTTTACATGGTCAGGGGTCGTGTCCTGTCTGAGAAGAGAAGGACACATTGTGAGCTGATGAGCACCAATTAACCATTTCACACAACCCAAAGTTAAAAAAAAAAATACTTTATATATTTTAAAATGAGCTTCTTCCAGATAAAAATCCAAGCAGTGATACATGTGGACTTGTTAGAGGAGAGATTAAGGCATCCTGTCATACCTCAGTCATTGTTTTAATCTAACTTTAAGCTAGTGTTAGGATAAGTTAAAAAATAGAGATGAAAAAAATAGAGTTGAAAATAAAGTTCAAAGCAGGAAAACTAGCAAACTAACCTGAGCTGAGGCAGAGCAATTTATTGGGCATGGAATAATGACAAAAATAATCAAAGCTAACAAGGAGCTCTGATAAAAATTCTGAGTAAAGTGTTATATAGAAAAGGGTGTCTCAGCAACTTGTAAAGCCACTATTCAGTTCAGCTCTTTAGCTCAGAAAAATAGATGCAAACAATATAAACCTAACTCAAAAATGAATGTGAACAGACAAAAGACAAGATAACTGACAGGCTGTATTAACTTTCACCAGACAGGTGGTCAGACAGTAGATACCCAGAGGACGCATCTGCTACTTCTCAGAAGGATTACTGGTATTTTGGGAGTTAGGAAATAAAATCCATGCAGGAAAACAAACACAGAGAAGGGGATAGGCCCATCAGCATTTAGAGGACGGCTGCAAATTATTTAAACCGTAGTTTCTCATTAAGCGCACTTTGACAGCAAGATGCTGGACAGAGTTTCTGCCTTGGAACTGAGTCAGAGTGAGAGAGATTATTGTGGATTAATGCAATAAAGGTTGATGCTGGATGTTTGAGGGATCACAGGAGGATCAGGGCAAAGGCCAGGCAGACAGCGTTACATCATCTGAGTCCGCCTTTGGCCCGCTCAGCCTCTCTGAGCACGGCACCTCTCACTTTCAATGGGACCCCGTTTTCAATCACACTATTTGATATCAGAGCAATGAAAGGAGACATTCCTCTTCCTTATTATTACTCCCACTTACACCACACACACACAAAGGAGCAGTTATTTACAGAAAAGCTACAGAAAATGTTTTCATTAATCTTATTGACACAGATATCCTTTGCATCCAATCTGTGAAGTGGCACTGGCAGATGTTTACTTAATAGATCAGTGTTTTCAGACAGAGAAAAGCTTCACTTTTGTTAATTGGGCCTATAAGCCCCAAAGTCATGGCCCATCTGCCTGTCCAGTACGGTTCTGGTCCAGCTTTTATGCAATAACTCTGTGAAGCTAACTAAAGGTTAGTGTGACATTGTTCCTGCCACCGTCCTGTGACCCACACAATGCAGATGGTGTTAAAAATCAAATGGTTGGACTCCTTTGGGGTGTGTTTACAGGTTATGCATTCAGTTATTCAGTTGTCGTCTGTTTTTCAAGTTAGGTGAGATTTTTATTAAAAAAAAAAAAATGCATGTTTTGGCAACTTTGCAGACTAGTGATGGTTTGTAGTGCTTTTCATAGTGTTTTAACTTGATAAAGTTTTAGTTACTCTATTATCTAAAAGAATGCTTTCACAGTAACATCTAGTTAGTTAGTTAGTTAGTTAGTTAGTTAGTTAGTTTATTGTCCACAAGTGGAAATTTGTCTTTAGTCTCATTGTGTACAAAAAACAGATCAACAGCAACAAGGACAGCAGCAACAGACACATAACAAATACAGACGAAACATCTTGGCAGCAAAAGAGGGAGGATAACAGTTGCATGTACTGTCCATAACAGGCAGATCTAACGAGACATGGGCCTACTATCATTCAGTACCCTGATGGCATTAGGAATGAATGAGTTTTTGATCTATTAGTCTTCATTTTTCCTGTCGTCTTAATGTTGTGCCTCATAGAAATTTGCTAAATCATCAATAGCTGCTCAGAACAGTTTGTCCACTTAGATGATACTATACTGCAGTGTCTGTGTGAATTATAAGAACAGTCATTATGCAAACATCTTAAGTGTTACAGCCTGTATCAAGTGTATTAGTGATGAACTTCTAGGCCTAATACATTACTGCAATCTGCTGCATGTCTTTCTCTTTATGTGTACCTAACAGTCTTTATTATCTTTCTCGCCCCCGTTAAATGCGGACAATGAACAATGTGAACCATAAATGCTTTTCTGGATTATTTGGTCTGTAATTTGTCTTTTTATAACTCTTCCTCTAACTTGACTTTAACAGCAATAACTGCTAGTAAAAGAAAATGATCATAAAAATTCTGGGGCAAGATCTTTAAAAACCTATAAATATTGTTTTTAGAGGATGTAAATAAGGCAACAAACAGTAATGCCCCCTGTTATTTGTCCTTACAACTCTGCTCCAAATCTTAGTTCAACAATTAAAATGTTTAAATTACTAGAAATTTGGGGCAAGCTCTTGAAAAAAACTTTTAATTAAGTCTTTTTTTAACCTCAGATTACAAGATCGTTATAACTTGTGTGCAGATTCCCCAGCACTCCTTTTAAAGAGCTAAATTCTGACTAGACTACATCCTAATCCCTTGTTTGCACTTAATACTAAGAAATCTGTCTGTGTGATGTCACAGTTTTGAGCTGATGTTGCTTCTCTTAGCGAATCAGTAGCCGCTCCGTTTTTGTCTCAAAATCTCTTTATCCCTGTGTCCTCCCAAAGCCAGGGCGCAGGAGTTACTCAATCCTCCACATATCCGCCCCACAGTGTAGTAGCGTCGCAGATGTTTTCGGTTCCCAAATCCTTCTTTGGGCTCACAAAATCCACAAATCACTGCTTTAGTTTATTATACAACCGGAGAGTTTTGTGTCATTATGCAAGTTGATTTACTATGAAAGTCGTGCATGACTTTGGATTAAATTACAATGTGCCGCCACAGATTTTCTGTCACGCACAAACCGTTAAGTCTCTGTGCTTTGATTTTGCCAAAATATTAAATCAGCTTTTGCCATCATTTATCAAAATGCCAAAGACGAGTTCAGGCAGATTCATTTCTCAATAATAAAACACCCACATTGTTCATAGCGTGGAATAGATTCAAGACAAAACTCTTGTGCCGAGAGTCAGTAAGTCATTGTCTTTTATTTCATGTCTGCACACACCTGTTTCCAGATCGAACTTGTTGAAATATATCCATTATTATTACACAATACTACAAGTCCAGGCTAAATACTGTAGAGGTATTTTCACTATACATAGTAGAAGATTAATAGCTTTTTAAATATTTTCTCTGCTTTATAATGTTTCAGAGATAAAAACAATGAAACAGTGTCAGAATAAACATCTTCAATCCAGTCCAACAAAATAATCCATAACTTTCTCTGTATACACAATAAACATGATTAAATAAATAAATATATTCACACTTTCTTTTGGATTATCTTACATCTTAGAAAAACATCTGAGCACACAGTGGTCAAACTTTGCATAGCTGTAAAATCATCTCTGAGGGCAGCTTCATACTGCTGGACTTCTTTGAGTTTTAACATTATGATTGTTATGTACAAGTTAATCCTTCAAAGAGCTTCACTGACAGACAACTTCAGGACTGCTACATGTCTGTAGAGGTGCAAAGGTACTTCTTTCACTGATGCTCCTCTGCTGTCATTGATGGGACATCATTCTGACAAACTCTGCAGCAGAGAAGAAGAAGGGTTTCAGGATCAGTGAATTTTTTTGTGAAGTTTATGAGTTGATGTCAGTGCAGTTTACAAACAGTTACCTTCAAAGTCTACAGTGCCGTCTCCGTTGTCATCTGCTTCTTTTACTATAGCGTCTATCTCCCTCCTGCTCATGTGCTCTCCCATCAGCTTAATCATGGCTGATCGTAACTCTGCTGTTGTGATTTCTCCATCCCCGTCCATGTCAAACTAAAGAAAGGGAGACAAAAGAAGAGCTAGATGGGCATGTTGTTCATCTCCACAGAAAATTAGTTTAGGTAGAAACTGAACAACTTCAAGTTTTGAAAGGATCCCCGGGCTTTAAAGATTTAAGAAAGTGACCTTCACCTCTTTGAAAGCATCCTTCAGCTCCTTCACGCCGATCATCCCCGCTGTCTCTGCCAGAAGTTTTGGTGCCATGAGCTCCACAAAATCCTCAAAATCAACTCTGCCCCCAACTGGGAAAAAATAAAACAAGAAAAATAAGCATTTAGAAACAGTTATCACTCTCTAATCAAGTATTTTTGTGGCTGGTATATTGTGTTGATTCAACACCTGAGAGGACAGTTTGAATATGACACACTTAAAGGTGCTCGTCCCCCTCTATCTTTTAAGAATCAACTCTTTCAAGCATGAAAAAAACACTAAGTACAAAACTAAGAAATTATAAACAATAACAGATTTTGATTGACTTATTTTTGACTAAATAAGCCTGAGACTGCTGAATTTCATGACACACATAGCAGCTCAAAAAAATCAGAAAAGTTGTTTTTACAATGCCAAGGTGTACCATAAAGACTTCATCTTCAAAAGTCACATGATATATACAGTTTGGATCATGATCACTCATTGAAGATGGTTAAATTCAACCATATGATCTGTGTTATCTTACGCTTGTCTTGCTATTTCTTAATGAAAAAGTTGAAGCACACCAAGTCCTTTATGTTTTATTTTTTAGAATTTGTTTACTCCACTCAGTCCAGGACTCACGGTTCATGTTGATATTTTGGCTCAGTTCAATCAGCTCCATCTCTGTAGGCATGTATCCCATCGTTCGCATCAGGTTCCCCAGGTCCTTACAGCTGATCAGCCCATCTTTATCTTTGTCAAACTCATTGAACGCATCCCGCAGCTCTGCAAATAAGAGATAAGATGCATCCAGGTTGTGTAAGAGTTTTGAAACTAATAGTAAAAAATTTTGGAGTAAAAAACACACAAAGATACGACTGAAATTAACTCACCATCAATTTCATCATCTGCCAGTTCTCTTGTCTGTAAGAAATAAAGCAGAGATAAAGATTTATAGCAAAAACTGTACATTTTAGTGTCCAGTACTTTTACAGTAGCATGATAAAGCATGATTAAGTGCGATTGCTTTTACAGGTTGACATTTTTTATCTTTCCATACTGTCATCTCTCAGATTATAATCCAGTCAACTACATGTAGCAGTTTGCAAATATCATTGCAAACCCACTTATAAGAGGAAAATACCATCACAGCTGTACTCACAATGTTTTTGCCTCCTCGTAGGAAAATGCAAGCAGCCCCAAAACTCATGTCTGCAGTGACAAAGAAAAAAAAATCTTTTTAATTGTGACACATGGTACTGTAAAGAGAAGATTCCCAAAGTTGGAACATAAATTTTTACTCTATGTGTGTCTTTCTTTTTGCAAATACTATTAAAATACTTTTTAAAGTTTTCTTTCAAAATTAATATCTTGCACAGATTCAAACCCATTTAAAATCATTTCCACATAAACACAAATAATAGATAATATTCTAAGGATTACATGAAAGAATAGAAGATTTTACAGTTTATAATTTTTCCAGGTAATTTTTTTTTAATTTGATTTATCTGCTTACCGTCTTCTGTTGACTTCTTATCATCCGCCCGTCGTTTCTTACACGAGCCCTGAAGCAGCTCTCTCTCCTCTCTGTGAGTCTGTTGGTCCCTCCTCAGGACGGCCCTGCTCTGGCCTGCCTGTCGGGATGCTGCAGGAGTTTGAATGACAGGGAGGTGTGGCTGCACACAGGGGTGTAGGTTTGATGGGAGGAGTCAGCACTGTGTTGACATCACGCTGTAAACGAGACCACCATCTGAACCTGAGGCCGACACTAGAGACTTTGAGTGCATACTGGTAGAATTTCATGAAAACAGTTCATGTTCTATTGTTTGCTGTGAATTAATTACAAGAGTAGTAATTTTCAGTCCTATTCAGTAGGTACAACAGAGTCTGAGTATTTTATTTAAAGTATAGAGAAATAAGACCATCATTTTTAGTCAAGTTGTTCAGTAGTTGTCTTTCAATCAATCATCTCCATGGTCTCAAAGCTCCTGCAGGAGTTTTTTGCTGGTTGTGAACCAGACTGAAATTGAAACTAATGTGTCTGACCCACATAAGAAAACCAGATCATCAGAATAAAGACTGACTGTTTCTACAGTTATTTTTAATGTCTTCACTCACTCACTGCTTCGAGGTAGGTCTCAGGGTAGGTCATGGCATGCTGAGAGTTATGCTTGGTTGATTAAAGTCAAAGTTCGTCTCTGTAGAGAAATTTAATTCTTAGAGTCTTAACCACAAATATCAATATTTTTTATTTAGTGTTTTTTTTTTTAAAATAAACTGAAGATTTACAGAACACTTTTTAAAATAAAGTTTAAGAATTTTTGAGACCTTTTGTAAGACCCATATAAAAGAGGAAATATATTATTTTGTTTTTGTTTTTTTCCTGGTAGAACAAACAACAAACATTTTTGATGTATTTAACTAAGTTGTTTTTAAAAGCTTTTTCTCATAATCTTGTAAATCACCTCATGATAGTTTCAACCATTCCTTTATTATTTTTTTTATTTTTATTTTTTGTTGAGACTGAATGTAAATGAACCTCTATTTTCCTATCCTTCTTCTTCTTTTTCTTTTTCTTCTTCTTCTCACTTTTCTCTGTGATTGAATATGCTGCCATACATACCATGAAAGTGGAAAAATGGCTACAAATAAAAAGAGTAATAAAAATAATATAATGTAGATTTAATGAAATGCATAATAAAACTTTAAAAATCTTTAGAAGACACTTAAAAGCTTAACATTTCAAACTTTAACTTAAAACTTTAAAGTTAGAATTCTAACTGGTACATTTTGTAAAACTTAATCATTTGTATCACTTTTTTTTGCACCAGAAAATTTCTCTCTAGATTCTCTGTGTGTTATTTAAACAGTTTTAAATGATAAATGAGACATTTAAACTGGTTATTTTTGCCTGAAACTACAAATTGCAGCTAATACCCGAATGTGTGATAATCTGTGTGAGTATTGCTTACATTTGCATGGAAACAAAAGGATTAATATTTCCATGAACTACCCTGATCATGACAATGTTTGGGGATTAAAGCCTCTGGGACGATCTTCACTTCCTCCAGTCTGACTGAAACTTCCACTTTGTTTGTCCTCTGCTCCCTTAAACCTCCCCTCTGCCCGTCTCCCTGTTATGTAAATTCATCAGAAAATCTGGCGACATTAAAGCTATAATCCACTGAGCCATGCGACAGGAAGTAGACATTATTATTATTATCATTTTTTTCAACCAGCTGAGGGGTTATGCAAAGTCAAAGCAACAGCTGTGCAAAATGTTTGTGGAGTGAAACTTTGGACATTTAAAAGTACGCAAAGTGTACATGAAAAGTGAGAGAGTTAAGGGTGTGTTCGATTTTTTAAAATGAAACAATATCAGTGAGGTAGAAGTAGTTCACTCTACATAGAGGATTAAGATGTTATTGCAACAAATTGAAACGAATCCTTATTGAGTAATTCAATTTCTGTCCTTGACTGCAGGCTGACAAGAATGTTTTTACAAGTTGTAGAGAGAAAATGTCGGTTTTATTGAGTGTTTTTGTCAGTCTGGTATGTCAGCCAAAAGTGCACAACACTGTAGAATTAATCTGAGTGGATTATGGAAGCAAAGGCTGAGTGTGAGATTGTGATGACGTGTGAGTCTGTCCGTGTGTTTGTGAAAAAGCTGTATGGCATTAAATCAACATGACAGAAGAGAAAAAATTCAATTTACATGAGAATTCAAGAAGTTCTATTACAGTAAATAAATATATATATATTCCCTAAGATTAAATATTGCTCTCTTCTCTCTAAATGTCTCGTAAAATCCCCAAGGGTTCATGACCCCCCCAGCATGCTCAACACCTGCTAACGGGACATAATAGGAGCCCTCTGATTCAATGTCATCAATAGGGCATCCAATCCTGTTTGGGCAGGATTGGGATTATAGCAGGAACCATTTAAACTATAGCAGTTCAATTCACATGGGCATGAGTTGATTATCTCATGGCAGGCTTGCTTGAGGAGGGAATGAGGGCTTTGCGTGTTACGTGTGAACATACATTCATGAGTGCAATCTCAAAATGAAGCAACAACTGTCTTACATGCAGTTTAAATCAGCGACACTGGAGGAATTAACAAACATCATCCTGTGTGGAAGTGCCCTGGTTTCCTTCCACTGGACAAAGGACAAAGACTTTAAACTATTGGACAGTACTTGGAATTCTCTACCATTAAAAAAAAAGGTGCACAGTAACATGATTCTTGAATTTAGCAGTTAGCACCACCTCATCGAGTAAAATGATTCTGGGTTCTGTCCTGAGCGGACGCTTTTCACATGTTGGAGGAATTAAATGGTCCACAGTTCAAACCTGAAAAGGGACTTCCCATGTGAGTGGAGAAATAATTCTTTCCCCTCTCTACAGTCTGATCCTACTGTTTGAAAAAAAGAAAAACAATAATGACATGGGGAATGAAAAGACTAAATATGTAAGGATTACCAAGCTGGCATTTGGTGGTATTGGCTCATGGCACTGCCCCCAGACTGAACCCGGCTTTTGAAAAAAACAAAACAATAAAATGATGAATTGAAAAGATCCAAATATAAATACCAGACAGGCCTATGGTGGGGCAGATCAATGTTGCTGCCTTTGAGAGAGATAGTCTCTGGTTCAAATCCTGAATAGAGACTTTCCTTGACAGGGGTGAAATGCTTTCCTCACGCTGCAGACTGAATCAAGCTTTTGAGTAGTCATAATAAAATCTTGAAATAAAAAAGACAAGGCAGGCCTGTGATGGGGAGGTTGTGGCTATTACCTTTGACTGAAGTGCCCTTGGTTCAAATCCTAAGCAAGGGTTGTGTGGAGGAAGGAAGAAAAGTGTGGAAAGAAAATAAGGGGGAAAGTACGGTGGCTGAGAACTGCCACTGCTGCAAATAAAAAAGAATACAAAAAGAAGCCACAGCGGAAGTTACCGATGGAAAAAAAATAAATAAATAAACCGAAGCCTGCTGCAAATAAAAAAATGAAACGGTGCAGATTTTAAAAAAAAAGCCACAACAGAAGTTAATGACGCAAAAAAAAAGTGGCAATGCAAAAAATAAGAAAAAGGTTACTTACTGTGAAATAAAAGAATGCAAATAAAAAAAGCCAAAACGGACGACCCCTCTACCTCCTGAGCTACTGCCGCCCAATTAAGCCATTACTAACGAGAAAAAAAGTCCTTTCTAACAAGAAAAAAGTTGTAATAAAGTAATTACTTGCGAGAATAAAGTCATAAAATCATTATGATACTTATGATAATGTGGTGCTGATTTGCCAAAAGTATCTCCTTGTATGGTAAACCTATGTTGAAATACATTTTCATGAAATGCTCCATGGCTCTCATTTTAAAAACTGTCATCTTAAACAACAGGTTGGAATGTAAGGACTTTATTCTGACTTTACTCTCGTAAGTGATTACTTTACTACGACTTTATTCTCGTAAATTAATGACGTTAATCCTGAAGTCTTAAATATATATTTTTTTATGTGGCCCTAATACTCCGTCGTACTCGGCCACCGTAAAAAAGACAGAGGCAGGGGGCAAAGAAAAGTAAAACATTTCGAGGGCAGAGAGCAGCAAAACTCAATTTTTATACGTCAATCTTCGGCCACTTGGGGTCGTCGTTGCAGCTCGTGTGCCTGTTTTTGATCCGTCGAAGAAGAGCTCTTCCGTTTTCCTTTCGGCTCCCGCCCCGTTCCGCCATCATGAAGTCCTGAACAAAAAACGGACGGGAGTCAAGCAAAATGGGGATAAGACGGACTGGAGAAGAAATCCGCCGACAACACTAACATAATGACAGCAGCGCACAGCAGAGCAGGGAGCGGACCCGCCGAAATTCATGAATCTGCCTCCCACTGAAAGCGTCGCAGGCAGCTCCTGTCGTTAGGTTATATAGTTAGCATCGTTGCTACCTGCAGCAGCCGGAGCTGGCCCCTCATTTTCTCTCAGCTTTCAGCACATCTGTGCTCCTGGATCCTGCCGTCAGTCCGCTAGCTGTCACTGAAACTGAGTGGGCTCTTCACTCTCATGTCAAGTCTAGCTGTCTTCTTGACTGTGAGCTTCAGGATGGAGAGGAGTCCGAGAAAAAGCATCATCGACAGGCAGGATGTGGTTTCTTCGTCTTGAATAGACTCCTGTGTCGAGGAAAGGGGGACTGAGACCAGTATTTTCCAGCCAGGCCAGTTAGCTAGCTTCACAGCTAGCTACAGTGGATCCCAAAAGCCACGGTAAGACCTCTTATGAATCATTTAGCATGCTAAAGCAGCCCTATGCGATTTTCTGCCTCTGTTCGCAGGGAAACGGGTGGATACCTCAGGTTTTCGGATCCATTTTCACATCTTCAAGTCGTTGACATTGACATGCAGGCTTGTTGTTGGCCTGTAGCTTTAACACCCAAGCAGCCCCGAGTTGTTGTCTCCTCTTGTATCTATGACATTCATTTTATTCAGCGAGGATGAGCAAATATAGCCTAATTGATCAGTCAAGTGCAAAAAAGCAAATGCAGCCATCGAGCTTCTGCTCAGCTGATCCACACTGTGAATCCACGGATCTAATGCTTACAACAGTTTTTACCATCATTTAGATGTGCAGGTGTTTCCCAAAGGTGGATACAGAGTTGGAAAAATTATATGGCATGAATTAAGATGGTTTACAGTGGAATCACAGGGATACAGCTGCTGCCTGTCCCTGCCTGTCTGTCTGTCTGTACTGAAAATGGCTCGGATGGGTTCTTGGAGAAAATACAGGGACCTTTAGGCTTGGCTGAAAGATTTGGAGAAACCCTTATTTTCTTCATGCATCCCTCTGAACAGCATTGAAATGTCTCATTTTTAAGTGAGTGGAAATACATGCATAAAAACCACATTTTCAAAGAGGTGTGTCATGTTTCCAAAGAAATTCTTTATCAGTATGCTTAGATTAGTGGTTCTCAACTGGTGGGTCCTGACCCAAAAGTGGGTTGCGGACACGTTCGGGATGGGTCACAAACAGCTGGTCAAAAAAGTAAATATTTAATGTGATATTTATTAGATACTCAAAATTTTCTGTGTAAGCAACTTCAGTAGTTGTCATCCTCAGTTCATTTGCGCTGAAATGCACTTTACTCAATAAAACAAGTGGATTTATGTGAAAGATTAGAGTCTTTAAAGGTTTTTTTAAAATTAGAGATTAGAGAGACCAGTTGAGAACCACTGGCTTAGATGATGTCTGCAGAGTTACCCAACAGACAGTCAGCGAAAAATGAGGAATTCCTGTTTGCACTGTTGACATTATTGGCGTTATATCAGTGTCCTTTTTTCTTTTTTAATTTCTCCTTTAAAATGTTGGATCTTTGCACACACAGGTAGTCTGTCTTTCTTTGAGCAAGGCCTCTGTTGCAACATTCAGAGACTACTCTGGTTATCATCTTGCAGTTTTCATGAATTCACGATGATTAGACATGACTTAAAAAGCTTCATGATGGAAATTTGAACAGCAGAGTGACTGCTGGATGGAACAAGTGAGAGCTATGGCACGTTATACTGCTAAACGTGGGGGCTTCTATGGCTGCATTTCCATAACTAGTCAGAAAACCCGTGTACCCTTTTTTCAGTGTGCAATCAAACTCCCTTCAAGGGTTAATAAAATGATTTAATTTAACAGTACTGACAGGTCACATTAAGTTAAGACAAATGTAACACATTTGTTATGAGAGATGATGTGACTCATGGGCCTGGCCCTAAATTTCAGTGAGGATATTTGTTGATGCTTATTGAGGTGTGCTGCTGTATGGGAAGATTTCTGTTTTTTCTTCAGTAAGATCACTTAACTCATGTGAAATATACCATGTTATATGTCTGTGTTGGTTAATAGAAATGCTTATTAACAGATTCAAGTGACACAAGTCCAGATTTTGGAGGAGAAATGCAAATGGGGAAAAAAAATGAATGTAAGAGAAAAAAGCAACTGCGGTTTCTGCAGCTAACATTCAATATTTAGTTGTGTGAACTAGATACCGAAATAAGCTAGACTCCATTTTCTTCAAGAAGAGAGATTTCTGTGTGATCAAATACACACATGTTACAATGTCATTTAGCAGATGCTTTTATCGAAAGCAACATACATATGAGAACAACACAGGCAAAGATCGAGACAAGAGGAAACAAGATTAGTAAGAGGAATAAGTGCTTCAAGTATATTTGGACACAGGTACTGCCACACAGTTTAAAAGAAATACACAACAGTGAACAGTTTTTTTATTTTGAGAAATAAGGAACATCGACAAGGAAGCAATCATTCAATTTCAAGACCTATCGTCATCACCACATATGCACAAAAGTATAGAAATGTTTTGTCTATGTATGTGTAGGCTACTGAAAGGCTGATAAAGGAGAAGACTTGTCAGAATCCTTTTTAGAGAGGATTTTTTTCTGTGTTCATCAATCATCTGTTGATGATTTTTTATGCAAGTGTGGGAGAAGACAAAAACTCTTGGGGGAAAAAAGCTAGAGCTGCTTTGTGAGAAAAATACAAACAAAACTATGAGGCTTTTGGTTCCTGACAAAGATTAAAAAAAAGATATTTGTTCAACATTGAGTCTATAAATGCTAAAACCTTGTTACAGTTTGTGTTTAGGTTTGTCATTTTTATATTTAAAGCTTCAGTAGAGTGTTTTTGACATTCATTAACTAGACAGCAATTCATACTGATGCCTTTGTATGATATACAAAAGCAAACAAGACCATCAGTGACAAGACTGGCTATTTTCAAACTGTACATTTTAATGCATGAAACTGTCATGAGGGGGTTGGTGTTAGCAGAGCAGCTGAAGATAAACACTCCTGTTTTTACATTTAGTCATTAAATACTCACAATAAATGAGACCTTTGACTGTCAGAGAGCAGCAGGATGAGATTATTTTACTTAGACATGTAGAGGACAAAACAAGCAAAGACTGCTTTGGCCATAGGGGGCGCCAAATTGACACAAACTGAGAGTCCCTTAGTGGAGCTTTAACTGAAAGACACAACGGTTTGCTGATATTGTTCAGCATAAAAGAAGGAGAAGGTGGATAATTTCCTAGTCTTTAAGCAAATCTCAATTAAACAATGCAGGCATATTTCTTCAAAAACACGACAAAGAATACCTGTAAGTACCTGTGACATTTACGCTTCCTGTTCAAATAGTCCTATCATTTGATGGACGCTCACTCGATCGCATCTCTCCATGATCTCCAGGCGCTGGCCATGCCGTCGAGTGTGCGGGCCGGGAGCCTGAAGGACCCGGAGGTGGCTGAGCTTTTCTTCAGGGAGGATCCTGAGAAGCTCTTCACAGACCTGAGGGAGATCGGCCATGGGAGCTTCGGAGCGGTCTACTTTGTGAGTCAACTTCTTTGGTATACTGGTCGAGATATTGTGGTGTAGCCACTGGGCATCATTTTTTTTTGTCAGTGCACATACAGGCCCAACGTCATTGTCGCAGCCTTTACCTAATTTGAATGATGATGTTGGAAACCTCCTAAAGGTCTGAATTGTGCTACTTCTCTTTTCAGCTGAGTGAATATAATAAGAATGAAGAATTCATGTTTTTGCAGTATTAATTACAAATGCAGAACTATTTTTAGGTTCAGTTTTTGCAGGAAGAAAAGAGAATTTATGTCGAGTAATTTACCACAAAAGTATATCTTTCATAAAGCTGCTTCATGAAGTCTGAGGCTGATATAAAGTGTGAAAATGGATCCTGATTTTTTTTCTCAACAATGCTGAAAAACTGCTCTTGGATGCGAACAATAAAATGACTGTTTCCAGTGAAAGCTTTTGGATGTAGCTCTGTGGTAGTTACTCGTTAAAAATGTAAGATCTGTTCTGGTTCTGATTTCTGTTCATATCTTGCGCTCTCGGGGGTGTGAAGCTTACAAGTGAGGTGTTAGATCATTAATCTTGCTTTTTTAGATCAAAATACAACTGAACTTGTTGATACCTACATTGGGATTTAGGCTCTGCTGACTCATGTTTCATGGAAGTCTGTGACTGTTTTTGTATAATTCATGTAGAAAATATTAACCAGACTAAAACATAACTTAAGAATATGAATAATTACTCATAGCAGCTCAAGCTTATTGAGATAAATCCACTGTGCTGAGTCTGGTCTGTGTCAAAGTGGCTGATGGAATGAAATAAAAAAGGTAGGCACAGCAGAGGAGAATAGCTGACAGACACGGGTGGGGGTGTCAGAAGGTGTCTGTTAGACAGAAGGGATGGAGGTGGTGATGATGTGACTGCCATAAGAATACAAGGTGAAATCTGAGGATGAAAGGTGTCAGGAGAGAGGAGAAGAAAAGGTAAAAGGACAAAAGATGACTTGTGGATGTGCTGGAAGAGAAGGCCTGTGTAATGAAGGGTGAAAAGGAGCTAGTCATGGATGAAGGGATCAAGAGGAAGAAAAGAGGAAGGAGGCTCTGCAGAAATCTTTGTTTTCTGTAGAAGTGTTTTTTTTTTCTTCTTTTGGGTGGGTGGGTGTTATGTCTGCTCTCAGAAATGTAAAACAGGAGAACCTTTAAAAAGACACTGACTCACGTCTCGTCTCTCACAAGGCCCATGACATCCGCACCAATGAGGTGGTGGCCATCAAGAAGATGTCCTACAGTGGCAAACAGTCCAACGAGGTACAACAACAAATACAACAACTCTGAATCTTTCCCCTGTCACAGATGTCAGATCAGTTGAGTATGGTTCATTTCATCAATGCTTGTGTCCTCTCTAATGTTCAAAAAGAAATGGCAGGATATCATCAAGGAAGTCAAGTTCCTCCAGAAACTACGTCACCCAAACACCGTGGAGTACCGAGGCTGCTACCTGAGAGAGCACACAGCATGGGTGAGTGTGTGTCTATGAGTGTGCAGGGCTCGACAGTGCGACCATTTCACTCACATATGTGACTAAAAATAAATGTGTGCAAATTGTGAAATGAATTTAGAGACACATGGGCCCATTAAAAAAATTAGCCGAGCCAACAAATGTTTTTTCATTTAAATACAGCGGTGACGTTGGTTTTGAGTTGGATATTCGACGGACATTCACTGCGGATCTTCCAGTGTCTTCTCACTCTCCATAACTGGGAATAGCAACAGCAGCACAGTTAAATCTACTCATTACCCTCGCTGTTAACGTCAGGTGTTAAATAAGGGACCATCAATAAATTACCTGTCGATGTTCTCAGAAAAGGCTGTTTCCCTTCAGTAGCTTCCATGCCATGTGACTGATTGATCTAAAATTGATTTCAAATAGCAGTACTTAAGTCGACCAGTAAGACAAACATTATTTGATCAATTTCCCTAAAGTTCTTTGTGTGCTCCTTTAAACTTAGGAGCACATATGCCCCTTGTGAAAAAAAGTTAGTGTCAAGCCCTGGTGTGTGTGCGCTCTCTCTGTTGTGGCATGAAGGAAAGGGGAACCGACAACTCCAGATTTTCTGTCTCCACACTGAACAATCTGCTGAGTGTTTTATGGTCATTTACTTCTCCTCTAAAAAAAAATAACATGCTGCTAAATGAGACGCACATGTTGCTCTCGTCTTGTCTGTTAAAACTTGAAAGCAAAACTCGCAGTTAAGCGGGACCTTTTTTGGCATCCTGGCAGGAATTGTTGTCGAACGAATGCGTGCAAGTGAGCAAAGATGACAGCTCTTACTCAGAACTAGGGCTGCAGCTATCGATTATTTTAGTAATCGAGTACTCTATCGATTAATCTGTCGATTAATCGAGTAATCGGATAAGAAATGTTTTGCTCTCACTGTAATACTTTGCATTGAATCACGTTTGCCTCATTAAAAACCATCAGTAACACACAAAACTGAAATAGGCCAGGTCTTTCAAATGAATATTTTTACTGCATAAATCAGGAACCAAAAGTTTTACATTTTACCATGTAGTTCACATGAAACTACTGAAGGCAAGGTCTGCAGATGGTCTTTTAATTGCTATGGTAATGATCTTTGCAGTTTTCACTAAACCAGTCACAACTATTTCCAGGCTTTGGATCTAATTTTACTTGTTTAATTAATAGGCTGAAATAATATAATTCTTGGATACTAACATAATTTGACAAGCAAATGTACATTTATTCAATATATAAAAGTGTTACATTTTTATTTACATGTTGTTGTGTGTTGGTCATTTTGCAGCCCTCTGCTGCTCATCACACGCCTAGCAGGTGGTGTATAGCATTATCACCATGGATACACGGATGTTTGTGTGATTTTTTTCATCCACTGCCGCCCGGTTTGTGTCGTGTAGATGTTGATTATGAAAACACTTCGCAATAATTTGGAAACGTGAAGGGGGAGCTGCTGCTGCCCGGTGTTTACGGTAAATAGACGCAAACACCGACCAAGTGGACGCTTCGGTCTCCGAAAACGCCGAGACAAATTTACAAACAGCCACTATTTCAAACAACTGGGCTCATAATCGTGATGTAAACACTTACTTTCTCGCTAGAAAAAATATTATTATTGAATGAATTTATATGATTTGTCCGGAATGCAGTCGTTCTATGTAGCTTGTGGTAGGACTATTTAAATTTTCCCGGCGCTGCGTCCGGCCGGCACGAAATGCATTCTGGGGTATTTAGTATGTATGTGTGTAAACGCTCGGGCAGCCGCGGCATACTCAAATCATCTTTGAGTAGTCAGTAGGCAGTAGCTACTGCTTGAGTAGGTAAGTAGATAGCAGGCAGTATGCCATTTCGGACACAGCTTCTGTCTGTCCTCGTTTCCCTCCATGATTGAACCAAACGCGCGGCAGCGGAAGGAGCGGAAAGAGCACGCTTCTGCGCAACAGAAATAATCGTCCGTGTCAAACACCGTGCGCTGCACATGGTTCCGGATTTAAACGATTCCTCGAGGCATATAATTTGCCTCGAGGAATTTTATTAATCGAGTTACTCGAGTTACTCGAGTAATCGTTTCAGCCCTACTCAGAACTGAGAATATTTTTAGAGTCTTAAACTGAAAAGCGAACAAAATAAATCATCAGTTAAAAGTCAGGGTCTTCCTTTTCATCTTCTGAGTCCCAATGCTGGTAAAGCTTCAGCCCAAGTCCAAGTCAAGATGTGTGTCCTTCAAACTGGGGCTTGAGTTTGAGTCCTTGACTCGAAAACCAAAACAGCTGTGGTGATATTAATACAGGAACACACACAGTTAAACAAGAAAACTCTTTGTGTATGTGCCATCCAAAAAACCTCGGGGCCTAAATGACCTGAAATTAGAAGAAAACACAAAGAGTCCATGTGTGAAAGGCACTAATAAGATCTGCAATGCACAGAACATGGCTGTGTGGTCCTCATTTTGAGCATGACCTGAATATAGGGCTGGGCGATATATGATATGATATATGATATATAGAGAAAATTAATTTCCCTCAATATCAATATAAAACATGGTCAATATGCTTTTCGTTAGTCGCAACAATTTACGACAAAACATCCAGGATACACAAAGACCTCACAGATACAGTAGCTGATTGTATTGCAAAAGACATGCTACCAACAAGCACTGTTACATTTCATTTTTTTATATCGTGATATATATCGACTGATATTAAAAAAATATATTGTGATAAATTTTTTCAATATCGACCAGCCCTACCTGAACACCTTTTGCTCTGAAGCAGAACGATCTCCCGCTCATAAAACCCATTTCCGTTTGGGTCGATGGTTGAACAAGAGCTTATCATAGAAGGTTCTCCTGCTGCTGCAGTGAGCTCCTGAAACATCATGTAGTGTAACAATCTGCCTGTCTGTTTGTCTCTTAGCTGGTGATGGAGTACTGCTTGGGCTCAGCTTCAGACCTCTTAGAAGGTAAGTAAGAGGAAATAAGTGATGAAGTCAGACTCAATTATGATATTATATGTCAGACAGACATAATCATTTATGGTAAGACAACCACAAAACATGCAAAATAGTGAGACTTCGTCCTCAAATGAACAATAAACATTGATATCATAGGGTTAGTATGAGCAGGTCTGTTTTTAACTATTGTTCAGGAGGAAATGAGGAACAGTATATGATGCTTCAGTTCCTCCTAATGCCTCTTTTCTCTCAGTTCACAAGAAACCCCTCCAGGAAGTGGAAATAGCGGCCATAACCCATGGTGCTCTGCAGGGATTGGTGTATCTTCACTCTCACAATATGATTCACAGGTAACCCCCGTCCCTTTTCTCACTATCTCTGTCTATTTCCAACACCCACACTCCTGACAAGAGACGAAACAAATAGTGGGGAGAAAGCACAAAATGTGCTGTCCAGGACAAGATTATGCAACAGTGGATGTGATAACACTCTCACTGTGCAGCAACACATTTTAGTCCCCATCCTCCAGTAGAACGTTTTCAGACCATGCATTTTCTTTCCTTAATCATCTCCTTTTCTACCTTTCTCCTACTCCGTGTCTCTGCTTTTCTCTCTCTCTTTCTCAGAGATGTGAAGGCAGGAAACATCTTGCTCACAGAGCCAGGTCAGGTCAAACTGGGAGATTTTGGCTCGGCCTCCATCGTTGCTCCTGCAAACTCCTTTGTGGGAACCCCTTACTGGTAAGACTTTGAACTCGCAACACCATCACCCTCTTCATTATATTAGCAGCTTTACCTCCAGAGGATTAATGAGAATTACACACAGTTTTGACCTACTGGAGCTTACACCGTGTAGGTGGATTGTAAAAGTAGAAGAGGGTTACTGACAGTTTGAGGGAAATGCTAATGAACTCCCAAGTATGTCCATGTATCACATTAATCTACCTACAAGATGTTTGTCAAGTTTTAATCCTACAGAAATCCATCTTGGTAGAATTGGTGAAATTTTGCAGTCTTTGTTGCCATAGAAACAGCCAGTGGGGTTAAAACCACAGTTCCAAACAGTATTAGGATGATGAGAAGCAATTTTTAAAATGAAAGCTAATTTGTATTGAAAATGAAACGCATTTTTTGGTAAAGGATCACAGTTGGTGATGACCACAGTGACTTAGACTTGACACGGTCATAGGGTCCCCTTCAAAATAAAAGCCCCAGGTGTTTCAATACATCAGCTCCTATTTTAGAAAGTAGCAGTAGTTGAGAAAGAGAGTGTCATGGGTTGCAAGAGTAAAATGTGAACTCATTCAAAAATATAAGTGCACCTCAAAAGAAACACAATGCATTCTGGGAGATTTGTGTGGAATTAAATTGCTGTGTTGTAAATGGTAGTATGTATTTAACACAGCAGATATGTTCCAAACAGATAAGATCGTCATCAAGGCAAGCAACCGCAAGCGAAATAAGTCTCCTTATTTCATAAATCTCTTCAGTACAGCTTCCTTTGTTGAGAGCCGGCTGATGTCTGATCTGGTGACATCTCAACATTATATACTTAAACTGCTAAATGTATAAAGGGATCAGGGTTCAAGGAAACTTTATTATCCCCATGAAGGGCAATTTGTTTCTCAGCCAGCAGTAAGAAAACAATAAAAGCATTCTCCTGTACAAAGACAACAGGGCGATGATTAGAGATTGCTTTTTTCTTCTCTCCTCTGTTTTCTCCTGGTGTTGTTTAATGATCAGATTTGTCACTTATTTCATACTGACACAAATGTTAGGACACACATATATATTTTTATGTGTTTTATATCAAAATCCTGCCAAACACTAGTATGAAGCTGCTAATTACAAATAGATCTGCCCTGTCGCACCATTGTGATTAGTTAGTCTCATTTTACCTCCTGTCTTAAGTCTGTTTTAAGTCCATAATAACACCGTGAAGCACTTCATACCGTCCTCTCTCATGGACTCAGGTCAAAGAGAGAAAACGTGTCTCAGACCCGAGTCTTTCACCGGTCAGCTCACTCCCTTTTAGCGAGCGCTGTGGTGAAGTTAAATTCAGCTTCACCCACAGGTCTCTGGCCATTCGCACACTCTGAAGTAGAGCTCTGCAGACCTTTTGTGATGTGGGTACTGCAGGTCTGATAAGCTGCACCTGTATGCAAACTTCTACAAAGTACTTTGATGTGAAGCGCACATCACTTTTGACTTTTCAATTGAGCCGCCCGCCAGGGACTTCTGTAAAGTGAAATGTGCCGTTCTCTATTTCAAGTCTAAAATATGTGAAATGCTGTTGCTGTATCATGATTTTAGACAACTCCTCCTTTCAAGACTAATTCTCAGGACTGTTTGAATCTTGTTTTTGATCAAGAATGATGGTAAAGAAAACTTCTTTTACATCATGTACTAATCAAGGTAGGATGTTGTTGTTTTAAACACCCTCTAAATAAAACCATATTTTTAAAACCTCTTAAATGACACTGTCTCGTTCAGCTAAAATAAAATTTGGTCAAGTGAGTCTAAATAAAGCACTTTAGTATCAGTATTTAAAACCATGACGATTCAAATAACCTGCCTGTCCTGTAGATAAATGACAGGTCTGATAATGAGCGTGTTCAGCTCTTAAGAAACAAACATACATGTTTTGAAATGATTGATGTATTTTTACTTGGGTGACAGCACATTTTGTGGTTGTTGGGTAGATTTTAGAGACCTGCTGCTTTTACTCTGTTTTGTGGGTGACTGCTCTCTCTTTGTCTTTCACTCCCCTTTAACTGTAACTGTGAGTGATGACTGACCTCAGTCATGAGAGGTTATAATTGCTTTACAGTTAAATGATACTGTCCACTGTTGTAATGAATAGTAGATATACGACGATCCCACTTTTTCCCTCTATGTTTCAATGAAAAACAAACCTCACTCTTATCCCCTGAGGGTCCGTACAGTTGGAAGAAATCCTAAAGTCTGGAGCAAACAGACATGAGTAACGACTCCAATCCCCATTATCAAAGTGATAAAATGACACTACATATCATTTGCTCATCATGTCTTCATCACCCCTTGACTCTTTTGAAGAAAACGTGTCTGTTTGTTATTTTTCAATCTCATAATTTGATATTTAAATCTCACTTCTTCACTTCCAGAGAAGACGTCGTGTCACTCGCAGAATAACTGTAACAAGTCATGCAGGCAGCTTTAGTTTCCATCCGTTTCACAGAACTTAAAATATCTGACCACTCGCCTCCGTCTGTCTGTCTGTGGCTTTGCTTTATTTATGCAGTCGTAGACGTTGGCGCTGACTGTGCGCCCTTAGGTGCTGTTCTCTCTTGGTCCAGGATCAAAGGAAGAGAGCTGAAAATGGCTGACTTGCTTTGTTGTTTCCTTCATGCAGGATGGCCCCCGAGGTGATCCTTGCCATGGACGAGGGTCAGTACGATGGGAAGGTGGATGTGTGGTCACTTGGCATTACCTGCATAGAGCTGGGTAAGGGACAGCAGAAGTTTGTGTTTTTTTTTTTTTCATTGTATATCCAGAAAAACGGAAGAATCCAACCACTGTCTCTGTTTTCTTCCCTCTCTTTTTCTTCTCTTGCCTCCGTCTGCAGCGGAAAGGAAGCCTCCTCTGTTCAACATGAATGCTATGAGTGCCTTATATCACATCGCCCAGAATGAGAGCCCCGTGCTGCAGTCCAATCACTGGTCAGACTCGCTAATTTGACCTTATTGGCAAAAATGACTCTTGAGTTCTGTTGCTGGAGATTGTATTGTAAAAATTGGTTTCACTAAGGAGCAGCCAGTATTATTAAGGCTTTTTCAATGTATGCAGGGTTCCTACTCAAGTATGGAAACGTATGGAAGTAATTTGAGTCAATTTCCAGGTCTTAAAATGTATCAAAAATGAAAAATAAAGTATGGAAAAATATTTAGGTTTCCAGACTTTTACCACAGTAAAGAAAAATACTGTTTTCTAAAACAGAAAACGAAGTATTTCCAAAAATATTCCTAAAAAGTAGGGTATGGAAAAGTATGGAAATTCCAACTGTGTAGGAACCCTGTATATGGATGTCAAGAATTAAAGGATTTAAGGAGTTTGTGATTTTATAAACCAAAGACTGTAAAACTGATGAGACTCAGAGAAGATTCTTACCCTTGAACTAAATAATTCAGGTCATCTACACCTGAAAACTAGATGATAAGACTGAGAATTACTACAACACTTTAACATAAAGATTAAAAACCTGCTTTAAATCAGACCGGCTGTCATGATAGTTTGTTTTTGTAGTTACACTGACTGGCTGCTTTTACTGATCATGATTAAAAACTTATTCCTGTCGCTTTAGGTCGGATTATTTCCGCAATTTTGTGGACTCCTGTTTGCAGAAGATTGCCCAGGATAGACCTACCTCTGATGTGCTGCTCAAGGTACAATAGATCAAAAGATGTGTTTGATGTCGTTGTTCAGACCGGGCAGAAATGAGTGATCAGTCTTTGTTTGGGGATGTCTGCATGATCAGAAGAAGAAAGTCTGAGGCATAGAAACTGTACAGCCCTAAAGTAAGTCCTTTAGTCTACAGCAGCAGGCTGTTCTGGGTCGGTGAAATAGTACAGTACTCTGTGGCTACATCTTCTGTTCCTGTTGGCTCACACATATGCTGGCATAACAAGCAGGACAGCTTTGTTTATCAGAGACACAAAAGATTTGCTGAACACTTGAACTTCAAAGGAAAATGGGAAGAGGAGATGTAACTTAAGTGATTTTGATCTCTGAGATCTAAAATATGTCGTTAAAAGACAAACATTTACATGACGGGTTTATCGATTTGAGTGATTTATAGTTAAAAAGTTTCCTGACTGTCAGATTTAAATCATTTGAATATGCGTTTTTTCTGTCTTCATCACTCATCTTCAGCAATAAAGTCAGTTAACAGTATTGAGGTCAGTTTTAGCAAAGTGTTACTTGATTAAAATTTCAAAAGAGTTAAAATCATCCAGGAATTTAGATTTATTCATCATGTCTCTCAACTTTTCTGTCCACCCAGCACCATTTCCTATGCAGAGAGCGTCCAATGACGGTGGTGATGGACTTGATCGCACGCACTAAGGATGCAGTCCGCGAGCTGGACAACCTGCAGTACCGGAAGATGAAGAAAATCCTCTTCCATGAGGCACACAATGGTCCTGCACCAGAGGGAGGCGATGAAGAAGAGGTAAGAGCGAGGAGGAGGAGAATCAGGAGGCCATCAGAGATATTTGCACTGCCTTTATGTTAGGGCTGGGCGATAACCGAAAATTTACCAAAGTAACCAACATCATTTTGCCCGTGTCAATATATTCTGTGTCAAAATAAATAAATATAGGTTGGTTTTGGATGTGTGTAGGTAGGCTATGGTCTCATGTCCCTCAGAGATGTGACTCTACCCTATCCAGTCCGTAACAAAGAGGGAAAGACAGGTGAGGAGATGGAGGACGGATCAAAAGTTGTAGCAGCTGGAGCGGCGGCTGAAGTAGACAAAGTTAATGTGGGAGGGGGTGAGCAGATTGTTGAGTAGTTATCGTCCATTTATCGTTATCGAGGTGAACTGCTCAATACATCGTGATATTGATTTGAGGCCATATCGCCCAGCCCTACTTTATATGCTGGAAGGAGAGGAATCATCACAGTTCAGTGTGTTTTACATCAGTGAAGTTCATTCACTTATTTTTGTGAAGGATTCAGTTTTAAACTTCAATTTAGCTAATTAAGCTTTAGAGCCGCCACTGCTTTTCCCGTGCTCCTGCCTTTGTTCTCCTAAAAGATTGCTTCGGTAAAAGCAGATTTGTCCTGAAAAGCCCCCCTGAGTTGTCCGGAAGTGGTTCAGTTTTGCAGCGTCCAACCTGGAGCACACCACTGTCGGCTCCAACATTTGTCCAAAGTCTTTGGCAACTAATAGCAGCAGCTCAACTAATTTATTCCAGGATCTCGAACAGAAAAGCAGCCAAGAGTATCTACAAGCTGCATAAAATAGCTGCAGCACCAAGCCTCACTGAGAAGCCGGTTATATTTTCAACATGAAGTTGACTTCATCTTGAATTATGATATAATGGCCATCCTGAATGCAGATAAACAAACGCACTAAATTGTACGAAGATTGGCCTCAGACATTCTTACATAGAATACAGTATTTTGTTGCACTTCTGCTTTATTCACGAAATAAGGAACATCGATTTGATTCCTCATTTTTTGCAGAAATGTGAAGTAAGTATTTAGTTAGTAATCTGTCTCTGCAGAGCTGAGTTTCGAGAACTGATGCAGTTTGTAGGAATTCATTCAAATAACTTAAAGAGGTAAAAGCTACATACAAAATGGGCCCTCAGAGTAGCCGTAGTTTTTGAAAAGGAAGCAGCCCGTTTCACAAATGCTGCATTTAGCATCCATCCTGCCTTTGTGCTGGACTTGTCATTACACTGTATATATTTGTGAACTAAGAACCCCTTCCTCCTCGTACAAAGGCCTTTGTTTCCAGCAATATTGAACTCCAGATGGTTGTTCCCCTAGAAGGAAATGGAGGAATTTAGAAAATGTGTGGCTGTGTTTCTCCTCAGTCAGAGTAGGCCAATGTGTCACTGTTAGTATGCCTTATATATTTGTCTTTGGTGTTCAATCACGCACAGCATAAACCAGCCAACACAGTCCCACCACTGCCACTCTGACTCCATAAAGTACAGACAGCCTGAATGATCCCATCCTGATGTTGTTATTTATCCAGGACTCTCTCTCCTCCACTGAGCTTTTTCCTCCTCCCTTGCAGGACGTGGAGCAGTACATGCTGCGCACAGGCACAGTCAACAGCATGGAGAGCTCCCACTCTCTGCCCTCCATGTCCATCAGCGCCAGCTCTCAGAGCAGCTCGGTCAACAGCCTGGCAGATGGCTCCGACGACAGCGGGGAGATGGCCATGATGCAGGAGGGAGAGCACACCGTCACCTCCAACAGCTCCGTCCTGCACAAGCCCCTGGTCAGGACAAGTCTTGCCCCCTCTGTAGGGTCATTCCTTCCCCTTAAAGCCCCTTTTACCACCCTGTCTGTTAGTTGTATTACAAAAGAGATGAATGACAGTGTGTATTTGTTTCTGTCGTACCTGTTTAGTTTGATAAAAGCACCTTTCTTACAAACAAATTAAAGTCACATTTGAGTCGAGTGTGTATAACCAAAATGAGAGCCGTAGAAAACATCTTCTTAATCCACACAGTGTAATCAAACCACTTTAGCTTTGTACCTGCAAAACTGCTCTGTCTGTCTGGTTAGTTTTGCACACACTGACTTGCACCACCTAAAGGCTATGAGAGGTAATAGCAGCACACTGTCGACCTGCACATCCACCTGCAGTTTGGAGACCTCTTGAGGCGAAACAACTCACCAGAAAAACTGCAAAAGCTCAAATATTTATTGAAAAAAAATTCAAGCTAAAGCCCCAGATATACTTTTATGACCAGTGTATTTATCATTTAGTAGGTAACATTCAGCTTTGAGACTTGTTATTTGACATTTTTTTCTTTTGTCTCCCCCCAAGCAGAGCCATGACAACATTTATGATGACCCTTATCAGCCGGAGGTTGAGTCGCAACGAGAGGCTTCGTCTGCTGGAGGTGGTGGCGGCGGTGGTGGAGGAGGTGGAGGAGGGAGGCGTCGCCGAGGCAGAGACCACTTCGCCACCATCAGGACGGCCTCACTGGTCACTCGTCAGATTCAGGAACACGAGCAGGGCTCAGCTCTTCGGGAACAGATGTCTGGGTAAGGTTCAGGAGTCAAAAAATGGCCTTAGATACAAAACCGGAAACTTAACAGACACCTTTAAAGTCTGAGCTCCAGGGTAGGCGGTCACTTAAATTGTTTGAGTGTTTCCTCCTTATTGTTAATTTTCTGTCTCCTCGCAGATACAAGCGTATGCGGCGGCAGCACCAGAAGCAGCTGATGGGTTTAGAAAACAAGCTGAAGGCGGAGATGGATGAGCACCAGCTGAGGCTGGATAAAGAGCTGGAGAACCAGAGGAATAGTTTCTCCATGGAGGGAGAAAAACTGGGCAAGAAGCATCAGGCCATCCTGGAGAAGGAGGTAAGCAGCTGGATGGAGGAGGAATGAGGACCGATCAGAGGAGGAAAGTGGAACTCCAGCCCTGATTTTGATGTGGCTGTGGGGTTTGTTTTTGCAGACCAAGGCGGTGTTGACTGAAGAGAAGAAGTTCCAGCAGCACATTTTGGCCCAGCAGAAGAAGGAGCTGACCGGTCTGCTGGAGTCCCAGAAACGGCAGTATCGCCAACGCAAGGAGCAGCTCAAAGAGGTGCTGCTGGTTTTGGTCACACAACACGTCCATTTAATGAATGACCACAGAGGCATCTTGGTCATAATTCTGCCGTACACTTAGTTTCCATTAGATTGATATTTATTTCACTAGTTACCTTCCAACTCACATAAAAAACCTGCATTTTGCTGCTCTAGTCAGGGTTCACAGCAGTTCTAGGTGAATTTGAAGTTGGCTGAAATATGTTTTCAAACTTCAGACTGTTGGCTTATTTCCAACACAGGGGGCTTATTTGAAGTTTTTAGTCATTAAGGCCAGTACCCGATAAATAAATACCATTTTTTTTTTTATTTTAAAGAACATCAGGTTGTAAGTTGTCATGTTTCTGTCTTTCGATGGCATTTTTTCTGGTTTATTCTCAGATGGATGAGAAAATGATCTTGTGGTTCTTAACACAAATTGCTCTTTGCTTTCATCGACACTAAAGACCTCTAAACGCTGTACAAACAGCGCTGAAGTTCAGCTTGATATTTTGACACAGCTTTTTAACTGTTTCATCACTTCTCGTTCTCTTCTCCTCAAGGAACTGAATGAGAACCAGTCGACACCAAAGCGGGAGAAACAGGAGTGGTTGGTGCACCAGAAGGAGTGTCTGCAGCAGCTGCAGGCGGAGGAAGAGGCCGGCCTGCTGCGCCGGCAGAGGCAGTACTACGAGCTGCAGTGTCGCCAGTACAAGAGGAAGATGCTGCTGGCTCGCCACAACCTGGAGCAAGATCTGCTCCGAGAGGTATCGTTTTTTAAATTTAACAAGATGTGATTTTAAGCTGCTTGTATCATGATGTAAAAATATTGTTTGAATAAAATGTAGACTCTTACAAATCCCGCAAACACTTTTATCAGTTCTTGATCATGTGGAGTTTTTCTGTCTGTCCTTTGTTTGGTTTTGTTCGATCTTTGTGTTTTCTTCTCTGTGAAACACTCTCTATCTGGTGAGAAATTTGCTTTTCCAAAGTAGTAGTAGTATCAACCACAGCTCTAACAAGTCCAAGCTGCCAACTGCTGCCTGATATCTGGCTTTAAAACTATAAGAACAGCTCTTATTAGGAGAACTTTTTGCAGATTATACCAGCAAAGTCAGATTTACAGAAAAGTGTGTTCTGTCATAAGTTTCCCATCCTCACCATGTCACAGCTCCCTCTCTGCCTCTTAATCATCCGTTTCTTTCCTCCAGGACCTGAATAAGAAGCAGACTCTGAAGGACCTGGAGTGCGCCATGCTCCTGCGTCACCACGAGTCCACCCAGGAGCTGGAGTTCCGCCAGTTGGGTCTGGTGCAGCGCACACGGGCCGATCTGATCCGCACGCAGCACCAGACCGAGCTCACCAACCAGATGGAGTACAATAAGAGGCGCGAGCAGGAGCTGCGTCAGAAACACGCCATGGAGGTCCGCCAGCAGCCCAAGAGCCTGAAAGTGAGTGAGAGCAGCCAGAGCCAGGGGTCTCCTGAGGAGGGGGAGAGCCTGACGGCCGAGGGTCAGAGCAGCACGTTGAGGGAAATTGAAAGGGAGTTAGAAGAGCTTGCAATAGAGAGGGAAGCAATAGCTAAGGAGTTGTCTGCTCGGAGAGAGCTTATGCTGGTCAGAGATGAAGAGGAGGAGGATTTTAGTGAACCTGTGGTGGAAATAATCAAAGATGAGGGAGATGAGAAGCCAGAGAGAGAGGGTGACAGAGAGGAAGAAAAAGGTCCAATCAGTGAGGAGGGGACAGAGGAGAGGGAGGTAGAGGGTGTGCAGTGGGAGGATGAGGATAGCCCCGGCAAAGCCGCACACTTGGACACAGATGAAGAAGAGGAGGAAGAGGGGAGGGGCGTGGCTGACGGCTGTCCGTCAGAACTCATCTCATCCCTGACCCCCGAGAAGAGGCGACCTCGTGAGAGAGATATTGACGAGCTGTCTGAGTTCTACTTCCCTGACGCTCCGGAGCTTGAGCCCGTCTCCTCCCCTCCTCCTCCTCCTCCTCCTCCTCCAGCCCAGACTTCCCTCCCCTCCTTTTTCTCTCATGCCATCTGCCTTCTCCTTTCCCTCTCTGCTGCTGCCCAGCCCTCCAATCTCACCCTGCTGCTCCTCTCCATCTTCCTCCTCTCTCTCCGGCGCTCACCTCCTCTGCCTTCGGTGGCCTCGCTGCTCCTCTCTGCCGAGCTCGCCTTTTTGGCGCTCTTCTTCTCGTACCTCTTCCTTCGCTCCTGCTGCTCCTTGTCCCTCTCCACCTACCTGACGCTCAGTCTCTGGGGGAGCGCCCTCTTCAGTTTAGGCCTCTCTTTCAGTTTAGGCATTTATTATGTTCCCATGATTCTGATCTCAGCGTCCTTCCTCAGCTCGCCCTCTCTCTTCCTCTCGCTTTACCTGGTTATTGTGCTGGTTGTCAGGCCGGCCCGGGACTTCCTCCAGCACGCACCTCGTAAAGTAAACCGCCTCTGTATGCGTGTGCTTTTCCGTCTGCCCCGCCCCCTGTTTGCCATGTGCCAGTCAGTCCTGGGTGGCATGGCTGAACGAAACCTCTATGAGATGTTCCCCAAAGCGGGGCGCAACTGGGGCGTCCGTCAATCCAGAATCCCTGTTCTCCTAAGGAGCCTCCCAATAGAGTACCAGGCCCGCTGCAGTGTAACCTCGCCCTTTGCCAGGGGTCTTCTGTTGGTGAGGCGTTTTAGCAGACGCCCCCTTGGGGTCTTGGCAGATCTCGCTAACTCCATCTTGCTAAAACTAGCCGCACAGCTGGTTAAAAAGCTGCCACTAAATGTCCGGATCAAACTCCAGACTGTAGGCCTCTTAAAGAAGGAGGCTCCGAGCAGGCTGCCTCGACTGCTGCCCAGAGAGGTGAGAGAGAGACGGCAAAGGGAGAGGAGGAGGAGAGAAAGGGAGAGACAGAAGAGGCAGGAGAGGGAGAGGATGTATCGCGAGGACACGAGGTGGGAGTGTGGGTTAAGACGGACCTCATCTGGAAGGTTTGTCAAGGGGAAAATTCGACCTTGGAGATAGCAGACAAACGAGAGTGAAAGCGAGAAATAAGTGCTGGTGGTGTGAGTGTGTGTGTGTGTTTCCATGCTCATGTTCCCTTGTTCCACCATTATCTGTGTGTCCTTTGGTCCAGGCCCACATGTCTGTCTTGTTTAGACCAGTTTCCAAAACCCGGTCTCTGGTCTCATGTCTAAAAGATAGGACTTTACCCTGCACATGACCTGCTGGCTGAAAGTGATTTTGGCTGTTAAAGCTGATCCAAAAGTGTGGACACACAAGCTGTACTGTTAAGCCAAAGAGCTTTGCATTTGTAAACCAAACTACCAAAAACCCTGTGAACATTTTATCATTTTGCTTTTTGTAAAAGTTATTTTTTATCCTATTTTATTATTTTGCTCTTAATTTGTAAGACAAATACTTTAATGGTTATTTTTGAGACCAGTTTTTGTGCAATCCTTGTTTTTTGTTTTTTTCTTTAACAGTGGTCTTATTTCACAGGGTGCGCTGTTAAATCAGTGCTCAGAACAAATATCAAATACAGTGTTGCTTAGCTACATGGCCACAATCTCACTCCCCCAAGCTTAATACTGTGAAAACAGAGATAATTTCACTGATATCACCATAAACACTAGCCTTCCCAGTCAGTATGAAAGTGCAATAAATATCACGTTTGATAACATTTGAAGCAGTGCGTTTCAAAGACGAAGTTGAAAGGTTAAGTCTAGTTTTAAGGACTTTCAATCAAAGCTTTGAGCACACCCTGTTTATTGTTTCAGGTTATTTCATTATGGCATAAGTAGAAAAAATACCTGAATAGAATTACAGCAGATTCAATCATTATCTTTGATATTTTAGTTCAATATATAGTTTTTATTGCACTTTATGCAATATTCTTATTATTTACCATGTAAACATTTAGATAGATGTTCATTTAATAATCATATAAAAATACAACCGTTTAGTGCCTAGTTACAACTGTTTGCACAAATGATAGTATGTTGTGAAGAGACATATCCTAAATATACAGTAGTAGCATGGAGAAGTATATAATATAATTATAATATCCTTTTAAAATATTTTAATGAAGCTTAATTTATATGAAGCCATAAAACCAATCTTTTGAGACATGCAATCATAAAATCAGTCCAAAGGTTGATGCAACTACTGAATGTGAAAAAGATTGAGCAAGATCTCTTTAATATGAAGAGATGATATCCTTGTAGTTGTAGACATCTGATCATCGAATTCTAATTTGCACTGCCCCGATACTTGAAGAGCCATACAGAAGAGCCTTTGGCTGACCAGAGCGCTGCGGTTCAGACCTACAGTGGACTATTACCTGGAAAAGTTCACTGAAAATAATACAGATACTGTGTCTGTTTCTCTTCCAACAAAACCCCAAAGAAATTCAGTTTAAAAAGAAAAGAAGCAAATCGTTGCCTTTAAGAAGCTTGAACCAAAAACATTTGAATATTTTTTACAAGTGGATTTATCAGTTAGGGTCAGCATTACATCAGCTGGACCAAGAAAGAGTCTGCTGTTTTATTTAATCATCGTATGCTCGTGTGCATATTTGAAGACTAGAACACCAAACTGCTCTGACGTATTCTTAAATGAAGTGAAACGAACAAGGACTAGCTGCATAACAAGCATAAATCTGACAGAGTCAGGGTTTGAAGATCTGCCTATTGTCAACGGAAACCTGGTTTAGAGGAGAGGAATCAATAACTGCTAACTGATGCTTCTGGTCAGGGATTAAGTTCCCTGATTGTAAAAAGAAGGAGAGCATTTGAGCCATTTTTCATGGAGGTTTATTACTGGGCAGGACACTCCATGTTTACTGTATTTGACCCAGGGGGAACAAAAAAGAAGGGCTTTCTCTCAGTTGACCTGCATTCAGGAAGTGTAGCTTTAAAAAAAAAAAAAAAAGGCATTTCACTCCAAACATTGTTTTGTTTGAATGTAACTTATTTTTGCCATTGATTTCCATTCGAGTTCCAGTTATTTCCTGTTCCTCTGTGTATGTTTACATGTTTGTATTCTGTTTTGTTGTGACACCGTCAGAGTTTTATCACCCTGAGTTTTTTTTTTTTAATCTATTTAATTTATGCAGTATTTATAATATTAGTACTGCATTGTGTTTGGCAGCCATTTGTTCTCCTTTTATCCTCATTTTAGCGGCATGAGTGTTTGTGTACTGTATGGCTGTGTGCTCGCAAGCATAGCAAAGTATTTTTACTTCCAGATTTTTATTTACAGAAAAATAAATTCTTTTGTGTGGAAATCATTGTCTTGTTTGTTTTTATGATTTTTGTTTCCATTATTTCCACTTTCCTTCATTTGTTTACTTCTCCCTTGAGTTATCAGTCAGTTTGATTATATATTTGATTTGTTCATCACTCCCTACTGTACCATCGCACGTTGTTCAGCCATCGTCATGTTGTTCCCTCCCTTTGTTTTCAACTCACCAGATGTGACAGAGGCGGGGTTTCTAATTATGGTCATTTTTCTGATCAACATACAAGGTTGAAAAACGTGAAGGTTTGTCATCAGATCAATAATGAGGCATTGACACACCTCAGGTAAAGAGGAGTACACTTTGTTGTTTAATCTGAAGCAAAACTCTGTTCTAAGCCCTGAAAAACTCAAAGTTACAAAAGGGTCTGAATTAGTTTAAAGGCCAGACATGAATTCTTACTGTTAAGAACAAACAATGCAAGTCCTTTTTTATCTAAAAGCCAACACAACATAGTCATAATTCTGTCAGAAGTCATTTAAGATATGGAAAGTTTTTCTTCATGAACTGAAACGTGGCAGGTTTGTATTTTATCATCTTTGGGGTTACCCCTTTATTAAGAGTATATACATACTGTAGTAAACCACTGGTCCTGTAGTCGACAGGTCCTTGGATGTTAAAATGATAATACTTGATCTTGCTTCATATGAAAAAGGTGAAAATCAAAACAAGTCTGCAGTATTTTGAAGTCACTGATAAATCTGCGGTAATAACAGATTAAGATTAACACAGATTAAGCACCGTCAGAAAGAGAAGCAGGAATTATTTAATTTTTGAGATATGAAGAGAACTTTTTTTTAATAAAATAAATAAAATTCTGATTGAAATCTTGCAACTGGAATTAAGAATCTGGAGAATTTCCCTACATTAAGATTCAAAAGCTAATCTCATCGAGGCACAGATATTTTAATGTATCTATGAATTAGTGATTTATTATGTTTCCATAATATGTGTATAAGAACATTAACGCTGAAAATAGCATTCAATAGATTCAATTTTATGAGAATATTTATGTTTTAAATTATGGCCATAATGGTGAACATATTTTAGCTCCAGGCTGTCAGCATTTAATAGAAAAAGTAAAAGCACAGTCAAGAGAACTTTTTGACGTTTTTCTCCTCAAATATTCATTACAATGTGGTATTTGACTGTGATAGAAAGCAAGATGGCTTCTTTATTGTGTTAGAAAAACTGCTTACATACTTATAAGATCACAAGACATGTAAGAGGCTTCTATCTCTCTGACCACCAAACTTTTGAGTTACTTTTATAAATGAAAAACTAGAAGCTCTTAGCCCAGCTGCCTGCATCTCACTTCTCTCTCCTCCAGTCTAAAGAGCTGCAGATAAAGCGTCAGTTCCAGGACACCTGCAAGATCCAGACCCGTCAGTACAAGGCTCTGAGGAACCACCTACTGGAGAATACTCCCAAATCGGACCACAAGGCTGTGCTGAAGCGTCTGAAGGATGAGCAGACTCGTAAGCTGGCCATCCTGGCTGAGCAGTATGACCACTCCATCAATGACATGCTGTCCACACAGGCTGTGAGTAAGGCAAGAGACGTCGTTCACTTCACACTCGCACCACACCACCACAGCTGTGCCCGGCCCGGGGGCCCTCCTGCCCGCTTGCCCTCCTGTCTGCCCACCAACAAGCCTGCTCCTGCTCCCTCCTGTTTATCTCCACCTAAACCCACATTTACCTGTTTTACACCAGATGATGTCCACTATCCTGTTTCCCCTTTGGAGTTCTGTCTGAAAATCTTGAGGCACTTTATTGTCAAACCAGAATCATTCATTTAAGTGTGTGACTGCTCGCACAGTCGCTCCTCCAGCAACAGCTGGAATAACAGGTAAATATGAAGATTACATGACACAGAACTAGATGATGTCAGACAGATTAAGCAAGATTTATTAGTCTGGAATAAAAAACCTTGAACTCCTTGATTTATTAAAATTTATATCACTCACCTTCAGAGAAGACGACTAAAGAGGGATGGTTAAATTATTAAAACCCAACATTATAGTTTGAGGGGAGGTTTTGTGAGAGGAAAAAATGTTTCTCTCACTTTGGGGTTCAGACAGAGTTTCAGGACTTTGAGCATTAATAGCAACCCTACGCTGAAGACAAATAAATCTACTTTATAAGTTTAAAAAAATCAGCTTAGATGTCCTATGTCCCATTCTTGTCCTCTGTTTTATGAAATCATGGGCCCTAGATATATGTATGAGCATAATTCCTCCAATTTTAATTATTTCAACATGAGGTCTGTGGTCCTAAAAATCATTGCATAATATCTGACTTTGATAACCACTAAACAGCTCAGTTTCCCCTTTATAACCTACAAGTATTTGAACAGCAACATCATAAAAATACTGCAGTGCCATAAGCGAAGGAGAACAGCCGTGCCCCCTGATCTATTTTCTCACATTTGCAAAATTGAAACCATCAAACGCGCTCTAACAATGTTACCTCAGATTTGTACCTGAGTAAATGCTTTAAAGTCACATTCCTGTACAGCGTCGAGGGGTCATACCTTTAAAAAAGTCTGTCCTTTAAGGTCAAACTCTTGATTCAGCCCCTGCCCTCTGACATTAGGACGCTTTCACACCCTAATCCTGGGCTTTTAAATGATTGAAACACAGTATGAAGTGGATGGGACATAATAAACCATCTTTTCTCACCAATGACATAACACACTGTGCTACTTTTAATTACCTCTCATGGCAGAAAGCCATGTAAGCTCGGTAAGCCAAATCCCTGCTGCCCTTGTTTGTCCGCACATCCACTCCTGCTGTGGTTAAAGTCTCCTCTGGGAACGTTTCCAACTCACTGATTAAACTCCATCCTGAGGTCAGAGAAAAATATATGTTTTTAGATGAAAATGGTTGTTTTTTGAAACCACATTTAATCTGTTTCCTGGAAGCAAGCTATTACACGCATACATGCACAGAGGTCAAGTCAGTTTGGGGGCTGTGAAACATTGTCCGTTGTTTCACTTACATTAATATCAACGTGTGAAAACGCTTTCTGTGGCCAAGGCTGATCAAACCTGGACAAATATCTGATGAAACATCACTCTGAACAATCTGCAACTCACACGTAGGACCTTACCCTCTTCTCTCTTTTGCATCTCATCTTTTCTATGTTCTTCAAACTCTTCCTCTTCTCCCCTCAACTCTTAAATCACAATTTCTCACTCATACAATTGTGCTAAATCCATTTTTCATCACACTTCCTCGTTTTTCTCCCTTTCAGCTGCGATTGGATGAGACCCAGGAGGCAGAGTACAATGTGCTGAGGATGCAGCTGCAGCAGGAGCTGGAGCTGCTCAACGCATATCAGAGCAAGATCAAGATCCATACTGACACCCAGCACGAGAGGGAGGTCAAGGACCTGGAGCAGAGAGTGTCCATCCGCCGTGCGCTGCTGGAGCAGAGGGTTAGAAGCCTTTGGTTATCACTTATATAGAAATAAAAGTTATTGAAAAAACAGGGAGGACCTCTGGTGACTTTTAGTATCTAGTAAGTGGAAGTAGAAAAGGCTGGATCATTTGTCAGAGTTAGGTGGACTGCTGCCTTCAGCTGTCATATCACTAGCCACAGCAGGCTCAGTTATAACATATTGCTTTATACAATCATAGCTACACCTTAACTGATCTGTTTTACCACAGTCTTTCCAGAAGCAGTTCTGAAGCTTTCTATTGCAAAATATTATTGCTTTTAAAGACTCATCATCCATGTTAGCCTAAAAGAAACCTGATATGAGAGATTTTCTTAAAGGGATATTCCGGTGTGAAATTAATTTAGGGTCAAACACACCGTTACACCGAGTTAGACACCCCCTCGAGAGTGAATGTTGCCGACCGCTTGCTTCTCTTGTTATACCAGCTTTAGTAAGGACTGCACGATAGCAATACAAACCTCAACAAAACGCCACTCAATAGCCTCAACCTCAGGCCAATCCATTACAAACTGCTGCGGGGTGACTCAGCTCAAGGAAGAACATATATGATCATTACTTTATCATTTCCATAAAGTAATAATCACCATATTAATCATTTTGCACTGCAGATGCAGTAGTTCTTCTGCCTTAGCATCTCAGTCTGATTGCATTTCCATGAAGAAATGATAAAAAATATTCTTCCTTGAGCTGCGTAACCCCACAGCAATCCTTAATGGACTGGCCTGAGGTCTCGCTACACACAAGCAACTGCTGGAAGAGAGTAGGTGAGTTGTGTTTAGTCTCTTTGCCAAAGAAATTAAGCAAAGTTAAAAAGATGTTTGGTGGTTAGTACTATGGCTTGGACCCTATATGTACTGTTGATGAAGTTAGGTGCTGTTCTGAGCATTATTTGTGGCTATGCTGCGTTTTGGTTGAAGTTTGTTTATGGCCCCTCAGACCGCTGTGTATTGCTATCATGTGTTCGTTACTAAAGTTGGTAAAACTAGAGAAGCAAGCGGTCGGTAACATTCATCTCTCGAGGGGGTGTCTAACTCGGTGTTATGGTGTGTTTGACCCTAAATTAATTTTACGCTGAAATATTCCTTGAAGTTTTTTAATGTTAATTAATTTAATGATCAATTTGAGTTAAATAGACTTTCATACTTGTAAATGAAAATTTTTTGAAGAGGAAATTTTAATATAGCACGTTTTTATATTCCTATTTAAAAAAAAATCTTTTTTGTTGTTTTTTTCCAGATCGAGGAAGAGATGCTGTCTCTGCAGAATGAGCGCTCCGAACGTATCCGTACCCTCCTGGAGCGACAGGCCAGTGAGATCGAGGCCTTTGACTCGGAGAGTATGCGCCTTGGTTTCAGTAACATGGCTCTGTCAGGTATCCCCAGTGAGGCTTACCCCATGCAGGGCTACTCCAATGCCCCGCCCCCTGGCTCCCGCTCTGCTGGCCACTGGAGCCACGGCCTGCACCCACAGAACGTTCCCTCCCAGCAGCACTCCCGCCGCAGTCACAACAGCAGCAGCAGCAGCAGTGGCATTGGCAGCGCCAGCGACCGCCGCAGCGAGTCCTCCTCCTCTTCCCATGCACTGGGCTTGGCCCTGGGCCTGGGCCGAGATGGCAGGGATGTGCACCATTCGTCCCGTTCCTCTGCCTCCTCTTCCTCTTCCTCCTCCTCCTCTTCCTCCCACCATCAGCGCCACCACCTGCCCCAGCACTACCACCACCAGAGCACGCCACAGCTATACCGTGAGCGGGAGCGGGATCGAGACCGCGAGAGGGAGCGGGAGAAGGAGAGGGAGCGGGAGTGGGCTGGAGTGCGGGGCTCCGGCGGCGACCTGGCCCACCCACACCCCCTGCCCTTCTCCCATCACCTGCCCTCGCGCTCCTCTTCCCAGTCCCTGGCAATGCTACCACCCCCACCACCTGCTCCCCCTTCCATCTCTGGTCCATCCTCCTCATCCTCCTCCTCCTCCTCTTCACAGGGGGGGATTTACGGCGGAGGGCTGGGTGTGCGTGGTGCCCCCAGTCTGATGGCTCTGAGGAATAGCCCCCAGCCTCTGAGGAGGACGGCGTCCGGTGGGGGGCCTGGAGGTGCTGGGGGCAGCGATGGTGTCTTGAGCAGAAGCACCTCAGTCACTTCACACATCTCCAACGGCTCTCACCTCTCCTACTCGTAGACAGGAGAAGGAGATGAGCAGGGAGGTGTGGGGGTGTTATTGGAAGGTAGCTATCACAGGCTGCGTCTCAATACTCTCAGCTTGACACCTCACCTTGTGCCCTTTAGTTTGGCTGATCTGAACTTTGAGGTTAGCTCAACTGCAGAGAGTTATCTCCCTCTCTGCTTCATGCACAAACGGACAAAAAGAGGACAACTGACAGTGCTGAGCTGCACCCTGCTTCTTCAGACTCAGGGTGGGTTGAGAGGTTTTCTCGCATTCTCACAGGTGTACACAAACGAGGGAGGAATGTAACCACCTGTGAAACCATTGGATTTAGAAGACATTAGATTTTAAAAAAGGGGGTTTGTGTTCAGTGTTTTTATTCTTTGTTACCGCCTGTAAAAAAAAAAAAAGTGAGACAGGAAGTGTGAAAGAAGCAGCCTTTTTTTCCCTCCCAGAGCTGCAGACGGTGAGATTAGGACAGCGGCCATGTCTTCTTCTATGATGTTCTATACTGGAATGGAGAAAGATGGAGGACAGGGCAGAGGAAAAAGAGGAAGATAACTAGATTTTTTCATTTTGTTTGCTTTATGTTTGTTCTTGTAAGTAGTTGGTAGTGTTCAGACTATATCTGGAAGCACCAGGAAAAAGGGGAGAATCCCAAAAAACACGGTTGGCTCAAGCTTCAGCTCCTGCTGACACTTTTTATTGATTTACAACTGTTGATTATTTTGTATTAAGTGTATAAAAAAAACCACAAAAAACAAGTTGCTTGGAACGTCACCAATGCCTTTAAGGGGTTCTTAAAGGGAAGACCTGCCATCAAAGTTTTTATTTGATGACTGCAAGATGATTTAAAAAAACACAAAAAATACACCGAATGTTTGTAAAGGAGAGAGACTTTGGTTTCAACATGCAGCTGGGATGAGGAGAAATGTATTGTGGACATGTACAAATACAAAAAAAAGAGCTTTCCAGCATCCATGACATATTGAGTATCTAAACAAACAAAGGTGTCTACAGGAGTCACTCCAATGCATGAAATAGATGTACAAAAAAAAAAATTTGTAAACATGATCAAACACATTTGAAATGTACCGTACCCGTCCAAGTTTCACTGGCATTTCAGATCACTCGTCCCACATTTTTTGATCTCTTACTGTACATAGTTATGAGAATATGAAAAACAAAGAACAAGTCATTGGTTTTATAGAGCAACGAAGATAAGGATAGTAATTTTGATATATTCAAATGAGTATCGAATTCAAGATTTAGAGGCAACAAACTCCAACTGCATTTTCTATAGGTGTCAATATTACCATAACTAATCCTGATGTTGTTGTTGTTGTAATCATGTTCACAAAGGGCCCACTTTTGACTGTAAAAAATAGATGATAAAAAAACTGTTGCATTGTCAGGTATGGTGTGTGTTCAAGGTATTAATGATTATTAATAAGGGTTTTTTATTAATAATTGTTAATGGTTTATGTATGTATGTGTCGAGCGGTAAAGTCTGGTTATATTGCCACATTTTTTATGCTGAAAAAAGTGAATTTTAAAGGACACCCCACATGAACTCTGACCTCCTTCTCTGGACTCTCATGGAGAAAAAAAGATAATTTTACAATTGGGCACCGGAATGTAAATGCTGGTTTACCTTTTTTTTTTTTAAGTGTTTTTCAGTTTGGGGGTTTACCTTTCAAAGCGGTACCTCTCACAGGAAAAATGGGTGGAAAAGAGAGACGTGCACAATCTTTGTAGAAAATCTGAGCATGCAAACTGTATGGACAAGCTGGAAGCGTGTGAAGAAGAAAGAAGAAGAAGTGAGAGGACAGGCATCGACTGAGCTGCTGTGAGTGTGCAGCAGCAGTGACCGCAGCAGCCTGTCCTCACGGATAAAGACACCGATCAGTGTTTTTCTGGTGCACATGAAGCTCCTGAAGGCTTTTTTTCCTCAATTTTTTTGGGTCATTTACTTGAAGGGGATCAGAAATAACTGTTTTTTTTTTTATTATTATTTTACTTGAAGAGAAAACAAACAAAAAAAGATAATCACCCTGCTGTTTGTATGACTCAGAAACACCAGCTCAAGACAGTTCCCTGTATAACCTACTACTTTATGCTTGGTTGGAATCTCAGTGCATGCATGAAACTCCTTATATAAACTAAGACTGGCGGGTTCGGGGGACAGCCTTTGTGTTGGGGAAGTCAGCGTGGTAGTGTGTTTAGACGGGCTGTTGTCTGTGTCTGAGCAGATGATCTCATCTCTTGCCTGGTGTAAACATGAAGACGAAGAAGCAACGCAGACTCGACTGTGTTTTGCAGAGTTTTCGCGGGTTAGTGGGGGGAGGCGGGGTGGATGGGGGTGTGGGTGGGGGTTAAAATCCTTATTAAATATTCACATCAAGTAATTTAAAGCTTGAGGAGGAGAGGGGCAAAGGGTGTTAACACATGTATTGGTAAAGAAATGGGGTGCTTTAAAAAGTAATTTAAAAAAAGATAATAAATTGATATTAACACATTAACTGGTCTTGATTTGATGTACTTCATTCAAATAACTACACTGTTGGGATGTTCCTCATACTTGTCCAAAGAAGTAAATATGTTTTTGACAGTCAGAAATGATTAACCTCTAAAATAACAATCAGTATATCCTTAAAATATGTAAAATTTCACTGTAACGCCTTCAATGTTATATTTACCTTTTTTTCACCTTGTATAATATCAGACTTAACATACTGTGTGTGTTTGTTTTTATGATTAGATGTTTTTATATTAAACAAGCAGTGAAAGGAAAGTAACAAAGAAGGTAGCAGACAGGGTTGTTACAGGCTTAAAATGCAATAACTCACAAAAATGTTTGTTTCCAAAATTTAAATCCAAAGCTGGACTGTGGGGGCAAATTAATTTATAAATCATATCCAACACAAATTGAAGAATGTGACATCTGTGCAGGATAAGACAAGCATTTTCAGTTTGTTAAATTTGTATAAGATTTCCAGGTTTCCAATACCTCTCAAACTTAGCACTGGCATATCACAGGGAAAATGTCAAATGCTCCATAATATAAATCTCCCCCTATGATCTCTGTCCATTCCAAAATACATGGTGGGTCCTCACTGAGCTATTTTCTGGTTATTGCTTTTTTGCAACCAACCAAGAGAATCTGTATCAAGTACGTGTCTTGTTTCCTCATGGTTTTTGGTAAATTCCCCCAAGTAAATAAGACTGAAAGAGTGCTGTATATCAGCACCTAGGATTGAAGTGATTTCCTTTATCGCACATTCCCAAAATGGTTAAAGTGCAGGACACTCCCAAAAAATGTGGAAATGTCCAGCAGATATATTGCCACACATCCTCCAACAGTGACTAAACTCAGGCCTGTTAGTCTGGGACTGTGTGTTGGTTTAAGACTCAGAACATTAGTAAGACATGAATATTGTCATGTAGGATTTTATGGACCAAAATGTTACAGGAATAGACCAGGAAATTATCAACAGAATCATTGTTAGGAATAATTTTTGCTGTTTCTTAGAATTAGTTTTATATTTGCCTTTTTTTCCACCTTGTATAATATTAGACTAACATTTTTGTATGTTGGTTTAAGATTCAAAACAAAAGTAAGACATGAATATTGTCATGTATGATTTTATGGACCAAAACGTTACAGGAATAGACCAGGAAATTATCGACAGAATCATTGATAGAAATAATTTTAGTTGTTTGTTAGAATTAATGTTACATTTGCCTTTTTTCCCACCTTGTATAATATTAAACTTAAAATATTTGTATGTTGGTTTAAGACTCAAAACAACAGTAAGACATGAATTTTGTCATGTACGATTTTATGGACCAAAACGTTACAGGAATAGACCAGGAAATTATCAACAGAATCATTATTAGAAATAATTTTTGCAGCCCATACCATTTTTAATATTGAAACAATCTTGTTTATTCAGTTAATTAAAATATAGTATGAAGGGGAAAAAAACATTAGTTTTCAATCCAACAGTTAATGAATGTTAATATCATTTTCAACCCACCCTATATTAAGATTAGGGAAGCTAAAACCGATACATTTGGATAACTTTAACCTTAAAGTTAACCATTTATCCATTATTCATGTCGTTTGTGTCTCCATATATTCGCAGTATCAAAAGTTAATTTAATATATTTGAAATGATAAAGTACACCGTACAGTACCATATGAATAAAATGAGCTCAAAGTCAAACCCAGACAGACAGAGTATTTGTATTTACACAATGTCGTCTATTAATCTCCTCTATTGTTGTGCATGCTGAGCTGTTATTATTGTGTACTATATCTGTCTCTGACATCATTATTATTGGCCGACAGGGAGGATCTGCGCGCACCTCCCTTTAAGATGCGTCTGTCATCTCTCCGTTAATGGAAAGTCACTCCGGCTGTTTTCCGCGGTGCAGGAGGTGCAGGGAGATTTGCTCCAGCTGCCCGAGGAGTAGAAGGAGGGGGGAGGGAAAAAAATAACACGCACACACTGTGTGGCGCATTTTGTGTCGGCCGACCAAACCCAGGAAGGAAGGGGAGAGGACGGGCTCCGCCGAAGGGAGACGGAAATGAGAGGAAACCCTATCCCTTTAAGAGCAAGTGGGACATAGCGGTGCGAGAAAAGGAGAGGAGGGGGAGAAGAAAGAGGAATTAAAAAAGAAAAGGAAGAAAGAGACAGGGAGGGAGGAGGGAGAGCGGGCGATAAAAAAAGAAAGATGACATCCTCGCAGCTGAACGGCCGAGGTGGAGCGAGAGGCTGCGGCCCGGCGAGAGCGCCGCTCGCCGGGGTCAGGGCTTGAATCCAACGCGAGGCTTCGACAAACACCCGATTGGCCTATTGGGGGAAATCGGGAAAAATAGATTCATAAATTAAAAACAAAGCATGTCCTGCTGTGCTACCAGATACGTCTATTATAATCAATATTTGCTCTCTTGCGTACAAATGCATTTTATTTCTCCTGTAGGCTTGGTTTTGTTTCTTGCTAAAATGTAACATTGTAAAATGCGTTTTTATTGTTTTGTGGAAGCAGTTTTCTTATGTGCTCTTGCGTTTTAGTCAAAGAAGTGTTGGGTGAATTAAAGTTAGAAACCAAAGTGAAATAGAAACAGGCCATCATTGGAGCTGGCCTGCGTGCTGCAGCCTGCGTGAGTGCGTGCATTTTAATAGACAGCATTAGGCTACCTCAATGAGAAAAACATATTTTTGCAGACGACTTTATTCACGTTTTTTCAAGCAAATCCGAGAGCCCGTCGTTTGTGCTGCAGGAGTGGTATCCGGTTTTACCCACGATCACCAGTGGGCAGATCCAAACCATGCAAAGCTTTCTCTTCCCGATCTCTATCTGGAGCTGACTTTATAATCTCCATCGCTGTGGCGCAAAATGGATGCTGCTTGGAACAATTTTCTCTTCCAGGTAGGCTCGATGAGCAGGCCTCTGTCTCAGCTCACACTCTCTCTGGCTCTCCCAGTGCATGTGTGCTTTTGTGTGCTTGTGTGTGTGTGTCCCGCAGCCCCTCACGTGCTGTCTTACACCTGAAGATAAAGCTGTGACTGGTGTTTACATTTGGTGATGGCCTTCTGCTTGCTCCTCCAGAATACTCCCACCCAAAACCAAGTGGAGGGGAGCCTCCAATCAGAGCTCATGCCCGTGCATACGAGTTCTCCCCAGACCCCACCCACAGAGCACATAGCTCAGCCTCCTTCAACTGTGGACACTGCTGCTCTCAGTGAGGAACCCCTGCCTGGTGAGGGACACTACACTACACTGTACCTGACACCTGTGGAGCTCCCTGCAGTTCACCTGAGGAGACAGTGCTCCTCTCATTTGCAGAATTCAGTCGGTCAGACAGACAGGTGCTCAAGACAAGGTGACTTTTAATTTGGTGACCTGTAGGTGACAAAACACAATCATGGTCATGGTCAAATCATGGTCTTGAAGAATTGAATAATATGAACTGCTAAATATTTAAAACTGAAGCTCAATCTGTGCTGCTCTGACATGTATGGATACATACATTTATCTGAATTTAGTTTTTGTTCTTTTCGATTTTAAGATGCTCGATATTCAAAATCTACTCAAACAAAAAAAATTACAGGCAACAATATAGCTTCGTTATCTTTCCTCCATCAATCAATCAAATCAAACTTTATTTTTAAAGCACTTTTCATACATTGAATGTAGCACAAAGTAGGATCTTAAAAAAACATTGAAATAAAATTAATAAAAATACAAATACTAAACCCAACCCACCCTCCCAACCCCCATTCAACACCTACAGCACTCACACACTTACACATACAGATGCACACACAAAGGACTCTTCAACTTGTCACAGATGACTGAGGAAACTATCTTGAGTTAAAATAGATGAGGAAACACTGGATCAAGGACTTAAACGATAGTTAAAGGATCCTTTTATTTAAGTAGAAAGTTAATTAAATAAAAGTCTTAAGTCTATAAATTAAACAATAAAAGAGAGTGAATTAAAAAAACAGGTTCTAAAACACAAAATAATTACTCCAGGACTAAAATAGCGTAAAATCACATAATGCAGATTAAAAGATTAAAACAAAATTCAGCTCAAAGCCAGACCAAAAAGGTAGGTTATGTCAATTCTAAGCATTTTTGTGCTGTAAATTGATAGTTTTCATATACTTTTAAAAGTCCTGAAAGAATGGAGGTTGGCATGACATAAAAACATCAACTTGTGTCGCCAGTGTGAGACTTATTATCTTTAAAGATTTTATGGACCAAGAGCTAAAAGATGACTTAAATCCAAAATAGAATAACTCTTGGCTGCAGGCCTTTAGATAATGTTTATATTAAAGTCACAAAAAATAGCCGCTTAATCTAGAAAATGAATTTAAAGAAATTTGTGTAGCGCATGTTGGCTACCTTCTTTACAAGATGATAAACAGTCTTAAAAAGTCAGTTTTTTGAAGAAATAAACTAAGAAGAACTTTATTTATCCCTGGGGGGAAATTCGATGATAATAATAATAACAGAAGGAGCAACTTTTTTGGTCTGAATTGAAGATATTATCTACACTATTCCTCAACTATTCTCTACAACAATGTTTTTTAGTTGTATATAAATCTACTGGTCACTTTTTACTTGTATCATTTAATCTGCACAACCCCAGAATAGAGCTGACTTGGACATGACTTTTTATGAGCTCCTAAACCCCCTGTCCTCCAACATGTTATAAATACTCATGATAACATTTCCTCTTCCTGTCTGTCCTCCTGCCTGTGGTGTCCAGTGAAGCCTGTGTCTCGGCCGACCCGCGTGCCCCACATCTGTGCCATCTGCAACAAACAGTTCAAGAACAACTACAACCTGCGGCGGCACCAGTCTGTCCACACTGGGGTACGCATGAAGGACAGGGCCAGAGAGCAGGCGGAGGGGGCAAAGGAGGGAGCAACCGGCCAGGTGGCTGTGGCGGCCCCGTCGGCGATGGCGGTTGGGGCTGGAGGGAGAGTGGAGAGGCCAACAGTTCCTCTCTCCTTGCTACACCTCTCTGCACCTCCTCTCGCCCCTCCCGGCTTGCTGGCAGGGTCCCAGCAGCCTCCCCTGTGTAGTCAGGATGGTGACGGGGTGGCCATGCCAAACGTAATGGCTAGTGTTAACCCCCACGCTCCGCCTCCTGCTGTTGTCGTTTTGGCCACAGGGGCGACAGTACAGGTGGGTCAGGGCCTCGTGGAGATGGCTGTCGTCAACCTCGAACTTTCGAGCATGTCGTTTCTTAAGCTGCCTGGCCACAGGAGGGAATAGCACTGCCTCCTGTTTGACAGAAAGTCACATATGTGAATTTGACAAAAAGGAATCTGTTCTGGGACCTGATAAGTCCATCCTAGAGTTTGGCACTGGTCCCCAGTTTGAGAAACACAGTGCTAGAAGCCCCCCACGCTCCCCTGCATGTTCTCTGTAACATAAAAAGACTTTAAATTTAGAGTAAAGTAGTTCACCTAACACATAACAAGCTGTTAGGTAGTAAAGCCAAAACATCTTTGTTTATGTGCATGGTTTAAAAAAGAAAGGTGTTCAAATATTTAACTAACTGATTCAATGTTTTTAATGTACAAAACACTTTCCATCCATTTATCTGCATGTCTTTTTTCCTGACTCAGCGGCCCTCAAACCCCAACCCAAACCCAGTAAGAAAGAATCATGCCTGTGAAACGTGTGGAAAGGCTTTCCGTGACGTTTACCACCTCAACCGCCACCGCCTGTCCCACTCGGATGAGAAACCGTTCTCCTGTCCGATCTGCCAGCAGCGTTTTAAGAGGAAGGACCGTATGAGCCACCATGTACGCTCGCACCAGGGTGGGGTGGAGAAACCCTACATCTGTCCCCACTGCGGCAAGGCTTTCTCCAGGTGGTGTTTAAACTTAAGCCACAAATATTCCCAGTAGTATTGACCTTTGATTTGCAAGTAAAAATATGAGCGTTACCTTTACTTGACTGTATCTTTCATTTTCTGCTAAAGGCCGGATCATCTTAACAGTCATGTCAGACAGGTGCATTCCTCGGAGCGACCCTTCAAATGCCCGGTGCGTCATGGCAACCCTGCTATCTCCTGACTAAGCAGCTCTCCTTTTGTTGTTCTTTTATGCTTATAGTATGCTTTACCTGCATTGTGTTCTTTATGAAAAGGCTCAGGTCTTTCTGCACCTATCTGTCTTCAGAAGCCTCACTCAAGATTTCTCTGGCTCTGACATTGAAAGTATTACCATGGCAACAGATCAGGACAAAACACATGGGTTTTTGAAAACACAGCAGGTCATCTCACTGTCACCATGTGGCTGGCAGTCTTTATTATAATGGATGTTATATGTTATATGCTGTATGCATATGCTATTTTGGTTTACAGTATTGGTATTGTACAGTTTTGTACTTTGGTTGATCAAACAAGTTGTCACAGAGTTGTAACTAGGTTAATCTTCCGTGTTCTTAAAAAGATTGCTTTTTTTGCTGTTACATACTTTTCAAAGATCCCACATTGCAGACATTTTCTTTGAATTTAATTATAGATCTCTTCTTTTTTTCAGACCTGTGAGTCCAGCTTCGCCACAAAGGATCGGCTGCGTGCACACATGATTCGCCACGAGGAAAAAGTCCCCTGTCACATCTGCGGCAAGCTCCTGTCTGCCGCTTACATCACAGATCACATGAGGGTGCACAACCAATCACAGCACCATGCCTGTCATCTGTGTAACCGCAGTAAGTGTCAATGGAATGATTTAATTGTTTATAAAATTTCAGGCGCTCTGGGGGGGGGGGTTGTTGGTTCTCAGAAGGCTGGTTTGAAACCAGATAGACACTGCAGTAGTCATGGTTTATTCTTTACTATCCTCCTTTTACTGTCGTCTTTAACTACTATTCAGGTAATGCTGTAAATGTGGCTCTTTATGTCCACATATATGACTCAAAGGGATCATTCTGGAAAGTTTTCAGGAAGTTTGTACAAGTGTTGGACCACTAAAGTGAAGATTTAAAGCAACAGTAGTTAGTTACACCTACGGCGTTAAATCTTTGCTAGTATACTGGTATAATTGAAGTGGGGTTGTATACCTGTGTACTAATGTGCATTGATATGTTAAATGTTTATTATTACACTTGTGATTTGCATTAGTGTGGATCTGTGTTTGGCTTGGAGCTGAATGAACTAGAACATTTTCACCTCCAAATGACAGCATCATTTTCACACTTTCCTTCTCTTAGGCTTCACAACTCTGACGTATCTCCGTGTCCACGCCCAGAAGCACCACGGCCAGGAATGGAAGGACAGTCCTGGGGGCTTTGGTGGTACAGCCAGTGGCGGGATTCTTGTCTGCCAACTATGTGGCGTCCATTGCAAGACCCCCACCCAGCTCCAAGGCCACATGGGCACCCATAACAACAATCAGGGTGCCCCAAGCCCCATCACCTCTAATGTGGCTGCCAGCAGCTCTGTCTCCCTTAGCAACATGGTGACGGCACCTACAGTGTACGTCACAGGTAACACAGTGGTGGATTTGCTTGTCACAGACTGCTCTAGCATCGCAGCACCACAGTCCCACAGTTAGCAGGACAGAGCTCAGCAATAATAACCTCTGTCTCCTTACAGAGGGTTAGAGAGGGTGAAAGTGACACGTAGATGCTGATCCGGTTTCACTTTTGTGAAGACCGCACTTACTAGTAACGTTTGGATTAAGGGTGAAGGAGATTAACAGCAGTTAGGGCAGCATCCCATTAAAGCTGAAGAGAGAAGGAGCAAACGGAAAAGCTGGATAAAAAGAGCCTGAATATGACAGAAAAGGAGAAACCTTTGAAGCTGCAGACGCAGTAAAGCAAACATGGATGTGTTGAGGAAGAATTCCTATAGGAATCTGAGATATTGTAAGCATCTACTGTATCACTCTCCTCTCTTTGCCCTCTCTGTCCACCCCTCCCTCACCCCTGGCGTCAGCTGCTCTCTGCAAGTGCACCAAGTACTGTATATCTCACACCAGCTCTAATCTTACCTCCATTTTGCAGCTCTCTCACTAAAAAAATCCAAATGGCTTGCGTTAAGCAGAAGTAGGGAGAGGCTAGATTGAGTAGAAGTTAAGTAACACATTAGGAAGGGAAGTTGTGTGTTAGCATGTTAGCATTATGAAACTAAAATCAGCATTTGATTTTACAAAGCTGTAAGTTTAAGGGTTAGGACAGGAGGCCATACATGTCGTGGTTAGTATGGATTCGTTGGATGTACTTGTTTAGTTGTTTTTTTAAGGTACAGAGAAAGGTATAGAGTTGCGTTCAGGGGTGTCAAGCACCTTAAATTGTTATTGTTGATTCAGTGAGGACTGAAACAGGTTTGAGAATTATTGAGAAGTATTTCCTCCTCTGAGTCTTCCTCTCTGGGTCCAGCCATCATACATAACAAAAGAAGAAGAAGTAGAAGAAAGAAAATATAACTGCAAATCAGCTCTTCTCCTGGCCTCTGACATGGCAACTCCTGCACCTGAAAACTTTTTGCATGAAAGTAAGCTAGCTGAGTCATGCTTATTGCTAGAGAGCTGTCACAACAAAAGAAACACTAAGCAGTTCCAATATGTTAGTTGGCTGTTAACAATAATATTTATAAAAGTGTTGATTTGATTAAGACATTGTTGGTCATTTACCGGATTGACACAGTGGCCAGTTTCTTCTACAGTAATGCGAAGGTGGTAGCTGAAGCACTGATTGAATACTGTATTGATGTGCTTTGCATGACAGAGATTATCTGTGGGTCATATTGCTGCTTTATGATCAATCAGCAACTGTGGGGTAAAAATCTGAGGAGACAAAAGCTCGTACGTCAAAGCAGAATGAGACAACAAGAGGACTGGTATATGACACCATAGCAGCGTGTGAGCCCGTCACCCTCAGCGTGATGTCAGAGAAAAATGGCTGTTGTGTGAATTTGGTGAATTCATTTGATTGTAACTGTCATCGCCATAGTCCTTTTTTTCCGTTTTCTCTATGTACCCGTCTAATGAGTGAAATTTATACATTAGATTTAGTCATTTAACTCTGTATAGCACATCATGTTCTGAACGCAAGTCATTATCGTTCTGCATTAATCATGTGAAAAACGGTCAGTCGCACATCCGTTGGATATTCTAGGTTGTTATGAGTTGTATTGTGAGTGACGTGGTGTCCAGAAAGGGCTTACAAAGTCACCAGTCAGGAATAATGCATACATTTGGAGTCTGAAAACACCACTTGGTTTGCTGTTAACAAATCCTGGTTTTGTACTGGAGTGCTTTTTCAGTTTTGTGTTGATATGTTTCCCTGAAATTGGTAGATGTTTGTTTCTTTTGTTTCTTTTCTTTTTTTCTTTGGAGATGTGTTCTTCCTGTTGAGAAAAGTAGTGATTTCTTAAAACTGTTAATTTTAGGTTTTTCTCCATAACACTAAGAAAAAAATAATACCTCTACTTTAGGATTCTGTACAGCTCTTGTGATACATCTTAATGCCTTATTGTACTCAACTGCATTTTAATTATTTTATGATAAAATATTTCAGATCTTAGTCATGGATTCATTAAGAATAATAATGGGATGTATTTATATTTATATTTTTATATTTCTCAACAGTATGCATGTCTAAAAGGTTGTTAGAGCAAAAAAATCAATGATGCTTACTGCAGTCATAAATATGTTATTTTGTAGATGAAGTAGAATTCATGTTATTTTGTAATTTGGACAATTTAAAGTAAAAAGAGTAAATGGGTGTTACTCGTGTACTGATCCGTTCCTCATTTTGCTACATTGTCGATTTCATCACTGAGCATATAAAGGGGGCTCTACTGTGCAAAATATTGCTCAGCCATTTTGTCATCCGTGGTGATAACACTTAATAACAAGGGTACACAACACATGCTTGAGTAATTCATAATTAATGCATGACTCATGGTGATTTGGTGCATGAAATAATGCAGACTGCACCATTTACTAATGCTTCAGTCGTGAGCATACTTGATAAGTTCATGATTTAATGAGAGATTATTCATGGTTAATTTTTATATCCTAAAAAGAGTTGACATTTCAGGGCCATGCATTTGATCAGTCCCCAACACTATTAACTCTGATAGAAATATTCAGCTAATGCAAACCTGGCCCCCACACATGATTCCAGAGGATAAATAATAATCACACTTCTGGCTGATGTGACTTAACAGTAATACAACTCCTGCACAGCCTCCTATTTCCCGGCAAACATTAAAGAATCAATTTTTGCCTGAAGAGTTTGTTTTTAATTCATTGTAAGAGCCTTCTTTCTACAGGGAAGGACTTCCTGCACATTCTCAGCACTTATGACTACACTCAATAACTCAACAAAAGAAATACCTTACAAAGCCAAAAATCAGGACGATCAATACATGCAGTGTTCTCATAGTGAAGGATCAGACATTTTTATCAGACTTGTTCCTTCTACTTTCAAGAATACCAGTGTGAGAGGAATAACACTTACAAGTTACATCTTAACAGATTAAACACACGACCCACTGCGTCTTTACTTGATCCAAAATAAAAATGAGTGAGGCAGTAACACGTGATCATCTCTGTTTCTCTTCTTGACAAACTTGTAATGTTGCCCTTCATCTGTTATTACTGGCACTATCTCTGTAGATGTAAACACAACAAGTTCAGACATATTTACTGCAGATTTTAGAGCAGTACCTGGAGGAACATGGAAATGCTCACATTGGGCGAAGTGCAATTAAACTTACTTTTTATCACACTTCTATAAAACTCTATGAAACTAACTTGTTAATTTCTTTCTTGGAACTATTGTAATAAGTTTTTTTTTTTCATTTATCAATTACATATTTTTCTCACTGATTCTTGTAAGCCTATCCTTGCATTGTCCCCTAGAGCAGTGGCATGTGAAGCCACTGTCAAAGTACCACTGTGCTAAACTCAAAGACAAAGCTGGGTAATCACTCAAAAGCCTGGAGAGTGATGTATTGATCGTTGTGCAATCTTCAAGTCTCCAGCATAAGTCAAAGTTCCCAAAGGTCTCAGAATGTCAGGACCTCGAGCCCTTAATCAAACTCAGCGTCTTTGATTATTTAAGGATAGATGATTGATCGGCTGTTACGCAAATGCGGGTCCATTCAAAGGTCATGTCAGTCACCTGTCAGTGTTAATCACTTGTTTAACTCAGCCATGATTTGCATTTCAGTGTGTGGCATTTGATCAGATGTACCATTGTTCTCTGGTTTAAATACATCAATTGTAGGTCCTTCGATTTGTAGGGGAGAGTGGGGTAAGTTGAGCCAAAGGGTAAGTTGAGCCACCCCCTGTTGCTTGGAAATGGTAAAAGAAATTGATCATGTGACCAAATATTTAGGAGATGGGCATCAATTCATGGAGTCTGTGAAGGTTAGAAGCACATGGACGAAGGGGTTAGACATTTATTTACAAAAATATAAACAATTTTTTCACTCTTGAAAGTGAATTTACTCTGTCATAAGTTTTATTAGAATTGTGTTCAGACCAAAAAAGATCATTTTCAATTTGGTTTATACATCAATTGTGGTATCTATGAGCTACAACATCAGGTTAAAACCTAGCGTAATAGTCCACCATTTTAGCTTAGAGGACTAATAAAGTCATCATAGTAGTTCTGGGGTAAGTTGAGCCAGTGGCTGAACTGAGAAAGTAAAGGAGTCTGATGAGAGGATCAGAGTTTCAGTTCAGATAGTTGAAATGTGTTACTTTTTCTTCTACAGCTGTGAGTATTCTGAATCACTTAAAGACATTCTCATGTTAAAATGTTTTTTTTGTTTTTTTTTTACAAAACACACATGAATGTGAAGAAGTGACTGTTAGGGAGAGATAATAATTCTAATCAGACTTATGACAGACTAAATTCATTTTTAAGAGTGAAAATGTTTTTTTTTAATAAATGTCTCACCCCTTCACCCATGTGCTTCTAACCTTTACTGACTTAATAAATTGATGCCCATTTTACATGCATACGATGTCACTATTTGTGTTGTTTATAGTGTAAATACTTGTATATTATCTCTATATTCTTACTTATTTTATCTATTTTATCTTTTATTTTATCTATTATTTATCTCCTCTTTTACTGTATTTGCACTGGAGTACTGTGACAAAAGCAATTTCCCCCTTGAGATTATTAAAGTATTTCTGATTCTGATTCTGAGAAGGTGAGGGAGGGCTGGGGTGGAGAGTGGAGGGTAGTAGGGATATGGCTCAACTTACCCCACTCCTATGGTCAACTTACCCCATACATGGGATAAGTTAAACCATAGGAGACCACTTTTTTTGGCATGCTATATTATCAAGACAGTTCTGTTTACACTCATTCTGTTGGTTTGCGGGGATGCACAACATCTTGAAATATATGCAGATACACTAGTCAGAGACAAAACTATGATTGCCTTGATGTAGTGATCTGAAATATGAAAATGGCTCATCTTACCCCACTCTCCCCTACATTTGAAATGATGAATGCAGCAGTAGACAGTGAGGTGGGGCATTCAACTATTCCCTACAAACAAACAAACAAACAACAAAACAAACAAAAAAATAATAATAATAAAAAAAACTGTTTGCAAAATGGGATGCAGAGACTGGTGCAAATTCCTCGTCATGTCATGAGCTGCTGCCGCTTGGACCTGTAGGAAGCAGCTGGCGCAGCAGTCCTCTGTGTTGAGTCAACGTTGCATCTGCGGGGCTGAGGCAGCGGCGGCGGCGGCGGCGGCATCACTGGACTCAGACGAGATGACATAGCGACCGGGCGAGCCTGTGTCACCTGAACCGCTGGATCGAACCGTGCTGATATTATTTCTTCACCAGTTAGCAGTGTCTTAATTCGCTGTCCAGCGGCATCTCGGGCTGCTTACCAATGCTCTCAGCGAGCTCTCCTCTCATAGATGTCGATCTAAGTTGCTGCAAGCTAGCGTTAGCTCGCTGCTGCTATCCTTCAGACATCGAAGTGGCCACATAAACATGCGGATCGTCGAGGCTGACACCCCCGGGACATCTCTAACATTAAACGCTGCCTGCAGGACACGAGTTTCGACTGGCCGCTGACCGGACTCTGCAAAGTCTCTGTGTAAATGCCACTCAGGATTTTCTATTTATTCCACACATGTGCAAACTCCTGTCTGTTAGCCTGTTAGCCTCAAAGGGTCGGTAAGCTAGCGTTGAGGCTACTGCTAAGTGCTACAAACAAATAACAAGCTAACACAAGAGTTTAATGTCAGTGTAACGTTAACATGAATGTCTGGCAAACCGTGGATAGCTGTTTAGTAAGTTATTAGTTATGCTGTATAAGAGGCCACCATCTCGCTAACTATCCTTATTTAAGTGTGGTCACATCGACATTTCATGGATGCTAACGGTTTTAGCGTCATTGTTAGCCGGTGTTGTGCCGTAGAATGCATCCCCGCTGTAGTATGCACCCCCTGACGGGAGCGCGGTTGAAAGTACATAACAAGGCGAAATAATACAAGTTTTCCTTACTATTGGGTGGATTCAAAAGCGTGTACCTTTAACGATTTCATTCAGGCTATTCAGATAAGACAAAAACAATCGCCCTCTGTCCCGAAAATATTATTTCCTCTACATTGACAGCTTACTGTACAGTTTGTATACCCAAGTACACATCTATATATGCATTTTTCAGACACATAAACAAAACGAAATTCTGCTGCTCCATTTAACATCTTGTCCTTATCAAATACGCGTGTTTTTTTTTTAAATATTAGATCATTTCCTTCCACTTTAAGAAGCTAACGAGTGGCTGGGATGCAGGGGGTGCGTTATATGGCAGGGATACATTTCACGGCACAACACTAGCGGTTGAACGCCGCAGACGGTCGGTCATGCTTTCCTAGGCGAGGGGTGACATGTACTGCGACCAGCATTGTCTGTTCATTTACTACACTCTGGTGACCCAGTTTTCCAGCTTACGAGTCATCCTGACAATAAAGCCACTTGAATTGTGTAACTTTTGACCAGCTGGCGTTAATTTTAGCATAACTAGCAGGTTGAACGTTATTTAATCTGCAGCGCTGGATATGTAAGCGCCAATTCACTCCAAGTTTATGTGATATATGTGCTCACAGAAGAGCACGATTAAGACAAAAAAGCTCAGGAATACATGTAGAAAAGGATTCGCTGTTTTTAATGCTTGACTATTTAGCCCATAGTGTTAACCAACATGTCAACCAAAGGCCGGTCTCGTTTGAGGTACTTGGTGTGCTACCTGTCAAGCTCGACCCGTAAATCGTTTGTCAGACAGGTAACATTGGCAAACGTTAATGTCAGGGTCTGTGAGCTCCAGCAGCCGTGCCTGTGTCAATAGTTTCGACGTTCAGGATTTTAAAAATAGCGCAATGCGTATTTTGCTAATGGACTTCAACTTTTTAATGAGTCAGCTAGTGTAGTGTAAGCAAACTGCTAAACCGCATGGAACTAGCACATGGTTGCCCCAGGAATTAATGTGAATAACGCGTTTCAATGTCATCAGATGGACAGGGCAGCATGCTGCACAAAGGGGCCTTCTGTCTGTACTCAGCATTTATATAGTCCCCATGCACCGTCCATTCCCCGATATTGCAAACCTGTTTTCCAACTCGTGTCCATCACCCCCTCCCGTATTGCTCTTATTTTTATTGTGAATCTGGCAAGACGTCCCAGAGACCTTTTGGACCTGAAGTCCAGCATTGATCCGTACAGTATGTTGGACTTTGATAGTCTGCATTGTTTGTAATCACAGTCAATGCAGCCAAATGCATACATGTGGGAGTTGCTACAAGTCAGAGAGATCAATACAGACTGTTGCTTCACTGATTCTTGTTTTTTTGTTCTTTTTCAGAGAGGAGAAAGAGAGACGGATCTCAAGGACCAGATTGCCTACTGAACTTTTCGCCTCAGATCACCAGGGACCATGCTGACCATCCTAGCTGCTGGGTCTGTGTTCTTTCCAGGCCTTTTCCTTCTGTCCAAACAATGCCTGAAGACGATCCCAGCACTGAGGTGGAGCGAAGGAGATGCAGTCATTGTATCTGCCAGGTATTGTTTTTTTAAGGTGTTTTTGAGTGAGCAAATTGTGCACATTACACTTTCTCTGTGGCAACAGCAACCTCCCAAAAGTTCTTGTACCGTCCAAGTAGTTTTGGACTGAAGCTTGCACGTAGTTTTTTTCTTTGACTCGAGAATGAAATGTTGTTGCTGCATTCGTAATGTGTTTTTCCCTTGTGCTTTTAGATGTATTGCTCCTGCGTAAAAGCATATGGGGACTTACCATTTGTTACATAGACAGTTTAAACCTCTCGCCACACGGCCTATTAAGAAATGCATTATTTGCTGTTTACTTGTTATTCTCTGCTGTCAGGTTGGTGTCATCAGTTCAAGCAGTCATGGCTTCCTCAGCTGGTTACATCATAGCTTCTTCCTGCGAGGACATAATAGAGGACCAGTAAGTTTAAAAAAATCCTATTAAAATGCATTATTTCAACATTAGACACAAAATGTAAACAAGAAATCCATAACCCCTGTTCTATAAGAGTCCAGACATTGTGCACATTGTCAATGAAACTAATTTTGATGGTCTGCAAATCATTAAAATCCTAGACTGAGTTGAAAGTAGTGGAATGACAAAAAAAATTAAATGTTGAAACTGATATGCTCATTTGAAATGTTGATACCAGTAACAAGTTTCATCTTGGACAGGGACATGAAATCTTCAAAACAGTTGTGTAATGCTTAAAAAAATACCAGGAGGAACATCTCCATACAGAAGAGACAAAGCTGATAACTGTTACCACATGACTGTGAATTTCAGACCCCCAGGTGGCACTGCACCAAAAAGACATAACTCTGAATGTGGAAATCACTGCATGGGCTCAGTCATATCTAAAAGCTGTCTGTAAACCCAGTGTGCTGCTGCATCTACATGTGCAGGTTAAGTCTGTATTTGCAAAGAGGAAACGTGTAAAATCAAAATCCTCTGCTCTGAACCGAGGGTATGGAACCCTAATGAAATAGTAATGCATGAGTGCCTATGGCATGGCTAGTTTGCACACTTGGGAAGGCACCACTGATGCTGAACATCATAAACAGGTTCTGGAGGAACATATGCTGCCCTCCAGACAATGGCTTTTTTTAGGGGAGACCTTACATACTGCAGCAAGAAGATGCCAAACATCATTTTACAATTATTACTACAGCATGGCACCATATTTGAATGAAAATGTATATTTTCATCAAACAAATTTTCTGTTTGAACATTATGTATATTGTTTCTGCACTATTTTCATTTAACTATAAGCTTTAAATGATTTGCAAACCATCAGATTCTAATATCAGGGTTTTACTCTCATCTACTGTGGTGTAACCACAATCTTCATTCTCTGGAAAGTATCTGCAGTTTAAGGTGTTATGTATGTGAGCAGTTTTTTAGTTTATCTGTTCTTGCCATTTCATCTTCAGTACTTCAGATTGTTTTCAGTTCAGTTGAGATTGGTTCCATTGAGTTTTCTAGGATTGTGTTGAAGAAAAGTCATTCCCATTTCAGGCGTGATAGCTGCTCTTTCTTTTAGATTAGAGATTCGATTCCATCTGTGGGCCTCACTTTAAAAATAATGCTCTTCTCCCCTCCTACCCAGGCATTGGCTGACAAGCACTTACATCATGTTTGCCGTTCCCTACTTCGTCTACGACATCTACGCAATGTTCATGTGCTACTGGTACAAGCTACGGGTCAAAGGGCATGAGGAGGCCTCGGCAGCGCCCCAACATATGAGCTCAGCACTGACCAGCTACTTGCGTCGCGAGTTCCTCATGGTGCTGCACCATGTTGTCATGGTCACCGTCTGCTTCCCCGTCTCTGTGGTAACTTTCACTTCCTTCTTTTTCTGTGGGACTGAAGTTTTAGGGGGAAAAGGAAAGCCTTGGTTATGGAAATGAAACTACCCACTCTGTGCTGGTATACTATTGTATAGTTTGTTCAATGCTGCTAAAAATCTCTGGGTTAGATAAAGAATTGATAATACTGTGACCCCTGTATTTGCAGTTTTCTAGAAATATTTTGTTGCTACTAATGCATTGCAGTGGAATCACACTTTTTCAAAACATGACACAAACCAGAAGTCACTGGAGCTTTAAGATATTAGTTGTTAGGAAATTTCTGCCACAATTAAACAAAGAGTATCCAAACTAATGCCTTTTTTCTGATCAGTCCACCTGCAGTTACAGTTACAAGTTTAGACTCACAGTTTTTATCTGTCCTTGCACTGCTCAACAAGCTATGTGTGCTGTGCATTATATATGCGATGTAATCTCAGATTTGCGAAATAAAAAAAAGAAGATAAAATTTGATCGCAGAGACATCTCAAGGTCTCGTTTTACCATATATCCAGACTACTCATAAAAGTATTAAAGAGCCAAGCACATGTTTGGAGAAATAGGAATTAAGCCTTAAAAAGCTTTCTTTGCCAGCTCCAGCTAATCATTTAATTACAGAGGGGTATTTACTGAAAATCTTTCTTAATGACCACATAAGAACAAGCTGTAATTACACTCTAGATGGTTAATCAACCTCTTTTCCTTTCTCTAGTTTTGGCGACAAGGAAAGGGAGATTATTTCCAAGGTATAATGTTCATGGCGGAGCTCAGCACTCCATCCGTCTGCTTAGGAAAAATTCTCATCCAGGTGAGTGTCTAGGTTCAGCTTCCAGAGGACCGGAGTGCATCGCTGCATGTGCATCTGTCACACTAAAATTCTTCTGCACTCTTCACTTCTCTTTTTTCCCTTCACCTTCTCACTCAATGGGAAAAATATTTCTGGTCACTCCCAGCATGCGGCTTGTTCATGCCCATCGGCTGTATCTCACATGAGCAGCACTGTCAGACACATCACTCATTAAGTTGGTAACACTGCTTGCTTGATAGGTAGAAGATGCAGCCCCCTCCGTTTTTGTTGTGGTGTTGTGTTCGGTGTGTCAGTGTCGAGGTTAAGGTTGCCCCTTCCTTGCTTTCTGCTCGTCTCCCCTTCTGAGGCTCCCACAGCTGTTAGTCTCTCAATATAGCCCTTTAGTATTTAGATGGGATATTCTGCAGATACAATATCAGCTTGTCCCCCCCCACTCTCAATCACTCAGCACCCTGCCTGTCCCTGACAACAGTGCATGTTGCCGTTTGATAAACAATAGCAGGCTAATAGCTGTGGCTTTGTAAACCTGTGGAATAGTCGGTAATAAATGTGCAATAAAAACATCAGTATTTATTGAGGAGATGCCATGGAGGTAAAGGGGAGGAAAGAAGAGAATAGTAATGAGGTGAACCTCTAGAGAAACGCAGGCAGGCTTGTTGTGTTATCTCACTGGAGCAGGTTGGCCATAGCAGATAAAAGTTGTCACTGGCTGAAAACCAAGAAGACCACTGAGCACCAGGGCCTCAACCAGCTGCATGACATATTGTGCTCTCCATCATCACTCAGTCTGTTCATGCAGATATTATTAGCAAATATAACAATATTAGTATTAACAATGTAACAATGTAGGTAAGATTAACTTCGTCAGCTCTCACCAAACTGTACTGCTTGCTTTTCTTCCTCCCTCACTCTGGACCTCTCCCTCTGTTTTTTTCCGCTCTCAGTACAAACAGCAACACACTCTCCTGCACAAAGTGAATGGGGCTCTAATGCTGATCACTTTTTTCATCTGTCGAGTCCTCCTCTTCCCTTACCTCTACTACGTCTATGGAAGGTATGTCTGTCTTTCCATCTCTGTTTTTCTCATGTTCTGCTGTCTCGCTGAGCTTGGGTCGGCAACTTGCACATGATTTTTATCTTAATGGATATTTGGCTCGCAACACTTTTTTTTACAACCCGATGTGTCTCCTCCTTTTGGATCTAGGTACGCGTCCATTCCCTTCCACATGGTTCCCCTATCGGTGCCGTGGCACTGCAACCTCGGTGCCGCCCTGCTCATGGCCCCTCAGCTCTATTGGTTCTCCCTCATTTGCAGGGGTGCCCTGCGACTGTTCACAGGTTCCTCCCGCTCTCAGAGACCGCGCTCCAGCACAGCTGCAGCTAAGGAGCGCCAGACAGAAAGCAATGCGCTGCCGCAGCCCGCCAATGGCTACAGCGCACGCTCCACAGAGTCCGACCTGGCCACCCACTGAGGAGGGTGTAGGGGGAGGGTGGGGAGGGAAGGAAGGCGAATGTACCAATGAGTATGTAAAGAAAGGAAAGCTTTGAGGGAAAAAAAGAGACTTGAAACAAGTAGCAATATGAAGAAAGCTACAGACAATGGCCTCAAACAGCGCCGAAGTTTTTGCGGCCAGCAGTCAAACTCTAAACGCCAAATGTTTGCTTGCTGGCCTTCAAGCACTTCAGCTTCTCAGTTTGTATGAAGCGTGTGGGGTGTTAAGCGCACTCAGTATTTAAAGATGTCATCCGGCACTGTGACAGATAGGAACATGCACTGACCTGAGAGGAATTTGCCTGGATGTATAGCAAGCATAGGTGGCTATTTCCCTCATGTAGATCAAATTCAGTCCTCTCTGCCTCACTGTACAGGAAGAGCAGGAAAATAGGAATGTATTATATTGTATGTTAGTACATTTGCTGTAGATGGAAGGCCTGATTCAGTTTAGTAATGAAGAGGACCTTCAAAAAAGAAAAAAATCCCGGCTAAGCAGTATTTTGACTTGTTAGTGTTTATTATCTGTATCCTCTATGTAGTCACTGTCACTCTAACAAAATGTAACCAACCTGCAGACTGACTCACCTTTTTAGAAGGGAGATAATTTCACAAGACTGTATTCTGCTGCCTTATCCCTTTTTCTCCCATTCCTCACACTTTCTTTACATTTTGAGTTATTTATAACCTCTGCAAAGAAGAAAGAGGCTCCCTCAGACGGACAAATGTGACAGGTGTACATAGCCAATGTAAAATTGTCCTCATTTCCACTTCAGTATTAGGTCGACGTTGTTTTTGTTATTTTTGTCTAATTTCTGCCGCACATTTTTCATCAACATCTTAGCAGTGAACGAAACATTTTAGGTTTACCTCTCAGTGTATGCCGACTCCTCCTCAGACCTCCCGACATCCACTTATTGTTTCAGTGTAGATACGACTCCATTCCATTTATTACTATTACAAAGTGTTTTTTGGCATTTTGCAATCATGGAAGTGATGCACAGCAGCACTCGCTTTCAAAGTGATGTCTTTTGGTTCATTTTGTTGCTTGTGTAAATCGCAGGACATTCATTCGATTGGCTTGACTAAGGGATCCATGAGATTGGAATATTTCTAGCTTTGTTAGGAGCCTCCTAAGTTTGAAGGGAAACAAAACAATCCAGGGAAGCGTTCCCATGTGATTGACATGCAGCACGTGTCCATGATTTCTACATGTCTTTTAACCACTCCTGAGTTCATGAATCATTTTAGCGTTTTACATTTTATGGTTTGCTTTTGATCATTGAGCCGTATTTATTTGAGCCACTGGTTCTATGAACCTTTTATGAACAAACTACTTAGTTTTTTTTTTTTTCCGTTTTTCTTGTTTAAAGCAGCTTCAGTATCCTGATAATGGGTCTAGAAAAAAAAAAGAAAACAAAGCTCAGAAACCATTAAGACAGGGCAGTGTGTGCCAAAAAACCATATGGTCAACTGTGGGCATGTTGAACACAGAGTATCCATTCCCCTGTTCCATGAACTCATAAGGTACTGCTTCTTGACAATACTAAAACATTTCAACTGATGTACTGTATATTCCACAAAATGCTCGTTATTTATTTGTAAGTATTTATTTATTTATTTATTTGGGTTGTGGTTTTGAATGCATATTTATGCATACATATTATACTATATGCTTCTGAGCCTTATGTGAAGGCTGTATTGTTACTCAAACTTAGCTAAAATATACTTCTCTGTCCTGAGTCTGCCTTGAGTGTTTTTTTTTCCTGTGTTGAAAACAAATTTCATGAAGTACACCATGTTACTTTTAAGTTCACTGCTATAAGCCGCTAGATGGCGCCAGACCAGCACTTCATATATTAGCAGTTTCAAGTATTCAAAAGCGGACTAATCTTTGCCTAACAGAGGTAAAACTTTATGATGTGACTTAAGATTTTTAGTGCTCATCCTGCACACTAATAAATAGACCTGTTACGACTATCCAGGGTTTAAAATGTTTATTGTCAATATACAAAACACATTAAAAAAAACATGTAAAACTCGTTACTTAAAAAAATTCAAGTTTTGAGAAAGCCTCTGAAAGCTCTTGGCCAAGGACAAGTTCTGGATCAGTAATACTTCAGTATCTCCTCTGTCTTGGGGAGAAGATGGTGTTTGGGTTGCTGTCTCGTTCCCTCTCCTTCTCCCGCTCCTTCTGGCTGTTTGGTGACAGAGCCTCCTCCAGCTTCTTCTCTGTCTTGAAGAGGTCCCTACCCGTCCGCATGATGTGCTCCTCGATTTTGCGGTGGCGCTGCATATCTGACAGAACCTTGTCCAGACGAGCTTCCCTTTTCACTGAGGAGCGTGCTGAAGATCCTGAGGGAGAGAAAGAAACATCAGTTCGATTTACCTGATAGGACCAAACTCATGTTTTCATTTATTTTAAGTACTTGACTGACAGACCTGGTGTTCTGCGCCTTGAAGGAAGGAAGGAATTTTTGGGAGTCGCTTGTGTCTCCTTTTCATCGAAGTCAAACTCAGTTGGAGTTGGAGGCCTGGAAAAAAAGGGATTTTATGAGTCTACAATTACACAATGTTTACACAAACCAGACCTTGGAAAAAAAAAACAAATACTGACTTGCGCTCTCTCTCTTCCCTCTCCCTCTCCTTTGCGGCTTCCTCCTCATCATCTCTCTCAGGTGAAGGAGTACGTTCAGGTGTAGGGGGCCTTCTGGGAAGAGGCACAAAGTTCAATTCCAGCATATCTCCTTTTGCAAGAAGTTCATAGAGTCTCTTGATCTCAGGTGGAGGGGGCATCCAGTTTTTGGGATCCTCTATTTCCTCATCGCTGTATGCTATTTCCCATTCACCGTCTGTCACATCAGACTGCTTTCCCTGGTCATCTTCTACTCCTGCGTCTGCTTGAGCTTCATCCTTGTTCTCCTCTGCTTCTGCTACATCCATATCCCCATCTGTGAAGGCAGGGAAAATAGGCAGGTCATTTTTATGACTATGTGAAGTTGCATACACTGAATTTTGCACCGTCTGCTTTTCTTTTATGCATTCACCCTTTTCATCTTTAGCAGTTGTGTCCTCCTCTGCAGCAGCAGTCATCTCTGTGTCCTGTTGCTCTGTGTTGCCCTCCTCCCCTTGGCTTTCTGCAGCTTTTTCTGTGTCCTTCACCCCTAAAGTCTCTACGCCCTCTGCCAAAGAAGAGTCTGCGGCCTCAGCCTGCATCCTTCCTGCTGCTGGTAATGGTTACAGCCACAGATCTGCACAAAGACATTATGAACATTACATCTTGGGACAATAGGACAATTAATCAGAGTTGCGAATTGTGAGATTAGCGGTCTTTGAGGTACAGATGGCACCGTAAAACCTGGAAAGAGATAGCAACAAAATAGCTAGTGGTAGAAAAATCAGAAACCTTAACGTAATAGTTGTCTTCGTTTGACAGAACACTAGCTGGCAAACCTAGTACCGATCTGCCAGTAACTGCAAAAAGGCAAACTACAATGACACCCTAAAACAGCCTCAAACTATCATTACCAAATGTCGAGTTGTTCGGGGATCACTGGTGATGTAGGTAAATGCAAAGACAAGTTATCTTCTCCAGTGAGTGAAGTCGCCGAAGGTCTTCATGAGACTTGCTAGGGATACCATACGACCATGTAGAGACGTAAACATAGCGCCATTTTGGCTCCAAGAACAGTGCGACGATCTGCTTGGTCCTGCCGAGCTGCGCGTCCTCGCTGATTCTTGGTCACGTGGGTCATGGATATATGTATATAAATGCTAGATGGCTTACGCCTCCTGTTAGCCAACGGAGAACGACGTCCGCGCATGGCGGCCATTTTGCTACGGGATAATCGCCCACGCATAACATAACAGTCGAAGGTGCATGTAGCATTTACACAACCATAAACTGCGAAATTTTGGCTCAGAGTTCTAGTAATGTTCCTGCATACTCAAGAATGACTTCAACCATGGATTTTCATAAACAAACATTTAGCAGATAGGTAGAGCAATAGCTATAGGCCTAGACACACAAGGCAGTTATATTAAATCATTTATATATATATATAAAACATTTAATCATTCCATGTTTGTTATATAAATAATATTTCTATTACAGGGATAACTATAATAACATATAGCAATAAATATATAAATATTTATTTTCGATATAAATTTCTGCCTCATGTTGCCATTTTCACTGAACAGCTTGGAAATCGTGTATCTTAAGTTATGTTGAATAGAAAGAGCATTTCTGCCTTTCGCTGGGTCAACTTTGTAATATGTACTTGGTCTCACTCACAGTGAGCCTGTTAGCCAAGTTCGATGATGTGGATGTGATAAACACAAGCACATCCACAAAGACTGTCACTTGGGCAAAATAAATAAATAAAAAATAGGCTGTCATACAAGAAATTAAAATCTCGATTGTGGTTTCAAAGTTAGCCCTTGTGCACAAATAGCTGTGAAACAACTGTGCTTCATGATTAAGTCTTTTTTTTTTCTCAAAGAAAAGCTGCCATTTAAATATGCTCAAGCATCCCGACTCATAGCCACGTTATTAAGGTATATAATAAACAAAACCATTTGTAAATATGTCGAGATTTCAGCGAGATAAGAGTTTTTTCTATTTTTTTTTACCATGCAGATTACTCACCTCCCGCCAGCTACCATAGCGCGTACCAAATGGTATACTTGAGTAAGATGGCCGCCGTGCAGGGGCGGGGTTAGTCCTTCTCGAGTCATCTAGCCTTTCTTATATATATCTATGTATGGAACGGGCGAAGGGATCTACTGATGAAACGACTTCCTGTTCAGTTCCCAAACTCATTAAGCCCTTAATGCATATTAGTCTGGATTCCACAACGCTACGACAAATACTTCAGTATCGATTTCTGTATATATGGCGAATATGAAATAAAACAATAACGTTAACGATAAATTTCGATGTACGGTTGAATATTATAAATGAGGACGACATACGTCGAACAGGCGCCAGAGCTGCTGATTGGTTCCTCGTCGTTTCCGGTTGCAGCGCTCTCCATTTGAAAAATATTCGGTTGGTTGGCAGAGAAAGCTCTGTCGCCATTGTTCAAAGTTGGGCTTTTGCTATGTGGCTATAAGTAAGACTCGTTAGATAACAGAATTTTTGTGGAAGTCAAGGTCCGCGATAAGTGTGGTAAGAATCTGTCACATTTACGGTGGGCGGAAAAGTAACCGCCTTCGTTACGTTCGTTTCGAGCTGCAGCTGTTGCTAGCTTGTTATTAGCCGTAGCCTTTTAAACCCTCCGTCTGCTAAATAACAACCCCAGCCACCTGTTTCATTTTTATATATTTATGTTACTGTTAATTTGTTACTTGCAGTCTAAGTTTATAATGGTTTGTATGCTAAAGTGTCCGTAGTTGCATCGTTAGTAACGTTGTTACGATCTTTCCCTTCAAAAGCTCAAACATGGCGCAGCGCATGCCAGTATCAGATAGTGGCAACAAGAAGCCGTCCAGAGTTCGGGTGGCGGTTCGTCTGAGACCCTACATGACTCAACAAGATGACAAGGACGAAGGATCGTGTGTGAGAGGCCTAGACTCCCAGAATCTCGAGATAGTCAACTGGAGGAACGCCACAGAATCAGTCAAATACCAGTCAGTGTCCTGTGATCTCCTTTTAACTCATGGTAATGTCAATGCACATGACCATTGTCCAAGGTAAAATCCTCAAGACTGCTGCTGTTTGTGTGTTGTTTCAGCTTTGATGTTTTCCATGGGGAGCAAACCACACAGCAAGAAGTTTTCCGCTCATCAGTGAAGCCCATTTTGCCTCACATTCTGAATGGACAAAATGCCAGTGTCTTTGCCTACGGGCCAACAGGAGCTGGTATGAAACTGCTGTGTTAAAGGGATAGTCAGGCGTGAAATTAATTTAGAGTCAAACACACAGAGTTAGACACCCCCTTGAGGGATGAATGTTGCTGACTGCTTGCTTCTCTAGTTACACCAACTTTAGTAACGACCGCAGTATAGTAATACAGTGTTCTGAGGAGCCATTAACAAACCTCAACCAAAATGCCACTCTATAGCCACAAATAATGCTCAGAACAGCACCTAACTTCATCAAAAGTACATATAGGGTCCCAGCCACAGCACTAGCCACCAAACATCTTTTTAACTTTGCCTAATTTCTTTGGCAAAGAGACTAAACACAACTCACCTACTCTCTTCCAGCAGCCACTTGTTTGTAGCGAGACCTCAGGCCAGTCAATTACGGACTGCTGCGGGGTGACGCAGCTCAAGGAAGAACATTTATGATCATTACCCAAATTAATTTTACGCCGGAATATCCCTTTTAAATTTACCAACTTTCAGTATGTTTTTTTTCTCTCCATCAAGATAGTTGTTTGACTTCCTTAACCACCATGTCCCCTTTCACAGGTAAGACACACACCATGTTGGGAAGTCCAGAGCAGCCAGGTGTGATCCCCCGCGCTGTGCGTGAGGTGTTCAATCTGGTCAAAGCTAAAGAAGAAGATGAAGGATGGGACTACAGCATTGGCATGTCTTATTTGGAAATTTATAACGAGAAGGTATGACGGGCGGGCTGTAAATACAGTTCAGCACGACCAAATTAACTATCCCATTCTGCACTTTTTCAGAAAGGTAAATTAGTTTAATGTAGTGAATTGGCATTCATGGGAAAAAAATATCTAACAATTAATTCCCAGAACTAAGTGCATGGCAAGCCTCTCTGCTTTTATAAATAAATTACGAAATTCACTTTTTTTTTTTAACTTGAATATATCTTTATATACAGCCAGGGAAGACAATGTTATGATGGGCTTTATTATTTGGGTTTAAAGGGCCCAATCATGTGCCTCCACCCTGGTCTGGCTCTTACTTGTTCCACTAGTGTATACAGCTCTGTGGTGACATATATTGATTTCTTGTTTAGGTGTTCACTAATGTTTCTTTCTCAGCTATGTAGAGCATCCTTTATCAGTATATTCTCTCTGGTCATCAGTGCTTCCTTTTTACTGCCTTTCAGGTGCTGGATCTTCTGTCCCCAGGCTCACAGGATCTGCCAATAAGAGAGGACAAGGACAAAAACATCCTCATACCTGGTCTTACCCACACAACCATCTCCTCCTTCTCAGATTTTGACAAACATTTTATCCCTGCCAGCCTCAATCGCACCACAGCTTCTACCAAACTAAACCAGCGCTCCAGCCGTAGTCATGCTATCCTTCTCATCAAGGTAGAGCTTTTTGTCAACATAACTGCATCGTTGGTCACTCTGGGGTGTACTTTGATGTTATCTCTGCATGTTCAGTGTCTGGTGTGGGTCAAACAGCATCTTAAACAGGTCGTGGCCTCTGAGCGGTAGGCCAGGATTTGGTAGCTGGTGCTAAGATCAAATCTCTCTCGCAACACTCCCGCTGGCAACTGTGGGCTTTCTGGGACTATTCTGGGAGAGAAACAACCGGGTCTTATCTGTCTGTTTTACCAACATGTCTCTTCCTGTTTTGTACTTTCATTATCAGAGAACAACGTGGGGCTTTATGTCTGCCTACCTTTATGTCTCTTCTCTCCACTTCCTTCTCACCAGTCACCACTCTTCACCTCTGTGTTTGTTCCTTTTCTTAAATCTCAATCTTCTCAATGATCCAGGTGGTGCGGACTCAACGTGCCCTGACCCAAAGACAACAGACAGGAAAGCTCTACCTGGTTGACCTTGCTGGGTCAGAGGACAACCGCCGCACCGGCAACCAGGGTATTCGCCTGAAGGAAAGTGGTGCGATCAACCTCTCTCTCTTCACGCTCAGCAAAGTGGTGGACTCTCTCAATTCTGGCACCGCAATCCGCATACCGTACAGAGACAGTAAACTGACACGGCTGCTGCAGGACTCTCTGGGTGGCTCAGCTCACTCAGTCATGATCACCAACATTGCGCCTGAGTACAAGTACTATTTTGACACCTTTAGTGCTCTGAACTTTGCAGCCAAATCCAAGCTCATTGTGAACAAGCCCTTCACGCGTGAAACAGTGGCTGTGCCTGTGCCGCCAGGTAAGTGAAAATGAATCTTATATTGTGGGCTTTTGAGTACAGATAAAATGCACCAGGCAGAGAAAAGAGGTTCTCATGATTGATTGGAGGCCAACAGGGGGCACTAACGTCACATTGTGTGGATGAAGAGAGAGAGAAAATGTACAGCTGGATCTGCTTGTGTGGTGTTGGGTGTCACAATGGACCTGATGTAAATATTCACCTATAACACCTCTCAAATTTGCATTTATATGCATTTCTATTACAATTAACTGTCATGAAATCCCAATGCTGTTCTTGCCTTGGTTTTAAATCAGGCACTGCATTGCAGCCTTGACCGATGCCGTCTCCATCTGATCACTTTACACTCTAGAGGACCCTCCCCAGAACTCTGCTTGTTGAATGCACTGAATACTAAACTGTTAATTTCTTTCCTGCCTTCATCTCCAGTGAAGCGGGCCAGAGAGGACCGCGAGGCAAGGGGATCTGGCACCGAGCCACAGAAGAAGAGACACAAGGAGGAGAGAAAAACAGAACAAGATGGTTCCTCACCCTCCACACATTGTCACAGGTTAACATCATCACGCACGCAACCACACCATCATGCTAATTTTTCAACTTACTTATCAGACCCGGCAACTGTGATATTTGACTGTCAAGAGAGTACATGCGCTCTAAGCTACCACATCCAATTTGCTCTGTACAGCTGCACCTCAAACAGGCCATAGCCTCAAAGCATCTCTCTGCAGAGCTCTGATTGGCTGCAGCTGCTGTGCCCAGTGGGATCCCTTTTGGAGAGAGATGCAAGCACTGATTTTTCACCATCTGTTACCAGGTGTAAAAGTGTGTCTGGGCCTTGAATATTATCAACTTGTATTCATTCAGCCTGGGCGACCCACTGATTTCTGAGTACATTTCAAATCCCCTGATCATAAAGCTGCCCTACTTTTTTGTGTCTGTACCTCCTTTTTGAAAAATGTTTGTTTGTTTGTCTGTTTTAGTCCATCAGAACCATCGGTGATGGACAGACTAATCGCTCTAGAAAAGCTGATGATGAACTGTCAGGAAAAAGATCGACTCGGCATGCTCAAAGATGTGGCCCAGTCTCGCAAGGAAATTCAGGTGATGACACACGCCTACATAAAAGCTAAACTTATATCCCCATGGGTGTCTGAACACCTGCTTTAACCTTAGTCTCCCTCTGTCTGTGTGAAACGTACCAGATGCTGATGCTGTCTGATCTCTCTACCAATCGATCACCTCTTCTTCATGGATATTTGATAGCCAACCACACTGCTGTTTTTGTTTTGGCAGGAGCTCAAAGAGAAGCAGAAGGAGTTTGAGAGCAAGGCCATGCTGTTCAGTCGCCTGGCAGGGGGAAAGTCTGGTGCCACACAGGAGTCTGTTTTCAAAAACACTTCAGCTCCTCTGCAGAGAAAACAGTCAGCCGCAACAAAACCCAATAAGCAGCAGGCTGTGGTGCAACCCCTGCAAGGTCAGTATAACAGCAACTGTTACTCAAAAAGATTGTATTTGCAGTACAAGCAAGCCAGTCTGTGCACTGATTTGGTTTGATAATTTAGAAAAAAGCCCAAAGATCATGTCTTGATTAAGCAGTAGTTTGCAGTGCCAGTCATAGCCATGATATACACTGTCCCATGCCATACTCATGAATGTATCTGTCTGAATAGCTGGGAATTAAAAAAACGGTTTTCATAATTTCTCAAGAAAGAAGATCAATATGCATATAGGCACACTCATTCCTGTGCTAAAAAGAGAATGAAGAATCACCCTCCTTATAACTTTGAGCAGATCAGAAGTGACCCCTTTTTGCCTTTTGAACAAGATCTACAGGAATTAAAATGACCTTGGATGAAGTTTTTGGATGTTGAAATCCTTGCTCAGCCTTCACTAAAAAGTAGTCTTTCACTAACTCTGTTCTGTATAATTACACCTATTAATGGGGTGCAATGCCAATACAAAAGCCCAATCATTAATACTGTTGCAGAATATATCAAATGACAGTGAAGCAGAATTGTTTTTACAAGAATCGGCAGCCAGGGGATGGAGTCAGATAAATTTCCAGGGCGCCTGTCTCATGCACTAACATTTGGGTTTAATTGTAGCTACTTTTTCCCACCAGAGGGAAATTTTCCCGTCATACACTTTTACTTAAATTTATCCTCATGTTATTTTATTGTTTACATGGTTTTCTTCCCACCAGTGTCCCAGCTCCAGCCTCTTCAGCAGCTTGCAGTCGTCAGGAAACAGTCCGTCTGCGTCAAGAAGAAGGAGAGGAAGCTTTCAGACCAGGTTGAGGTCAGCATCCATGCTGTGCTTAGCTTGACACATCAGCAGAGTTGCAAGCGTCACAAATAAGCTGACGCTGTACATCAGCTTCAGTTTGTTGTTGCACTTGACAAGAGCTGCAAGATCTGATTTGTTATGATGAAATTAGCCTCTTTTACAGACCAACAGGAACAAAGAATGTTGACCCATAAAATATCAACTGTTCATTTTTTACAATTGTGCAAAAATTCAAATGGAAATGTAGTTTCTCCTTTCTGATATATTTATCCTTTTTCTCTCAGGCCCCAGATGGCAAAGAAAACATAATGGAGAATGGCTGGGAGTCCCAGCTTGACACATCTGTGCTAGAACAGTCCAAACAGAAAATCCTACTCGTCCTCAATACTGGCTCCCTCAAAGACCTGAAGGGTCTGCAGCAGATCGGTGACAAGAAGGCAAAGCTCATTCTTGGCTGGAGGGAGATCCACGGTCATTTCACAAAGGTTGGTAGAAACACAAACAAGCTAGGATTTAGTCTTTAACTAACATCACAACACCATGTCTGGTAACTCATACTTTAGATAAGAGAATATTTTCATAGTCTCATGTTGACTTAATGAATGACTTCTTCTGCAGTTGGAAGATCTAGGAAAAGTTGAAGGCATGACAGAGAAGAGGTTTTCCTCTTTTATGAAGGTAAGCCACAACACGATCAAACATTGAGTATTTCAGCCATCATAACTTCAGGAGTTAAAGGGATATTCCGGTGTAATATTAAGTTAGGGTCAAACACACCGTAACAGCGAGTTAGGCACCCTGTCCGAGTGAGTCCATCGACTGCTGCGGGGTGACGCAGCTCAAAGAAGAACATTTATGATCATTACTGTATCATTTCCTTGAAGTAATAATCAGCATATTAATCAATTTGCACTGCAGACGAGTAGTTCTTCTGACTAAGCATCTTGGTCTGATTGCATTTCCATAAAGAAATGATCATAAGTGTTCTTCCTTGAGCTGCGTCACCCCGCAGTAGTCTGTAATGGACTGGCCCAAGGTCTCACTACAAACAAGCGGCTGCTGGAAGAGAGTGGGTAAGTTGTGTTTACTCTCTTTGCTAACGAAATTAGGCAAAGCTAAAAAGATGTTTGGTGGCTAGTTCTGTGGCTAGGACCCTATATGTATTGTTGATGAAGTTAGGTGCTTTTCTGAGCATTATTTGTGGCTGTAGAGTGGCATTTTGTTTGAGCACGTGGCTCTCTGTAATGTTATCTGTGGTCGGTACTAAAGTTGGTATAAGTAGAGATGCAAGTGGTTGGCAACCTTCATCTCTCGAGGGGGTGTCCAACTTGTAATTTTACGCCGGAATATCCCTTTAAACAAAGCTGCTCTAGACTATAATATCTTAACAGTGACGACTCGGCTGCAAGACAGGAATATCCAAAGTTCACCCTGTGCATAACAGCAACAGAAATTGTTGACTCATTGATGTGTTCTAGCTTCTATGAACCTCCCACATGATGCACAGTGTCCACAAGCGAGCTAACAGTCATTGGTCATAACTTTTCTGTTAGATATACAGTCTCTTGCTCTGTCGCCACTATTCCCAAATAAAAGAAAATCCTGTAATTTCCAGCTTTCAAGAGGAGACGTGAAAGTGTAGAGAATCAAAATGCAAAAAAGAGGTTTCATCTGTTTTGTATGAAGCTGTGGGATCTTTGGTTGCAAATTCTCACATTTAAATTTTTTTTTTTTGCTTTTTTTTACAGGCAAACATCCTGAGCGCCATGGGGAAATGAGTTTTCCTTTTTGTTAAACCGTTTGTATTGTATATGTACTGTATCTCAGAGGCTTTTGTTTTTTAATGCTTGTTTTTATGGTATTTTTGTAGTTACTAATGTGTACCAGCTGATGGCGTACCATTTCTTTTAAATAAATTCCTCAAATGTCATTGACTGAGTGATTATTTCAGGGTCATGCATTAATCTCGGGGTCTGATTCCCATCTGGCTTTATCGACGTCTGCTTTGGACCATCCCAAAGATAATCCTGACAGACATTTCACCCATTTTCACTTTGAAAGCCTAATTTGGCTTATTATGAGCTCTACATGGAGGAGAACAAAGGCCTGTCCTGTTGTTGTCTTCAGTAGCATCTCAGGATAAATAGTGTTTTATAGTATGTTTTGGGTGGAGGAGAGGGTGTCACAAACCGCCCCACTTACCCCCTCCTCCTCCTCTTCCTTTCTCATCACGTACTCTTGTGGATTTCACTTTCCATTTCTCACACACCCCTCCTCTCTGATCCACCCTGACATCCAGGAGCCTCCTCCTCCTCCTCCATCCATCGTTCCCAACACACTGCGCTGGAACACGGTGCTACAACAACCTTCCACGGCGATCTCAGGCTATAATAACGGGTTTTTCTTTTACGGAATTGAGACGTGCATTGCATGTTTATATTCACCTTCTTGGCTTCGGCAAAGATGCGTGATCTTGACTGTTTTTAAGAAAAATACGTTACCACGATGCAAAACCTACGGATGCCCCGGTTGTGTTAAGACGAGACGAGAATAAAAAGGTCAGTATGATTTTCTTTCACCTACTTTTCCTGACTCGAAAACTAACCATTGTGCATAAGTGTTGCATTTCAGTCATTTAATGTTAAAAACACACTGAAGACGATGCGGCTGCGTACATCCACTGAATTACAATCCCCAGCAGCAGCAGCAGGCTAATTAATTCTCCTCTTTCAGCCGTCTGTGCGAGTGTTTTCCTTTGTCATCATCCCTTTCTCTGCCCCGTCCCTTTTGATTTTTTTGCTCGCTGCCATATGTCGGTTAGGGCTTGTGTACACATGATGAAATAATGTAGTATGTACACACCTGTACGGGGACCGTCGCTTCAAAGTACCCTGTGTCCATCTGCCATGCCTTTGTACTCCTCGTGTCATTGTGACCTGCTTTTTGTTCTTACCTTTCTATAGCTTGTCGGCTGATTTAATTTTAGCTGTGGGCACAATGAAGGCCTGATTTACAGTGGAAAATGTGTGTATTTAATGTGTTTACTCTAAGCCATTGTAATTACTGTTCTAACAGGACATAAGCAGTGTTTTGAAAAGATAAATCTGAAAAGCAGTCAAAGTGGATTTTTAAAAGGCATATTACAAAATTGAACTTGGATCAAAACTCCATACCTGCTAAAGAGGAATATTGTTGATTATCAGTAAGAACAAGGTGATGAAAGAAAGCATGACCCTCCATTTTCCTTGGACCTCACCTTAACTTGGAATAACAAATGCAACACCCTCCCCCATACCTATCTGAATATAACACGCCTCACCTTGGCTTGTGTAAAATTCTCTATGGAAAAAACCTGAAGTCCCTCCAATTCAGCATTTTCAACACTAAAGAAGAGATAGTTGAAATGCACTCTAAAATCTTTCACATCAGAGATTCTTATTAGTGGCACAACACTTTCTGACTTCTTACAGATTGTTTTACACACGGTAACTCTAATATTGTAAAATGTTAGTCACCCTTTCAATGTTTCACAGATAGCAGAAGCAAACGTTTCTTTCATGTAAATCATCCCAGATACTCAGTGTATTCAGAATGTCTCTAATTTTACCCAAGGCTATGGTGTGTTTCATGTTTTGGTTCTCCAAAGAGACGAACAATATGTCAGAGTGAGAAAGACGGTGAACACACTTTGTATGCTAGCTAGTGTTATTCACCACTTTTTATCACATTGATAGTGCGTGACCTTAAAATTAATTAACTCTCAAAATCCAACATACTTTCCTGGTCACGAGGAGAAGGGTTTGTATTGGTTTGTTTTCAAGGCCCCATAGCTGTAAAATTACTTAGCGTACCTAAAAAAAAAAAAAAAGTTTGGATCAGCAGTGAAATTCTGCTGTACTTTTAAAGTTTTATAAATGCATAAAAGCTTCAGATGAAGATAGTAGCTACTTCTTTGACTCTGAAGACAGAATAAATTGTCTGTTTCTGTATAATTTCATCTTAAATTAACCTAACCTATTTACATTTGATTTGAAAATGATCCCCTGATACATTGTCCACATGAAAAAAATCATCTTTCATTCTATATGGCAAACATGGAAATTTGATTTTTAATAACATTTTTAACCTTAATGAAAATTGAGTGTTGTCTGGGGCACATTTTGGCTTGGTGGTTGGGTTGATGCCCTGTTTACAGAGGCAATAGTCCATGCAGTGGGCGGCACTGGTTTTGTTCCAACCTGCTGCCCTTTTCTAGCATGTCAGTCCCCACAGTTTTCCTAGTTTTTCACTGCATCCACCGCCCTACCCTCTGATAAAAAGCAGAGTTTGAAAAATATACCAAATAATGCATCTAAAATCTTACTTTGGAGTGGAAATAAATAACCTCCAAAACTCAAGGATACTTACCTTATTCAAAACTAAGATAGAAAATTCTATCTTTTCTCACCCTCCTTCTCCATCTCAATAATTCAGATACAGTGCCTTAGCAGTTTAGAAAGAGCAGCTTCTCTGTGAGGATGGTTAAAACCTTTTTTTCTGGTCTCCAGGTGTGACTACAGGCTGCTCACACAGAACAGGACCACAAACAGAGGCTTGATTTTGCTGTCGGTATGGCTGTGAACATGATGCCAGGTCCCGCCATTTGGCCCGGAGAGGACCAGCCTTCTCTACTCGACCAAGAGCCCTCTCTTTCGAGCCAAGCCCCTGCCTCTGTGCAATGCCAACCAGTCAGAGGTGAACAGCTCATCGACAGTAGCCCAGCCAGCACAAAACCCCTCCGCAGCAAATCCAAAGGAGAGCTCGTCATAGTGATCAACGAGAAGCTGAAGAACAGTAAGTAACTGAGATTGACCTTGTGTCCAAGCAGCAGGTTGAGTGGAGGGCGGGCTGGTTGTGGTGGGGGTCATACATCTGCTAAGTCAGCTCACTTGGGGAGAGTGAAACAGTAGAGCGTAACGTAGCTCCTGGGAGAGAAAATACTCATTTAGCTGTTTCTAATGTTTGCCCGTCCTTTTTGTCCCTCATGTGTAGGTAATGGGATCCACCAACCATCTGCAGAGAGCACCTCTCCGGTCATCTCCTCCCCTCCCAGAAGACAGCACTCCATCTCTTACCCCCACCACGGCAAGACCAGAAAGGGGAGTAGGGCAAGCTCCATTGGTTATACTGCCTTCTCGCCCAGGCCATCGCTTTCCCGCCACTCCAGCATTGCCACCAACCCACCTCTGGACCGCACCAAAGTCAAAGACTACCTCCTCCTGTCCGTGCTGGCCTGCTTTTGTCCTGTATGGCCTATCAACATAGTGGGATTTGTCTACTCAATCATGGTAAGTACAGAACCACTGTCTGTTTTATAGAGCCAAATAGTTCTGGGATTGAGTGATTAAAACTGATCAGGGCAACCTTTGAATCGCTGCTATGTGGATACCAAAATGAACATTACACCCTGAAGCTCCTCTATTTAAAAGCAACTACTCTAAGTACTGCTGTAGAGAGGACCAGTGTATGATTGGCTTTGAGACTCTTCATTTGCTGCTGACTGTGTTGAGAGTATTATAAACTAATGTATCAGACTATCCCCTTTTTCACAAGCTATGTCATTTACCAGTTTCGTAATCACCTTTAGTTGGTTTTCTGCTAAATTTGATGTGTGAAAAAATGTCATATTGTAGGATTCTGAAAGTATGTATTTGACAGAAACTGAAAACTTATGGAGGAATCAGTCATTTAATAGTTTTGAGAGATTTGCACCAGGATGTTTATGCACATGTGCTCAGGAGGGTGTTGTCTTAAGGTAACACGTTAATAGAATATATTATGCATGATTATCATTGTCAACCAACTGCGGTGAGGATACCTCCAAGGCTCGGCTGTGATTCTGCCAGCTCTCCTATAAAAACCATAGCATAGTATCACTTTAAAGGCACTGATAGTAATTTTTTTTATTGTGTCTTTGTACTAAATCTAGGTGTCTTTGTTCAGGTTGGATTTTCAGCAAAGAAAGAAAAGTCCATATTCAGTACTCACCTAGAAGTTTCAGTGTAGGTAACTTGGCAAGCGAGAGGCTTTTCTGTTCTTCATTGATTTTCTTTCTACAGTACGTCGTGTATTCTTGACTGATACTGAAGCAGGGTTAGCCCAAAGGCACACATTTCCAATCAGAGTTCAGTTTTTCAGGGCTTTGATAGGTGAAAGAGTAAAAAAGACGTGAACAGGATTTAATTTCTATGCTGATGTGTGAATGCTTCGCTGCTCTTTGAAGACAAATGGTCAAACAGTGTGTGTACTTGCAGGGACTAATGGGACATAAAGGCGCATATCATTCACACGGCAATGTCTGGTCACTCTTTGTAGCTGAATAACTTTAACAAATCAGAGTTCAAAAGTCTTGTTCAATGGATAAGTTATCTTGAACAATGAAAAGTAGAATTGAACAGAACATCAGAACTTCATGCATTTGTCTCTTTACAACAGCACATGGGAAGTGTGATTGATTTTATCCAAAATGGTAACAGGACATGAAAATACTGCAGTGCCTATAAATCAACTCAAGACATGTTTTCTAGAGAATATGTTCTTTGAAATGGTTTCATATTGATGCATATTTTAAAACGTTTATACCAATGTCAGTATCTATCATCGGCTTATATTAGCCAGGTAATATCAGCTGATGAGCCGACCCATATATCAGAAGCCAGGATGTATAATTCGATGTTTTGGTGAATTTATTAAAAAAAAAAAAAGGTATCCATGTTAATGGTTCAATCTTCTACTTTAGTCCAAGAACAGTCTGGAGCAGGGGAACCTTGATGGGGCCGTGCGTCTCGGACGTGTGGCCAAGATGCTCTCCATGGTGTCACTAGTAGGAGGAACCGTCATTATCATCGCCTGCATTGTCAACCTGGCCAGTGAGTGTCCCAAATCTGACCTTTAAACTTACACCTCTCCTCTTTACACTCTGTGTTGTTGTGCACAGCTGATCTGTCCTCCTGAACTCTCCTTGTTCTCCTGAATCTTGATCCAGATGTCCCAAAAACCTACTACTGTCTCCGTTAATATTATCCCAACATGACATGTAGCTGTGTAAGCACAGTCTGACTGTAACCACTGATATTGTTAACTACCATATTTGCACAATTTTCCACTAGTTCCAAAGCCTGCACGAGTCTTTTTACACTGCAGCACTTTATCCTTCAGGAACTATGTTAACGCTGCACAAAGATCAGAACACATTAATCACATTTGCACCAGTCAAATCTACATTTTCTGACGTTTCTCCATTTGCACGGGCGGCCTCAAGCTGTAACCGACTGCATGACCCAGACTGCTGTGTGTGTATCCGCAGAGTGAAATGTGTGTAGTCTTTGTCTGTTGTACGCCTTGCTCTGTTTGCTTGTATAAAATGTTAAGTCATTGTTGTTCCTGTATGATATGTACTCTTATATAATGTGAATGTTAGTGTGTGAGTTGACCTGTTTACTAATGTACATTTATTGTACCTGGTAAATAAATGAATTCTCATAACAGAACTTTTAAAGAGAGGGAACAGTATTTGTCTTTTGGATTACTTCAGTTCGTTCAAACACATAAACCAAGGGTCAGTCAGTTAAATGATATTTTTCCTTGTCACTTAAAGCAGTTTTTTGTAACAGTCTGTTGGGCCTCATTAAGTCAAGAGATGGACTAATTACCTTAATGACTAGAATAGAGATTTAACAGACATTAAAATTGAATTAAAGGACTCTTGGACTCAACAATCCTTGTTGTTTATGTTGAATAGCTGTCCTCTGTGAAGTTTTATGCATCCATATTAAGTTGCAGAATGTAAAGCTTGTCATCTAATACGCTTCCTTCTCTTTTTTTAGTCAATGTGAAAACCTGAGTTTCATCCCAGGATGAAACTGGATAAGGCTGAAAACTGACTGTCCGGCCCACACCTGCACCACCGTCTTACCGCCTAGTCATTACCTGGATGTGTGACAAATATGCACCCGATATACAGTGCTTACTTATATTTCTGTAATCTATATAAATCCCTTTTGCTAACTGGAGGAAAATAAAATATTCAAATGCTGCTGCACAGAGTCTGATGGGGGTGGGGACGGGGAGGGAGTTGTCAGTCTGGTGTTAGATGGAGAGGGAAGAAGACAGTCTAATATGTCCCTTTATATTCTGGTCAACACATTCAGAACAAGTCTCAAGAAAGATGCAAAAACTCAGAGAATCCTTTCATCATCCCCAGATGAGACTCAGACAGAGGTGGACTAGAACACAAAGAGACCGATGGAGGTGGTTACAGAACAGGCAGGATGGCCTCCCAGCCACAGCTCCACATTAAGTTCCGACAAAATGTCCGCCACGACAGGACCCATCAGGGCCTCATCTTGCAGCGAAATCCCCTTGGATTTGTGGAGAGGCTCTGGAAATGTGGGGTCGCATTGGAATCACAGAGCAGAAATTCATCCCACACACAGAAGAAACACTTTGAATCACTGTTCGTCCTCTTGTTTCAGACTCTTTCCTGATTCCCATGACATCTTGTGCTTGAGAAGGAGCGTTCGGGTGGCAAAAGAGCATGAAAAAGAGGCTTACCAAGGACTAGCTATGGGTGCTAAAACAGAAGGGATTATGGAAAGTCTCTCACACACGGCACAGTTATCACTGCGAGGAAAAACCTGTGCCAAAAAGGAATTTAGAGGGAAATGTTCTTGCTTTGAAAAGACCCAACTCTGATCACAGAATCGTTGTTGCAGATAGGAACATCAGAAGTGTTTTTACTCTGCTGCACCTTTTCCTTTCAATCTGCTCAACACCTATGACCACTGTGAGATGGGGAGGGGGGGTACATGTGCACATAAAAACCCACTGTAGCAAAGTACGTCATACATTTTACATGGAAGCTAATTATGCTACATCATCTATTTAACCTTTTGATAACGTTTGTAAAATGTTTTGAAAAGATGACGTAATGTGAAGCTTTGGAGGAGCTGCACTGCTGAGGACAGGTGGTGGTAGGATTGTATGCACATGGGCATCAATATTTGTTTAACAAATGAAATAGTTTGTTATCGCAGTCAGAGTAGTGGCTGTGGCCTCAGAGTGTAGGTACCTTGTGCTATTAAAGCACACTGGTTGTGATTGTGGTGTACTATTCCTTTAAACATACAACGCTATTACCACTCTTAATATGCCCATTTGTTGCCATACAGAATAGGACACTAACTTTACATGGTGAATTTGTAAAACACTGGTTCAGGGTAACATGCTTTTATGGTGTGAATCTGGTTTATAACTATTGTTATATTTCCTGTGTATCCTTAACTAACCTCTAATCTTTATCTACCTGTTATTCTCACTGTGACCTGAAACATCAAAAACTGAACAAATGATATTTATTTGCTTTGTCTTTGATTTTGAATCATGTACAGGAATCCCACGACCTCAAAGTCTCGCCACACCTGCAGACAATTTTTGTAATGATTAATACAGCGTTTTTCTCCCTCTGTTAGTACTTACTATGTAAATTTGATTATAATCAACAGTTGATGTATTCTGCAGATATAAATCTTATTCTTGTGATAATTCTCTAGTTGATATGAGTTAGCTTTATTGAGTAGTTTTGATCTAAAGTAGGCACGGTAACTGTCCTCCTGACAGTCATTGTATCACCACTGGGCTTCTATTATCTTTGTGGTTAACGGCATGTTGTGGATTTTTATTCTTGTAAAATGAGAGGAGTTAAAAAAAGACAAAGATAAGCTGGCACTTGGAACATTATTCTTCTGCAGCACATTCATAATAAAGTCACAATGCATGCAAACTGCAGTTTTCATTGGTGTTTTAAAGTGGTCGAGTGCGGCATTGGAGAATAAAGAGATTTTGTTTTTGTTGGTTTATTAAAAATTAGAATTATCTGATGAGCTTAGCAACTGAGGACAACTTTGCCCTTTTTACAGTTGAGCAGATGTCAGCCAAAGGGAGGACACACAGTAAAGTATTTATGTAGTAGTTTGTGCAGTGATCGAGTGTAAACTGCAGGGATTTAAAGACATGCTGTTGGAAGGCAGTGGAGCAGGGACAGCAGGAGGAGCAGAAAGCTGTGAGCCCAGGCCTTGAGCTGAGGAAGTACACAGCAAAGAGCATAGATAGACTGTATGATCAGCGGTAAGGAGAGCAAAAGCTTCAGATATGTTCAACAAAAATAAAGAAACAGATCCTTTGCAAAATCCCCTTTATCCTTCACTGTCCTAGATGGTTTTGAAGGCCATTATCAAAGATTAATACAGATGTACATTCATACATAGAAGGTTATTTTTAGTTTGGCCTATTTGAATTTACACTGAAGCCATGACTGTTTCTTCTAAACATGCAGGGCCTACACAGAGGCCAGCCTATGAACTATTTTACAAATTAAAGCTTCTCTGTTTTAAGTTTTTAGGGCTGCACTTGTGTACAGCAGTATCTGGAGCTGAATTGCTAAACATCTGAATTCTACATGCATATCGTAAAATCCTTACATTGAGGAGAAACATATAATCAAAGTTTGGCATATAAGCATTTCTTGAAAACACACTTACAGTTTTATATGATACTTGGTCTGAAAGCTAAGTATTTTGTGAATTTTTATATGAGCCAAAGTGACATTAAAAATCAGTCACTAAGAGAGGAACGTTAAATTCCATTCCAATTCCATTCCAACTATAAAATACAGCAGGAGAACAATATGTGTTGTGCAGCTTAGACTGATAAATATCAGGTTAATAGTTTTTTAATGTTTTTGTAAGAAAGGAAAGCAGGGATCAAATTACTGTGTAATCTGGTGATGGTACAACATGTCATGCAACAATACAAGTGTCTTAGCAGCACATGAATTTATACCACATTTAAGCATACAACCATCAATCAATTTTTGAGATGTTCAATACCAATCCAGTGTGTCCGATAATCAAGTGGCTCGCCATGAAAAGCTAATACCAGAGATCAATCTTCTTGAACCAGTTAATATTCTGGATATATATCCACCTGTTGTGGTTCCTTTAATACTCATGGATGTAGAGTGACCCACACGTACATCCTGCTATCAAGCCAAATCTGGTCTTGTTACAGGCTACATGGTTGTAAGATTATCACCACAGAAAACATTTAAAGGCCTTGCAAGAGTATCTTCACCCATTTTACAAAAACTTTACATGCTATCACACTTTTATAAATCAAGATTTCAAAGGTCACCTTAAAAAATCAACACCAGAGCGGAAATATAAAAGCAAACGTCTGACATTTGCAAATCCCTCTCTGCCAATGATATTGTTCTGACAGCGAAAGGTATTTTATTTTGTACTCAGCTAATTTAACAGGAGGTCTACAGTGAGCACGGCTGGGAAAAGGGATCAGCACATCAGACAGGGTCACATCCAGCTGCAGTAAGTGGGTCAGGGATAATCCAGCTGGGTCATATAAACACTGAGGCAGTGAGTCAGCCTGGCAGCGTTTGCATGCATCGTGATCATCCTGTCAGTTTGAGCAACAAATAACAGCGTAATGAGACACACTGACCTGTGGCCACGCTGCACTGTTGGTGTCTGCTTAATTTTCTGAGAGAATTAGAGCTAAAAATAAAAACCATTGAGTGTGAATTAATGCTTAGATGGATTACTGTTATTGAAACCAAGAGGATGAGAATAAATCTCTTTTATTTAAAACAAGGATTTACTTTCCTCATTTTATTAAGTGAACTTTATGACGATTGTAATTACTTTATCTGGTTTTGAAACAGATTAAAAATAAGCCTGTGTGTTTGATTAATTACTAGTTGTATTGCGTAATAGATATGATCAGTCTTCATGGGATTACATTTTTACATTTTTGTCCCCACATAGCCTCCTCAATACCTGAGAGTATGTCATGCACTCATACACGTCTGCAAAACAAATCCCTAAAATTTACCACGTATGCTTATCCATCTGTTTATATTAATGTACATTTTATTCTTATTGATCTATCAACTTTAATTCACCCTAAGAAGTCTTATGAGTGACATTAGGCCAAAATGACAGCATGTAGTAAGAGTATTAAAATTATATTCACTACAGTAGCACAGGACCTGAAAAGGAACAGGAAACATGTACAAGCTTTGTAAATATAGATCTTCAATGTTCAGTCACAAACTTGGCAATAGTGGTACTCTTTTCCCCTCTTTTTGGTATTCAGAGAAAGGCTCCAACATGATGTAGTTAATCAATGAAAAACAGCTCATAATTGAACCTTTAAACTGGGTTATAATTGAATATCAGTTTAATTTGATGTGGTGTGATTCAGGCTCCAGGCTGATACTTGGCTCATTACTACAGCTCAGACCCACTGCCACACTTAAGCACCCCCTGCCAGCTGCTAACCCGTCATCACAGCTGAGGCTAGGTGGCAGCAGTGCTCTCCTTATTGTCACATTTTAGAGGAAGTTACTCATCATCTCCGAGGGAGTTCATGTCTTTGTCACTCTGTGGAAAAATATTGTGGTCATATTTCTCTCTGGGCTCTAAGTTGGTTTGTATTTTCACAGAATGATTTCATATCACAGTCTCTCCTCTTACCTTGTTTATCTTCAGCAGCCACGAGTTTTATTATGCTGCCAGTGTTATTGCTTTGAGACACTGTGAAAAGACTACTCTGGGATATTTGTAGTTAGAAGCACGAGCGGTGGGTTGATGACTTTGGCAAAACTAAAGGCATATTTTTTGTGAATGTCTATTAGAACCAAACAACTTTACAGCATCAGGCACCCAAATGGCTATTCAGTGACATCTTGTGCTACCAAAGCTGTTATTATCAGCTATAAAGCTTTTTTTCTCAATCAATAGTAATGTTCGGCTTGTTCCTGCTTGGAGACCTGAGTTTGAATAAATGTTTGTGGTCTCACACAAATCTGCTTAACTTCCGGAACAATCCACCCGGTCCAAACATCACAAACTTTTCCGCTGGTAACTTTGTAAGAACTTTTATGCATTTATAGAGCGTTACTTTAAAATAAATGAAAAAATATTTAGTGGTCTTTCCTTAATTGACGTTTCATGTCATCAGTAGGTCTGGTAGATCTTCCCTTTTAGATGCTCTCTCAGCTTTTTGCACTGATCATTATTTCAATTGGATGATACCTTTTTTTGGTGAAACTCCTCAATGAGTTGTCAAGCTTTCACCATCTAAAATATTTTTAAATACAACTTCTTTTCAACTGGTACATTTCCCTCAACAAAACCAAAAATTTGTTTATTATTTAATTGTTACTAACTCAGCACTACTGTAGAAACATGAAAACTCATTATCAGTAAACAAAAACTAAAAGATTTTTATGTTCGGGTAATTATTCACCGATTGAAACATAATTACAATTTTATATTCAATTTTGACCACGTGTAATGTTGCTAAACACTACACACTGTACCTTTAACATCACATTGATCTTGTTTACTGTGTTAGAAAAGCCATCATTTGCTGTCAAGGTAGGCGGACACTGGTGGGCTTTTTATTAGTTTCAAATCACTGTGTAATTAACCAAAGTAAACCCAAACCCAGACCTTTTGTGATGATAAGAAAAGAGTGAAATAATAAAAGTCAAGAAAAAAATGCGAGTACCTTTCATTTCCAGCCATTCGAAATTCTCAAAATCACAAATATGAACCACAGGGAAGAGATGGAGGGGATCTATCCAAAACCTTTGATGGTCAGTCTTAAAGTACACGAGATATTTTGCATTAGCAGATAGCACAGCTTGATATTTTGTTTGTCTTTGTCCCTTTATTTTACTGCATTTGACAGAGCAGTAACATTAAATCCGACATGTTGTTTGTGCATTTTTTCGGCCTCGCCAAGGGCACCTTAAAAAAAACAAACTGTGACCACAAATGGTGACTAAGAGGAAACAGGAGAAACCCTCTCTGGTTTCATGGAGAGCCTCTCTCCCACTCAGGGTATAGAGAAACTGCACAATAATCAAAAACACGACTATACAGTTGAAAAAAAGCTCCATTTGTTGATGTGACCCTTTTTTCTCCTTTTTAAAATCTAAACCTCAGTCCTGCAGTCTGCCTGTGACTCAGTGACTCAGCTAGCACTTCAGCCTCATAGCATCACTCTCTCTCCAAAACATCCCAATGGCCTGACACATAAGATGAACTCTGACCTCCCTGTTAAAATGAACAAGATCAATAACTGGTGCTCAAACCAGTTGGTTATTACAGCACAGTGGGAGCAAATCAATAACGGGCCCGAGCAGTGTCACGCCACTATCTCTGTAAACCACATCCCCGGTGCACTGCCACCATTTCGTACCTCCTGCCATCCTCGGTGCGATGCTCTCCACAGCAGCCCTAACCTTCACGATGGTTGGTACCTGTGACTGCCTTTGAGAGTTGTAGGTCATTTACTGGGAAAAGACGTCAGAGTTTGAAAGGACGCCATAGCCACACCCTTTGACCTAAAACAATGATTTTTTTGATATGGTCTTCCTCAAGGTTTATCAAACAGACTTGAAGGGAAATAACATCAAAAGTGTAAATGGTTTGCTTTGGAGCAGGCCAGTTATAGGTGCTTGCAAAAAACCCTACTTGTCTTTGGAGGGGCGCTGTTGCCATACCAAGCCTCATCGCAAAAAGTTGTACATCAGTCTTAAAGTAGACTACTGTGGGTACCTCTGACTGCAGTTTTTGCTTTCTATTCATAAATCGCAAGGAGGTGATACTTTTTAAAAGGAGCTTTAAAAATGGGCGAAAATCTCAAAACGCAATTTTTAAAACCAATATGGCAGACTTCTGGTTGGGTGTGGCCTTTGGGTCCAAGAGGCTTTTTTATTTGTCTTAAGGTCCCTAATAAGTGTCCCAGATTTCATAGCTGTAGGTCACACACAGGGGAGGGGCTTTATTTTTAAAATTTTGTAGGGGGCACAATGGAGCCAATTCAAATTGAATCTACAATTTGAGATTAGAGCCCTCAGGAGGATTGCCTTGAAGATCTGTATACTAAATTTCAAATGGCTGTGCATATCTATAGCAAGACTACAGATTTTAATTTTATTTGAGACATTTAATTGCGCCAGTAGTATGATAAAATTTTCATAGTATAGTATTATAAATTGTCATAGTATTGTATGATAAAAAGGCCTTAGTATAGTATGATAAAAATGTCACAGTATTGTTTGATAAAAAAAAAAATCAAAGTATAGTTTAATAAAATTATCATAGTATAGAATAATAAAAATATCACAGTGTAGCATTATAAAAATAGCAAAGTATGATGAAAAATGTCATGGTACAGTATGTTAAAAAATCATGATATAAATATCATAGAATAGTATGATTATATTGTCTTTGTATAGAATGATAATAAATTTCCTTTCTTAGAAATGTCATAGTAATGTATGTTAACCAGTGTCATAGTATAGTATGATAAAAATGTCATAGTGTACTACGATAAAAAATTCAAATTTTAGTATAAAAAAAGTAACAGTATAGTATGATTAAAAAAAAAATCATAGTAGGATATAATTAAATTTCACATTTAAGTATGAAGAAAATGCTATTGTTTAGTATGTTAATAAAATAGTATTAAAATATAGTTTAGTATGATAAAAAGATCTACTGTGACATGTTTGACACAGTGGTGTAATGGTAAGAACTCTTGTTTCCCAGCAAGAAGGTCTGTGGTTCAAATCCAAGTCAGGCATAACATAATTAAAATAAATTTTGAAAAAAAACAAACAAAAAAACAACATAGTAGTATAGTATGATAAAAATGTCAAAGTATGGTTAAAAAATAGAAATAAAAAATATGGTACGAAAAAGATGTCATTGCATAAAATGATGATATTGTCATTGTGTAGAATTATAAAAATTTTAACTTTTTGGAATAAAAAAAGTATAGAAAAGAATGTTAAAACTGTCATAGAAAATCATAATAAAAAATGTAAAAGTATACTGTGATAAAATTTTTAAATATTAGTATGATAAAAATGTCACAGTATAGTATAAAAATGTCATTTTGTAAAATGTTAAAAATGTCATAGTATACTATGATATATGTGTTATATTTTGGTATAAAAATGTCATAGTAAAGTATTGAAAAAATGTCATAGTATAGTATGATAAAATGACATGGTAAAGTCTAATAAAAAATGTCAGTTTACTATGATAAAAATTTCAAATTTTAGTATAATAAAATTGTCATAGTATGGTTAAAAAAGGTCATAGTATAGACTTATGAAAAATGTCATAGTATAGTATGATGAAAAATTAAAAATTTTTGTATGAAAAAAATGTCATAGTATAGTATGATGAAAAATGTCATAGTATAGTCTTGTGAAAATTGTCATAGTATACTATAAATAAAATTTCACATTTTGCGATGAAAAAGATGTCATAGTATAGTATTATAAAAATTTCATAGTATAGTATGATAATATTGTCATTGTATAGAATTATAAAAAAATCATATTTTTAAATGTAAAAAAGAGTATCAAAGTAAAGTATGTTAAAACTGTCATAAAAAGTATAATGAAAATGTAATATTATACAATGATAAAAAATTTTGAATATTAAAATGACAAAAATTTTATATTATAGTATAAAAAATGTCATTGTATAGTATGTTAGAAACTTCATAGTATACTAATTCTATATTTTAGTGTAAAAAAAAGTCAGTCACGTATTTAAAAAAATGTCATAGTATAGCATGATAAAATGTCATGGTAAAGTCTAATAAAAAATGTCTTAGTATACAACGATAAAAATTTCTAATTTTAGTAAAATAAAATTGCCATAGTATGGTTTGTAAAAAATGTCATAGTATACTATGATAAAAATTTCAAATTTTATTATAATAAAAAGTCATAGTATAGTGTGTTAAAAAATGTCATGGACCTCTTTTAGATATTAAATTGATGTCTACATTTGTACCTCATTTGAAGATTTATATTGACCTGTTTCAGACGTCAAAGTCAAATCTGGATGTTATGGGTGAAAGGGTTAATGGCGTTGACAACATATACAATAAAACATGTTTAATGAAAATCATATTTTGTCAAAAAATTAGATGAAACGTAGGACATAATGTCATAATGTTGTGGATTTTGATCAAACTATACTAACTTCTTTTCTACTTAATATGAGAATATTATAAAGATGTTATAGTATACTATGGTAAAAGTCATATTTAGGTAAATAAAAATGTCATAGTATAGTTAAAAAATAGACAGATACAATGAGGTCACAAAGGAGATTCAAAAACACTTACAGCAAGTGTAGCCACAAACACACTTGCTCTGAAATTTGAATGAACTGTCATTATTTTGTAATTTACGAGCTGAGATTAGGAGACAAACAGACAAAAATTTATGTTTTGAGTGTCAGTTTTTGTGGATCTTTAACAGATAAAGATGAATGAGATAGAAAACGGAGGAAATATGTCTTCTAGCAAACACTGAATCTTGCTTTTATATCTCGATCTACAAAGTAAAAGAACTGTTTGTTTATGTTTTGATCTGTCCAAACATAACTGAATCAAAGCTTGGTCCTGTCCTCACTCTGGTCTGTGTCTGAACAATGTCAATGCTGCTAGTAAATGTTTCCTTGGCGTGTGCTGCACAGACTCATCCGGCTGCGGTTGCAGATCCTGAAGGCTGAGTGGCAGTGTTGGCTTTTGAGCTGTGTGCAAACTTAATTTCCAGAAACAAGCCCAGCTCTCAACCATGGATTAAATATGAACACAGACTAACACAACAAGTGGTATGAATTTTTTTTATGAAAAAAATAAAATAAAGTCATGCACACCTGATGTTCCAAAAGACAAACGCCCAAAGCAAACACAACAGATATATACATATGAACACCATTAGAGATTCCAGGATGTCTCTTCAACCACATGAGACCCAGCACAGAGACAGCCTGCAACATGGAGAGCTATCACACGACACTGCGCTCTACACACCATTCAGCAAAATCAGATATTTAACAGAGGATGATGATTTTATTACCATGCACAACTGTCCACAACAAAATCAATCTGTTCTGGGACCTTCTTGATAATTACATATTTGTACCCTTCCACACAGGTCAGGGATTATGAAGCAAAAGCATGTCAACATCAGTGTGTCACCAAAAGATACTGACACTGTTATACAGAGCTGACACAAGAAACAACTTTGAACTTTGAACAAGATTATATACTAAAAAACTGTTTGACCCTTGCATTAAATGAAATTCTTATCCTCAGGGGAATAAATTACAGTAATTATTTCCTTCTGCAGCACACTTACCTCACTTACGTTTGCATCATTGACACCAAAACATGCAAAAAGACAACCAACTATGCGTTCTGTAGACAATCTGGTGATCAGATCAATACACAAACTAATCGGCATTATTGAGACCACTCAAAAATCTTTGGAAGCATTCAGAAAAAACATTATTGCAAGGAGAGGTGTTTGTGCAGAGAGACAGAGGATGAGTTTTAATGAAAATGACAGAGTAATTTAGCTTTTACCCTCATTAAATTTCGGCACGATTTCAATCTCTCCTCTCCATCAAATTTAAACCAGCTTGTACCAGTGCAGAGGAGCATTTAAGATTAACATAAAATCCACGAAAGGGACATGAATCTCTATGAATATGATTATGAAAAATTCTCATAATATTAGCTTTATGTTGGGACGCTCTCACATTTGCATCAAGCCTATTCAAATGCAAGATTACGGTACTGATCCTTGACCATGACCCCCTTTGGATATGTTGTTATGAATCATGATCTCATTTATGAAACAAAGTAAACAGCACATGAATCCTCATCATATTCATGCAGAGCATGCGATGAATCGTCGCTCGTCTCTAGTCTTCAGGCATCTCTCTGTTGACAGAGCGCAGAGGAAGAGGATCATCTTACTCCGGCAGGGTGGATCCAGGCAGCTCGTTGGTCAGCGTGTGCCAGCGCTCCACCTTCTTGCCCTTGTTCTTCAGACAGTCTATCCAGTGCTGCAGAGTGTCGCCTTGTGAGTGGCACCCAAAAGACACCCCCCCTAATCAGAGCAGAGGTGGGATAGGTTTTCAGTAATGGGAGAGACCCTTAGCTGCACATTTTCTCAAATCAAAACAAAGGAAAAAAGATAAAGTCAGCAAATAAGGATGGTAAACAACTATAGCTTTAATGCAAACATTATTTATGGACAATAAATCTTCCACGATGTCTGATGTGGCTGTTTTCTTCTGCATAGATTATTTAGTAATCCTCTTCCTCATTCACATCATTACTAGAATAAAATCTTTTTTCTTTGATTTTTAGCCTCTTTTTTTGCAAGGACAATACAAATCGCTCTATTAGATTTAAGAGAAAAAAGTAATCACACGTGCTTTATCAAAGCTGTAGTTTAGCTCCTAAAAAAATTCAAGGGGCTGTCAGCATTCAAATCTAGTTTGTTTAAAGCTCATGTAAAAAGTTTATGGTCAGTAGTATAGCAGTGCAAATTAAATATTGATTCCTCTGTGTGATATGCAAAAGCAAAACAAGACCATAATAAACAGATGGACTGTTTCTATAGTGTGATAAAAAAGTGCCTGACACCATGCCAGGGGGTAGGCGGCATTAAAAAGCTCACTGCTGCAACAGCTTGTTTTACATTTCTGAGCCAAGGTTTCATTGTTAGTTGACATTTGAAATAAAAGGACACATATTTTTGCCCGAAACAACACCAACATGAATAAAAGACAGCATTTGAATTATTTCTGTTTTGTCCACAGGGGTCACCAAAATCAACACAACCTGAAAGGGCCTTTACAAGGGTAGTGTTGTTTTTGGAATAAACGATCAACAATATGTGAAGCTTTGTTGATGCTAAATAAAAATGCTCAAATCTGAGCGTCCTTCAGAGTGTAGGAAAATGTTAAGACACCAACGAGTAAATCATCTAACTCCACAGGGCTTAAGGTGATGCTTTAAGTAGATGTGATGCAAAAAGAAACTACACTGCGTGGTCGGTTTCTTCTGTTTCTTGTAAATAACACCTTCAGATTTGACTTTGAACTCAGAGAAAAGTAGAAGAGGACAAAAGTTATTTGAAAACAGAGGAAGGATATAATAAAATCATGATCCTATTTACAGAGCACATAAATGATAAAGCTCATTTTCAGCCAAAATGTCAAAGCCACCCTTTTGGCCCATAAAATATGACAAATTACACTCACTGCGGTGCTTGGATCAGAAGGACAATAAAGCAAAACTTTAAAATATCCTTGGCAACGTCTGCTATGGGTACAACATTATCAAACTCTTCATAACGTGGCCAACTGCTTTAATTGTGATCGATAAAGCACCAGCAGAAAGTGAAAAGCCGTGTGTGTGTTTGTTGACCTCTCACCTATGAAGTCATTGGACTTTCCCAGGTCATAATCCCACACTGTGACCTCCAGGGTCTTGGTGGTTAACTCTGAGAAGGTGATTTCATAGAAAAACTCCTGCAAAATAAATAAAGAGAGGAGCGACATGGAGATGGGTGCAAAGGGCAGGAGGTCACATCCAACAAACTTTCCTGAGAAGAGGCAGCTAATGAGGCAGCTCATAATAATATTCAAACAGTAATTGGCCCTCTGTTGAATAGGTTGCAGGAACTTTGCATGCAGTGTAAAATCTCTGACAACAGTACGAGTCTAAATGAGCTGTCATGCACAAACGTGTAAGTCTACCTCATTAAACTCTGGGTTCAGAGTTTTTTTTATAACCGCCGTTTTGTGCTTGGATTTCTTATGAACGTCTGGCTTGAGGTACCTATGGGGGTGGAGGAGAGAGGGGACACCATCACATATTCATTCACAGGTTTTAGGCGTGTGGAATGGAGGAGAACGCACTAATGGTGTGTGAAAACACCAGAGTGGAGAACAGGTCAGGGTAAGTTCATGCTTACAGTCAATCATTTCATCTCTCGTTCATTAATTATATATAATGAGTCTGTCATGTTACTGTTCGTCTTCAGTCTTCATTATTTTTTTTTCTTTACCAGTAGATGATCAAAATATTTCATACTGAAACTTGGTAAACACACTGAGCTGGACAAAGGCGTGTCATCAGCATAAGTAGATAATGTTTTTGAAATAAGTATCACCAACACGGTGCCATGTGAGCAGTCTGCAATTCACCCCACGCCATCCACTACACACACCCATACACTAGGTGGCAGTATAAACATTTAAGTGTTATGAAACTAAAATATCTTTAATATTTCTAACACCACATATTACTGGTAAATATCTGGACAAAAAACAACACTGTTGGAGGCAGTGTGGCCATGGAGACGCCACTCATACTCATACTCATATTTTCTGGTCATGTATAAAGATACAACCTTTCTGGGATGAAGTGAACGAGACTCTGGGAAAAATCCTGCAATATAGTATTCAAAAAGATCCCAAATTCATGTATTTGGGAGTAATAGAACAAGAGATGTTTATCTATTTAAGGTCTTGATTATTGCATGAAAAAAGGCGATCACACGGAACTGGATGAAAACTGATCGCCCACTACTGGGACAGTGGATGGACATTATGGGCGAAATTTATACCATGAAAAGTTTAACTTACCATTTGAGGCTGGACATTTTAAGTTTAATAAATAGACTATATGGACCTCTTTGTTAGGCACTGGGAAAATAAGGAGTAAGAACTGTCCCCTGTATTCCTTTGTTCCCTTTTCCTTATTTATTTCTCCCTCTGTCTTTATTTTTGAGAAATAGCAAAAAATGGTTGTAAAGAAATTATTGTTTTGAACCATTCTATACTGAAAAATAAAGTTTAAATTAAGTTTTTTACTTTGCTTTGTGAATGAGACCATCTCACTGTTGGACAGAGATGAACCTGAAGGCCAGCTGCCAGTCAACCTAGTTAGCATAATGATATTGTATTAAGAGGGTGGAAAGCGGATCTTGGTCTAAACAAGGTAAAAATAAAACAATCTAAAGGAAAAACAATCTCCTTTGGACAGAGTTCAGTTAGCTGTTCGTTCCTAATGAAAGTTTGTATTTAAAGAAAAGCTAAGCAGCTTGAGGCTACACCTTTATAATCAGAATAGCATTGATTTTAATCCTCTTGTCTGTAAACAACAGTGAGTCATCATCCTGTAATTCCTTCATATTGAACAATTCTCCAAAAGGATTGATAATAAGCGTTTGTAAAAACCAGCGCAGTGTGAGTGAGACCAGTACAACCTTCACCAGCGCAGCACAGATTGAACAAGCTTAGCATGCCGTTGCGGGGTGTCATTAAATTCTCAGGATATTTTAAGCCAGCTGGAAGGAGCGTGGCAAAATCTCTATTCACATTTGCTTTCCACCCACCACCCACAGCTCGTACAGCGTATGTTCCCACTCGCTCTCAGACACAACAAAGCATCTGGGGAAAAAAAAATCTACCGCTAAAGGGCAGAGATGCAAGCATGCATGTGAAATGAAACAAGGTGCCCTGTGTTTGAGGGATGTGTACGCTTCGGCTTAGTGGGTGTAAAAAAAGGAGAGAGAAAACTTAAGTTTAAGGAATGATGGGAGAGGAGAAGGAAGATTAGTGTGTACTGTGAGGGCATGTGCGTATGTGTGTTTGTGAGAAATCTTCCAGTGCTGCTGAAGAAAACCTTAAGCCAGAACCAGCCATCAGACGAACACCGAGTACAGAGGTGCGGGATTTTATAGCTCATTTGTCCAGTTCCTGCCAAGATCATGACTCAACCCTCCTGCCCTCTTTGGCACTGACAGAAACACACTAATACAAACACACACACACACGCATGCGCGCACGCGCACACACACACACACACTCAAACACAAAGTATTGCTTTTCTTTCATCATTGAGTAATGAAACTCAGAGGGACCTCTATGACACCGACCAAGCTGTAATGCGGTCTGACCATAACATTTGATCATGTCAGAGCTTCTCTGTCTGGATTGAAGGCTGTCAATACACACACACACACACACACACACACACACACACACACACACACACACACACAAACACACACACACACACTTACGCCTACCTGAGCAACAGCGGACTGTGAGGCCACACAAGCCAAGTGTGGACTTCTATCTCTGATCATTTTGCAAGTGTAAAAAATAATAATAAACTTACATATAAGGTCTTAAACTGTAATATTACATCAAATGTAATTATATTGTTTATTTAAAGAAGTTGTTAAGTTGAAGTGATTTTAGGATGATTTAAAACATGTTCAAAAGCGATCTAAAAAATGTCCCCATCTGGTGAATGAGCAATTATGAGGAGGTCCACTCTTAGATAGGTGCATCAGTACACACACACACACACACACACACAAACACACAAACACACACAGTGATCTTTTTCTTTGACAAGTTTAGCGGTAATTGTTTGATTTTAAGTAACTGTAATTTGTGACTCTCTTAAATGCTTCTGCACCTCTGGAAGTGATTTTTTGTTTCAAAACTCAAGAGTAGAAATAAAGTGATGTCTGATGACTGAGAGGACACAGTGACAGACTAATGCAGGACTTAAAACAACAACCCTGACCTTTACATTTTGTATGATCGATAAATCTTGCTTTAACATTTCCCCAGAAAAGCTGAAGAGGACCTAAAGTTATTGAAACGGGAGCTTAAGTACAACTGTTGCTAAACTAAATTTTGTTGTGTTGTTCCATGCGAGTAGTTTGATATCATACTTACGTTTTAACATAGGGGTCTGAGAAGCCATTGACGTCCATGGCTGCCAGGTGGGCACAGCGTTTGACACCCACACACAAGCCGCCACGCGCCCTCTCCTTGGCTTCGCCCTTCCCGTCGTCATCGCTGGCCGGAGGAAGGAACTGAAGGCAGAGCAGCAGGCGGCCTCTTTCCTCCAGACTTCTGTGCTGCTCGGTCTCCCACTGAGCGAAGGAGGAATAAAAGAGATGGAAATGGAAAAACATAAACAGGAAGAAGGTGTGCGAGTGGCGAGATAAGGTTGAGAGTTTAACAGGAGGTTTCGCATCTTGAGAATGAAGCGAGCGAGGGCTGTTCCAAGACCACTTGATGAACAGGCAACAAGACTCAATTTGCTCTTTAAAGCCTCTGAAATTGATGTTTTTTATTACCAGAAAATTGAATTAAGACAAATTTTAGTGACTTTAAGTTCTCTGTTTTGAATTTGGCACCAACAACTTTCGCACACAAGTGTTTGGCTTTAAGCTGACCACAAAAAAGACAATTCTAGGTCTGATCTAAGGCTGGATTTGCAATCCCTAAAGATCCACGAGGCTTATTCAAGGCTGGCTGTGTCTCATTATTTGTACTCTCTAAGTCAGTGGAGTCAATACGACTATATCAACGCTCCTGCCGAGTCATAACCTCCCTGACCTGCGGGAGGCCTTGATGAAAAACCTGTGATAGTTAATTAGTTCAATTGTTGCCGCTCACAAAGATAGCAGTGAACTCTAGACAAAACAGCGACCAAGCCAGGTCAAGGTCTCATGGAGAGACATCTGGTTACACAAGTTTCTGTGAGATCTTGTGACGTGTGTGGCGTAGTGCTCTAATGGAACCATCTAGAGAGTGAGCTTCGATGTGTGGTCTCATACGTTTTCAAAACTGGTTAAGATGTAGCCGCTGTTCAGTTTGTGATCTTTCATCAGAATTAAGTTAACCTTTCAGAGCAACCGATTCCAGTAAAAGGAGCTCTGATAAAAAGCTGTAATGGAACGACACCACCTGCTCAGCACCAAACAGATAGAAAGAGTACACAGTGAGCTTGTAAACAAAGGGAATCATTAAGCAGCTAAATAGTCAGACATTTCTCCTAGGATTTGGTAAGGAGCAGCACAAGGCAACAAGGAGACTGACAATTTGGCATGCTGACTGAGACACAACTTCAAATGAATACTAATGTACTTCCATGTCTGTTGATTGTATAAATTAGACATGGATCATTGCTAACATGCTTACCATACCGCCTCAATGAAGTGATAATGAGTCAGTGTGGTTTACCGAGACCAACAAAGTCAATAATATGATAGAGGAAAGCTTTAACGCTGCAGTGAGAACAAACCTCTGGAATTCAGGGCAGATCTTCCTGCAGCGGCACGGCACAAATCAAAGCAATCTTTGGTAACCTTTGCAGAGCAGCAACAAGTGCAGCCAGAAAAAATATAATCACTTTAATATACTTCTCTACAGTCCTGAGGCAAAAACTTGATTCCAGCCACTCTCCCTTGTGTATTTCAGAGCCAAACAGAGTGAGCAGACAAGTCTGATACCAAGGACGAAGCAAAGACTGAGCGTTACGCTTTAGATTGATGATTTCATTATTTACTGGCTATAAGCCAGAGGTGGCGAGAGAACAAACTTTGCTTCATTTTTGCCAAAACATATTTTATTTAAGTCATTAGTACGCACGCTGTTTCAACCAAGCTTGTTATTTTAATTGGACAACTTTAAACTTTTATTATTCTATATTTTTGAGTGGAATAACATACTATGCTGAAACTAATGATCACTAATTTAAAACCAATGTGCAAATCAATCCGAAGAAGCGGGTCTTGCTGCTCTGAGTCTGGTCTGACATCTTGATCAATATTTGGGAATGAACATCACATTCACTACACGCCTCTCTGATTAATCAATTGTTCCCCTGGCATGCGTTAAAGCCAAAGTAACAACGCTTGTTTGGGGAAAGAAAGGAGAAACAATGTTTGTGTAAAATATATAGGAGGCAAAGAGTATTTAGAATAATTGGTCCGGAAACTCTGCTGTAGTTGGATAAAAAAGTAGATGTGCTTTGTTTCTGCAGTCAGTCAACTATACAGTCAGGGGGAGTTTAATTTAAAGATAATGAAAGCTGAGCCGAATGAAACTCGCTTCCAAACACAACAAACAGACCGAACCTCATCAAAAACTGGGCAATTTGTCTGGAGCCCTGTGCTGTGGTCATCTGGCATATATTTAAAAGATAAAACAAATACAAAAGAGTCATCTGAGGGCACTGAAGTGACTCATTACTGTCTATTTTACCGTACTTTTCATAGAAATGTTACTCAGCAATCATCACGACCTTTCAAGCCATATTAGGTTTTATCTAGCAGAGCAGAGCTGAATTATAGCGATGATTCAATCTTAACAGAGAGAAGAAAAATACTCAAAGCTCCTGTGAGGAGGTTTTTGATGTGAATGACACAGACTCAAATTCATATTCCTGTCTTTTTCTTTGAAGCAAACATGACAATCAGTGAAAAGACTGACAAGTTTTATCTTTAACGCCTGACACTGATGTGAGAGGGCAGGTGTCTGTGGATTCCCTGAAGAAACAGTCCTATTTTTATTGATTCAATATTAAATTTTTGCAAAAGAAAAAAAATGCAGCAGGGTGATATATATATTTTATTATTATTATTCAGGAGACATGTAGAGGACAAGAAAAGCTAAGACAGCTTAGTCCACAGGGAACTGACACAAACCAAAAATTCCTCACAAGAGCTTTAAGTAGCATCTTCTGGCAAAAAAACTCAACTTTACTGCCAAATCTATTCATCATTTATTGTGAATGTTCCGTATGTAAAATGTAAAAACAGGGTTGTTAATTTTGCTGCCTGGCTGACACCTACCTCTAACTCAAATTCCAGGCATATAAAACTACGATAAAAATAGTCAGTCTTGTTATTAATAATAATAATTATGATAAATTTTATTTATAGCGTGCTTTTACAGGTGCTCAGATGCTTTACAAAAAATTGATGGTCTTATTTGCTTTTGTGTATTATAAAAAGGTGTTGATATTAATTTCAGTCTGCCTCAGAAATGTCAAAAAATTCCTCATAGGAGCTTAAACCATTTTTGGGGTAAGAATATTGCTTTGGTCGAGTTACATTGGAAGTCAGAAGTCTGACCTGAAAATGGCGTCACACCCTAGTTACCTGCATTTCAGTTACCAAGTCGGAAAAAAGCTAAATAGGAGGTGGAAACAAGATGGCTACATCTACGAAAGTTATTTTAGCGCTTGCCTTGTCTGAATATAAGGCAAGTGCTAGAATAACTTTCTTAGATGTAGCTATCTTGTTTCACGTATCTGAAACGCTGGGAACTCGGGTGTGACGTCGTCTTCAGCTCTGACATCTGACTTCTGAGGTAACTCGAACACACCACATGTACTTTTAAACTTTCAGTCCTTTGCTTCACATAGTTCGCCCCCTCGTTCCCCTCCAGCAGACGTTCCTCAAGATTCCACTCACATTCATTTGAGCTCATCTGCCACAGCAAAGACACAAACTGTGACCACCATCACAATAAGCAGGAAAGGAGTTGATCTGACGGCAAAGACCTGTCTCAGATGACCCTCAGACTCACATAAGTACATTCGGTTGCTCCTGGCTTAAGTATTTTTTTCATTCGACAACATCAAGCTGTTACCGAATCATCTGACAACAAGCGGATCAACAGAGCAGATTCAAAGTGACAGATGAAAGTAAGTGAGGAAGCAGCAACAGAGGGCGTGGAAGGAATGGAGGATGGTGATCTACAGGACCATGACTCACCCTCACGGCCGACAGCTCCAATACATTTCTGTTATTTATAGTCCAGAGTCATGTTGGCTATTTCAGGATTTTTATTACTGCAGGTGCGTCTTTTTAAAGCAACGTTTGATGTCTCCCCAGAGAAAGTGGGAAAAAGCTGGTTTCATGTTGGTATAAAATGTAATTTGAATTTAAAATAAGTTCCATCACTCTTTGAACACCTTTTTTTTTAACTGAATGTCTCTCCTCTCTTTTGGATAATCTTATCTCTCATTAAGTCTTATCTTCAAGCGAGAGGTGGACACTGCCAGGTCCATCAATATCTCACTCTCCTCCCTTTCCTTTCACTAATTGTCTCAACAGCTTGCTTCATCCTTTTTCTAATTTTCTCTCTCCCCTCCTCCCCTTGTCTGTGTTTTTCTTTGGGAAATCATCATTTGTGCCAGCAGCCAGTTCACCATCTGCCGTGACTGAGTAGCCGACTTTAAAACTCGCAATTAGAGGGAATAATTTGCAGCAGGTATCTGGTAATGGAACGGCTCAGACCTTCACAGATCGATAGAGAGCAACTCATTAAGGTTGGAGGAAATAAACATGCATTAGTGTGGAGCTACAAACACATGCAGTGACAGACGGATGAGAAACAGATACATCTGTGGGTGGGTTTGTGGGGCTAAAGAAAAGCAGAGGCACATTAAACAACCTGGACTATGGTGAGAAACCCAGAGGCAGCGGTGTCACTCCTGTTATCCTGATAAACTCAGAGGTCCACACCTACCCTCCAGTTAAGCCACTTTGTTAATTTATCCAACACATAATGAGAGGATCAGCTCTGTCTGAAGTGAGAAACGCTGAGACATTAAGAGCTAAAGACAGCACTGAATAAAGAATAAATGTTACAAAAACAAGTTAAAAGACACTAATCTTTTTAATTTAAGATTTAATAAGTCACAAAATGAATCCCCTTCCTTTTGAATGTATAAAAATCTTTCCATCAAAAATATCCTGAAATCCCCCTAAGTTTCTAAAATATTCCAATAAAAAATTTCACATAAATATTTCAAAAGTTTTAAGAAAACTTGACAAAATTAGTAAAATGAAAATATAGCTGCAGGTTTCTAAAAAATTTTAATGACTACTTTGAGGAAAAAAAACAGTTCTTCAAAGACTTTAACCAATACAAGGCCTTAAATTTGTCTGAACATTTACATCTGACTGTAAAAGATTCTCCAAATAATAATAAAAATTTTCTTCTCAAATTTGCATTGAAATTTTCATTGTAAATTTTTTTTTTGTAGGAATTGAGAAATTCTACAGAAGAATTCCTGAACATATCTGTAAAGTTTTCATAAAAATGCCAACATTTTGTGTTAAATTTTCTCCAAAATTTACTTTAGTTTCAAAATTTTTTTAGTGCAAACAAGCTATAAGGGAGCAAAGTTGAAAGAGGCTTTTAAATGTTAAGTCCCAAAAGTTTTGCATTTGTGACCAATTTGACCAAAGCATTTCAATAAATAGCCAAATTTTAAGTAAAATTCTGCTGTTTTGGACAATATTATAATGGTTGGTAATCGTGTCTGCAATATTTCTTTTTAAATCTTAAAATGTTTCCAAAAAATATTTAAACATTTTTCACATAATAGTTTTAAAAAGATGAAAATCTGACAAGGTTTCAGAAACTGACAAAGACTTGAAGAATTCAGGATTGTTCTGTAAGCCGTCCAATAATCAAATCAAATGATGTTTCAATTTTTTCCACTTTTGCCTGAACATATTTCCGGCAACAAGCTTCTCAGAGTCTCAAAGAAAAATACACTGATTCAGCCATGAGTGCTGTCTGATAACTTCAGGAAAATTTCCCCAAGTGTCCTGTCAGCTCAGGGTATTTTTTCTAAACCGCAGGCTTAAGAAATTTTGCTCCTGGGAAACGTATCAATCACAATCAAAACTAAGACACCACATAAAAAGACAAAGAAGATGCAAAGTTGTTCATAGTTTGTCTATTCATCACTTCATTTTCTCAGAAGCACAACAATTTTCAGTGTGTCTCCAGACTTACAGAGCTCTTTTAACCCCAGCATACAGTAGTAGATCTTCCTTAAACTCTTCATGTTTGAAAATGGTTCTGGCTTGAGCTCATGCCAAAACTCTGATCATCCTCGTCAACCCACTGACTAGTAACAGCCCATAAGCCTTGTGTGATAAATATCAATGGATTAACATGGATCTCACAGCGTGGCAAGGTCTTAATAAATTATGCATTAGTAGCTGGATGGATCTTGAGCACAGGAGTTTAAATGTCACTCCTTCAAGCGTTGTCCAAAGCTCATTACATTTATTACCATGCCAGATGTTAAGTTGTCCCATAAAAGCAACGTGGCTACCTTTTTTTCTGTTGCTAGCTTTAATTAGAAAATTCAGAAATTTGTATGGATGTCAAAAATTAGATTTGAGGGTACCTCGATTATCTGACTAACAGATAAAAACCACACATTTTAGTTTACCTCCAACAAATATATGATTTGATTGATTAACTGTGATGCTAAAGGAAAAAATCTGCCTGTTGAAAGGGGGTAGGGCACGATAACGAACCAAGAGGTAGAGAATATTGATCCCAGACAAACATGCTCCCTTAGGCTAGATAAATCACTCCCACTGAGCAGCTTACAAGAAAACAAACTCTCGAGGAGATCCAGGAAACACGAAGGCAGCCAGGGGAAGACAGAAAAGGCCGCTGCATCAACAAACGTCACTCTTATAGAAACTGGAAACTGAGCAAACCACACTGACATGATCAATCATAGGTGAAATGAATGCTCCTTAAACAGAGAGCTTCTCTGAATGTCATTATCAAACCTTGTGATTTAATTGAGTTTGTTTGAGTCATTTTATCTATATTATTTTAGGGGTTTTGTTTTGTTACTCGCACAATCACCACAAGGGGCACCTCAGGTAAATGCGACAAAAGGGGCACAGGTGAAGCAGTGATCTACCCTCATCACGTACATCACCATCATTGTAATTTGGACGTATCTTTTTTTTGTTTGTTTTTCACTTAATCAATAAATGGCAAAAATATTATCCAACAACAACCTTGGACTGGACATTGGATTGTACTAGAAGCGCCCACACCCAGACAGTGACTAAAATTCAGGTCAGCATAGTCACTACAGAGTTAATTATGTAAAGTATGATTTTGTGTTTTAGCATTTTCTAGATCTCAAGTCACAAGTGAAGATTAGAACTTGATGTTTTGGTGATTCCTCAATAGCAGCATTGTTTTAGACTAGAGTGAGACTGCGTCTGTTGACAGGTTTGAAGACGATGTAAAATGACAGACAGACTGACAGAGAGGAAGGATTATTTTGGCTCAAAGGACTTATATGTTTACCTCTCTCAGGTAGCAGGAGATTCCTCTCAGGGCTGTGCTCATAGCTGTCGGTGAGGGCAGCTGAAGGCGGAGGAGACAAAAATAAGAAAAAACAGCATTAATTGTGAGGGGGATATGACTGACAGAAGAGCTGTACAAAGAAAAACAGAGAAAGGGTAAGATCTATCGAGTCAAGGGTGAGGCCACTTAAAAAATAACAGGCCTGACACGGTGTCTGGCTCACAGGATGACAGAGAGGCTTTAGCATTCGATCGCTCAGTGGCCACCAGCCTTAGAGAGCCAATCTAATACCGACACATGAAGAACAAAAACCCACCACCCTGCTGCCCCTTTTCACACACATACACCCTGCCGGGCACCACTTTTATTTTTTAATCCATTTGTTTCTCATCTCCCTCACTTGCTCTCTGTCTATCGATGACCCCCCTCCTCTCGCTCTTTCTCCTCTCCCTTTATTCTCCTAGTTTCTATGTACCCTTTTCCCATGCTGACATTTAGCCTGCACAGAAAGCCATTTGTGGGCTACAAGAATAGATATTCTGCTTCCATGTTTACGTAATAACTCTTCTTTTCAGGCAAGAATCATCTTCATTTTGTCAGTGGGATGTTGATACTGGCTTTCTTTTTATTTGGCCAAAAGCATGTGGACACCACTGTCCTTTAGGTAGTTTCAGTCTGCGGCTGTTTGTCCTATTTTAGTTTCCATAGTTTGAACTGCTTGCTTTAAAAGTGCAAGAGCAGGTTTACTACAGTGTGCTGTAAGGGACAAATAGAGTTTAACAATAAAAAAAAGTGGTTTTGGCATCAATGAGAATTTTTGAGACCAATTGCTTGTCTTGGCAGTCTCTTACTCATTGGTACTTTGCATATTGTTGATCCTGTGAACAAAAACCCAGGTTTATAATGAAAACTATATTTTATAGGGTTTGTATCTAGAGGCAGTGATGTCCTGGGGTCTATTTTCAATTAAAAGAAAAACAAAACATTGTGTCATTTTTTAGCTTTTGGCTCTTAGTTGATCCTCGAATGTTCTAGTAGCCTGTTTTTTGATATATTTAGTAACCAGACACAGACCTGTAAGTATAGTAATGATCTTATTGACTCTTAATCTGCCAGAGAATATATTTTGTGTTGATGTTGTATTTATATTGTATTTTTTTCATGACATTTCACATCTTTAGTCATTTCTGTCAAAAGTTAATATTATGTTTTAAAATTGCTCTCTTTAACTTCTTTTTTTTAAGACAAGTAAAATTATACAGCCTTTTTGCTTGTTGTTTTGAACTATCTATGTCAGACATCAGTTGTAGTCTTTCCTCTCTGACAAAAGTAATGATCCTGGAGTTTGTGAGTGTTTCACTTCTGAGCTTTTATGAACACATGAGCGTTTTATTTTCTCCTGTATCTAGGTGTGTGGTCGTCATTGCAGCTGATTGGTTCGTCTACTTCACATCGACATTTTTAGACCTCTCCTGTTGATCTGTAAGCAATTTCCTGCATTTTCTCTTCCATCCCCCATGTGCCATTTCCTCCATTTATTTTCCCGACTGTAATAGATGAGGATGTGATTCACGCAAGAAGCCTCAATACCGTGGATATTACTGCACCCCCCAGTCATTCATTTCCCTCATAAACTCTAATTTTCTGCTCTCCTCCCTTTTTTTAGCCTGTCCTTCCCATCCCCTCTTCAACTCTTTCCCTCTCATCTTCTCACAGGAGGTGGATGCTCCAGACAGATGTTATAGTGTTTTGTCTGGTCCGGCTTCAAGCGGCGCAGGGCCACCCGCGACTCCCCAATGAACTCATTATGTGTCAGCTTGTCTTCGTCGCACACAGACACCCTGAGAGTGAAGGGACAGAGGAGGGATGGAGGAATCGAAAGAGGGAGACACAGGGGAAATCAGGAGAGCAGAAACAGGGTTACAGGATTTAACAAAGAGTCATATTGCGGGGTATGCATCAAATATCGCAACTCTTTTAATCATTTCTAATGTTTCAACACATCTTAATGACAGAGAGATATTATAATTGACACAAAACTAACCAGAAACATCCTCCTGCAAATAGATCCAGCATCTGTATATGCACACTGCACAAGCAATTATCATTTTTCCCCCTCTGGGAATTTAGATAGTGCGAGAGTGCATCATGCAAGGCTAAACCAATCCATATTTATAGGCCTGGCAAACTTTTACACCTGCTATTATGTCAACCGAAACGCATAAGTGGGTGGAAGCAGCAGAGAGGAGTGGAAGGGATGGAGAAGAGTTGGAATCAAAAAACACTGAGCTAAGGATGGAGTGATGTGGGTGAGAGAGGGAGAGATAAAGACCCGCAAGAATTTATTCAAATGCGAGTGTGTGCGAGGAGTCATTTATGCATGCAAATGTGCACGTCTATAAGCAGAAGTGGAGCATCAGTATGCCACAAATATGTGATCGCTTTTTATATGAGCCTCATGTTAAAATTAGTGAAAAACATGCGAAGAAAATTAAAAGTTGAAAGCAACCCTTCAAAGGAGAAACACACATCTTCGAAGAGGGTAAAGAAGAATTCACAAACAGCAGGAATGAAACAACACCAACACCTGCTGTATTCAAGTTTTGGCAATAAAACATGAGATTGTGGGGATGTAGAGGGTGCAAGAGTTCAATAGCCTGGAGGAGACCTGATATGTTTCAGCATCAGCAGAGGTAATTCCTAGTCTAGAGGCCGATCTGAAAAAAAGGAGACCTGAACCCCTCAGGACAAATAAGAATGATAGAGTGAGACAGAAAAAGAGATGGAACAAAGGAGCAGAGGAAAATAAGGAGAGATGAGAGGTGAAGAGGATGTATGAGTAAAGAACAGCTGTGACCAATAGAGCTCGAGGACGGGACAGTGTGTGACAGTACAATAGGTCAGGACGTGCTGCACAGAGTGACTGTTGTCATACTAGACTGGTGTGATACTACACGTATACAGTATAAGGTGCATGTATTCACACTGTGAAGTCTCACATTCATTCACATTATCAAGAAAGATTGCATAACGGTGATTCAGCAGGATGGTAAATGTAATCAAACATGCTGTTATCCATTTAAATGCTCGTGTCAGACTTGTGATTCAAAACTCTGTTACAGAAATGGTTAAAGAGTCAGTTTTCAGAAAGAAAGACTAGGAAGGATTTTACTGACGTGCCCCAGCTGGTCCTAGCAGATGGCTGTCTACAAATAAGTCTGGTTTGCGTGAAGTTTCTGCCTGTCAAAGGAAGTTTTCTTTGCCACTGTTGCCAAGAGCTTTCTCAGCGGAGGATTAATGTTTGATCTGAAAAGAATATCCCAGTGTGAAACCATGAGACCCACTCGATATATCAACTTTGTGATGGATTGAGTGCTTTTCTGTTCTTATCTGTTATTTGTGATGGGAATGATGCTGTTGGAGAGCCTCAACAATGTAAGCTCTTTATTACAGTTTTGTTTTCGACTTTTCCTTGAAAATTGTGCTTGTATCGTCATTGTTATGTTCTATGGCCACCACGACTGTGAGATGAAAATCTGATAACAGTAGTGATGGGCACGACAATTCTTATGTACTGAATCACTAGAATCAGTTCACTAAAAAGATTCGTTCAAAAGATTTGTTCACCAAATCATCATTTAGTGGGAGAACCCTGCGACTCCGACCTCCGGAACTGATACACAGCTGAACGGTTCAGGATTCAGTTCAATTCAAAGCTTATAGGACTGGGAGACACGAGTGTTTGGCTGTGTTGCTTTGGCAAACAGGTTTGTAAAAATGAACTTGTTTATAAGTCATGATGTTTTAAGTGTACTGTCCTATGGTATTCTTTTTACCAGGTCTGCTTGGTAAATTGGGGTCAGTGAGTGATTCGTTCACTGAACATTTAGAAGAATTCAAACTGAACATGCACTGTTCCCTTGCAAACCGCTGCAATGATAGGATGCTGTAGGTTTAATGCACTATTTGTTACATGCTGTGTCCTATTGTATCAAAAGTTGTTGTGGTGGCAATTTAGCAGTGAAAAAATGTAGTTTTGTCCGACAAACTGATTCCAGAGAGTGTAGTTCAATGCGTGATTCGTTCACCGAGTGATTCAGGCGTCGGTACATGTGAGCCCTCGTTTGCCGGCTGCTGGCCTGGCAATGCTGTTTCTCACTTCAGCTCAACTGAAGAGAGAAACGAACGAATCACTTGAGGAAGAGATTCGAATCTGTACATTCACTTAAAAGATTCGGTTCTTTTGAACAAATCGTTCGCGAAAGACACAACACTAGATAACAGCCCTTTCCCCTATGGACTCAGAATACACTCTAATTAATACAACTGACATACATATGTTTGTGTAAATTTACCTTTGACATGTACAATTGTTTGGTGCACATATGTATTATTTTGTTCGTTTTTTTTTGTTTCTAGTTTTTTGTTGTTGTAGTTGTTCATAAAGTTTGAGATAAAGAAAGACAGAAGTAATTAATACAACTGTTGTTGAGATAGGAACTAAGTTGGTAACTGTTGATTAAAAAGTGCTAATACGTCCACATGACAACAATGTACATTCATTAGCAAGCTTGCTAGCCTCAGTGCTAATATCCCCCACTGCTCCCTTTTGTATGTTTCTTATTCTGTCCATTTTAAAGATAAAATGTCGACACAAACAGAGAAACAAGCCACCTCCTCATCATTCTGCACACAGCATGGAGTCATGGGGTTTTTGAACCAGCGAGCTGCAGCAGAGTGCAACCAAGCAGGGTTACATTTGCAGTACAACCATTTCGTTTTATTGGCAAAGTGACCATTTAAAAACTTTTGCATGTGTGCCAGATAAAACATCCATCTGCCGACACTACCTTTTTTTTCCTGTACATGAGCCATAAACCATACTTGTGTTGAAGCTTCACATATGCAATCCTTCAACTCACTGGCAGTCATCTAATGAAAATTGAGCTTTCTCCTAGCCTTAAGCAGATATGAATATGCAAGTGTAGCTAATAATCCTTTCTTAGATGTTGTTTTTAAATGCCAATTACATCGTCCATTCTCAGGTCAGTAGTCATAATGTAAACATGGACAGAAAAGTCCATGCCATGTCATTGCCAACTATTTGCTATATTGTGAGCCCTGAAAAGTAAAATTTAGCTCTTAGACACTAGTTGAGGAAATCTTTGGCAGCCTTGACACAGCTGACTTCAATATTCCCGCATTGTTATTGGCATCTGTGGCACTGTTTTTAACTGTTTTTAATCTTATCTTGCAGACAGGGGAATTTTAAATGAGTACGGTTGAAATGTCATCTGGATACTATATAGGCTAATGAAATGTGGTGTCCCCCAGGGATCAATACTGGGTCATGCACTTTTTAACCTTTATCCATTTATATGTTTCTGCTTGGAAATGTCATCAAGAGGCATGGTATTAACTTTCACAGCTTTGTAGATTTATATTGCCTCTTTTTATTGCCTCCCATTTTAGATGTCAAGTAACGCACCGCACAGAATTTTTTGCAGCTCAATCAGGACAAAACTCCTGTTTTAGTCATTGTTGCTGAAGCTCTTAGAGAGACTCTGACTGCGAAGCTCAAAGCACTTTCTTCCAGGTCCAAAAATCTCAGAGTGATATTCAATTCAGACCTTAAATAATTCAGAGATTCACACAGATGTGACAGTTTTTAATGCCAGGGCAGGCCAGGTATCAACATGTTTTTGTGTTTCCATATGTTAAACACCCCGTCTCTTAATCTTTAAATACCTCTTTTGATTGAACACGCCATCATAGGCCAGTGTAGGGCTGGTTTTTCTAATTTCCCCTGAGAGACAGACTGTCGATCCAATTGAAATCCCACTCCCACATGGCAAAGTTTTAGTCACAGGCAGCAACAATTTGCAGCTTTTGTCACCTCTGCTCTGGAGTGGGTAAATGAAATTAAAACACCCCACAGAATTTAGTCTGGCCTTAATCTGTCAGGACAACTTGGAGAGAGGAGACAGAGGGGAGGACAGATGGAAAGACAAAGAAAGAAGGATGGGTTAAGAAGAGAAAGGGAAGCTCCTCTGATCTTATTGGATAGAGTGGATGGGAGGACAGGGGGAGAGAAAGTGGGGTGACAGAGGAGGATCAAAGAATCAGCTGAGATAGAAGGAGAAAGACAACTCTGAAACCAGGAGAAGATAAGGGGCTATAAACACAGAGCTGAGACACTCTCAGATTGAGATAGCTGATAATAAATCCTTTGTAAGTAAGAGTCCGCCCTCTGATGGGTGAGACAGATCAGGAAGACTTGAAGTGAAGGAGCCAGAAATAGCAAGAAAGCCTCTAAATCAAACAGTTACCGGAGTGTTTTGCGGTGCATGTCTTCCTCTGTGATGCCACAGTAGGTGAGCGTCTCATTCCACACAGGGTTTAGAGTGTTTCGTACGGTTTTAGTCTTCAGTTTATTGGCCTGTACATCAAAATAAAGAGGGGGAAAAACAAACACAGCCTTTCCAGCAAACAACTTCAGCGAGGAAAAACATTAAACTTTCATGAGTACACAGACATTTTAAAGCAGTTTTACTGGTATGCTCTTTTGTTTTCATGATGCAGCTTAACAGTCCTAGAAAGCAAGGTAATAATGCAAACTAAAGTCCATGGTAACATGTTACTAAAGGCCCTTTTAGTAGCAGCTTTTAGCTGCAGAAAATTGTTTGATTAAAATCATGTTCTGATAATGACAGCAAACCTTGCAGGCTCCCGGAAGCAGGTGCAACTTGACATAAGGGTCAGCCAACCCGTTAAAATCCATCGGCTTCAGACCCTGATAAAGACAGAGAGAGGAAACTTAAGGGAGGGCTTAAAATTAAGTCGTGGCAACACCAGTAATGAATTGTGAGAACATTGCCCAAGAGGGAGGTGAAGGGTTCATTTACAAAATGAATTGAATACACTGAGCTTAAGAGGAGGTAAGGGGCTTTTAATTTGACAGATTGTTCATCAGTGAGCAGCATGAAGTGCAGAGGCCCACGGTTGGTTTTGAAAACGATGTGAATGTAGCAAGAAAACTGAAATCCTGTCCTACTTTTTCACTCTCCTAAAATCAAAGCTGTGTTTCTGATGTTGAAATGGAAGAGCTTCAGACAGAATTTCAGATGTAGAAAAGTGTTCATGTGACATTTCCAGTCCTAACACTTAAAGCCACTGTATAATGAAAACAGAGAGCAATAAGTCAGAGTTTTAGTTGCCTCAGAAGCAGCTTTTCTTTTCTTTTCTTTTTAAAGGTTGTAATAAAAACAGAGCTTGACTCTTGAGTAAAGTCTTGACTTGGCTAAGAATGGGGATGTCCTAAAGCAACTCATTTCACACTAGTTTAATTGGAAATTCTAATTCAAATTCATCAGCTGTAGTAAAGGAAGAAAACCACCAGACTTGAACACTCTTGGGGTGCTGCCCGCCTCACAGTCTAATACCTCACATAAGCAGCCTAAGTCTGATTTCGACCTGCAGCTCCTTTCCCACGTTAGTCCCTGCTCTCTTCTCCCTTGTCTATCTACAGTCTTATCCTATCCAGTCTATAAAGATTTAAAATAGATGTAAAAAAAAAAAAAAAACGAACTTGACCACAATTTATTAAACACAGGATCCTGGAGCCTGTTGGTAAAAACGGCCTAATTAATTTGCAGAGTGATGCTAACATTAACAGAAGTAGCACCACTAACTTGCAGTGAGATATGATATGTGCTTTTTTACATCCAGCACTGTATAATTATGCAGTAGCAACTGGACCTACCTCTATAACATGATTATTTGATTGGAATTAATATTGATTCTAGAAAGTAAGTGACTTCAACTGACTGTTAAGAGAAAGCCCTTTAAGATTTTTTTTAATTATAAATGGTTCAGCAAATGGATAAGAAGAACCGCTCTGTACACAGAGGACACCTGACCAGACTCAAACCAAAAGTTCCATACTGGAGAAAGTCCTCAGTAAATGTGGCTTGAAATTGCACTGTTATACCAAGGATGACAGTTTAATGAGCTCCCATACAGTGATCACTGTTTGATAAATATCCAAACCAACAAGTTTTACTGTTTTGTGATTATTTTCCTTGGGGCTATGAGCATGGTTGATCAAGTTTAAACATCTCTCTGACCAACTTTATATTGTTACTTTGCATAATATTGATCATGTACCAAAAACGGTCAGCCTTTGGGCGTCTATAGAGGAAAAGTCTGTATCATGGTAGACTGACTGACTGCCTCACAAAGAACCTGCTGTTAGCATGGGGAAAACAGTTTTTAAATTTTAGTCAGGACTGAGAGAACACTTTCTTTGTCCAATTTTTAGAAACACTGCCATACCCAATTAAAAAAAGGATTTCTGTCAAAGTGACTCATATAATCTACCCGGTGTAGATGAGTTTTTTAGAGGACAGCATTTACCTTTGCTCTTAGGACTGTGCAGTGAAGGGAGCTGGTAGCTCTCTCATACTGGAGGTCAAACTGTAACGTCCCCAGAGATGCTGGAAAAGGTCAATAAAAATGTTAGTGACTTTGGTTATACTCATGAACAGATGACTTTATTACTTGTACAGAGTGTGAAGATTTGAGGTGATTCAAATATGGATTGTCAGGTCAATTGCCTTGTGAGCACTAAGACAGACGTTTTATATCCCATTTTGTTGCGTTACCCTGTTCTCAAGTGTTTGAGGGCTGATCTCTTATCTTTGTCTGGTAAATGTTTTTTGACAGCCAACAATCTTCAGCATAACGTAGTCCGGATAAAAAAAGAAACAATTGGCCTGGTTGCTTTAAAAGTTAATGAAAATTCTTCATTAAAAACACAGACATCTGAGTTCATACACCCTACTATGAGGGAGAGTGACGGTGAGTCAAAAGGACAAAGCTTCAATTTATGGTCTTGTTTAAAACCACATTATGGCTCCTTTATACTGCTGTTTTTTATATTTAATCAGTGAAATGAAAAAGGAAATGGAGGTATATTTTATTATTGACCCCTTTAAAGGTCTGGTTTAAGGATGTTCATTTGATATCACAGATCAAAGGGATGGTTTGGTTTTTTATTCTGAAGAGGGGTTGTATGAGGTCCACATCAATAGAAAGTGTGTTAGCCACAGGAGATCTGTTTGGGTCTGCCAACTTCTAAAGAGACAAAAATATAACCAGACTAGACAGTGAGTGAATCTGACAGCTCAAGTTGATATGTCATTTACACATGAGCACACACTGACACCTACAAGAGCCGGAGTTTACTCAGGATGAGCAAGACCTGGTGGGGAAAAACTTCTACACTAACGACAGGAAAGATACCTGGTGGGGGCTGTGTGTTAACTGCCAAGAAACTTCTGTTTGTCACAGACTTTCTTCACCATTCAGGAGTTGAATGAGTAAACCAGAAGAGCTGAATGAAAGTGCGTCTCAAAGTTAAGTGTTTAGCTTTCATGTTCTTTCACTGCATAATGACACAACCCGTGGTGTCCAGTGGCTGTTGTTGTGCTGTCATGCAGTGTTGAATGGCAATGCTATTTCCATGTCTGCTGGATAATCTTGAGTTTAAAACTTTGTCAAACTGAGGTGCAGAAATATTAAGGTTCACACCGTTGAAATGATTTACGCATTGTAAACGACATTTGTTGATCACGGTGCTGGTCAGGCGGGCAAACACCCGCGTTAGCCTCTGGGGGTAGCATGAAAACAGTATGGCTTTGTAATGGCAAAGTAAAGGGCTGGGTCATTTCTAAATAGATCGAACACTTACACAGATAGTAGCGCTTTGGTTGCAGTTTGTTTAGATTACCTAACTTGTTAGATGGTAGGTGGTAGAGGTGGTCCTGTCTTTAGCAGATGATGGCCTAGTTTCAGTTTCAGTTTCAGTACTCTGAGGCTTTCCAGGTCCTCCTGTGGTTAACACACTCACCCCCAATTTCCACCACATCCACAACAACTACGATAAGGCCGTATCCGCCAATCATAGCTGATCGTAACCATTCAAGTCAATGTGTCAATTTCCACCGGCTTCATTCTGTTCCGCTGCGGATTGCCGGACTCTGCAGCTGATCGCACGAGTTCTATTTTTTTCCCGACGCCGCAGCAGGCCGGATAAATTCAGCACAGATTAACCCGTGCTGGACAGGAAGTCAGGCACAGACACAAAATAAAACATCCGTCTTCTTTTCAAAATAAAACACTCTGTGTTTCAGGCGGATCTGGAGACGAACAAGTGAAAGGTTTTAAGACAGTATTCCATCCCGATGACACCATAGATGAGGAGATACTGATTTTAGAAGTCGAGAGGTGGATTTCCTCCTCTGGAAGGACACAATCTACTGCTTATATGGTTAGCCTCTGTGGCTAAGAGACAACTTGTTATTGCGCGATTGCACGTGAATCTGCGGGTTCTTGTGAGTTCTCGCGATTACCGCTTTCCGTATTTGCCACGAAGTTCGTTTCACAAACGGATCCGGTAGGAATTGGCATACAGTGAAAATCGCCGCCGTTCCAGATCACACTTAGGCCTACTAAGTGTGAAGAGTACCTCATATAAACCTGCTTCCAAAAAATGTGAACTTTTCCTTTAGCCAATACCCCCTAACCAAGAAATCCTATAGTGTCAGGAGAATGAAATTTTAATTACGCACAATTAATAGGAGAAAAGCAGTAAGGGTAATCTATCAAAGTGTTATTTCTCATTTCTTTGAGGCATTCTTGACCTTTTCTCAAGAATTCACACCTGCGCTGAGTTAATTTCATTCTTGGTCTCAGGCAGCTAAAGTGAAACAAGTTCATTATTTCCAGGTGACTCACTGCTGTCATCGCTGTCACAGCTGTCGATCTCGATGGAGGTATCCATGCTGCTCATGGCTGACAGTGACCCCCCTCCGCCACCCGCTCCTGGTAACAGCGGTGACAGCAGGCGGCTGCTCCCTCCACCTCCGCCTCCACCAGTCCCGCCACCACCTCCTGTGGCTCCACCACTTTGACCCGTGCCACCTGGGCTAAGCGAAGTGGGAGCTGCCATATGATTGGGTGAAAGTGGTTCAGAGAAGGAGGAAGTTGGGGACAGGCGGGGGAAGTAGGCAGAGATTTGACGGATGGGGCGGATCGGGCCCGGACACACATCGATAGCCATGTTCTCCTGGATGGAGATAGCTAAAGGTTTTCCTTTTCGCACAGTCATGGGGCTGCAAAGAAAGAACAAGAAGAGACAGTAACCGTTAGATCAAATTATAAAACTTTTTAAGGATACAGCAAAAATCCAATTTCAGAATAAATTCGGCAGACATTGATCCTCAGATTTCACCTGTTTTCTTCAATTTCACCTCTGCTCTTCAAAGCAAAGCAGGGGGAGCTTAGTAAGATGATTGCTGATAAATAAGGTATTTTCCTGTGTCTGGCAATTTCTGGGATATGATCAGGCAAAATAGGAGTTTTTCATTTGCTGTATAAAAGAAAGAAACCACGATTTGAAGCTTTTATCTCATACAGCAACCTCCGCAAACACAAGGACTCTTTGAAAGAAAGACATTTCGCATAAACAGAGAATAATACAGCAGATATGCGCTCAAATTTGCATTTCAATTGAATACTTCTGAATAAAGTCGGGCCGATTGGAAGGATAAAAGATGACGGAGAATAGGTATCTCCTCTAATTCTCATCAATCCTGATCAAATTGCAGTGTGTCAGAAGCTGATGCACACGTGATCTTGAGTGCCCAACAATCCTCCATAGACAGACAAGTAATTACAGGATGAAGTCTTCACTGGCTCTTCATCACACTCGGAAGTACTGAAGAGTCCAGGTGATTATATAAAGTTGTGTTAGGGGGGAGTGGAGTTGACCACAAGGCTGATGTGTCTGCTCTGCTCCTGAAATAAAAACGAGGGGGGTGGATTACAAATATCGCACAGCTTTTGTTTTTCTAAAGACAGCAGGCCTTGAGGGGGCGGGCTGTCCTCAATACTGAACAAATCCCCCCTCGGACTACCTTCTGCTCTCTCTGCAGTCATCGATTGGAACTGAGAAGAGGATATTTGCACTGTGAATCTTTGCACTTTCTTTGTGTTGTCTGTGAGGTGATCATCTGTGAAGTTCAGAAAAATCAGAGAGGAGACGCAGAGGGGGAGGTTTGAGGAAAGATTCTGAACATATCCAAGAAAGCTGATTGAAGTGAAAACCATAAGGCTGTTTTGGGTTTCTTTAGAAGACTGAGTGATCTCAAACTCACATCGAATAAAGTAATGTTCATTAAGTGTATCTTCATCTAACAGATGGATGGATCAAACAGAGCAGATCAATCGTGTCAGAACTATTAGAGAAGAGAGTTTGAAAGGAAAAAAAACTGAGTACAGACTGTTGCTGCTGAAGGGTTTATATAAAGATGGATTGGCAAAATACAGTTCTCTCTCTCAGTGTGAAATTCAACAGTCTGTTGTACAGTACAATGTGTAGTACTCGAGTCCCACTTGTGACTCAGCTTGGACCCGGACATGAACATTGACTACAGTAAGACTACAAAGAAGGAGCGATGTACTCAGACTTGTACATCATAGACTTATATACACTAGACTATGTCATTGTTTTGTTGAAAGTGAAAGTTGCTCTGTCAAGTGAGTACTTAAGCTCAAGTCCCAGAGTTCTTGATTTTAAAAATAGCTCAAGCTCAAGGAGGAACATTTATGATCATTTCTTTATCATTTGCTTTAAGTAATAATCATCATATTAATCATTTTGCACTGCAGATGCGGTAGTTCTTCAGCCTTAGCGTCTCGGTCTGATTGCACTTCCATTAGGAAATGATCATAAATGTTCTTCCTTGAGCTGTGTCACCCCGCAGCAGTCTGTAATGGATATGCCTGAGGTCTCGCTCCAGACAAGCGGCTGCTGGAGGAGAGTAGGTGAGTTGTGTTTAGTCTCTTTGCTAAAGAAATCAGGCGAAGTAAAAAAGATGTTTGAATGCTAGCACTATGGCTTGGACCCTATATGTACTGTTGATGAAGTTAGGTGCTGTTCTGAACATTATTTGTGGCTATAGAGTGGCATTTTAGGTGAGGTTTGTGTATGGCTCCTGAGACAGCTTTGTATTGCTATCCTGCAGTCGTTACTAAAGTTGGTATAACTGGAGAAGCAAGCGGTCGGCAACATTTATCTCTCAAGGGGGTGTCTAACTCGGTGTTACGGTGTGTTTGACCCTAAATTAATTTTACGCTGGACTATCCCTTTAGGCATGTAGAGGACAAGATCAGCAAACACTGATCCACAGAGGTGCCAAAATTTGCACAAACTGAAAGTTCCTCACAATAGCTTTAAGCATTTCAAATCTCAAAATGTTGTTTTTTCACGATGCATGAGCACATTTACCATTTCAAAAACCTTAGACATGGTGACGCACATCTTTCCCTGCTGCAGCCATTATCTCCACTAAAACATGAGCCGCTAGATTTAAGAGACATTTGAGCTGCATTTGTTTGATGTTCACACGTAGACATGAAACGAACAGAGCAGCAACACTATCTCCAATAACACTGAGAACTACATGAACACAATTTTCTTTCCATCTAGCAATTAAAAAGTAAAGTTCACCCCCTGACTTCAGAGCCAAAGTAGCAAATCAAGAGCACATTCATGGAACAACTTGGCTTTGAATAGAAGTTAAAGTTCATCTGCCCTTCAAATTAAATCTGATCACCAGCAGATAAACCGTGGACCTCTCTCTCTCTGTGCTTCAAACAAGTGGACAGATTAATTCCAGGCGCTTCAGCCATCAGGATAAAGTCACTATGACCAATGATGCTGTGGCAGAAAGTGGCTCTGATACTGCTGCCTCTGAGTGTTGACCTTCAGTAGAATTACAGGCAGCGAGGGTTATTTGTCATGTGTGGTCCTGCCTCTCCGCTGAGAGCACAACAGCAGCAGGCGATACCCACCACAGCTCATCCAGCTTTCTGTTGGCTGCAGATGAAACAAACTCCTAAAACACGCTGCTGCCTGCCAACCCCGAAAACTTCCTCCGCTCATGTGGCCGAAAGGACTTTGACAGACCACTGGCTCTGCTGCGTAAACTAATGGACATCTTTTCCTTTTGAAGTAACTGCACCACTTCTGACTCCTACAGTAGCAAAATAATGACTTCTTGAGAGGTCAGAGTTCACCACTAGCCAATTAAGCTTTGTGGAGATAACACTTGAGGAGGAGAGACACTGTCTTAATGAAAGCGTGTCTCTTATCATATCTTTAGTGCTTTATGTCAGCTCCGCCGGGCTTTAAAAATAAAAGAACAGCAAAGTTTCCAACATGGAGGAATAATCAGGTTAAGTGGAAGATTGCAAAACATTGAGCAGATGGTGAAAAACAAGTAAATGAAACCCTCGTTTGATGAAGATAACTGTGCCAAGAATTGATTAGATATTAACGGCTGAGTCAATAATAACGATTGTTCTTATGAGAGGCAATAATCCCTGAAAGCGCACACAGAAACACACATATACAGTGCAATCGCAGGTACACTTTCTTCAGATGATTAATTCATCTCTCCGCACATACAGCAGAGAGTGCATCTGCTTTCAAGCCTGTATAATGCGCTCAGCCAGTCGCCTCCCAGTCCTGGCAGATGTGGCTATAAGCTGGAGGACCAGCAGCACCACCCAGCATCAGCACCAGCAGCAGCAGCAGCATCGGCGTCCGTGCACGCACAGCCCGGAGGCCTGGAGCTCATGGGGAAGCAGGGGCTCACAGAGAGATCATGATTGATCGCTCTCATGCTGCCAGCTGGAATCTCTCTCTCATCTTCTCTTCTCATCACCCGCTTGTTGCTGACGAGAGTGACAATGCATGCTCACACAGTAATGAGGTGCAGCTCTCACCTCACATTCTGCTGATTTTTATGCGTATAAGCTCGAGCACGGCTCTTAGCCTTGGAGCACATGGTGGAGCAACTTTGCATAATTCCTTCAGACCAACTTGTTCAGAACAGCTACATACAGTAGGATACAGCAGCCCTATGGCTGTTAGTTACGCAACAACATACATTACATTTCTTTTCCCAGCTTGTACATGTATTAGATTTATAGATTTAAAGCTTTAGAGCGAGAAATGAAGCTTGCTTGGAGGAATATCTTTGTGCAGCATTCAACCTCTCCTCCTCCTCCTCCTCCTCTTCCTCTTTTTACAGCTCCTTCACTTTAAATTAGAGTCACATCACAGCATGGACACCCCTTCCTCTAAATCCCCTCCTCATCTCAACCTTTCTAATCCACCTACTCCTTCTTCCCCCTCTCTAATTCTGTCATTTCTTCACTTTCAGTCTCTCTTAGACACCATTATTCCACCTGTAGGAGAAGGAGAATCTCTCTCTCTCTCTCTCTCATTCTCTCTCTTTCTCTCTCCGGCTCTCCCTCTCGGCTGGTACTCCTCTTCTTCTTCTCTCTTGTCCTACATACAATAGGGCCCCTGCGGCGATCTCCGTTCACCTTTAAATAACAAGCTGCTGGCTGATGGCAGATGGTATAGTACAGTTGCAGCACACTGTAGCTACTCATTAGGGCTTGACAGTCAGCCCATCATTTATGGCGAAGCGCGGTGACTGTGAGCACTTGTCAATTAGAGCCAAGTTATTTTCAGACAGCTCAGGGATGAGTAAACTTCAATGTGTGTGAGTGTGTGTCTCGCACATGTCAGTGTGTATTAGAAGGTGTGAAAATAAAGTGAAGGAACAGGTAAGAGGACACATGTTGCACCTGTGAGCCGTGTGAGAATGATGCTGAATTAATGCGTGCGTCTAAAAGTCTGGTTTTGCTGCATCAGTTGTGAGAGAGGAGCACAAAAATACACAAGTACAGACCGGCAAAGTGAGGATATAATGATAGCAGTGGGAAACACTTTTCAACACAAACAGAAAAAGAGAAAAAAAGAAGAAAACGTAAATACACAAAGCACAAAACTAACAATTCTAGCCGTCAACATTTTAGAAAATAAGAATCAAATTTGTGACTTACCCCACTGTTAGTGTGAGTGTGAAACTCCTCATAAAAAAAGAGGGAATTCCAGTGCGGCGAGGAGAGGGAGACTAACTAACAGGTGGCGAAGAGAGGAGCAGAAAATAGAGAGACAGAGATGGGGGGAGAGGAAGGAACAGAGAGAAAGAGAGAGAGGGGAGAGAGAGAGAGGGAGGGGAGAGAGTGGGGGGGAGCTGTACGCATATCATTAAAAATTAAATGCACGAATAGTTCAAGTTGAGATGAAAAAAAGAGGAGCAGAGAGGGGGGAGAAGAGAGCGGCACTCTGGAGGAGGAGGAGGAAGATGAGGAGTGATGGAGTCAAGAGGGAGAGAGGGAGAGAGAGAGAGAGAGAGAGAGAGAGAGAGAGAGAGAGAGAGAGAGAGAAAGCGAGGGGAGATATTCCTTGACATTCTGTTGTGCATGTGACTGTTTCGCCTCGCTCCCCCCACCATCCCCCCCCAGCGCACACACTTAAGCACACACACACTTGTTTTTGTCACTTTGGAGGCCATTTCATTGAGTTGCATTTATTCCAAGAAGAGTTCAGCCTCCTGGAAAGGAAAAGACGGATGATGCACTACTTTTCCACAAGTGTCAAGATTCAAGAAAAAAATGAATGCACACAGACACAGAAAAAAAAAAACCCAACTCTGACACCATTGTATTTGCTGATGAAATTATTTTTCCTTCTTGAATAAGTTCCTCTTCTTTGGTTTTGCTTCAATAACTTATAAACCCTGATAGAAATACTAGTGCAGGGTTTTTTTTTGTTGGGCAGCATTGTATGAATAATTTATCCTCTTTATCTCCAGACCCCTTGATTTCTCGCCCGACTGATCAGTGCAACATTCAATTTGTCCTGTCATTTTCCTGAAATAAAAGGGCGCTGACCCTCTTTCTCTGGGGTTAATTTGGAAATTAAACATGTTGGAAAGAAAACTCATTATCAATCTAGCTATTAATCCATCAATCTGTCAATCTCAGCTAATGAAGAGCCAATTCAAAACAAATATCTTAATACACAAATAAGCAGGTCTTGGCAGAAACCTTGAGCAGAATCAGAGACATGCGAGACAAACATCTGTCTCGCTCCAATCCCAACATAGTTGTGAGGAGAGAGAGAGAAGTGGTCATACGTTTGCCTTTTGCCAATAAAGGATTAAGAAATAAGGATTACTATCGACTCCACAGGTACTATTTAGGCAGGAACGATCAATGTGAGAAGTGGTTCAATGACATTCCGGTAGAAAACCCATGGACATAAACTTTCTGTGCTTAAACACAAAGGGATTGTTAAACAAGTACATTTCCCTCTTTTAAAGTACGTTCACTGAAAGTGTTGATGTTTGCCACCAAGAGACTCGGGTATAATGCTTAGACATCACAGAGCTTTACAGATTTGACAGAGAAATACTGTTTTGATGTGACTCAATATGAATAAATGAATATTTATTAGACAGCAGTAAACCAGCAACTTCAAAGAGAGCTGACGTTTCTCACTTTGTTTGTAACTTTTGGCTTACAAAATAGTGTTGTGTTGTTCACGAACGATTCGTTCAAAATAACTTCCTCAAGTGATTTGTTCGTTTTTCACTTCAGTTGAGCTGTCAGCAAGGCAGATGCTATAGCACGCAGCATTGCCAGGCGAGCAGCCGGCGAATGAGGGACCACATGCAACGACGCCTGATTCACTTGGTTAACAAATCACCCACTGATCTACACTCTCTGGAATCATTTTTGTAGGACAAAACTACCTTTTTTTACTGCTTAATTGCCACCACAACAACTTGCATGCAATTGGACTCAGCAAGTAACAAGGAGAGCATAAAACCAGCAGCATCCTATCATTGCAGCAGTTTGCGAGGGAACGAAGCATGTTCAGTGTAAATTCTTCTAAACGTTCAGTGAACGAATCAGTCATTGACCCCAGTTTACCGAGCAGACCTGATAATTAGCATACCATAGGAGCACTGAAAACATCAGGACTTTTAGACAAGTTCATTTTTACAAACCTGTTTGCCAAAACAGCACAGCCAAACACTTGTGTCTCCCGGTCAGCTGTGTATCAGTTCAGGAGGTCAAAGTCACAGGCTCGAACGAATCTTTCTAACGAATCTTTTTAGTGAACTGATTCTAATGATCCAGAACATCTAAAAGAACTGCCGTGCCCATCACTACTGAAAAAAGGACATTGTCTTCACATACAGGTCTGTCCCAAGACTCTTAGCATGATGGTGCATGAATAAAAATCCCTTCCTAGCTGACTTGAGAGTGCTGTTACATTTTTCCAAGAGTCTTCAAATTATATCTGTGACTGTATTTAATGGCAGGCGCCTGATTCAACCCAACTTTTGATCAACCGAAACACAGGCGAGAGATGATGTTGAGGTCACTATAAACCTTCTGGGTAACTGCTAAAATGTCCACCAGTCTGTCAACTCAAATGTGCCCATTTGTCATATAAATTCATGAACAACTCTCAGCCTTAATAAAATCAAAACAGATGTGTTATAAAAAAGAAGTTAACCTTTGCACACTGTGCATATATAATGAAATGAACTATCTATTAAGAAATGCTCTTTAAACTAGATTGTAAACCAGGCTGTCTCGAGTGGACACTAAAGGAACTGCAGTTTTGGGACTTTCACATGGGCTTCATTGTCAAGGACTGTTTGGTTTACTCCCCCAAAACTGTAACCTTCATCCCTGCTGAAAAAAAGGAGAAGCTGTAACCCTAAAACTTAATGGACCAGTTTGTGCACTGGTGAGAGTCCTCATGTCGTCAGTTACACAAGTAGTCACACACACATAAGCACACACAGCTGAACTCAGGCTTTGTGTTACTCTCAAAGGGTAAAAAATGAGATCCAATTAATTTTCTCCATCTTTCAGTCTATTTAATTCCAAACTACTAATCTGTGTCTAAGTCTCTCTCTTGCAAACACTTACACAAACGCACTGGCACACTCTCCCTCTTCAGTCTCAGATCCTCCATATAATTAAGCTAATGGTTCTTGTTTCAATGATAGACATGGGGAAACATGCTATTTCCCCCTCATGTCTATTGAAGGGACAGAAATCGTCGTTCTCTCTCTGTCTCTGTTTCTTTTTATCTGACTTGTCTCACTCTTTTTATGTCGCTTTATTTTAATGTCCACACTCTCTAGATCTCTGTGCCTATCAAGAAGAGAAGCCAGGAAGCTGTCACACGGGACCGGCTGATGAATAGACTTACTGCAGCGTTTTGTGTTATTTAAAAAAAAAAAAAAAGCTTGACGTGTTTATTCAACAGTGTTCTCATCCTTGTCCCTATCCTTTCCTATCTCATGCCCCCTCCTTAGTTTGCACTCCTCTTCTTTTTCTGCTGCAAATATATCAACATACATTCATATATACACCCACTGCCATTAAATTGATGCCATGGCACAGAGATGCATGAATGCATTAACACAGCAATATAATGAACACAAGCCTCCGGAGAAAGATGACTCCCACTTCATGCAAACTGCACATGACACACACATACACAATCACACACCACACATAGAGCCCAGTACAGCAACCACACATGCTACCAACTTAGACAAAAGACCCGTCACTTCCCATATCAGCGTTTCTTTTGTTACAATTCCTCCCCTCCTTTCCTTATCGTATCCCCTCCCTCCTCAGAACGATTTATGAGACGAACATTTCTTCGTTATGAATGCAGTCGTTACATGCGCTCTTCACACCAATTATGTCGGGGAAGGATGCTGGTGCTTCAGTGAAAACAGCTGACCGCAACAGAGTCCACAATGGCTCTGACAAGAACAAATGACATCAGTGAGCCAGTCGGTCAGGATACAAACACACACAGACAGACACACACACAACACACTCACAATAAGAAACAGCCAAATGAAAGGTTTCTCTCACAAGACTTACAACGTTAAAGTTTGGTTAATAGTTGTTATTCTTCTCAGTTGTAACACTGCTTTGCCTCTGAAGATCATCAAGAGCCATCATTGTTAATTCCAGCCTGTTTCATTACCAGAACTCCTCATGAAGGGTTGATTTTAGAGTTATTCTAAGTCTTAGATAACTGTTTTTTAGTCAACTCCAAAAGTAAACAGTTTTCCCAATGAGTGTTAATGTTCATTTCCAAGGATCCTTTTAAAATTAAAACCTTTTTACCGACCTTTACTCTTTCTGTTGTTCTATTCTCAGCCCTAAAGGCACCCCACAGAGCAGCATTAATAAGACAAAGATCATGTAAAATATTAAAAACCAATAATGTTCATTGTGCTGAAATGTTCAAAAAGTAGTTTGAAACTTTGTAAAGTCGGAAAATCACAGCTCTCAGCCATGCTGCACCAAATCTAAAGAAATTATAATTAAAAAAAATGAGATTCTGTTAATAAAACATGAGTTCGGGACTGTGTTCATGAATGGCTTTTTTTGTGCTGGTAGCGCCTGTTTTCTGTGTAAAAATATTCCATTTCATTATTTTCAGCACGCACCAGCCTCAGTCCAACAATGTCCTTGGTGCCAGTCTTTTTTTGTGCTCCTTGAGTTTTTTTCTTAACACAACATAAGAATTTGACTCAAGACAAAAGAGCCAAATGAGATCAACTTTGGGATCTGAGACTGTGTTTAGCTCAGGAAAGAGCTTGGCTCGTGCCAGATCAGCTGAAATGTACAGACTTTGACTCAGTTCTTTTTTTTTATTGCCATAAGATTATCATTATCCTCTGAATAAACATTTCAATAAACCTGCTGTGACTGAAAAAATCTTTGCCATTTAAAAACATTACTTCACTTCCACACACTCTGACAGACACACTCAGTTGCTATAAACGTAAAGTTCAATTACACCTGACAACCCGTCAACATGCTCATACCTGTTAATTTCAGAGTTGTGGTGTCATGGTGATTAATCTCCACATCAAGGTGTTATAGCAAGATGTCTGTCAATTGTTTTTAAACTTTGTACAATGCCATTAAAGGAGAGTATAAGAAACTCCCAGAGCATGTTTAATACGGACTTAATGATTGGAAGCGAAAGTGCTGTGAGACAACTTAGAAACACTTGCTGCGTTTGCATGGACACAAATAATCGGAATAAATGGCCGATCGGAATTAAAACGCATCACGTAAACATGTCGATCGGAAGATTCGGAAATTGTATTCCGATCAATAGCGTTGGTTTATTCCGAAACGCGTCCATGTAAACACTTATTCCAATCGAGGCTCCTTACCTGTCTTGATCTTCACTCTTTAGCCTTTGGTTTATATTGAGGCCTGTATAAGAGGTTTCATTATTAACACTGGCATAAAACACAACCACACGTGCCATGTCTGCTCCTCCGGTAACAAGACGTGCATACAGCGTAATGATGTCACATCTGCACGCACAGTGCAACCTTAGACAGAACAGTAAAAT